GCCTCCCAGGCTATGGGCTCACGGGCGTAGAACAAGGATCTGTGTGGCTTGCCCAGCCATGAGGGACGGGATTGCTCGTCACCCATTCACCACCCTCCCCCTTCCCACCCCTTGCCTATGGGAATCCTCCCGACGGGGTCCGTGGCAGCTACGCTTGTGCCGAAACGGCCAGATGTCCTCACTAGTGTGAAGTCACTGACTGACGGACAACCCATTGGCAAGGATAATATTACCCTGAAAGCCCCAGGATGCGCTTCATCCCGGACCTGGGACAGACCTTAGACTCCACTGAGGCTGGTCGGCGACATCATCTCATCGCTTGCGAACGCAGTGATTGGGATCGGAAAAAGGATGGCTTGGCCCGTTGGCGTGAGTTTGCAAGCGCCCGCCCTCTCCCTCGACAACGTTCCCTTCCGCCTCGGCTTCACCGTGCTCATTCGGGCTGGAACTAGTCTGGGGGAACTCGGGGACTTGTCACTGGACCCCCCTAGACTTCCCCAGCCTCGAGGCAATTTCTACGCGAATGGAACCATAGAACCGCATTCCCCCTCTTGAGTTCCAGCACAGACCCTGATTCGCGCTGGGCGCTCGGGTGGCTCGTGGCGGTCTGCCACGATATGCATGGAAGCACGGGAGAAAAACCACCATGCGGACAGACAGAGCGTGGCTCTTGTTAGTTTTACCCCTTCAACTACGTTAGTGTGCGCCAAGCTAGATCAATCACGCGGTGCAGCATGCAGAGTCCGTTTTTATTATCCTCGATCGTGCGGTTGGCCCACGCGCCATGAGCGAAACGCAGCTCGTAAACCACGTAGCTTGATCACATTGCTGGTTGGAGCATGACGCCATGCCTCTGGGGAAAGGCTCTCGCAATAGGAGGAGGGCCTGCCATCTGGAGAGTTCTGGCGTTGCGATCCCAAATATTCGGTTGCCGATTGTATGACCCTTCGAAACCTTCTCGAAGACACGAACCCTGGAGGCAGCCCAATCAAAGAGGTCTACCAGCGATGGAATTTGCCTCCTTTGTACAAAGAAAGTACTTTGGCAGACTCGTGTAGCAACAGGAACTCGTGTAGCAACAGGACTTGTCCATCGGGGTATTCAGACACCAGCAAATCCATGACCTTTAGCCAAGAAATGTAACCCACAATCTAGAACATCTTGACAGTCGAAATAGTAACCCAAGACTTTCGTACCTCGGAGCATTTACATTCGCATTTCCTTCCTACATCCTGAAGGAGAAATATACTACAACGCGCAAGAACCCGCCATCCGCACACCACCAACCGCCAGGACCCTTGTTTTTTTTTTCGTAAGCTGCAGCCCGATCTTGTCTTTGGATCCCCCGGGTCCTTCCCCTCTCCCTAGGCCGCCACACCGAGTTGATGGCGCTCAGCGCGGTCTGTGAATGGCTGTGTGCGACTGCCCCCCTACCGCCACGGTAGCATCGGGCCAGGGTTGGCGTGTCCGTGATTCCGAGGCTGAGCATTTGCCTTGAAAGAGACGACTGGCTTTCACTGTTTGGGAGCTTCTTTGTCCGAACTTGGACTGAACAGTACTACTTGGTTGTCCGGGTTCTTTGGATCTTGTACATATGTACGGAGTACGGAGTACTGTATATTGTACAGGGGGGTATGAGCAGATCGTGACCTGGATGGAAATGGCCCTTAATTTCCTGAAAAAGGCATGCTCTTGATAATTGAGTTTTTAGTACGATATTCACTATTCTAGAGGTGTCAACCTTCAATTTATTAATCTTAGCAGAAGGAGTTTGTCTCTTGTTGTTCTCCGTAGAACCGATACGCCTTAATAGCTCCAGCCCGCAAAGCCCGACCGTATCGCCCAACCTCCCTCCCACCTCCAACTTCCACCTTCAACATCAACCTCACCACACGGCCCCCTCCCCCAAAAAAATCGCGCAACACAATACCCAACATCACCACCTCTTTCCTCCAGATAATCCTGCCTCTATTCATCCATCAACTGGGTCTCTTTAGAGTTGTCCCACCCGCGGACGGGGTTGATCCAGTTTCCCCATGTTAAATGCGGGGGGCACGAATGCTGTTAGGTAACAGTTTCCACATCGCCAACCCACGGGGGCAAAAGTCTGGGGTAACTTGTAATTTGTACGCGCTAGCAACCCACATGCACGGTCTGTGAGCTTGGTCGTAGCAAATGACGATGAATCATGATGTTTGCGATTCTGATATCGAGTCTAACCGTGGCAGAGTGATTGGTTGGCGCTTCGCTTGCTGCTGAGGTTGGAGATGCGGGTCTTCGGAGGATATTTGGATGTCTGATGTCCGCGCAGAACGGGGCTTACACTATACAGTAGTGTCGAGCTGTATGTAAGTAAGACTAACGTGAGCCAGCTTCTGACCTGCTTTTCTCCATGCGGGATTTGGTGCGTCTCGAGATAGGTTCTTCTCGAGGAAGTGCTACATGGCAGGATTCTGGTATACACTGTACAGGAATGTCACCCGGCCCGGCGAAGGTTTAGGAGGCTTGGATACCCGCAGGCGATCTACCGTGAACGGCTATGGACTGTCTCCAAAGTTTAGCTCTGGCGATGTATCTCTCAGCCCGTCAGTCCTCTTGGTGTCTAACATACTTGCCGGTGCAAGTCCCGAGTTGACGATCGCGGGCACTGGCATGGAAGTATATCTACCCGCAAGCGTCATCTAACTTCATCTTTGGAGTATCGTGCCACAGAGTATTACTAAATCGATGCATATGCGATTCAATTAGACTTCTACATATACATCGCCGAACTTAAGTCTTACCTACATACCCACATACCGTATTTTAACATTAATATCGTCATCCTCTCCTCCACAAACAACCCCAGAAATCCACACCCCATTCCCCCAGTACCTAACACGTCCATTTCATACCCACATCCCCCTCATTCGACGCGTAAATTGTGGAACAACCAGCCCTCCTCAATGCGCCCCAAAATACCCGGTCATAGACCGTGGCAAGCGAAATACAATCCAGACACCGGCTCTAGCCGGTAGTAAGCTGGTTAGCACCTCGCGGCTCGGCGAGAGTTTATTTGTAGGTTTGGGGAGGCCGGGTGGCGTCTGGGTTTTGCGTTTGTGAGTGAGGCTAGGGGTGCCCGGCGTGTTGGGAGACCAGGGGGGTGATTGGAGGGGGCTTGGGTGTGCCTGCATTGAGAATTTGAGAGGTGTAGTCTAGAAGCATTGGCGAACTTTGATGCGAGGTGTCGGTCGATTGTCCGCTTTTGAGGGATATTGGGATTGAGGTGTGATTGAGTAATTGAGTTGGATGGCGTTGATGGGTTAGTGTGGCATGTTTCTCGAAATTGTCATTGCATGATTGCTGCGGGTGCTAGGGGCGTTGCTTGCTCGAAACGGATGTTGAGCTCGAGATGTCAATTGAGTAATTGGGTTAGACAGGCCGCTAAGAGGTTAGCATTGAATAGCTAGGAATTTGTCATTGCATGATTGTAGGATACCGTCGGGTAGGGGAGCTGGCGTATTTCCTGGGTGTTGACTGAGTATTCTGTTGCTTGTGGTCTCCAAAGGCACGCAGCAATCTTGATGATTTGGTCGACGCTGAAGGACAAGTCACAAGCATACACAGCGTGGGCCCACTGAGGTAGTATTCGAGCCTGGAATACCAATAAACCATGAGGGTCATATTCTCTTGCATACCCGACGAGGGTACAGCGATGAGAATTGTGGAAAGTCACATTCCAACGTACTCTCTAGGAGTTGATTGAAATCTCTTTGTAATATTCAACCTGAGATTCTCTCTGCTATCCCTGGTATATAGAGCATGGTCGCACGAGACGATGTGTGAACTTGATATTCGAATTAGGTTTGAAGTGATCCCTCTTGCATTTACAGCGGGAGGACGGCGAATTTGAGATTTGGAAGTGATATGCCCAATATCAATGGGATTAATTCATTCTATAGAAAGTTTTCATGTCGTCGCATTCGGTATCATTAACGCAAAGCTTTCTTCATCATTTTCCATTATCTTGGCCAGCCTCAAGCACTGCCGGGGCCCTCTCCACCAGGGATCAACTGGGTCAAGCCATTAGTGACCAGACAAATATTCAACAGAGGAGAGACATACCATGCAGATGTTGTTGCCATTCAGTAGGAGCTTGGGCAGCTTGACCTGGGCACCGGTATAGTCGCTGGGAGGATATTAGTGTCTGACAAAGAAGTCGTGGAGCCAGTTGGGTATCAGGGACGCAATCATGAATCCAGAGGTCGTGCCTGTCAAGAGCCAGGTTGCCTGACAGTCACAACGCTCCCGGGTAGATGAGGGATAGATGTAGCACTCACAATTCGGTGACATCCTCCAGGACCATGTCTAGAACGAACAATTAGTACATTGAAACATACAATCGGCCGTATAATGAAGGAGTACTTACTGACGTAGTCGTCGAAGCCGAGGAGGGTTCCGGAGAACTCTTCAGTCCACATTAGTACACCAGAACTCTTCCACCGATTCAGAATCGAGACTCACCCTTGTCGCCCTTCATGACAACCCAGATCCGGGAGCCAACGCACTTGTCGATAAGCTCTATCGAAGGGTTAGCGGGGTCACTCGGCTAGCGGGTCGTTCGCGAACACACCGAGGGGGAGAAGTTGAGAAGCCATCGTGTCTGGTATGCCGAGAATCTAGAAGGTCTGAAAGATCTTCCCAGTTGTATTTTTGTGTGTCGCTAGGAGATTTGGGACGGCCAGGACGCGATATACAAAGCAGAGCTGTGATCTCTGGCCTTCAGGAACCTGGTTTTCTCCGGGCCGATGGACTAGTCCCTATTAGGTTTAGTGCGAAATCCCCAGTCCACTGCTTGAAAGAGTGACCCGCCTACAATCGGACCATTGTACATAGCTTGCGGTTGTCACTGAGCTTCTCATTTTCGTCTCGAAGGTGGTCGGGGAACGTGAGAAGCGTTGCATTCTTTTACTCGCCAAGCTGGCTATCTAGTGGGCAGCGCATTATGCGCACTACACAGGATGCGAGGATGGGGGACCTTTCCAGCGGGTCTGAGGTACCCGTCCTTGATCTCAACTGCTCATGGCGACTTGCTTGGACATGGAAATACTAAACTGGGCTTCCGATGCCTCTCACGTCAGAGGTGAGCTCGTGACAGGCCTAATGCACCCTTTCAATGGCTAACTGTTGGCATCCCAAAGCAACGGTAGTTCCTCTACTTCCCGCTCGCTTTCTCGCCCGCAAGTCGGCCACAACCGATGCTACCGCGTTCACCGTCCGCAAATCGCCAGAAGGCAAATCGCCAGATGGGAGCCCAGACGAGCCTTCTCTGGCTCACCACGCGCGCAAATCATAATCATCGACGACGAAGAGGAGCCTGAACCATCCTCTCCACCACAAAGTGGACAGCGACCTCTGAATCGAGCCGGCGTCGTAGATCAAGACATGAATGATCTGATCCGGACACGAGTACTCAGAGAAAAAGAGCGAGCAAAAGAACGTGCCAACAAGCCTCTCAATCGCAAAAAGCTCAAGGAGATTGAAAGTAAAGCCCGGGTGCTGGACGATACCTATAAACTGGGTGATGAGTTTCTACAACTAAAGTACGCTCATGTTGAGCGTTGCCTCTCAGAGTCTACGAAGGCCATCAGAGAGGTGGGATTTCAGTACGACAGCCTCATCTCTTCATACGTTTCATATTTGGAAGATTCCTTCCAGCAAAATTATCAAAATTGTCGATATCTGGAACACGAGTATTGCAAGATTGCATTCCGTTCAATTGTCCCTCTAAGGCAGAAACTGTCATCTTTGGATAGAAAAATCCTTATCCTGCAAATTGCAGTATTCTCTCAATCGGTCGACATCTCGCAGCAGTTCATCAAAGATCTCCACGTCCATCTTGACACGGAGTATCTGCAAGCACGCAACTCTGCCCGGTCCCGCATTGATCAACTACTCGCCCATGCAGAGATCACAGCGGATCAATACAATGAGTTACAGACCAAGGCTACCACCGTGTTAAATGGGCTAGGCGCAATCATGGCGATCTTGCATTCACTTAATAATCTGAATTTGCGGACAGAGTCCCTTCACGAACCTTTTCTCCACGCGACCGAATCAATTGCCAGTGACTTCTCTTTATATTCCCACGATTACCGCTGGAGATGGCGCAGGTCGAAGAGACATAGGAATCCGCTCGGTGACGCATTTTTGCACGAGTTTTCAAACCTCCTCGGTTCTGACACACCGTCCACATCAAGGATCTTGCCATCCAAGATCCTATCAGCTATCATGTTCGATGACAAAGAGGACCGGAAGATCAGGGCCATCTTGGCAAAGCAATTTCTCCGAGATGCTGATCGCCTTCGAAAACCATATTTGCAAAAATGGAAAGGGCCAAAACCGAGCTGGTCCCCCAAATTGAACAAGTACTGGCGACAACTTGACGCGCTTGCACCCTTCGATATTCAGCGCGTGTACGCCACGCAGCTCTCGAAAGAAGTTCTGCTCCTGACCCCGACAATCCAGGGAGGGTTCGGACCCATGTGGGAAGGTCTGGAAGATCATGATCGCAGAGCACACCAGGCTTGGCTGGGTGAGTGGTATGCGCAAAACAGAAAATACCAGAGAGAGTTCCTAGCAGATCTGGAAATTTACAGGTACATCAACTGGTGCCGACTCGGAGTGGAGAAAAAATTGGCGAAGCTGGGTGTGCCGAACTTGATTCAAGCCCAAGGGCTATTTGTCCCTAACGAGCCGCTAAGTCAAGATCTTGGGCGCTTCAACCGATGGGTTCACAAGATGATAGAGATCCGTCAGCAGAGCTGGATATCAGATATAGCCTTCCGTATACTGAAAGAGCCCGATGGCTTGGAGACCTGGTCAGAAATGACGAAGAAGTTCCATGAACAGGCGGCCGAAAGAAAATCTCAGATCCTGGACCTGGGTACCGTCAGAGTCCGTCGGAGGGGTGTCTCGCAGAGGAAAGCAAAGGTTTCTCGATTTGCGAAGTTTAAGAAGAACGCGCGACGGAAGCCTGCACGGAGTGTGCGCTCAAAGCCTGCCTCCGATTTTTGGGCGAGTTCCTCTACGAAAGCTACAACCACTCCTCGCGAGAAGACCAAGGATGAGCGCTCGTCCAAATCCTCGAGCACGCCAAAAAAGAAGAAGAAGAAGCAGCCTCAAGAATCACCATCTGGCTCGGAATCGACTCCGCAGAAGAGCTCTATCTCTTGGAAGCGAAAAGTTGCTCGAAGCAGGCTCAGGCCCACCGCTGTATGGGATCTCCTGGGCCAAGAAAAGGAACAATCGTCTCCTCGGCCAGCTCCCGCGGATGCGAAAACCCGGTTCCTACAGGCAATGTCAACGAAAACTGAGTCTGGGTCTCATCGCACTCCTGATACGCCCAAAACGACGAAGAGTACTGCGGCACGACAGCCCACACCAAAGCCTCTTCTTTCACGATCGACGAGGGATGATAAGATGAAACAGGGGCAGCCCCGGAGCTCGGAGAACGCCAAAAATGATACATCCACGAAAAGCAAGCCTTCTACGGTAGGAAAGCCGCTGAAGAACAATAAGCGCAATTTCTGGGATCCAAATCCCGTTGCCAGTTCTGGTGGTCTTTTCCGAAAGTCCAGTGGAAGATCCTACAGCACAGGTTCTGCTGTGTCTAGCGACCGTACCCAGGATTGCAATCATACTGGTTTGCCTGGATCTGCGCCGCGTTTTCCTGTCAGACCTACACTGGACACGGATAGCGAGCTCCCCATCTCCGCAGAAGACGCATATCACCTCGAGATTGAGTCTACCTCGAGCGAGGATGCTCCGCTGTTCTGGAGTCACAGTGATCAGCGTGCTCCCGGCGGCCAAAGGCCTATCGTGCATTACTGTAAATCCCTCGAGAGCACAGAATCCGTTGCGCAGCATTTTCTCAACAACAAGGTCGTCGGCTTCGATATGGAATGGAAAGCGCAGGCTTCTGCCACGGACAGCATCCAGAATAACCTGTCGCTCATCCAGCTCGCGAATGAAGAGCGTATTGCCCTCTTCCAGATCGCGTTGTTCAAGCCGGCCCGCTCGCTAGAGGACTTTGTTGCACCATCACTCAAGCGTGTCATCGAGTCGCCTGACATCACCAAAGTTGGCGTCTCCATCAAAGCGGATTCTACCCGACTGCGCAAGTATCTCGGCATCGAAGCCCAGTCTATCTTCGAGCTGAGTCATCTGTACAAATTGGTGAAATACGGGCGGATGCAGCCTAAGCTTGTTAACAAGAGGAGCGTGAACCTGAGCGAGCAGGTCGAACAGCATTTGGGGTTACCGCTGGAGAAGAGCGAGGACGTACGGTGTGGCGATTGGGCTCGATCGTTGAACTATCGCCAGGTCCAATGTGAGTGATTCATTTCTTGGGAATATACGAAAACGTCCATGATTTCGTGAACTAACAGTAGTTGCTAGATGCCGCCACGGATCCATATGCTTGCATCTGCCTCTTCAATATCATGGAGCAGAAGCGGCAAGCGATGAACCCTGTGCCCCCTCGTCCTGCACACGCGGAACTCAACTTGCCCATTATCTGTCCCGCCGGTGAAGCTGTGAACATCGAGGATAAGGAGGTTGTCCCTGGTTTAGTTGATGGCGATGTGATTGACCGCTCATGATATGATATATCTCTCATTTTGTTCTCATTTCTGTTGTATGTGCATGGCCTTGATACCAATATATAGACAGCGGCTTCTTCATACTACTTTTTACCGTGTTTCTTGCTTCGCATTTTATGCGTTGGTTGGTTGTTTTGGCGCTTCATTTGTTCGATATCTAGATCTACGTTATTTCGGTTTCAAAAATCTCAACCTTTTGATCTTGTACACAGAAGTGGATGATGCGAGGTGTTGCATTGATAGACAGAGAAAGTGGGGGTATATATTCATCCAAATCAAGTATATACATCTACTGTAGTATGCAGGTTCGAGTATCGAAATAAGAAGAAAAAGTCTCATCCATGGATCAGTCGCAAGACTACCCTCTCAGGGGAAGTACTTTCGACAACAGCACTTCCTGCCGACAGAGTGGACACTCGGGCTTTTCCCTCACCCAGTCCCTTACACAAATCCAGCAGAACACATGCCCACAAGTCGTCACACTGGGGTCCTTGAAAGCCTCCAAGCATAATGTACATTTCCGCTGCTGACCGTCCGGAATCCACGCTACCGCCCCGGGATCTTCATCGAGATCGTACCGGGCCGTCGACGCAGGAAGTAGGGGCACTGTAAGGGGGTTCTGGATTGATGGGATGAGTGCCCCAGCTTCTGAGCGATTCTCCCCAGCCCCCGAAGACTCATCTTGGTCTTCATTCATGCTCGCGCCAATCTTGCGAACATGCAGGAATCCCTGCACCGCAATCTGCAACGCCATTAACACGCCGAGCACCTCGTATCCAATACGCTGCTCATTCTCATCAATTCTCTTGGTGAACACGTATCGCAGACGCCAAATGCGTTTGGAGAGATGATAGTACGAGCCAGTGAAGTAGAACGTCGCAATGCTGAGTGCATAGATAGGCGAGACCGAGGTAATCGAGTCAAGATGTTCGAGGATATACTGCTGGATACGAAGTTTCGTCAAGAACGGCTTCTGCTCCTTTTTCGCCGCGCCGGAAGAAGGTTTATTAAAGTTGAGCAGGCCAGCCTGCTGCGCAGCTCGGAGCTGTTGCTTTGCAATGCTGCGCTCGAGCTTGTTGCGTACGCGCTGCCGCAACGCTGGCAGCAATCGCTGTAGTGACCAGGGTACTAGGATGCTGCTGAGAATGTATCCGACACGCCGGGTGATAGCCGGTAAGCGGAGGGTGTCATCTTCCAGCTGGACAAGGTCGCAGTATTCTTCGCCGAGGGTGCGGTTGCCGATGGCTGTGGTGAGGGAGAAGTAGAGGAGCTCGGTGAGGTGTTTGATGGCGTCGGAGTGGGTGTGGGCGTAGCGGGCGCCGCGAAGGGTGCGGACGATGGATTGAGCTTGTTGGACTAGGCCGCTGGTGAGGAAGACGTCTTTCTCGTGCGAGCGGATGATGTCTGGGGATGTTGCGAAGGGGTAGAAGTGCGAGGCCAGCGAGCCAACGCGGGTGTCGGGGGTGGCTAGTGACAGATGGGGGTCGTCATCGGTCATGATGGCAGGTGTGTGAGAGAGAAGTGACAAGGATCAAGTGTTGATGAGACGAAGAACAGTGTATGGGGGCAGTAGGTGCATCCCCGGTGATGGACGGGCCCGAGATGGCTTTCCCCACGGCGATGATCGATGCTTCGGCTCATTCCCCGGACTGCCTCGGCTGAGGTCAGGTGACTTGGGGCCGAGCATACTGATCACATGACATTTGACCTCATCGATCCCGTCTGGTCCCGATTACCTAATCAAGTGAAAATCTAAAAATAAGGCTTACATAATTTCATACTTCCCCTCCAGGTCTTTTTTGAAGCCACGAAAAAGTAGACCCTTCCGGTGCCAGCGGCTGATAAGAGTCGAATTTGGTGTAGTTTGTGGCTCAGTAGTGGTAACAAGTATATAGCCAACCCTTGGGCATGTTTCAATCAAAGGCACTGGGTAATGGGCGCTGCGTGAGTGGGTGCAGGGATCACCATGATGCCATAGTGGATTCCACCAGGCGAGGAGAGGACGAACGAGCACGGCGTGAGCAGCTTGAAGCGGCCCCTGACTGTCGATCGCAAAAGTATCTTCGGTCGTCTCTTGGACATGAAATCGAATCAGGTTCGGGGTCTGCTAATTATACATCTCTGCAGGTGTCCTCTAAACCTATTAGAGACAAGTATTCCTGCCATTGTTAGGCATCCTTTTCTTTCTTTTTCGCCCCATTCAGCATATTAAACCCAGTCCATTCAAACCAGTCCAAACGAAGAAACGCCAGAGGACCTGGTGGAGATCCAGACCTTCAAAGACCCCTGGAAGTCCACCCAAATTCCACATCGTTCCCTCCCCCCACTGCCAAGAGTCAGTTCTGCAGGGCGCGTAACTCCTGAGTGGAAAGAGAGTGCTTATTAACGGAGCCTGAAAGCGGCCAACTTCAAAAAAGTTGCAAACTCCATCGACACGGACTCTTCCGGTACCATATTCTCCAGCGAAAAACTCCAGATCCTCACCCCTAGTCATTCTTTATCTACTCTTTTCTCTCTTTCCCCCACGGGGTCTCGCCTGCGTCTTGCCTCGTCCTCTCGCCCCCTCCATTCCACCCACCTTCCGCTCCCTGATCAATCTATGGAATAATGGGGCCAGATCAACAGCCGCAAATAGATGGCTTTGGGTTGACCTTCCCATTCCCTCTTCGGGTTGCTGCCCTCTTAGTTGCTGGTACGTGATCCGCTGTCTTCGTTTTGTCTTCTATACAAGGCCGGAGTCGCGGTGGCTAACTGATTGACAGGGTTTTGGGGATGGGCCATCAACCTACACTTTCTAGCCAAGGCCAATATTGTACGTTGCAGGAACTCAGAACGCCTCAAGCCAACTCCAATTATTCCATCTCAGGACTGACCAGCGCTTTTCTTTTTCTAGGACGTCCCTGCACTTATCCGATACCCATCCTCCACCCAACGGTCCCACCATACCTCCGCCTACCGACTAGCCACCATCTTCACCATCCCGCTCACCCTCTGGCTGGTTGTCTTCTGGATCTTCACTCGCTGCCAGTTTGAGCTGGTCGGTCGCTTTGACTATATTCCGCAATCGGTCTTCGTGATCCTCCTCCTGATCCTGCTCTGGCCTTTTAACCGGGCCTCCCGGACAGGCCGCCTCCGCCTCCTTCTGACACTGAAACGGGTCGCCATCGGAGGTCTCGCGGAGTCGCAAGATGGCAAGTTTGGCGACATTCTGCTGGCAGATGCCCTGACGAGTTATGCGCGGGTCTTGGCGGATCTTTACATCAGTTTCTGCATGTTTTTCACCGACGGTCTGTCCGCGACCTCCAAACCGAATCGTGCCTGTGGGAAGGACTTCGTCGTGCCCATTATTATCGCCGTGCCGAGCTTGATCCGACTGCGTCAGTGTTTGACGGAATATGTGCGCTCGCGCCGGACAACCTCGCGACGGGAAGCCAGTCGGGGAAATCAGCACTTGGCCAACGCCTTGAAGTATTCCACCTCATTCCCGGTCATCTACTTGTCCGCTAAGCTCCGCAACTATAACCCGCTTGACTTTCACGGATTCAGCGAGGTAACCATTATACGTCTTTTGTAAGTCAATTGTTCTGCTGTTAGAACAGTGGACACCGTTCTGATATCACCCTCAGGTCCTTTTTCTGTTTTATCAACTCCAGTTACTCGTTCTGGTGGGATGTCGTGAGGGATTGGGACTTCACGCTCTTCTCCCCCAACCGCCTGGACCGTGATCATCCATACGGTCTGCGACGACACCGCAACTTTTCTTCCGACCGGTTGTACCACTACGTCATCATCGCGGATCTTGTCCTCCGGTTCTCATGGCTGTGGCGCGTGGTCCCGGGCCTCACATGGCTTCCTGAAACCGAATCTGGCCTGTTCTTGCTCATGTTCCTCGAGGTCGCCCGCCGTTGGATGTGGGTGTTTTTCCGGATTGAAGCCGAGTGGAGTAAGTTTCCCGTGTCCCTTTCTTCTGCAGGGAGCCGTTTGCCAGACAGATATGTCCCGAGCACCACGATTTCGGTTTCTTTGTTCTATTCGCTGACCATTTCTTTTTTGTGTAACAGTTCGGAACACCCAAGGTCCCGGCGTAGAGGAGGTTCTGCTTGGCGATTTCAATCACAAGTTCGACGCGGATTAAACAGAAACCATCAGTCGTCCCGTGTGACGGGGCGAATATTCGCCCTCTTTTTTTCTCCTTTGAAGCGGTTCATCATCACATTGGAACGAGTATGAGACACAGAATTTTAGTCATCGACTCCTCCACAACACCCTCCTTCTGTGGAAGCAACGAATGTTTTCCACGCCATCTACGGATGTCTACCTACGTCAACCCATCCATTGCAACTAGACCAGTTATAGACACGAGACCCTGATATCTGGGTTTTTTCTCTCGGTGTAAGGAAAGCATATCATTCACTTGTATGCCCAACTTCTTCGTTTCCTTGATTGATTTGAGTTCTCAATCATCATTGCGCCTTCAATCGGTACTGAACTGCTCTTTACTATTCCTCTAATTGCCTTAAAATTGTTCTCGACTGCACTGTCTTGCTCGAGTTCGAGCTTGGTCCAATTTCACCGGATGTGATAGAGCTACTCATGTACTTTCCAGCGCTTTCATGTACATATTTTGCTTTTCGTCGGTTTTATCTGTCCCTTGATCCCTCGTTGCCCAACTACCCAGGGCATGAAGGAGATTCAATGGCATGTACAATATGATTCAGATATGAACTATTCTTTTCTGGGAGGCGTCGAAGTAGTATAATTGAAAGAGTGACCCTTGGTCACGTATTCCAAGGTTGATCGTTCCAAGCCAGTGTGCTCATAAAAACCTTGAAGCTATCGAGAAATTGCTTGTGGTGTTCGATTCTGGACCCTGGGCATCAATTCAGTCTCAATATCTACACTAGATCCCCTCTTTTGATGTGACATGCCCCATTCAGCCATTGGCAATTTAAGCTGTTCATTTGCCTGCATAGACACAGCTGTGGGTAGAAGGTGCTAGGCGAGAGGTCTTGGGTAGTAGTTTTCAAGAAGCATGTTGATTCTTGCAGTAGTAATGCGACTTGCATCCATATCGTGTCAAGAGACTAGAATGTATCGATAGGCTGTGTTGCATACTAGTGGATCGTTCTAAGGCGAAAGATGGGTGCTTTCCGTGACTACTCAAACTGAACAAAGCGGGCACCTTAGTCAGACTTAAATACGTTGCATCCCGGCTAAATAGAGTCGTAAACTTGTCGCAATCACATCTCGAAGTGGATGCACTCACGTGATATAAATTGCCCTCAAAAGTGCTACTATGTATAGGAAAATGCAGGCGGAATTTCCTTTGAAAAAGCCTTCCGAGGTAGACTCGTTACATAGCTATCCAGGGAACATCCCTTGCTTGAAACTAGTATTTCAAGCTTGAAGAGCGATTAATGCCCTTTAGCTCTATGCTTCGTTCATATATGTCTGTGGGGACTTGGTTTATCAAGGATTCTTAAGCGCAGTTGGTTCTTTGTATTTCCGCTGTATTTATCATAATATGTTTCTATTTCTGGTTTATCTGGTTGGCTGTATCTAGTTATCTTAGCCACATAGATAAATCACGTCCGAGGCCCGTATATTTCAGTTGTGCCCGTGCCATCGATGTATATATGGCATGCGCGGTTTCCATGCGCTCACCCCCCCCCCCCCCCCCCCCAAACACTTGATGATTTCCTAAGTATCTTGGAGGATGTATTCTACTTATGCGTGTATTACACGGAGCCCGTTATGGCTCATGTCTGCAGAGTCAGAGAACAATATCCAAGGGAATATAGACAAAAATGGTATTCTAACGCTCCTATGATCACAAAACCGAGATATTCTCGTTATGTGATACTCGGACTGGGGCTCGACCCTCTAATAACTTGCCGATACAATTCCAATCGCAAGCTCAAACACTCTCGATAAGCAACTGTACATCTAACCAAGTTCAAAAGACATCCCACTGCCATATTCTCCAATAAATTTGGTCCTCGTCTGGACCGTCGTTCGAACATGTTCGAGGTCCCTCTTCCATCAATGAAAATATGACACGCTCTGCTTTTTGTCTTGCCTCCGATGTAGGCGGTAATCACTTCTTCTTTGTTCTCGGGGTTATATCCGGATTGATGAACAGCTTTTCCGTTTGTGATTCTGTGAAAATGAAAATGTCAGCGGGTTGCCAAGAGAGCAAGGAGGTTTAATGGCTTTACGTACTCAATATCAACAAACTTCACCTTTCCGAATCTCTACGAAAAGCGTTATTGGTCATAATCTCTCAAGCAAGACGTGCGTAAGGTGTGAAGAGGAGCCATGGGAGGCTCTTGTAGCCATGAGGGTCTTGACTTACCTGCTCTGCCCCGCCACCAGGGCCAGTAAACGTGTCTACAGCTTTCACCCACCGCGGTGGCGGATACTGCTTATTACGCCATAGAATACCCTTGGAGTCCACCTCCGTATGCTCATCTACAACAGGTGGGCGAGAGTGCATCGCGCTATAAGCATGAGAGCGGTACGAGTGTTGTCTGGCTGGAAGAGGGTATTGACTCGAGAAGGTGGATGACCACGAATACTGTCTCTCTGTTTACATGCAACAATCTAAGAGTGGCAGATGGAGGAGGTGGTGGTGGTATGAAAGTTCGAGTTGGCAAAGGTGACTGGGGGGAAGGTAGCTGCAAGCTACCAAGAAGGCGCATCTTGGATTCAGAAATCAACCACGTAATCACCGCTCTGCCCTAGTTTATTCTAATCTGAATAGCTTCATGTTGGGGGCTGACCAAGAGGGTGGTCCCATGACTATGATTTAGTAGGAGAAGAGGTGTGTACTGTTATCAGGATGATTCGGTGATCAACCAGTCAAGCTACCAGATTCCTAATCGGGATTAGATGGTGGTGTGGCAGGCTCTCAGGGTGCCTCCAACGGCTCCCTATACTATATATCCTACAGCGTATTTAATGTATCGCTACGCTCCGTACTTCTTGGTGTCTGTCTCCCCAGTGGACGCCATTAGAAACCTTGTAAAATGGTCTCCCGATTAGCTACTAGCGGGCACAGGAAATCTATGTATATATTGTCGATTATGGATAGTGAACTCGCTCGACATACTCGCTAAGTAAACGCTAGGGGTTTAACTATACATACACTTATGTATAAGATTAGAACCCTAGCGATTGGTCTCTTTCATTGCAAGAGCTATCTTTAGAACCTTCACTCTAGTTCAAATACTCTATTTCAAGGCTTGCTCACAGCTAGTCCTAACACGTATCACTTGCCGGTTATCGGAGGCTTGGATATTACAAGGAGCTGCGGGCTCAGGATTACGAGTGGATATGCTAGTCGAGGACGACGCACTCATTAAGATTCCGCAAGGATGTCAGAGACACTGAAATTATATTATCAAATCACATCTCGCTCTTATGAACATGAAACGAGACTTAGATGGAAGTAAATACGAAACAGAACAATGCACAAAGGGTCCAAAAGCTCCAGAAAACGCCAGCGCGTTAGAAAATGGACGGTAATAAAGAGATATAACTTGAAATATAGCACAAAGAAACCAAAAGTAGATCACAGTCCGAGATAAGCCGCCCACATCGTCCCCGTCATAACGGACTTGAGACTACCCGTTCATCGCCGACCAGAGTCCGGGTGACGACCAAGACCAGATTCGGAATGACGAGGCGATGTATGGCTTTCAAAGAGATCCTCCAGGTATGCACTCGGTGCACGACCTTGCGGCGCTTGGCTGAGGTTCAGCGAGCTGGTGGAGGCACCGAGATGGGAGTGACGAGAATGCGGCATATCGGGGTAGCCACCGACCGCAGGGAGAGATGGAGAGGAGCCCGTATGGAACCCTGTAGGCGAGGAGAGACCAGCGGTAGGAGAATAAATGTTGGTCTGTGACCCGCTCGCATCCCTTACTGGCGTAGAGGTACCAGCGGCAGCATAGTACCCGGCGGGCAGGTAACTCGAACCACGGTTACTCGCGTTATTGAGACTATGATGCGATCCCGCACCACCGGCCGTCGGCGAGAAGAACAAGCCGCTGTTTGTGCTGGGACCCCGCTTCGAGGGCTTGTAGTTTGCGCGGGTGGCTGCGCCGAGCTTATCGAGGGATACATCGTTGCCCGGTGCTGTGGCGTAAACACCGTGGGAGCGCTTCTTGCCTCCGGCGCGTCGCGACAGTCGCTTCTTATCGGAGGTTTGTGCTAGGGCTGCGCGCCGCACTGAGCGATTCACAGACCATGCAACCATACCGCGCCAGGCTAGGACCGCCAGCCCGATCAGCCCCAGGATCGCACCGACGGCGATAAACACTGTTCCCTCGGGAACATTCGTTGTTTGCATGTACGGCGCATTTGCGGTAGGGGGGATGGTCACGATCGGGCCGGATGTCGAGGTTGAAGACGAGGATGTTGAGTCCGTTGTTGTGGAAACGGATGGTGTGCTGCTGTCGCTGGAAGTGGAGGTGGTAGAGGAAGACGACGAGGAAGACGTCGTCGTTGTAGATTCCATGGTCGTAGAGGTTGTAGATGAGGAGGAAGTCGTGCTAGAGGTGGACCTTGTTGACGACGTCGATGAAGAAGAGGACGAAGTGGTGCTTGTGCTGGAGGTGCTATCAGTGGTGGAGGGATCAGCGGTGGTCTGGGCGGTATCCTTTGTCGCAGAGGTCGTCTTCGCATCGCCCGCCGGGTCTGCGACCACGCGAGTAGCAATGGCCAGCAGCAGCACCAAGAGGAGGATGAATGACGGCTGGGGCTTCCCGAGCCCACGCCGTGAGAGTCTCATGGTGTTCTCGTGTCCTTGCCCACTTGTTGAATATGTAAACGAATCAGCCGTTCTCCACAGCGGGTCAGCTGGGGTAGTTGGTGATCAAGAGCGAGAGTGTAGAGACGAAGGAATCGATGAAGTCGATATCAGCGCACTTTTGAGAGTTGGACTCGAGTGGTAAATTCTCAAGGATTGGGATGCAATCTCTTCGAGTAGCTGGAATGCCTGCCTGATGCCGTTCCCCTGAAAGAATCTGGGGGGCTCCACACTTTTGACAGATTCCGACTCAGGGACGCACCATTGAGATCTTCAGATAAAACGAGTGACTGTCTCCCAACAGGAAGCAACGAGCGTCCGAGGGTCTCGAGAGGGGAAAATGGGTCGTTCTGTGTAAGCGAGAACACGACCGAAGCCAAACGACACCAGGTTACTGCGCTAAATTTAGTGCCTGAACCCTGAGGCCTGAGCCGTGAGGCTTGAGGGGGTGTCACATGATGATGGCTTGAATTCTACCAGAAAATCGCAGTGTGATATATCATACAAAAATACGAAAGAAATTGTGCCCTTGATCCCGAAAAGAACGCAAATAACTCAATTGTAGCATGAATTGAGTAAGGTATGGCCCTCTACTCAGCGCCTGCCACCGAATCGGTGGCCGTCACCAGCTACTGCTGCTTCTTGTGCACAGCAGCGGAAGTATCCTTCTCAAATGCAGCATAGGGAACTTGGAGGCTGCTGACAGCGCTGATAGCAATATACAGGATGATCAGGCACAGGAATGAAGCCATGAACCCCATGAAAAGACCTGCCACAAGTCAGACCAGGACGAAGGGATACTAATCACAGAGGTACGAACCTGGGGTAAAGAACTGGTACTCGTCAAACAGAGAAGTATGGCGATCTGACTCGGAAGCGCTAGAGTAGGAAGAGTGAGAGGAGTAGTCGCGCTTGAGTTCCATGCGGACGGAGTCGGGATAGGCGTCCTCGGTCTCGTAGACCATGGAATCGGTCTCGGGGAACTCTCTCGGCGAGGTGACATAGAGAAGAGTATACTTGGAGGAGGAAGGAATTCGTTCAATGATATCGGCAATCAGGCCATCTGAAAACGTTAGAAGAAAGCAATGCCCGGCGACATTCAAGCCCTACGTACCATTGTTGGAGAGCTGGTCGGCACGGTCCGATCCAAGCGAGAGCATGGGGAACTCGATGTCGATGATCCGAGGACCCGACTCAAAGTATGAAGGGTATGATCCAGCTGTCAATCGTTGTCAGTCCTAATTTGCAAGCTATATCTGCCGCCTCGAGGCTAGGCGGCCGTAGTAACTCACAAGAGCCGTCAATGAAGGTAGTCTGCGCCCGGCACTTCTCCTCTAGCAGATCCTTGATTTGTTTGACCTCCAAAAGACCAGCCACTTCGTTGACGCTCATTTTCGATCTGATGGACTTGTCCTTGCCCAGCATCTTCGCGCCGAGGCGGGGTGCCGACTTGCGGGTCGCGAAGTCGGAGCTATGCACGCCAGGCTGGTTGACAAGAACGTAGTATTCTGACGGGCATAATCCAAGAGCAGAAGAAAGATCACCGAATAGCGAGGCGCTGGTCTTGATGTTTGCGGAGTTCGCGAGGAGCCTACATGCAGGAGCTGGTTAGCTGGTCATAGTTTCAAGCCGAACTCATGCCACGTACTCGGAGGTCGATGCAAGGAAGAATGGTGAGGTATCACGGAAGGCATCGACTGCAGCTGCCCCGAGGGCAAGCAGCCCAAGCCTACTCAGATGCATTGTGTTTGTAGAGGAGTTGCTGGGATGGAAGATGATGATGCCAACGGGAGGTCCGACTTGGTCTCGGAGGCGGTCGCCCACAGTCCGGGCCCGCTGCGGCGTCTGAGCTTTGGACTACTTTTTTTTCTGGTTTGACAGAGGCACAACCCACGAGCAGACACTGCGTGTCTTTGGAACGATTTTTTTGTGATTTTTACCCACATACTTTCACACTATGGGTCCAGCCCTTAAACGTCGCAAGACCTCCAAGGTCGAAGAAGTCAGTTTCGATGCCGCCGACCGCGAAGAATTCTTGACTGGCTTTCGGAAGCGCAAGCAACAGCGCATCAAGCATGCGCAAGAGATCGCGATCAAGAGGGCGAAAGAAGAGAAGCGACAGGATCGCAAGAAGGTAAATTTGAACTTCATCAGGACCTTTCAACCCTGCAATGACATCTCCTAACTAACTCGGCATGTCTAGCTTCGCGAAGAGCGAGCAGCAGATTTCAAGCGAGCGATGGAAGAGCACAAACTACAACTGAAGCGTCTAAAGGAGGAAGATGCCAGTGACAACGGCGACTCAGATTCCGACGAAGAGAGCGACGAAGAATGGGAGGGGATCGAGGAGCCGCCTGCGGTGGACTACGAGGCCGAATACATCGACGAAGACAAGTACACTACGGTTACAGTGGAAGAGATTGACTCTTCGAGAGAGGGCCTGCGCAAGTCTATCCTAGGAGAAGATGACGATGAAGAGGAGGCCAAGGCCAAGGCCAAAGCAGAGGAAGCAGCAAAGAAGGCAGAGGAGGAAGCCAAGACCGCCAGAAAGAGGAAAGGAACGAGTGACAAGCCCAAGAAGAAGAAGAAGCAGTTCCGGTACGAAAGCAAGCAGGATCGCAAACTCGCCGCGGCTAAGCAGCGCTTGTCAAAGGCAAAGAAAGCCAAGGCACGGAGGGAGAAATGAAGAGATGGCGTCCTAGGCAGCGATATATATCCACACGTCTTATACTACCTAGCACCTACTTGGGAGTTTCGGAAATTCTGCCGCTTAATCAGATCTATGATTCACGAAACCAAAGCTGGCCACAGAAAGACGGTAATTAATTTGCAAGAGAAAAAACGGGCACCATAGTCAACATCGCATAGGTGCTATTGGGGACACGGTCTCCAACAGCATGGTAGGGGAAGTAACGCAAAATCGGGTCCAAAATGAAACAAGCAGACAATTGGAAAGGGAAGTAGCCTGCATCCAACCCCAACGTCTCCCGACACCCTGCACCGATACCCCGAGTCCGCCAATTTAGACGTTGCTGATGGAGACCTCGAGCTCGTGCAGATCCTTCTGCAACTCGGCGTGCTTCTTGGCCATCTCCTCGTACTTGGCCTCCCACTGATCGCGCTCCGTCTCGAGGGCCTGCACCTTGCGCTCGTAGTGGCCGGCCTTGACATCGGTTTGGCGGAGCCTATGTAACCGGGTTTGTTAGCGATGTCTGTTGATGGACAATGCGAAGAGCATATCATCAATATGGATCGTACTTCTCGTTTGTCTCCCGGAGAGTCTTGTCGTTCTCCTCGGCCTCCTCCTCGAGGAGCTGCACGCGCCGCTGGAGGGCCTCGTTCTGGGTGTCGTGCTGGGCACTCTGGTTGGCGGCATCCTTGGCATCCTTGACGGAGGCCTCGAGCTTCTCAACCTCCTCCTCAAGCAACTGGTTGCGGTGGTTGAGGGACGTGATCTCCTGCTCCTTGGACAGGTTCTCCTGCTCTAAGGTCTTGACCTTGGCCTTCAACTCTTCAACCTGCTCGTGAGCCTCGTCGGCCTCCAGGCGGAGGGCGTTCATACGCTAATAAGAACATAGTTAGCATCGTGTCGGGTCAGACGGGCAGACGGAAGTGGGATGGTATGCATGGATATGGTATGCACGACGAGGGGCAGGCCAAAAGCGTAAAAGAGACAGCTTGTCAAAGCTACCCCGCCAAACAGGGGTGTAGGCAGACATACCTCCTTGATCTTGTCCATGATGAGCTGATTTGAAAGAAGAGGGAAGGTATGAAGTGTAATATGTATGAACGAAGAAAAGTAGTTAGGCTTTCGCTCAGCGAGCCGGAGTGAAATGGAGGGGAAGGGATTAGGCCGTGGGGGAGGGGAGTTTCGAGTTTGGGTAAGGGGAGGAATACAGTAATTGCTGACTATGGGAGTACTGAATACCCGCCGAGCGGTGACCACAGCCGCCGACCGCAAAGTACCGAGTACTTTTTGTGTACTGGTCGTCAGCTTTCTCGGTGGTTTAGTGACTTGCTGCCACGGTACCTGCCGTGTACCGTACACAACCAGCCCCGCTGGTCCCTGCCCCAATCACATGGCTCCGATCGCCACGTCTCCACGGGCAACCGCCTCGACAACACTCTAGACTCGTTCGGATCATACGAGCTCTTGACTTTACGCCTCGCGAGATTACCCTCACCGTTTCTTTGTCTGCCATCGCCAGAATCATTCCTGTCGGTGCATGCGCAACAAGTACCTCCACTCGCCACCATGCTGGCTCTTCGTGACCAGGAGAACCTGGTAAACACCCACCAGACTGCCGCCGCGGCGAAACCCTTGAATCAGGGTATCAACAAAATACCGCCAAAGACTCCGGGAAAGTCGGTGCCGCTTAACGACGAGAACAACCCTCGCGCATTTGGGAAGGGCACTATCAAGGGCAATAAGAGTCGTCAGGAAAATGGCAAACCGGCATTGAACGCGTTCGTCACGCCTGGAGGTACGCGAGCTGTTTGAGTCAAGATACGCGAAGCTTTAGAGCGGGACTAATGGATGACTTGTCTAGAGACGAAACACCGTGCTGTTCTCGGTAACAAGACCACCAATCTCAAGACCAATGCGTTCAAGACTCCCGGTCCCTTTGGAGGAACATCCAAGCCGGAGAAGACCAACCGAAGAACCTCGACCGTGCAGAGAATCAAGAAGGCTGCTCCCGTCACTCAGCAAGCCCAGACCAAGGTGTATTCCGAGGCTGCTCAGGATGATGTGCCGGACATTGAATACATGCCGCCGAAGCCTACAGGTATGGATGAGAGTATTCTGCGACCGCAATCAATGGAAGCTTTGCTGACAGCTCATAGCTCTCTTGGACGAACCCGATGATGTCACATACGATACTACATTCCCGCAATTCAAACCGCAGAACCGCGCTCTCGGGCTCGAGAGTGTCTATGGGAAGCAGGAGATTGGCAGTGATGGCCTGACCAAGAGACAGCGAAAGTTCCAGGAAGACTCTGTCAAATGCGACAACATGATCAATGAGACGATCATGAAACAGCTGGACAGCATTGGTTTCACTGAGCGCACCGAAGATGTAACACCCAGAGCCCCCAAGCCACGACTGCAACCCACCCACCGCAAGGCTCCTTCCACCGGCATGCGCCCGACTCGACAAGTTCCTACCATTCGATCCCGCGAGGCCGCCGCAGCACTTGCCGCCCCGAGGCCCAGTTCCGCTCCTAGCAGAGCTGCTGCTGTCCCCAAGTCCCGAGTAGCGTCTGCAGCGTCTGCTTTGATGCAGAAGAAAACCCGAGTGCCGACCAATCCATCTTCCATGCGCAGCACTGCTGCTGCGGTCACCTCTAACACGACTGTCGGATTCTCCAAGGGTCGCAGTGTCTCAACAACCCTCCGTGAAACTGCTTCCGCACAGAAAGCCGCCAACACTGAGGCTTTGCTGTCCCCCGAGACCTACATGCAGCTCTACGGCATGCCGCCGCTGGACTCTGAGATGTGGATTCGCTGCAAGGCTGCTGGCTGCTTTGACACCGCGGAAGAGAGTGCTGCTCCTCAAGAATTTGAGGAACAGCTGCCGACTTTCGAGGAGGACGCAGAGGAGGATAACTTCCAGCTCACGCTGTAATCAGCTGGACTCTCAACTCACCGCCATGTCACATTATTACATTGGAATTATGAACTACCATTGAATCCTGGATTTGATTCTATTCTGTTTATTATCGTTGTTTACTTCTCTATCTTTGGGCTGGGTTTTGGCTGGATTATGACATCAATTTTGGGAGGGTGCAAATTGGAGAACTTGGCTGGTCAGGAGAACCTTGGAAACTATTATTGGCGTATCAGATGGAAATGAATATTCTCTTGCCTGTCGGAGGGTTTTTCAACCGCGGACCGTACTGTTTCAGGAATCCCCACTCCTTGTGAAGATCGCTCGGAGCCCAGGCCAGGTAGCCGCGGACGGAATGTGCCCTGAATGATGAACTGCACACAATATAGATTTTTTGAAGCCGGGAGCGAGAGACTGACTTGTACTCAATTCGCATGACAGATGATTGTCGTCAATTCTATAACAAGCTTATAGCAAAACGTGTTGTCCGGACTATTATTCTCGTAGTTCCAGACCGATCCTTGGAAGCCGCGTGGGCTCCGCCGCAGCCACCACCAAGCACTGAGCACTGAGCACTGAGCACTGAGCCAATTACCTCACCGCCCACCCCCGAACTGCCACGATATTATTATTTACTCCTTGGACTCTCCCTTTCAACTCCCCCTCCCCATCCCTCTCAAGTACCACCTCGCCGCCATGACGACCCCCCACCCGGAGTCCACTGAGGACTTTGAGTTCATTCAGACCCCGGATGCTCCCCAGCAGACCAAGCCCGCCTTCGATTGCGGTGTTCCGACCACCCTGGTAAGTAATTGAGCTAGCGCCCAAGCTCCTACCAAGCTCCCCCTCTCCCACCCCCCAAACGGCTTCCGAGACAAATGGAGCTCATCAATTGCCTCTAGTACCCGGCCATCAAGAATGCCCCCGTTCCCGCGGACTCGCCCGGTAGCGACAGCTTCTCCAATGGCTTGATGATCTTCCTGGTTATCGTGGTGCCTTGGTACCTGGCCCGCCAGGTTGGCGGTGGCTTCTACACCACCATCTTCTTTGCTATCTTCACCACCATCCCCGTTCTGATGGCTTTCTGGACCGTCTCTTCCTCCATCTCCCCCCGCAAGACCGAAAAGGCCAAGTACTGCGGCCGCCCTGTTGAGTACTACCTGCACTTCCACAGCGAGCACGACCGTGCTACCTACCGTGGCAAGAGCAAGATTCCCATGGAGGTCTTCTACGAGAAGTACTTCAACGGCGAGGTTGACTTCAAGGGTGATGCTCTGGAGGCTCTCGAGTACCGTCACGATTGGGCCAACTTCAAGTTCACCATGGGTCTCTTCAAGCACTTCCTGTTTGGCTTCATCCCTGAGATGCTGCTACACACTCGTTCCCAGGGTATGTCATACTGCTCCAACTACGTTTTCCCGGCATCAATGGTATACTAACACTGGAAATTCCAGACGAGGAGCAGGTTCGTGACCACTACGACCGCGGTGACGACTTCTACGCTTGGTTCCTTGGTCCCCGCATGATCTATACTTCCGGTATCATCAGCGACATCAACAAGGAGGAGACCCTCGAGGAGCTGCAGGACAACAAGCTGGCCGTCGTCTGTGAGAAGATTGGCATCCAGCCCGGTGACAAGATGCTCGACCTTGGCTGTGGCTGGGGTACTCTCGCTAAGTACGCCTCTGCTCACTACGGTGCTCACGTTACTGGTATTACCCTTGGTCGCAACCAGACTGCTTGGGGTAATAACGGTCTCCGCAAGGCTGGCATTGAGGAGTCTCAGAGCCGTATTGTCTGCTCCGACTACCGTGATTCTCCCCGCGTTGAAGGTGGCTACCAGAAGATTACCTGCCTGGAGATGGCCGAGCACGTCGGTGTCCGCCACTTCTCTACTTTCTTGTCTCAGGTCTACGACATGCTCGATGACGATGGTGTCTTCTTCTTGCAGATCGCTGGTCTCCGCAAGTCTTGGCAGTACGAGGACCTCATCTGGGGTCTGTTCATGAACAAGTACATCTTCCCCGGTGCTGATGCCTCTACTCCTCTTGGCTTCGTCGTCGATCGCCTTGAGGGTGCCGGCTTCGAGATCAAGGCCGTTGACACCATTGGTGTCCACTACTCTGCCACTCTCTGGCGCTGGTACCGGAACTGGATGGGCAACAAGGACAAGGTTGAGGCCAAGTACGGCAAGAGATGGTTCCGCGTAAGTTTGGCTGGTCTTACTCTAGACTCAAGATTTGCCAGTTACTGATTTCGTTCCATAGATCTGGGAGTACTTCCTTGCTTCTTCCACCATCACCTCCCGCCAGGGTGGTGCCACCTGCTGGCAGCTCACCCTCGTCAAGAACATCAACTCCACCCACCGTGTTGATGGCATCAAGACCCAGTTCGGTCTCACTGGTGCCCGTGAAGCTGCCATCGAGCACGCCAATGGCACCCTCCCCAAGGCCCACATCATCAAGAAGGACCTGTAAATGCCTGATCCGATTTTTCTCTCTTTCCCTCCGACCTTCAGTCCTATCTCACGGGATCTCTGAAGATCCAAGGGAACGAAATCTGTCAGAATTGATGCGGTGTGCCCTATGGATTCCACAGTCCACGTGGCTGTTAGCATGAACTTATCAGGACACGCACGTTACGAGTATGAACCGAAGTGAATAGATCGACGAACAAAAGTGTTAGGGTTGGATGTCCGAAGGGGGTCGATGGGTTATTATTGTTGGGGTCGAAGGTGGCTGAGCTGGATCTATCCCGATGTGGTATATGCTTATGCCCCGGCGGCGGCTTGTATCTGGTCTGGATTGGATACTTACGTCATGTCTTTCCTTGTATTCAATAGGATATGAATGTTATGGAATTGTCATAGATTATTATTTTTGTTGGTTTGCTCCAATCATAGTGATAGTCAATTGTATCGCCTTTTCATGTAGTGCGACTAGCGCACTCTTGCGCGCGAATCGTTTATTTATTTGGCTGCGAACCTTCGAGATTCTGGTAGGAGTTGCCCGCCCGCGTTATGTCTACCCGACCTCATACCATGGTCGTTGATTCTATCTCCTTGATCTATTATTTAGTCCTCTAGAAAGAATCGAAGAATAAACAGTCTATTATTAGTCTAAACCCCGTCACATTCACATATAAACAAGCCGGCAAGGAAGTCATCGATCGTCAATCATGTCAATAACGCAGAAACAATCAAAACAAAAGAACAAAAATATCAGACACAGAATTTCGAATATTGCAGAAACATTCTAATGTATGGTAACGGTCTTTGGGAGTCCGTTTCTTCTATGCCATACTTGGTTGACTGCCGTTGTACTCAGTCTTTTGCTCGAGTAGGATGGTGTCTTCCGCGGTCGATTGAGGCGAGCTTGCGCGCATCTGCTCAAAGCAATACCCGGGATGAGCGACACAGAGGACAACCACAGCCACAGCACACATCCTATATATCACTATGTTAGCGGAACCGACAGAAAGAGACAGTGTAGGGTGCCAACTTACGCAGACTCAAAAATGATGAATCCCACTTCGTCTTGCATGATCTTATTCCTCCAGCCACCTGACATCTCCGCAATACTAGCCATTTTGTGAGTATCAAATTCGAAAAAAAATCTAGAGCAGAAGAATGTACTTACCGGTAGACACAACGAGCAAAAGTAGTCATATACGAAACCACAATCCCAGCACAAAAGAACCAAAACAGCCTACTCTCCCAAACCCTCTGAGCCTCCGCAGAAAGCTGATACTTGGGCGTAGCCTTAACCCGAAGGAAAAATATCACCGAGAGACCTCCAAACACTAAAAGCGTAGCAACTTGCCACACAATTCCAGCCATCATGATGTTACTTCCCATCGCGCTGCCCTTGGGTGTGGTTGCGGTAGCTGCGAGACCACCACCGGCACCTTGCAAGGACAACGAGACGAGATCGCATGACACGAAGATGTAGGGGTACCATTTGGCTTTAAGAGGTGAGAATTTAGGGCCGAGGACGTTCACTTCGTGCTTGAGGGTTAGGTAAATGGCTGCGGACCAGAATGCGGGGGCCATTGTGAGTGTGCAGATCTGTGTTTCGAAGCCGGCGGAGGAATAAGCGTTATTGTGAAGCATTATGCGACCAATATAGCCTGGACAGAAGATTTCGAGTTAATATTGCTGTCTATTGTGGCATGCAATCTCGTCGGTTGGGTTATGCTTACCGATGACCTCGGATGAAGCTCCGAGAATAACGGCGATTCCGAAAGACCACATGCGCCATTTGATCATTTGAACGAGTTGTGTCAAGGCACACAGTCCGAAGATGATGCAGAATGCATAGCTTGCGACGATGTTGGGGGCGTAGCCGTAGATGGTCCCTGATACGGGGCAATCTGCGGTGACCTCTGTGCAGTCGGACATGGTTGCAGCAAAGGATCAGATTGTAGAAAATGAGTTGGAAATTGGAATTGCTGTGTGTTATGCTATTCTTTGCGGAAGAAGAGACGGGATGTGATTTATAGATTGCATCTTAATCTTATTCTGCTTCGTTTCCAAGAAATTTCCTCATTAGACTCGGCCCTAGGACATTTCAGCTCATCGGCAAAGTGAAGAGAACTGAACGCCACAAGGCTGAGCCAAGATCTACTAGGGGAGTCAAAGCTATAATTGAATGTTTCTTCGGCCGTAGGGCGACTTGTTGGGGTGTTCAGGCTGAACAGAACGAAGTACATAGCCCAGTACTGAAATTGGTCGAATTAAAATCTAAATTAAACTTCTCCAGTCCCACGGTTCTTCTTGGTTTCGATCTGGCCCGTCCATCTGTGGTCCAGATCCGCGGTAGTGCTGACTCAGATGGTCTTACGGCCGTACAGCCGAAGCGCAACAACCTTATCTCCATTATTCAAGGCTGCTAGATCTGTACGCGCTCAGGGGTTAGGAATAAATACGGCCGAAAGCAGGACATTGACTTTAAACTATATCAAGGGGTGTAATTAGAACATAAAATGCGGATCAGGAAGGTAGCATACATAAACGGCAGATAAACGACACGCTCTGCACAAACACAACAATTCAAATCAGTCAACTTCAAAATGTCTAACCGCGATTACTACGGCGATTATACTCCTGAGAACTTTGCTTCTCAAAACAATACTCAACAACCCAACTCCATGCAAAACTCTGAGTTCCTACCTAACCAGGTAAAATCGCCTTCATCCTGAGTAACTATTCAACTGTTCAACTACTGACCCTTTGGTGTTCTATAGAACCACGAGCAACAACTGGCTAACCAGGAATCCTTCAACCAACAAAATCAATGGAAGGATTTTGACCCGGCTACTTCTGAAATGCCGGAAGGCGAGCGGGGTCTTGGTGCAACAGTCATCGGTGGAGCAGGAGTAAGTACAGTACAAGAAAATAGGATGGAAGCGCAAAGCTAATGACCGTGTTCTTTTGATAGGGTGCATTTGTCGGGCATCACGTTGGCAAGAAGTCCGACCATGGCACATTGGGCACAGTGGGTGGTGCTTTAGCCGGAGCTGTTCTGGCTAATGTGGCATCCAAGGCCGTGAAAGGCAGTCACCATGGGCATGGATCTGGGCATGATCGTCGCCGGGAGAGACTTGAGAGGCGGCTGGATCGAATGGGGTGATCTGTACAGCATTTATAGATGTTATGAGAGATCTGTGGGATGTGATGACTGCTAGTTTATGTTTCATGTTTTAAGATTTCATTATGAGACTGTTCCATTTGTCTCCAATTTGACGACACTTATACCCTCATTGTTTATTCAAAGTTTAGTAAAAAATTCGCACAACTGAAGTATCGTTCTGGCATTCTAATTACCAAATTGAACAAACGCTATACACAGGGCCACTCCTTAATTACGCGGTGAGATCCTTTAGAGTTGGGCGACAAAAACGGGACCAAAGGAGTAAACCCCGGAATAGAGCTACATAGACGAGTAGAAGGAAATTACCGAAGCAGTTATTGAGTGGTCTAGGTTCTCTAAAACATAATCCGGAATTGTCTCAGTATGTACCCCTCGTATGTAAACAGGAAGATCTACAAGTATATTGAATTCTGCACAGTTTCCATCGAGAATATCATAATTTGAACCACTTCGTGGATACGATATGGTGACAGGGGCCACAAAGGGGCCCCCAAATAGTGGGAACAGCACAGAAATCTCTTGGAGCATTATCCATCCTTGGTATTGTCCATGCGACGCTAGCCATGTGTTCCGCTGCGGGCGTAGGAATATTGATTCCGGATGTCCTCCGTAGGTTTAGCGAAATCGCTGCGCATTATCCATTTCTATAATTGAACCGGAGAATCTTAAATTAGACAAGAGAACTAATTTTCAATGGCCGTACAGTCCCAACAAATGGAGCGATCGTCGTAAGGCTTGAAGTGTGATGTTTGGTGTGCCGCAGGACTTTACGGCCGTAATGTGGGCGCTCCGCCGCAAATGGAGGCTAAGCCAAAAGCTTGATTGCCTGCCGATCTCCAACTTAGATTTTTGAGTTCAGGGCAAGGGGCAGATATATTTGTTAGTTTTCGCTGGATTTTGATATTAAATCTCAAAGTCATCAAAGCGAATTGACCAAGAATTCAGAAGACAGCCATGATTGCCCACGAAGTTCTAGCCTGTCTCGAGCTGGCAATTTATGTTGGCCTTTTGGTTCCCACAACATTTTGTACGATTCATTATGCCCTCAAAGGACAGTTTGGATGGCTATATCTCCATGCTTTCGTTATCGGTACGTGATTTTTATCTGTTGAGCATGTTGCAAAAGCTGATCATTTCTAGCGAAAATCGCGGGCCCCGCAATCTTAATCAGTATAACTGAGCATTCTTCATCATCTTCCGGACTGCAAATCGCATCCCAGATTCTATATCAAATCGCCCTGGGCCCTCTTATGTCTGCGACACTATCTTTTGTCAACATCTCCTCCACGCCCGACGAAGACAAATATGAACACTCTTATTCTCCACTTGCTCCGCTCACACAGGGAGGAGGATCGTCCATGATTCTTCGTCTCGTTCATCCCATCATTATGGCTGGCTTGGTCCTTGGAATTATCGGTGGCATTCGCCGTATGCCAGACAGCGCCACTGGAATGATCAATCCGGACAAGTATGACCAAGGTGCAACTTTCATGAAGGCTTCAGGCGCGCTGTTCCTGGTCGCCTTTGTCGCCATCTGCTTTGGTGCGATCAGATTGTGGAAGCATCGGAAGGCGCTCGCAACTGTGTCTTATCACATCGTGACTGGCATGGTTGTCATTCTGCCTCTACTCTTCCTTCGGATTATATACTCCGTGTTGAATTCAGCCAATCTGGACACCACGGGCCACACGGGGCATACCAATAAGTATAACATCATGACTGGTAGCTGGGTGATTTACCTCATCCTGGGTCTGATTCCTCAGGCTACGATTATCACAATCTTTATTGCCAGCGGAGTCTTTGCGTGGATGAAAGTTCGCCGAGGCTCTGGAGTTTGAGATGGATTGGATGGAATGAATGGAATGAACCTCGGCGGTACCTCGGTTCTAGAGGACCTGAAAATTGAAGGCTCTAATGAGGGTTAAATTTCGACGAATTATTTCTTGTTTGTTTGTTTGTTTGTTTTTTTTTTGTATTACTTTTTTCTCCCAGTTTCTTCAGTTTTTAAGTTCTGGTTATCTAGTATTAGACAGTTTTGGAGTTCATAATCTAATGGAAAGCATGAATTTGACGAAAGTATTGAGGACCTGAGTACATGATTCCATTTAGATCTCGTATTAATTAGGAAATCATCGATAAAGTGCAGTGACTACTGGAAACTTCTCGGTTTTCAATCCGAGGAGAGGCTCGCTCGTTGGTGCGTTCCTCGAGCCGCATCTTGTTCATTTAACAAATTTACCAATAGTAAATCGGGGCCTCTCTAGAAAGTCCTGGGTTAAATGACGGCTCAAGGTGCCTGGTTCACCATGAAGGAAATAAAAAAGGCGGCTTCCAACTGGCATGCATGACCATCATGTTTGGGGGCGGGCCGATACAATCAATCAATTTAAGCCACTGATTGATCAAAATCATGGCGAGGCTGCCGATAAATTGACAAGATTGGTCTACATAGCGGTCTATTGGTATAAATTGCTAGATGAAAACACCGCACACTCACGTTAGAACAGGTTATTGCAGAGGGATTAAACTAACTGCTGGTAGATGTCTAATAGTTACAAGAAACAGGTCATTTCTATATCATTCCACCTCAAGAACCCACGCTCACGGTCGCCCTTTGGGTCAAGTGTCATCGTGATAATCGTGCCCAGACGCGCAAGATGTCCAGGATTGCCACAAGAAGTTCATACTGCATTCATGAACACTCCTTATTCATTTCAATCAAACTGCCTTTGGTTCTTTGCTTTCGGCGTCGGATACTGGAGCAATCGGTGCCTCCGATGACTCAAATAGCCCGCCACCAGAATGAGCAAGTTTCTCATCAAGCTTGGCCTTTTCTTCGTCAGTTGCATCTGTGAGATGAACGGCAACCTCTTCGCCGAAGTTCTGGGCAATTTCCTCTAGGGTCAAACGAGCAGTCTCCGGAAAGAAGAAGTAGATGACTGATATCACTGTCAATACATTGCTCAATAGGGGATCAAGGTGCTCCAGACTTACCGGGAACGAAGACCACCGACCAGCAGATAATAACAAGGTAGTATTTCCAGCCAGCATTATTGAAACCCATAGGGGCAGTTTCGAGGAGGATGAGAGTTGCTGTCCTGGGTTAGTCGTTTTCGGGTCGAGATGATTGATTGAGGAAACTCACCCGCAAACTGGCCGAACAACGAGAAGCCCATGCCAATGGGACGGATCTCGGTTGGGAATATTTCCGAGACATAAAGGTACATCGTCGTGTCACAGAAAGTGCTTTGTCGAGGTCAGCTCACGAGCTCCGCGAATCGACGATTGCTAACTCACCCTTGGAAAGCCAGGTAAAGGTAGATGAACAAGATGCCAAAGGCATTTCCAACCCTGTTGGTTGTTCCGGCGTACTCAGCGGTCATAGCAGCGAGGCACGACGTGGTAACGATGATTCCAATGAAGCCGGTGATGTACATGCCTCGGCGAGAGTTGACGCGATCGTGGAGCCAAGCACCCAGCGGATTGTAGATCAGGCCTATTTCAGAATTAACCTTTGAGACTAACGTAATAGCATATTCCTCAATCTTACCAGCCGTTGTCAGCCAGATAGCGCTCAGAAGCAAAGGCATACCGTCCTTCATACCAAGATTGGTGTACAAAAGAACAGCATAGTTATTCTGAGATAGCGTTAGTTTTACCCCAGAGAGCTAACGGGTTGTCAACTGACAATGATGAGAGGGCCACCAAACTCTGCTCCCCACTGTGTAAGGAACCCAATGATCATACGCTTGCGGTACGATTTCTTCTTGATGACAGCCACCCAGGGACTACCGTACTCTGTCATCTTTTCAGCCTCAAGGCGAATTTGCTCTTTAGTCTGGAAGAACTCTTCCTTGGCGGCAAGGTTGTCAGGGTCATCGGGGGATTCGCGCAGACGCTGAAGCACCTGCTGAGCCTCGTCAAGTTTTCCCTTGGAAATCAACCAACGAGGAGAGCGGGGAAGCCATGGGGAGCCGGAAAGCAGGACCAAGGGTGGAAGACATTGAAGAGCCAGAGGGAATCTCCAGCCAAACGCAGGAATATTCTCAGCGTAATAGCACGCGAAGCCCACCCATCCCGAAAGCATATATCCGAATACAAGGAATATCGCATGGTGGCCGACCAACCAGCCTCGACGCAAAGGGCTCGACATCTCCGAAAGGTACATTGGGCAAACGGTGACGAGAATTCCGATTCCGAGACCGCACAAGAACCTGCCAGCTTGGAACATACTACAAGATGATTAGTCAGAAGCAAGGCTCGAAGCATTTTTACATGTTTGAGGACATACTCTAGAGAATTCGCACCCGCTTGAAGAGCTCCACCAAAGAGAGCGAAAAATGCGCCCAATTGAATAGAAACCTTTCGGCCAAATTGGTCGCAAGCCCACATCATGAACAGGGTGCCGACTGCACCACCGCCACTGAAGACACCATTGGCAGTCGAGATGGCGGGTGTTGTGATAGCTGCGTAGCCAGGTTCACCCTCTGCGGGAAGATTGAAGTAACTATACCATCCTGGTTGGCCGATAGTACTGCCGATGATGGAAGCACAGTAGCCATAGGTCTGGTCGGGAACAAGGGGTCAGATCCTTTGGACTCAAGATGTGAAAACACATTTCGTATACTCACCATAGAACCAATGGCCACAAAAACGGTCACCAGCCTATTGTAGGTACTGGTCTGAGACCCGAACTTGTTCATGATGATTTGGCTCGACTTCACCTCTGTGAAGACCAGTTCTCAGTTTCGCACAGTGGGTTGGAACGATCCTGAGAGAATTGTTGGGATCGACTAGATATGACTGGATCTGCCTGTGAGCACACGTGGGAAAAAAAAAAGAACAAGCTCTTCTCGCGCTCAGACAGCAGAGGATATAAAGGATTTAGTCCATTTACAAGCAGGTGGAGTACGTAGCTCCACTTCAGTGTCATGGACAAACTTTGGTGGTGAGGAGAAGTAAAGAAACTCCTATGCCGATCATGACCAGGACTGCAGCCAAGAATGCACTATTAACGTACGACGTGTTTTGATTGGTTGATTGATTGATTGATTGATTGTTCATACTCGGATCTTTCGGGCTTTCCCCGAATTGCCGGCAGGACACCTTGGGGGCTGGGATACTCCTACATGATTTTTCTACGGTATTGGGCATACTCAACCCCAATCTAGATACATTTTGGTAACCCTGACTGGTCCTGAGTACCCTAATACCACCCGCACTGCAGCCCTCAACCCAATATCGTGGATGGCGATACCAATGGGTACAGTATTGTTATAGTAAGCTCCCGGTCACGCAAAGCTCCTCCCTAGCCATGTTCGTCGATCGGGTCCCCTTTCGCTGGCATCCTTAGGACACGTCGTTCCACCTATTATAACAATCACTCCCCTCCTGTAGTACGACGTGGTACGAGTAAGTCTCAGTAGATACTTCTTATTATTGCCTGGCTCCTCCTCTTCTTTATTTATTGATGTCGATTTGTCCATTGAGGAGGGAATTTGTAAGAACTAAGTGGGTTGGCTTGACTGTGGATCGTACCAGGGCCCGTGCTGCTGGAAGGGAGGTTCTGGTTTGTCATTTCGTTGCGAAACTACTGAATTATAACTATTGACATTATACATTGTATGACTACTATCCGCCCGTAGCCACTGTCGGTAGATACATTCATAGCCCCTCGGAGTTGGAAAGTCTGCCCGAAGCGACTTCGGGAAACCCCCCACGTTCGTGCCTGATTTTCATTCGTTTGAGTACAAAAGTACGGACTGCCTTAGATTCCGCAAATTGAGAGATTGTTGCTTTGCACCCTGGAATTGATCCCTTGTCTATACTTCTTTATCCCTCTGTCCGAAGTGGCCAGGTAGCTGAAGCAAACAATCATGGAACGGTCTCTATTTGACACTCCGTTTGATGAGCTACCCAATCCCAAACAAGTTTGGATGGGGAAGCCTGGTAGCCATGAGGAAGGTCTTGGGAAACTAGCTATCCTCACTCCCGAAGTTGTCGCAAAGGCTGCTGCCAGTGAGATCAAATGTGGTCGCCGAGTGACGATGAACTGGGAGATGACGAAGCTGGACTATCCTAATCTCAATCGTCAGCCCTGCAATCACCAGATTGTGCCTTTGCTGGGAGGAGTGGCATTTGATGATGTTTACAGTTTTAATCCCCGTAAGTTGACAATTTGGTAGCTAGATATCTTCTTGTCATTAATTGTTGACATTTTGATTGGTCGTGGTGTATAGAGCAAAGCAGCCAGTGGGACGGATTGAGGCACTTTAGCCAGACAGTGCCTGGTCAAACCGACCGCGTTTTCTATGGAGGTACAACTGTTGAGGAGATAAATGACCGTCAGAACGATCGCATCGGCCTTCAACATTGGGCAAAGGAGGGAATTGCAGGTAGGATTCCCTGATATTGGAAAAAGGATCCTTCTGATATACTCAGGATACTAAGAAATCCTTAACAGGTCGCGGAGTGCTGATTGACTATTTGTCCTGGTCTGAAAAGAAAGGAATCAAGTATAGCACGTTCTCGACGCATCAGGTCCGCCTCCAGGATATCATCGAGATTGCAAAGGAGAACAATATCACTTTCCAGAAAGGCGATATCCTTTTCGTCCGAATTGGTGTTACTAAGGAATGGGATACCATCATGACGGAGGCTCAAAAGAGAGAATATTCCGACAACCCCCGACCCGAGCACGCAGGAGTTGAAGCTACCACGGATGTCCTCCGCTGGCTCTGGGATACCGGTTTTTCGGCAATTGCAAGTGATGCTATCAGCTGGGAGGTAAGGTTTTGAGAGAAAATCTGTGGCTTCACCGGGTATCCCAACTAATGCATGATAGGTTTACCCCCCTCAATCCCCTGACATATTCCTTCATGAATATGTCCTGGCTGGCTGGGGATGCCCAATCGGTGAGTTAAGCGAGCTCAAAACCCATTTCCTCATATTCCAGTCAGCTAACGTGGGGTCAATTCAGGGGAACTCTTCGATCTAGAAGCATTGGCGCAAACCTGCCAAGAGCTCCGGCGATGGACGTTCTTTGTGACCTCAGTGCCGTTGAATATGCCAGGGGGAGTTTCATCTCCTCCAAACTGTTTGGCAATTTTCTAGCGATCCCCGGGCCTCCATCAAGTCTGTTACAATAGACGTTGTCAGTCATTACTTTCAATGGTGAGAAGCACTAGTATATAACCGGCCCCTTACAAATATTACCATATTTTAGTAGCCGAAGCTTCCCAAAATTCTGTCGGATTTTTGTACTCCGTACAAATTCTTCTTGTGTACTCGATCGACGGGAGGCGTAATTAGGAAATATCTCAGGCCGATCTAGGCCCCACTTGCTGAGGAGCGAAGGATGCACTATTCTGCACCCTTGATCTAGACTCGGAAAGCTTCCGATGTCAGGATATAGGAGTTCAATTGAAGGAGGACAAGGATTGGGATATATTTGAGCTAGAGCAGGTGCATGCCTATGACTGACTCATTTTGCTATCAAGATGTTTTCTATCTTTTGACAACTGATCAAAATATGAATCTCATTCGAGACTGACCGGAAGCGTGGATTTTACGTATTTTGACCTTTGACGCCAAAGTTTTCCTCATTTCCCCAACTATGCCCCCCACCCGAGCTCTCCCAAATTTTACTACTTTTGGACATAATACGAAATTTTAGCTCTAACCGTCAAAGGCAATATAGAAGCTTTCAGCGCATCGAATGGTACCGGGGGCGTTAAGAACCCACAACCCGCATCTTCCCGCGCATAGTGGAGTCCTATACCGAACCCTGGTCTGACCATTTGGCGGCCAACCCACAGAGTTTATTACGAAAGGATTATTGTTAGGTGAAGAGCCGAACTGATGGCAGCACGAGCGATGATATTTGCTATTTGCTGCATGGAATGATCGAAGGTCAACTTGTCAAGCATGTCGCGCAGTTCTACAACGGCTCCAATCTGAAGTGTCTCCGAATATGGATTTTCATAACTTCGTGTATACAAGGACATACTATAGAAGTTGGCCCTCGGTCTCACTTACTAAATTCTTTGTAGCCTACAGCCTTATTTTACTAGCGTTCGAATTCCTGGCAAGTAAAAAGTCAATTCTCGCATTATGTACTCCGTACACATAGTCTGACACCGGCAGCATGGCTACCTTCGGTAATATATACTTGGATGGGCGAATTACGTACCAAAGGAACACGGCAGCAAAAGTACAATCCACTGTAAAAAACAATACAAAATTTTGTAGGATCAAGCATAGTGGTTTGTAGCCACCAATCCTGCTCACGCTTCCCACCTTTCAGGAGAGCTAATGGTTGGCAGTTTCTCATCGGCCAGACTTTGTTCAATCTCGGTAATGAGAGGGCTGATCCCATGGTAGGGGACTGTAGAGGTCAAAGCTGCGACAATCCTTCTGCAGTTTTCTGAATGAAGTTTCTTTAGGGGAAATATTGGGAGAATAGCCATCAAAAGGCCTCGTTCCCTTGACTGCGGGTTTTCGCCTGGGTTTTTCGTGCGAGTCTCAAGAATTCACAAAGACATGCCAATATGCAGTTATCCTCGAGTTCAGTACTACTTGACGCCAGGGATGCATCGATTGACCGCAGTGTGCAGACTTGGAACTATGCGTGCCAGTCGTTGTGCATCATCGGCATGACCCTTTTCTTTGGCCTTCGAGTCTATACGCGTTGTTTTATTCTCAGTGGGTTTGGAAAAGAGGACTGTGAGTACACTATCCTCATCGTGAAGCGGCAGGCTTGTTAACTTTTCACAGGGCTATGTTCCGCAGCATGGTTCCTTGGAGTCTGTTATTCTATTATTGCCCTCATCAGTAAGTGGCCTGCAGGAGCCATACGAACCAGGTGCTAACTACTCAAATCCAGTGGGACATTACGGAGGAGGCTTACATTATTCTGATGTCGCTCCCGAAGATAGAATCTCATTCAATAAGGTATTTTCTCTGGTCCTATTCCAAGCACCATGCAAGGTATTCTAACAGAATAGACGGTCTATGTCACAATGGTCATGTACGGACCAACTGCCTACTTAACGAAGGTCCTGTTGCTCTGGATTATGGCTCGCGTTTTCAGCCCCTTCCGCAAAGCTGTCCTCGTCATCTACGGCTTCATGGCCCTTATGCTAGCCTACTACATCCCGGCCGTCATCGTGAAAGTCCGAATTTGCAATCCCATTTCCCTATTTTGGGACGTCAATGTTGAGGGAACATGCCTGGACGAGACGTCCATCATCCTTGCCGACGCAGTCGTCAGTTGTGTTAGCGACTTCATCATTCTTCTTCTTCCTCTGCCGTTGACTATGACTCTGCAGATGTCAAAGAAGAAGAAGATGAGAGTTATAGCAATTCTGGGTGCAGGCGGATTGGCCGTCGCAGCCAGTATCATCCGATTGGTGCTTATTGTATTGACGGGCCAATCCAAGGACGCAACCCTGGCTTTCATGAGAATCAATATGCTTGGGTAAGTCTTCTGGGCGGGGCCTTACATTACTGACTAGCGACAATTACCAGTATTCTGACTATTTACCCCTTTGGAATAGAAACGCCGAGATCGCGATAGGAGTGATTTGCACCTGTCTACCGGCCCTTTCCGCCCTCCTCAAGCGAGTCTTCCACGAATACTCCAGCGACAAGCATACCCACGAATCCGAATACAAGCTTAGTTCGATGAGAAATCAGACTAAGACAGAACGGAGCAAAATGCAGATGACCGTACAAGAAGCTGAGTCTGACGAGGATATGCTAGTGTCCAATGCACAGAGTAACCCGACGGAAACGACAATATACGGCGATGCCGAGGAACGTGGGTTCGCACATACTTCTACCGCTGGGGGCATTGGAATTACCAGAACGGTCAATGTCTCCACATCTGTTGAGCAGCGACTTCAATAAAGCTCAAGCTCTCTTTGACATTATCAGGTTCAAGATGAATTATCGCAAAAAAAAGATACACGAATTGCGCATTAATGTATATATTGTGTTGGCACTTGATGTCAAATTAAAAAGGGGGTTGGTAAGCGCCATATGACTGCCACATATAATCGTCTGAAACATCCAGGTTGCCATCATTAATTTGAGGGGGAAGATACTATCCCAGAGGTTCTGGTCATGAAATTAGCGGAGGTCCTCAGTAGAGCCACGGGGAAGAGACTGATGTCACTCACCCAGTCAATTTCCAGCATTTGCGCATCAATTTCCGCCATTCCGGGGCGCACATCATACTGTGAGGTAGACAAACTCTCGGTCGTGGCGCTTGCAGCATAGCTTTGGGGGTAAGTCGGCTGTAGCCTAGGATAATTATCGCCGTCGGGGTCCGATTCACCATATTGTACCCAAGGAGAGAAACTCTCTGATGAAGAGGCCCACGCACTAGCCGTATTCTCTATCGCCAAGGGGAACTCTGCGGGAACAAAGCCACTCTCTATTGTTAAAGTCGGAGGGAGAAGGGTCGTTCCGGTGTGCATATCCTCGGTGGAAACGGCGACATTGACTGGAGCGCTCTGGGTGTGGCTTTCGGGTTGTGGTATTGGTTCCCCGTGGGCGAAGTTAAGAGGCATGCGGGGATCTGAACTGTCGCCGTCCTTTTGAGGTGTGAGGACTATCATCGAGTCATTGAATTGCACGGGGTCCTTCAAACCCTTGGCTTTCCGGTACTCTTGCATTCGCACACACACCATGGTCAATAGGTACCTGGCCTTTATATCTCGATGAGCGATGATATCTTGAAGTGTTGGGTTGTTTGTCTGCAAGGGCGGTACATTTGCCAACGCCTCGCCGAAAATGAAATCGAAGCAGTGCCAAAGGCGATTGGCCTCTCGTCGCATTGGATAAGTGAAGACCTCAACAAGCAGGAGGAAAGCAGTGTGATACTGGTGGTAGGCGCCAAAATACCAGGCCCATTGCTTTAGGTCATCGGCTGATTCAAGTTCCACCGCGGCTTCGAGTGCATCCGTGCCTTTTGTCAAGACGATCTGACGTAGCCTATCAGGGATTCTGTAGGTCACTGAGTTGAGGTGCCTGTGTAGCATGATTAGGTAAAGATGGCCGATGAAAAGCTTCATCACCAAGTGCGCCATCCTTTGCACTGGGCTTGGAGTCGCTGTATTAAGGTACGACCCATATTTTGCATCCATCGAAAGACGAAATTCTTCAATTTTTGAAACGGCTTTAGTCAGGCTGAGCTTCTTCCGATCAACGCGGTTCCGCATGACCAGGCACTCTCGCTGCATTTCTTGACATTCAAACCGTATCGATGAGAATATTAGATCGTTCCATGTTGCTGGAGAACTTGGAGACTGGGGTGACCTTGCCGTCGAAACGTCGATCGGAAGCTGTGTCGTATAACCATCATGAGAGATGTAAGGTCGGGGCCCCTGGATCTCGCTTGTCTTGAGATCTAGGTAGCAAATTTGATACCAAACGAGTCGGCGGACGTGACATTCGATCGGCGAGAAGCCATATTCAGTGGGATCACGATGAAGTCCCATGCATTCTGCGATTCGGATCGCCATGCCGGTCAATACTGTATGCGCACGGGAGATCTCGTCTACACACATTGACAGCTGAACAAGGAGTTTAGTGTCAGCATATGGAATTCTTCGGATACTACCCAAATAATAAATTGTCAGGAAGACCTGAGATGACATACCAAGTAAGTCACAAATGCCTGCAGTGTCTCAAATTTTGTCGATTTGAGCAGCTGAGCTTTTGCGAGTGAACTTTCCACCCCGAATTTCAGCTGATTCTTCAGCTCCCCCGGTCAACTCGACAGGATTCCAGAACTTCTGCCTCAGACATGCTGACCACTGCCGAGAATAAAACAGCACAAATCAGCGCTGAAACTGACGGTACGACTAGATACTCATTCTCAACAGCTTCCCAAAGAGTTTCATAACGATGTGCAAATGACGGTCTGTGAAGGACTCGCGCCACGGGATGAACAGCGTCCCAGTATCTTTGGAGCAGCTTGTCTGCGATGTTGCGTGGAGGAATGTATTTCAACAAAGAGTCTTGTGCAAGAGGCTGGCCGAAGGCGAAGCCGAGCGAAGGCGCCGTAAAGGATGGTCCAGGCTTGAAGTTCTCGTTGGCTGGGATAGAAGGCACGATTGGGGAGACTGATGGAGTGCTTCGCTTTGAGAGATTTTGAAGAGAGGACATGATCTGGAACGACAGGATTAGCAACTTGAAAACCACCTTTTCACTTCTCTCATATTACCTCATCTGCAATTCTTGGCCGATACTGCCCTCCTATTCTCTCCCCAAGACGCATCCGCCCAATTCTAAAGCCCAGTTCTTCAATATCGTCGTCTACTTCGTCGCCATACGCAGCATCGTGCACTGCTAGCGGGGTAGGCTCAAGAAAATCCTCGTGTACTGAGCTATCAGACCCTTCGCTCTCGTCTTCAGGGTGCCTTGAACGCTTGCGACGTGCCACCCTCTTCCCTGATTGGAGGCTGGGCGTGCCAAGGGTTTCTCGAAAGCTACTGTCAATCTCATCCTTTGCCTCTTTCATCTGCACCAATCTCTGGCGAAACTGGGCGTCGCTGGTTGCGTTGCTGACATAGAGACATTCCTCGCCCAAGCTTTGACAGCTTTTGCATGGATTCTAACCGTTTCGTTAGGCAAGCTGCCGCACAATCAATCATCAGGGGGGCATAGTTACCCCTCGATCACATTTGAGCTTCCTCCGGCGACATTCTAGGCACGAGTGAATGACTCTGTTGCGGCGTCGAGCCTTCTCGCGGGGCTTCGGGGCCCCACCATCTGCTGACGAATGCGCGCTGTCGGGCGAAGCCCGTGGTTGCGCTTGAGTGTCACCAGGATGCGATGTGTTCCCTCTCATGGTGCGGTCTTAACAAGGTGTGAGAGACGGCGAATGTATGAGCAGTAATTTGCAATTTGCGACGAAGAGATATGCAGGGCAGAGAAAAAAAGCAAAATCGAGGGAACCAGCAGGCGTGATCAGGCTGAAGCTGGGGCTGAGCTTAACACTATTCCAGTCAAGCAAATGGTCGGCAGCAAAATCATCCAATGAGCGTGTCGCTGGGGCGCGTTTGGCCCCCAAACCCTCGTGGTATCCTGGCATGGGACCCTGTGGCTAAGGGATAGGGCGAGCGCCCCATGGACCTTGTTACTAGTTATCATTGTCAAGCGAAACCTTTGATTTGTATGGGCAAGGGCAAAGCTCGTGCGGATACCGTTTGCGTGTTCCATCGTCGACCTCAGCAGTTCATTCCACACAGCTTCCAGGTAGGGAGGTAGCAAGAGAGCGAGATAAGGATTGGAATATATCTGAACGCGATTTTCAAAGCCAGAATATCAAGTGTTAGGTTTGATTTAACTTCTCTATTCATAGTACTCTAATTCCTGCCTCAGGCAGTCACAGGTCACGGGATATAGTCGAAATTCCTGCTTAGTGGATCATACTGCGCACCAATAGGATATGAACAAGTCTGAATTGCTTTACCGCCCCTAGCTGGCAATTGATGTGGGCAAAATAATGACTAATCTTAGCGGATATACAGTATCTCCTTTCTCCGAGTATCCACCCATCCTGCTGCTCCGTCAGATATCGCAAGCATCACAGGTCCAGTCACGTGCGACGCCGCGCGAGAGTATCCCAATTGGGGATAGTCGCCTCCGATTTGCTATCAATCGCGGGGAAGTCATCGTGAATGTCGCACACATCATGACTTCCACCGCACTTCCTGCCCAGAAAAAGGGCCGGAGTCGACGTTCAGGTACACCATGGACTCGTGGTGGGTGTATCACTTGTAAATCCCGGCGCAAGGGTGGCTGCGATAGAGCAACCCCCAGGTAAGTGGCCCTCCGATAAGTCCATACGAGAAGAATAAAACTGACAGACCTAGCTGTAACAATTGTCTGAAGCTCGGCCGAGTGTGCGAGGGATATGATGATCTCTGGGTGGCACCACTGGGACCCTCAGCCCCAGTCTTCAAGTCGACTAGAGGTCCGAAGAGACAGAAACTCAATTCATCATCGCCATCGCAGCCACTATCGCCGTCATCATCCCCATCTTCAAGCGATTCCTGGCAGGATGTATGGCAAAATTCACAGCTATCTCCTCAGCCGATTACGCCAGGCTGGTCCATCCCGTCCTCTCCACAAGATCGAGTCAGAGATCTTGATGTGGATGTGGCCAGTCACGAGCAGAACTCAGGCGAACAGGACCGTCTTTCCGTGATCCCGAAACCTAAAGGCTTTTTGAGTCACTTATCCGGCCATGAGGCTCATTATTTGCAATACCATGAAGCCATGGCCTCTCAGCGTCTTGCGAACCTCGAAAGCGAGCACAATCCTCTCCGATCATTCCTCATCCCTCGCGCTATGTCTTCTCCTCTCCTGATGAAGGCAGTATGTGCAATCTCAGCAATGCATCTGTCAAATCGGACAGATAGCCTTGATGCGAAGACCGCGGCGATTGACTTTTATGGTCGAACACTGAGAGGACTACGCACTGTCATGGCGCAGTCTGTAACGGAGATCGTACCGGACGATGCCATCCTGGCCGTGGGCATGATGTGTAAATACGAAGTTGTCCGCGGTAGTGTGCAGCAGTGGGTTGTCCATCTTACCGCGCTGCATCGGCTTATCGCATCGCGTGGTGGACTAGGTTCGATGGAACCCGAGGCAGCACACTTTCTACGGGGATTGTATGTTCTCCGCATGTCAGACATTTTGAGTCCTTACTGACGAATCTTTCCAGATACGTGTATGCGTACAGCATGGGCCGAATCAGCAATCGGAAAAAGATCCTCGGCAGTCTCATCCTAGCTGATACGGACATGGAAGCTCCCAGACTTAGTATCTACCTCGGATTCACGGAAGATATTCTCAAAATATGTGCCTGTGTCGCAGAGCTACCATCACTCCAAGGCGATGATATCTCGCTACGATTATCGATTGCATCTATGTATGTTTCCCTCGTTCCTAACATCACGTACGCACGCCAATACTGACTGGCCACAGAAATGACTCCCTCCTCACCTGGACCCCCTCATCAGCCCGCTTGAACATCCCACAGGACCTCACACAATCCACTCTCATCCGCCTCAAGCTGGTCGCCGAATGTTTCCGCGACGCTGGCTTCATCTACCTACACTCTATCCTCGAACACATGAGTCGGGATACTTCGCCTCCCTGCAATGCCACCCCTCAACCACGAGGTCCCATCACCGAATGGTCAGCTCTAATCACCACGCCTAAACAAATCGCCATTGACCGCCTCCTCTCTCGAATCGAATCCTTCCCGCTAGACGACAACTGCGAATACTCAGCACTTACGTTCCCGTTGTTCATTGCCGGCGCTGAGAGTGACGTTTTCGAGCATAGAGACTTCGTGCTCCAGTCACTGGGTAAATTGCAAGAGAATTTTGGCATAGGCAATACCCTGCGTGCGAAGGATGTCCTTCGTATCCTGTGGGCAAGAAAAGATGCCATTGCCCAAGATCCATCCAAGAACGTGCACTGGATGGATGTTTTGGAGGAACTACAGTGGGAGTTGACTCTTGCATAGCTGTCTCCTTTCCCTGCTTTACGACTATGACCATGACGAACTGTACTTATAAAATCTGTTGTATTATACTTGATTAAAACGCAATGAGATACGTCCGAACAATCCGTAAGCTATCTGCATTTCCCAGGGGTATTTGAAACCATCGAGTAGCCCCGCTCAAAACAACACTGCAAAAAAAAAGGAAACGAGTCCCGAAAATATAGGAGAAGCAAGGAAGTGGATACACTGCAAAAACGGGGGTATGTGCGTAACAGCAAATTCGTATCACAGTCATTGTCAACTCAGAGCCATTTGCACTTCATCACTTAATCCCATCTCTCGTTCAGCACGTTCCGTTCCCCCCGCAGCCCGCGTACTCCACTTATCGTGACGGTCGTGCGAATTAGCCATGTCCTTCTCGCGTGTACTAGCACTATCGCTCGTCGCCAAACTTCCTTCCCGGACACTATACTGCGATGGCTTGCGAGAGCTTTGGATACTAATTGGTCGTGCGGGCGTACCCCGACCGCTTGCATCGCCGGTGGCTTCTGCGAAACTGGCGCCGGTTGTGCGGCCTGCGTCGATGGATGAGCTACCGCTGTTGGAGCGGTCTTTGCTCCCTTCTTTGCTACCGTCTTTGCTGCCGAACCAGCGTCGACGCCGTGTTTTCAAGGTTGTGTGAGGGGAGAGACTGTTGGTCTCGGGGTCAGACTCTTTTTTGTCATTTTCTTGCTCTTTATCTTGTTGTAGAGCTTGGGTGAGGTTGGAGATGGTTTCTGAGGGACCTTCTTGTTGGGTGTCTACCAGCTCGGCATCACGATACCACTTGCGCCGGCGTGTGTATCGGTCCCAACCGTCCTGTCCTCGACGGCCATCGGTCCACTAACATTAGTGAGTATGAATTCCTTGGTCAAAAGTTTAGAGTGAAACGAACCTTGTTGTCATAGTAGATCCATCCCTCACTCGGACCCTTGGAATCCGATTTTCCATTGCCCGAGTTATCACCCCCTTCAATCCGCCACTCACTGCCCTCAACCCAGCGCCATTTAGCATCCCCGGTTTGCACATCGGGCAACTCAAACTTATCCTTGGGTGGGACAGAGTTGAGATGCTCATCGGTCCAGGGCCCACGTTCGGCTGGGAATAGGGAATAGGTCCACCCAATACCGAGCCACCGGCGCTGGTTCTCGTATACCACAAATGTAAACCGCACGCCGGATGAGTTTCCACGTCTCCGAGTTGCAATATTCAAACCCTGTCCCTGGACCGCAGATTTCTGGCTGTTGTTCGGCCCGTCCGCTACGGACAACCCTGTGATCATAGAAACAAGTCGGCGCACAGCTCGCGAGCGCCATAGAATCACGCGCGAGACGCGAGCTGGCCTCGAATGGTAGGTGAGGATGATAGTTCCGACGCACATGACGACGCGCCGGATGGTGATTATGTAGAATGGAGGGAGGGTCAAGATGATCCAAACGGGCGTCACTAAAAGAATGCGAATGAACAGGGCTGTTAGGGCCGGACGGGTGGTTGCTGAGGTAGGTGTCCGCTGGGTAGATAGGAAATCGGTCAAATCGAGCAAAGGTTCAAGAAGAATATGGCACCGTGTTGTAAAAGTGCGCAGCGTCTCCACGATATCGTCCAAACTCTTCTGATGACGGGTAGTATCCGCCGACGCCTTGCGCCGATGCTTCTCGCCCGTTGACGTGGTCGACGACAGAGGCGAATAGCGACGGCCATACATGCCGAGAATCAACCCAACCACGACGAGTATCGGCCCCGCCCGGAGAATAATCGCCTCACTGTACAGAACCACCGTCCAAAAGGTGGCCACGAGCAAGAAGCTCTGCCATGGATCCCCCGTTGTCCATGTAAGAAGACCGACCAGGTTGTTCAGAGGGAGAAGGAAAGGATGCGAGTATGCGAGGGCCCTGGTGATGGCCGGCGGCGTTGCCACCAGCAGGGGAGATTTGCGATGCACAACCACACTAGAACGCTGCCGCGAGGTCAAGGCCGATCCTGCGATCGTGGAGGGGAGAGAAGGCTGCGATCGTGGGGGGTTGGGAGGAGTCGGCCTGGCCATCCTGCGGCTGCGATGCGGGTGCCATGGACATCCACGGAAGATCTTCTACTGGGAGCATGAGCAGGAGCTAGAACAACAGGCTCAGGAGAGGTATGAGGGGGGTGAGAGAGCATACCGAGAGCTGCCATCCAATTATGACGACGTCATAGGGATCGATGTCAGCTCATGAAGCTGGGAGGGCATTTCTTTATATATCGCTGGGAGCCTTAAGCGAGCTGATGAGAGAGGTTCGTCTCGGTCCAAAGAGATGATCTGCGGGGATGATCGGGGGGGGACATGTGACTCTCCGGAGGTACCCAGGCGTGGGTGTGATGCCGAGTAGAAACGGAGGTCCTCTTTTTTTCTATGGTAGAATGTCTGTCTTTTTTTCAGCTCTTCAGGAAGAGATAGACTATAATGATATTATAGTTCTGATTTGCAATATTGAGCAAGCTCAAACTATGCTTCCACTGTACTCTCTATGGGGTTGGCACACAGTCAAGACATACAAACAATCATTCACTCTTTATTGAAAGTCCACTAAAAATCTCATATGGAAAAGATCAAGACTACTAAATTTATTTTCTTCTATATACAATAAAACATCGTGACAGACAAGACCCCAGTCATCGCAAGACCCTTAAAAGGTTGGGGGTTCGGCATCAACCAGCATAGTTGTAGCTTGCAGCTCTCGCCGGCTCCCGACGCTAAAACGCGCCGGCCGAAATTTTCCCTTTCTTCCTCTTTCCACCTCCTTGTGATCATCGCCCTTGGACACCTCCACAACCCCCCCGTCGACATGGTAAGACTCCTCTGATCTTCAATTCTAACTCATCGCATATCCATCGCTCAAGTCAAAATTCTAATTCCCATCCTCCCCCAGGCTCACCGCATCGTCTCCCAAGTCATCGTCACCGGAGCCCGGGTCTTCGGCCGCGCCTTCACCGAAGCCTACAAACAAGCCCAGGCCTCTGGCAAATATGCTGCGCAGAAGAAGGGCGGTGGTAGCGCTTTCACCTCTTCCGGTCTGTCTCTCGACGAGGCCTGCAAGATCCTCAACGTCAAGTCCCCAGCCGGCGGCGAAGCCAGCCTCGAGCATGTTATGGAGCGGTTCAAGAAGTTGTTCGACCTGAACGATCCCCAGAAGGGTGGTAGTTTCTACCTGCAGAGCAAGATTCTGCGAGCACGCGAGCGTATAGAGATGGAGGTTCGCGAGGTGGAGCGCAAAGCCGCCACGGAGAAGGAATTGCGCGAGGGTTGGAATCCCAAGGTCTACAAGGACCAGTGAAGTGGCGGATACCCCGAAGTTGCGAACAACTCTGGATCTGATCGGTCTCGTCTTCACACCCTCTTTTCCTCTGATCGCGCCACGGCGATCATATCTGCTTGTGCGATTGAGCAGAGTCTCTGCGACAACTTTGCGGCGAACACCACCAGGCCGCCGAGTTCCTCTCGTCTTTTTGATTTGGCATAGCACGGCGTTTTTGGGTTCTTGCGGGAAAGAGGTCTTATTCCATTAGAGTGGGGGATTTTTCCTTGATCTCCAGGATCATTGTTTCCTCTTTGGCATGGGGAGCTGTCGCTCTCTTTTCGATGCGATTCCTCAGCCCTTTTAGACCTCCGGGTCTCTCTGTGTATACCATCTGCGTGTCCTTGTTTCCATGAGCCCTCGAAACCCTCCCCCCTTCTCCACTCTGATCTGGACCCGGAAAGGAAAATCTTGTACTATAGCTGTATACTTGCACATGTTTGAATGGCCTACCGATCGATTTTGACTGTTATCCTGGGCATCTGCCATATTGTAGTCTGTCCTGCAGTCTCCCCGTACTGCCGAGTCCAGACTTGCCTTGTTTTTTTGCCACCGCCGGTTCATCATCAATCGTCCAAAGTACCTTTTGACTTCCAGGAACACATCTTGGCCATGATTTCAAGACGCGGTCTTCAAAATCTCACCCGTCATCCTCCATCCGATCCTCCTCCCTGCGGAGATGTCTAGGATAGGCTCATCTGGCCAAAGGGTACCATCGGCCACAGCCATGGCGCCATCGGCAAGCGGAGCCCGGGATAACGTCTCGATTCCGATTTCCTGTTCGATCGCGATTCGATCTCGGGGAGAAGAAAACTTGTTCACCACCATGCTGACCAGGATGAATTGAACCTTCCCCAAAGAAGAATAAATCCTCTTCCTCGCCGTCTCTCCTTCCCTCACTCCCAGATTACCCATCCAACACCACCATCGCATTCTCCCCCACTTCTCCCGACAAAAAAAAACCATGCGGCCCTCCACCCCGCTGTCCGCGGACCTGCCCCCGCTGATAATGGGCACGGCAACATTCAACTCGCAATACAATGCAGACCCCTTCGCCCTCCCAACGACAGAACTCGTCCACCGCGCCCTCTCCCGAGGCATCCGCGCCTTCGATACATCCCCCTATTACGGCCCAGCCGAAGAACTCCTCGGCCGCGCCCTAGCCACCGACTTCGTCCAAACCAACTTCCCCCGCGACTCCTACCGACTCCTCACGAAAGTCGGCCGCGTCGCAGGATCCTCATTCGATTATTCGCCCGCCTGGGTCAAACACAGTGTACACCGCAGTCTGCGCCGTCTGCACACAGACTACCTAGACGTTGTATACTGCCACGATGTGGAATTCGTTTCGCCGGCGGAAGTTCTCGTCGCAGTGAAAGAACTGCGCCGACTCCGCGATGAAGAGGGTATCCTGCGGTACATCGGTATCTCAGGATACCCAGTCGACGTCCTATCATCGCTAGCCGAAATGATCCTCCACGAAACCGGCGAACCACTCGACATCGTCATGTCCTACGCCAACTACACCCTGCAAAATACCCGCCTGCGCTCACTAGCACTACCACGCCTCCTCGCCGCAGGCGTAGACATCGTCCCCAACGCCTCTCCACTCGGCATGGGCCTCCTCCGCCGCGACGGCGTCCCCATCGGATCAATGGGCGATTTCCATCCCGCGCCCAGCGCCCTCCGCACCGCCATCCACGCCGCAGCGCAATGCACCGCCCAAAGCGGCGAGAAACTCGAAGTTGTCGCGATCCGCTTCGCGCTAGAGTCGTGGCTGCGCGTTGGCGCGAAAGCAGGAGCCCTCGGTGCACCGCTTGCTCGGGCCGCGGACGCGGATCCGGGATTCCTGTCTGTGGCTAATATCGGGACGGGTCGGAGGTTGGGCGTTAGTGTGATGGGGGTGAGTAATGTTGCCGAGTTGGATGAGACGTTGCGCGTGTGGCATAGTATTCTGGATGGACTGGAGAGCTGGAACGAAGATGAGGAGGGGTGTGAGTTTGATTTTGAGAATCAGACGTTGGCACCTGATGGTCCCACGCCGGAGGCGGAGGGTAAAACCGACGGCGCGGTTGCGTCTTCGGCCTCGCATGCGCCTAATATTCTCACCCCCTCGGAGGGCCTGATTACTGATCGCGCGTGGTCGCATACCCGCCGCGCAAAGATCTTGCAGTTGGCCAAGGAAGTCCGCGACGTACTTGGTGCCGAATGGGTGGATTATACCTGGGCAAGTCCACCGGCAGACTTTAAGAACACCCTCTCGGACGAACATCTCGCCTCGATGAGGGTGATCACGGAAGAAGAGGCTGTGGGCGAGCTGGCGCTGCCTTCGCCCGCGGAATCTGTGCAGGACGAGCCGATGTTGACGCCGCCGCTGGATGCGGAGGCACAACTGGCATAGAGTGTTATTTTATTAGGGTTATAGAAAGTATTCTTGGCGGGAGGCCTGATGGTCATGCGGGGTTGGTTAACGTGGATTGTAGATATATACCTATCGTTGTCCTTGCGAGTGGTATTTGCGAATAGACAATCGGGACTGCACATAATAAATGCTTGCGTGACGATGATAGAGCACCTGATTCACGCCGTGAATAACCTTTGTATCAAATTAAGACTGACATACCGTTTCAAGTACTAAACTCTTGTGGACCTCTGGCAGTCGCACTTGCTTCAGCCACTCCTCTCCACCAAACAAAAGTCCCAGCCTAAAACCTCCGGTATCCTCTCCAAGAATTTGCATGTAGCACTTCCTTGATGAGAAAGGAGGAAAGGGAAGGGGGCGGGGGAGAGCAACAAGCAGCATTTAAAGCCAGCCAGGGCCGCGGAGGGGCGATCCCATAGATGCTGGGCCAGTTCCATTTCACTAAAGACAAAAACAGTAAATACCTTATCCATGTCCTGCTCGAGCGTTCAGCTGAAGGTACAGATAGGTTCGTCTCGGGATATCAAAGTAAGAGTCGTCAGATCTTCGTCTCCGTTAGGCAGACTTGATACGAGGCAGGAACGAGCCAGCATGTCATGATAGACCAACCGGAAACCGAGTTCATGGCGACACTTTCTTATCCTGGATGTAAGCAGTTAACCCCTTGGGGGGTTGGAACACTCATGCCCCATCGCTGGGCGAGGGGTCAAACAAAAAAAAAACACAGACCTTGGCGCGGAAACGTCAAGGCCACACTAAAAGCAAAATCCGCCCGCCAACACCAATCATCGTAAATGCTTTCCTCCATCTCCTGGCTCCATCGAAAAACTAACAGGGGGGGTATCGTACGCATAACCGACAACAGAAAGAGTACAGATGCAAAAGAACTCGTCGAGGTCATAAAGACTCCGCCAAGGCGGTGCAACGCTTCGTGCTTACGCTCGCACGCCTGGAGCAGAGCGCATGCTTCGAGGCCCGGTGGGAGGAGGAGGGGGAGGGGACTCTCCGACGGGAAGAGGGGGCGGTGGAGGAGGAGGCTGTCGGTACCTCGCAAACTGAGGAGCGGTATCGAAGACATGACGAAGCTGGTGTCTTTGTTCGATGTACTCATCGTAATTGGCGGCGATGATGGCTTCCAAGATACTGGCATCTTGGTTGTTGTCATTCATCCAGTCGACTCGGTCCTTGAGGCTCCAATACGCGTGGCGGAATGCTCTAAAAATCAAAGAGATTTCCTTGGTACCGCCGGAGATGTCGTTGGCGGAATTGTTCGGGTCCTCGATCGATAGACGATCTCTGTTCTCGAAGACCTGTAGAAGCAATGTGATTAAGCGGATGGATTTTCGTGCTTGGATCATGAGAGCAGACTTACCTTGTTGTAATACCCCGGAGGATTCATGCGAATGCCAGTGTTCTCAAAGTTAAAGACCCGCCCATAAAAGTGGAAAAAGTCCAGCAAGAGACTGCCAATGTTACGCTCCTGGTTTCTTGGCATGTGTTGAAGAAGGCTTGTCACAATACAGGTGATTGAGAATCCACCGAGACCACCCGTGGGAACTTCATTCAAGCCTCGAAGAAGCAGGAACTGCTTGATGACAGAAACAATGACGGGCATTGCAGGGTACTGTCCCTTCCACTCTTGGAAAGTTCTATTGGCGAGCAGACCACTATCATTGTCAAAGGACAGATCGACGCGCAGACCAGTCAATCTATCAACCCATTTAAGGATAGGCACTCGCGCACCTGCGATGGCCTCAACGGTGCCATCGACAGCGAGGCCCGAGGTCCTGACGAAGCCCGCAAACGCGTAAACCTGACCCTTTCTTTCACCAAACGCCCGGATACCTGTCTTCATGAAAGAGGTGGAGAGAAGGACGAGATCAATATCGGCAGTGGGAAGATACAATCCGGATGCAAAGGATCCGAATGCGTGAATCTGCACGCCAGAGTAGCGCTTCTGGAACGCTCGCTCGAGCCGATCCACGATATCTTGGCGGACAATCTGCTCAAAATGATGTGGCTTGACCCAGTTGTAGAACGCAAGGATCTCGTTGTGGAGTCTGGGCAGGTGTGAGCGCGGTGACTACGAGCTGCGACGGGAGAATGAGCTTACCTGGTCGCCACATTCAACGGGGTGACTGAGTTTATCCATGGTGTGGGGTTTTGGTCCTCCAGGGGCATCCAATCATCCAGAATCGATGCGTCCATCTTGAACCGTCGCAGTGGCTTTCCAGTCTTTGTGGTCAGCGGCTTGGGCAGGTCATCTCGAGTGCGCTTGCGAGACGCAGCAGCAGACTCTTTTATTTCCATCCCCTTGGGGCCCTTGGGTGCATTCTTAGGTGGTTGGTTCTCCGGCTTGGTATCGTCACCGACTGCGCCGAGTGAGATAAAGTCCACATTGTCGACGACGGCATCGTTCACTTTAGGTTGTGCGGGGGCAGCAGCGAGTCGCGCTTTCCTGATTAGTTTGACCACATCAACGCGCTTGTGTTGACTCTCATCTGGAGGAGGAAGCGAAGTGTAGGGATCAGGGTTGGACCACTTGGGCGCGGGAGGTGCGGGCGCAGGGATCGCTGCGAGTATGGGCTGGGCAGATTCGACGTTACCGTCCAAGGCAACAACACGCTTTTTCCGTGGACGCGCCTCAGACTCAGACTCCTCGTCATCAGAGAGATCCATTTCTGCTTCTTCGCTGTCACTTAGGTCATCGAGGGAAGCGAACTTCGGAGCAGGCTTGGGTCCCGTTTCAGGGAACAGCAGCTCCGGGGTTGCCTCCCTCATACCTCTCAACAATGGCCGTTCTGAGATTGGACGCGGTGGGGGACGAAATGTGAATTCTGGTTTCGAGTTTTGGCCACGAGGGCCTCTGGGAGGGCCATTCCCTCGGAACTGAAATGGAGGAGGCATATCCGAACGCGCACACTCGAGGCTGAGATGTCGGAGACGCGACAAGTGTAAAGAAGGCGAGACTTGGGTACACAGAAGATGATCCAAGATAGGATATATTTATATCGCGGTTGGGAAGGTTCAATCGCGCCCAAGAATAATTCAAAACAAGAGCACTGTGTATAGCAACAGGAAGGCGCACGTCGAATTGATTGGGTTGAAGTTTCCCCGAACGAAAAAAAGAAAGTGCCTACGGCAGAATTCCCACCACAAAAAAGGCGGACAGAAAATGCACCATGATGATTGGCTCTCTAACTACTACAATCTCACTGTTGATGCTGTTTTGCGTATTGCTGCAAGCCCTCCTCCAACATCTTCACCAAATCTTTCTGTACAGCCAGCTCTGCAAAACTAACACGCCCAGTAGCCCAGTCTAACAATTCTTCCGACCTTGCATTCTTTCCTCGAATCAATCCTGCACTTACATCAATCACAGTCGGCCGTCCATCATTATGCCAGAAGACCGTGGCACCACAACGGTCGCAGAACTCCCGATAGACCCCCGGTGAGCTCTTATATTGTCTCATCGTGCCATGACCGAATGTCAGAAGCGATCCATCTGCATTGAAAATGTTGGATTTCGGGATAAAGGCCCAGACTTGGACGGGAAAGCCACTGTGCAGTCGACAGGAAGCACAGACACAGGTTCCAGCTAGATATCTGGTGTTTCCTTTTCGCAGGAACCATTTCACATCGGCTGTGTTGTCCAGATCAGCATATCCTGAGTTGAAAGGGATCAACAGATCAGACCACTGGGACCAGGCCTGAGTGGAAGATTCATCTGGGGGCGTGATGAAGAATTCAACGCCTCCACAGTGGCATCGTGCCTGCACCTTGTTTGGGCCCTGCAAACTGTCCAAAGATTCTGGTAGTATATGGGATACAGAATCGCGTTGCTGTGCAGAAGGTTCGCCTGAAAGTGCCTCCAATCTGCAGCTTATGTCTGTGGATGGCCATTCGGGGAGATATGCACTCAGTCCACCATCACCCGTGTCACTGGCTTTCCAGTGCTGGATGGAGTGAACTGCTGGGGTATCTTCTGCTACTAATACCCCAGAGGCAACTAAATATCGGCCACTGGGTTTGGACTGGGCGAAGACATGAGCTCCACAGGCTCTACAGAAGAAGCGGCTCACATGCGGAGATTCCTGATACTCCTGGAGAGTATCTAAGCCAGGTGGCTTATCCTGCAGAAGATAATATGATGAGCAGAGTAGGCCTGTCACTTCCCGACAGCTGTGGCAGTGGCATAGCTGCAGCTGAGTGTGGTCACTGGTAGGGTCCAACAGGATGGACAGTGCCTTATCTCCACAAAGACAGGTAACCGAGGTAGCCATTGTAGTGGGTATTGCTGTGCAGTCAGCTCTGACAAAGACGATGCTGCGTTGATCGGAAGCCGGTTGAAGTATCCAGTACGGTCAAGAGCCTTGCAGACAGATTGTGTGTTGACTGTGTCACATAAGCTCTGGTAGTTAGTAATCGTGCGTCAGATAAATGTGCTCAGGCGGGGTAACCAGTGCAGAAATGTGCTCGTAGTTGCAACATGGGCCCTCTCAATGGCTCCTTGGGGGGCCACACAGGCCCAGTTAAGGCCAGCAACTTGGAGGGACTCCAGGTAAGACTGGCCAGTTCCCAACCTGGGAAGTCACGGGGCGGGCCGCCGTCTATAAGAGTTGTCGGAGCCCAAGAACATTCCCCCACCACCATCACCCATCACTCCACCACTTTCCTCCCTCCACAACTCCCACTACTACCACCAACCCAAGCCCTTTCAGCTCTTTCAAAAAAGAACCACTCTCAAATCAAAATGGGTAAGTCCACCACATCTGACCTACTACATCGGTCCTCAGTCAGCACCCTGCGCCTTCTATACCCGGGCGAGCATGGCCCTATCGCCATGGCTCATAGCGGGGTCATGGGCGGGGTTTCCATCAACCCCTCGTATTCCCGAGGCCACTTCAGCCTTCAATATCGCTGACGATTAATCCAGGTCCCGACCACACTTGCAGCTGCGGTGCCTCGTGCCAGTGCCCTGCCGGCGCTTGCCAGTGCCCCGTAAGTGATATATCCCCGTCTCTCCATCTTTATCGCATCCTGTTATCAAATCGTACTGTTGACTAACCAACCCTCCCCTGCTTTTCTTTCCTGGGTACAGAAGTAAACCAACCACTTCCACCACCAAGCGGTGCTTGCAGAGTACCAACGGGAATCATCAATCTCGTTAGCTGGTTTAGCTCTTTCCGATCGAGGTGCAGCTCGGGAGATATGCTGGTTGGATGATGTAACACATCAGCTGGATCGGAGCTGGAGGATGCAATTCTGAGGTTTCCGTTCCATTGCTCTTTTGCTTTTTTTTTCGCAGGAAAGATCAAGAAAATCAAACAAGTTGATCGACTGAGGTCAATATTGGCTATCTGCGGTTTCTGAGATACTTTTATTCCTCTTGTTTAGGTACCTTGGGGGCACTTGAACCGATCTTTGGGTCAGTAGAGTCAGTGGGGTGGCACTCTTGTGCAGTAGACGGCAGAGGCGGCATCCACGATCAAAGTAGAGCCTGCCACGATGATATTGCATCTGTATATGACCGACCCTTGCCCATAGCTGCGGGTAGCACCCAGATGATCCCGATCCCGGTATGTAATAATAGCTTCGATGATGATGATGTTCGTCACTGAAAGGTGAATGTCGATTTCAGCAAAATCGAAGTTTAAAAATAGTTCATGTCTGTTCCATAGGCATTCTCTGACTGAACTCAAGGCGTGAGATTTCGTTCCTGGAGAAACTCGAACCATGAAGAAGCCATCCAAAAGGAGTCACAGATTAAACATTAGGAAAGTGGAACTTCTTATATCAAGGCAAAACAAGGACCACTCTGGAGTATACTCTCCTCCGGGCCCTGGGCCGGTCATATCATCGCGATAGCCATGGATGAACCTTAAGCCCTGGGAAAACATCTATGACACTGAGAAAGCTACTTGCTTAAAGCCTTTTCAAGTATACCCAAGTAGGTATAGCCTCTTCTCTGTAGACCAATAGACCACTCCTTAGGTTTCAGAGCCTTGTTTTGACGGCCTTATAAACAGTCTTCCCAAAAGATACTCATCCTTTACTATCAGAAGTTGCGAGCCGTATTCTAGGTATGGTACAGGCATGCCGGTGACGGCCCTAATGCCTTCCTACTGTCGCATCACACGCGATAAAAACCAACCCTGATCCAGGACAACAACGCATCGGAGCTAATAGTCTGGGCGTGGAATCTGATCACCCTGGAACGAATTATAATCATTCAGCCTGCATATTCAGAGGGTCCGTGGTACACACAGGGTATGATATGCTCCGGTAGGTTCGAGCTATCATGCAGCTGGAGTCCACTTTGGCCACCCAAGTCTGGGCACCTTGCCCTGCTTGTAGTAGGAGTAAATCCAAGTACTACTGTAATGTTTTATGTACAGTTTGGGAGTCACGAGTTGGAGATCTATTCTGCATTAGGGAGTGGGTCAAATGCCCAACTCCGATCTTGGACCTGTGCGTTTGCACTTGGGTCCCGGTGAACACGGCCATCTTCCAAGCTCGAGTTATCAGATCTCAGCCAATCCGAGCTAGGCATACTGCTGAAATTAAACATTTGTCTACGTACATTTATGCATCTGATCCCGTTATACCCGATATTCCTCCCGTCACTCAGTAATATCCACCTTGCGTGTTATATCTAGTATTGATATACACCCTCTGATCTAGTAGCGATTAACCCTCGATAAACGAGACAACCCGCTCAAGATCCGAGCAAACCCATAGTTGAATATGCGACTCCACCTCAGCGGATTGAAACGACATGCACATCAAAATCCAGGACGCAGCACCCTGCCAATAGCGCTTCGCTGCCCCTCCTCCAAGGTCCTCAATCTGCCCCAAAACACCCGCACCCTCATAGGCTGCCACGACAAAATCTGCACCGCTCCTGGCGCCGAAAATAATTTCCTTCTGGAATACCCTTTCCCAGATGCCTGTCATGGATGCATCCTGCTACTGCTATGTACATGGCTGCGTACAATACGGAGTACATATGGATGTATGACTGTATCGACGAGGTAAATCAGGCCCGTTCCGAGGAGTGGATCTGGCGAACTCCAGCACGGAAAAAAGGCAGACCGAGTAGGGCTTCCGAAATATGGTTTCTGTCACTGTGGCATGACTAGTAGTAGTCCCTGTAGACCGGCTGAATTTCAGGCGAAGAATAGTAGTCTTAGGTGGGTGGTATGGTATGTTCAACGGATGTATACCTCTTCGTTCTCGATGGATATCGAGAAACTTCTTCTCACGGTTCACCAACGAAGAGAAACCCCGAGATGCCGATAAAGCCACGTAGCGCCATAAGGTAAGACCGGAGAACAACCTAGGTGTCAAAATACCTACCCGATATATCTCACTCCAGTAAGCTCCATCCACTTAGGCTGGTAAACAACGCATGCAGCGGGCCCACGCCCCACGAGTATGCCCTACCAAATAGCGCCGCTGGTATACTTCTCCTGTGCAGTGGAGGATAGGGAGAGGTCAATTACTACCTATTCTTCCGATCGGGGATAGCCACATACCCAGGTACGGTACCCAGGGCTCACGAAACAAACCAAACCCAGCCTGCCACAAAAGCCCACATCACCATCATCATCCACATAAACCTTACCACTCCGAGCATCGCCAGCATCGCAGATCTGCACCACGGCCCAGTCCGAAATCCGCAAGAAACCAGATCGGGACATACGCGCATACGGGCATACCACTGTAGTCTATAGGTAATGTACTGCTAGATTCCTTCCCCACCTTGCAGGCTCCGGCATACAGGCCTCGTCTAATGGTTGGACTCACCTAGCAAAAGAAACACCGTTACTGGGCACGGCGTCAGAGCTTGCCCTGTTGGTCGGGGCGGGTAGCGCGTGAGAAAAAGAGGGTGGAGATTGTCGGAGCTGGGAGGGGCAGAGCGTTATAGTTGCATGGGTCTTGGGTGCATTTGACTCGACCACGCGATGCTGATGGGGTTTGGGTTTTTTTTCCTGCTAGAGTGGGTGTTCTGATAGGATAGGGAGTGGCCAAGCATGGCAAGATATGCTACATCCGGAAAAGAAAATTGGAAAATCGGATGATGGCTGGTTACTTACTTGCTGTATACGTCAATAGCAGAAGAGGGGAAAGCAGCGAGAGGCTCGTGGGAGGAACCCTTTCCTCGAGGTATAAAATCAGCTTGTCATCCCCTTCGTAGAACTCCCTCGCTTTGATAGTCATCCAAGTCAGAACTACTTGAACAGAATCAACTATTCCTTTCGTGGTCTAATCCCATCACCAACAAACTAAAGTCACCATGTCTCCCTGCTCTTGCTCCTCCTGCTCCTGCAGCAACGACTGCAACGGCTGCTCTTGCTCTACCTGCGGTGTAAGCGTCCCTATCCTTTCAACTTCTACCACGACGCCTTGAAATGTTCTGATTTTGGTTCTACCAGCACTAAGCCAGCTCGTACGCCCGCGCCGCCGCCCTTCTCCAACACGCCGACGCATACTAGACCCGGTATCCCGCTGCTGTCGAATTAGTATAGCTTCGGAACTGGGAACTCCTCCTGTTAAGGGTGTGTCGAGTCGCCGTCGAAATGCCTGCCTGTTTGTACATTCTGGGTGGGAACGTTGGGGCTCTTGGGATGGGGTAGGGTTTCAGTCTTTTTGTTGCTGTACCCGAGTGTACGTCTGTGTCTCTATCGCTTCATGCCATGCGAGTATATATGAATTTCAATATGCATTGCCTTGCAATATAAAGTAAACGGTTGCTCTTTTGGTAGAGTGTAGATAGTGGGATGGATCGCTCCCTTCAAAGGAAAGCTGGGAAGCGTGGGTGTTATCTACAGTCCATTATCAGAGATGGCTTGGATGAGAAAACAATTCGCTTGAATTTACTTGGAAACCTCTAGGTGTACGCTGACAAGCACATAAACTCCAGGTATGGAGTATGCGGAAACTGAACAGAGAAAATAGACCAGTAGGCCTGGACGGAGTGCCAAATGATATATCAGAATCAACATCATAGCTCATCCTTCGAGCGAGGAGCATTGCCATCCTCGTCGCCACCAGGACAAACTGCCGGGGTAGTCACAAGCATGGAATAGACACACTTCTCATCTTCGGCCGTTTTCAAGATCTCATTCTCCTCACCACACTCCAGGACAACCTTGGTAGACCGGTTAGGTCCGTTCCAGCAGTGCTGGCCGCGGTCATACTCGATCGCAACCTTCTCAATCGAAACAATCTCGCCAGCCTCGTTGAGCTCCTCAACGACCGTGGAGCTGATTCGAGAGAACTTGCCCATGGAAGTGGAGGAGCCGCCTTTCTTGGATTTCTGCTTCGTATCTTCCAGGAAACAGTGCTCGTAGGTATACTCGCCTGCGTCCTTGGAGATGCATTGGCCCTTGAGGGCACGGAGAATACCTGCAGGGCCATAATCCTTCTCGAGATCGGCCCGTTGGTCGCGGAGCTTGTTCTTCAAGTCTCTCAGGGTGTCTTCCTGGGACTTGAGAGCGTCGCGCGCCTGGGTCACGGCCTTGGATTCTGAAGGAGAGTCCCCTTCGGGCTTGGCCAAGATGCCGCTGGATTCCAAGAAGGACCTTAAAGAGAGAACCTTGCCTTCAATGAACTCGACAAGAGATGGGGGAGATAAGCTGCAAGCTTGTATACTGTATTCCTGATTAGCTCACATACCTCGGCAAACCTAGGATACCAAGGTTTGAAACTCACCCAAGTCAGAGTCATTGCAGCCATCCTCTTCGTTCTCCCAGTGCTCCCAGTTGATTCCCGAGTCCTCACCATCAGCCTTGGCAATCTCATCCAAGTCACGGTCCCGCGCTTGATTGGCAATTTCTGTCTTTTCACGGGCGGCATAATCCTCCCAGCTGCGCACAGCACGCTTGACACCCTCATCGTTAAAGTTAGGGTTGTATTCAATCTTGAACTTGGACAGGACCTCCTCGAGTTCCTTCAACCGCGATTGAGTCTCGTCTCTCTGCTGACGAACCTCCAGCAGAGCCTCGCGAAGCTCATCAACTCGAGTCTTTGCGATACCTGCAAGAGCATTGATTTTGCCCTTGCCCTTGCCACTGGTCCGGACAACCTTGCGCTCCGCCTCCTCGACAGTCTTCAGTTCGGCTTCGAGAGCCTCCGCTTTAACCTCGGCACCCTTGATCTCGGCCTCCAGGAGGAGGACGTGGTCCTCAATTTCCTTCTGCTGACGCCCAGCATCCACCAGGAGAGCCTTCTTCTTCTTCAGCGCAGCAGTCATGGACTTTTGGCGCTGCTCTTCCTGCTTCCGCCATTGTTTGCCAATCTCCTTGCAGCGGTCCTCGCACTTGGTACCTCCGACGCGAGCCCATTCGTCACTTCCGTCACAGCATTGCTCATAATCACAAATTCCGTCGTTGACGCGCTGGAACGGCACGAATGATGGCCGGTGGCCCTTGTTTTTACAGTAGAATCCAGGCAATGCGGCCTCAATTTCTCCCTCGCTGTTTCCAAGCCGATCCGCGACCGTTAGGGGAGAGTTGTGTGAGAGATGCGAGCAAGCTGAAGTGCCGGGCTCGTCACTGCCATCCGGACAATCGCAGAAGTCATCGTTGACGGCGGAGAAGGGGATCTGGACGGAGGGATTCGAGATACAAGTGAACGTGTTTGAATCCTGATAGTACTTGGCAACTTTTAAGCCACATAATTAGTATAATGAAAGACTATCAATTGCAAGACAAAACCATTGATGTGTCATCACAGTCGTTGTCTGCCAGCTGTGGACACCTCATTGTCCGGGGGTGGGGATAACCAGCAGGGAATAAAAGTCACTCACATTCTGGGGCCACACCCCGAGGACGAGCAGTTTTGTCGCTGCTAGCTCGGGCTCCAGACCCGGCCACAGCCAGCAGAAGTAGCGACTGAGGAAGTCTCATGATTGAGGCATTGAGCTGGGGAGTGCGGAGAGAGCTTCCGGCCAGCTGTTGACATCCATGGATGCGGGATCTAATCGGACGCTGAGTCAGCGCGCTATCCTTAGTTATCGGGGGTGGTGGCAATAATCTGATCATCTGCGACACCATCTTCAACCAAGCAGCCAAGATGGGTAATGACGGTGGAAGGTGAGTTCTTACATTTCCTGACTGGCCCTATCACTCTTCAAGCATGTCGTACTGATTCAATCTTCCCCTTCAGCATCCCAACCCGCCGCGAGCTAGTCCGCGAAGCCGCACGCGCGCCCCACCACAGCGCAAATCAAAGAAGCCCAGCGCGAACAGCAAGAGCATAGCTGGACGACATGCCCCCTCTCACACAAGGCCTTAGCACGGCCGGTAGTCTCAGACAGTGTCGGAAATTTATACAATAAAGATGCTGTCCTACAGTTCTTACTCCCCGGCGACGATGGCGAGGGCATCAGCTCCAAGTCCGATTGCGAGGAGGTTCTGTGTGGACGGGTGAAAGGTCTACGCGATGTTGTCGAGCTGCATTTCGAAATCGACACCGAGCTTAGTGAGCACCCTTCGGATCGTGCTAATGCGCACCGCCATCAGCGCCGCGAGGGCTGGATCTGCCCGATTACTGCGAAGCCGTTAGGTCCTAGCGTGAAGTCGGTCTACCTGGTGCCGTGTGGGCATGTCTTCGCTGAGGAGGCTATCCGGCAGTTGAAGGGGGGACAAGTGTCTACAGGTGAGTAACTTGATACGCCTCTATAAATGTACCCGGCAGATATCTAACAAGTTTCTCTAGTGCAACGAGTCCTACACCGAGGACAATATCATCCCAATTCTCCCAACGAAAGAAGCCGATAAAGAGCGCCTCATGGCCCGAGGCGCCAAGCTCGCTGAGCAAGGTCTCACCCACTCCCTCAAGAAAGCCCCCGGGTCTAAAAAGCGCAAGAAGCATGCTACGGAAAGCTCGACGGATGTTCCCAGTACGGCCGTCGCCACTGGAACTACTGCTTCAGTCTCGAAATCAAATGGCGCGAGCAATGGTATTAAGAACTCTGCGACAGCCTCGCTCACTGCTCGTGTGCTGAACGAGGAAAATGAGAAAAAGAAGAAGCGAAAGATGATGGGTCATAACGAGAATATTGAAAGTTTGTACACGAAGGATAAAAAGGATGGTGCAAAGGCGGACTTTATGACTCGTGGATTCTCCATTCCCACTTCGGCGCGGAGATAGTCAAGTCTCTGGGAGGATTCTTGTTGATTGGTTTTGGGTGTTCATTTTGTGAATGTTTGGAGTTTATGGAGCAGCTTGTTACTTGGTTTTTTCCCTTCTAGCGGATGATGCCATCCCATGATAACCACGACGCATGCTCATATCTAACCCTGTACAATTCAAAGTTCATTCGTCTGAGAATTTTGGCTCTCTTTCCCACATCAATTATATAATATGGTAAATATTGTAGAATGACTTCTAGAATCCAATCACCTGGTTTGAGCAATAAATCCACAATGCAATTGAAAGTGCTTCTAGTATACACGAAAAATGTCTTGCTATCAAAACAAAGTGTCCCAAGTATATGAGCCACAAAGGAACCACGTCCCAGTTCCATTCCTCCACATCTTTACACAGGCCAGACACCCACGGCTGAAAGAATCATCATCGCGAATAGCGTCGTCCTATCCCTCCATCGGCGTCATCATTTCTCAAAACGGAATCCAGGATTGCTTGCACCACGAATGTTCAGCCCTCTGCGGTAGAACTCGGAGACAATAGCCTTCTTCCGGCCATGGTCCTCGTCGACCTGGCTCTTCGTCAGACGCTTCGGACTGAATTTGATGTTGGCCGGGAGCTGTCCGGCCGCAGCCTTCTTCCCGAAAACCTTGGTAACCTGAATAGGCTTCTCCTTCAGTTGAATCGACATTCCGGAGATGATTTCGCCAACGGTCCAGGATGAGGTGATAGCCTTGTCCGAGATGCGGCGACCGAGAAGCTGGGACAGTCGCTTGATGAACTGTAGAGGGTTGGGGTTAGCGAATTGCCTTCATATCTGTGAGAGAAGGGAGATGTACGGCAAACTTGACTTCTGGGTCGGCGAGCGACAGCGCGTGGTGTGTATCCTCCTTGCTAGGCTTGTCGGTGACCAGGCTTTCCGACGGCTCAACCTTGACTGTGGACTCTCCACCAATCTGGTTGAACACGAAAAGGAGCGCTTCCATGCTCTGTTGGCTCGAGAATCGGAGAGCACTGTTCCACTGCTGAGGGTTTGATCCATCGACATAGCAAGAGTCGAGCATCTGCAGGATTTGGGGGTTGTGCCGGGGAACATCGCAGCTGCTGGTCAAGGGCTTGCCCAGCATGCTCAGCAAACACAGTTCCACGGTGGTTTGGTGAAGAGCGTAAGGGATGGATCGGGACCTCACATCGGAGCCGTACCTGCAGTTGTGAATTGGTTAGATAAATTGAATTCGTGAATGTGATCAGGGGATCACGGGCTCCGGCAACGCGTTGATCCCTTAGATTGAGGTCCAAAACGAGGAATTACGTACGGAGCATATTTATCAGCCTTGCGTGTGCCCTCCTGAGTCCATTTGTCCTTCTGCAGGTAACCAATGGCCTCCAGCCCATCCCAGTTCTTTGCTTGCTCGTAATCCTCCGTTGGCAGAACCTCTGATTTGTCCGTCTCTGGCTTGGCCAGTCCATGCTCGGGCTCAACACCACGCGCAAGTTGCGACTCGCCAGTATATGGGTCTGCAGGGCCAGGCGGCTTCTCTGTGTTCCAGAGCTTGCGGCGGGTGCGCTCGAGGAAGGACGGGGAATCGGAGGATGCGTAGCGGCGGAATTGGCGGGTGATGGGGGAAACAGCTCGTGGTGCGACTTCCTGTCTGCAGTTTGAGCAGACATATAATGCCTCCCGGAAGGGGAGACGCAGGGCAGGTCGCATTGTGGTGGTGTGCTGCTGAGGATTTGAATGTACGGCAACTTTTGCGCGGCGAGGCAAATCTTTGGACATGTATCACGTGACCTTTACCTGTGAGAACGCGAGAGACCCTCTGTACCTTTCTTCCTCCTTTCACAGAAAACTTTGGCAATATGTGGAGTAATCCGGCTTGTTGAAAAATCCCAAGGCTACGGAAGAAGGTCAAAGGGTATCCAGGAGCAATGGGATACTGGGAGGTCCCTTCGGTCGCTTCATGGCCAGAAAAACTGCTTTAGTCAGTGCTTAGATCGACACGACGTCCATGGATACGTAAGATAAAGCGGAAACCATAGAGTTGAAGACTTTTTCTGCCTGTTAGGGATTCTGAATCTAATTTGATCTTTACATAAATTTGGCACTTCAAGACTGGAGCGACTGATCTAATTTCATGGCTTCCCTTATGTCGATTCGAGCAGACGTCGTCATCAGTATATTCGGCTTCCCTCGATCAATCTATAACCACAGTGAAGCACGTCAAGTGAGTTCTAGTGAGAATTGATGACCTACAAATATGTATTGGGAGCATTTTCGACGGGCTTAAACGGTCATTAAGTCTTAACCCCGCACAGTCATCTTCGGACTGCCTGCTTTGCGAATGTTTCCGGGTGTTCCGAATAGCCTCGCAGCCACCGCCCAGCCCCAGGCAAGGGGCGGAACGTCGCGTATTGGGAAAGAACACGGGAATTTGCCTGTGCCACAGACCTAATCATCAGAGAAACTGACTAGTCAAAAATTATATAAAGGTAGCTCTCCCATCTCACATTTATTCTGATTTAACTTCTGCTCTCTACCCGCCAATTCGCATTTCAGCACCACTCGCATCTTCGATAATGCCGTACGACACCAACACAACAGCCACAGAGCTAGTCCCCGATTATGCACCTCTCATTGAAGGAAAAACTATTCTTGTTACGGGGGTCTCTCCAGGATCACTAGGCAGCTCCTACATCCAATGCATCGCGAAAGCTAAGCCAGCATGCCTGATACTTGCTGGCCGGAGTGCCAATAAACTTGCAAAATGCGCCGAAGACATTCTCGCCACAGACCCCAATATCGAGATCAAGATTCTTGAGATTGATCTGAGCTCATTGAATAGTGCGCGCAAGGCTGCAGACCAAGTCAATGGCTGGGAGGACGTTCCTTCCATCGACGTACTGGTCAACAATGCCGGTATCATGGCGGTGGAATATCAGCTCTCGGCGGATGGATTCGAGTCACATTTTGCTACGAATCATCTGGGGCCATTTCTGTTCACGAATCTGATCATGAAGAAGATCCTTAAATCCGCGAGTCCCCGGGTAGTCATGGTTTCCAGTGATGGACACAGACTGAGTCCGATTAGGTTTTACGATTATAACTTTGATGTACGTTGGGATAGGATTTTTTTCCTATTTCCGAGACTTGGCGCTGATATTTGCTCATAGGGCGGCAAAACATACAACAAATGGACTGGTTACGGACAATCCAAGACTGCTAATATGTTGATGGCGCTGTCGCTGGCGAAGAAACTTGGCGTCAAGTATAACCTGCAAGCGTTTTCTCTGCACCCTGGTGCAATCTTGACAAATTTGAGTTCCCATCTGGATTGGAGCACTGACATGGACGGGCTTTGTAAGTGGTTGCACAATCTTGAGATAGATCAACTTTACTAACTCTGGATAGTGTCTGTCTACCGACAACTTGGTGAAAAACAGGGCTGGGAGGATCAAGGCTTTACCCTCAAAAATCTCGATCGGGGTACCGCAACACATATCTATGCTTCATTTGACCCTTCTCTTAAAGGTGTGTCATATTTGAACTGTTAGTGAAACTTCAAAAAGCTAATTCGAAATCCACAGCACATAACGGGGCGCATCTGGTCGACTCGCATATGGCGGATCCAATGGTGGATATCGTAAAGCCATGGGCCACAAATGACCTCGAAGCGGAAAAGCTTTGGGTGCTCAGCGAGAAACTGGTTGGCCAGGAATTTCCGTACTAGCGGCTGAACGGCGCTGGGGAGTCGCCGGGAGGTCTTCCTCCCGAACCCGTTCATATATGGCTGGAAGAAGACCAGCGTATCGTCTGGCCTCCCGGGAGGCGGTCAAAAGCGAGTTGGTGCAATCCATAGGAATTCATAGAGCTATTCCAATTATAGAAAACTTAATATCCAAAGCTTGAAATGTCCTCATGGCGAGTTCACATTCTTCGGCACGAACGGCACGACAAGATCATTGCAAGGATCGTGGGCCGCTAGTTGAGATGAGGAACTTGGCACGCTCTAACGCGGTAGAATCCTAGTAAGGAACTTCAATGATCGACAGGGTTTGGGCAGTTCAGTCCAGACCCTTTTCATGGAGATTAGAAATTAGCGCAAAACCTTGAATGGAAAGTAGAAGAAAAGATCTTTTGTGATACAAGAAGGTAGTAAGCAAGAGAATATAAGCAGTAAAGCATCCAGGGAGGTAATGGATATACCTCGTCAACAGACATCAACGGGGAGAATCATAGACTTGTATCATAAATAAGGATTTCCCTTAACATTTGATGAGAAGTAAGAGCAACCGTGTTTGCTGGTAAGGTAGTGGTACATCAGCAATAAGATTCAAGTGAGTTGAGTATCAGCCTTCAGTATTATATCAATAACCCAGTCAGATATAGCTTGGACCAGGGTCTGACACGGAGCTATTTGAGGCGCTTCAGGCCTGTAAATAACGTAGCTTCTGCAGCCATTGAATGCGACTTACGATCAATCAGTCGAAGTATGTGGGGTTGCTATCCGTGCGAATAGATTATGAAGATGGTCGAGAAGTCATGGGTGACCTTGAGGTTCAGAGATAGATAGTATTCTATACCATGCGATTAAAGACAGCCGGAGGAAGGTTGAAAATCAATCATTGTACGCGAAACGTATATACACATGCATCGCTCATATCATACTATAACATAGAAAAACAAAGTAATAAAGATGAAACCCCAGAACCAAAACGGCTTTTTTTACTCGCGAACAAACATACCGGCCATACCCATGCCAGTACCAATGCACATGCTGACCACACCAATATCCTGGCCGCTGCGCTCCAGCTCAGGCAGCAGATCAGCCAGCTGGCGGGCACCGGTAGCACCGAGAGGGTGACCGATAGCAATAGCACCACCGTTGGGATTGACCTTGGCCTGGTCAATTCCCAACTTACGGATACTGTACAGAGCCTGGGAAGCGAAAGCCTCGTTGATCTCCCAAACACCGACGTCCTCGACCTTCAGGCCAGTGGTCTCGAGCAGCTTGGGGATCGCAACGGCGGGACCAACACCCATCTCGTCGGGGGCGCAGCCTGCAATGGCGGTAGCGACCCAGCGCCCCTTGATGGAGCCGGACAGACCAAGCTCCTCGGCGGTGGAACGGCGCATCAGCAGAGCCGCGGCAGCACCGTCACTGACCTGCGAACTGTTACCGGCTGTGCTGGCGCCGTCGGCCGAGAAAGCAGGCTTGAGAGAGGCCATTTTCTCGACGGAGATGTTGTGGCGGATACCGTCGTCCTGGGCCACGGTGATCTCCTCGGGGGCAGCGTCGGGGTGCTCGGCGGAGAAAGACTTGGTCGTGACGGGGACGATCTCACTGTCAAAGCGGCCAGCCTTCTGGGCGGCAGACGCCTTGTGGTGCGACTCAGCGGCGAAAGTGTCTTGGTCAGCGCGGGAGATGCCGTAGCGCGAAGCGACGTTCTCGGAGGTAATACCCATGGGCATGATGCAGTCCCGTGCGTCCTTGGAGTAGGAGTCCTTCAGCTCGGGCCAGAGGACAGTGGGGATAGCGCGAGAGCCGTAGTTGCGAGTCATGGACTCCATACCACCACCGACACCGACGTTGATGGCCCCAGCACGGATGCCGTAAGAGACGGCGGTGATTGCGGCCAGACCGGACGAGCACTGGCGGTTGATCGTGTTGAAAGGCACCGAGTAAGGGAACCCGGCGTGGATCTGGGCCATACGGCCGGCCTTGGCGCCACCGAGCTCCTGCAGCACGGAACCGATGGTGACATCGTCGATCAGGGCCGGGTCGAGATTGGGGCTGGCCTTCAATGTGGCGCGAAGGACATGGGAGAGCAGTTCCTCCGGGTAGGCATCCTTGAAGCCGCCCTTCTTAGCGCGGGTGACGGGAGTTCGCAGAGACGACAGAATGACAATGTCGTTGGGCGTCTTCTGGAGCACCTGCTTGAGGCCACGGGGGATAGGCGAGGCCATGATTGCGAGTGAGTTTCTCGAGGGTTCGGAGAAATTTGTAGATATCGCCGAGCTGGCTGGGGTCTACTCGGTGGATTCTCGGCGGCGATTGCAATTGCGATGCTGTCGGCTGTCTGAAGGATGGATCTGGACTCGATCTGTACACTGTATACAATGACCGGGAGGATGAGAATGAGAGAAGAAAGAAAGAATCCAAAAAGACTAAAAGCAATTGCAAGCAACCCAAAATTCCCCAATCCTCTCCGCGGCAAGCGGATCTTAAAGGGAAATGCCGGGAGCAACCCCGGGTTTCGGATGTCGAGCCAGTTGGCCACTCCCGTCGTTCCTCTGGCGGAGGGCCCGGCATGGAATCTCGGTTAAGGGCTCTGCCGCAGGAGAATCAATAGAGTAGAGCAACTCGATGGGTCACTATACAGACCTATTTACAATATTATCAGACGAAAACACCTAGAAGATGAATATCATCCACAAATTATTGTCACTGATCTTAAAAGTCGCCTTCTAGAAGAAACAGTAGTATCCGACCAGTTTGCATCTCCCGTCTTTCCCCCACTGCGAGCCGACTCGGCTGCTTATGTCAGCTTCGGATCGGGAACTCGGGACCCAAGCCGAAGTGGTCGGGTCAATGTCAGTGTTATTGCTGAGACTGGAAGAAGATCTTGGGGCATTTGATAGCAGGAATTTCTAGATTTGATACTACTCCATAGAGATGTCCATCCTGTAGGCCCAAAACGGTAGGCTGTTGATCAGTGGGGGAGATATCTCAAAGGGCCAAGAAAGTGGATAAAGTCACGTGTTAGTTTCTATAGTTTCATTCTGGCCGGAAGGTCGAAATCAAAGATTTCGAATCAGGCCAAAAAAGGATATGTAGTTTTCAAGTGGAAGGCGTGGACTGCAAATTCTGTTATGTTATGCAAAAATACCCTTATATGCAGTCTAGACCAAGACTTCATCATCTATATAATCAGGATGATGTCAAATGACAACGCCTTAGAGCTGTTTCCTACTGTGGGAGACTGAAGATTCTTAAACCTAGAATGAGAAGTATGCATTACCATCAAACATAGTACTAGTTAAGTAATCATGGCAGTAAACGCTATTTGTAACCATCAAGGTCCCTGATTACCATGTCGCCTGATGACGTCATGAACAAAGACATTATGCGCATGGGGGGCAAACCTATAGTGAACTTTTGTTAACCTTATGAGACTACAAGTCAAAAGCTACACCTTGAATTGGGAACACCTAGAAATGGACAGTTCAGAGAAAAACACGAAAGCTGAGTCTACTGAACAAAAGCCTCTCAACCGGGAACCTTCAGCAAAGACCCTGGTCGATCAGTACGTTCAATATCGCAGGTTGTCAGATTTGATATTGCATGATACCCTGATAAGGTGTTCAAAAGACTCCAAGTTGACCTCTTCCTACAGTTTTCTCACTCCACAAAATACCAGCTACGACCGTAACCATGGCCCAATCCCACACATCAACGGCAAAGGCCACTCCGTCCGCATCGACGGTCTAGTCAAAAATCCACTTTCACTCACCTTGAACCAGCTACGTTCCGAATTCGCTCAACATGAAGTAACCTGTGTGCTCGAATGTGCCGGTAACAGGCGCCACACGATGCGCACACTTATGAAAGAAGTCCAGGGTATTGACTGGGGTGACGCGGCGATCATGAATTGCAAATGGAAGGGACCACGTCTTCGAGATGTTCTTCTCCATGCTGGTCTTTCTCTAGATTCTGCGAGTTCAGATCGACAGTTTCATGTAGCGTTTGCGTCTTATCAGGGAAAGTGTCAAGATGATGATTGGTTCGAGGTTAGTGTTCCGCTGGAGATATGTTTGCAGGAAGAGAGGGAGGCTGTCTTAGCACTCGAGGTGGGTGACTCGCTTGTGTATCTTTTGTACTCAATTGTTCTTGATAAAGTGTAGACTGACTGCCAACTCCAGGTCAATGACACCCCTCTGACCAGCAATCACGGGTACCCAGTGCGAGTTGTTCTTCCCGGTATCGTGGGTGTCCGATGGGTAAAATGGCTCGATCGTATCATAATTCAAGACCATGAGTCCCCCAATGTCTACCAACAACGCGACTACAAAATCCTCCCTCCGGATGCAGTCGACAGCGACTCCGCAGAAAAATATTGGCATTGTACTCCACCTATGTACGATATACCGATCAATTCTGCGATCGCGGTTCCCGCCGACGGCGAGGCCGTGACCTTATCTTCAACCGGTACAGTGGAAGTAAAGGGCTATGCAATTCCACAAGGCCCGAACGGGCCAGTAACTCATGTTCGGGTGTCAGGAGATGGCGGCGACTCGTGGGTCGACGCGAAGTTAGACGGCTCGGACCAGCATATGAAGTGGTGTTGGGTGTTGTGGATGGCTCAAGTTAGAATGACACCGGGCGTACCAAGAGAGATTCTGAGTTGCGCTACGGATGCAGGGTTTAATTCACAGGAGTGGGAGCATTCTCAGTGGACTTTGAGAGGGGTTGGGTATAGTGGATATGGTCGAGCAAGAAACTTGACGGTTGTTGAACGACAATATGGATAGAATAGCCGCCTTTGAACCAGCAAAATAAATTTACATATGGACAACAATGGATAGAGGTCTTCACAAAATCTGAATTTACCTCTACCTTTGACAATAATATAGACAACATCATGTCCTGAGCGCGCTCGCCCTCACTATACGCAACAAGGGAACTAGCTGATTCTGCGTATAATGTACAGTATAGGCCCAAAAGAAGGAAAAAAGGAAAGAAAGAAAGAAAGAAAGGCTAGGCCTCTTACAAGGGTATGGGCCCTCCTTTGAGATCTAGACATTTACTGGCTAATAAAGTCAGTCGTCATGATGCTCCCTACTGTCGGCATTTGTTGCCTGGAGTCCCTACCTGGATAGCCCGCGAAGCTGACGGGCGCGGCTGATGGTGAAAACACAGCACGGCAGGCAAACATCACGGGAGCACTGGACTTGGCGAATCAGATCCCAGCTGCTCGGTAGATCGTACCAGTTTTAGTGCTTGCGGCGTGGCGTTGCTTTTTCGGACCCTCACAGACCAAGCTTTGAACCATTCGACACTAGTATTTCACCCATATTGTTTTGGATCTCGTATAGGGTATACTCTACCGCAAGGACTATAGAATACTCGGCTATGGTGGTTTCTCTCAGTCATCGTGAGTGGGCATAAGCTCGCTACCTACCACTAAAACCCGACCCTGGATTAACAAGGGATCGATTTTCGTTCGTTATTTGGTGATTAAAGTGTTATGAGAATGGCTTTTGTTAGCAGACACCAGCCTCTCATTTTTTTCTGACTAGTATGTGAATGACGGCAAGGAATAAGAAGCGTCATTTGAATGACAAATAGGTAAAATAAAGTAACTTACATACTTCCGCTCGGCCTTAACGAGGGTTCTACTTTGCTCAAATTCTCGAATTGGCCCCAATGTCCATACTTTGAGATATAATCAGCGATGAAAATGGCAAAGATGGCAAGATCCCAGGGAGAGTCGTGAAGGGTACCGAAGTGGAGTCTGATCCCTGTCATATTACTCGGCATCCTATCCTATCATGCGATCCAGCATGTTTTTACACCCGACTCGTACTCGGCAATATAGACCCTTCGGCTTTATTGACTATTTCTACGATTTTCTTTGTATGCCGGCACTTGGCCATGCGGCTGAGTGTGTTGCCTCTCAGAGTGACTTGCCATGCAATGTTGAAATGCACGCGTTTGTTGGAGGGAGAACTGTGCAGAATCAGACAGGCTTATTTTCCTCGGATCTTTCACCTCCTGGGCGCTATGTTGTGGGGGCGTCGGCTGTTCATTCCTTCAGATCTATGACCAGAAAGCCGAGACGTGTCTGGTAGATTTCTTTTTCTTCAGATGATCAGTCTCAAGAACCCGCATTATTGAACTAGAACTTAATATAAGACTTCTCCAGCGATATGTTGATGCTTTCTTTGATCACATCAATTGTTATAACCTCGGCGACACGGTCGGAACCAACTACAATCCCAACATGATTTTGACAGAAATATCTCCTGGCCACGCTCGCCTAGTTCTGAGAGTTTATTTTTAATTTTCGTCGGGATCATCACATGGCTAGCCGATAGCATACTTCAATCGAGAGCTCAGCTGAAAATTATACGAAATGGCAGCATTCGCGTGCATAAGGCTCTTGGATGGTTACAGGGCTTCCAGCTGTTGAAATCGGTCTATGACCTCCGCCAGCTTCCTGGCGGTAGACTTGGCTACACCGTGATGGTGATTTTATTTGCACTGTCAAAAGTTACCGACTTATTAACAACAACATTTGTCGTGCAAGTGGAAGTCAACTCGCGGTGTCAATTTGGGGAAGGCCTGGTACTTAATACCACGGGCCCGTTCCTGACGGCTGCACCCCCATCGAATGGGATCCCATACATTGTCGCTCATAATGCACAGTACTTCAGCCTCAACAACACATGTCCTATCGGCATCTATGCAAAGGTTAATCGAGACATCACCTTCTGTCCGGACACACAAGATATTCTGGGCAGCTGGGTCTGTTCAACCGGCGACACCCGCACGTATACCCCAGGCTACAACCAGCTATCCCTGGCCGAGGACTTGATAAATCAAGGCTTGCTGTATCCCAATGCAACGTTCGAATATTCTGGCTTCGGTGGGGGCTATTATAATCATCTCGTGGCATGGAGCAGCTCGGCAGCTCTTTCGGGCAACGCCATCAACACTACCTGGGATGTACGTGCTGCGATTCAAACCAACGCATCCCCGTTCGACGACAACGTCACAATGCTTGGCATATCCTGCAGCATGACTGCTCCCCCTGTGGAGACAATTATCAGAGCGATGAACTCGACAGCTACCCTCGAGGGTTGGAAAGCGACCTTCCAGGGGTTGATGTACTACGGGACCGGTACACCGTGCGTTACCAATCCTGCCCTCGAGCTGGCTATCCTCCTCAATACTCTGACAATGGTCCAAGGAGGCGATAACATTCTTCTATCTATCCGAGCACCGAACGCGGATCAAACCCAGGGATGTATCGTTCCCGCAACTGATGTGCCCCCAGTTATCATGGCGCTTGTTCTCATCGTTGCCGGATCTTTTGTCTCACTGATCGTAGTTTTTCTCGTATATACTTGGCAAATGCGATTCACGCACCGCGGTTTGCAGCCGTCTATCAAGTACCTACCTGATGGAGTCATTGGATGGGCTGTGAAGGCTGCGCAGGAGCATCGAGACAGTCGTGAGCCGGACGATGGACAATATGCGAGAGTCCGGCGTCGAGAAATTAAGAATTGGCTCATTGGATACGAGGATGGGCAACCTAGACTAAGGATGCTCCAGCCTTATCGTTGATATAACCTGGTCTTTCTGTCAGTCACAGACACTGCCACGCAGATGGGTCGACTTGAAATGCATTGTCATATACCACCCACTATATCACAAATGTCACTCAAAATATTTAGTTCACCCGTTTTGTATTTCTATCTAGATAGCACCCTGATCAGCGCTTGTCCTCGTGTGTTGTGATGCTTGTTCCTCGCCGCTTTTCGGTTCGTCTGCATCGATCTCGATTCTTGTGTTTATCTGTTTCGAAATTCAATTCAAGGTGGAATATGAATCTGGCAGAGGGGTTCCAAGGCCTCCCTCTTGACCTTGAAGTGCTGAGTGGAGTATCGATACTACACAGCAACCTTCTCAGGCCCACGGATCCAGCTCGTCTCTGTCAAAGGCGGTCATAAATGACTTCTGCCGATTACTCAGTAGTATAACTTGTCTGACCTGACTCCACGGAAGAATTCAGTTGAATGTCAAACCTAAAAAACTAAACATATTCCTGTTTCGATCATGTCTTGGTCCTTGTGGAAAACAAGGACAGGAAAGGGGGTTAGCGGGTCCACGGTCCCCCACTTGATCGGCCACGTGCTGCCACGTGCATCTTAGAGTTGCATTTGTTGACATTCCAAAGAAAAGCCACGGAGGATAACGTGCTCAAATGAGTCCTTTCATGTGGATCTCACAAAAAGCTTGAGTGGCCATCAAGTACATATAAGCTCTGGTCTTGCAAATGTGGCGCTTCTCGAAGAAGCAGAACACTATATGATCCGAGTATTGTCCATTCTGTTAAACTCGATCGTACAGGCCCGCTCCCTTTCATTCACTCTTTCAACGGCCTTTGCCTCTCTGTCTCAACAATGTGGTGGTTCCAATCGCTGCTCTGGCTGGGTGCCGCTTCCACGGTAGTCGCTCAGTCTACGGAGGGCATTTCAAACCTTGTTCAGCGTCGACTGCCGAAACATGCTGACAGCTTTAGGTTTACTCTGGTGAATGCCACTCACGCTAACAGCACCCATGACGAGTACATCGTGAGCACCGCTGCCAATGGTACGGTTCTTGTACAGGGTAGCTCGCTGAGCGCACTGTCCTCGGGGTATGTATCATCCCCAACCTTCATCTGGCCTATATGCTGAATGATCATGAGTCTCCACCGATATCTCACCGATGTCGCCAATGTTGATATCTACTGGTACATCGGCAGTCAGCTTGACCTTGCACCCGCCCGACTGCCACGACTTAGCCTTCCCATCACGGGCTCCAGCACTGTGCCGTGGCGGTACCACTTTAATACCGGTCTGGGCCCCTACCGCTATGACGATTCGTTGTTTCCTGGCTAATATTCATCAGTGACCTTCTCCTATACCAGTGCTTTCTGGTCCTGGGAGGACTGGGAGCTACAGGTGGACTGGCTTGCCCTGCGTGGCGTTAACCTGGCTCTCGCCTGGGTTGGTGCGGAGAAGATCATGGTCGAAGTGTTCCGTGAGATTGGCCTCTCGGACGCTGAGATCGCCACTTTCATGAGTGGCCCAGCCTTCCAGTCTTGGAATCGATTCGGCAACATCCAGGGGTCCTGGGGCGGAGACCTACCAATGCAATGGATTGATGACCAGTTTGTCCTGCAGAAACAGATCGTGCGACGTATGGTGGAGCTAGGTATAACCCCGGTGCTCCCCGCATTCACCGGCTTTGTCCCTGATAATATTACCCGCGTTATGCCCAATGCTAGCGTGGTTCGAGGCTCCGCATGGTCTGGATTCGCTGAGCAGTATACCGACGACTCATTCCTCGAACCCTTCGATAGCCACTATACTGAGCTACAGAGTAGCTTTATCCACAAGCAACAAGCTGCGTACGGCAACGTGACCAATATCTACACTTTGGATCAGTATAACGAGAACAACCCTTTCTCGGGCGACCTCACCTACCTCACCAATGTTACACGAAACACCTGGCTCAGTATGAAACAAGCCGATCCGAAGGCCATCTGGATGATGCAGGGCTGGCTCTTCTACTCTAGCTCAAGCTTCTGGACCAACGAGCGTGTAGAGGCCTATCTTTCCGGTGTCGAAAACAACGAGGATATGTTGATTATTGACCTGTACTCGGAGTCAACCCCGGAATGGCAACGCACAAACTCTTACTTCGGCAAGCCCTGGATCTGGTGCCAGCTACACGACTTTGGAGGTAACATGGGCTTGTACGGACAGATCATGAATATTACCCAGGACGCGACCAACGCGCGTCTACAGTCTTCGTCAATGGTCGGTTATGGTCTGAGTATGGAAGGCCAGGAGGGTAACGAGATTGTCTACGACCTATTGCTAGACCAGGCCTGGTCATCCACCCCTATCGACACGGACGTGTACTTCCACGATTGGGTGACTAGCCGGTACACAGCCACAAAATCGATCCCGCGAGAGCTCTACATAGCCTGGGATATCATGCGCACAACGGTTTATAACAACACCGACCTTGTATCCGCAATTGCCGTCACCAAGTCCATCTTCGAACTCCAGCCCAACATCAAGGGTCTCCTCGGTAGAACTGGCCACCATCCCACGACTCTAAATTACAACCCATCAACCCTGGTTCATGCATGGCAACTGATGTACCAAGCCGCCAAAGCCGACAATTCCCTCTGGTCAAATCCATCTTTCGAGTATGACATGGTCGACGTGACACGCCAGGTAATGGCTAACGCTTTTATCCCCCTCTACTCGAACCTCATTTCAACCTACAACAGTAGCAAGTCATCCAGAGACGCCATTACAAACCAAGGTGCCAAGCTCGTCAATCTCCTTAATGATCTAGACAAAGTACTCCTCACAAACCCTCACTTCTGTCTGTCAACCTGGATCGACGCTGCTCGGTCTTGGTCCGGGGGCAATGCGAACTACTCCTCCTATCTGGAGTACAATGCTCGTAACCAGATTACACTCTGGGGGCCGCGGGGTGAAATCAGCGATTACGCATCCAAAACGTGGGGAGGTCTAGTTTCGACTTACTACGTACCCCGCTGGGAGAGGTTTGTTCACTACTTGGATTCGACGCCGGCTGCTTCGTATAATCAGACCGAGCTCAACGCTCAATTGTTGGATTTCGGTCTCAAGTGGAACAAACAGAGGTCGAATTTGCCTATGCCTTCGGGCGGTACGAATGATCTGAAGAAGGTGTTGGCTTATGTGCAGGGTCAGTGGCCTACCGTTTTCGGGGCTTGATTTGGAGTTGTTTGTAGTGGTGAGATTTTCTTCGAAATGGCTTGGATTGGTGGTGACAGCGGTCATACAATTAGGGTGGCAACTCGAGGGCCCAAATACTGTGACCATTTGCAAGTAATCTGTCCGAATGTACATACAAGTTCTATTCATAGGAAGCTATACCCTCAAAATTGGCCAAGTCTCTCAACAATGGAGAAACGATAGTGTCGAAGACACGCTCCTCGAATCTTTTCTCAAGACACAAAGCAGACCAGGACAAGCAACTATTAACTGCATCTGCATAATTTGTCCCACTCTCCATGTACACCATTCTTATGAGCCATGATGCGGCCTTGAATTTACTCACCAGTGTATCTTGATTCTCATCTTCCAGATTCAGCAATGTGTGGAGACGTTTGCCAAGTGACAGCTCCACCAGCGCAAGCCCCAGTGGCAATAGACGGTTACCCCCAATATCAGAATATTTAGTGTCGTTTAGTGGCCTCTGTATTGTTCTCGTGGTGGAGAGAGGCCATGACAGGTATAGACTTTCCAATAGCACATTGCCTCCGTCGCTGGCTGCCGCCAGATGGACATCAGAGCTGTCCCACCACGGTTTCAACCAATTCCCACAGAATTGGATCACACCACACGCTAGACTAGCAGCGATATATAGGCGGTCCCGCCGACTGATCTGCGACAGTACCTCGTGAAGCGGCCTTTGTGGAACAGGCTTCGGAAGTATCTTAACGGCACGCATCGTGTATTTACATGATGCGTCTAGCTCATTCGAAATGGAACCTATGCTTTCCTGCCTCCCAATCCTAGATTCGGCGAGACAAAGGGATGAGCAAAGGTCTTGTATTGCCGGAGCAGATAGCGCCTCTCGGCTTTGTTCTGCTGTTTTTAGTTCCTCCATGGCAGGGATATCAAATTGAACCCTGGGTCCTTTGATACCGTCAGACAGGGAGCGACTGGCAACTGTTACTATCTCTTCAATTCGCCAAGGCTCAAATACCACCTCTGTCCAAGTCCATAGGCATGTTGGACCCGCCTCATCTGTGTTGGAAAAGATCATTCGAAATTGGGGTTTGGCATCGAAGTCGCGATCAGAGAATTCGTCGATACTCTGCAAGGGATTGGTTTGCAGCTGAAGGTGGACGCAATGTTGCTCCTTACACTGACAGCGCCAGCAGCTTCCCCCAATAATTGCTTTAAATAGCCCCTCGGCATGCTTGCGGGCCTTTAGATAGCGTTTAAGAAGGTAGCTCCAGGTTTGCCGCCTTTTCTTTGTAACTTCCCGATGAACGGACTGGTCGACCAGAGTCTTGAGGATAGTATTGGTTCCGTCAATTTTCGCGAGGAGATCATCGTAGACTGCCTTGTTGATGATCTTTCGAAATTTCAATATGTTCCAAGTTTCGGGGCCAGGTGTCTGTTTGGAAAATAAAGTAAGTTACAGACTGACCAGACGATAGAAGTGACAACTGCTGACCTTTTCATCGGTTCCGTCAATCTCTAGCTTATGCGACAGATATTCCAGCAACTCAGAAAGACCAGTCATGTTTCCTATGAACACTTCGTAATTTCGGTCCAGCTTCCGGCGGAGTCGCTTTTGCAAGCCCGGTTCCTTCCACCCATCACCCCGTGGATCACAAATGAGCTCAGAAACTTGATCCTCATCATCGATCACACCTTCCAAGGCTTGTTCCAGCGTATTCAGCAAAATTGCATGCTGAGTACTGAGGCCTACTGAGTAGCCCTTCAATTCCCGTCTGTAGCGTCTCAGACCCTTGATCTTCTCTATGCCGCGGACGTAGGCATCGATCTGATTGACGAAGAGTGGTAGAATCGCAAGGGCAAGCCCAGCAGCCTCGATACCGGTGACCATGGCGGTTTCTGATCCACTAAGACCAGGTTTGCGGAAGAAAATTGCTTTCTTTCAGGTGGACAGCCTTGTTTACCCCGCCAGACTATACCCCGCACAAAAGCTGTGTGAAAGATTGCCTGACATCTCCTTCCTAGTAAACATCCCCGTACCTCGATATTGCCAGTGGCGTTGAAGCTTCAAGAGTAACCACGCAATGGCTACAATATCGGAGCTATTGCAGGTTTGTCTTGCCCAGTTTATCTCGTTAATCGATTCAGGCACGCTCTCCACTCACCGTGAGGTTCCGCTGCAAGAATGGAAGGACGAACTGGGGCGACTTCGCGTGTGGGCAGCGAATATCGGCGCTCATCAGACCCGACAATCCTCGCTAGATTATCGCCTCAGGGATGCTTCGCATATAAAGAGTCAGATAGTGAGGCTCTTGGAGCAAATCCAGGAACTACTCACTGACCTCAAGAATATCCTTGAGGAGGAACGTGGCGCCGAGGACCAGGAAAATAATGGGATTAATGATTTGGATGATTGGGGGGTCATTTCGGGAAGCGAGAACTCCACCACAGAGATCGAAGAAATTCACCAAGGCCTTGTTGAGACAATCATGCAACTTTACCAGATGTCCATGATCATCCGCAAACCAGCACAGCACGATCGACTGGTCGGAACAAGTAAACAGGATTCCGAGCCCTTCCAATTCTGGGCTAAGCAGCATATCTCCAACAAATATCCAAATGCAGATGCGCTAGCTATCGATCGCATCAGTTCTGCAATGGCGAGACAAAGGGCGATCTTGAAATACCGTGAACGACATCATACGAAATTAAGTCAGGGCATCGATTCTGGAGGTGATGGTAAATCGGCCATGCTATCAGAAACGGTGGTGACGGATTTGTTTGAGGAGATACCCGGCCAATTCAGTGACATAGTCTCTGATACTGGAGCATCTGAAACTTCATACGGAGGCACCTTGCTCGAGGGTACTGGTACAGACGCCCCCAAAATACCGCCCATACCGAAAAACGGCAGAGAACAGAGACCATTTGAGTGTCCCTATTGTTTTTACATCATCACGGCTCGAGACAAGAGAGCTTGGGCGCGCCATATATTCCGCGATTTGATGCCGTACGTCTGCATTATCCCGGGATGCTCGACACCCAGTAAGCTCTATGAGGGTCGCCGACAGTGGTATCATCATATTCGGGAAATACACGCCTCGACGTTGAGCACGGAGGGATTGTATGACTGCTCGATCTGTAGCCAAGGCGCTCTTTCAGTCGCCACATTTCAGCGACACGTGGGTCAACACCTGGAAGAGCTTGCGCTCTTTCTGATACCACCAACAGATACAGAGGATGATGAAGACGCAGTGACGGATGAGGAGAAAGGGACCAGGAGTATTGACGACAACCTTAGTGATGGATCTCTGGGCAGCTATGCAGGGGCACAGAATGTCGAGCAGCGCAATGATAGGAACCGTGCAGCAACATCAGCCTCCGAGTCTGATCATGGCGGTGATTATCGGTCGGGATGGCCGCACAATAAGAGCAAACATTATACATCCTCGGTCGGAACAAACTTGAGCGACAGAGAACCTTTAGAACTTCTGGAGTCCGACGTTGAGGACAAAAAAGCGCCCCTCTTCGCCGTCCTATATACGCGACGACAAGCTCGTTATGAAGCAGAAGCTCCCTGAAAAGATTGACTTCGCCGAGAATATGGAGATCCGGAAGCAGCAGCAGCAGATCGACAATTTAAGACGTGAGCTGGACAAACACCGCGGGCGGGCAGAGCCGCTTGATGCACGGAAATCACAAATACTACGGGAGGAAGAAGAGTGGTATGAAGATGAGATCAGTGACCGACTGCGTAACTTGGGGCGTTTGGAGCTCAACCGCGCCGAAAAGGAGCGGCGTGACGCAGAGAGACTCGAGGAGGGGGAGAAGGACGCAGCCCGGCTGGAGGGAATAAAGCGGACTGACAGCGGGGGGGACTTGAAGGTAAATACAAAGCTCGAGGCAGCAGAGCGCGAGAGGCTCTGGAGGAAAACTCTCGAGGAGGATCGCCGCACAGCGGCTGAGGTTGAGGACAAGAAGAAAAAGGAGCAAGTCATGAAAGCTGCTGCGATCGAGGAATGGAAGCAGGAGCAAGAGCGCAGACGGAAGGAAGAGACCGTACTGAAGGACAAGGAGTTCCGAGAGCGCCTACGCTCGGAGTTTGGGTATACTGAGGAAGAGATCGAGCATATGCTTAATAAGAAAACGAAGAAGACAGAGTGGGAGACAGACAAGAAGAAGGCAGACGAGGAGAAGACAGACCAAGGGAAGGCGACGTGGATCAAGGTATGCCGATATAGTGTCTTACAGGATTGGGGGTTGCTAGGCAATCAGGACACTAACTGGCTCAGGTCCACCGCAAGCACCTGCTCCCGGAGACCCTCCTAGCTTATAACTTACCCTGGGATTGGGATGAAGTGAGCAAAATTTCGACTAGAAATGATAGCACCATACTTTACTAACGGCTTATCTCTTTTTAGCACGACAGCCACTATATCATCATCAAGCGTTGGATCACGGAAGACTTCCAGGACGAGCTCTTCGCCCACACCCGCCGCATACGTGCGTCCAAGCTCGACACCCGAACTGGCAGCGACCTCTATAAGGACAAAATGTATACGGTGCAGAAGGGAAGCATTCCGCATGAATGATGATTCATGGAACCGAAAGTCGAGACAACGAAATATTTTATGTCTAGGTGTTTCCGCCTTAGTTGTCTTGTTGTGACAGCAAGACCTGGATATTCCGACTGTTCTAATAAATTCTTCGGTTTACGAAAACAAAACCTCTTGTCAACATTAGAAGACCCTTATAAATAATGATTATTTGCGACTGCGAAGTCGTCAACATTGTGAATCGAATTCGTCTATTGATCGGTATTAACGTCCTTTGGGCAAGAGGCTAGCTCTTTGCTCATGAGACACGTTATCTCTACGGGTTCCTCGGGGTTCCTCAACTACACCCCTAAACCCCATTCTCACATAGCACCCATAGAAGCACACAATCAGTTTTCCTGCGAGGGATATACCTAAACTGTTATTTCTAAATCCCACTCCTATCTCGCTCAATTTTTTGAGCCCGACACGCCCGTTCCGAGCCAAACAAAGAAACAGGTATTAGAATATCCCCCATCAAGCCTTCTCCTCAATTCCACCAGCAAAACCCTCGCCTATCTGCCTGAGCCAATTGAAATGCACACTCGGCCACCTAATAAATTCCCTCCTGTGCAGAGGCTGTCTCCACGCCTCCCAGGCAGGACCCCTGAGTTGAACAATGCCGACCAAATCGAGCGGTATCTCCACGAAGATGACCTTCATGCCTGGGGCTTTGTTATTTACCGGTGTACCTACCAGAGCAACACAGCCTGGGACGAGTTTATGTGTCGGCTACTCACCAATACTAAGGACACGCTAGAAGATGAGGGGGGCCTTGATTTACTTAATAATTTAGCCCTGACTGTTATTGAAGACCCTGGAAAGTTGGACGGGGCTACTACGGCTGTGATTCGGCCCCATTTTAAGCAGTGGGTGGTGACCCCGCAGTGCAACAAGAACAGAGTACTAGCCCAGGGCTGCTGTGGTCGCAACGATACAAGTACTGTCTTCAGATTACGCAGCATGTCTTAGACTCTGTTCTCACCGGCGAGAAGGAGGGGGGTTTGTGCGCCTTATTCGAAGAGACTGGGAGGAGTATGACCCGTACGATGAAGGGGAAAGGGTTGAGGAGGAGCAAGAGGCGATTGAAAGGTTTACTTTGGAAGATGTGGGGTGGATAAAGGTCCCGTTCGATGGTGTGATAGTTGTTCCTTGGTATTACTTACGTGGAGAGGGCTGGGAGACCGAGTATCGTCGTCCGCCCAAGATTGCGTGTTTCTAGTTTTGTCGTTTTCAGCACATATGATTCCCTATATCCTATCGTTGTAGCCGTCATGTTAACGCAAAATAAATTCTTAGCTTCAGCTACCTTGGGACAACCAGCAAACTCTCAACTAAGCTAGCTGTACTGAGTTTTAGCCGGTCAGGACAATTTGAAATCTTAAATACGACGAGGCCAAGAAAATATGAAATTGCCGCCTCCTAGACAGGGCTCATGGCAACCTTTGTTCCATTGGCACTAGACAACGCCAACAGCAATGCCTCCACAAAGGGTTCTGGATCACGAGGTTCAATTGCATTGAATTCCTGTAGAATCCGGACAATGGTGTATCCAGCCTCGGTCAATGAGAACTGTTGTCCAACGCAAGTCCGAGGGCCACCATTGAACGGAAGGTACGCCCAATCAGGCCGCAGATTTACCCATCTCTCTGGTCGGTACCCGTCTGCATCTGGTCCATAAAATTCAGGCAATCGATGCATAGTGTATACACTATATATGATCTCATGGCCTCTAGAAACATAGAGGGGTGCCTTTCCATCTAGGCCGCCACCAGCTGGCAGGAAAGTATCCTTGCTGGCCATGCGGAGATTAAAAGGGGCTGGCGGATATAGACGTAGAGCTTGATTCAATTTAGTCAAGCATAGAGTGATGTCTGACATAAGTGGCACGTACTTTCATTTAGAACCCATTTCAGGTAAGTCATCGATTTAAGATCTGATCACGTGCGTAACGAGTCCGTCATGGACATCGCACTCTGCAAGAAAATGGGTCCGACTGTTACGAGCGGTGCTCGCTGTTACTGGTATACCATTACCAAGCACAGGCACCACTGATGGAAGTCTTGCCATCGTTGTTCCTGAACAGATGCCAGACCTCGATTTCTTAGCAGCGAAGCAAAACCAGTCCTGACATGCCGTCGCTTCACGAGAGATTGTGTTCAATGATGGGGGAAGTTGCGACAGTCGACACAAGGTTGGCGAACCTAGGACTCAAGCCTGTAAAGCGCACCTGCCGCTCTCTATGCGTGATTTATTTAAAGACTAGACCCTATCGTGTAGCATCTACAGTGTTGATCCGATTGTGGGATCGTATTCCTTCAGATCTTTAATCACTAGACCTAGATTTTAATCATTGTAAAATTGCCTTTCCCTGTTGGCGTGGCTAGTCGATTGGATCAATCTATGGCGGTCGAGGTCTAACAGTATGGACTCTTACTAATAGACGGATATATATAGCTTCGGGTTGGGTCTAGAACAAGCTAGTCTGGTCAAAATTTTAATATCCAATCGGCTTGTATAATTAGCCCCTAGTGAGCTAGATAGTAGGGGTTCTTTATTTGCTTACCAAGATTAGTCCTTCTACTCCCGTCTTGTTCTAGAGGATATGCTCAGTAACGAAGAAAGGAAGAGAATTACTAGCGCGCTACAGGAACAGCATATATAGACTTACCCTCGTCCATTTTATATTCCTCCCTAATTACCTTCTAAGAATTCCTCCTATCATCTTTAAATTTCAAATTCTCTCGTTATATTAAAGTACACGGCTCTGCGCCCACTTCTACCCTCGATACCGGAGGACCATATACATCAATCTAGAGAAATAGCACCGTTGAAGAAGGGCAGGACATCGCTTGCTTGTAACGAATGTCGAAATAGGCGAACTAAGATAGGTTATATTTATATTTAGCAAGCTAAATAGCTGATTTTACTAGTGCTCGGGTTCGTTTCCTTATACGAGATACGTAGTAGAAGTATATCAGTGTATTTTCGACCCGGAAAGCGATCGAAGACGGAAATTCTATACCGTGAAACTTGAGGAATCCCAGGTTGCTCTTCAACGAGTAGTGGCTACACTACGTTCTAGGTCCTCTAATCAGATTTCGCGTTTTATATCGGAGATCTAAGGCTTTCAAACGATTCAAGAAACAGTTGTTCACGTCATTAGAACGGCGAGAGAGACTATATAAGGTACTCGGGGTTTTTGAATCTTTAAAGCAGTCAAAGTGAAAATATATCACGCACCTACGATTGTGGATTCGTTACCTTTGACCCTCCCAATATCTTAGAACTACTAGGCAATATTCTGCGATATATGCCCGATATATAGCCTCAAGTTTGGATTCCTAAGTGTATGATTTATTCATCAGAGTCAGTACCTCCCTTCAATTGGTAAAGCTCTGAAATGCCTTGAAACGAACGTAGTGAGAGGAAGGGAACTAATCAACGAGCATGTACGTACGCGTCCGCAAAAAGAAGGTGCTTCTCTACGTAGAGACCTTGCTGCCACGCACGTTACTTATTCGCCCGTCCATTTCCTATTTAGTCAAGGCTTTTCTTGGCCTTTAGGGTTCTAGGGCTTTTCCTACATATATATGCACGTTCTGCTTCTTTGATTGCTTCGACGGCTGCTCCTCGTTGCTCTTTTTATCCCGACGCTCTGCGACGTATTACCACTCTTTGCTTTGCTACTTTTTTCCTCTGCTCACTTTAGCCCTCTACATTCTTATAGTGCGATAAGCCTCCACAATGCTAGCACATCGTTCTTGTCATCATTGCGGTCTTCGCGTCCGTCTGTCCGTAACTATTCATCCTCCACGGTGCCCTGCTTGTCACCTGGCACATTTGCCCGTTCTACTCGAGACACGACCGTGTTTGGCATGTCCTACTCAGCTCCCTACAAGCTCTTCTACCCGCCTTTGTAGGAGATGCCAGCTCACACATTCTTCTTGTCTCGGCTATGGGAATCTTTTCCCCTGCTTGCCCCGGCGTATCTCGCTGTTTCCGTTGCAGACCTACAATGTCTCGGTCCGTTACACCATCTACTGATTTCGGTGACTTATTCACAACTTCCTTTAACCCTTTCGTTAATTCATTTCAACTATCGAATTCTTCGTCACACCGGAGTCGTTTCCCTCGGCCCCGACTAGTCCGCCGTGCGCAGAGGGCGTCAGAGTCGCCTACTAGTTCCTCCGTTGTCAGTCAAAGACTTAGCCTCCTCTACCAGGAATACGTATCTCGTCTCAATGCCTCGAATGTGTTCTCACCTGAGACCTCTCCTTCTCAGGTTCGCTTATCTGTGTCTCGTTTTGAGAAGACCATAGCACTTGCCACCGCTGATTCTATCTGCTCTTCTTGCGGCATGTTTGTTCCTAATACTGATATACGTCGGTTTCTTGATAGAGATCCCCTACTGCGTTCACTAGAGGGGTTTCTCGATAGCTGCGGTCGTAGCGACAGCTTCTGGAATCTCTGCTCGATATGCCATGTTGTGCTCCTTCGAGGATCAGTTCCGAAATTCTCCGCTAAGAACAATTTTAATGTGGCTCTTTGCCAGCACTACTCAGACGCCCTCAAAGACCTCACCCTAACCGAAGAATATCTTATCGCTAATCCTACCCTGTCGGCGTGCTCGTGAAGTTACGGCCAGGGGGCCACACTTCGCCAGTAAACTACCGGACGTTACGCGGCCATTTTATCGTTATACCACAAGACCCAAAACCTCTCCTTCGAATTTTGCCAAGTCCTGCGCTACGTTTTGCAGAGCTTATTAAAGTCTTCTGGCTCGGTAAAATTCCCCCAACCGACGCTGATCTGCAGCCATTTTTCACTGTTCGCAAGCTTGCCTAGCTTTACATTATGTGTGATATACTACACGAGGCTCTGATGGGTGCGAAACCTCAACTGACAGGACGGGTGTGAACATACAGCCCGAGATATATTTCTTAACCGGGGAGTAGCTTAGAAAAGAGCATTATAACAGGACTAGGTCTAATTATACCATTATCCAGGAAGATATTCATCACACGGAGACAGATTTACCTGGATTTTACTAGCTACGGTTTCTTCAATATTTGAGCAGTAAAATATAGATTGGCTCATACTGAAATCTAACACATACGACCACAGGGTGTGGAGAACAGGGCTTCCCGTCCGCTCAGCGGGTACAAGAGAAAGCAAGTCTAGCTAACTCTACAGTCGGGTACTTGTTCCTCTCCTCGAGACTGTTCTATAATTCTTGGAATACCATGCCACATATCTTTCAAGCTTCAGCAATCGAATGCCGACAGTAGGCATTTGTAAGCAATCGCTATAGTCCAAAATCGGCCTCTCGAGCAACTAATGGCAAACTTTGCAATGTCGTTGGATATGACCATATCCGATACCAAGCCGCTCGTGCTATCGTTCGGTCGATATTCTGGAGGCAGCCAGAGGAACTTATGGTCTCGCCAAGTGATCCAAGTACTGCTTAGATCAAAGCCTCCCGCATACTTGGTGGACTCTCCCGTATACTTGTCGGACTTAGGATGATTGGGGTTTTTGGGCAGAGACAAGGACTGCCCGAAATCAAAACTGCCCACATCTGTATGCAGAATAGGCAATCTGGCATTTGTCTTTTCATATCGCAGACTGCCGGGCTTAGCGACCAACGTATTGGTTGGTTGTCCGGGCGTCAAATCCCAGATGTACAATGCGCCTTTCGTAGACCATCCACATACGAGGCGAGCTCCGTCCATCGACCAAAATGGATATGACGGAATCACAAAATCTTGAATCTGCAGGACTTCGATCTGACCGGTAGCTGGATCGCAGACCGTCACTGTCAATCCAGAGGACGTCCATAATGCAAGTCGTCTTCCGTCCGGTGACCAGGCGACGTGCTCGAGACCGTTGCTGTGACCCTCAAGGACTACTTCCCGCTCGCCGGTCACGTCCCAGATTTTAAGCATCTCGTCTGCAGACATACACGCTAGTCGGTCTCCCACCGGAGACCAATAAACCGACCGAACCTCATTCATAGGCCGGTTAGTATCGTGACTAGCGGCATAGCTAGCTGTATCCCAAACCCTCACTGTACCATCGTTCGACCCCGAGGCGAGAATTCCATTTTGTGACCAGTCAATTGAGGTTATCTCAAGATTGTGCCCATCCAAAACGAACGTGCATTGACCTGTGGCCAGATCCCAGATACGGATTGTTAAATCATAAGATCCTGATGCCAGCTTCCCGTCTCGCGACCAAGAAAGATCTGAGACCATATCCTTATGTCCCTTTAGGCACAATAAATCGCAATCATTCGAGGAATCCCAAATTTGAACGGTACCATCCCATAATCCAAATGCGAGCTTTGCATCGGCTGACCAGGCAACTGCCTCAATTGGACCAGCTGACCAGTCAATTGTCTCAGTTTTCGGACTGTCTTTGTCAAATGCCGATAGACATCGGCCAGTGAAGGGATACCAAATCTGGATTGTAGAACCATCTGCCTGGCCCCATATTCCTACAGCGAGTGATCCTTCCTGAGACCAGGCAGCGAATGAAAGATCAGTTTCAGGTAGATTCAGATTAAGTGTGCACTGGCCACGGATCGGGTCCCAGATTCGAGCTGTGGAATCCATTGACACTGATGCGACCTTTCCATCTGGCAGCCAGACAAGACGTATAATCCGGTCACGATGACCCTCAAGGCACGAGACACGTCGATGTGAGACGGGATCCCAAATTTCGATTCTATAGTCCGATGACACTAAAGCGAGCATTCCAGCTTCTGACCAGGCCAATTCCCGATAAACTTGTCCTGACTTTCTGGAGCTCGGCACTACTTGCATGAGGTCATGTGTACACTGACCAGTCAAGGGGCTCCAAATCTGAGTCCTGCCCTCCACGCGTGTTATCGATGCAAGCTTTCCATCCCACGACCAGGCGAGGCTTCCAACAGGGTCATCAACTTCAAATGTGAAAACGCAAGAATCCCATTGTTGTGACGTTTCTGGCTCTCGAACAACCCATGAAGGCTTCACGTAGTGGGAGCTCCTCGTAACACTCTCAGATGGGATAAACATGAGTGAGACGTATATTTGGAGGGGACAGCGTTCAATCATGGGTCGGAGAAATCTCATAACACGGCAGGCGTCATGGACCCTCACAAAAAGCGCTTTTAACTCAGTCTTTTTCTTGAACGTCAACTAGATTAGTCATCGATAAATTCGTCGTCGGTGTGGAGTGCTTACCCGAATCAAGCTCTCGAGTTTGAGCATCGCGACAATGCCTTCTGTTGTGCCGTTGAGGAGGCTAATAGCTTCAAACCAGTGGAGTAGGTCCTCTTTCAGGAATGAGTCCAGGGATCCCCCTTCCTGGAACTCATCAAAACCAGCGCTAGCTTGACAGTCCTCGAGATGGTCTACCCAAAAGAGGCATGAGTACCGAATGCCTGCTAAGGGATTGGGACTTGGGGGGTGACTTCGTCAATGGAAATGCCTGGGTGCTTGAGCTTGTAAATGTCACGTTCAAGCTTTTTGATCGCTAGAAGTGAACGTGAAAAAAGTAAGTGATGTTGGATTTCCCCCTTATACACAAATGTTTTATTTAGAGGGTCAAGTAGGAAATCCTTGGCGGACTGGTGAACAAGGAAGATGGAGTTCTCTTGCACTTTCAAGAAGGAGCCACACTCATGTACAATCTCTCGGAGTGATTCATGGTCATCGCACCCTTTATCCGTAAGATTGGCCAACGTCCTCAATTCACTAAGACAAATGGGTCTGTACACGCTGAGGATAAGCGAAAGGACTTGCTTGCAGAGCTCTGAGTCCTCAGAGTCGAGGATTCGTTCAAACATGCGCCGGTAAAGTGGCTTCAACTCTCGCGGAAATCTTTTCAATAGGTCCTCTGTATGCCACAGTCTCCCATGAAAATCAGCGAGCTGCTGGCATACCAGTGCCACCCATAGAAAGGTACTTTGGGCATTGTTTAGCAAGTATTGAATAACTGTGTCACGAAGTTGATCGCTGTACTTTTTGTGACTAGACAGTTCCTTCACTCTATGATGAATGAAATACTCGACGGCTGCTGATATCGAGTCCTCGTTTAACTCTAGGTCAAGATTGACTTTTCCAGTTGCAGTATTAAGTCGCTCCTCGATCTTACGCCAGTTACGGCTCGAGACGAGCCATTTAACGTGCGCATACTTAGAGGACCTCTGGGCGATAAGATCAAGGAGTGGTGTCAAGTCAGTGGTACATTCATCTAGCGCGTCGATGATAATGTAGGTCGCGCGATTCGTAATAAGCGGGTCATCGAGGATACCGAGAAAGATCTTGGATAATGCTTGCCAGGCATTCAAGTCTTCGAAGGCCGTTTTGTTGAGGTCATACTCTCGCCTTACACGAAAGATGAGTGATTTGTGCTGAATCACAAGCATATAGATCAGACCCCGAAGAACCGCGGTGGCATGATTAATCTTCATTTCTGTCGCTTGACAGAAGAAATACGCCACAGTGATAGGGTCTGAGCACTGCTTGCTCAACTCATCAATGATCCCGCATAGGAGCATTGTCTTCCCTTTTCCAGGGTCACCTCTGATCCACAAGAGGTGGCCTGAATTTCCATTTTTCCATCCAACAAATGCTTCATTCTCAAGTACCCAATGGTACGAGGCTGGAAGGAGCCCTCCCTTGAGCCGCTCGATGCGTCCCTTATCGTGACTTGGGACAGTAGATTTCAATTGATTCAGGCAGATACGATCTTCGTCACTAAACTCAAAATTGTCTTCGTTTGCCCTAGAAGCCCAATCTTGGTAGGAAATTAGCTATTGTACATCATTTCTTTCATGGATTTCTAAGCTGCCATACCAATTTGTTTGACCCACCTCTTGAGCTCTCCCAACAACGCTACAAATCCATCATCTTCCGCGGACATGAACTTCACCATATCTCGGTGATTTGCGTGAATGCTGATGGCCGTGTATCCTTCGAGAGAGGCAGAGTCCTTTTCAACAATATTCGCAGCGAATCGCATAGGCAACTCTTCAAAGAAACAGGTGATTTGGAGGCGGCCCTTATCATTCTCTCGCAATCTTCGCGTCATAGTCAAGAAGTCATCTTGTATAGATTCGAGGACTTCGTTCTTGCTCTGCAACACGTCAAGCAGGTTTGTGTTGGTAGACTTGACAAACCCTAGTGCCGAGGCGGGAATAGTCGCCCATTTCGCCAGCCATGCCCCTTTATGGGGGGTACCCAGAAAGACTATGCCTCTAGTGGCATTAAAAATGTCTTGCAGATGATCTTCGGCGCTATTCTGCGACAAAAGAATAGCCCGCTTGCAGACGATGCCCCCAAGGCTATGGGCGACGAAGATAAGGGGCCGAGTAGTAGCATTGCATGACTCTCGGTTCGAAGTGAGTTTGTTCAACAGACTGGACGCATGATCGCCAAGGCGATTGGACGAAGCAACGGAGCCCCGCACTACGTAGGCATCGTAGCCAAAGGTGAGAATCCTAGCTTGCGGAAGCCTCGAAGGAAGCAATACCTTTGGCCAAGGGTCTTGTTGCTCATCCGCTGTCCAAGTCCGTTCCCGATCGCCGGTGAGTCCATGAACGAAGCAAACATCGACCAGGGCATTCTCGCAGTCATGCAAGACCTTGATACCGTTCGGGAATAAGGGAATTGAAGACTGAGAAGCGGGGTTTTCAGCCTCAGGACGATCGGACTCGGCCTCGTCTTTGGCCCGGTGCGCTGGGACAGAGCGTCGCAGTGGAAATCGTTTCTTCCATGGGCCCATGATTCAACGTAGGTATGGTGTTTAAAAAGGTCTAAGAATTCAAGTCGATGGGAATTTTGCACCTAATGCAATACCTTAGCGATTGACCCCAAGTCCTTTCCAACCGGAAACGAACGGGGCCGCCGTGGCATCTGTCTGATTCGAACCAATTATACACGGCAACAACAAGGCCAAAAGTACGTTAATTTGCAGGAATTTGTAGGCACCCCTGATAGCCCCTAGACCAATCAGCTGGTTAGAAATACCTGTAGAGGCTAAAAAGGCCGTATATTATTTTAGTCACGCCAATTTACCTCCGATACAGTATGTAGAATAATTATCCCCGTTTGCCTGATAGCGAAGGCCAGAACCACCTTATTTGGGGATCATACAGAACAGGAGAACAACATCGAAGGGTGATAGTAGTAGTGTTGGAACAATGCTGAGTTCTTTGGTGTGTTGTGGAAGACACGACTCAATTGGTGGCTAATGCCAGGGACCGAGTGTTTCAGAGGGACTAGGTAGACCCAATCATGGTCTACCATAATTCAGCTAAGAGGGTCAGTGCAGCGGTTGCGCTGATTCTCACCCCTACTCACCCCTATCGCGATAGATTACAGTAGTTGTAGAATTGGATAGTTAACTAGTTAGGTTTATCATTAAGCCTAGCACATACGACCACAGGGTGTGGAGAACAGGGCTTCCCGTCCGCTCAGCCGTACTTAAGCCACACGCCGGCTAGTTAGTAGTATGGTGGGTGACCACATGCGAATCCTGGCTGTTGTATGTGTTGAATATCGCGGTCACTGAGATAGTCACGGGGACGGGAGCACGTGCATGTATATATGTCTACCTGGCTACCAGCCTCTTTGTACCTAGAACAACACACAACAATACAATCAACTCCCATCAACTATGCAAACATTGAAGCGTCACTTATAACTCAACAGGTTATGAGCCCGAGACTGCGCACATCAAACTGGAAAATACTTCCTACTAAGTTTCCCCGCCAAGTGATAGCTTCATCTATTGACCGAACTGGAACAGCTTGCTTCGAACTTCAGCAGAGAAAACACGTCTCTCACGTCCAAGAGGAAAACGAATTGTGCGAAATTATCACACAAATCTCACAAAGAACCACCACACCGCTACGGACATTCGTCAGACCAATCCTGGGATACACCTCTGTGTTACAAATGGGCGACAGCTATCACACCGCTACAGATGATCGTTAGACCAATGATACCCTACAGCCATGTTGCACAACAAACAACACCTGGTCACACCGCTGCAGACATATCATATCGCCAGAGACACATGCAATAACCTGCCTTCTGTAGCACGCCGATACACTACTTTTTCCCTCTCAAAATTCCGATCTCCTTGAAAAAGGACGAAGTTTTATTCTACCCTATGACAAGAAAACCCGGATCACAGAAGGGACACAACTGGATTGACGAAGAGCTCAGTTTGGTGTGTTATCTTCGAAACATCCGCCATTGGCGCTTTACACAAATCCAGAAGACGAATTTCCCATTACTTTCCCGACACGCAGTCGGAGGAGCCTATAGAAATTTACCTCTAGAAGAGCGCACACGCCGGGCGCTCGCTGTTGCCTCTGTGATCGCCGATTGCCAGAATACTATAGAGCACAATTCTCCGCGCTAAGCTCAACCCGTACTCCCCAATCCGGAACAAGGGCCGAGTTATCTCAACTCAACAAACACCGATGCACTATTGACCTCGACCGGCAACAGCCTAGCCCGGTACAATCTCCGACCAAATAGACCCATAACCTTCGCAGAGCAACAATCACGATATATGGTCGACCGCGTCCGTTTTCCTCACTTCTTCGGATCTTATAGCCGTCATCTCAAGTCCTACGAGCTACCAGACAGCGAATACGTTCCTCTATCGTATACACCTAGCCCAAGTTCGTCAGAGCGTTCCCAATCCGTTTATTCTAGTCAACCAAGCAAGGCTTCGAGCCTGGAACTTTTTGGTCTGGAGCCAAGATCGCCCGAATTATTAAGCTATACGCCTTCTGTCCCTTCGATCTGCTCGAGTGCCATTTCAAGCGCCGAATTCTTCAGCACCGAAGAGTCCCCTTATTAGGATGGATTCGAATAAATTCGAACAAATAGGCTTGAGCTTATTCTACAATGCTATACCAATTCTCGATAATGCTAACGACTGGGCTCAGTGGAACCAAAAAGTCAAGGAGTTTCTTCGTATATCTCCGGTGGCTTAAGATGGACCGATCCCACCTATGGAAGAGGAGGAGGCATAGCATTGGTCCCACCGCCAGACATTCTATTCGTCAATAATTGCGGCAAAGCTGACCCACAATGCGGCTCAGCGGATAAACGCCTTCGAAATCATTCGAGTCCAATCACTGATCAAAGCGGTGAAAGAAAACTTCAAACCAGAAGGCTCAGGGACATATATCAGTCTTCAGCGAAGGTACATGTCTCTTACCCGAGCAAAATGTGGGAGTGCACAAGCCCTCGGGGCCGAGATTAGAAAGATCTATGCGGAAAAACTCTTGCTTGACCCCGCTTGTGTTACTTCTGAAATCGAACGAACCTTCTTTTTCTTGCATGCTTTAGGTCCGGAATATGAGAGCTTCCGCGACCATATTTTCAGACAAATGGATATTGTCAACGATAGAGATGAAGATGGAAATATTACCAAAGCAGCTCCTACATTTGACTACATTGAGAACAAGGCCATCGAGGAGGAGCATCGAAAAGGACAGCTGGGTAACAAGCCTGCAGACACAAATGCGCTTCCCGCCTTCACACTGAGCCGAAGCTTTGAGGACAAAAAGATCATACCGTCCCTAGACGGGCAAACATGCCGAATCGAGATATATAATGTCCCGTTCTGTGCTTTCTGTCGAAGGCCCTATCATACAGAGCCTGAATGCTTCAAGAAGAATCCCGATCTGAGGGACCAAGAAAAACGGAAAAAGACACGCAAGCCAAGGTCCAGCGGTGTAACCGCCGACTCCCGTAAGCTATCTAAGAAGCGCGCCAATACAGACAATGAGGACGACGATTCTGAGGGGCCGAGGGACCCTAAAAGACCTACCTTCATGGCGACGCGAGTCTCGAGACAAGATATCAATGAAGCATTCGGAGCGGAAATCGAAGGAAACTTTGCTACGTTTGATCATATTCCTTGTTTGATGGTCACAAAAGCTCCCTCGATCCGTGACGCCTGGATCGTGGATAGTGGGTGTGCCTAGCACGTCTGCAACAATGCTTTGAGATTCGTCAAGATGGACAAATATGATGGTCCACCGTTAAGGAGCGTCGACACCTCAACGGCTCCTTCTGGTATAGGAGTGGCAAATATCCTGTGCAATGTATAAGGCAAAAAGAAGTGGCTGGTTCTAGATGACGTCTTGTTCGTCCCGACCGCGCATGCAAACCTCATATCTGTGTTGCAACTTCTCAATCGGGGGGCAAAGATAGACTTCTCGAGCAATGGTGCAAAGATTCGGAACAAGTTAGATGGGAGGAACCTGTTCACTGCAAGCCAATATCATGGAGTCTACGTACTCGACCTGTGGGCGAAACCCGTATTCCTAGCCTACCACATCAGACCGCAATCGGCGCTTTGGCACAATAGGCTTGCCCACATGAGCGATGCGAATATTCAACGACTCAAAAAGCAAGCCTACGGCATTCAGGACGTTGCACCACGCTAACCTTGTAACCTATGCCTCCAGGGACGAATGACCGAAACCCCCTATCGTCGTTCAGAAGCGAGCAAAAGATCCAAATATGCCATGGAACTCCTCTATATCGATGTTGCAGGACCATTTGAGGAGGGCCTTGATGGTAGCCGCTACTGGATAACCATTGTCGACGACTTTACTGGATGGGTTGAGATCATCCCTATACCATAGCGCCAAGAATTCGTTGTTGAGTCCTTGCGGTATTTCCTCGACCACAATGAGCGCCCCGAGCGCAAATGCAGACGAATTCGTCTTGACCGGATCCCTGAGCAAGTGGGAGAAGAAATGAAGTTCACCCTCTTCTCAAGAGCAATCCAAGCCGAAGTTATAGGTGTCGATCAGCACCAACAGAATGGAGTGGCAGAAAGGGCCCATAGGACAATCTACGATCGAGTCGGACCAACGCTCGCGTATGCAAAACTACCGCCGAAGTTCTGGCCGGAGATTGCGCGGACTGCGGCCTTCCTCTCGAATCGATCACCATCATCCAAACGTAACATGACTCCGTACCAAGCTTGGTATGGTGACAAGCCTGACCTATCACGGCTGAGAGTTATAGGATCCAAGGGAGAGTATCTCATTCCACCCAGACAAAGAAAGAAGCTGGCGGGACCAAGAACAAGGCCATGTCTATTACTGGGATACGAAGGAAATACGAACTATCGCATCCTACTAGAAGACGGCAGGATCATTGGTACGCCAAACGCAGAATTTCATGAAGTCCTCAACACACCCTCTACACAGACCATAGAAGATGTGGGAGCCAAACAGTAGAGCTTACCTGGGGCAACGGCTGCTGCTGCAGGGGGGAGTGAGACGGTGGGACTGACAAACCAACCGTCGGCAAGTATGCGATATGCATCCGTGCCAGCCTCGGGACGTCAAGCATCCCTGGCGCCGCAAGGGCAAACACAGCCTAGATCATCGGACGACAAAGTGCAAGAGCATATGCCTCAGTCGAGTAATAATGACTCGCAGCCCACTGTTACTGGACAAGGAGAAAGGACCTTTTCACCACTAGGGAGTGACGATATCTTCGGGTCTTTATCACCTGCTTCACAGGACTCCGTCCCTAGGATTGACTTACCGTCCGGTGGTGACCAGCAACAAGGCGATGCTCAGCAAGGGCGAATTCCACAAGATTGGCTGAATTATTCTGAGGGCCGAGGGGGTGGCGCAGAATACATCGTGCCTCGCGGTACACTTGAACGTCACCCTGAGCTCAAGCTTCGGGATGCACAAACCTCTCAGGACACATCTGACTACGACGAAGAAGAACTTGCATTGATGAATGTCCCTGACGAGAATGTGATTCCAACTTTCTTGACCGTAGCCGCGGAAGAGACTGAACCCTTTGAACCGAAGTCCCTTCGTCAGGCCAAGAATGATCCACGCTGGCTCGAATGGGAAAAGGGAATGACCGAAGAGATACAATCGCTCAAGCAAAACAAAACTTGGGAAATCGTTGACCCGCCTAACCATCGCCGAGTCCTAAGCGGGAAGTGGATCTTCAAACTGAAAAGAGGAGCTCGCGGAGAGATCGTCCGCTACAAGTGCAGATGGGTGGTCAGAGGTTTTACTCAAGAGGAAGGTGTCGATTATGACGAAACTTTCGCTTCGGTGGTCAAACCAATGAGCTACAAGGCCCTATTCGCAATTGCAGCTGCCCTTGATCTCGAGATCGAGCAGATGGATGTCAAAACAGCGTTCTTATACGGCGAGGTAGACCACGAGATCTATGTCGAACAGCCCCACCACACTACGGATGGCATATCTAGGGTCTGCAAGCTCCGCAAAGCACTCTACGGCCTGAAACAAGCACCTCGTATCTGGTACCAGACTCTTACTAACTTCCTTCGGGGCCTTGGCTTTGAGCCCATCAACGCTGATCTCAGCATCTTTGTTCGGAGTAGTATGTACATTGTAGTATATGTTGATGACCTCTTGATCATCGGGCCAAGTATTGCAGAGATAAAGAAGATCAAACGGAGCCTCAGAAATCGTTTTCACATGACAGATCTGGGCCTATGCAGCTACTATCTCGGCATGGCCATTCGGAGAGACCGGCAGAATAGAATCCTCTATCTCAGCCAAGAGGCTCACGTACACAAGGTCCTCTAGCAGTTTGGAATGTCAGACTGTGCACCCGTCAGTATACCTATAGACACTTTACCTCTGCTAGAAAATGGACCCGAATACATCTGTCCCTCGACTCTGAAGAACGAGTATCAGCGTATGATCGGATCGCTGATGTATATCATGCTTGGAACTAGAGGTGATATTGCATATGCAGTCTCAGCGGCGAGCAGACATTTGACAAACCCTGGTCCACAACACGTGAAGCTTGGCCATCGAATTCTTCGGTACCTTAAAGGCACCAAATCTCTCAGTCTCACATACAAAGGCTCGCTCTAGATGCTTCGTGGTTTCACAGATGTAGACTGGGCTGGCTGTCGCCAAACAAGACGGTCGACGGCCGGATACCTGTTCAACATTGGAAGTGGAGCGATCAGCTGGCAATCGAAACGGCAGAACACCGTTGCCCTGTCAACCTGCGAAGCAGAATTCATTGGCCAGACACAAGCAACGAAGGAAGCTATCTGGTTGAGGAGACTCCTTCATGAGCTGAATATGAGCCAAGGAAAATGCGCAACAATCATTTGCGGCGACAATCAGGGAGCTATTGCGCTGGCCTCGAACCCTCAATACTATTCGCGTACAAAACATATGGAAATCCAACGAAAGTGGCAAGGAGAAGTTCAAGATGCTGGGACAGTGGAACTGAGATATGTCCCGACAATGGAACAGATTGCTGATGGTTTGACGAAGCCCCTTGCACGAATCAGATTTGAATGGTTTCGAAAGGGCCTCGGCATTGAGTGATACTCTCATGGGACACCAGCTTTCAAGCCAAAAACGAAACGGTACATGCAGGCACCCTTTCCTTCTTTTTACCCCAGGGGTTTTTTTGGAGTTTTTAATGGGGCCTAGCAACCGTGATGGTTGATCGCTGACATTCTTCATGGCGAAAGAAATCAGCGAGTGGGAGTGTTGAATATCGCGGTCACTGAGATAGTCACGGGGACGGGAGCACGTGCATGTATATATGTCTACCTGGCTACCAGCCTCTTTGTACCTAGAACAACACACAACAATACAATCAACTCCCATCAACTATGCAAACATTGAAGCGTCACTTATAACTCAACAGTATGTCCGTTTTCACCCGTTTTTTGTGACTCGTTGGGACATCGGCCCTTGCCGCTTTACTCTTCAGCCCCTTCAGGCCCTTCACCTGAACGCCCTGAATACCCCTGAAGCGCCGCGTTAATGACTAATGCAGAGTTGGGGCGGATTAACTAGTTACCTGGCATCTCCGTCTCTGACCGCACCCATACCGATCTGTTCTAGCAAGTATTACACGATATAAGTTTGCACTGTTCGTAACGCCGCAATATCACAACTGTTGCGAGTTTCATGAAGAAGAGAGCTAAGCCCTGGCAAGACTTGGGCATCCGGGGAACAGATCGTAGAGCTATGGGCGGGGATAGGGCTGAGGTAGATTTGACCGGGCCTTGACGCTGGAGATTCATCAATTGAGTGTCTTGAGTTTCTACGCGGCTAGAGTTCTTGTCTTTCTCAACGCCTAATTGCTTTTGGATGCTGCCTGACACATATTTTTGGCAAAGGTGGAGGGAAACTGGGCTTAGATGGGTGATTGTATTTCTGAGAGTGGGGTACGGATCTCTGTTGGCTGCATGTTAAGGATTCAGCCTTAAGTACTGCTGTGACACAGTGCCTCCCTCCATATCGTCGGAGGACTTTTCCATAGTGCTTTCTGTATCGTAGATAGTCGTATTTGTGGAGGGCACAAATGCACCTTTCACTTAGCCTTCCGGGGGTTTTGAATCTCCAAGTCTCCAATTTTATCCTATTGAAGGCTGTGGACTAGGCATATAGCCCTCCCTCACTTAGAGGTCATCCTAGATTTAACAAACATCTTAAATAATACAGAATTGTTGGCATACGCCTTCTGCCCTCCTAGATCCTATCCTCGTCTCAACAGACCGTTCGCCGTGCAACAAACCGCTCTTTCCCTGATTTTGAACAGCTCACCGCCACTGTTGCACGAAGCATGGAGACGCGGGTTCCATATTTATGCTCTAAACCTTAAAAGTTCGGAAAACATAAGCTTTCATACTATGCCGAGAAGTGATGCAACTCTACCTGCCATTAATTAAATCGACTCTACTCCCGCCCCACCTTTTTGTCCATACTGGAACAGGGACCCTAATTCGACCCTAAGAGATTCGGGGTGGTCCCCACGGGGCTCACACAGACACTGTAATTAAGTTGCCCCAGTAAGTGAAAGATTTTCTCAAAACCCTAAGCTATTGCATTGAAGGCGAGAAGTCAAGAAGGATATAGGGCAGGGAGAGAGAAATTTATGGAAAATTTATGGAAAATATTTGCAGTGATGTATAGATATCTATACTTACATATTCACATATTCGTGTAGTAACGGGAGTAACCATTCACTGGGCCTGGAAATACGGCGCCCGCTTGTGGGCTACGCCTACTTGAACTGGTCTTCAGTCACACCAGCGCCCATTGCCACCGTACTATTGGTCCCTCCAGTCACCATAGTCAGCAGCCCATCTACATAGTTTGCGCCGCTCCACTTCTGATGGGTCACCACGTCGACTCCCTGCTCCATCTCCGGCTCCTGTACCAAATCTCCATAGGCCCGCATGCCTTGCTCGACAAAGGCCTTCGAAAATTGATGACCGATCAAGGCGGTCGTATGCAAACCGGCCAGCGTGATAAACTGCCAGCAATAGCCGAGCTCACTCAGCCGTGTGATGATGGTTTCCTGTTCCGTGCGCGGCATGGCCGCTTGCCAGTTGAACGAAGGGGACAGGTTGTAGGCCAGCCTGGCTTTTGAGTGAGCAACGGTCTACCACAAATGATCAAGTTGCGAAGAAGATGAAAACAGTTATCTGGAAGAGGAGAGGGAGAGGAGGCAGGAACGGGGTCGCAAAGGCTTACTTTTGCTCCGGCCAAACGGCGTGGACACCTTCGGCAAATTCCTTCGCCTGTGCATAGTCCGGACGGGCAGTTTCCATCCACAACAGGTCCGTAAGGGGCGCGAACGAATTAGCCCGGTTCACGGCGCATTTCGTCCCGCCCTGGTAGCGGTAGAAGCCTTCGCGGGTTCGAGGTGAATCCCAGCTCCAGTAAACATCAACACCCAGTAGCTCACGCGCGATAGCCCGGGCCTGCGAGTTACTCTTGCCGTTCGAGGCTGTCAGATAGCGTGTTATGAGTGCCTCCCGGCGACTGTGGTTTGTCCACCGGATCTGATCGAGCACAGCATCGTCAAAGGTTTGCAGGCGAGCCTGAGATAGCCACTCAGTCTCGATGGCCTGCAGCGCCGTACCACTCTTACCCGCTTTCTCGGCGACAACCATCAGGTCATTCAATGGTTGCAAGGCGAAATTGGCTGTCCCTAGTAGGAAAGGATGGTCTCGGTCATCAATCGTCGATGTGATAAGTGTTGCGGCCTCCGAATCGGTTCGGGCGATAATCACCAGATCCACACCTAGTGCTGGTTAGCTGAACTGCCACAAGACCTACATCGGGTTAGGGGGACTAAGGCACGAGGCAAGGCGTGGTTCGGCTTTTTCAGCAACTGGAACATACCCATGATATCCGCCTGGGCCCGAATTGCCACGAGCCGGTTGATATGCTCGCTGATAGGGACCAATACCTTGCCGGACATGTGCCCACACTTCTTGGTCCCCGGGGCCTGATCCTCAATGTGGATGCCTGCCGCGCCCCTCTCGACAAACAGCTTCGTCAGTTTCATGACTGCCGTCAATCCTCCGTGCCCGGTGTCGGCATCGGCGATGATGGGCCGCAGGTAGTCGACATTTGCAACCCTGTGACGGTCGGCCTTGGCCGCCGAGAGTCGCTCTTCGCGCATTTTCCGGTCGTGGAAGAGTTGTGCCATGAACAGCTGATTGACCTTCCGGGGGACGGTGTCCTAGTTCTGATCAGCCGACGGCACACTGCGTGACACGGCGCCTGCCATATCTCTTACCATGGGGTAGTCTGCTAGGTCGGGAGACGGCTCATCCGTGGACGACGCCGTCGAGGAGCTTTGCCACCCGGAAACGTAGACGGTCTCAAGGAATTTGGCCATCTGTGTCATCATCGTGGGCTCCAGGCAGCCGAATGTGACACTGGCCGTTTTGTTCTACCCTCAGGCATAACGTCGTCAGTGCGATCTATTGTATACTCGGATTCATAAATACCAGAAGCAACCGCCCTACCTGATAATGACGCTCGAGGATTCCCCAGAGCTTCTTATTCTGCACGTTCGACGCATACTCAACCTTGAGATTGCCACGCTTTGCGACCACCATCTCCGCCGTGAACTGACGCTTGGTATAACGCCAGCGGGGGCCTTTCCACCATTCCTTGACGGCCTGGACTTCTTTCAAGTACTTCTGGTCCTCCAACTCAATTTCGCTCAAATGCGATGACATCACGGTCACGATTCACGAGCAAAGGCGTCGGTTCTTAAAGCGGCGGCTCTCAAAAGAGTTTTGTCTAAAATACTGGGCTATTCTCTTCACTTTGCTCTTGCCAATATCGATAAAAACGACGAACCAGCGGCGGAGGGAACCGCTTCTTTAATGCAGATTGGCAGTACGACAGACGCATGGCCTGACTGGCTCGGCTGGGCGGCCAAAGTTACCCTGTGCGCGAAACAAAGTCTGTGGTTGTGTGGAAATGCCTCGGCGAACTGTCTGCGATTTCCTTAATATCCCCATGGAATTCATATGGTCATCATACACTTGCTGGATATTGCGGATGCGGCGGCGGCTATGTTTCCCCAGACCTCGGCCGCGAGCTGAAGTGAGCCGATACGTGGACCAGCTTTTTTACGATCTGCCCGATACCGTGAGGTTCTGCGGCTCCGCAAGACACTAAATCTTCACAGAATAGTTCCAAGCTGCGCTTCTCCGCGGATGTAAGGATAGTATGTGTATGCATGTTGCCAATTGAAGTTCCCCCAGCGGGTGCCGAGCACGGCGAAGCTGCCTTTGATACATGTTGGCGTTCATACGTATACCACTCACCACGTGGACCAGAGCCGGTATCTATATAATGAACAACATATATAGTAGAAAGTATTCAATGGTGTTCTACGTGAACCCCTCTCTTCCTTGACTTCGATTACTGCCCAAGACATGTCCAGTACATTGTTCTATTGTTTATGAAACCGAAGAATTGCGCAATTACATAACAGTGCACAGGAAAGAAAGGGTCAACTCAGTACTCCCAAAGGTTGGATATCTTGACTTGGTGGGAATATACCATTCCCAGCACCTGCTCAACTCAAAGTTTGGGCTGATGCTGCCCAAAGAGAATGTTGCGGGCACCTTCACGCAAGGACTTCACAATGTCCCCCGCGGAAATCACTTCTTTGATGAGTCCAACACCGGTCCCAGCATACGTGGTAAGCCTTCCATTGGGTCCATAGCCTTCGTCGCCCCGATTCAGCTCTTCACGATAGAGCTCGCGGTTTTTGATTTCACTGAGGCCTCCGAGGTGATCAAGAAAGGTCTTGTTTATCAGACCGCGGCCGTCGTAGCCCTCAGGCCATCCATGAATGTCACGAACTTTATCGTATATCTTTGTTCTAACTGTGGTTATGCCCCCGTCCGAGGCATCTAGAATTGCCTTTTGATAGCCATAAGCGATCATAGATTCGGGACTAGCAAGAAAACGTGTTCCAAGAACACACCCTTGAGCACCAAGAGCCATAGCTCCGGCGACACCGCGACTGTCACTGATTGCGCCAGCAGCTAGAACATCAGCCCGCTTCTGAGGATACGGACGGAGCTCCCGAAGCTTGTCGTTGATTTCCGGTACAAGGGAAACAATGCTGGCTCCTCGGGCCAGCGAATGCCCACCGGCATCCAGTCCCTGGACCACGATGACATCGGGGTCGATGGCGTTAACTACCTCGACCGCATCGGATACAGAGCCGACTTGCACCCAGATCTTGGTCCTCAATGCGGTGGCCTCTCTGATCTTGGTGGCCCAGGGAATAAGGTCCTGAAAGCCCTTTGGTGGAGCAAAGAGCCAAACAGCAGCGGGGCAATATCTGGAAAAAGAGGGGAGCGCCTTTTCCAGGGAGGCACTCCAGGTTATAAACCCCACGCCGATACGCAAGAACTTTGGGACTCCTTTCTCGCTCTCTACCGGAGTGTCGGGTAGTCCTTCCTGGAATAGATCTTCAGCTTCCTCTAGTAGATCCTCAAGGTGGTCGCTATGATATCCTGCTGCAATAAACCCTAGACCCCCCGCCCGGGAAACAGCCACGGCGAGTTTAGGCATGGCGACTTTGGCCATGGGCGCCGACACTATGAGTGGAGACGCTGCCCAGGGGTAGTTGGCGCGGATTTTATTCTGTAAGGCGTCGACAAAGTGCATGTTGAGTATGATGCGGAGGGAACCTCAATTTTGGAGAGGAGGAAAGTAGTTCAGTCCCCATGGGAGATGGAAATAAGAGCAATACTAGATAAGTAGACAAGAGTTGATAATAAAACCGTTTGGGGCCCCGCAAATGATCATGATTAGGAGGACAACATCCGAATAGGTGCCGAGAGATTTTCATTCTGGGAGGGTCTTTCCCGCGTATCATTCTCCGCCAGTGCCTCGATTTCATACGTTAAACAGGCCGGACGAAAACAATATTGGTGTCCATCCCTCTCCGCAATAGCCGGACCATTTTCAAACCGAGAATCCTCTGAAGAGTCGACGAGGTAGGACCGAGGTTGTGGCCTTGCTAGGATAGGGCCCCAGAGGGAATAGCGGGACGGACCAAGGGAGGTTGACGAAGAAACCCGCAATACCCGCAATACTCGCTTGACACAGAGCCCTCAGACGACGAAGCTCAGAGCATTACCGTGCCAGGTCCTTTCAACACTATATAGCACTCAATTATCACACTGCACACTCTCTCCGTATCATCACTTTGAAGCAAAAATTTCAGCAGTGCTCTCCGACGCTTCAATATCTCGTTGACATCCCTTCCATCGAAATGACTGCTAATACCGCCGGGACCGCCTCAACAGGTGCCATAGTTCGCATGTCACACAACCCTATCAGTTCTCCTACCGATACTCCCAACTTCATTGATAATGAATTTTTGCCCTCCAAGGCTACCAAATGGATTCCAGTCTGCGATCCCGCAACGAACAATCTTGTCACGCGTGTTCCACAGTCTACCCCCGAGGAACTCTCTGCAGCAGTTGTCTCCGCGAAGAAAGCATTTCCCGCATGGCGGGCAACCAGTATTATTGCCAGACAACAAATACTGTTTCGCTTTACGCATCTCATCAAAGAGAACTGGGACCGCCTAGCCGCATCAATCACTTTGGAACAAGGGAAAACTTTCAAGGATGCTCGGGGAGACGTCCTTCGTGGGCTGCAGGTTGCTGAAACAGCCTGTGGTATCACTACTCAGCTCCCAGGAGAGGTTCTCGAGGTTGCGCGAGACATGGAAACAAGAAGCTATCGAGAACCTCTTGGTGTTGTCGCTGCCATCTGCCCATTCAATTTTCCTGCGATGATCCCCCTCTGGTGTGTTCCGATTGCAGTCGTTACCGGAAATACGATGATTTTGAAGCCATCGGAAAGAGACCCGGGCGCTGCTTTAATTCTCGCCGAACTTGCTCGGGAGGCAGGTTTCCCCAAAGGAGTCTTTAACATCGTCCATGGTTCTGTAGACACCGTCAACTTCATTCTTGACGAGCCTGCCATCCGCGCAATCAGTTTTGTCGGTAGCAATCGCGCTGGTGAGTATATTTACGCCAGAGGCTCAGCCAATGGAAAGCGCATGCAGGCTAATCTCGGCGCGAAAAATCATGCTGTCCTTCTGCCGGATGCAGACAAAGAAGCCGCTCTGGATGCCATCGTCGGTGCTGCTTTTGGGGCAGCGGGGCAGCGGTGTATGGCACTGAGTGTACTTGTTACAGTTGGTGAGAGTTCAACTTATATACCTGACCTGATTGAGAAGGCGCGAGCTCTGGTTGTCTCTGCCGGCTTCGAGAAAAACGCCGACGTCGGTCCGGTAATCAGTCCCGAAAGCAAGGCTAGGATTGAATCCCTTATCGCCAGTGCCGAGCGTGATGGAGCCACCGTCGTTTTGGACGGTCGAGGGTTCAAACCAGACAATTATCCCAAAGGAAACTTCGTACGTGAAAGCCCATTGCTATTGCTTCTAGCTCTTACATTGCCTTCCGTTACTAACATTCTCTAGGTGGCACCCACGGTTATAACCAATGTCAGAACGAACATGGAATGTTACAGAGAAGAGATATTTGGCCCCGTATTGGTTTGTATTTCTGTACAGACCCTCGAAGAAGCCATCCAACTTCTTAATGCAAATGAGTATGGCAATGGCGCGTGTGTTTTCACTACGTCAGGCGTTTCCGCTTCATACTTCCAAAAGAATGTTGAAGCAGGACAAGTCGGCATCAATGTTCCACTACCGGTCCCACTTCCCATGTTCTCTTTCACTGGGAATAAGAAGAGCATTGCAGGTGGGGGAGCAAACACATTCTATGGAAAGCCTGGACTGGCGTTCTACACTCAGCAAAAGATGGTGACTAGTCTTTGGCGTCGAGACAATGTCGATACTGGCAAACAGGTTGTCATGCCATCTCATCTGTGACGCATTCTAGCACATGTGCTGTGTTCCAGAACGGCAAGAGCGTCGCTCCGCGATCTTAAAGCATATACATCTATGAGTCAGTCGAGATAGTGAGCTACTATGGGTCGAACTTAAGTGTTTTGCAACGTTTGATCATTGAGGCTTTGGTCCCCCTGTGATTTATTATCTTGTAGATACTTATTACAATAACCAGAGTAATAAAGCGAATTTTCAGGTGTCCATTTTCAATCCGCATCCTCTGGACAGAGCGACCCGTTCCGGATTGAATATTATTGCTTCACCGTGGCCGTAGGCACAAATCATTACCTCGGCTCTCATCAGCCATTCCTGACTACTACGCTCTCTTAGACAGCCCGAAATCTTAGTGTGGAGTCGAGAGTTGGTTTTCAAATACCATCGGTCAAGTAGACAGCTACTCCGCTTATCAATTGACTCGTTTGGGCGGGTATTGCGGAAACAAGAGTTTTGGAAGCCCATCTTACGAGAGCAAAGTAACATCCTATATCGGCTCAACAGGTTCATTTCGTCAGCATATTGCGGAACTCCTATCCATTTTGAGTTTTGTGCAGGTTGCTGACACCATACAAAGCATCCATAGCTCCGCGGAGATTCTGACTTATCCAGGGGGCATAACCCGGGGTATGGGCACGAATAAGTTCGATTGCGGGGTAAAGGAACAGGTTTCCCGTTTTCTCCTTATATTAAGTGGGTTGTGAGACCCCCAGCAAGGAGGAAAAAGGAAATCGCATTGCATTGAAGCCAGGTTTCCATTTACAATTTCTCAGATATCAACTTGACAATATGTCTGCTAAGCCAATGGAAGAGCACATAGAATTCAACACGGAGATACTTTCTCCCATGCGCACCACAGAGAGTGTCATGTTTCCCATTCCCCGGGATACTTTTGAGAAGCTCTACCTGACTCCCAAGATGCCTATTGCAGGAAACCTGCGGCGGACTTTTCGTAACCCAACCCCCATATCACTGATGGGCTTCTTAGTGTCTGCTACTCCTAATGCAATGCTTCACATGGGTTGGAGGGGCGCTGGTGGAGACGGAGGGGCCATCCTGTAAGATCAAGCCAGGTTAAATGTCTAGAATTCATATTAATGTAGGTCTAGCCCAGCGTACATCTTTTTCGGTGGCATAATTCAGGTCATCGGTGCAATTGGAGAGTGGATACTTGGAAATACGTTCTCATGTGCTGTTTTTTTCACATACGGTGAGCCTTACCATTCCGAGAGGGAATCAGATGCTATTGGGTACGTAACAGGAGCATTCTGGCTCGCCCAAGGAGCCTCCATGATACCATTCTTTGCAGTGGGTGCCAAATATTCCTCCACGGGAAGCAGCTTGGAGGGTGTAGAGACAACAGGATACCATGCAACTGCAGGTAAGTCGCGCTTCAAGGCGAAGGGATCAAGATTTTTCTATTGACTCGCAAAGGTCTATATTACGTTGTTCTGGCCGTGGTCACCTTCGTGTATCTTATCTGTTCTATTCGCACAAACGTGTGCCTATTCCTCGCACTATTATTCCTAGTAGCGGCATATAATCTTTATGCAGCTGTTCATTTCTATAGTGCGCTAGGAAATGGTGTTTTAGCAGCGAAAGTGGAAATAGTAGGTGATTAGATTTCGGATTCACTGTGTACTTTTTACTCTGTTCCTGCAGAAACTCACGCTAATTTCTCGCTTCAAGGCCGCTGGTGCATGCAATTTCGTACTTTGTATCCCGATATGGTACATTTTTGTTGCCCAAATGTTGGAGTCCATTGACTTCCCTCTTGTGTTGCCAGTTGGGGATTTAAGTGAGGTTGTTCAAGGAAGAAATCAAAAGGCGCGAAAACGAGTGGATAAGGAAGGATAAGGAGGGACAAGGAGGGATAAGGAGGGACAAGGAGGGATAAGGAGGGTCAAGGAGTGTCCTTTCCACTCTGACGTACTGTCTGAATTTGTGTCCAGCTATGTGTTTATCCCACTATGAGTTTGCGATCTCGATCAGCCTTTCAACTTCCTTGCCATTCTAGATTCCAGATGTCTGAGCCTATGCATACATACATGTGTCTAGGAATGATACTTGGCTCCGACTACATCATGCGCATTTTAATAATGGTAATTCAAAAAGATTTAGGATTCGGGAGAAAAGTGCAGATAACCGGTAAACATATATAATCTTCCCATCCTACATTTTGCAAGAAGACACCATTTGCTGTACGTTATGTATGCGATACGGCAATAATTTTGAAGATAGGGCGCTTCATCAAATGAAAAAGATGTACTGAATCAGCAATCATGTCTACTAAAGCCATGACATGGATCTGACATCTGAAATCTAACATCCACAACGTATACAGCACCCGCAGAACCCGCAGCGCCCGCAACACCCATAGTACCCGCAGAACTCGCAGCGCCCGCACATCCCGTTCCGCCGCATTATTTCCGCTGCGGGAAGCAAAAGACGAAGCCCCTGGCTCCATAGAGAGGGCTAAACTTCCTATACGCGTACTCAGTATACTTCATCTCCTTTTGGATTTCACAAGACGTGAAGAAACACGCGACATGCATAAAGAGTTATTCCGTATTACCTAAAGAATGGGCTCACATCTTGTACTAGAGACAGCCGCCCGATTATATCTTCTTGGAGATCGATAGTATTTATCATGGATGTTCAGGAGCGAGGTCAAATTCCTCACCCACATTTTTTCGATGCCGATGGATACGGTCACAGTCATCACCGCACTCCTCGACAAGGCTTGCCGTGTATGGACTGCGTCTCACTAGGATCCTTGGGTGAGGGTCCGTATAAAAGCAGCTATGAGTGAGTTGTACGTCTTCGTAAAAGTATATTGTGTCCATATGCTCACTCCGCCTATCTATACTAGAGCTGCCGAATATAACCAACTTCCTAGCTATGTTGAGCCCGTACCATCGCACATCACCAAGGATGAGCTTCAACTCCTAGACCATAAGCATGCGCTGCGGGTACCGGATGATAAGGTTCAGCAAAAACTATGGATAGCATATTGGAAATATGCGCACCCATGCATGCCTGTTTTAGATCAAATTCAAATGAGCAAATCCGTACGAGGTTGTGGCGAAAAGATCAGCATTTTACTCTACCAATGTATCATGCTTGTTGGTCAGGTGTTCCTCAACGCCTACGAGAGCCCCTGCTACTACTGTGCTGATACCCAAGAGTTGTTTACAAGGGTTCGAGCTCTCTATGAACTAGGCTGGGAGAATCGACCCCTGACTATTCTTCAGTCCTTGTTACTCATGACCTATTTCCCACAAAAGATCAACGAACCCAAGGGTCAGGCTTCCTTGGTTGGAGATGCAGTCTCGATGGCCTACAGAATGGGACTTCACCGTGACCCAACAAATCTCAAGATCGAAGCCTCCCTTTTCCACTTACGAAAACGTCTGTGGTGGAGTGTCTTTATCCGAGAGCGTACTTTGATTCTTGACCAGGGAACACCGTGGATAATAGACGACACCGATCATGACGTGCCGATGATAACGATCGACGACTTCTGTCTCACGGAGACCAGCAATGATATAGGAACGCAAGTTCCTCCAGTTGATTTGAACGGCACAAGCAGGCGGCGCAAAATTGCTATCATGTGGATTGAAAAAGCAAAAATAGCGGTGATTATGGGGCGAATTCCACCCATATCAGTCCGTATCCCGGAAATTAATTCGAGCTTCTTTGAGAAGCCATGGCTCCAAAGTGGTCTGCCTCGTGGCTTTCAATCATTCCATGATGGGGTAGTAAGTGTCGAGCGGTGGCGAAAAACTATCTCACCTGAGATTGATTTCGCGCGATTGGATTCACCTGGTTCGTGGGGAGGGGATTGTGAGCTGTACATACATTGCACAACGCTCAGGTTGTTATATCATACTGTGAGGTTTCAGTTGGCTGTCTCGTGGGCTCTTTCAAGCAAACAAACAACCCAATTCCTCGGGAAAAGGAATCGCCAGGAAGCCAGCGTGAATTGCTCTACCATTATGCGAATCATAGAAGAGCTTCAGGTTTACGGGTACTCGGCCCATGTTCCACTTTACGGAACGTCTGTCTTGCGACCAGTCCTGATGTGGGCAATTCTCAACGGCATACGTGGGGAGAATACTCACAAAGGATCCAGCTCGAATCCACTGCGTTTTGTTATCGGTAGAGTAGACTCTTATCAGTCGCTTTTCAAGGCGTTTCTTCTATGTGAGAAAGAATGAGCTTTTGGATTGACATATAATGGTCTATCGCATCGTTTCAAATGCTAGACTCTGCTGCTCGGTAGGTGGGTTTTTGCTTTCTGGCCCACAAAGTGCGTCTATCCTACCTTCTTCCCCTTCAACACAGACCATGCTCCAACTCAATGGGGCCAATCGCAACTGCTATAGTGCATTTAAGCCGTTATCGGTGATTCTTGATTAGACAGCAATATCGCGCAGGAGAAAACACAAAAAGTCAAAGCGAGGTCTTAGTGTAGCATTGAGACTAGATTCTCTTAGGCTATAGCTGCGTGACCAGTTTCTGCCCCGTATGCCATGCCAATGGTCTCCTTGTATTCCCATAATTGTTCACTCATCAAAATTAGTCCCTACTGCACTCGGTTGACCCATCCCATGTTTTCAAGAGTGAAAGCGACTACAAGACTGTCCACACTTGGGAAGCGATCAACTATCTCAATGAAGACCGTAGGAACTTTAGCAAAGTTGACGTCACTTGTTGGACTATTTTGCAGCCACGCATGGTTGCCAGCAATCGCCAACCTTATCGTGCGGGTATTGCGGAAAGGAAATCCCGCTGGTGCGACTTTATTTAGCATTTGGCACACCAGTGCCTTTCGCTGTGTCCAATGCAAACAGGTCCCGAGTTATTGGAAAAATCTAAAAGATGGGGTTCCAGAAACATCTAACGCCTACCCCGCTATTTGTTCGGTGTCTTTGTTCGGAAGATAAGACGACGACAACTGCGATATAAATTCGACACCTCGCGACTTCTGGGGTTTTGATAGCCAGAACAAATCTCATACTATCGTGGTACGCAGTCGAGAAAATGACATTTTCCAATCTTGTTCTTCTTTCACGTGTCGTCCTTTGTGTTTATGCCTGGAGAATTCCTCATTTTACCGACCTTGTGGTTTTTGGGGATAGCTGGTCGGATGCTGGACGGCTACAATACATTGTAGCCCATAATGGAAGCATGCCTCCAGTTGGGTGGACTAGTAGCGAGGCCTGGAATATTCAATCACAAAAAGAGGAAGCCTTTGTTTTCTGATCGTTCCTGCAGGATTCCGTTGCGGCAGATGGTGGGCGCCCCTGGCCGTCGTATGTGGGACAGTATACCGGAGCGAGAGTGCACAACTACGCCGTTTCAGGAGGCGTGTGTTCGCATGCCATTACGCCAGAGATCTTCAAGATAACACACCAGGGTTTTCCGGATGTTGACACGTACGGTGTTCCCGCGTTCTTTGCGGATAGCCAGTATACGCTTCCCAACGGCACCAAATTCATGGACATCTCCCCTGAGTCTACTGTCTTTGCTATCATGATTGGGGGGAATGATGTGGGAGCCTACGCGTTTCTGACTGACTCACAAGTCCCCGGAAAGACTATTCCTGATTATGTTAATTGTGTATTCGAACAGATTGACCGTCTATATCAGCACGGGGCTCGTTACTTTGTTCTTAACCAGCTTGGCGCCATGTACCTTGCTCCACAGTACGCAATGCCAGCTACTGGAGGCCTTAAAGCAACCCAATACTGGCCAGACAAGTACAGCAACACTACAGCCGCCTCCCAACGAATGTTAGAGCAGGTGGCTCTTGTCAATGCAATATATGAATTGAGGACACCGCTGGAGGTGGAGTACCACAGAAGATACCCTGGAGCACAATTTGCCCTCGTGAACCTCGAAGCACTGGTGGGTTCTTCTCAGTTATGATGAGGATGTGCTGTAACTCACATTCTTCTATCAGATGAATGATATCTATCACGAACATTCAGACTATTTGAATGGCACGGCTCCCTTTAACGTGACGGGTTATTTGAACCATTGTACACTGGAAGGGACGGACTGCATCCGTATCGACAACAACAATCCAGACGCATTCATGTGGTTCGATGAGTTACATCCTTCCGAGCAAACTTGGCGCATGGTAGCCCAAAACTGTGTCGAAATCATTCAAGGCCGCAGCAAGTGGGCCCAGTACTACTCTGGGTAAGGTACCACGCATTCATGTTTGATTGAACGGAGCCTCATATTATTGTTGGTATAATCAGCTAAGTACCGTGTACATAGTGAAGTGAACAGTGTTTATGCTTCAAAATCAGAAATTGATTCATGTAGATAGATGTGTCTTCACACTCTAGTCGGAGAACGCCTCTTAATCCCACGCGCCGACACTCGGCGGTCACAACACTGGAGCCGCAGCGGAGCGCAAGAATGCTTACAGTAAGCAAGGGATGTTATCCATCAGTCGCTTACAGTAAGTCACTGCTAGTTTGTCCTGACAGGAGGATATGTCCCGACAATTATAGTAGGGGATACAGTGACATCATAGGACTTGGTCGTTTCTGCATTGTGGGCTGTTTATCTGGTTTGTCTTAGTAGTATCTACTGTCGGTATGGCGTTTATCGACTGTGTGAATCTGCCTGGTCTTCTCTACGGCAGCTGTTTCTGTCTACGTCTCTGTCTCTTAATCTCTCTCATGCCCCGATCTGCCTGTTCCGAAGAGGCCGCCTTGAGCTTTCCCACTTGTACATCTTTTAACCCAGATAATGTTAAGGCATCGTGAAATCTACTAGGGTACTTTGAAGGAATTTTGTTATTACTCCTCCTACTTTCTTCTTCCCTCAACGTCTCCCTCAGAGGCGGCGGGATCGCGGCCCGTCACGCGATCATAATTCGGTCGTTTCGTTCTCCGCAGTTCAATTCAGTTCTTACTTTTTCCTCAATATCCTAATGGTCAGGGCCCTAAATGGGGCCGTCAACAGTGAGTTACGCTATGTGACTGTTAAATTTCACATTGGCCCCACAATGCGATAGTTCGACATGGTAAATACTCCTATCTAAGCCTCTATACGGAAGTGGAACGACCGCAACTTGAACCGAGCACCGACCTGGAAATAAATCCGATATTTAATTTGAAATCCGACGATTTCCTTAGCCTCGCCAGAGAGTGCACGATAAAGTCAGTTAACAGCACAAAAGGAGGCCTGGCGGTCGAAAATGACCTACAGCGTGTTCAGCAAAGTCAGGTAGTTCATCTCCCCATGGGCCTAATTTACGCAAGCCAGCAGACGACCGAGCAGCTCGCGGACCCGGTGTACCTCTGACGTCGGGCTTGGAATCCTAGGCTCCCTGGTCGCGGTTGCCAGAATCTAGCCCTCCGTACTAGTTAGCGGAAACTTGGAGATCTGTTTCATGGGGCGGATGTTGCGGAAGCTGCGGGCTCTTCTTCTTCCGCGCCACCCTGGTCGTCACCGAGTACCCTCGCTGGGTCAGTGATACAGTGGTCGATCTACTTACATATGTTGCTCAGCCACCCTTTGGGATCGGTTGAGCAGCCCGGTGTCCATATTTACCTATGTATAACCCGCATATTCTCATCTAAATCTTCAAAAACAACCCCAGCATGCCGCTTGTCTGAATCGATGTCGTTCGAGACGCGTGGTCCGCCAATGAGCTCAGAAACATCGCGGATGTCATTCAGCAGGTGATGCTGACGCATTTTAACGCCCCCAAACGGGACAGATACCAGGTAAGATGAGGAAGATATATGTCTCTCCAATCTGTGTTCCTCACACCACATCTAGATCATCACCCAACACGAAGATTACGAGATCATCTGTGAGGATACCAATCTGGGGTACCATCGTACCAAAAGGCTCGTGATCATCCAGATCCTGCAACAAGGCCGGAATGCAGTGCAAAAGCAGCAGGTATTTAAAGCGTTGTCGGAAAATCTGTGGGAAAAGTGCTCCGTGGCTGGGGAAGATCTGATAATTAGCTGTGCTGAGAACACCCAGGCAGACTGGAGCTTTGGGATGGGCATCGCACAGTTTATAACTGGACAACTTTGAAGATTTCATGTTACTTGAACATTGGTGCCCCTAGCGAGTTACGGTATCTTACATGCAGAGCTCTATGGATGAAGAAATGTGCATACCTCCCGCGTCTGAAAATTTGATGGGATACGGAAGATGTTTGGTGTTTTCATGAGTTAGACGTCTATCACATCTTTCTGGATAGGGAAACATGCTGCGCTAGTGAGCATGGTCAATCACAAGTAGCACTTCGGAATATCCATGTTCAAAAGGGGAACCACGACAGTATTCTATCTTTGAAACTCCTACATAGGTGGCTACCCACGTAAATGATACGAAAACCTAGGAACAAATGTAGCAGTCGCACTTAGTTGAGATTAGTCTCCCACAAATAAATCGTCCCCGAAAGTCATTCCCTCCAAACGCGACAGGCCGCCCAAAAGGTCCATCAACCACGGAATCTCTTGGTCAGTTGGCCACGGATTCAACGTTTGATAAAGTTCATGTTCATTGAACCCCATTTCTTGATATGAACTCAAAGCCTCACCGAGAAGTGTCACGTCACTGGTTCGTCGCTGATGATACAGCAGAACCAGCCGCTTAGCCGCATGGGTAGCCTCCCTCATTGTGGTCGTGATGTACATTGACGCAACTAGACAAATGGTCCCCATCGTTTCGGAAATTAGCTCGACAGATGCGCGAGTGTCCAAAACAAGAAGTACGTAAAGAGTGTGGAATGGGACGTTTGCAATGTGATGCCATGGACAACAAGCGTTTAACAGCCCCCGTGCGGACTCTAGCCCAGATTGAAGCAAAGCAAGGACGCGGTCAATGACCGACTGTTCAAAATGTGGGAGGCATGGATGAAGACGTCGCATCATGCAGAGAACTAAGTTACACTGAGCCAATATCTCCGGCTCGTGTGTGTAAACTTTCTGCAATATCGACACAAATGTCGAGTTCAGGTCTTCCCCATCATTTTCGTTTGCCGGATCCAAGCTAGCGGAGATGGGCCAAAGGCTGAGAACACCATGCGCGTACCCCTTGAATTTTTCTGATGGCGGTACTGATCCCTCATCCTGAAAAGAGACTCTCGTGAGACCGAGGTCAAAGGAGATCCACAAGTTCAGATGCTGGGCAACCCCAACAAGACGCTCCCTCGTGGCAATTTCAGATGCAGTGCCCGGCTGGTCAGACTGGTGGGAGAGCCGGTGGATGCCGGAAGTCTCCAGCATGTGCATGATATTTGAGCTCGCCAGCCATGTTGGGTACGGGGTGGACGTCATTCGCATATACAAAAGGCGGAGTATCCAACCTGTGAGCATCTCGACTGAAGGTGGAGAGGAACCTTCCGTTTCAAGCATCGACCGGGCAGATTGCGCTAGTTGAACTTCAGTCAAGGTGACATCCTGTGTCGAGATCAACAAGCCTTTTCTCTACTAGCTGAAGAGCAGCAATAGAGGTCATGAGTTTGCTCATGGATGCAAGCGCCATGATGGAGCTCATGGCGAATGGCTTCCCTTCGGAGGCACATTCGTCCTTTCCGAAAGCGTTTGCGTAGTGGAAACTCCCACTTTTGTTTGTTGCTGCAACTACCACACCAGGCCAAGTCCCATCCTTTACTGACTCAGAGAATATCATTTCGAGACTCTCCAGGGGATTCTGAGAGGGGGCATCGCAGACCATGACGCTATGGGGTTTGTGGTCGCAGGGACGGCTAAGGGGGACAAGTACTCCAGGGTTGAACACTGCTTTGTGAATGGGAAACACTTACTGGCGAGCATTCCGAGTTCATATATTGTGGGTCAAAGGCCAAATACCGGATTTGTGACCCACGTTGGACAAGGCAGTATTATTATCTATTCGTTGCCAGATCAGGAGCCCAAAATAGTTAGGTGTGCGGCAACTACGGCTATTACGGCTATTACGGCAACGATGGACAACAAAGATCGTGGATGTGCCAACCCCTAACAATTGTGGTTTTTAACGGGCCATCGCAATCAGGCCGTGGGGTTGTTGGATAGGGCAGTGGAGGAAGCTGCGGGACAGAGTTGTTGAGAACCATAAAGCAGATCGCATTAGCCATGACCTTCTCAGTGAATCCTGCTTAATGTACGCACAAATGAAATTACCTGAAGTCCAAGTGAACTACGTGTTGGGTGTAGGAGACAAGAAAGGTATCACCGTGCCCTTGATTGACGGTCTGGTTTAGTAGCTTTTTGTATTATGAACTTATTGATGCAGATACTACCAGAGGCAATCTCTCATGGCCCATCAGTTATATGGGAGGAATCGAATTCGCCATAGAAATGGGGATAGATCATGTCGGAGGCACTAGGCCCACGGACAAAGAAACCACAAGTTGTCTTCGGCTCTCAGGCGGAGGGGCCTATTGCAAACTTAGGTAGCCCCAAACCTGGACAACGTGAGTCAGTTCGCAATTCATGTTACAATTTGACACAACCGGGCCACCTGCCCGCCCTCATCAGGGACGTGTGGCACAAACAGACATAGAACGACCAGTTCTCGGTATGGGCTCGGCATTGAGTATTCCATTGAGAGACGACGAATGACAGATACCGACTTGGGCAGAGAGGATCCATCTCGTTTTGCCACCGAAACGGGGTCGGTTCCCTCCATCTTTGAAGACTGTTGTAAACAGCATGTTGGCCTAGTACAATTGAATTATACTGCTACAGCGTTTCTCATCTCCTCTACCAGGAATATTTTGGATAACTGGAGATACAAGAATCATTCTGGCAGCCTCGGGCATCAAAAAGGGAAGGAGGGTCCGGCTTAGTGATAAATTCATCCGTTGATTCGCGTCGGGTGGATCCTTCCCAAGCTTTGTTGTGATTTCTTACCACGGCTCTGGCTGCATTGCCGCAGCACCCGGTTGCATGATCAGCCAACTATCCCTATAAATTCTGTAACACTTGGCCACATTCCTATGGAAATCTAGAGACTCTGACCATGCTGCACTTTTTGAAATGACAGGCCCTGAAGCAGATACCATATCATGCTCCAGTGTTCCACAATCTGACACCGAAATAAACGGGAAATGGGCAATTGGGGCAGGAAGACCATTTCCGCCGGCTCTTCCAGACAGAGAGTGTTACCTCGTCGACTTTGAAGGACCCGATGATCCTCTGAATCCTCAAAATTGGCCATCAACCGCAAAGTAAATATCATTGCTTCCATGCTTGACCTTTCTCCTCTTGTCATACACCTGCCTGTCCCCTACTTCATTTACCTGTCTTGCTTTCGCGATCATCCTCCTTCACAATTACGGTCCTATCGCTCAGAGAGATTTGTGTGCTGACACTGATGTACTGCTAGGCTTCTTTCCTCTGCACTGGCTTGTTCTGGTACATTCATTGCTTCGTTGAACAGTGCGATGTTCTCCCCCGGAATTAGTCAGGCCAGTAGTGATTTTGGCGTCGGAACGGAAGTCATCACCCTCGGCACGACTCTCTTCGTTTTAGGCTTTGCGACGGGGCCGATGATTTGGGCGCCGCTGTCTGAACTCATGGGAAGGAAATTGCCTTTGGTGATTGCCATAATTGGAGAAGGTATCTTCACCATCGCTTGTGCGGTTGCAAAGGACGTTCAAACGCTTATCATTTGCCGGTTCTTCGCTGGGGTATGTGGCGCCAGTCAACTGACAGTTGTGCCTGGTTTGCTTGCCGATCTTTACGACAATACGTACCGGGGTGTTGCTATTGCCTTGTATGCTTTGACGGTATTCGGGGGGCCGTTTGTTGCGCCTATTGCCGGTGGGTACACAGCGTCGAGTTACCTTGGTTGGAGATGGACGCTATATATCCCGGCTTTTCTTGCCTTGGGTAGTGGCTTGCTTTCTTTCTTCTTTCTAAAGGAGACATACCCCCAATGTGTCCTCATTGCGAAGGCTGCTTTGATTCGAAAAGAATCAGGAAATTGGGGCATTCATGCAAAACAAGAAGAGGTCGAGCTTGAGATTGATGATTTGGTTGATAAATACCTAACTCAGCCACTGAGACTACTTATCACCGAGCCCGTACTTCTTCTTATCTCGCTCTATATGTCCTTCATCTATGGTTTGGTGTATGCCCTTTTAGAGGCATACCCGTATGTTTTCGAAGTCATACATGGCATGCACTCAGGCACTGGTGGTTTGAACTTTATCGGCCTGATAACTGGCGTTGTCTTAGCACTTGGATTTATTCTCTCGCAGCAAAAGCAGTATACCGAAAAGCTGGAAATGAATGGAAACATTCCCGTGCCTGAATGGCGTCTGCGCCCAACAATACTGGGAGCTCCAATGTTCGCTGTTGGACTTTTCTGGTGAGCAAGGCCGATCTTACGATGTTGACGAAGCGCTTAACCAAGATTAGGTTTGGTTGGACTGGTTTCACATCTGAGATCCACTGGGCCGCGCCGGCGGCCTCTGGTGTATTTATTGGCTTCGGAGTACTTTGCATTTTTCTCCCTTGCTTCAATTATCTTGTAGATGCCTATTTGCCAGTGTAAGTACAACTCTTCTCTATGCTCCTTTAACAGCTCGCTCACGATTTATAGCGCTGCATCTGCTGTAGCAGCAAATATTATCCTTCGTTCGGCTTTTGCATCAAGTTTTCCCCTCTTTACTCGGCAAATGTTCGACAACATGGAAGTACAGTGGGCAAGCACCCTGCTCGGTTGTTTGGCCACGGTGTTGGTTCCCATCCCATTTCTCTTCAGGGCGTTTGGACCACGACTGCGACGCGAAGCCCGATAAGGTCTACTCCCACTCTTATCCATCCGTGAATGGTTGGTTGGAACCTGCCTTTTTCCTTCGAGAGTCTCATTTCTCAGGCAATTGAAGTTGTTGACAATAATTCCCGAAATTTAGAATCCTCAAATCACAGTGAAGTTCACTAAATATCATTTAATTGGTGATTATTTAAAATTTCGCAGATCATGATCTGTCCATCACTGGTAGGCACGACTGTCCGAAAAGCCCGATCCTAGATACAAGCAGCACTTTCATCTTTGGACACTGACGCCAAGCCAAGTTATTACAGTAAAGTCCGCCTAGTCACATCAATGATCGAAAGTACTGGAGAATATTACGATGACGTCAACCACACATATGTAGGGTTCTTCACCCTACGCTGGATTCATAACTCAGATACTACTTCTGTATCAATTCTCAGCCGCAAGAGTTTATATTTGTTCGAGGATTATTTGAATGAATTCGGGACCATTGCAACTAGATCATCACTTACACAGATACTCTTTAGACCTTGACCATCTCAGTCACTAGCAGATATCTGCCAAACGTTCCTTAATTGATAAAGAATGCTGCGACGTCCGCCTTGAGCCGCCTGAACATATTCCGGCGCTGACCCACAGGGAAAGAGACGAAATGTCCCCCTACCAAAGTCTTAAAGTACCCAAATTCTTAATATTCTTCATTCAATCTTTCTTGATCTTTTCATCTGACGTCTACATCTATCGTCCTATCTCCAAAATGTCTAGAACAGTCACGTGGGAAGGGTCGTACCCTAATGGGTTGGGGTAAGGCCTATTAATTCTTGACGGGGATGCCAAGACCAGTTTGCCAATTGTCGAGACATGGAGCGGTAACTCCCTGCGTAGACAGGGTTACACTGAGTGTCCGACTTTCCCTTGTGTTTTGTATAGTAATTTGGAATCTTTGGCATTACGGCTGTCGTACAACGGTGTATCTTAGCCATCTATTGGGTATTGATATTCGTACATTTGCTTCAATCGATCAACCTTTGCTTCCATGATTGGTTCCCCTTGGCCAAATCCTCTATCCTATTCGCCTACTATGATTACTGGCCATTACTGTCTCAGCTTGCTCTGACAACTCTTCATTACCGCCTTCAGCCGGTTACTCTAGAATGCGGTCCAAATCTGGATAATCGCGTCCGCATTTGGTGTGCGCCAATTGTCACTCTCCGAAAGTCCCCTGTGATACTTTGATCTATAGCATGCCATGTACTAATTGCTCGTTGGACTTGGAGCTAGCTAAGCTTAGAGGAAGAAAGAGGCAAAGATGTGGTAAGCTTGTTCTATTGGTAGAATGTACGATTAAAAGATTTAACCCGTTTAAACTGAAACAAGCGCAAAGGTCTGTCTCCCTTGTTACGCCATGTTCGTTTGCGCGAGGCAAATAGGGAGCTCCCCGAGTGTATACAGCCGCCCTCAATCTGAATCCTCAGGGAAGACATGGATTTCCTGAGGCAGTTTCCGTGCGCCTTCATACTGTCTGCATAGCTCCGTCGCCGGATATATTCGATACGCTCAACCTTCATTTTCTATTCTGGAGGAGGGTTTTCCCGGCTCTTTTCAGGATGGATTGTCCGGCCAGGTTCCCAAGCTGAGTTTGCTGCATTTCCAGGGTATCCCCACCGCCGGTAGGCTGTTTCTAAGCACAGATGAAGACTGGAGGCAGATGAATTTGGCTTTCAGTCAATTTTCAACAGGGTCAGATGGCTCTGCATTCTCGACTAGGAAAAGCAATCATCCAACCACCGGCCAAGCCCTTATGCTGTTCATGCTATCGGCTCAGAGAACTAGAGGGCTGGAGTACTGGCTTCCCGGGGCCGTCTTCTTAAGCCTACAGACTAGTTCTAAATTGTGACACAACTCATCGAGGATTCAGCACTCTTGAACAGACCCTGCGAATAAAACACCCGGTGCTCTATTCTGGCTCGCGACCAGGAACTGAACAGGGATATCGTGTCGCCTTGAATCATCGGAGAACAGCATTGAAACGCGCAATTTGGAATCGCGTCTAGGTATCCCATGATCGCAACATGGGGTAGCCTGAATTACAGCCATTGCCTAGCATGCACTTTTATTGAACATGTCAAATTGGCAATGCTTTTGGGGGACCTACAATCCATCTCAGTCAGAAACTATGAGTGGAAAGGGGGAATTGTTGTCAAAGCCCTGCCCGTTGTTCACGGGGAATCTCAAGTCTTTCATACTTGACAATTTCGATTCATCGACGAAGCCTTGGAATGTAGAATTCACATATCTCCTCGGAGTATGTCATTCTAGAATATTGCCAGTTGTGAAAGGCGTTTAATGTCTCCTTGATACACAATATGAAATCCTCAAGCTCGCTCATCTCATGCTACTTTGCTTGTCAACGGTGTTGCAGAAACTGGAGAGGAAAGGCTCGTGTGAGCTTCAGATAGCTACACTCAACTAAATGAGCACCGAAAACAGGGGTCTTATGATCCCTGTCACAGAAGAATCGATGCTATCCGGGCAGGCCAATTTTAACAAAATTATAAATGGCGTGATGATGATGAGTTCATTTGCCCGATGTAGGTTGCTCTGATATATGCTGCTATGCAGGAGTGCTGTCAGGCCTGCCGACAGCTTCAAGGTGGTTACCAGCCCATTGAACAACCGTTTCATATGGCTCGCTGGGAGAACCCCCTGAACAATCGTTCGAGAATATAGGTACAAATGAGAAAGTCCCGGTTACGTAAGCAGAGTAAGCAAACCTTTGGAAACTCAAAACGAACGTCACCCACACCCCCCCATAACCCCGACGAACTTTACTACACACACAACTCCTTCCCCACACTCTTCTTTCTACACAGCCATCTTGACTGTCAGCTGCCGCTCTTGTGCTCGTTCGTATCAAGGGAATACTGTGGACCTGGCACTGCACTCCTCACGGGCGCCATCCTTCTCCTTCCGTGACACTGTCCTGCGGGGTCATTATTTTCCGTCGCCTTTTTCGACCCCTAAAGCCATTGGGTCGACTGCTTAGAACTGGATCAAGAGACCTATTCGTATCATGAATTCAGCCACAATTGCGCTGGCCTCTGGCCGTATTAGGAGCTCATCGAGACGACTAGCGACCCCGCGCTCTGACAGGGCGTTTCTCATCCAGTTGCGCTCATCCTGGAGCAGCGGGTATTCAAGCAAGATGTGACTGACTGTCTGGTTCCCCAGATCGCAACTACATCTCGCTGGCTCGCGTCGGTTGATTCGATGCAGGTAAGCCGTAAGGCCAATCCGCCCGGTGTGAAGCTGCATCAGAATTGATGCCGTCGCCTTCCGTAGGTCGGACCAGTATTCTAGGGTCTTCTCGGTTGGTAGTTCAACCAAGCGTTTTGTTGGCCGGCTTGTTTTCTCCGTGGTCCATGATCTCTCCCACTCGGCCTTCGCCTTACGGCGAATACTACGTTTGGCCGCAGCTGCGAGACGGATATACCGATTATCTGGGTTCTGTGGCCCTTGCGGTTCCAGGGCTGCCTCTTTTGCGTGTCAATGGACACGTTCGTTGCCAGCCACTCCCTGATGATTAGATGCCATTAGCTGCGTGTCGCCTTATTAGGTCAAGACACCCTTCCAGATAGACCTGCCCTGACGGCATCCGTGGTTGGCGGAGCGCCTTCAATGCCGCTTGGCTGTCTGCGAAGACGACAATGCCATTCTTCGCCTGTGTCACCCACGGCACCGTGCTTTCCAGGGCTAAATTGAGTGCCATCTCGATGCCGTGAAGTTCAGCAGCGTACACAGTGGACGTGTCATCATCCCCCATTTAGCTATGGGTATAGTGATTTTTGAGATCAACGACTACTGCTCCGATTCTTCCTTCAATCCCTCTCCCGTCGGTGTAGAGAGTCAAGGGCGTTTCTCTTAGGTCTTTGGATAGAGTATAGTCGTGGATTTTCACTGCTGTGTCTCTGTCCTCGATGATCACCTTTGGTGGTGCCTGCCATAGTGCCTGGACGAATGCTTTCCGACTCTCCCAGTGACCCGCCAAAGTACCGGGGAACCAGTGTATCGGATTGTAACCAGTGCGAATGCATGCCTTGAATAGCTGGTCGAGCAGTTGTAGGATGAAGGGCACCTCGATTAGCTTGTGCCAAAGAGAGTTCGGGATGCCGTCTTCTCCTGGCGCTTTCCCTGCCTTCACCCCTGTTACCGCATCCTGTATTTCCTGTGCAGTGATGGGTGGAAATTCAATCGGTTCCGGGGACTGGAAGGAAGCAGTGTCGAAGAGATCAACTAGCGGCGGCTGCGGGAAAAAGGCCGTCCGGAAGGCTTCTGCTTTCTGGTTGACCGTTTCTGCAAGCTCTCCTGGCCTTCCAGGGTCTTGGATCTTTAACGAGGGGGTAAGACCTTTCTCATACGCTCCGCTGCGGTTTTATAAACGGCGTCCCGATAATGCGTCTATTGTTGCTTCTTGCTATACTCGGTAGCCTTTCCGATCAGCTAGGCCCGGTGAGCCTCGCAAGATTAGTGGATTGCTGGCTAATTTGTCCATCGCGGACCTTCGGACTCACTATTTTACATCTCTCCAATCTGTGATAAGCGCTAATAGCTCCGACACTGTCTGCTATACCCCGGGGTCATTCCATGCATGGAAGTGCCATCCACCGTTTGGTATATGATCAGTTTGAAGATGCTTAGGAAATGGTCAGTTCTAAATGGGAAATGCCCACATTTCAATGAACGTAGTTAAAATGGAATTAGATTTTATATGCTTCTCCTGTATATTAGCAAATTGCATGCGCGACGATTGACACGTAAAGGTTTTTATTGAAAACCGAAAGTCGACGTATCAACTTTACATTATTTTCTATCATTTATAGGCATGTATTCCGCTTTGGAAGCCTATGATTTTTGTGTTGACGCTCCAGCGCAAGGTTGAAATAGGAGCGAGCGGCATTTGCCAAGAGAAAGTACGTTGAAGATTAATGAGCACCGCAATTTTACTGTCTCAAGCCTGCTATACAGCGCAAGACGGCGGAACAATAGTATTCCAAATGACCATGTGATTACTTCAAGGATGCAGCCAGGAGATCACGGGCCAATTTATCCCGTCAAGATTAGCCATCTCGGATACAGCGTTTCTCTTAGCACCAAAATGTACGGAATTTAAATCGTGGTGCCCACATTTTCTTGAAACACGACCACGAGTTGGATTGGGAGGCAACATGTGTCGCAACGGACAGGTAGAGGCGCTCTTGATAGGTTTGACAGAAACGAGTTTAAGAACGAGGAATTTATTTCGTTGATGGCAAGCTTTAAAGTTACAAGTTTGCTTGTGATGCCTTTATTTCCGGGCCTCCGGAGCCGAATAGCTCCATTCTAATACGACTAGATTCAACACCAAGGGTAAGCAACGAGGCGCGCAGATTCTGCATAAATGGTGCTGGCCCACAAATGTAATATTCGGCACGTCGGTCATGCAAGTAGAGGTCATCCCGAGGGTTCAGGCCATGGACATTCACGCGACCAACATGGGTAAAATCCGTTCCGGCTCGGTCTTCCGGCCGCAATTGCTCAACGTAGAAGGTCACCTTGGCGTTGACATTCATTCTAGCGGCGGCTACGAGGTGACTCTTAAAGGCTCGCGCGCCCGTGGTCCGCACCGCATGAATCATGTGGACGCTGCGCGTGACTTTGCGCGTGTTGTCCACGATACTGTTGAACATGGACAGAAGCGGAGTAATCCCAACGCCGGCCGCTATTAAGACCACCGGACAAGAGTCCTGCAGGCTAGTCAAGAAGAAGTCACCGCGAGGGTGGGACATTTGAATCGTTTTCCTGGGTGCGTCGAAGAGGTGGAGAAGGTTAGACACGAGTCCCTCTCGGTCCGACTCGCCTGGAGCCGGGTCGGTCTCGCGCTTGACACTGATTCGATAGTAGTCGGGATTCGGCCGATCACTCAGCGAGTATTGACGGGCCTGTGTGTATCCCAGCCGCGGCACATGTAGGCGAACTGACACATACTGCCCTGGTAGGAATGCTGGTAGCGATGCCCCGTCGGCTGGCCGAAGGATGAACGACGAAATCTCGTCTGACTCGGGGATGATATCAAACACTGTAAAATTCCTCCATGTGTCCCAGCTTCGGTCCTGCTCGTACAACGAGGCCTCTTTCTCAATCATGATATTCGCCAACTGCCAGTACGCGGCAGCCCAGGCGTCCTGGATGGCGGGCGTGAATGCCGTGGCGAGCACCTCCTGCATCGCGCCAATCAAGAATTCGCCCACGATCTCGTATTGCTCGGGAGTAATGTTCAAGGACGCGTGCTTGTTGCATATCAGCTCCAGGGCTGGGCCTAGGGCCACTAGGTTGTCGATGTTGGCGGCGTAGGCACCGAGGGCCCCCGCAAGGGCTCTGGCTTGGTGGCCTGTCTTCTGACTTGTGAAGTTGAAGACGCTGTTTAGCTCCGGATGGGCAGTGAGCATGTTACGGTAGAATACCGTGGTGATGTCGTAGCCATGCTGCTGGATCACGGGCACCGTCTGTCGAATGACTTCAATCTGCTCAGGGGTCATATCTTAGTCGGAAAGTAAGTGGTGGTCCTACTGGTAATGCAGTAATTTGAACAGCAAAGTTCGAGATTAATATGTAAACTTGCCAGGGTTGTCGCGCACGCTCATTGTTCGGCGGACCCGTTTTCCTCCGTCCAAATTTAACGCGGCCCGCAATACCCTTAGTACCCGTACATATCCCGAAAAATTGCCTTTGGATCCTGGGGATTGGATCACGATGAGTAACCTTTTTTTTAATTCTCACCGCATAAAAGGACGGAAAATTGGCGAATCAAAAGCTGTGAAACCGAGTGCTGTCGCTCGTCTAAACGGTGGCACCGAAAACAGACACCCCATCAAAAAATTTTGTGAGTGTATCATAGGCGCCATTTGTTATATTTCTCAGGTAGAATGCAATTAACCTAGCTATTCGTCACTTATCTCAACCCACCTTCATCCAACGAAGAACGGTCTTGGATTCGTCTTCTGCGGCTAGTATCGCTTCATGCGTGTGGTTCAACCAGGATAACACATACTTGGAACCATGCTACACGGAGTGATCTCCATGCGCAGGAGTTGAGAGCCATATTCTTAAATCAAAGCCACTGCCATATTTACAGTACAGATGCCGTAGAATTCCTTGCTCAGTTCTCCATATAATTCTATCTTACTGGGCTAATATTGTTTTTATAACTGCTAGACCAGTTGAGTCCGACGCTATAAAATCCTTATCTAGCCTCGCACTTGATTTCTAGTCAAACGGATTTTCTTTTCATAGCCCCAAACGCCTGGATTGAGTCTCCATCCTGGTTTATTCTGGGATAAAGTAGCTTACGAAGAACAAATATGAGACATAGCGAGGTCGAGATACTGGTCGGCATGATTCGGTGTATTATTCCCAGAAGGTAATTCCACTTCATAGTGCCATTCACTCAATTAATATTACCCTCGGCCGTCACGATCATTGCAACTACCGTCAATCGAGCGACTAGTGACGACACTTAGTACTGCAAGGTTATAATGGCGGAATCACACGGAGTTTCGTGATCTTGAGCAGCATAATAATTGTTTCTTGTTTCTCAGAGATTGCGAATTAGATCAGGGTATAAATGGAAAGTATGTACGTAGTCTATTTCTCTTTCTATGACCATTATCTGGTATTTTCGAACCATTGCACCCTTTAATGAAATCCTTCCCTTTGAATTTGGCCTAGCGGTAGACCAGCAGCTCGCAACCCCGCAGTAACCGAGTCCCCAAAATCGTTCGGGCCACAGATAAAGACCTCTTTATCCTTAGGTACATTGGCCCAATGTTCAGGTCGAATACGATCTCTGTGTACGGAAATTGTCTGGGGCAGCTTCTCGAGATCCTTGACGTCAATCTGCTCATCATGGGTGAATATGTCAATTCTGATATGGACCGCCAACGATATTTTTTCAAGAGATTGTCTCATCAAGCCTAACATGGCCTTTGCATCTTTTGTTGCCAGAACTAGCATAATGTCACCCTCGGCTGTCGAGCCGCGTTCCACAAGTGCACTTAGCATCGCTAGGAATGGAGTTATTCCAATCCCCCCAGCTACCCATAGCACATTGACCTTGCCATGATGCAAGGAAAAGTCACCTGTGGTACCTGATATCTGCGAAAACAGGGTCATCAAACGAACCAAGCCGCACTAATTCATTTGATGGGTGCTTCCTCAACATATCGAACAGAGCGCCTGTTACAGCGCCCCCTTTCATCTCGCGCGTTGTTAATTCAAACCATGGTACATATTGGTTTTCATGCATACTAGAAACAGTCCATGTACGCACACAATCATCATTGAGTGATCTTGGTGCAGAATGTGCCATATGTTGGTACTGGGGCGGACCTATCCAATCCATAAAGTCCAGAACGATGGCTTGTCCAGGCCGAACGCTCAGGTCGCTGACACCGGATTTGGTAATTACCTTGAACCTAAACACGGCAAGATCGGAGGAAATCTGGACTGCGTCTTGAAGCCGTGCTCGAGATTGCACAGCACTACTCGCCTGATTCCCACTCTCTTCCACGAGGTATTTGACGTTTGGGCTGTACGGACTGCGCTCAACAGTGGTTCCCGGTTGTTGTCGAACAGGGAGAGCGTCTCGAACGAACACAAATGCCGTCACCTGCATTGACGTAATAGCCGTATGCCTGGCCATGATCTTTACTACAGATGGCCCCACGAGATTCTCAGCTAGACCCGTCGTATAGAGGATATCGCCAGTTGTGAACGAAACTATAGTTACGCCACCCGATCTGCTAGCCTCGATGTTTCCCAGGCTGGAAAAAATCCGCTTCCCGAATAATCCGGAAGTATCAAAGTCCGACCATCAGATGGGCTGACGCGCACGAATCCTGGTAAGCCGCTTCTAACATTCATCCCTGCGTGTGAAGGGAACATCGTCGATTTGAACTCTCTGATTTGTAGATAGAGCCCACAAATACTGTGTCAGATTTGAGAATAAACTCAATGACCTCTTTTGGCAGCCGTTGATGGGGTGTCAGGTTTTCTTGCCTGTGCGCAACCACAGGTCGCGTATGTCGGTAAGGAATAAGTTTTCGGATATTGATATACTTTGGGCAATTTCTATCAATCACTTAGCAGTGGACATTTGTGAAAGACCTAGATGATCTTGTCCGTGTTACACTTACCCTAAGGCTTCCGCGACTTGCAAGTCAAAATGATACTCTGACACTGTAGTAGTGCTCACACTCCGTATAAAGCCCGCAAACTTGTTACATCTGCGTGTTTCAAAGTCGATACCTAAGCCAGCAACCAGGAATCTCTCGGGTCTTGCAGCCAGTCGATGCTTCGGGTTGATCCGTGCTTTCAGGGTATCCAGAAGTGGATCTCCTTCCCAAAGTCCAGCGCTGATGGATAGGGTTGTCGGATCCGGACTTTTCACGAACCCGAAATAACCACTAGGTCCAGCCACCACCGATGCCCAAGGACGGTCAACCTCATCGATAGTCGTAACTGGAGCCAAGAGTAAATTTGACGTGTGAAATTTGCGGTGCTGCTCAGGCAGAAAGTTGCTTATATGGAGCCAGCGATCATTGACGGCATCCGCGAATCCAAGCTTGCGTTGGACTGCCAGCTCGCCTGGATGCCATCCTTGTAGAGCTGTTGTCGCCATGGTGGAAAGTGACATGTCCTTCCCTAATGTCTGGCACTATCTAGATTCTGACATTGGCTCCAAAAAACGAAGAATCTTCTTCCCCGGGACACGATAGGATTTTTGCCAGGACAATAAGTGGTTAATAGGTGAATAGTTAGCAGCGACTGATTATGTAAACAGTAGGTTGGTGCAGGTTGAGAAATTGGAGAAATACCTTGTTGATGTGAGACAGCTCTTGATCCTTTGGAATGGTTAGCGTATGCCACCTCTACGTGACGAAAATGTCCCGCAACTTCCGCGGCCCGCACTCTGTCGTCAGCGAGGGGAAGATATTGTGGAAGAGGGGATATGGACTACCGAGGTACTATCCGCGAATGACAATTTCAAAGAGCATCTTTACCCCTGAGCGGATCCATTTCAAATGTCAGCGAACGGCTATTGCGGGTAAGTTATGACGGGATGTACCTGCGGACCAAAAAATACACGACGGTCTCGCGACCAGAACATGTGCATATAAACCTCTCCCTCACCTTATACTCCGTACACGGGTTGAATATATTATCTAAATCAAACCATCTTCGTTTATGATTCACATTTTATCCTCAGACGTTCCCAAAGGAGCCTCGATTTCTATATCACTTGAGATGGCCTCGTCTGCCAGATTGGTTCTCCATTACTTGGACATCGGAAGTCTTGGTCGTGGAGAAGTTATTCGGTGAGGTCCATAAGCTATGGATGCAAATCCTCACTGACAAGGAATTTCGGGATGGAAAGGCTATTTCTGGTAGATGCTGGTCTCCCATTTCAAGATATACGTTATCCCTATGATGACAGCTGGGCTACAACGGCCTCAAAACTTCTGGAGAACGGCATTTCTCGGACAGGCAAGGTGCCAGTACTTGAATATAATGACAATAAGTTAAGCCAGGTTTGTTTTGATCGGCTAAGGGCTGTGACCAGTGATTTACATATTCCAGCATATACCTATCTTGCGTTATCTATCTCGAGAGATGGGCGACTATGACGGACAAACAAGTCTCGACACGTACCTAGTCGACGCTATATCGGATATGTATATCGACTGGAGAGTAAGTTACGATGCATTCTGCCATAGTACAGGACCACTCTGATCAAAACATTAGGCTCAGTGGGTTGCGAACAGGAGGAAGCCCACAGATGATTACCAGAATGAATATGTGCCCAATTACTACAGAGTACTATCTCAGTATTACTCTGACTGTGGTGGCCCATTCCTTCTCGGCGATAGGATAACCTACGCAGATTTTGTAGTGTTCCAATCCATTGATAACGATGAGAAAATTGGAACCCTTCCGGTGTGTGAAAACAACATTTGTTCTGAACAACACGCGTTCAGTGCTAATTTTTCGGCATTTAGAAGAACCTACCAACAGCGATGGAGAAACTCATACAAGCGTTTGAAAGCCGTCCTCGAGTCAAAGAGTATCTAACAAATCGTCGCAACACAAAGGTGTAAGGGAGGGAGAGGGAACTGGACCTTTAACCATTCCTAGGGCCACCTACAATATTTAGCGAAGTGTTAAATTTTGCCCGTCCATCAAGATGGGCAGATTGTACTCTTCTGATCCTTGAATTACTCGGCAGGAGGGGAGACTTTCATATGTCTTTCTCTCGCTTCCTACTTCGCGATTCTCGGAATTGATGACCGCCCGTTGCGCATATTGTGGAGTACCTTTTCTGCTAATACACTCGTATGTTGCGCTCAAGCCTGAAGATATCAAATCAACATGGGAACATTCAACGAAGCAACTAAGCATGAAAGAGAGATGGCGAGAGAGCCATCCAAATAACGTAATTCCCAAGCGAGCTGCGCACCCCAACAAAAACGCGTCTTTCTAATCACCCCTACTACTTTGCCCATCCACCATGCCACCAATTCGCAACAATTCTGCCTATACGCGTGAGAATCAGGAGGTCAGGTTATTACTTGCTATTCAAGCTCTCAAAAATGACGAAAAACTATCTGTGCGACGTGATTGTGGAATTGATCCCCGGAATGAATTAGTGCGAGATATGGCCAATTTGATACTCTCTCAGCGTGGCAAGGACACCTCATTAGTACTGGGGAAAAACCGGGTCACCAACTACATTAAACGCAAACCAGAGCTTGATTCTCGCTATTCACGCCGAATATATTATCAGCGTGCTCTCTGTGAAGATTCAAAGCTTATTCAGCAGTGGTTTGACCTTGTTCAAGATGTTATTCACACAAACGGTATCCATCAAGATAATATCTATAATTTTGATGAGACCAGCTTTGCTATGGGCCTTTGCAGCACTACTAAGGTAGTCACATATACTGGCTATTATAGAAGGAGGGCCAAAATTGAACCTGGTAATCGTGAATGGGTTACAGCTATTGAAACAATTAGCGCAGGTGGATGGGCGCTACCCCCAACAATCATATTCAAAGCCAAAACCTACAATTTAGCTTGGTTTTCTTCGCAAATTAACTACCCTCGCAATTAGCCTATTGAAGTTAGTAACAATAGATAGACAACCAATGCCATTAGTCTTCGATGGTTAAAAACCCACTTTATACCATTAACTACTAGCCGAACAAAAGGGAAATGGCGTCTCTTGATATTAGATAGACATAGAAGTCATATGACTACTTAATTAGATCAGATTTGCTAAGAGAACAATATCATACCTACATATATACCATCATATTCATCCCACTTGCTCTAGCCACACGATATAACTAGGTTGTTTTTCTATTAATAAGCGAGCATATAGTCAATTAGTCCAATCAATGATGGTGAATAGTTAGTGTGGGCTATATTAATAAGCTAGATTTCTTGTCTAACTACCCTCTTGCGCGCAATAAGGCATATACACCATCAACTATAGCAAATGCATTTGCTGGTGCTAGACTTATTCCTCTCTGCGCAAAGGGTATTAGATAAACTGAATATCCAGCTCTTTACTCCTAGCCCCCGAGGGAGTAGGGCAGGTGATAGTAGAAGCAGTGGATTTATTCCCTATACACCCTAGAAACTAATTGAAATTCAGCGTCAAACAAGGTCAATTAGCAAGCTACTAAAGCAGGCTCACCAGTCAGGGCTAGATATTGAGAGTGCTTTAGTGCAAGTTCAACAATTAGCAAAAAGTGCGCGTTCAAGTATGAATAACAAAACTCTATACTTAACCGAACTCGACCGATTACGCGCTGCGAACACTAAACAGCAGAGAAAACGTGGTATTCCTAGCTTGCGTACCTACAGACCTAAGGGCTGTACAAAGGAGCAATGGGAGAACGAGTTTATTCAGGCTACTACCACCAATACTACTACTGCAGTAGTGGAAGCTGAGCCTAGTGCGGGCACGGCAATACTCTTATCAGAGGAACCCACCTCGCTGTGGTAATTGTGGCACAATTGGGCATAAGAGAACAATGTTTAACGAATACTAGGCCACGATAGGCCCTGACGAGGCTCTAAGTTCGTTTAGGAAGTAACACGCAGAAGATGTACATCTAGAGGTATATTCGTCCCCTTGCTGCGTTATATATAATTACCGGGTTCCGAGACAGCGCTTTCAAGTCATTCTCGAGTATCCCATGGGGCATCTAAGGCACAGAGGAATTGGTCCTATCCCAATATCAAGGATGAACCAACTCTGCAGATTTGTATTTAACATATCCTCTGCCTGCCACTCATTTTATCTACAGTCGATTTCCCATTCACGATTTTCCCCTGTGAATGGGGCGCCGATTCCCTGAGCAGTTTTCAGCTCCGAATCTGCAACGTTCTATTAAACTAGGTTTCATGCTGGAGTCTGGGCACAAGTATAGATCAGTATGTGCTGCAATTAGCGATTTGGCCTCATAAACATCAGACTACAATCTCAATCCATGTCCTGCACTAGGTGTTTTGAAGCGCAAGAGTGAGGAAAAATTCCACTACCAGTGTGGTCATGTTGCGAAGAAAGAAAAAATCGAAAAGACGAACACAACGGAAGAGCAAAATATGGATATCTTCATTGAACATGACTCAGACTGTGAGTCTGATTACGAATATTTAAAAGCAAAGACTGAGGCTTTAGTCAATGAGGTACGGAGTCGGAAGCGAAATATACGACGCAGGGTACAAAAGAAACCAAAAGCATGGTGTTGCCAATGCGAGGCTATGCATGCTTTGCTTTCACTCACTCTTCAAAGTCTTCCAAGGCTGAGTGCGTTAAGTTTAAAATTTTGCGAAACGTTAGAAACGGAGGATTGGGTAGAGTCTGTTGTTTGGCGCATGACCATCAGGAAAGGGCCTTACGAGCACCATATTCACCGCGGCAGAGCTGCAGCTTAGTTAATATGAAATAACGCAAATTCATAAAATAAGACAATAGCATTATTACATCGTGTCTTCCAGTCGACTAAAGCCTCAATTCCCTCTAGCCTTATGTCACAGTATCAATAGATCATGAAACAGCAATCTACAGTAAATCCAGACAAAATGCAATCCTACCACCTTTCACAACCAAACCTTCTCATTTAATGCCCAATCAAGGCGTATCATCAATCTCAAACTTCCTCTTTTGAGGAGATTCACGTCGAGGCCGCCAGCAGTAGATAGACAAGGTGATATATCAATTCCGCCGCACTTCCAAAATCCACCTAGCAAGCGGTATGCTCACACTTGAAGTTGCCTTTCAATTGTTGTAAATAGGCTGGATTATGCCATTCTAGTGGACTTACAAAAAATTGAACCATCCTTTTAGACGAATCTAATTTCTTGTTCCCTAAGCAGAACGGACACAACCCTGCTTTGATAGGGGTATGGCGGAATATCAGGGGGTTACATCGAATGAGTGCTTCTGGATGATCAAGATGCTCTCTGCAGTGATCTTCCTATTCCTAAGACTTAGTAAATTAACGATCACACTCGAAGTATATTTCCGTAAATCCAATCTCATCGACGAGTTAGTGGCGGGACTTATGGCACTAGTAAAGATATAACTACCTTCTATAAGCCACGAGCCTAGATAAAAAGAGTATTAGCTTTATAGATATTATTCTAGCAGTACAAAACGAACTCTTCTATTAGCTTTCTATATAGGTATCTTCTATTTTAAGGTTATAGGGAGTTTCGATAGGCTATTAAGTCTATCTCTCTACAAAGGAACTCTAAAGCTACTAGAGCCTTCCGACTATCTAAGTGCCGTAATTTAAGTCTTTTTAGGAGTAACTCGGCGAGAATATCTCTCTATAGTAGAACCCTTCGTCGATAGTAAAAAAGTGTTTATTCGTAGATATTCCTTTAGTGCTCTTCGGAATCTATCGTCTTTTAAGGTTACGATACTTATATTTTCTTTAGTATATCTCTATAAAGCCGATCCCTCTCGGCTAAAAGCTAACGCTATTAAAGTTAAAGTTTATATTTTAATCCGCCTCTTCGGTAATAAGTAATTATAATCCTAATAGTCCTATAGCACGAATATCCTCCCAGTCTTTAAATTTAAATTCTACCTTGTGCGTCTGGTCATTAAACCGTAGAAGAAGAAATCGTTCGTGCGCACTAATCAAAGTGCCACGATTATGGAAGAGCGACGAATCAGGATAGAACACAATCGGCTGATCAGACAGAAGAATCAAGCAGTGGAAGGTTGATCCGGATGGTCTACTATGCCCGGTAATTCTACCCGTGATAAAAGAGATGTCAAACTTGTTCATTCTAACTAGGAAACAGAGTGCAATTTATAACATGAGGAACATAGTGAATATCACATGAGGAAATCAAGAACATTCGAGGTCATTTTGGAGTGTTACGTAGTCTCCTGCCTAGGTAGGCAATGTTGATGCGATTGTTGAAGATCAATATGATATATCAAGCAGGGTAAGCAGGGTAAGCAGGATGGTTTATGCAACATGATTCCTCCAGGATCCAACAGAGTAGGAAGCAGACGTAAGATCTTATGCACACGCATACTTATATGCTGACAATAGGTTATAGTATATCCCTATTCTACAGCGATTTTAGATATAGTTACTCCGGCTAGTAATTCCGAGATAGTTCGCTAGTCTATCAATTTTGCTAAGAGGATATATAGTACTTTCTATATATATCACGATTTACTTAATCTGTAAATTGTATTCTTGGTAGCTCTAAGTGTTTTTAATCTATTTATATTTAGCGAAGTAAACGATATTCCTTTAAGTAGGGGTTTTACCTACTTATATTAATACCTAGCGTCTATAACTACGGATAGTGATATTCCGAGTATATCCGCTACGATAGCTAAGGTTAGTAACCTCTTTACTAAATATATTAGCTCCTCGGGCCTTCCTAGTTAATTTTTTAAAGCAGATTAGACGAAATATTTGTAGATTGGATTCGAGAGCACTGTATATTTCAATCTGTTTGACATCGAAATATAGCAGTACATGTAGTGGCATAACTCGCGCGAAGATGTAGATTCTAGGCTCTGGTTGGTTTTTCAGATATCAATTTGACGACAGGGCCTGCTGAAAACACCGTGAAATAACCTAAAGCCAAATACTTCAAAAATGTTTGCTTCAAAGACACTATGGATTGAGGTTGAGAGGTGAGACACACGTGAAGGATGTCAACTGGTCCGTGGTAAATGCGTCGATCATTCCTGTCAGGAGGGTTAGAGTTGCTTTTTACGGATTTTGAAGGAGCAACGAAATTCGACATACCAGTGACAGCGGCATACATTCCCAGACCACACATCGATAGTGATGCGAGGAAATAAAGAATATGCCAAATGTTAATGCCAACTTGGAAGATGCCGCCCGCAAGGAATCCACGAAGATATTTCTGAGCGGTGCTACCCTCCCTCGTGACTCGTCCCGTGATCGGATCAAACCCTTCACCTTGTCGAATGCCGTTCTTCTGGATATCGAAGCTTAGTGCAAAGAGGGGCGGGAAGCTATATGTAAGGTTGAGAAGCATTGATGCCGAGATGACCGAAACAAAGCCCATGTAATCCGGAATGGCAGCGGCAATAACAAATGCGATGATCCACCAAATGGGACACAGAATGGCATACATGATCTTGCCAACTCGGGTGGTGAGAGGGGGCGCTTTGAAGATATCCAAGAAGATGTTGTTATAGACAACCTTGACACCAATGTTTCCGTAGAGGCCACCGGCAATGAGAGCACCGATCAATGTGATCATGTTCCCGGCCGTCTGCCATCCATAGGTGCTCACTCCCTGGTAGCTCGGGTTATAGCTATATTGCCCTTGAAGGCGGTAGACAACGCAGCCATAAATCAAGTACACACTGTAAATGAAAAACTGGGCACCCCACATAGCTTTGATGAAGTCGCGAGGTCGTCTCATTTCAGCCAAGAACTCCACAAAGAGCTGAACACCCGCATAAGCCAGGACACCTGACAGCATCCCATTCAGAGAGCCGATCAGCCCATCAGGAGGGATATTGTTGTAATGGATAATAGGAGGATAGTTGCCCTGCTTATCGGGAAGGATAGTATCCCGGTCCACAGCGCTGCCCGCGGATCCGAGTATAGCGACGGCGTAGTTAGGCGGAGAGTTGGCCATAACACCCATAGTCATAAGAATAACAAAGATATTCAACCAGACTGCTAGATTTGCCACCCATCCATAGGCCCGTAACGTACGGATTTGCGAGATCACGAAACCTGCGCAAGCGAAAATCACAGGGCAAACGGCATAACATAACTTGAACTTGGACATCTGGGAGATATTCTGTCCAAATTGAATCGTGACTTGACCGGTAAGAAGCAGCAGTGCGAGACCTTGGCAAAAATTGGTGATATAGCGTCCATATCGGCCAACCGTTCTAAACGCCAGATCCCCGTAGTTCCGAGTGGGAAACTCATAGCTATCAACTCCAAGAAAGACACGGTAGACGAGATAGCCAGAGTAACCAGCCATAAATCCAAAGACTGTATAGAAAGCGACGCCTATTTTCACAGTTAGTTTCTGATCTGACCGGTATTACCACAACGATGTCACACCTGGCCCCCATCCTAAGGTACCCATAGTATAGCCCGAGCCGTAGGGTCCCAAAATGTCCGTGGTAATAAGGAAAAAGCCTGTGCAGATTATCAGTAAATATTATAGCCCCCACTTAGGCCTTGAAAGGATTTGGGCATTGAATCAAACTCACAAGCACCAGTCGAGGCAGACCTAAAGGCACGACTTGCATTTGTCCATTCCTCATCGGTGATCTGCAGCCGCCTGTCCGGGTTTCTAAAGTCTGCCTCAGTCAGAACCGTGGATGGGATGTGATCCTGGGCGTCTGTCTCGGCGGCCTTCTGAAAGAGCTTCCGAACATTGGAATGCGGTGCTACTAAACCCAGTTCTTCCTCTCGGGTTCTGTTCGCATAATAGAGATATTCCTCGAAAGCTACGCTGGAGTCGTAGGGTTTGCGAGCCTGGGGCTTGATCAAGGAGGTGTAGCCCACCTCGTGGACACCAGGCGCAGGCTCGGTCCTCAGTTTTTCGTCCATAGCCAAGTGCGCGTCGCGGTGATAGTAAGGTAAAGTGATGCGATTTTGAGGCGAGAAGTGCGGATGTCAGGCCTTAAGAGTAAACTATCGGACTAGCCCGGATATTGACCTTATCTCTCCATTCTTGTCCGTGCCTAGACACGTCAGTGGCTCCGGGCTAAGGTTACATTGAAACCCCAGAGTACCATATACCAAGCACTAACAAGCTTTTTTCGGAGTGTGTTCGGACAGAACACCCCGCCTCTTAAGGGATCGCCTGACCGTTGATTGGTGAAGCCGCCTCTCCACCCCAAGTATCCACTTCGACATTTCCTGGTTTGTGATTGTAATTGTCCGGTTAGGCGATTGTCCGTTTCAGCCTAGTTACAGGGGTCCAACAAAAAAAATCGCCCCTCTATACACCGGGCGGTCAGCCAGAACTTGCCACCTGCCCTTCCGCCTACCTCATACGATTTTAGAGATCATCTGGTTGATCAGATAGTCTCTTAGTAATATAAAATCCGGCAGAGAAACAGTGGGGCTTGTATAGAGCGTGATTATTTTTGTTGAACCCCTGTAGTTAATACTTCAAGCGGTACTGCGGAATAATCCAGAAAGACAAGGTAACCGGGGTAAACGGGCTTATAGCCTTTGATCCCTATCTGCAGCGAGATTGTGATCCAATAATGATGGCACTACTGGTGCCACTACGCAAAGGGACTCAAGAAGGCAAATCGATCGAATTCGAGCTCCACGACAACTATCTAGGAAGGAAGAAGAAGAAAGCAAAGAAGCGGGCCTAGATAGGCTGCTTAGCCAATCGAGCAAACGGGCGCTGATCCTGGAAGCCTCCTAACAGGAATCTTCCCTGGAGATCTCCCAGGGGAAATCTCCATCAAATAATTAATATCATTGCTTCAGGATATGATATTTTCCTGACTTGGGAAATGAACAGGATCCGCGAAGAAGTGCGACGTGCATTTTCTACGATTGAGTGGAGCGTTCTTATCCAGAATGGAGTTCTTTTTTATCTTCAATCTAGATCGCTTGATATGTATGGTCGTACTATTTAGAAGCTGAAGAGTCGGTTCCGGTTATTCCTTCAGGAATCGCTCTGCACCCCAGTAGTCCTCTTCAAGGCGCACGGGGGTGATCCTGACTGGCGTTCCAGCATCATAGGCCTCGGCCATCTTTCCATTCCCAACGTACATGGCAACATGGTAAATGGTACTCGGGTCGCTCTGGTTACTCGCATAGAAGATGAGATCTGCAGGTTGCAAGTCCTCCTTGGAAACGCTTGTGCCGTGTCCAGTGAAATCAGCCTGGGCATCTGAATCTCGCGGAATCGTGATGCCATGAGCATGGTAAATGGTATGCGTAAATCCTGAGCAATCAAACGCAAATCCCGACATGCCACCCCACAAGTATGGGCGATCGAGAAACATCTTTGCAGTGTTGACCAGGTCTTCTTTGGTTGGGTAGGGAATTGCCTTGTCCGAGTCATAGACTGTTACATCACTCGTGGACAGGTACGCTGATCCACCGCTTGGAAGAGCCACCTGAACGACGCCACCGGTCTGACTGAGGACGGGGAGACGAGTGTCGTAGCTGAGTTCAACGTACTTCAATTCCAAGCGTGCGTCACGGTAAAGCGCAGCAGTTGGGACCTTATTAACTGTGGCAAATGGCTTGGTCGACTGCAGCTTTCCATAGCTTGCGTCAAGCGACACTTGATTTGCAGGGATCCAGCCAGGGTAGCCGAGCGTATTCTTTGGTGTCGGCTGCCCAGGAACAGCCACTTCGTACCACCCATCCTGGTAGTTGAGGATGTCGACGGGGACACCGTAGAGTGCTTGTGTCTGGGTGCGGCTATTGTCCGTGAGATCACGGAACTGCGAAACGTTCATGGAATCCAGCCAAGTTTGGATTTCCACGGGGTTGGTAAGAGCTGGCTCGTCAATGGGCCGTGGCTTAGTGGGATCGGTCCATAGTGTCGCGACGGCGACGTCGATGAACGCAGTCTGCACATCCGCACGTGGAAGAAGTTCAGGGCCCTTCCCAGCCCTCGGCTGGGCTGTTGCAACCCCCAGGGCAAGCGAAAAGATAATTGCTGACAACATGGTGGTTTGGGATAACTATGAGCCGGCACCAGCATGCAGCCAGCCGCTATCAGCAAGCTTATGTATCGCAAGCTATCGCCGCGCACGGGGACATGGTCTCTATAGTTGTGCAGCCTCACTGTAACATTAACCCGATTGCTATCTATCAATGTGTGGAGAATGTCTGCTCTCGCGCCAAGAGTTCTCTTTCTCCGATCACTCTCTCCGTGCTCTCTCCGCGCTCTCTCCGACAGACAGACCCACTACGGCACCAGCGACCAATTGCCGCAGTTCACGCTGATTGACCTACCTTCCCAACTAGGCATTAGCGGGCGTGCCTGCGTGAGCTGTGCACTGATAACATTTGGCTCATTTGATTTGCTCTCATTGAGCCAGAGGAAACTCGCCGATCTTCCTCCGAGGGGGCTACCACTCGTATGTAGAAATGAATAATAGGTTTCGTGCTTGACAACCTCTTCAGATTTATTCTGTTATCAGCAATCTAGGGGCATCAAATCTTCTTGGCATTCTGACACGGATTGCTTTTGCCAACAATGGATGGCCAAGATAGCCGTGCTCTGATGAGCGATGCCGCTGCCATGCAATCACAGTCCGCCGCCGACCACAGATTGAATTCTAGAGGTGAAAATCGAAGCCGGCTGGTGGTTCGCCGTACACCTACTCCAGGTATATGGAATCCAGTCAAGATTATCACTATTGCTTCTCTTGCTCTCGGGGTGTGGATAGCCGCAAATACCAAAAGCATACTATACGGACAAAGCATCGACCCACTAGACTATGAGACTCGAAAAAACCGACTCCTTTCTGAGACACCTCTGATTGACGGACATAATGACTTGCCTTTCCTTGTTCGGCTGCAGCTCAACAATCAAATATACGGTGACAACTTACAGTTTGACACTGGTGAGAGTTACCTAGGGCCGAGGGATACCAGTTGTACTGACTGTGGTTGCGTTTAAGGCCTAGCATCTCATACGGATCTGAAACGCATGAAAATGGGAAGAGTGGGCGGGCAGTTCTGGTCTGTGTTTGTCGAGGTAATAAAGAAGTGAACCCCACGAATCCAAGCTTGAGGAGGACTCACAAGGCAACTAGTGTCCCCGAATTGTACACCTTGACGATCCGAATGTATTGTCTTCCCTCCTTAATCGCCCCTAGCCTGAGGACTAACATCGAGAGCAATAGCACTCCGTTCGAGACACTCTGGAGCAGATTGATGTAGCGAAACGCTTGATCGCCAATTATAAGGACCTTCAGTATTGTGATAATGCCAGATGTGCTTTACAAAGCTTCAAAAGAAAGCGGATTTCATCTATGCTCGGTGCCGAGGGTTTGCACCAAATCGGATCGTCGATTGCTGTTATTCGTCAGCTATATGAGCTTGGCGTACGGTATATCACAGTCACCCATAACTGTGATAATGCGTTCGCCACCGCTGCGTCGACCGTTACCGAAACAGGAAAAGACAGCGGACTCAGTGACTTTGGACATGCTGCTATCCGCGAAATGAATCGTCTCGGGATGATGGTCGACCTCTCCCATACTTCTCATCGAACCATGAGGGATGTCCTGGCTATAACTCGGACACCTGTGATATTTTCTCACTCTGGATGTTACAGTATCGGGAAAAGTATGCGGAATGTGCCAGACGATGTGCTTCGAATGCTGAGCGATAATGGTGGTGTTATCATGATCTTTTTTGCGAAGAAATTTGTCCGGCCTGAGGATCCGGAAAATGCCAATCTGAATGATGTCGTGAATCACATCTTTCATGCTGCGTCACTTGCTGGGTGGGACCATGTTGGAATCGGTAAAAGCCCCTGTCAATTGATTGGAAAACGTTCATATTAATATATCAAAAGGGAGTGATTTTGACGGAACAGGGAGTGTTGCAAATGGACTCGAGGATGTGTCTTCGTATCCGAGGCTTATCGAAGCAGTGATGCGGCGTGGTGCAACGGATGAGCAAATCAAGAAGCTGGTCGGTGAGAACATTCTTCGAGTGTGGCGGGAAAATGAAAAGGTGGCTGCAGAGATCCAAAATGGTGTTGATAGTCAGCCTGTTGAGAGCTTCTGGGAGGGGAGAGCACAGCCGTCCTTTGAAGGGTCATTACCTTCACTCAAGGGATTCCAGTAAATCTCCGCTGGAAGAAAAAGCAAAGAAAATCAAATCAAGAACTTAGACAATAGAAATATTCCTTCCCCAGCCTTAGTTATTGTTGCGTGTTTTGAGCCCGACAACGACCGTCGGCTGTATCCGTCATACCGACCCCCCCTTCTCCTGGCGCGCTAAAACCACAGACAACCGCAGCCTGGGCTCACCCCCGCTTATCGCCTCGATCAGAGGCCATCTTTCTCCTTGAGAAGGACAGCTTTCAATGTCGAGCCGCACCCATAGAAGTCGCACGCAGCGCCCTCCACGGGTTGCATCTTGTGAGCCATGCCGCCTCTCCAAGTTGGCGTGTGATCATCGGCAGCCGTGCTCTCGCTGTGTTAGCAGGGAAATCACCGGCGAGTGCATGTACCGAAAGAATGCATTCAAGCGTGCTCGAGCTTCAATTCCATCACACGAGTCACGGTACGCTTTCTATCTCAGCCCAAATTTCACGCCAGGCACCAGGCATGGATTCCTAATGTAATCCCAGGATTCAGCCGGCATTTGAGTCGACTCCAATGTTGGTGGCGATGCAACCAGCCCTTCCTGTCAACCAGTACCCGAACCCAGGATTCCAAGGATCATCATCTTTGAATACAGTGCTAGATACCTTACGCCAACAAACAACCACTTTTCTTGACCTTGCACAGGATGTTGGCCTTTTGACAGAAGACGGGGTTAATGAAAGAGCAAGCTTTTCTGCAAGCCAGTCTATCAACAGTGCCTCCCTCATGGAAGGAACTCGCTTGCTCGAGACTATTGTCACGTCACACCTGGATGCATCATTGAACGTCATTTTCTCCGGTTGGAAAGACAACGGCCTCGAGTCGCACGTTGGCGCCTTCCTTGTCCAGCCGTTCCTCAACTCCATCTCAGACAAGATGTCGCAGTTGCGACAGGCTGAACACCAAAGGGCTGAGTTACTCAACCTATCTCGCTGTCTTTTTGAAAATAGCAGTCGAAATGTGGGAATATGCCGTTCAATGAAATTACAAGACTTTATCGAACAATATACCGGTTTAAATCTGCGCTGGGAATCGTTGGGGGTGGTATTGACTCTTGCTGGGTTAGTCAACCTACTGGGCCTGCGCACAGGTTCTTGTGTTTCAAGATGCTAACGAGTTATCTAGCATTGCTGTGACTGAGTTCCGTGCCCCACATACACTATATAGTACTGAACAGGAAAGGCAGGCATTGCGATTGAATCTCATACACCTTGGAAATAGATGTGCGGCGTTTTGCGAAGCACTAGATGTGCTCAACGATATTCATATTATATTTCTCTACCAAACTTTCCAGTTCCAGTCGGTCCTTTACGGTGACCAAAGTGTGCCCCACTCCCCAGGTTGGACTTGAAATAACATGGGACTGACACAATCTGATACAGGTTTCAAAACATGGAATCGGCTTAATGACGCTGCCGGTGCTCTGTTAGCTGCGGGACTTCACGAGGACTTCCAAGACGGTCAAGATTCCCCATTCTTCCTGGAAGAGATCCGCAGACGCGTCTTCGCCCGTCTTTATGGAATCGATATCAGCTTGGCCACATTCCTCGGGAGGCCACCACGTATGAGTAGAAGGTTCTGTTGTATTAATCTACCACTTGATATTGATGAGGGCACATACCACCTGATAGGTGATTCTCTGTGTATCGAATTGGAAAGCCTTGATGAGGATGGATGGAACAAACTAGGCCGCATTCGCATGAGCGCCGTCATGCGATGGTCCACCCTCACCGCGATGATCCGTGAAGATACTTTAGAATTGCTATTGGGGCGGAAGGTAATGGATATAACACAGCGAGTCACGTATGTTCTACCAATCTTCTCCTCCTTTCAGATCTGACTCAACTCTATATTAAGGGCTTTGAGGCGTGATATCGCTGACGCATGGGGAAGACTCCCCCATTTTCTCGTCACACCATCTCACGGCGTTTGGAATGGTCAAAGAACCCGCCGCGAGAGAGAATGCTTACATTTCATCCGCTTATATTACCTTCAAACTTCTTTTCTTATTGAATGGGCCGCCTGGAGACATTCCCTTGAGTCCTCTTTATTTGACTCTACAAGTAAGCTCCTTGCCTGGGTTAATGAGGCATTGGTTCACCGTGAACAGCTCCCAAATCTTGGCTTCATATCTCTAGCGTGGAGAGTAGCCTCGTGTGCTCTTCCTGCAGCAGGAGCTCTTGCGCTCTACCTTCTACAGCCATCCACTCAGTCTCGCTTCAAAGCCTTGGATGTGACATCGCAACGCAAGACTATTGAGAATTTCTCTGTTCTCATTGCGCATATGGATATTCTGCACAGTCCCAATGATGGCAATTTCAAACTCTTTGGTCAGGCTAAACGGTCTTTGCAATCTGTTCTAGATATTCTTCTGCAGACGTTGGGTGGAGATGAACTCGATGCACACACCATACCTGCGTCAGCTGAGGTCACGTCCCTTGACTGGATGAATTCCGATTACTGCGGGTTCAATGGTGGTTTTTGGTATGTGTCTGGGATATCTTTTGGCATCATATTCTTAACTAATACTCTAACAGGGTTAACTTTCCCGATTGCTTGTATATTGGGGGCAGTGGTGATACTGTCTTGGAATGATTGATTATGGAATAGTCTTTTGAATATCTAGTAATATTGTCTGAGCTGAAACTGCCATGTCGGATGTCTTCGCTATTTAGAACCCCAACCGACTTCGAGAAATCATAAACGTAGACGAGACAGTCAACCTCCAGCCTTTCTCCGCTGGGGCGGCCGATAGCGGCCATTGTTCAAACCCCTTTCTTTAACGTAATCCACGGCCGAACCGTACACACGGTCGAGCCGTACACCTGACCCCATTAGAAAATTTCAAAATTGATTATCTCAACCAACACCCATTATTTCGACTAGGTATAGCCATTTTTACATGAATTGATCCTGTGGCCAATCTCCCTACACCCACTACACCTAGGCGAGGCCCTAGTACCTGGTCTATCTGCCTGAATAGGCAATTCGCCCAGCGTGTTCGAATCTAGCTGTGCAGGTAGCAGTAGGTCCTTTTCAATGGTTAAACCCTCTTCGCAGGGTAGGTACTTAATTGACTGGGTACGCTTCTTGACGTTCTTCTCATTCGCTATACGTAAATTCGTATTCTCCTGCGTTAGAAATACAGTGTTGTGTGGTGCTTCGCAACGGCCTTTGATAATCTGATCCAATATAGTTTTGATGGGCTTGGAGGGCTATTTGACCGTTGCTTTAGCAGATCCTTCAACATAGAAGCTTGCTGTCAACATATGATTGTGCAGACATGTGACCATGAAAAGGCCCACTCTTCCCTGGAACCCCCCGTGTTACGAACCTCGAGGCGCAGGCAGCAGCTACAGTAGTTGAGGGGCAACCGAGACACAATCAAACGCCAAACGGTCTGTATAAGCATCATCAGTGCGAGTATCCCGCGCTAGCCTCCTACTGCTCTGAGCTTGAGCGCTCCCGAGCTACTACCGGAGCGACCCGAAGCTACTCCCCGCGCAACCCTGGCCTCCTTTCGCTGTACTCTATCATCCGTTTAACTATACAGTAGTTGGTTGGTTGATATTGATTACCCTGATCCTTCGCGCCAATAGCGACGGATACTACTTCATATACTTCTAGCTAACTAGTGCCTTCGGTATGAAGCATAATTCTTTTTTGCTGACCAAGCCCTAGCCGACTTGATTTGGATAAAAAACTAAACTAAGCATAACACTAAGATTCCGGCCATCATCCTCCCAAAAGACTGGTAGGCGTTTGACAAACAATGAGAGTGAAGGCGGTGACACCAATTTCCGGAAGCACCGTATCTCTTTCCTCTTCACAGAGATACTAAACGTAGGCGAGCGGAAGGACTGCACACACAGGTTCTTCGGTATAGTCCGATCGCTCGAGATAGAGTGGAGGTGCTAGTGCTCGGAAGTATCTGTACCTTTCTGCCCTCCCACCTCGTCCCAGTATGGGTGTGTCGCAGTGTAACCGTCACATTTTGATAGGTACTTTTAGTATGCTACCACTATAGACAAGCCATGCTAAAGATCTTGAGGACGAAGAACTGGAAGTTATATATGAAGCAGATCATCCGAGATAAAGAAACTGAAAATGGAAAGACGTCGTGGCGCGTTACCGGTAACAGCTCTCACTCTATCGTACCAAGAGCTCAAAGCTTTTTTCGCCACTCATGCTAACGATGAGATTGGCTGGCATCGTTGACTAACTCTCAAGCCACGCTTCTGCATTTAACGGCATCCGAGCTCAAGGGCTTCCCCTAAGCACACGGTGGCTACTTAAAAATGTCCAACACGCCGGTCGCGCGACGCCAAAGCGGCGCTAACCCTAAACTCACCCGGGTGATACCTACCCGACTATTCGACGAACTTAAGCCGCACGAAGGCCAATTAGTAGTATAGTGGGTGACTACTATATACGAATCCTTACTGTTGTATGTTTTTATCTATTTTTCTGCAGCTTGTCAAAGGCTGGCAAATATGTAATGCATCAGTGAATTCCGTTCGTAATCCAAGGCAAAATTAGGTCGTCAACAGAAGGAACACGCGCTACGCGATTCGGACGTCGGGTTGCAAATAAATGCCGACGAGAAAGGGGCTTAAGGATGAATAAAATAAACGAATTAGTTAGCTTTGCCACCCTAGTAGGGTTTCCAACCCGTGACATGACCGACCTCAGCGTCGGAGGGCATGTTGTCAGTAGATGCAGCCTTAATATCATCATCGGGTTGAGATCATAATTGAAGGGGCATTTGATGAATACTCGTTCATTGCGCCTGTTACTTGAGTAATTGAAGCTGGAGGGTATAGCTAAGTGTGGTTGTTAAGTAGTCGATTGAGAAGTCTGTTGGGGTTTTGCTCGCTTAGCAGTGTGTCCGAGCTCTGTGACGGACTATTTCCCTCTCACCTGGTGCTATTAGAAAGCCGCCACGGCCGTTTAGGACGGTGATGTTGCGTATTGGACAGAACGAGAGAATAATGTGCGTCGACATCGTTGATATTACAGTGCTCCTTCATCATGACTTTAATCTTTTGGCGTCCACGAACAAGAAGAGCAGGCGACGGCTTTGCAGAGTATATTTGACACTATAAACTCGCTCCTCCTTTGATGATCCGATACTTAATGTCCAAGCGATTTCAGATCTGGTATGATATAATCTCATTAACAAGCCATAAGGTATATAGTAACAGGTCTTTTGGTAGGTACCTGGCTAGAGTTATTTGAGCTCAACCTGCGGAAGACCAAAATATCATATAAATTTTCTATAAGGCCATCGGATTTTGGTTACGGTGCTAAGCTAGACTCTTAATCAGTATCTCGTAGCGTTTCTTGGAAGAACATCTAAAACAAAACTCCATCGATATTAGTCCAGCCGACGACAAGGGTGACATGCTTTTAGCATGTGCTGCCGAAGAGGGCTAAATACGAACCGTCACGGCTCTGCTGGGGAATGAACACGTTCGTACTGACCCTCGCGACTACCTTGCGGGGACACCGCTAGCACTGACCGCAGAGCGGGGGCATATCGTTGTGATGGCGATCCTGCTTAAGCGATAGTTATTAACGTTGACGCCAACTTTGTTGATGTAAATGGCGGCACCCTTTTTCAAAGCCCTTGGGATGGTGTGCTTAGATACTGTCCTGTATGTTGTCTACGGTTGAAGTATGCTGCGCTTCACCAACTCAACTACAGAGAGGATCGAAATCAGATTCACCACTTACACATAGAGTTTCTTTCTTGGACCCTCTTCTGAAACCCACTATACCATTTAGAGTTACCCTAACCCTGGTACCTTTTCTTGGCAGTAATCCCATACACTCGTAAATTACAACTTAAAATAGCTTCTGTATTGAGCCCGTATGGTCCAAAAGGCTTCTAGAATGTTGATACTGCAAACGACAGCAAACACAACGGGGCCTCCACGGTCGCTCCGGTAACTTGGCCACGTTCGCACTTCAGTCTGTCAATTTAGGGAGTCTTGGAGCCATGTTGTGGAGAGACAGGAGGAGGGTGGATTTGGATTGAGGTGGCAGAGGGGACGGACCAGGAACGGATCGGATCTACCTGCTCCCCCTTGCTGCTCCCCTTTGCTCAGTGGATGAAATTATTTCGGGGCAAAGGTCTGGGGCATGCTGGATGATAGGAAATGCACGTGACTTCGCGATCGGGTTGCTGGGTGGCCCTCTCAAAGCTGCGAGCCTCAGAAAAAGGTGGTTAAACGGCGTGGCGCATCATCCCTCGGTTATGTTAATCACCAACTATGATCTGGTGCTTTCCAGAATATGAACAGGAATTGCAGGGAAGCAGTTCGCCTTTTGAAACGATGAATTTCGAGTGGTTTATCTGGAGAATATTGGCTGGTTACGGTAACAGGGCTCTCATTCGATCTGACACTGTGGATCGGGACCACCCGTTCCTGGGAACGCGACTACCCCACATAGAAAGGTGATCGATAGAAAACCATTCAGAAGCGGTGTGGGGGGGCTGAAAGGCATAAATAATCTTTCTGGCCTAACGCATTAGAGTCACATGATGGTGAGGCTGAGGACGTGACCCCTCTCTCAGCTCGTTAAGTACAGCTGAGATTGTTTCTCATCATCAACCATATTGGAAGTTTTTTGGGATCAACATCCCTTCACATCCGCTTGTCTATCAATTATTCAGTTTGCCGACATCTCTCCTCAGGAGAAGAAGGGCCAGACGTCTGCTAATGCAAGATCTCTTTTTATGGAAGAGAGTGCTTCATTGAGTTATCGAGGACTGTCCCATGAGTCTAAATCTCTGCGTTGCCAAATCGTCCTCCATCCAACATGGCTGATAATACCCCATCTCAACAAGAGCAATCAGTGTCAGCACAGAACACGGCTAGTGCCGAAACATCCGCATGCCGAAAGCGCCTTCGACACGATGCCTATACCATCGGGTGGGTGTGCGCCCTTCCCAAGGAACGAATCGCAGCCCAAGCCATGCTAGACGAAGAGCACGAATCTCTTCCGACACCCCGCAATGACAACAATGCATATACCCTTGGCTCAATATGCGGCCACAATGTCGTCATAGCCTGCCTGCCCAACCCGGGAACTAACCCTGCCGCGACCGTTGCGACCTCAATGATTAACACGTTTCAGTCGATCAGGTTCGGGCTTATGGTAGGGATTGGCGGCGGGATTCCGCCGAAAGTCAATCTGGGTGATGTGGTGGTCAGCCGACCCGTTGCTGACTATCACGGGGTAGTACAATGGGATGTGGGAAAGCTGGAACGGAATAGGCAGTTTGTCCACACAGGCTCGCTGAACAGACCTCCGAATGCGCTGCTCAATGCGTCGATTCAGCTCGAATGTAACCATGAGATGTCTGGGTCGAAGATAAATGAGTACCTGGTAGATGTGGAAAGGAGATTGCCGCGGCTGGCGCCGAAGTACACTAGATGTGAGTGCTTGGAAGACCCATTGGTGGTATCGGAGAGGCTGCGTCGGACTCCGAGGGTGTTCCACTTCCTGTGTGGGGTGTGGCAAACGATCTTCTTAATTGTCGCATATCTTCTTGGTTTGTGGGCCATTGGTCCAATAAATAAGGAGATTGGGCAGTTATCAGAGAAGGCAGAGGGAGTGAGGTCTCGAAAAGAAGTGAGGGTGCACTATGGCCTGATTGCATCCGGGAACAAAGTGATTAAGGATGCGCAGTCCCGCGACTTCCTCGACGAGAAATTTGACGGGCACTTGCTATGCGTGGAGATGGAGGCAGCTGGGCTCATGAATGACTTCCCATGTATTGTCATCCGAGGAGTTTGTGATTATGCGGACTCACGAAAGGAGAAAAGCTGGCAAGAATATGCTGCAGCTGTGGCCGCTGCATACGCAAAGGAACTTTTGGGATGTGTGCAGCACAATGTTGTTGATGCCGAGAATTCAGCAAAAGCTATCTTGGAAAAGGGTTAGTATCTGCCTGCCTTTATGTTCCGGCTGCAGGTGTCTGGAGCACTAGCAACACCGGAGACAAAATGATTTATGTTTAGAATACGTCCTGACCGAAGAAAGTCAACAAACAAATCGATAGTGTGCAGCGAATGACAGTCGCGATGAAAGTTACCACCGATTCTATTAAATCTGACTTTCGTACTCAAGAGATCAAAGGCTGGCTGAACCCCCCGGACCCATCTACAAACGCCAACCACGCGAGGACGCTCCGTCATGAGGGGACAGGCACGTGGCTGTTAGAGAACCCGGTCTTCCAGTCGTGGTCCTCAGGGACTCTTCGACACATATGGCTGCACGGGCTCGCGGGATGCGGAAAGACCGTTCTCAGTACAACTGTGCTTGATTATCTCGCGACAGGAAACGACAAAACTATCCTCAACTTCTTCTTCGACTTTAGCGACAACAAAAAGCAGACCTATGAAAGCATGCTGCGGTCGCTTGCTTTCCAGCTTTACCAAAGTGGGGTTGACTCTGCAATTCAGCTTGATGCGTTATTTCAAGCGCATCAGAATGGCAAATACCAACCTGAGACGAAGGCGCTCTCGACTATCTTATTCAAGATGCTCAGAGTCCAGCAGAGGGTCTCTATCGTTCTGGACGCATTAGATGAATCAACCACTAGGGATGAAATTCTCAAGTGGATCGAGGACATGTTATGTAAGCCAGAGCTGGCCTATGTGCAGCTGCTCTGTACCAGTCGACCTGAGTCCGAGTTTCTACGCCGTATCCCAGTTTTGATAGGACAGGAGGATTGCCTACCACTTGATGAGCAGGCTGTTAACTCGGATATTCGTTCGTGGGTCTCAGCACAACTCTCTCAACGACGTGATTTTACAGAGAAACCGTTGTCTCAGGGTCTTCTCGAGGAAATACGGACTAAGGTTGGCGACGGGGCAGACGGAATGTGAGATATTACTGTTTTGACCGATATAATAAACGTTTGCTAACGCTCTACTCAGGTTCAGGTGGGCATTCTGTCAACTAGACAGCCTAGCCTGGTGTGTTCACGAGGAAGAGATAGAGAAGGCCCTCGTATCTTTGCCTAAGACCTTGAATGAGACATATGAGCGCATGATGAAAAGCATACCGGTGGAGCGAAAAACAGACGCAATACGTCTACTACAATTTTTGGTGCACTCCAAGCGGCCCGTCACACTAGCAGAGGCTAAAGAAATAATAGCGACGCAGATTGAAAACGAGCCGAGTGGATTTGACATCAAGCGTCGGTTATTCAACGAAAGTGATCTTTTGGGTTACTGTCCCGGCTTAGCGACAATCGTTCACGCCACGGATAAAGAGTTACATCTTGCCCACTTTTCCGTCAAAGAGTACCTTCTCAGAGACAACCTTTTTAATATCATGACTGCCAGCACTTCGATCACGATGACGTGCTTGACTTATCTCACAGATATCAAAGGTAGCCGTGAAAATATTAAGGGGCATTTTCCGATGGCAAGATATGCGGCGGAGCTCTGGGCAGGCTATGCAGCGTTGGCTCGAGATTCTCAAGATATAGTTCGAAAGTCTGTCAAGTTCCTTGAAGAGGATGTGACATTCCAACGATGGAGTCGTTTATATCAGGCTGATAGGAGTTGGGACGATGACCCTGGCCCTCCGCGAGCTTCCAGGCTCTACTACGCTTGCCTCAATGGGCTCATGGCACCTGCAGGAGATCTTATCAGCAAGGGAGAAGACGTCAACGGGCAGGGCGGCACCTACGGAAATGCTCTACAGGCCGCCTCGACCGGTGGTCATCAAGAGATTGTCAATCTTCTCTTGGAACAAAAAGCCGACGTCAACGCGCAGGGCGGCACCTACGGCAATGCTCTCCAGGCCGCTTCGACCGGTGGTCATCAAGAGATTGTCAATCTACTCTTGGAACAGGGAGCTGACGTCAACGCGCAGGGAGGCCGATACGGCAACGCTCTCCAGGCCGCCTCGTCAAGTGGCCGTGAAGAGATTGTCAAGCTGCTCTTGGATCAGGGAGCCGACGTCAACGCGCAGGGCGGCTACTACGGCAACGCTCTCTACGCCGCCTCGTCAGGTAGCTATCAAGAGATTGTCAATCTACTCTTGGAACAGGGAGCCGACGCCAACGCGCAGGGCGGCCGATACGGCAACGCTCTCCAGGCCGCCTCGTCAGGTGGCTATCAAGAGGTTGTCAAGCTGCTCTTGGATCAGGGAGCTGACGTAAACGCGCAGTGCTATTACTACGGCAATGCCCTCCAGGCCGCCTCATTAGATGGTCATCGAGAGATTGTCAAGCTGCTCTTGGATCAGGGAGCCGACGTCAACGCGCAGTGCGGCCAATACGGCAATGCTCTCCAGGCCGCCTCATTAGATGGTCATCGAGAGATTGTCAAGCTGCTCTTGGATCAGGGAGCCGACGTCAACGCGCAGGGCGGCACCTACGGCAATGCTCTCCAGGCCGCCTCGTCAGGCGGTCACCAAGAGATTGTCAAGCTACTCTTGGATCAGGGAGCCGACGTAAACGCGCAGTGCTATTACTACGGCAATGCCCTCCAGGCCGCCTCTTTAGATGGTCATCAAGAGATTGTTAGACTACTCTTGGATCAGGGAGCCGGCGTCAACGCGCAGGGCGGCTACTACGGCAATGCCCTCCAGGCCGCCTCGTCAGGTGGCCATCAAAAGACTGTGAAACTACTCTTGGATCAGGGAGCCGACGTCAACGCGCAGGGCGGCCAGTACGGCAACGCCCTCTACGCGGCCTCGTTAGGTGGCTATCAAGAGATTGTCAGACTACTCTTGGATCAGGGAGCCGGTGTCAACGCGCAGGGCGGCTACTACGGCAATGCCCTCCAGGCCGCCTCGTTAGGTGGCCATCAAAAGACTGTGAAACTACTCTTGGATCAGGGAGCCGACGTTAACGCGCAGGGCGGCCAATACGGCAACGCCCTCCAGGCCGCCTCGTCATGTGGCCACCAAAAAACTGTGAAACTACTCTTGGATCAGGGAGCCGACGTCAACGCGCAGGGCGGCCGCTACGGCTATGCTCTCCAGGCCGCCTCGTTCAAAGGTCATCACGAGACTGCCAAATTGCTCTTAGACAACGGAGCCGACACCAACGCACAGGGCGTCGACCACGGCAACGCTCTTTACGCCGCCTCGTCAGATGGCCATCGAGAGATTGTCAAACTACCCTTCCGTCACAGAGCCGACGTCAAGTTGCAGCGACGCTTCTTCTTCAAGGCTCACCAGGCCGCCTCGTTAAGAGGTCATCAAGATTCTTTGGCAAGGCTCTCCAGGCCGCCTCGTTAAGAGGTCATCAAGAGATTGTCCAACTACTCGTGGATAAGGGAGATCACTTATGATTTCAAGAAATTTAGGCATGGCTAGTTAAATGCATGACAATTTATTAGTTACCCACGCTGTCGAGAGGGACAGAAACAGATAATCCAGTCGTGTTTGGTTTCCTATCTCCACAGTCTTGGATCTTGCCGTTAGATGGGGCTCGCCTTCGCTCCCTGGTAGACCGGAATGTTCCTATTTGCTGGCTTGGGAAATGGAGGCACTGGGGGTCAATGCTCAATAAGCAAATGCCTGAATAACTAGAACGCGTAGCGAATATCGTGCCAAGTGGGGTGTAGCCACACGAGCGAGCCGAGGAACGACGCATGTTGTATTAATGGTCATGGTATTTCATGTTATTTGTCAGACCCGATATTTTATAAAATAGTCTTTCAATACGATTCAGCCCCTTGAAACCAGAACTGGCTACATATAGATTAGCGTAGAGTAAAGCGGGGCCTCGAGAAAGAATCTCTCTGTTCAAATGATGCAACTGATTTCGATCCTCCCTGTAACCAAAGGCTTTTTGAGCCAGGACTTAATGAGATGTTGGGGTTGAATTCACCGTTAGCACTAGTACGATTCTATCTCCACTTTGAGCGACAAGATGTAACCCTGTTTTATGTAAAGAGCCCAGGGCATTTATACTCTGCATGTGTTCCCTTTACTCTGTTGATCATCTGAACACTCCTTCACTCCCCCTCCTTTCCCCTTTTTTGTCTAGGACTGACTTTTTGCTCTTTTCATTGCCATGCTATTCACTCTCATTGCAGCTCCATCGCTGCTAGCGGTGCTCGGCACACTTCTGGCGGGTGTGTTGGCTCAGGATGCCGAGGGTTGGTACAAGGCTCATCCAGGCATGGCGCGTATCAGCCAGGTGAACCAAGATACACATCAAATCGTCGATGAATACAACCGTACTCGGTTCTTCCACGGAACCAATGTCGTGATGAAGGAGCCGCCGTGGTATCGGCCGTTGGAGTGGATGCCAGGTGTCTCGTCTTTTGGCAAGCAAGATGTCCAAATTATGCATGACTTGGGTCTGAACATCGTGCGATTGGGCCACAGCTGGGCCGGCGCAGAACCTGTGAGAGGGTCGTACAACCAGACATTCCTCGATATAATGAAGAAGCAGACCAAGATGGCCGAGGACCATGGCCTCTATGTTTTGGTAGATGCGCATCAGGACTGCCTGTCGCGGCAGTTTTGCGGCCATGGCGTGCCTGACGTAAGTAGAAAAACGAGCATCCTCGACCGTTGATATTGACAGGGCTTTATAGTGGTTTGTTACGAAGGACTGGGTCTCGAGCAGCGAGATGTATCCATTCCCTCTTAAGCTGACACCGTTCCCTGTGGACGAAAACGGCTTCCCATCGCCGCAGTCGCTTTGCGGCACTGTTGACTGGTCTCTGAGTTACACCTCAGTGGCGGTGGGCAATGCATTTGGGCGGCTATACAACAATTATGACGGGCTTGGCGATGCATTTGCCGCGTACTGGAAGAAGCTGGCGTCAGAGTATGCTGAAACGACCAACGTGGTCGGCTATAACTTGTTGAATGAGCCGTGGGTTGGTGACACCTGGGCCGATCCGACATTGCTAGTGCCAGGTGTTGCCGACCACAAGGTCCTAGAAGGTCTTTGGAACCGCGCAGCTAAGCAGATTCGTACTGTGGACAATAACACGCTCATTTGGTTTGAAGGCGCCACCCTGGACGTCTTATCAGGTTTCAACAACGTCCCTCTTGGAGACGGCTCGAAGTCGGTGCAATCATTCCACTACTACAGCCCGCCACAGCTGGGCTCGATTTCCACCACGCTCAATAACCGCCACAAGGACAACGAGCGCCTTAGGACCGCCGGTGTCCTGACCGAGCTTACGTTTTGGATGGGCGATGATAAGCAGATGCAAGGTCTGACAGAGGCCATGGCGGCGACCGACGCAAACATGGTTTCCTGGATTGGCTGGGCATACGAGAACCTGTATAATGGCACGTCTGGTCAGCTTTATCCCGAACTGGCGAAACACTACAGTCGTGCATACCCCGCCGCTATTGCTGGCACTCCCATCAGCTTCGGCTTTTCCGAGGACTCGACCACTTTCAAGCTGCAGTTCACGTCTGATCCCAATATTGACGCGCCCAGTGAGATCATTCTGCCTCCATCCACCTTTCCTAACGGATATACAGTCCAAGTCTCTCCTGAAGGCAGTTTGCTGCAGTACGCACTTGACAAACGTACTCTGGCCTTGTTCACATCCAGCAGTATCAAGAACGCCACCGAGATCTCTGTCACAGTTTCAAGTAAATAATGACATCCGTACAACACCTCGAGATAACTACATAGTTATAGGTGTAGTTGGTATTCCATCAAATTGATTGTCTGCACCGGGCTATCTAGCTATGGCAGGCCATTTCCTGGTTTCTGTTAGTTCGTATGGGAAGCCTACTTTCCCATTCAATCGGAAATAGTCGACTATTGCAAGCTTTTTGTCCCACAACCCATAAGAGAATATCCGGTATACCGACCGCAGCGACCTGGCCTTCTTTCCGCTCTATCTACCTGTTAGCGGCGTCCTAAAAAAGCAAAGCGTGCTCAGACCTAAAGCGGCTGTCACCTCAAACTCAATCTAGTCGGCACCTACCCGACTATTCTCCGCACATAAGACACAAGCCAGCTAGTTAGTGGTATCGAGGGCGACTACATGCGAAACCTGGCCATTGTATTTTTGTAAATTTCTATAGCACTCAAGGACTGGCAAATATACAATGCACCAATGCACCAATGAATGAACTCCCCTCAAAAAGCAGTGTAATAATAGGTCAAGGTAGACGCCGAGGCTACCCGAAATGAATTCCCCTCATAACCCAACGCGGTATATGCCAAGAACTATTAACATGGTTCCGATCTCTTCCCCCGCAATCCGTCATGTGAGTCCGTGAGAACTTTGACACGCGTAAATCGTAAAAAGTTTTCCTACACAGAGGACAGCTCGCATCGCGCGAAAGAATCCAGCAATCGACGCATGGTTTATGGAAAATATGGCCGCATGGTAACACGCGGAACATGGAGGCGGCCTCCATATCCTCGAAGCATAGATCACAGACAGTGGGGAAGGATATATCTGGTTCAACCAGCGCGGATTAGTATGAGAGTCTAGAGCGGACGGTAGAGGGATTGTGGTGAGATAAGCCAAGTGTGGTGTACCAGTGTTTAAATACTCGCATCTAACGTAGCAAGGCATCCGTGCCAACTCGATGTCTTTGGCACTCAGTGGGCCGCGCATCGTTGTTGATTTCTGCATCTTTGAGTGTCTGTGATAAATCTTCCGGTGGGATACACGAAAAAGATGTCTACATGAGTGAGCTGACATCTACATCTTCTTATATAGGAGTGCTAGGTGGTCATCTGCAGTAGATTGCGTGGCCGCGAACGACTAACTTTAATTCTTCATGTTGACGTCGATGCCGCGGTGTACCGGGGCTTGTCATTGGTTGATAGTATCCCTAAAGCAGGCTACCCATCGTCCGGCCGAGCTAGCGCCGGATGATCGCCTCGTCTAATAGTTCCGAGGAAATACAAGTAAGCCAATGAGTCACGGGAATTCGACTTTCGTTGCGCTAACTAGTCTCATAAGCATACATGACAAAGTGGCTCTGTTGATCCGTTGATCCGTATCCTTATCCCATAAGTAAGTGGTTCCCGAAAAAATGCCGATCTAACGCCGCCCACGCTCAAGGCCTAGAAGCGGCAAGGAATAGACACATAACACATACGCCAAGGCTAAAAAGTCCATGAAGATGCCGAAGATCCTCCGCCTTAAGCATCACCAAGTGCTGCCTTGGCCATCCCAGTAGCAATCTGATTCATCTCCCGCGGAACAAGCCAGAACTGGACCTTGATATCGTACTCCAGCTGCTTGAGTATCGCATCGATAATCCGCCACAGTTCCGCATTCGCAACAGGCTGACCACTGCTCTTCTTCCAGCCATTCTCTTTCCACTTTGGCAGCCACTCAGTCGCACCTTTAACAACGTACTCCGAGTCTGACTTGACGACGAGGGTGTGCAACGGATGACACGCTTCGTTCTTGGGCGGCTCGATCTGCCAGTTTGTATGAAGCACGAAAGTGCGGGTAAGACCTTCCAGACAAGCCTTGAGCTCGGCGGTTTGCGCGGTGTGCTTTTCCCCGTCCAACTCGACGGAGAGGTTCTTCTTGTTCTGGCGGCCGAAGAAAACCCCGATTGACGACCTTGGTTTGGTGTCGCTCGTTGAGAGTGCGCCACAGATGGAAACTACCAGGCATCCTGTGTGGTAGACGTGGTTCTTGCAGTGTGGGCATTTGCCAGTGGATTGGGGACATGCGACAAAGACCCATCTGCCGTCGAAGGCTTCGATGTCTTCATGCTTGATGAGACCAGGATTGTAATGGTCGACTGGGAATGTACGAACGGGGCCCTCATTGGCAAGTTGGTCGTCTTCGCTGTGCCCGGGAGCATGGCTTGACTCTCGGTGACCCGGGTCCTCGATGTAAGGATATTCCTGGACTTTTTGCTTAGCGGTCTCTCCGGCAGGATGGGTCATGTTGACACTGGTTTGTTGACACTGGTTTGGCCGGAGTGATTGGGGATGTGGGGTAAGGCTTTTGGAGAGGGGAGAAATGTAAATGAGCGAAGTAAGAAAGTTGGGCTCTGTGAGAAGCACTGATTTGAACTTTTCTTGTGGAAATCATTCTTACCGGGACGGGGACTGGGGCTGGAGCTGGGACTAGCTTGTCCTTTCGCTTCTTCTGTCGCTTCATCAAGGCACGCTGCATATTGACGAATGGAGATGGGATGTCCTGAAAGTAGGTGTTTTGGGTGTTTGCGATGAGGGTGGAACAGGAAGATGAGAAGGGGAAATTTAGGGAGAATAGAGCAAGTCAAGAAGTTTGAGGGAGATAAGGCAGTATGTTTTCCTTTGCATGTTGCCCGTTGAAAAGTGAAGGGCCGAGACAAAGGCCTCGCCAACTCCGCGTTTGACCTCGCTTTGAAACAGAACAAAGGTTCACCCATGCTTAACATGGAATAATCTAGATTCTCTCGGGACAATGAAATATTGTGAGCATGTCAATCCTCTGTAATAGGAAATTTAAGTCATTCGGACTGTATATCATTTTCACGTTCCTTGTTTGTTTCTACCTCTTTTGTTGTTTCAGGCTTCTACTCAGCGCTCTCCTTCACTATCTCCACGTATTCGAGGGGCTTCTATACTAGGTACCTCAATCTTATAGAGACTCTCCTTCTTACTCGGTCGCATACAAATCGTCTTTGATCCTGCGATACACCTTGGCATAAGAATACTTCCTATTATGGAAGCTCCAACGCTGCTTAGGCAGAGCATCGGCCGAGGTAACATCTCTAAGTATTTATGAAAACTAAACAGCAGGCCTCCTACTCCAGATGTATCTATTAATCATCTTAAGAATCGATATATGGGTTCCAAGCCAACCTAAGTGTATACCTATGCCGTAGTGATCATCTTCTGCTGACAATAATACTAGACTGGCGAAAGCGCACTCTGCCATGGTGCAAGCAATAAGGAGAGTTGAAACATGAGTATCCCTAGAGATTTAAGATGAAGAAATCCTCCTTCGAGATCGAAGTCTCTGTCACGCCGTATAATCGCCATGGTTGCCGTGACTAGACGGAAGAAGAGTATCTTTTAGAAACATTCATAGCATATAGTTTAGTTTGATGGTCAATCTAGCACATACGACCATAGGGTGTGGAGAACAGGGCTTCCCGTCCGCTCAGCCGTACTTAAGCCACACGCCGGCCAGTTAGTAGTATGGTGGGTGACCACATGCGAATCCTGGCTGTTGTATGTTTTTGTTTTCAATCATTGATCGTGCATTTTTGTTATTTTGAAGCCCCTCTATCTTTCACCCAAACACCCTGAACACCCCTGTAGCGCTGACGTGGCCGCCGGCTAAAGTTTCCTTCCCTCCTTCTCTCCTTCACGCTTGTGCCCCAGTCCCAAGTTTACTTTTTTGGTTGCCTGAACTGATCCTGATCGGAGCTGACCACGGAAAATAGATTGATTCACCATGGCTATTACAACCATCTGGTCTTGGTTATCTCTTCTTCAAGGCCGCAGTGAAGATCCTGACCAAAGAGGTGCAGAAACGAACGGCTCGCTTATATGGAGATAATCACAATTGAAGAGCTCTCCTGTGGCCGAACGCATGGGATACTTCACTAATCAACACTGAACTGAAATGGGGACATTTTTTATTCTCCCGGATGGACAACCACTGTGAAGGGCCTGGGGCTCTATACTCTTGGGCTATTTGGGTCGTGGATTCTCATGTTGTTCCTACAGTTACGCTCAGGCACGAAGATATCGATTCAACATGGTAGCATTCAACGAAGCAACTAAGCCATGGGGAAGGAAAGAAGGAGAGGTGGTGAGAGAAGATCTAAATACAAGTGGGATGCCTGCGGCAGCAGGCATCAAACCAGGCATCAGGCATCCACACATGTGAACCCTCACACCTACGGGGATCGGTAGATCTTGATTCGCTAGTGTTTAATCAGTTATATACTGGCAGACCCTCTAGTTATTAGGTGTTTTTCCCCTGTGTATGGAGACTTTGCTGGCTGCTAGTCGCCTCTTGTTTGGGGCTACATATGTCCGTATCTAATCTAGAACGGTGTTCATGATCACTTAGGCTTTACAGGAGGAAAATGTCAGACCGGTTTATCCAACCGGTACACTAGTTCGTAGGTAGACTTGCGGTCTTCACAACTGCGTTTGCGTACAGGGAGAGTAATAGCAAGTCCGGCTTGGTCGTGGATCCCAGCTGGGTTATCTTTCCGTGTACATAGGGGATTCTAATGCAATCTGGGTTAAATAGATGCCGCTGCACAGACGTAGCAGTATTCGCAGGTTGTCATTAATTAAAATAGCGACACCTAGAATCTGCGAAGTGATAAGAGTGATGAGGCCTGAATCTAGGAGATAGGTGGACACCATGGTGGAGGCTACTGAACGAATGATTGAGGTTGATCAGAACGTTCACAGTCCATGAGAAGAAGTTTCTTCGCCGGGTTGCTTGGAGTCCTAGAGCCGGACTGCTTTGAAGACGATGTAATAGCGCCCCTTATTTGGAGCGGTTTGACAATCTCTTGATGGCCTCTCTCTGAGGCGGCCTTCAGAGCGTTGTCGTAGCGGCCGTTGCCCTTATTGGCCAGTTCATTCGCTGTATTACATGACAATTACAGAGCAAATCTGTTATCATTCTTTGAAGCCACTAAACAACTTTCATGATTGATCTGGTGCCATGTTTGGATCAATATTTGGGGTTGCTATGATGACTGCTAAAGTGCCAGTGGGTCAAAGCTAAACGATGGGCGTACACTATACGCACGTCTCTATATTATATTTCCACTATAGGGTGGAGCAGCTTCGCCTTCTGAGCTGCCGTCGCTTTTAGAACGTATTCTAGCTTTAGATTGATAATGATGTGAACTTCATTAGTCTGACCTACACCACGGATGAACTGAAATTGCCTTGTTGCTCTCAAAATCCACGTATTTCTTAAATTCTCCGGCTAGACCTCCAGTCTCACTAAAGTTATTTCTCGGACCGGACTGACGGTCCCAAGGTTAAGGACCAAAGCCCTACATGGTCCGGTTTTGTCCGGTTCGGACGCAGTCTTTTCGGTCCTGTGCAGAGGCCTAAGAGGAAGTAAGGCAGCCGTGAAGACGAGTGGCAAGAGGAAGCATACTGAAAACGCGAGGAATCAGAAGTTTAAACAAGGGTCACGTCTGCAGAAGGAATTGAAAGCCAGTTACAACGCAAGAAGCAAGACTGACTGACTAATAACGAACGGAAAACAGACGACGAATCAGAGCAGGGGCAAGTTTAGCAGTCAAGATTTCGCGGCAAACGCGACAAACTGACGCACGGCTCACGCGGCCGGGTACGGCCGAAAGTACCCCTTTCACTTGTTCTTCGTGTCAGGGCATAAAGTTTTTTGACAACAAGGGTACTCCCTGCGCACGAAGGTAAACCCTTCCTCACACTACGTTCCTTTCAGGGCAAGAACTGAAGACAATTTTTGCATACGCTAAACATCCAGCATTGCCTTTGTCAATTTTTCCCTCCCCTTTCAGAAGCGATCCCCCATATGTATGTACATCTCACAGCAGACGTGTATCTGACGACAACTTCCTAACAACAGCTTCCCGTAATTTCAAATTCCAGCCTTGGGTTCAAGACACCCTCTTTAATTAAAGAGAATGGGTCTCTTTCCACTCGCTGAGACTCTGGCCCTTAGGATCATAAAATGGTTTCTCTCCATAAATAGCCGTGCGCTTTCCCTCACGTTCTTCGACGTTGTAACCCCCAGGAACAGCTCGATGAACGACGACACGATTATCCCAGAATGCGACACTGCCGGGCTCCCACTTCCAGCGAACAGATAGGTCGTCCGCGGAATGGAGATGTTCCCGCAGGAAGTTTAAAGTATGTATTGCCTCTTGATTCTTCAATTCAGAGATATGGATCACAAAGCTGGGATTGTAGAAGAGGGACTTGAGGTTGGTAACCGGGTGAGTGCGGATCTGTGGTCGAGGATACATTAGCATTCAGGTTTCATTTTTCACTTGCCAATTGAAATTTGAATCGATACCAGTGGATGTTCGTTTCTGACTGGATACCGGAAAGTCTTCACATCGTTATTGACAGCATTTAGGAAATATTGCTGGTTCAGTAGGTCAGCAACTAGATTTCAAAAGCGATTAGAAAATAAAAGAAGCCTACATCCGAGCTATGAACAGCATGCAGTCCTTCAAATGTCTTCTGAAACGTTGGGCTCAGCTTATCATACAGCGCTGTCTGGCTAGTAAAGATCGTATCGCCACCTGGTAGAAGATTAGACAGGAAAATGAGAAGGAACTCGCATAACATACCAAATTCTGGAGTCCTGACAACCCGTAGCAAAGTATATGCCGGAGGGTTGATTTCGAACGAATGGTCAGAGTGGTATTCTCCACTTCCAGTGCGCCCATATTGGCGGATATCACTGCTCTCATTTGTTAGCGCACTGCATGTGGTTGCGACCTATATTTGACCCATACCCCCCACGACCGAGGATGGTGACATGACGCGGATCGACTTGGTTTGGATCACGATCTTGCTGAGATGACTATCAGCGTCTCGGAATCCAGATGAGCAGAACTCTCGAATTTCAGATACATACAATGCCATAATGCTCGGTAAAGTCATGCTGCTGCTCCAGAGTAAGATCCTGGGCTCGGAAGAAGACAACACCGCGCTGTGCATCAAGTCAATAGGCAACCCCGTCTTTTCTTGAGAAATAAAACTATGGGAAAGAGATCAGGCTTACCTCAGCTACCAGGAGTGCTAGATCATCTTTCTGCTGGGGCGTGAGTTGACTCAGCTGGACTCCTACGATTTCTGTTCCAATGTACGGAGTCAGATGTTTGACTTGACGAGCTGCAGAAAGGAGAGACTTTTTCTCAGGATCAGCAGAGAAAGCCCGATCCTGAGGTGGGGTAATTTCTGTCAGTGGGGGGTCCACTGCCTTGAACGAAAAGACCTTCTCCGAAAGGCCGGAGAGCACAGTGGTCGTCATCTTATATTGGAAATGGTATATCAAAGGCACTTTTTATGTCACACCCCAAGAATAAAAAATTCGGGTTATATGTCTGGCCTGCCTATTTTATTTATATTCTAGTCATGCTCTACGGACAAAGTTTTCAACGGCGATTTCAAATCATATTGCGTGCTATTTATATTAATATACAAATCTGTCGATAATAATAGAGTGGACTTGTTATTAGCTGTTTGGCTTCACCACAGTGAGGAGTCAAAGCGTCATGATAAATCGTCATCTCGTGAACAAACTCGTAATTGCATGCCTAAATTGTCTTATTACTTGTGTGCATAAGAAGCGGATCTTCCTTTCCAGAGATACGACATTGTTCTAGTCGCATTGACCTCATTTAGCATAATCGCCCCGTGTGCTAGTATTGAGTACGATATCTTATCGCTCCAAGCGGCGATACAGGTTTTGTGATCGGGCTCTTTATAGACTAGCTCTACGCCAGATTCTGATCAATTTGATGAACCCGATTGCGACACGTATGACGCAATTTCTCAATTTCAGGGTTTAATATAGGAGGACTCTTGACAACAAATAGCTAACAAGCTAAACTTTGTATTTTCAGATTTCTCAAAATTTACGATGGCGGACTCGGACAAATCTCCAGAGGTCGACACCACTGCCACAAGCAGCAGCGATAGCCAAACGCAGCATGATTTGCATAACCCGATCGACCTGAGAGAAGAGTTGATTAATCTATCCCAGATTGATCTAGTTCTGGCAAGAAAGATGGCTTTGGTAAATGCTGCCATTGATGAGATTGGTATGACTCCGTTTCAATGGAAGTTGTTTTTCCTGAACGGATTTGGATATGCCGTGGATTCTGTAAGCATTAATCAACACTGCTAGTATGACGAGCTTATCTAATTTGGTGAGTCAGCTCCTGGTAGTTTGTCAAAATATTTCGCAGGTTGCTGTGAATCAGGAATATCGCAGCGCTGATGCGAAATTACAAGGTGTCTCGCTAGCTTCCCAGATAGGGTTGCTTGTTGGCGCTGCTACCTGGGGATTCACTGCGGATGTGATTGGCCGCAAACTTGCATTCAATACCAGTTTATTTGCCAGTGCTATATTTGTTCTGATTGCCGGCGCGATGCCTAGTTACGTTTCGTTTTCTGCCATGTGAGTTCTGCTCTGTCTCACCACCAGATATGATGTGAAGTACTAACGGAAACTAGGGTTGCTATTTACTCTGCAGGAGCTGGTGGAAACTACATTCTCGATGCAACCAACTTCCTGGAATTTCTTCCGACAGCCCATTCCTGGCTGGTGACAGCCATGGCATTGTGGTGGGCGGTGGGATACACGATCGCCGGTTTGTTTGCGTGGGTGTTCATGAGTAACTTCAGCTGTAATCCAGATGCCACGATGGAAACTTGTCACCGTTCTCAAAACATGGGATGGCGGTACCTCCATTTTACTTGCGGTGGTCTGGTCATAGTTATGAGTATTGTTCGAGTCTTATTCATTCGGATGGTGCAGACGCCAAAATGGCTGATCAGCCAGAACCGCGACGATGAGGTGTATCAGATTCTCGTGAACTTGTCCGACAAGTACGATCGGCCGATGAATCTCACTCTTGAGCAGCTCCAATCACAGGGACAAGTCATCAACACCGAGAAGTCAGCCTGGTCAAAGGTCCGACTAGTTAGTCATTTCTCTGGCCTCTTCAGCACTCGTCGGCTCAGATATTCCACTGTGGTAATTATTCTAAACTGGCTACTCATCGGAACAGTCTCGCCGCTTTACGGCCTTTTCCTGCCGTTCTACCTCAAAACGCAGGGGGCCAAGACTGGAGATGACTCTAACTACACGACATGGAGAAACTATGCAATTAACCAAGTTGCCGGGCTGATTGGCCCCGTAATCGCTGGGTTTCTAGTTCAAACACGTTGGTTTGGCCGTAGAGGAACGTTGGCCATCGGTGCTGCCATCACCACCGCGCTTCAACTGGGCTATACCCAGATCAAGACGCCAGCACAGAACCTGGGGGTGTCGGCGGCTATCAGCGCTGCATCCAATATCTACTACGGCACTATCTATGCGTATACTCCTGAAATCCTTCCCACTGCCCACCGCGCGACTGGATATGCTGTTTGTGTGGTACTCAATCGGGTTGGGGGTATCGTGGGCGTGCTGGTTGGCAGCTACGCCAATGTGAACACGGTCGCACCGCTTTTCATATGTGCTGGGCTGTATGGAGGCTTGGTCATCACGAGTCTCTTGCTGCCGTTCGAGAGTCGCGGGAAGAGAACGGTATAGAAGCAGGTATTTGGTCAATTCCCGACCACTGAGAAGGAAGTTTGGCAGAATTATGACAAATCATTATGGATAAGTTAGTTATAGGGAGATTTTATGAGACTTTTCCTTTTTAAGTGGTCTAATAACCCTTTTTGTGGTGAATAGGTTGCATAATGGCCATCCTCGCATTTCGCAAGTTTATTTGGTCTTTAGGTCCCTCTAATGTTTACATTTTACATATTTCATGGAGCTAGCTCAACAACTAGAGAAACTTTCCACGTCAGCTAATTAGTAGTTGTCAAAAATGAACTAAATATGAATATTGCGCAATCTCGATGGCGTGATGTACAGAATCAATGAGGATAAAAGCTGCTAGATTTGCTCATTTGTTTATCTCTCTAACCACCAATTTTTGCTCTGTTCAACTTTCAATATGAGAGTGATTGATGCAACAAAGCTCATTCCAGAGTCCATCCCTGTGCTAGTCGTGGGTGCTGGCCCTGTTGGCCTTTCTCTAGCCATTGAGCTCCGGCTGCATGGCATCGAGGTTGTAGTCATAGACCAAGATCTTGATATCGTGGACGAACATCCAAAGGGACGCTCAAATGATCTTCGCACTCTGGAGCACTACCGTCGCTGGGGTGTCAGTGATGAATTACGCAAGTGGGCCTGGCAGCCGCCAAATCCCAAGCAGCAGCTGGTTATCACAGAATCCCTTGTACAAAGACCGCTTGGTGCCTACCCGCTTCTATATGGCCGGGATGTGGAAGAGTCGAAAGATCTCGCAGCAGAACCGTCCCTCAGTGTGCCCCAGCCTATCACCACGCTTGTTCTGCAAAATCGGGCCATTGCATTGGGGGCATCTATTTTCCGAGGCTGGAAAGCGATATCGGTCCAACAGGATGAAAAGCGTGTCGTGGTTGAGCTCCAGTCTCCAGGTGGTGATATTCGTTGGGTTGCTTCTGATTATACGGTTGGATGTGATGGTCCCGGTAGCTTGATCCGAAACGCTGCAGGGATCAAGCAAAAAGGCATCGATCCGATTGGAAAGACTTTGAGTTACGTGGTGCGATCGGAAGGGCACAGAATCAGTGATATGACCAGCTCACCCGCTCACAGCTCACTGGGAATGCTCCTCGTGCTTAATTCTCGAGTCTCCTCGATAATCAGTATCCCCGGGGAGGAGAACTGGGGCTATAGTATTATGGTTCCCAATGGAGATAATCTCTCAGAAGATGAGGCTCTGTCAATCGGTCAAGATATCCTGGGAGTGAACGCAAGGCTTGAAATTGTCAGCCGATCGTCCTATAGGGTCTTTACTCGCGTGAGCACGTCATATCAAACTCGTCGACTGTTCATTGCGGGGGATGCGTCTCATTTATGTCCTCCAACGGGGGGATATAATATGAACGTTGGTATCAGCGATGCAGTTAATCTTGGCTGGAAGCTCGCTGCGGTTTTAAATGGCTGGGGGGGTCAAAGATTGCTTCAAACTTACGACATTGAGCGCCGGCCTGTCGGAGAACGGGTTTCTCAATCAGCTATGGATAACGCTCATTCTTTGAGAAGGGTGGCTGAGGTTTTCAAGGAGCTACCCTCTCTAGAAACCACCTCCAGCGAAGAGGAGCGATTTCAAAGGGGCCAGCGTGCCTATAAAATGAGCTACCCAGAATGGAACAACATTGGGGTTGCACTCGATCAGCGCTATGATACATCGCCCGTTATCATTAACGACGACTGGGAGTGTGCACCATATGATGGAACCAAACTCTGGCCCCACGCATCTCCAGGTCATCGTGCACCTCATCTTTGGTTTCCCGACAGTTCGCCTTTACTGGATCATTTTGGAAAGGAGTTTACACTACTGGACGTGGGAGCTGTGGAGGAGAATGTCCAGAACATACTTGCCGCCGCTCGTCACGTTGGAATGCCCTTGAAGAGGTTACAGCTGTCTGCGTCACTTGCTCGAACGAAGTATCCAGCGGAGCTTACGATAATTAGACCCGATCAGTACATTGCTTGGCAGGGATCTCAGTGCGATGAACCTGGATTGATGATAGATAAGATTCGAGGCGCATGATTGCCGTCTTCCTGCACGAGTTTGACTGCGAGGATTCGACTAGCATTAAACGTGTGCAATATAGAGTAATTTATTTCTGTCTATCAATCCTGTGAAAGTTCTGACCCAGTATTTGTCAAACTCCTAGCGACACGGTAGGAGATAAACGGAGGTATAGAAAAGGGTAAGGGCAACTAGTAGCAACTGCATAAGAGGGAAGGACATGGTATCTGCTCCCGCATCGCGAAATATTTCCCTTGATAGAAATGCAGAAAAGCATATTTAGGAAAGGGCTTCACCCCTCTGGGTGAAGAATATTCAGGTGGGTGAACTGCCCCCTGAAGCCCAAGTGCGTAAAGCGGCGCCGCCCACGACCGAATGGTGGGCGCTAGGTGAGCATCGCCATAGTATGGCTGTTGTATGTTTTTTGCATTTCTTATTTTGTTATGGAGATTCAATCAACCAGGGCGGTGCAGGCATCCAACTAGCTAGGGTATATATGTGGGATTACCCATACTGTAATATCTCGAGTGAATGCTGTTGCGAATAGGAGAGACAAAGCCCGGTAAGATGCTTAAGCTTGCTTCTGGCTAGTTCCCATCATATCTCAAAGATTGGCCAACCAATCATACCAGCTCGCTTAACTCAGTTGGTAGAGTGCGTGACTAGTACCAAGTAGTTATCACGAAGTCGCTAGTTCAAATCTGGCAGTGAGCATTTTTTGGCCTCTTTTTGTTTTTGGATTTAGAACTTCGGAACATCAACCCTTCGAATTCATAATTAGAACGTAACGATTAATTCGATACACATACGTCAGCCTGAATGTGATCCGATTCTGATCTATATTTCTATGGTACGCACAGTCCCCAACCGTCCGTTTCTCGAGTTTCCGCGTCCGAATTGGGACGCGGCCTATTGGTGATACCGCTCATTGATCAACCAACAAGATTGGTAGGTTATAGAAATCGTTGGTCATCGAGTTATTAGATTATGCATATCGAGATCTCTGGTTTATACCGGATCTTGGATCACCTTTGTCTCCCAAGGTGATGGGTCTACGTTGCATAAAGTTGCCCGCCCGGTGGGTGCAGTTCAAATACATATTCCGCAGCGAAGTTGAGGAAACACAACACGTCCACAAAATGAAATCTAGCAACTTGGTATTTTTTTATCTCACAATTACTCGATCACAAAAGTATTTGGTATGTACACTTACCTAATAATACCACCACCACACCAGGTAGTTTAAATAGAAGTTACGGGATTTTTGTATTTTCATTTTTTAAAAAAGTACCTGCTATTGATCGCAACCTCCACCTATCACGCGCTGACCGAAATAGACCAGAAAACAGAAAAGTAAGCTAAAACTCCATGACCCGAATCCCATCCACCTCAAGCTTCTCAAAAACTAACGCCATTTCCGGGAAATCACATGCCTTACATCCGGTAGACATGATGCCAGTGGAGAAGGGGATATTGTACACATCGAAAGAAAGGAAAAGAACAGCGGGGATGCAGAGTTGCAGAGGCAGCCCTTGACAGTTGCGATACCACCACACACCATATTCTCCCATCAAGGCTGACGGATATGGCTATAGTGCCCGCGCGCCTTGCATTGACATTTCGTGCAGCCCGCACGATAGCCCATGACGAGGGGAGACCGCCGGCGCGGAGCAGCTGTGCAAGTTGAAGTTTGATGATCACCAGCCACGACCGGTGTCGCCTGCTGGTATACATCCGCAGATCCAGCAGAGGGTGCAGGCGAGACAGTCTGTGTGAAGCTGGCGGACGAGTAGTCACCCATTTCCGCGTCTGCGTCGCCAGTGTTCTCAGTGGTCCTCATAAACGCGTCGCCGTTGTCGCTGATTGGACTGGGTAGGCGGATAGCAGGTGGGAGGGACACATTGTTCATCGCTGTGTCCTCCATCGTCATGTGTAGATCTGGCTGGCCTGTACCTGCGAGGGGCGAGACTTCGGCTGGGAAGTAGCTGTCGGGTGGTGTGGCGGTCGGCACACCATTGATAGTCAGGGACTGATTGACTAGTTGGTGTGGGATTGGCGAGGACTGGTGACTGCTGAGTTGAGAGCCTACCAACCAAGGTGATAGGCTGTCGCCGCTGGCCAAGACAGGGCGCAGGTGGTTTGCAGTATCAACGTCGGCCCCGAGTTGTAGGAAGGGAGGCCGATGTCCATGCGCTGGCTTCGATTTTCCCAGACGACCAGCGTCGAGTGCTGACACACCATCTTTCTCAAAGCCAGCCTCATCGTCCGAGGAATCGACGGGAGTGAGATTGTGTGCGCTTAAGCGCAGCGACTGGTCGGTGTCGGCTGCGGACTCGGGACGCGCCCGAGGAACGGGTTGCCAGAGCGGGCAGAGCCTCTGGATAGGGTTGGTGACTTGTCAGCCAGGTTGTGAAGGGCAGGCAGGGAAATTGCGAAGCGAACGCGAGCATTGATGCAGATGCGACGCGACGCGCTGTGACGTGCTCATGGGGCTGGGTAGGACATACCTTAGACTCCTTCGCATCGAGCAACACCAGGTCCTCGTCGCGAGGGCGTTTTAGGGACTGGGCGAACATGGTGGAGGGTTAGATTGGAGAAGGCCAGCTCAAGAGCAGGAAGCAATTGAGGGAATTGGAGATTGTCTGGGGAAGTAAGGGAAGGGGGACTAGGATTCACTAATTCCCAAAGGTGGAGAGCTGAGCTCGGCACTTGCCGTCAGGGCGGATCCTCCGATCCTGATCCTTCCCGGGGAAGGAGGCTGGGGGGAAATCTCCTGTAGGACAGGAACGGAGGACGGAGTTAGTGGGAATTGACCAGTGGCCACCGTAGTTCATGTATCTGGACCTGGTTACTAGTACCTCTACTGTACGGATACAATGTTAGGATGGCTCGTATAGACCGAGCATGTCACATGAGTCTGTCCAATTCGTCGTACAGTACTCCGGAACTACAGTACTGGTGCATCTTTACATTCCACTCGACCAGCCAATTCCTGAGACAAGCGGCACAGTCAGCTTCAATGATGGGTTCTAGTCTCTAAGAGGATGACTGTGGACAGCACCATCCCCGCCCTGGTCTATAATCCATCCCCCTGTGACCCGAGTTTCGTCCCATCTAGCCATCCTCCATGCAGCACACCGTGCCGATCCTACAGCACTAATTGCACGCCCTATACTTGACAACTTTGCACTAGCTCCTACTCTATGACGTGACTGGCCTGGCCCAAGTTCTACTGTACAGCACAAAATGCCCACTGGACGATCTGAGCCCCTCTCTGATCGTACGACTGTCCCTCGATGAGTCTGCCGTGGGGCTCCGAAGGTGGTAGTTGCATTCGTGGCCTAGAGACAAGTATGGCAGAAAGACTCAGCCCCCTAGACCGGATGGAGGATGGTCTGTTTAAACAGGGTGATATTGAATTGGCCCTGCTATTGGCATTGGCGTGATCTGACTGATCTGATGGTTGCACGGCCTCAAGGGGACGTCAACGAGTGCATTGCGGGGCATGTGATTGGCTGGTTGCGATATCGGCCTGGCCTGCAGATGGGATTTGGGTGGTTTAGGAGGAGATCTGACTGATCATACTGGGAGATTGAGAGTGTATATTAATTAGATCTGTTCGTTAGAGACTCGAATCCTCTCGAGTTTCTCTTCTCTAGGATCTTACTCTTTCTTCTACATTATTATCATCGAGTCCCAGGACTGTACCTTCCCCGTTGGAAACAGAGCCACTCGCCGATAATCCACCGCGGAATCCATCCAAAGCCCCACTTTTGCCATCGGCCTTTTTTTTACCTCGTCCACACTCTTCTCCTGGAACACTTGTGCAATATACAAAAAAAAAGGGTGAGTCTTGTGCTGTTCTGGTTTCTGTGGTCTCGTTGAATTACTTCAATCGACAATTCTGAACCCACAGGATCCCTCTTTCTACCCTATCTCTCTCCCAGTGGTCAGATTACTCATTTCGCATTCCAGTACACTTGACGGTCTCCGCCATGCCTCTCATCAACACCACCGAAGTCAACGAGGACACTCGTGGTAAGTAATTCACCCTGTCTGTCTTTCAATTGACATTCAATTCCTCGAAAAAAACCCACTAATTCCCTCTTCTCTCCCTCAGTCCTCGGTTACGACCCTCTGCTGTCGCCCCAGTTCCTTCAGACTGAGATCCCCGCGGTGAGTCATTTTTTTTCTTGCCCACCCCGCCCTTTGAAGCCAGAGTAGTCGCTTCAGTACACCATCGAAGCAAGAAAAACGACAAGTAGAAGTCAATGCAAAGTTCTATAACTGATCCCTTCTCCCCCCATCTAGCCCGAGCGTGCTATTCTGACCGTCCGCGCCGGCCGCAATGAAGCCATCGAGATCATCGAGCAGCGCGATGACCGCCTGCTCGTCATGGTCGGCCCCTGCTCCATCCACGACCCTGACACTGCCCTCGAGTACGCCCGTCGCCTGAAGGAGCTCTCCGGCAAGCTGTCCAAGGACCTCTGCATTATCATGCGCGCCTACCTCGAGAAGCCCCGCACAACCGTCGGCTGGAAGGGTCTGATCAACGACCCCGACATCGACGAGTCCTACAACATCAACAAGGGTCTGCGTGTCTCGCGCAAGCTCTACGTCGACCTCACCAGCACCGGTCTCCCCATCGCCTCCGAGATGCTGGACACCATCTCCCCACAGTTCCTCGCCGATCTGATCTCCCTCGGCGCCATCGGTGCCCGCACCACCGAGTCCCAGCTCCACCGTGAGCTGGCCTCCGGCCTCTCCTTCCCTATCGGCTACAAGAACGGCACGGACGGTAACCTGGGCGTTGCCATCGATGCCATCGGCGCCGCTGCCCACCCGCACCGCTTCCTAGGCGTGACCAAGCAGGGTCTCGCGGCCATTACCAAGACCGCTGGTAACGAGCACGGCTTCGTCATCCTGCGCGGCGGTAACAAGGGCACGAACTACGACCGCGACAGTATCCGCAGTGCGCGCGAGGCCCTCCGCGCCAAGAAGCAGCGCGAGGTCCTCATGGTGGATTGCTCCCACGGCAACTCGAAGAAGAACCACCTCAACCAGCCTATCGTCGCGAAGGAGGTCGCCGACCAGCTGCGCGAGGGCGAGTCCGCTATCATCGGTGTCATGATCGAGTCTAATATCTACGAGGGTAGCCAGAAGGTGCCCCCCGAGGGTCCCGCCGCTCTCCTCAAGGGTGTCAGTATCACCGATGCCTGCATCAACTGGGAGATGACGGTTGACGTGCTGAACGATCTGGCCGATGGTGTCCGTGCGCGCCGTGCTCTGCGCGCGGCCAAGGGTAACGGTGCTAACGGCTCGCAATAAACACCTGCTGTGAAGCCTGTTAGTGTTGAAGATGCGGCCTTTTTTCCTTTTCCTGTTTTCCCCTTTTCTTGTCATCGAGTATTTTGTGGGAGATAGAGGACCCATTTGAAATCGATCTCTTGGGAATCTCTTCTTTAAAAAAGTGTGTGGGTTCGACATAGATACCTAGTTTTCCATGCTGCCATGCGGACAAGCGTGTTTTTGTTAGTTTCTTGTCTTGTCTTGTGTTCGATCTGGATATGATGATGATGATGGACTCGGGCCGCGAATATGATGATTCTCCTTTTCCGGTTTTCAAACACTTCTTCCTTTGAAGATGTAGACCTGACCCAAGTAACGCAAGTCCTTTACCATTATGCAGATATAACGGACTCGAGAGTAATGCCCCCCTCCCCCCCCCTTGTGTGTACTCTCCTGAACTTATGTTAGAACTATTCCCAACCTTCCTTACCCTCAACCTCCAAGTTTCAAAGTCAGGATCCAAGTCCAGTCCGGGGAAAGCTCCCCAAACCAAAAAACCCCAGACCCACCCCCTCCTCCAAGATCCAAATAAACTCAGATCTCAGATCTCATCTAATCTGAGTCCCACTCAATCAACCCCATAAGCATCTTCAAAATCTGCTCCACCCTGGGTGTGGGCGTGGGTGTAGCCCCCAAAAAAGGCCGGACAAGGCGGGAAGTAAACCTGGGTGCGGGCAAAGCGCTCTGCCGCGGGAACTGTTTCGGGTATAGCGTGGGTTTGGGATCGGGGGAGGGCTTTTCCACTGTGGGTTTTTGGGGGGAGGTTGGGGGGTTTAGTGGATTGTGGAATATGGAAGGATGGATTGGGTAGTTTTGTAGTGGGTATTGAAGCTTGATGGGGGAATTGGGTGGTGGTTGGTGTTGGGGTTGAGATTCGGTGTGGATGGTGGTGGGTGGGAGGACATACAGCGGATGGTAGGGTTACGGTGGGTGGGTGGTGGTGGTGGTTGTGGCTATTCGTGAGTGGGATAAGTTGTGTTGTTTAGCTGAGTAGCTGGGATTGTATTCGTTAGGATGGTTATGGATGGGTTTAGGGATGGTTGATTGAGGGAAGACGTGTTGTAAGGAGGTTGTAGTATGGGCCGAGCTGGGATAGTTAATGTGTTTACTGTAGTTTAGTTTTCGAACTGGAGAGTAGAGAATATTCCAACCGCGGGACGCTCATTGGCTGTTTCTTCCTACTATACATCTGATCTTGACTCGGTGTTGTGTAGAAGATCTACAGCTACAAAGTATATATTTGCTACTGGCTAACGTACTTGGACCAAGCATACTGACCAGACGAACAATGGAGAAAAGAGCAGATTTTCTATGTACTGTACACAATATACACGGCCGTCTTCTCTGTCTTCGCAGATAAGTAGCCCAAAAACATCCTCAAGCAGTTTAGAAACACAGCCCTAGCTAGGAGCAATAAAGGAACGGAAAAGAAAAAAAAAACACAATGCAACGCCGGAAACCCCCTGTCACGATGAATGCATGCTGCGAGGAGAGGCACCTCGCCACACGCCATGCAAGATAAATCACTTTCATATAGCACTGGTCTGAACTGGGATGGGACTGGCGGTACCCCGATATCCGATATGATCGGGGGCAACCCGAGCGGGAGATGAACGAGGGTCGAACTGGGGAGGAGAGTGGAGACGACCTTTCCGTTCTTATCCCAGATCCGAACCAGGTTCATTTTTTGTTGTTCCCTCAAGTCAGACAACAAACATTTCACCATCTCTACCGGCCAGTCAACCAACTTGTCCAGCTGCGTGTGGTCTTCTTCGCTGCTTGCTCCGCATTCTCTGCCAGAACATCCAATTGCCCGGGCACTGGGGCGCCGGTCTTCGCCTTCGCCGCGTCAAAGGCCTGCTGAGCCTGGACAGCTTGGACCACGCTGGGCTGCGAAGCCTCGGTAGTCACTGCGGCCGTCGATGCAGCTGCAGCAGAAGCACTGGCGTCCTCGGCGTTCATCTTGTCAAACAGGAACCGCTTGGCCTTGGCCCATGGTCGTTGTGCTTTCTCCTCGGCGCGCTTGCGCTTGATAATCTCCCCGATCTCCTCCTTCTCGATGAGCTCTAGTTGCTCGACGGTGGCGGTTCCACTGGCCTGGGCGATGCGTGCTTGCTTCAAGTTCTCGACTTCCTTCTCGATCCAGAGTGTACGTTGACGGCGGTTGTAAAGGGTCAGCGAGACCATAGAGTAGACTGTGAGGACACCGCAGACACCTAGACAAGAGACAGCGTGTCAGTCATTTCATGAAACCACTCCGTATATCGTAACAATCCTCAAGGAAATGTTAGGGGGAATCATGTTGATGCCAACCCCTTCCCATCTCGGAGGAAACCGTATGATCACCCGAACACCCTAGGACAAAAAGCATGGTACGTACCCGACGCAACAATCAACGAATAAACCATGCCCTTGTGCGCGCGATTCGCAAACCTCCGCCCAGACTCAATCCACCGATCCACACCCGAGCTCTGCTGAGCCATCCGGGCAGCCCGTGCCTGCGCCCGCAGGCGCTCAACCTTCTGCTTCGGCGTCTCAGGCTGGCCATCAGGACCAGTCTGTGCTGCAGTCGGTTTAGCCGGCTTCGCGTTTTCTTTCGACTGCATGAAGCTGGGAAGCTCGTAGGGTGCGCCGTTGGGTTTGGAGCTGGCGTAGGGCCCCGTGGCCGTGAACCGCGTTGCGTCTGCCGCGGATCGGGACATTGTGCGCGCAGGTGTGGGTGTGTGTCGGTGACGATGGGATAGGGGACTGCTATCGATCAGAGAGTATGTGACCGGTGGGGAAACCCCTCGATTGATAGCGTAGGGGGTGTTGTTGGTGTGCGGCGTGGAGGGATTTGGTGGTTTGGAGGGTGGGAAGGTTAGGTAAATTTTCAGCGGCCGGAGAATGGCGCCAAGACATTCAATTCCAACATCCAACAGCTTCATGGGCTTATCGATACCCTCCGCCGCCTCTGCCTTCTGAACTGCCCCCACGGGCCTGTGGTCTAGTCTTCCGACGGTCTGAATCTTCTCTTGTATGAAGTTTCATAATTTTCTTGTCTTCATTTGCTTCTGATCCTTGCATATCGACTGGCTCGACATGGCGGAGAACCCTTACAATGCTTCGGACCTGAATTCAGTCCTCTACACCCTGTCCAGCTTGACTGCACCGGGTATTACATCTCGAAGTGCATCTTCAAGTCAAACTGGGACTCCAGATCCTCGTCAGGCTCGCCGGGAGCGAGTTTATACACCGCGAGAGTCGACTCCCAGTACGCCGAGGAAACCATCAAACACTACGGCCATCGATCCATCAACTATCACGACCTGGCCGGCAGCGCTTCGATATGTAATGCGCACTGTCGGCCAGAACGAAGAGACTCAGCTTCGTATTCGCGGGCTGATCCGCAGCCAGCATAACCACGAACGACAGTGGTGGAAGGGCCGTGAAGCCCTGTTGGAGAGGCAGCAAGCGCGCGGAGACAAGAAGAAGGAGCTAGACGCAGTATTGTAAGTGGCTATCTCATGTCACTTCTCATCATCTATATGAAAGATATGTTTGGATTCGTTGTTCTTGATACAGACTAACGACGCGTGGATTAGACGCTCTATCGGGGCTCCCATCGACTCCAAAGCAACATCAGTACGCCGTGACCCAACTCTTGGTGACATCTACAAATACTGACATCATCTAGGATGAAAATTCAGAGCAGGCCGAGCTTGAAGATTACGACAGAAAAGTATACATGGCCTCTGCTAAAATGGCCGATGCGCTCATGGCAGAGCTGCGCGGGATGAAGATCCCCTTCTTTGTGCTCCAAAAGGGCCTCGGCTCAGAGCAAGGTACATCGGAAAAGGTGTTACCAAATTTTGGCGTAGATGGATCCGACGATGTGAGTCCGTCGGGGTTGAAACAATCCGACCTTGCCGATCTACAGCGACGCATGCTCGGACTGCTGGAGGATCTTTGCAAAGAATGAAGATTCTCGGCAGACTGCGTTTTCTTTACTTGATACCCCGATCGAAAAAGGTTGAAATTGGTTTAATGATTTGACAAATGGATAATAACCAACTAATGATTCTATTTCGGCGCTCAATGCCACGAACTTCCCAAGGTCAATTTCCCAGATTGATGAATACAAAAACAAGAATGAAACAGACAAAATCTTTCTCTCTATCCAACGCCTCTACCAATCAAAGATTGGATTTACCAGAATCTGCAAGTCTCAATTAGCCGGTCATCCACTATCCAAAGAATCGCCGATATCATACCTCATAACGTAAGGGCAAATGCTCTCGCCACCATAAGAAGTCCAGATAGCCTGCTCGCGTACAGGAGTACCAGTGTGTGCAGCATTGATCATCCAGCCATCGCGAATGAAGATACCAACGTGAGAAACACCAGTGTTGCAGTTTCCATTCTCACCCCAGAAGAGCAAGTCACCCTCCTTGGCCTCGGAACGAGGAATACGCTTGCCCTGGCTGGTAGCATCGTACTGGGTCTGCGCAGTGCGGGGAATCTTCTTGTTCAGAGCCTTGCAGAGCGAGAACTGAGTGAGACCGGAGCAATCGAAACCGCCACCGGAAGGTCCATCGCAGCCACCGCCGCCCCAGACGTAGGGGAGGCCTTTCTCCTTCTCCGCAGCGTTGACGATGGATACGCCAGAGCCAGAGCCACCGCTGCCACCGCCAGTGCTGCCACCATCGCAGTGCTTGGTCACGTAGTTGCTGGAGCCGGTCTTGACGTAGTAGTCGGTCACGTAGCAGCCGTCGGAGGTCTTGTCCCAAAGCTCGTCACCGTTGACGTTGGTGCCAGCAGCTTGGCAGGTGATGGTAAGGTCGGTGCCGCGCTTGTAGGTCTTGACGATTCCATAGTTGGTACCAGGACCAGAGCGGCAGTGGAGGTCGTCAGTGTCGACGGGATAGGCGCTGGCCAGAGGCAGAGCAATGGCTGCGGAGAGGGCGAGGAGAGAGAAGTGCATGTTGATTGTTTTGAATGTATAGAAGAGAAGAAAACTTGAAATGAAGATGCTAGTCTTGAGTTGAAACTGTGTTGATGATTGAGATTGTTGTGGAGCTGATGAACTGAACTTGGAAAGAATTCAAGCTTCTTTTATACTTATTCTTCCAGTTCCTGTTTTCGATTCTATTCACCTTGCCTCTCCAAACAAAGGGTCTTCTTCGTGAAAGCTTGGAGTTCTTCTCGCAGAATACCACCCTACTTCGTATCCCAGAATACCCAAAATAGGGCAACCTGAAGCCGATCACCATTTCTCGTATGCTCGGAGTATTCATCCCATGGGGCCAAAATTCGTATTGTGGGTCAATTATAGCAACGCCAAACAGACCCTGTCCCCATCCGTATCGATCTTCTTTTCCCTGCGCCAACTTTAAATGCGCTTGTGCTGGGTTGATCTCGTATGGTTCGTGTTCCTGGGTCATAGCCATGACGGCCCATTCAGGTACGCGGGTCGATACGGGTGGCTCCTAAAAATAGCAACCTGCAGGGAAGAATAAGCCTCGTTTAGCGTTGCCGATCATCGTATAGAGTAAGTGACCCTGGGGAAGGGTTCATTTCGCCGTTCGGGGATTTAAGTGGTCTATGCTTTGCTTGAATACAGATTTGGCGGGAATTTGCGAGTGAGTCCACTTGAAGATAGCTTCATAGGTCGTTTGAGATTGTTCGAGGTGGTGTGGCTTTTCGTATTGTTCTTTAGGGCATTCGTTGGTCATGTTCAGCTACACTCAAGATTTCTTGGCGATGTTGGTTTTTGCTTGTCGAAGGGTTTTCTAATATTAATCATAAATTTTGAAGCCAAGACCGTATCTAGTCTCGGATTGTGGTTGATCCTGGTCGCATTAATCTCCGATGTCGAGTCACCCATTTCCTTGATCTGTCTATCGATCCTGATCTTGTGTGCGATCAATATGGTTAACACATACGTCCCAAGACTTGGAACTTTCCAAATAATCGTCCATCGCAATTGCAAACTATTACAGTTCCTTTTTCTATGAAAGTAGCTGTTTTCTGGAGTTAATGATAGAATCATATCTCTTCTCCACAATGGGTTTAGTTGGGCCGTCCGCTGCGGTTAAAGTGTGCTTCTGTATTCGGCGTCGGAAGGCATTCTGGCCATCGTTCAGGATAATGGATGACGCCGACGAGCATAATTTCACACGCAAACTTCAGTCACTTAATGCCTCTTGACCTTCAAACGAATCCCGGCATCTTCGCGACCGAGTCTGAAGTCGAAAATGCCATCTATACTTCAGAGATTCCTACCTCCCCCTCCTCAGCAGTTATCCTTGCTGGATCTGCCACTCGAAATATTAGGGGAGATTGTCAAGTGGCTTCCAATCGAGGATACTGCCTGTCTCGCTCTGGCCTGCAAGCACCTCTTCTTCCGATATTGTTCCGTTCACAAAGCCGACGACCTTCGCGAACCTCGCCCACTTATTGGGAAGAAGCCCCTTGTACGGCGAAATGCAGAAAAACAACTCCCGGTCGCCTTCCTGTGTCGTCTCGAAAATTCTCGATGGAAATTTTGCCTCGAATGCTGGAAACTGCACCCACGAACTAAGAGACGGCTACCCTGGGAGCACCACTGCTACGAGTGCTATTTACTTTACGGGGGCCAGTGTGTACTGGATGCAGGTGTCGTTGACTTGTGCCCTTGTCTCAGCATTACATATCGGGATATGCTCCGGTTGATTGGATCAATCAAAACTCTTGAGAGCAGCCGCCAAAGTTCCGGAGAAGGATACTATGAAGAGGCGTTGTCTCCTGGAGGATCTAACCTGATTCGGAAAGAACTGGTTCACCATTGCGAGATCACAGATCATCCCGAAGCAAGAGCTGAGGTTACCACAAAGGTCTTCATGGATACCGGGAACAATTTGATTGTTCTGAATAAGTATCTCTTCAATGGCTTCAAGTCAATCGCTTGCACTTCTGAAGTGAGTCACTCATCGACATGTCCGCATGAAGACACAGGCAAATGGCTTCAGTCGTTTTTCAAAGACGTCGGTGGCGGATTTACAGGATATCGAAAATGCTCTCGGCGTCACCTTGAATGTCGAATTACTCACTGCACGAGGAAATCAGATGGGAAGAGCTTTGAAGTCAATGTTTGGAGAAGCCTGGGGACAGGAGAAGGGAGTGATAAGAATTGGAAACATAACCGTCGACGTGAGGGTCCCACATGGTACAACAGACTAAGGTGAGTATATACAAGTGGCTCACTCATGAGTAGTGGCTAACGCTTAAATAGGGAGAAGATTCATGAATCAAGCGACTATGTTCAACGGGTGTTTCATGACACTTGAACCGTAAGCGTGGTCTGAAAAGGGGAAGGCAGGGATGACTCGCTAAATAACAACACGCCTTATAGCCGATGGAGTCGCTCAACTTCTAGTACATTCCATGCTCTATCTAGTGACTGTTCATTGTGATTGCTCAAATACTCAGATGTCGTCCTTCTCTCCATTGATGCGTCAAGCAGCCGTAAGATGCGGCTCACCTTCCCCCAGTAGTAGATCAGAGTAGCATAGAGGCCCTGAACATACCGGGCTTTGGTCCATGACCACTCCATACCCCAATAAGCACCGAGATGCCTTTAATCACAGGAGGAAATTGCTCTCGTCAGGCAACGGTATCCCACACCCGTTAAGTCTTAGCTATAGAATCTGCTGCAGAGCATATCACTCCGAGTTATATTGGACGGGACCGAAGCAAGAAAATACCAGCAATGATTTTCGAGAACGAAAATTCCCATTCCAAGACAATTATAAGTTCCAAAACACTGAAAACATTACCTGCTTTTCTACATTTGTCGAATCCGTCCCAATTAGGAGTCGGCATTACGATTTCGCCCGCGCAAGTTTTGATCAAAGGCACTCTCTCGCACTGCACTTACCAGCTTTGAAAAGTACATTCGTGACGCCCAGAATCTTTCCTTCTATAATCAAAACTGACATGACAAAGATCGAGTCTCTCTCAAAGAAACATAACAATGGCAAACCTCTTTACACAATTCCCCGGCGATTACCGAATTCAAAGATCCCCCTCTCTACCAAGGCTAGAAACCTCCGATTCAGCGCACCAGCTCCCCAACAGCAACTCAAGTCTGACCGGCCCTACTTGTTCAACACCCGGGGCGGGAGAGAAGTCCTTCTTTCCAAAGAGAACTATCCTCGATATCTCACCAGAAATCATAGACCAAATCCTCACTTCGCTCAAGCCCGAAGATCAAGCCTGCTTCATCTTAACCTGCAGCTACTATTATTCCCGATACCAGGCCTCCCTCAAAGACAAGAGCCTCCACGAGCATCGAGCTATCGGAGACCCATACCGGGCCTGGGAGAGCAATTCCAAGGTCAATAAAACACCCAGAGTACTGTACTTGAACACCAACGAAAGACCAATAGTAAAACTGCTCCGCCGACTCGCAAACGATCGCTGGAAATATTGCGGGGATTGCTGGAGACTTCATCCCCAGTCTCAGTGGGCCGACACGAGTCTGGGAAAACCATGCATGCCATATGCCGGTGTCCTCGATCTCTGTCCATGCGTTAGCCTTACGTACATGGATTGCCGGAATCTCACCGAGTCATTGCAGGAAGTGAACAAAGAGTTGCGTATCACATGGGATTGGAGGACGTATTTCGATGATATTTTCAAGTATCCGTATCCGATGGATGGATCATACTATTATATCCTCCATCACAAGTGTGACTCGGGTCACTGGTTCAAAGATCATCCGTTCGAGAATGTCGAAGTGCATATCACATTAGACAATGACCTGCAGGGCTCGAAGCCCACCCTTCACGCTAGCCTACGCATTTACTTTGACTTGCCGGAGGGGATGACTCGATTGCAGGGCTACAAATGGCTGTGGGATGAGTTCGATTCCAAGCGTGTCCAAACGACTGACGGTCGGGATGGGGTAATAACGATTCAACGTAATGATAAACAACGTGACTATATTGAGTTCAAAAGTAGGATTAGTCTCGGGAATGGACGATGGCCGGATCAATCTTGGATGAAGCCAGGTTGGGAGGAGTGGCTGACCGGTTAAGATCTTCTCGTGATGTGCCCAATGCTTGCTAATCTGTCAATTTTGTTTCTCAGAGATAGTTACAGAGACAGGAAATGAAGGGATGTGGTAGAGAAAATGACATTGAATCCCATCTCTCTTAAAGGCGTCAATCTACACCTACGCACAGGAAGCAGTCAAGATAAACCAATCAATCTTGATGTCTCTAGATCGGTAAAGAAAAAGGAGACAGAGGCCTCTTACCTACCTACACTGCAGGATAAACAGCAACGGCGCGGGGCCTGATAAACAAGGAATCAACCGAAAAGAAACCTCCATCAAGAGATAGGAACATAGACAACAGATAGGCTTCTGGTAGAGAAAATGACATTAGCTTTTATTCACTTTTCATTACTGTATACCCTGTAGCAGTCTTACAAACCCTGAACAAGCTAAGCTAAGCCAATTTCCTCATCCCCATCCCAATCTAACAACAACTACATCTCCACGAGGCCTCAAGTTCGACCTTTCAAAAGCACCGAGAAAATAAAACTCAATAATTTCCGGGGAATATTCCACCACATACCCAACGGGCCTAAAATGCAAGATAAAAACAGGATTAAGAAATTCCAGAACATCCACAAGACCGAAAAAATGCCCTGATGACGAGAGAGAAATGGAAATGGTAATGGAATGGAAAAGGATGAAATGGAATAAAATCCCTAAGAAACTGACAAACCACACCACACCACACCATACGCATAGGAAGAGAAAAAAAAAAGAAAACAGAAACCCCCGAACCCGAACCTGAACTCCGCCCAGCCCGAGAACATCATGGAAGAATAACATAGATGTGGATGAGGATGAAGAGTGAACCGGTGCAGAAAGAAGAAAAAAAAACCATATCTGTGTACCCATGCTAGAAACAAACACCTGGCAAATGCATTGAAGGGAAAGTAAAGTAAAACGAGGCGGGAAACAGAGTGTGCTGTTTAAGGCCGGACTCGTGGATCATGCGCCGATGACCGATGGAGAGGAAGGAAGAAATTCACAATGAGATAGGGAGGATGATGAGGACGAGGACGAGGGGGGTTGAGGTTGAGGTTGAAGATGGGGAGATAATGGAAGAGAGGATGTCTATGTCTGGTGGAGGTATGCATAAATCAGGCATTCAGGCTGGCATCAGGCACTTATGACCGCTGCTCAGACTTGTCTGCCACTGCGACGGCCACAGCCACTGCGGCACCGAGAATAGCGCTCTCCGGTGCGGGGTCGAGGCGAATCGCTGAGCCCACAGTGCGGTGAGACTGCTCAGAAAGCTGATCCAAGTAGCCTTGGCAGGTATCGCGGAAGCCGGGGTACTTGTTGATGACGGTGCCGTCACAGGCAATGGACAGGTTCTTGGCCGACTCGTCACTCTCGACAACGGTAACCTCGGGGGACTCCTTGACCAAGTTGTCGGAAACGGAGGTAGCTGAGAACTCAACTTCATTGCTTAGGCACCACATGCTGTGAATGGCAGTGGCAAGGTAAGCAGCTGCACGGCGGGAGACGACCTGGCAGACGCGTCGGAGGAAACGCAGGTCCTCGACGGGAGGGAAGCTAGGGAAGGTGTGTTGCTTTTGCAAGAGGGCAGCGGATGAGGACATTGAGGCGGACGAGTCCTCTTCCATGAAGGCAACAATGCTGGTGTCGAAGGAGTAGGGCTCGCGCATGGAGTGCGGGAGGTCGCCGCCGAAAAGACCGGCTGTCTCTACAGCTTCCACAACGATCAGACGCACAATCTCTCCCAGATACCGACCGGTAATCATGTATTCGAGAGGCTGGTAGTCCGGGCGCAAATGCGTGCGGTTCAGAACGTCGTCCCACCGAGTCATTGGGAGGACACCACCACCGAACATACTCATCTCACTGTTGACAATAACATGCTTGGCGTAGTCGAACCAACCCTCAGGACGCACGCCGAATTTGCTCCGACCAATCTCGCGCACGGGGAAGTGAATGGCCATGTTGGTACCGGTTCCCAGGATCAGGGACATACGGGTCTTCGGGTCGACATAGGCACGCGACAGCAGAGCCGCCGAGCTGTCATTCACAATCGCCGCCATCGCAACGTTGAGATCACGCTTGCGACAGGACTGAATCAGCAGATCACCCAGCTCTTGCCCGACAGTGCCGTTCGAGCAATGGAAACCCTTGCCCATATGAATCATCAACCCGCTCCCCAGGGAAGTCTGATCAATAGGGAAAGACCACGACAATCCCATCGGCAGCGCGACCTCACCGCGGCCATAGTCCGAACCCACGTCCTTCAACATATTCTCAATATGTCCAGCCATCCAGTCGAAGAATTGCGTACCCTCCAACAACTTGACACTATTATCAATGTACGACGACGCCACCTTGACAATGCGCATCTCGGCATCCCGCCCATGCAGCTCAATCAGCGCAACCCGGAACGTCGAACCTCCCACATCCAGCGCCAGGAAAGTGCCCGTCTCGGCACCCGTGGGCAATGCGTGGTTGTACGAGGGCAGCATGCAGATCGGGCTATTCTGTAAGCAGTCCCGGAACTGCACGCGGATCTTCTCCGACATGTCGAGCATCTTTGGTGTAGATAGCGGCGTGGTGAAGAGGGTATCGATCTCGTCGGCGAAGTTGTCCAATGTGCGACGGCGCCAGTGGGCGCCCAGGAAGGGCTTGCGCTTCCGGCGTGAGAGGCCGCGGAACAGCGAGGGGAAGAGGATCATGGCTTCGAGGGCGGATACGACGTTATGGAAGAACTCCTGCAGGCGATGCAAGACCTTGACGAGCGGGGCCGACATGGTCGGGTTCGAAGAGGATGTGTGAGTGAGTGAGACGAAGGGAAAGTCGAAGCCGTGATAGAGGGAGGGAGGAGAGGAAGAGAAAGGGACAGAGAACCCCCAGAGAGAGCTGAAGGGGTCGGCGAGGGATGGTCGATCGCAGATGAGATGGATCGAGGGATAGGATTGGAGGGAGGGAGATTGTTTAAAGCGGCGACATGAGCGATGCAGAGAGGATCTTTGCGGGGAGAAGCATTCGTGAATAATCGACTGAAAGGGGAAGAGTGTTTCGGCGGGGGGAAGTTATAAAAAGAGGTAGGCAAGGTCCTGTAAGGTGACACTCCCACGGAGGTAGTGTTGGAGGTGGATCGGAGGGCGTAGTGTAGCAGAGGTAGTAGTGGTGGTAGTAGTAGGAGGAGGACTAGAAGAAGGGAGTGTTTGGTTTGGACTAGCCCCCCAGGACCCCAAGAGCAAGAGCGTAGTAGTAAGAGAGAGTGAAAGGAAGAGAGCAGGTCCACCGGAGAAAGCCAGAAAAGAGCGGCGTGAGGTTGAGTTGATGGAAGCATGGATCAACATTGGCCCATTCCTGGCCACTGCCAGTGTTACGGTGCAACTGTGAAGCCCTTGCGGTGTCGCAATGCACTGGGGGGTGGGAAGGCGGTGTATGGTATGGTATGGTATTTTTAGGCTGAGTGATGATTTGGGGCAGATTCACAGAGTGTAGAGTGATGTTGAGGGTGTTTTTGGGGGGGGGGGAGTAATTCAATTACAGGATTATCCCCAGGCGAGCTATCGTCGTATTGGGGCTACGGGCGCCTTGCGGCTCGTAGTTTAACGCGGTACCTTAAATTCGATGGAGAGAAATAGTTCATGGCCGTGGATCCAGTGCTTTCTCTCTTCTTCGAGACTTTTTCATCTTCCTGCAAGAAAGTCATTATCCGTCTCATAATATTTTACACAACCGCTCTCCATCCATCCAAAGATTCAAACGGTAGTTTGTGTACGCGTGCCCCCTCCCCTAAGTTGCGACATTCCCAAGAAGTGTGTGGTATGCCCAATACATGCTCGATGGCCCCCTTGAGTGCAACGGTGGTAGTCGGCCCAACTGGTCGGGACGGTTACACTCGTGTGGAACCTCGTCCCCCAACTACAAAACACCCTCGTGGACGCCATTATTCCTTCCAGATGCTGGTTCACCCACCGTGGAATCATTATTCATTTATCCAGACGTCAGGTCTGATACAATAATATTAAATGTATAATCGTACACCAACATGATGAATTAGAGTGTATACCTGCCCGTACATCCCACGATCACACTAAACCAGAGGAGGACCTGAAACATCACCTTTTCGGCGATCATGGAACCCCCCCTTGGAAAGATAATCTTGGGCACTTTTTGATTCCTTAGTTCGTTGAGTTAGTTCAGTCGGGTAGTAGTACTGTACTGATCCAGGTAGCTTTTCTTTTTGTGCGGTTTCTCCTGCCATGCGGGCCACTTCCCTGATCGGGTTGTATGTGATAGCGGTTGCATTATTGCACTGCAACCACGGACCACTCGGGATGGCCTTTCGGTCAGGTCGGGGCAGACGAAACCTGTAACAGCAAAGATTTGACGTGCATACGGGACACGCACACGCTGGATTCTGCCGTGAAATCTCACCCTTGCCAAGCCCGCGATGAACGCCTGCAATGGCAATGTGTCATGTCGAGTGACTGCAGTCTCTTCCCCCTGGGACACGGCATGGTCATGGCCATTCGGAATAGCCTCCCTTGGTCAATTCGGTATACGTGTCGACGGGTCTCAATGTGTGTCTGAGCCAATGTCGCTGCCGCATGATGCTGGTCTGGTTCGAATTGGACGACATCGCCTGTGCACCACGATCGCGTTGTCCTAGGTTCGGTCTGGTAGCGGAGTGGGATTGGGCATGCGAGGGGCATTGAAACCCTGCAGTGTATCATCCTGCCTTTGGGATTTATCGTGTCGCGATCAGCATGCGGATCAGTTCGAGTCCATGACGGGATGAGTAGGGTCATTGTCGAGGGAAATCACGTATATAGCAGGAGATCCCGTTGGTGGAACCTGACTACGTGAAGAATACCACACCACATACACCCCATTCGTGAGGCCCATCGCGAAGGGAGTAGTAGATTGTCGCAGAGAAACAGGGCACCCACAAAGCAAGGGTTGTTCAACCCGCTCAAAACAAGTCGTACCAGCTAGCCACCACCATCGTTGCGATCACGTAGTAATAGCAATGCAGACCCTGGATGCTAGTCCAGTAACATTGGCCAACATGGTGGCCTAACCGCGCAGATTCCCATGAGTCGAGACGACTCGAGAGAAGTACTGTAGCAAGACCCAGGGAGACGGAGGCACACAAGGCTGGCCTCATTCTCAGCCCTGCTCGTATCTGATTCCGTCCGGGAAAAGATTTCACCCCCTTGTACGGGATATCCTGCCCCTCGGGGGCCGAGGCTGGGGATCTGCGGGGACGAGTTGAATCAGTTGCGAGAGATTGTTGCAACCTTCGAGCATTGGCCTCCGATAAGGGTGGTGATGTGGGTTTGATAGGCTCGCGCCGTTGATCGGCGCTTTCTGGGCTCTGTCAATGCCTTTAGGCTAAGTAGTGTAGACTGTAGATGTATCCAGTTGGGGGGGGGGGTTTCCACGTCTGGTGCCCAAGATTCTGCTCACAGTGCTGAAGACAAGACAAGCTCATGGCATGAGATGAGCTTTCGTTAAGATGTGTCAACGGATGCTTACTCTGGGGTATGTCGGTATATCCACCTTCCCTATCGGTGTCTGTTCATCTTCAGAGTATCGCTGAGACTGAAAGCTTCTGCCTTAGGACTTGGATGAATCTCAATCTATCCACACACAGAAGGCTAGTATCCAGCGTCTTGACAGTTTCGCTGTCCAGCTTGGATTGTTGACTCTCCACAGTTGGATCTGAGCCTCATCGAAACGCTCACGAATGCGGTAGGTGGTCACAAGATCAACGACAGGAGTCGTCGAATACCTTGCCAGGTATCGCCAGACATCTTCAGGGCTATGAGAGGACACCGATCGCGATTCAAGTATTGGCAGAGGTGGCGCTGTCAGAATCTCGTAAACAGATATTTGAGGGGAAGTGTAAGCCCTGCAGATGTGGCTGAGGCCATCGTAGTGGCTGGTCTGGTACCGAGAGGTATTCTCTTCTCTTTTGGAAGTATATCTCGACAACGCGCTAAGTTCTTTACAGAACATGATTCTAGCTCCATCTACATGGAAAGACTTATATAAGTGTCTTGATGGGGCTTCCAAAGCCCTCACTAAGAGGAACGCTCTGAGTCATTCAAACTCGCCGAGACATTTGGACTCGGGCGCAGTACGCTGTACAGCAGTAACACCGATTATCCTGGTCCCAAGCATCGCCATCCTTGCGGAGAAGAAAATGCCTTCATAATTGTCTTCATGTTGAATTTCAGGCTCAAAAAGTCGGGCTCCGATGCCGCAGCAGACGCACACATGGTCAGGGTCAGACTGAACCAGCAGCGCACCCCTGTTAGACGCCCAGCTCCTTGTTGAAAAGTCGCCAATGCAATGAATTACACGGATATCCAAGTCCCTGACCAGCAGATCCGTTACTGGCTCACAAGCAGTCAGCATTGGAGTACAATATTCGCTCTCCATTCGACTCCAACAACATAAGGACGGACACCCTCGTCTGTCTAGCACACCCTATCGTCACTGTCGAAACACTCACACCTAGCCACCGTCTACGGTCGCGCAGATTCTACGCGATAGTTATCATACTACCGTGATCAGATCGTCTCCTCCGCCCCGAATCCGATTACGCATACCTCGGCCCTGGTAGCGAACACCCGTCTCTATGCACGCGGGCCAGCCCGTCGCTGGCTTTTGTACAGTACACTACCCACGAGGGAATCGTGTCATAAGCCCTTTCCGCCCTCCTTGCGTAGCGCCTTGGCTCTTGACGCCGTCGTGCATGGCAAGTCTTGACATGTCGATCGCGGGCGCGTTGACTGTGTCTCGCTGTAGAATTTGGACATACGGAGTACAGTACATTATTCTGTTGGGTTGCGCGTTTGCTTATGGGCGCGGTGGAGATGGGCGGGGCCGCTTTTGGAAGGGGTACGCGTCGAATGGCGAGGACGGGAAGGGTACAGTGTTTGAAGGGGATGTTTTGGATAGTTGATTTCGTCTGGGTGTTGGGATTATAGGATCTTAGCTGCGAATAGGGGTAGATACTGTAGGATGATGATGATGATTTTTACAAGGGGAAGAGAGTTGTGTCTTCATTGGGAGAAGACTGGAGGTGACTGAGGATGCTAGGAGTATCGGCATTGTACAGTATTGGATTTTGCATTGACTATCATAATATTGCCTCTTTCCTGTCTTACACCATGTTTTCCACATTATTGTAACTAAGCAATGCCATCGCCAAGCTTAATCGTGGATAAGCTCGATCGCGTCACCCCCGGACGGTAAGACGTATACAGCGGGACGGAAGTATAGAAGTTGGAAAGGATGACCTGCACAAGGACCGTAATAAGTATGTGGAATTTACAGACGGTTTCGTATACAGTTAATGATATTCGTATATATTGTATCCACTGAGCGGGATGAATTTGTCTAGGACATACATAGATTGTATAGAGGTATGTCCATTGTCCTCCATAGGAAAAGATCATTCATGGGCAGATCAACACACTCCAACTCCACGTAAAAACGCTAGAAAAGGCCCAGAATTCAGAAAATGGGGTCTTCTTCGGCCCTACCGACCGTTTCGCTGGGTTTGCATGCAAATTCCGAACGGGATGATGTGGAGTCGGACGCAGATCGATGTCGATTGCTGCTTTGACGAGGTACGTATATTGTTAATGTTGCGACTCCCGAGAGTAGTGTCTGGGATCATCTGTCGTATGTATACGAGATCAAAATTTAGATTGGCTTACTACTACAGTAGATGTTTCTCCGTAAGATAAACTGTGTAGTTTTTACTTCGGGCAGTCCACCGTGCTGCGAAAGGCATCGATCGCCATTGGGAAAATGACAGGATCAAACTACAGTATCTATCTGACTACTCCGTACTCCGTACAATAATAGTCATTTTGTGCAGCGCCGTGAATTATCTCAGGGGGAGATCTGTGCAGCTTAGTGTGGATTGAGTCTTCATTTCCCACAAGGAAAAGTTCTCAATCGCTACTGGCCTGAGGCAAAATGCCAAGACCGCCATCCCTCTGGCCGTCTCCAGTCGTCGTCCGCTGTTGGCCAAACACTGCGCGTCCGTGGGCCTTTTCTCCCCATCGGAGCCCGGCAAGCCCGGCAATTCTTGCTCTGGGCAACGCTGTTTGGTCACTTTGGTGTAAGTTGGGTTTTAAACTACCGGGAAGTGTACGTACGTACTCACGAGGTCCCCTTGGAGAGGTTGTGCGCAAGCTGCTGACGGGGCCGCTGGGGGCGTCGTCGGGTGGGATGTGGCTGGTCTGATTGGATTTCTGGTCGATTGGGCAAAATGAGACCGAGTCCGAGCCACATGGAAATACCTTGACGGAGTTATTGTGCGACCACCAAGACGAGGACATTTTGGATGTGGCTACTCGACGTCTCCTCCCTCAGGACTGATAGACGCATGGCAGTGATGCGCCGCTCCCCTGCAGGCCCCAACCACGCGATTGGAACCCCGACTGGGCTAACGATACGCTCAATACGAAGCGCACACTCCGTAAGGGCGGAGGAGAGGAACGCTTCCAGACGCGACGCCTCTCGTTCCTTCGTCTCCAGTAGTGTTCCCCAATCCTCGCGGGCTCCACCGTACGAAACAATGCCAAGCCCTCTCGTTGGGTCTGCTTCGCTCCGCCCCTGAAGCTGTTGGATGCCATTCCCCCCCCCCTCTCTCTATCCCAAGGCCTCCCAGTCCTCTCCTGGCGAGCGGAGTCGTCTTCTCCCTTGCCCTTGTGACCCGAGCGGAGGGGACTCCACTCGTTTTTGGGATCCGATACATCCCCTGGTCTGACGACGACTGAAGGAGGGAAAAAAAGAGCGCCTGTCCGTCGGCGCCCACTCTCTCGTTGTCGCACTCGCGAACTAATACTGACTAGTTCGCGGCCTAGGATCTCAGAATCCAATCCTACTCTATTCTCCCCTCTTTTCTTCTCTGCGTTGCGCACCTTCTTTTTCTCTCTCTTACCCCCCCCCTCCCCCTCCCTGCGTTGCGTTTGACGGCCTCGTTCTTTCTTTCGTTCTACTCATCCGGGGAAGCTTGTCTTCTCAGCCATTCTTTCAGCCGCCATGCTGTTTGCCGGCGCATTATCATTATTGTTCCTGCAGACTGCTGTTGCACAACGCCATGATGCTGATCTTATGTCCTTCGTGACTGTGAGTCGTCCCTCGTTCGGAGCAGCGACAATGGATTGTGAACTGCGCAAACCCCCAGCCACGAATTGATGCTAACTTTTTTATCTTTTCATTGCTAGCTCCCCGAGGTGCGCGCCTTGAAATGGGAGGTCACCCATCACGATCGCACACGAGCTGCTCCGGGTTACTGGTTCGTGGCGCCGTACGGACAGATTTCGCCGGAAGAACCCACACAAAAATATCAGCAGTACCAAGTTGGGCCATATATATACGATAATGATGGTGTATGTTGTTTTCCTATGGACTTTCATCTCCCTTCTCCATTTTCTCTATTCGTCTCTTAGGGGCCAAGGTCTGACTCAGATCTTTTTTTTTTGCGGGGAAACAGATGCTTATCTGGGCCGGTGCACCATTGTACGATAACCAAAACGTCTTCGACTTCAAACCTGTCACCACTATCGACGAAGACACGCACCTTTCGTTCATCGTGTCCTGGGCAATCGACGAGTCCAACAAGGGTTGGGGCATGATCGTGGATAAGACGTATAATACGGAGAGACAAGTCGGTGTCTTGAATGACCTGCACGACTTCAACATGCACGAATTTAATGTCCTGCCGGGCGGGAAGACGGCCCTGGCGTGCACGTACCGCCCACGTGAGGTCAATTTGGCGGATTTCGGACGCCCGACGGAGCAGAGTTGGATTATGGCGGGTGGCTTTGTGGAACTGGACACGGAAACAAGCGAGGTCTTGGTGGAATGGGATTCCTTCGATAAGGTTGCCCTGCATGAGTCTAACGTAGTCAATGCCGGGAACTCGCCGTCCAAATTCCCTGGCTGGGACTATGTGCACATCAATTCGGTCGACAAGAACGAAGCCGGCGACTATATCATCTCTTTGCGCTTCACCAACACCCTTTACTGTATCTCGGGCGAGGATGGCCATATCATGTGGCGCCTCGGTGGTCTGGAGTCTGACTTTGCCCTCGACTTTACCTTTTCCAAGCAGCATGATGTGAAATGGCTCTCGTCCAACGGCACTCACCACGTCGTGTCTTTCCTGAACAATGCCTCCGATGAGGGCGGGAACGACGAGGCCGTCTCCGCCGCCCTGTTCGTCGAGGTGGATACCATCGCCATGACTGCCAAGGTGATCAAGCGCATCAACCGTCCCGATAGCGGTCTGACCCGCCTCCGCGGTAACGTTCAGCTGCTTCCTAACGATAATGTCTTCGTCGGCTGGAGTGAGCGCGGCTACCAGAGCGAGCATGCGCCAAACGGTGACTTGCTGATGACCGCCCGCTTCGTGTCTGAGCGTTACTCTACCTACCGCGCCTACAAGGCCGAGTTCATTGGCCGTCCGAGCACGTCACCCGATCTCGTGGCTTCGGTGTACGGTACCACCAACGTGGACACAACTACGCTGATCCACGTCAGCTGGAACGGCGCGACCGACGTCGTCGGGTGGAAATTCTACGCACAGGCATATGACCGCAGTTCGCCCGTGCTCATCGGCCACGCTAACAAGACCGACTTTGAGACCATGTATATTGTCGACGGCTACATGGATTGGATCACTGCCGAGGCCATTGACAGGGAAGGAAGGGTTATGGGTACTTCGCGGGTCACCCGAAGTGAGATTCCGAAGAACTGGAAGGCTGTGGGCTTTGTGGGCTCGTCTACAGGTCCCAAGCCCGACGATCCGGCCATCCTCTCGGCTGTCAACAAGGGCAGTTCTTCGGTCTCGTCCTCCTACGACAGCGTCGATACCACTAATGGTATGACCGACATGGTCAATGATCACTCTTCGACCTACGCCGATGCCAAGGAAGTCGCCAAGGCAGTCTACAAGGCTTACGAAGTGATCCGCGGCGTAGGAGGTCTGCTCATCTTCATTCTCCTCGCCTGCACCGTCGGTGGTCTAGTAACCTGTCTCTGGCGCATGTTTAAGCGCCGCAAGATGCGCTCATACCAACACATCCCCTCCGAAGAGGGCGTACCCGTGGAAGAAATCCACCTACGCTCCCATGCTGAATGATCTTCTTTCACGAATGCCATACATACAGCATTCTCGAGGCTTTTTTTCAAGCTCGTCTTTTCTTTTTATCTTGCATGATTAGCAGCGTTGCATCAGCATTTACACTTTTCTGGTTTCTTTCCTCTTTCGCCCCCGCCTCGTTCTTCCAGGTGAAGGTTTTCCGGGGTCGGAAAAAGCACTCTATTGCAACATTACCTGAACGAAGCATGGTCCGGATGCAAAATTTCCGGAGGGGCGACTTGAGTGGTGGGGTATAGGTATATACAACCAGGTCAGGCCATGATCGTTTCTACGCATATCATACCCAGCAGCGTTTTTGGGATCTTGTTTACTGTCCTTGTCTCTGTCTCATTATTACTTTCTACTGGACTATTGAGATCTTTGAAATCCTCCAGATATTGTCGGGACTTTGATCTCCCTTCGTTTTCACGCCTTACCTCGTTCTCAACTCTGTGGTTTTGTCTTTGACTTCGTGTAATATTACTCTACCGCTTCTTTTTACCTGGCTATATCATGCTACCCATTTTTAACCTGATGCTTCGCATCTGGTCGAAAGACAATGTACATACTGCATAATATCTTGAAAGAATTTTCTGTTTCTGCCGTGTCGATCTTGAGTTACTTGTGGAGATGGGTCGCACAATGTGCTGACTCTATAGAGACTTGCCTCGAGATGAGAATTAGCGACAACCAGAGACCGGCTGGCTATCGCCGGTGATGACCAGGCCCGTTATGCTGTGAATACGCATGTGCTTACCCGCTGGTGATAGGCGGGAGTTTTCTGAGTATAGGACCTCGTGATATACAGGGGTAGTGGTGAAGTGATGTCAGGAGAAATCCTGTAGAATCACACCCAGGCTAGCGCGGGCATCCTTCTCTACCTAGTATCCAGTGAACGCAAATCTTAATACTACAGAGCGACAATCTCGAATTACGCTTCTGGCACTTGGAAACAATGGAATTGCGGTCAACTTAGAATTGGGTTGCTCGTTTCTATGCTGCCACCTGCACGCAAGAGCGTCAAAGTCCGGGGTGTGTGCATGTGGGCTTGCGATATAACGCCGCGGGCTTGGGATGGGATCTGCATTTAAGCATTATGGGCTAGCACGGATATAGATTAGGAAGAGCCATACACATACTGTTTTGTGTGGTGGCTTGAGTCAATGGTCGATTCGTAGATTTGTGGTGCCGCTGGATGACTACTATAAGGCCGCGATGGCTATGGTACGTGCTACCGCTGGATCTATAGATATCCTTGTACTATTTCATCTATCTTGTTGAGACATGGAATAATGCATCTAATCAGAAATTTCATTAGTGTCATCTAAGGTCTGCATTGCTTTCGCGAAGAACTAGTGGCGCCGGCGCTGACGACTACTCGGTACGGCCGCGTCAGCGGGGTTAGACCAGGCGTTCGAGGTGAGATGGTGGCGTTCACAATGTAGATCTTGTGGGTGTTTGGGATGAGATTAATTGAAGTATGTGTTATGAATGGTATTTTGCTGAATATAGCGGGAAATTCTCTTGTTTGGGTTGTGGTGTTGGGTAGTTGCTTCTAGAGTCAAGGGTTCTTCTATTGGAGCTATAAGCTCCCAAGATTTGGCACTCTGGTATCCGTTATATACCACTTTGATTTTGTACTTGCTCTGAGGTTTGCCACTAGAGTGATAAGGGGTTGATAGCTTATTTTGGACATGATTGGAGTCCTGTTGTTCAAAATACCGGACCGCTTTGGATAATTGGCTATCGTATTTGATCAGAAAGGAACCCAGAAGGAAGCCATGTGAAATGTAGCAAGTCGGGTTTCTATATACATCACTTTATCTGTCTGAGAATTCGTCTCATAGCCGGAAGTTCGTTAAAGGAATCCCACAATTCACAGCCGTCTCGTTCCTACCGTACTAAAGCTAATTGGTCTCTCATGTGCTATTGTCGGGGTATAGTTGAAGTCGTGAAGCATCAGTTGACGAAGACTTGCAAGACAATTCTTGCATTTTTCATATTTTCATAGCCTTTTTTTCAATTCTAACTACTAACTAGGATGTATCAGAAGGGTTCTGAATGGACTAACGTACAGGTATCCACCTAGGGGTACCCCCCGGCCGCTACCTTCCACATATATTGTAGGTGACTTGGGGCATCCAGTTGACCATTTTCCAGACGGGCCAAAGATAATCACGATGATGAATTCGGGAGAAGAGAGCAGAATCGCATGCCTAGGTAATTTAGTCTCAAACCGGACCTATGCATAAGCAGAGCTTCCTGGAAGTGTCCTATTGGCAAAGCTCAAAGTATCTTTGCCGCGCAGAGCCTCATGGATGCCGCTGATTAGATCATCGGATCTTGGTTACTTTGACTAATATTTTGATCTGGTCTTCGACAAAGCATAACCATCTAACATAAATAGCAAAAACACTAACAGGGCCCTGGAACTATATTGAAAACCACTAGGGAATACGTGTCTCTGCCAAGAATGTACTGGCCGTCGCGTCCTCAGGCCACAATCCATACGGCGTTGAGCGGAAATCGCGCCAAATCACTTGGCCGATTAAGTGGCGAGAAGCGCCCAGGCAATATGCTGGCCTAGGTTGCCTTATAAGTATGGCATTGCTACATCTCCAGCTGATCTCCAGATACACTTGCATGATGAGGCAGGTTTTGAGGTTAAATCTTAGCTCCCTACCAGACATCCGCGTTATTTATGCTGTTAGTTATTGATAAATTGAGTATTTAATACCGTGTGCTTTTGGAAAGTCCAAAGCCTTCTTGGCAGGCTGTTAGCTGCAACAAGCGCCGTTTCTCGTCTACCCAATTATAAATGAGACTATTAAGACAGTAGGACTAGGATACGCCTGTGGAGAGGACAGGATTACCGCAAATATTTTAAGGCTCAGCAGATTGACGACACTTACTAGACCAGATAGATACTACAGCTTTCCCTTTTGATAGAAATGGCGTAGCTGTTCCCTTTAAGGTTGTGTGCCCAATCTGCCAGCCAAGATTACATGGTTTGGGATGTTGCGGTACTGATGGACAATGTCTTGCAAAGAGTGAAAATATTGATATTACGTGCCCACATAATCTTCTCTGGATGTCAAAGATTCATGTCCAGTGATGTATGCTTAAGAGAAGGAAAACATTCTCACATAAAGCTACAGCCATTCTCGAAATCGGCTTGACCAGGACATACTGAGACTCTCTTTCCTGGCCCCACCGCCAAGGCCTTAGCGCAGATCTTTTATTGAGTGCCGCGTTAAATCGAGGGGCGCAGTAAAACGGACTTTGTATGTTACAGTACCCGGTTACATAATTCAGTGGAATTCCTTAGAAACCTAGAGTGGATCTCTGCAAATTATGCAATTACCTCATACTCGTCATTTTGATGGCGTTTAGAAGTCCTCAGAGGTACCTGAGAAGTGACAGAGTCATGTGATAGAAGTGAGACATATTATACTCTGAGTGTTTGAAAGATGCCGATCTTCCCCGCCACTACCTTAGATGATACTAGTGTCTGATAAAGAGAGCGGGGATACGAGGCTGTGTCCTCGTTCTCCCAACCCCTCCCAACCGAAACCAACCCAGCTGAGGCTTTCAGAATGGAGCAGGAGCATTATACGGTGGGCATTATTTGCGCCCTACCCCATGAGGCAGCAGCTGCCATCGCCATGCTTGACGAAGAAGCAGGTCATATGGTTGAACAAGACCCGAATGACCACAATTCATACAGACTTGGTCGACTTCACCATCATAATGTGGTTATAGCAAGTCTCCCCGCAGGAATAGTTGGCACCTCCTCCGCGGCCGTCGTTGCAAAAGATATGCTGCGGACATTCAAAGCGCTTAGATTTGGACTGGTGGTCGGCATTGGAGGCGCAGCCCCTATTCCTGATTCAGAGGATCAGGATATCCGTCTTGGCGATGTGGTCATCGGCAAGCCAACAGGAACCAACGGGGGTCTTATACAGCTGGACTACGGGAAAATGACCCAATCTGAAGGGCTTATCCGCAAGGGCAGCTTGCCTGCACCGCCATTCTCCTTGCTCACAGCTCTCGCTAGACTGGAGACTGCTCGAGAGCTTGGAGAGTGTACCATTCCCCTTCATTTGTCTAACATGTTCAAAAAGCGACCGGGCATGAGAAAACGATTTGGAAACCCCGGAACAGAGAACGACGTTCTTTACCACCCGAAATATGTTCATCCAGCATCTGCAGCAACATGTGTACCCTGTGACATATCTAAGCAGATATCACGACAAGAAAGGGAATTACTTGAGCCGAGGGTATTCTGTGGAACTATTGGTTCGAGTAATGTTGTGATAAAGGATGCTATACTCAGAGATCGTCTGCGAGAGGAGCTTGGCGTCATGTGTTTTGAAATGGAGGCGGCGGGCCTAATAAATTTCCCCTGCCTCGTCATCCGCGGAATCAGCGATTATTCGGACTCGCACAAGAATGATCGATGGCAGCGATATGCGGCTGCTGTCGCAGCAGCCTGTGCAAAAAGTATCCTTGGATACATTGCCCCAGTGTCAGTACAGAGAGAACAGCCGATTGTTCATGTATCAGGTACGTTACTACACATCAGAGCCTGCTGCGAATTGTCAACGGATTGCCTAACAAGTGCTGAAGATCCCATTCTACAGGATCTAGCTTCCCAACAAATAGCAGCAACCGAGAGAATCGCCCAAGAAGCGAACACTAGATATGAGAATGATCAGCGGAACAATTGTCGACAGTATTTTGATGTTCTGCCGTATTTGACGTACAAAAATATCAACCCAGATCGAGTGAGAGGATCTTGCGGCTGGGTATTTGAACACCCTCAGTACCGTGATTGGCTATCTCGTCAGCGAGACGATCTGCTTTGGATCTCTGCAGATCCTGGATGCGGGAAATCTGTGCTTGCCAAAGCTCTCGTAGACGAAGAGCTTCCAAGGACTTTCTCAGTTTGTTATTTCTTTTTTAAAGATAATGAACACCAAGAGGACATATCTGGGGCGCTGTGCTGCCTCGTACATCAATTGTTGATCCAGGCGCCACATCTCTTAGCTCACGCTATATCTATATGGGAGAAGAGAAAAGGATCATTGAAAAATGAACCAGATGCACTTTGGTCACTTTTTGTCACAGCAGCAACCGATCCTCAAGCTGGGAATGTTGTGTGCGTCTTGGATGCTCTTGATGAATGCTCATCAAAAGGAAGACAGCAAGTTATTTCTTACTTGAGCCAATTCTATGCACAATCCCTGCAGACCCCTTCTCGAAAAACACATTTGAAGATCCTTTTGACAAGTCGCCCTTATTTGGAGATTGAAAATGGACTTAAAACTTCAACGGAACAGCCCGCGATCCGACTAGCAGGGGAAAAGGAATGCGAGAAAATCAAACGCGAAATTGATATTGTCATCAAGTGGAAGATGAATGCCTTGGCAGAAAATCTGGGGCTTCCAAAGAAAATAAAGGATATAATTGAGTCAAGAGCTCTCGCTATGGAAAACCGCACATACCTTTGGGTTAATCTGCTCATGGAGGACCTACAGTATGGAATCGAGAGTGGGGATAGGTTCAACATTCGAGATCTCGACCATATACCTATGAGTGTCGATGCAGCATACGAAAAACTCCTAGATAGACACACGGACAGTTTCCGCGGTCGCCGTGACGCTCTGCTCTTGCTACATCTTGTTGTTGGTGCTAAACGACCGATGACCGTGAAAGAGATGGACGTGGCCTTCAATCTGGCACAAGAAAGTCTAGATGGCGCTTCTGATTACGATCTTGGCAACGATTTCCTCGATCGAGACCGTTTTACCACAAGGATTCGAAACCTCTGTGGCTTTTTTGTTACCGTTGTGGACGACAAGATTTGTCTCATTCATCAGACAGCAAAGGACTTTTTGCTTGCGCGGAACCCAGAAGTTGAGGTCGTTTCACGGCCGTTTGCCATGAATAAAGTCATCGCGGGGGAAAATCTTACAAAGCATTGGAAAGAATCTGTTCATCGTTCGACATATAGCTCATTATGGGCTCATGTTACCGTATCTTGCTTGTTAATTCTTGACTACGAGTCCAAAAACGTGCTTCCTGTTTATGGCGACCGTGGCCAAATACAAGCCCTCTTCAAGTATTCTGCAATACACTGGGGGGATCACTTTCTCAATGCAGCGTTCCCGCGGGAGCACACAATCCAATCGAAAGCACTTCGCCTATACAACGCTGCTCAGGATGGCTCAAGCTTTTGGTTTGATTTGTATCAAACGCATCACTTCAAGGCAAAATGTTCTCAAGTCCCACCCACCTCGCTAGTCGTTGCATGTCTTTTAGGCCATTCGTACCCTGCAGAGGTACTAATCCAGGACTTGGAGCCTGAAGACGCACAGAACTCCAGGTCTCGGTTGGCTCCCGTCTTTGCGGCCGTACACGGGGGCCATAAGGAAATGATTCAAGTCCTTCTACATCGCGGCTTTATTCAAGAAAGAACGGGTATTCACGGCCTCGCTGTCATGATCGCGGCTGCGAATGGTAACGCTGGCATTATTCAATTGCTAGTGAAACCTCGAGAGGGGATTGACAATTTCGAGGGTGAAGACCATCTTTACCGCCAATGTTTTCACTGGGCTGTTACGTCTGTTCCATCTCTTGGCTTTGAGGAAGTAATAACTAATCTGGCCGCCGACGAATCCGCATTTAGTTCTGCTTTCGAGTACGTTCTCGAGCAAGCAGCTATACTTGGTCAGGAGAAAATCTTCTGGTTGGTGATGAACAAGTATTGCGATAATCCTAAGTTTGCACAATTGAAACAAGGGTATCTTCACCTTGCCTTGCAGGCTGCAGCAAGAAATGGCAGTATCAATCTCACAAAGCGGCTATTAGAGAAGGGGGCATCTCCCAACCCGACGTACGCTCGAGGGGGCAACGCTCGAGTGGGCAACAGGAAACCGCCGGAACAAAGCCCATGGCCAGGTCTAGAGCACGCTGGACTTTACAATCCTAGCTCTAGGGAAGGCGTTTACTTGGAATTATATGACAACATCTTGAGGGAGGCTATGGTGGCATATGCAGGTAGAAGGGTTTCTAGAAACATGGAGGCCCTCGTTTTCAAAATGAGAACCCCACTGCTTTCAGCCGTGATGAAGAATTGTGCGAGTATTGTTTCTTTGCTAGTTGACCATGGAGCGAGCATAAACAAGGCATCGCCAGTGCCGATTCCTGAACTTGGACGCGCGAATGCTCTTGAGATCTCACTGCAAAACAATTTTTCCGAGATCTCTGCCCTCCTGATAACGAATGGAGCAGAGGTCCAAAAATTTCAGTCTCCAAGGCGGAGAGAACAACTTGGACGAAATTTTGTTTCTGTCGCCAAAAAGTTGCTTGGAGAGAGTTTCTCTATCAAAACGGTGGGCCGTTCAGGCTATGAAGCTGCTGTGCGGACAGCAAAGCGCCTTCACTGTAAGGAGCTTGTGGCCGAATTATTGAAGAAAGAGCCTTCGCTTGTGTGTCGAGACGAAGGCTCGCGTGATATACTGAATACCCTCCCACCTGAAATCAGGCGCATTGCCGAACAGGCGAATAAACAGATGGGGGAATGGGAATTGAAGGAAAAGAATGCACGCAGATAGGAATCAAACGATCAAAGACATTTCGCCCTCAGAGTGGCGCCGTGGTGACGATGGTTCTTGGTAGACACCGCTTCATTATGCAGCGCCGTTTTGTTGATGCGACGGATACCTCAATTGTTGACGACAACAAAGGCCGAACAACGCTGCATTGCGGTGTATAAGAGACAGCGATCATGGTTATTTTCATCCTGACACAACGTACGGCCTGCCTTGCTGGCGGCTCTGATTATATGAGGGTCACCGATGAATTACTAGCACGGTTTTGCTTATGGGACTCATGTAATTTCGCTTTCGGTTTCCGTAGTGTAGCGTGTCAAAAGAGTAACGTTTGAGGCTAATATCCAGTTTTTGTAGTTCATGAAAGGACACTGGGAGCTTTACTCACGCTCGCATGGGCCATGTGGGGCGCAAGGTGGCAGGCCTCAAGGTGCTACGACCTCTGTTTAGGAGATCTCTACTCTGATCAATGGAAGCTAGAGGAGGCAGAGGAGATGTAACAGCGAGCACTGGCAGGCAAGGAGAAGTCCTTTGAGCCCAGATCAAAACAGGGCCCGGCGTGCTATAGAAGATTGATTAGATAGGTTAAGCCTCGTGGGTGAAAAATGGTGTATAAGCCTCCTCATGTAGGAATGTAGAAAATAAGTGAGTCATTGTTATTGCGATACATTCTTTACAGTTAGTGGGTTCAGAGCATAATTTCTCCACGTTCGAGTCAGAAAGCCGATTCGTCACTGACAATGTGGAAAGTACAGTATCCCAAAATATTCACACGTTATATTTTCTAATCTCTATTGTAAATAATGGCCTAGGAAAGGTTAGGGGGAACTGGCATTGCCGAATAGCGGTCGCAATTGTCTGACCAGTAAAGAAGGTGCCTATCGTGCACACCGCAGTTGGTGCCACGGATAGGCTGAGAAAGAGACTAATTCCACTAGGCGGATATCCCAGAAACAAGGCATGTGTGCACACGCCTCGTCGGATTTGCGATCCACTATGGAAGTTCACGGACTTTTCGTGCGCATTTTGTAATTTTACGTAGCCGGGTACTGTAACATACAAAGTCCATTTTACTGCGCCCCTCGATTTAACGCGGCGCTCAATAAAAGATCTGCGCTAAGGCCTTGGTGGTGGGGCCAGGAGAGAGAGTCTCAGTGTGTCCTGGTCAAGCCGATTTCGAGAATGGCTGTACTTACGAGACAAACTGTGAGTATGAAACGGCTTTTTCATACCATGATGACCTTGAGCATAACCTTTCTGTGCTGGAGCACAAACTTACAACCCCGTCGATTCACTCCGGGGAAAGTATTTGAACACGAGTATCAGGTCATCCTCTCATCCTGCCATCAAATCGATTTCTAATCCCATCCACAAACACCATCCCCAGACCCCAAACCTCGCAAAACCTGCCCCATTCGGGACCGAACACGAGATAATGATCGACAACGCTAAACAAAATCTTACTAAAAAGGCAACTCACACGAGAATAGAAGGCCTGCCGAAGGGCGGAGACATATCCCGCATCCCGCATCCCGCATCCCAGTCTGAAGTCTGAAGTCTGGAGCATGGAGGACGGAGAATAAACGGCTTGGTCTGGGGCTGCGGGGTGCAGTGCAGGTTATTTTGCCGTGTGGCTTGGCCGTTGTGCTGACGGGAGGCATGTCAGTGAGTGCATTGCATTTGATCGTCGGGTTGGTTCTCGTGACTATGCGTGATCTATTTAACTCCACTGGTAATTCTCCGATGATGTCGGGCATTTTATGAGTGGATTTTGACAGTATGTGGATCGGCTCTTCGGCGGCAATTGCAATATCCGATGTACTGAGATTTGTTGGATATGGATGTGCATATGGTATACGTCGCATCGAATTACCTGACGCGGATTGGAAATGAAATGTAGGGAGCTCGATGTTGCTCTATGGATTATGAAGTTTCTCGTTGAACGCATATTGGGCCAGGGAATGATGAATAGTTATAGTACTTGCCTTACGAATCAAGTTGGTGAATTCGATGAAGTGTCAAATCAGATCCTAAGCTTCATCTTACGACTGATGTGGTTGCAACACCACATTCTGAGCGGGAATAATTATAGGATGGCAATGCATTCTATTGTTGAATCAGATCAAGCTCTATATTCCAATCATCTCCTCCCTTCATGGTATATAACATAAAGAAAAAAGCAATCAAGACATCAATCTGGCGGCGATTAACCGCCATGTCATGCGACATCACAACTGAAAAAGAAAACGAAAAATGAGATAGGGGAATAATAAATGCGAGGCATCACAACACTCCATACTCTATAAAGAGTCGTCGTAACCTCAATGCTTTCCGTCACCAGGATGGAAGGCCAAAGCAAACTGTACATAGGCTCTCCGATGAGGATCGGAAGTTTCAATTACTCGGCCTTCTCGTCGCTCGAGTTGCCACTGGACATGGCCATCTCGACCTTCTCGTTCTCCGAGGAGTGCTGGTGGTCGGATACGTCAAGGCCGATCTCACGCTGCATAGAGGCAATCTCACCGGGAGAAAGCTTGGGCAGGGTGTTGGCGATCTGGTAGGGCCACTTCTTCTCGATATGGGCCTTGGCGAAGATGATGTCAACCTCCTCCAGGTCACGACCGGCGGTCTCGGGGTAGTAGAACCAGGCGAAAGGAAGACCGATGAAGTTGACCAGAGCAAAGAAGAGGTAGATACCCCAGGGAGAGGCATCGGAGAAGACGGGGGTGAACATGACAACGGCGAAGTTGGTGATCCAGTTGGTGCAAGTGGAGGCGGCGGCAGCCATGGTACGGGTGCGGAGGGGGTTGATCTCCGGAGGGTAGATCCAGGGGAGAGGCAGAGTGGTGAAAGCGAAGAAGCAGATGAACAGGAAGATACCGACGATGGCACCCTTGGCGTTCTGCTCATTCTCATTGATCAAGCAACTCATGGTGATGATGAAAGACAGACCTTGGCCAGCGAAACCGATCAGGAACAGCTTGCGGCGACCGACCCTCTCAATCATGAAGAAGGAGGGGATGGTAGAGAGAGCGTAGACGGTAGCGAAGACACCACCCAGAACCAGAGAGAGACGGTGCTCCATCTTCAAGTTCTGCTCGAACAGCAGAGTAGAGTAGTAGATGGCAGCGTTGCAACCAGTGAACTGCTGGAAGAACTGGCCAGAGCAACCGATCATCATACGCTGGAACTCCTGGGTCTTGCCGAAGGTGAACAGAGTCTTCCAATCGGCCTTGGCACCCGACTGGGCCTTCAGATCAGCCTTCATCAGGTTGTAGTCGGTGAGGACATCCTCGCCGTCAATGGTGCTGTCGTTGAGGGCGGCGAGAACCTCGAGAGCTTCCTGGTCCTTGCCCTGCATGATGAACCAACGAGGAGACTCGGGCAGCATCATGGCTCCAACGCTGACCATAATGGCGAAGAGGATCTGGAAAGCGATGGGGAAACGCCACTGGACAGAGCTGTTCACGTAGGAGAGACCGAAGTCAATCCAGTAGGCAATGAGGGTACCGACGGCAATGATAGCACCCTCGAAGCAGACAAGGAAGCCACGGTTGTGAGCACGAGAACACTCGGACTGCCACACGGGGATGGTAGCAGTGTCCATGCCGTTTCCAAGACCAGAGATAACACGACCAACAACGAACTGGCCCAATCCCCAGTGGGGACCGAAGGCGGCAGTAGAGATGACAGTACCGAGGATCATGAGAGCACCACCGGTGACCAGCAGGGGGTACGGCCGATGCGCTCACCAAAGCAGAGAGTGAAGATAGCACCAAAGAAACAACCAAGCTCGTAACAGGCAGTCACGGCACCACGAAGGACGGAGACATGCTGAGAAAGGGCAGCAGAAGCTCCGTCGGGAATGGCGAGGGCGCGGAACTCGTTGGTGAACTCAGTACCGGCAATGATACCAGACATAAGTCCCTGATCATAACCGAACAGGGAGAAACCAACAACGGAAGTGAAGGTGATGGCAATGTGGAGCTTCTTGCCCCGCAGGCCGGAGGTTGTTGTCCACATCTTGAACGTGTGTCTTCTTCGCGTGGGTATATGCGCGAAGGGATGGATTGGACCAGGACAAGGAAAGAAAGAAAGGAAACCGTCTGGGGGTCCGGGGTCAGGGAGGACGCCTTATATGTATCTATGCTTTCTTGCAGGGCGGAGAAACCCATCCTACGGGTCAGGTCGGCCAAGACGAAAAACATTGGACATGACGTCGGCCGTGTTAACGCTAGAGGCAGGTTGCGCGGGCCACCGTGGTACGCCGTGGGCCAGTATGGGGGCTAAGGGGCTAAGGGGGCCCCGCAGCAGAGTTTTACGGGGGTTGCAATAGGTGGGGTTTGCCCTATGTGGGTTTTGCTGGAGGCAAGTCTCGCGAGCCGCCCTGGGGGAAGATGGCCAGGCGCGTTGCGGTTGCTTCTTCTGCTTCTTCTTTGGGGTTGTCCCCCCGCCACCAATGTGTGGTGCTGCATTCGGGAATCCGAAAAAGGTTGGAAATGTCAGCAAAGTGGCGGGCCAGTCAGATGTGGCGGGAGGCAGAAGTTCCTGGGCAGGATGGAGTAAGTGCCTGGGACCTGTGTACTTTTTGGGGTTGCTTCGAATTGCTTGGGTTGCTTACAAGGCGCCACCCGTTCTCGTCCGTCAAGCCACCCGTGGAGCCACCCGTGGAGCCACCCGTGGAGCCACCCGTGGAGCCCTCCGTGGAGCCATCCGGACGCCTCTTTGTCACCGTCCGATCGCAACCCTCCCACTGAGTCGCCTTTGTAGCCTCGTGGGGGTGGATCGTTTCCTGCTGGGAGCGTCACGATCACCATTCACTTGGCCGGAATAGGAATCTCTCCCGACCCTCCATCACCTTCATCCTCGTCCATTCACGGGGGAAAACGGGGAAGCGCAGTGGGTCAAGGGTCAGAGTTTTTCTTTTTCTTCCTGTTCGACCAGTCGGAGTCTACTACACTAGTCAGTCCTGTTGCGCATTTGAAAAGCATCGAGATCGAAGCGAAGTCCGAAGCCAGACGAGGCCCAAGCTACAGTAGACAAAACGAATTTGCCTTTTTTTTACCCACAACTCGCCTCAGTTACCCTTCTTCCACACATCCTTCTTGGCCCCCGAGAGCCCGTCCGTTAATCACTGGCCGATGCCGACGGCTGGACGGTTACCGTGAAGGAGGCCGTGACCCACCAGGCGGGCCACCGAGGGGCCAATCAAGCCACCGACGCGATCGAATCCGACACCCCGTGGGGACAGAAGGAGAAAGCGGTCTTCAAATTGGGAAATTGTCTTGCCGGGACGGTAAATAGTGTTGGTACCAAAGTAAACTTCGGTCATAAATGGTGGTCAATGGCGCTGGGCGCGCCCGATCCTTGTTAGGGTAGTAGTTATCAGAAGATACCGCGGGAAGGTTGTTTGGAGGAAGACATGTGATCCTGCCGTTTTTGCGGGCGATAGGCTTTTCCTGGGATCCTCCGCGATTCTCCTCATTTTTGATTTTTTGAGGGGGTCCTACTTGGGAAGTTGGGGTTGGGAGGGGCGACTCGGAGGGTGGTTTTTCCCGTACCGGAGAATCTATCACGTGACTATTGACCCGTCCCAGACTTCGGCCAAGGTCCGAGCGCCAGCGCTGATTGGTTGGAGCGAAACCACTCCGGGAGGGCTCTCAATCACCGAGTGGGTCCCGAGATCCTCCTTATGTAATCCTCTTATTTCCCGTACCGACCAGCGGACTCGCTGGTCCGCTCTTCTCGTGGGTCGTAGCCGAATAGACTCGGGCCGCTACTGTACTTACGTACTCCGCTCCGTACTCCGTCTTCAAAGCCGGGCCCGTGGCCATTGCTGAATCACGGCTTCTGACATTCGTTGATCTCGACAGGGTTGATCTTTCCTGCTTAGAGCCCGGAATACATGTCGGCATACTCCTGTACCTCCACAGTCGGCTACAACGCCATGGTGACTGGCTCGAATGACTGGAGCGGAGGGGACAAGTCATTGTTTAATTTCCATACTTTCTCGTTGGCCATCAACGATGACAGATTACTACTTGACTGATGCTACAGTGTTTACTGGGGGGTTATTGATGGGAATTTTCAACGACAGGAGTTTCGCGTCTAACGGACTACTAGCCTTGCCGAAAAAGAGTTTCAAAGCCTGAACATGCCGAAGGATGGCACTGACTACTTCGGGAAAGAAGCCGATATTGTGATGGCCCAGTATCTTCTTCGTATACCAAGTACAATCACTATGTTTGCACTTCTCTTCACTTATCCCTACTGTACCTTCCAGCTACATAACATACAGTACAATCTTAACAATGTGGGTCCATTCATGACATTCGAATTGTGAACGGCCATGACAGATGGATGAATCCGCTAGACACGTGGTTGATCGTACATCCAAGGATGCTACTGGCATGCCTGGCCGGATTCGTTTTCCGTATCTGGGTCAAATGCATATCTGATTCACAGTTGTGACATTGACAACTACAAATCGCTGTCATCGATGATGACCTCCCATACTCCACCGAGATACTTCTTCGTTAGCCTATGACAGTGAGGATTATCCGCGGCATTCGCGAATTTCGCTGTGACCAGCACGGGTGGAGTACGCATATTGAAAACTCCACATTGCTATGTCGCTTGCTGCTTTTGAAATGAGGTAATTTAGATGATATTCTATTGACCATGGACGAGAATATTTCCGCAACTAGTCTAATATAAGCTGTCCGTTAAATATTTACCCGAGGCTCAAACTCGGCGGTTGTTAGTATTTGCGTTGGAACCAAAACTCGGCTGGAAATGGGCCGAGTGTACGGAGTACACGACATTGCATTGCAGGCGGTCCTGAAAAAAATTCAGCTCCTAGGCACATTGCTTGGCAAATCGGTTCGCTTCAAGATTAATGTCTCATCTACAGTAGAACTCCGTAGAGCGAAACCAATCCATCTGCACCCTGCACGGATGTCCACTGGGTATCCACGAAAAAAAAACCGCTTGTGGCACTGTCCTCCCACGGAAAATAAGACGGCCCCTTAGCGCCAAGCATCAGCCACCATATCAGCGATCATCGCAATGACATCAGCGCTGTGAACATGGTGGAGGACAACCTGTCGGCAAGTGGCCGATGAAAAAGTGTCTTGGTTGAAAAATGACCGAAGCCAAGCCTGCCGAGCGTCATGGTAAACTCTCTCGTGAAGGTTAATCGCGTCAGATTTTTCAAACTTCGTATTTGCGCCACGGGTAGAAATCTGCGATTAAGTTTTAACCTGCGTTACAGGTACATAAATAATCATAGGAGAAGGAGAGTTTTCCGCTTATTCATGCCATTTTTGGCCTGTCTAGAAAGTGCTGGTGTGATTTGGTGATTTTGGAGATGATCCCTTGGGGATTGTGCTGCTACAACTGGAACAGTCAGGAATTTCAATATACAGGCAGAATCTTCGCAAGTGGGATAAGGAGCCTGTTATCTAAGCGCAATTGTTGGATTTTCTCACAGAACCGAGACACAGCCTGCAAAAAAGAATTCAATGAATGGATATACGTATAGATCTATACCAAAAACAAAAGCTCACTCGAACATAAATCATACAGAACAGAACAAAAACAGATTCTCCCCATCAGCAAGTGACACCAGACCCTCAAACCTGCGACTTGTTCAAAATAATCTCAGCAAGTGCCATCAAAGATCCGCTTGACAGCAACTCCAGCACCTGCACGTTGGCATTGGCCTCGCGCGCGATCCAATTACGGATTTCAATTGCCACCAGCGAGTCCAAACCCAACGAGGCCACCGTTATCGATGGATCCATATCCTCTAGCGAAATCACTAGCACCTGTGCCAGCTTGGCTGCGAGCGCTTGATAACAGATATGCAGTGCCTCCTCCTTCGAGCCTGCATTGGCAAGGAGCACATTCAGCGGTGCAGATGGACCACTTCCCCCTACGGATCCTGAACCATGCGCCGCCTTCGCAGCCTCATAGAGCACACTGAACTTGGCGTCCTGCGCCCAGAAGTGATCTAGCGTGCTGAGTTCAAGGCCGACGATGAATTGGCCGGAGCAGGAATCTGCCAAATCGCCCGTGATCGCGACGGCGAGTAATGCGAGCACTTCTGCTTCATCCATGCCATCTGTACCGATGTTCTTGAGCACTTCTTGCTGCCGTTTGCTGTCGACCTCGGCGAGATAGCCAACGTCTCGGACGGCGGTGAGATCAATGGATGTACCTGGGAGGCCCAGTGAGCGTCGGTACTCCATAAACCCGTCGAGGAAGACATTTGCAGCGGCATAGGCAGCTTGACCGCGGTTACCGATTACACCGGCAACTGAGGAGAGGGCAATGAAGAAGTCGAGGGGGCAGTCGGCGAGGACTTCATGCAAGTTCCAAGCGCCGTCGACTTTGCTGGTTATGACTGATTGGAAGTCTTCAAGTGTCATTTTCTCAAACAGTATATCCTGTTGTCTATTAGTTGACTGAATTAAAGTGCAAATGTTATGATTGAAGAAAGGAATTACCCGAAGGACCATGGCACCGTGAACGACACCACGGACTGGCGGAAGATCTTTCATCTCTTCCTTGACGAGTTTCTCAACTGACTGTTTGCTGCTCACATCACATGGCTTAACGGTAACGTGTGTACCATTGACAGCCAGCTCGTCAATCAGGGCCTGCACCTGGTCGTTAACCGATGCGCTTCGAGAAACTAGGACAATGTTCCGGGCGCCTTTGAAAGACATCCATTTGGCCATGCTTCGTCCCAGACCACCCGTGCCGCCGATCAGAATATAAGAAGCGTCCGCCTTCAAGAGAGAGGCCCCGGTTTTGGGGGCAACAGCCTGTTACTTACACATTAACTTTTGCTCAGAACTTCAGATGACAGATCTCTTACCTTGACATAATCATCCTGGTGAGGAACGACCACGATCTTACCCATCGCCTTACCGGTCTGCAATGTACGGAAAGCAGTCTCCAGCTCCGAGATGCGGTATGTGGTCAGCGGCAAGATGGGCCGCACAGATTCCTTGGCCATCAGATCCGTAACATTGTCCAAGAGTCGCTTCATCAGCTTCGGGCGATGTGCAGCCACCTTGGTCAAATCGACCGAGGCAAAGCTAACGTTGTATTCAAATGGAAGCATGTCGAGGCGAGTATTCTTGGTGATATCAGCCTTGCCAATCTCAACGAACCGGCCGAACGGAGCCAGGCATTCCCATGTTTCGCGCAGAAGATCGCCAGCGAGGGAATTAAGAACGACGTCCACACCTTCGTTATTCGTTGCACGGCGGATACCATGGCCGAAAGAGGTATCACGGCTGTAGAGAATGTGGTCTTCAGGGAGGCCATATTGGGCCATGAGGAATTGCTTCTTCTCCACGCTGCCGACAGTCACAAAGATCTCTGCGCCAATCATCTGCGCCAGCATGATGGCTGCTTGCCCGACACCACCGGCACCAGCGTGAATCAGGACCCGCTCGCTTTCCTGTAGATGACCGAGGTCGAAGAGCGCGTAATAAGCCGTGCAAAAGACCACTGGCACTGTGGCACCGATCTCAAAGGACATGTTTTCCAGGATCGGGGCTGCACTGGTAGCTTTGCAGCGAGCATAGGTAGAGTAGCCACCTAGCGGCAGGGCCATGACTCGCTGGCCAACTTTGAGATGTTGGACATTCTTACCCACAGACGAGACAATACCACTGCACTCAATGCCAATGTAAGGCTGTGCAAGCTGACCCATTGTGACGACGATATCCTTGAAATTTAGACCGGTGGCTTTAACCTCAATCTCAATATCATCATCAGCCAGAGGTTCGAACACATCGTCAGCAAAGTAAAGCGTATCAAGAGCCCCAAGATTGCCAATCTGAAGCTTGAAACGGCGGCCAGGCTGTTGGAACCGCTGAGATGAGATGGTCATCTCGTGAGTCTCATTGTGGACGAAAGCGTCAGCAGCTTCGTTGGTCAAGGCACGCGGGACAAATAGATCAGCGCCCTTGGCTCGGAACTCAAAGTCCTGGCAGGAACTTAGGCTGTCATTCGACCACAAAGCATTGATGGCAGCCATGATGGGAATGGCGGGATTCTCGAGGTCTTCAGTCTCAAGACCGAGAGTTGCAGCCCTGGCCATGGTCTCGGAACGCAAGCTTCGGGTAAGACCAACGATCATTTGGGCATCTGGATTATCAAGACGGTAGACCCAAAGGACATTGGAAGCGTTAAATAGAGTGCGCTTAATGTCCTCAAATGACTCTGCGGTGAGGTTGCGGAGGGACAGGGCCCCGGTTTGGAGGACGACGACATGTTTGCCAGTTGCGTCAATCTCCTCAAACGGGGAGATAGAGGGCCTCCAGTCACTGCTCTCAGTTTGAAAAGCGTGATTCAATTTGTCCACGATACCGTCAGGCTTGCCAAGCTGTGTAATCACAATGTTGGTCAAGTTGTGGCCATTCAGGATGCCATTGCCATTGGTATGACCATTAGTCAACGCATTCACAGTCGTGCCGTTAGCTAGCACACCATTAGGCTCATTAACATTCCCGTTAATACCATTGACATGAGCATTAAGTCCCCGGGATTCGGAGACAATCTCCTTTTCAGTTTCAATTAGAGAAGCGAGAGATTTCCACTCGAACTTGTAACACAAGTCGCGGGCGATTTCGCCACGGACAGCACCCGCATCTTTTAGCGGAGTCATGGTCAAGCCCTCGATATTGATGAGAATTTCGGTCGAGTTCTCTGGTGTCACCCAAAGATCGAACCTGGCCGGCTCCGGGTTAGCCTGACTCGGCCCGCCATTACACCATGCTTTGACAGATTCGCCTGGGATAGAGGGCATCTTATCACTGATAACCAAGCTCTTGACCATGGTTGGCATGTACAGCGTGTCGAGTTCCATTCGACCTTGGCCGAGGATGGGCCAGGTTAGGTGCAGGAGTGCATCCAAGAAAGTTGGATGAATGGTCAACGGAGCCTCGAAATTCTTAGGCATTATGGTTTTTGTATCCCGGACGAACAGGTCTCCACGCGAATGATGAGGGCTTGAGAATATATTCTCCAGACCCTGAAAGCAAGGACCATACCCAGCACCAATATCAGTGAGGACTTCATACATGCTTTGTATGTCGATCTTATACGTTGCTTGTTCCATGACTCTCTCAATCTGGCTGGAGAAGTACTTCTGCTCAGCCTCAGTAACATTGGAGACTGATGCTTGCTGCTTCTTGTTAGCGCGGGTGCGAACTAAGCCAGAGCAGTGTGCTGTCCAGCCTCGCTTGGAAGTCCATGAGCTAATACGGAACTCGTCCCAAATATCCGAGTTGCCGCGTGTGCCTTCTGCGTAAGGCTTCAAGGTGATGGTAGTTTCTACGTCCACATCGTCGCTCAAAACGAGTGCAGCACCGACGGTCACCTCACGGAATTGGAATTGTGAGAATGGAGTCTCATGGATCTCGGCACGTCGACGCGCAGCCTCAATAGCCATAGCCAACTGAAATAATTTGGTCAGCTTTGATTCATAGTTGAAGTTGATATTGAGGAAAACTTACATATCCAGCCATCGGATACACACTCATACCCTGCATCTTGTGTTCCCGCAGCCAAGGGATATCGTCAAGACGGACAATATTGCGCCATGTAGGCTCAAGATCATTCGAATACATGGCTCGCGTTCCCAGGACATCGTTTCGCTTTCCATCGCGAAATCTATGTCCGTCCGCAATGCGCGCTTGATGCCAGTATCGTGTGCTGTGCTGCCAGGGATACTTCGGCAAGTCCCGCAGGAAAGATCGATTCTGGGCTCCACTCACGGGGAAATTGATCTGGGTGGCATTGAGAGATCCACCGCGCACATACACAGCACCTGCAGCATCCAGAAGAGACTGGGCTGGTTCGGCATTGCGGAGCACGGTGGGTGCGTAGCTGACCTTGGAGGCAGTTGATCCCAGGCTCTTCAGGGTGTCCAGAATGGGACCCTTAAGCGCGGAGTGTGGACCAAGCTCGAGAAGGAGGTTGGGTCGGCTCTCTTCGTCGGCGCACATCTTGGCCAGTGCATTGTCAAACAACACGGGAGAGGTCAAATTGGCCACCCAGTATGCTGGGGCTAGATCAGACGGCTCAGCGATCTCGCCAGTGACGGACGAAAAGAAAGTCGCGGTTGCGTAGGACGAGGGCAAGATCGATTCAATAGCTAATAGGTATGCCTCTGCCACCTTCTTCATGTGGTCTGAATGGTAGGCAACATCGATCTTGAGCTTTCGGTTGAATAGCTGCTTCTCTTGAAGGGCAGCTTCAAGCTCATCGATTGCGTCTGCGTCTCCGGAAACCGTCACACTGGAGGGACTGTTTACACAGGCCACCGTAGCATAGCCGCTCAGCGTTTTCAACATCGGCTTGACATCATTAGAGCTGGCCCCGACGGCAATCATCGTGCCCTTCAGGAGTGGATATGAACTTTTCAGCAGAGATGTCATCTGCCCACGACGGTAGGCAAGCGCCATGGCTCCCTCCAAATCAAAAATACCGGCAGCATAGGCGGCGCCAATCTCGCCGGAGCTGTGACCCACGACCGAAGAGGGCCGAATATCCCATGAACGGAGGAGATCCGTGAGAGCGATCTGAAGAGCTGTGCAAGCAGGCTGGCTTAGATGTGGAGAGTTGATATCAGAGACCGTAGCCTCTTTCTGCAGTTCTTCAAGGAGGGAGAATTCTGCCCCAAGGCCACGAAGGCATTTGTCTGCGCGCTCAATGGCCGCTGCAAAGAGTGGATATTCGTTCATCAAGGGAATACCCATCCGAGCCCATTGAGCACCCTGTCCAGTGAAAACGAAGGCGAGTGTGGGAGTTCCAAGTACTCGAATAGGGTTGGCTTTCAGTTGGGCCATCTTGACACCCAGTTCGTCCAACGAGGTAGCTGACAGAGCCACACGATATGAAAGATGGGACAATTTAGTTCCCAGGGTATGAGCAAAATTGCCAAAGAGGGAGTTCTCGAACACTTCTGGCCGCTGCTCGAAGTAAATTCCAAAGTCCTGGATTCTCGTGCGAAGAGAGTCCTTATCATTGGCAGATATCAAAAACAGTCTGCTCTTTGGGTCTCCCTCCACGCCTGCATCATCTTCTGCCCGATCTGGCGGAGGAGGCTTTTGGAGAACGACGTGTGCGTTAGTTCCTCCAAACCCATAGTTTGAAACACTGGCGTACTTCTTGCCTCGTGGAAAGGGCCGAGTAGAGGTGACGACCTTCATATTCCACTCTGACAATGGGATATTTGGATTGGGTTTCTTGAAGTCAGCATTTGGTAGAAGCAGCCCCTTGTCAAGAATCATGGCCGTCTTGATAATAGAAGCAATGCCGCTGGCACCTTCCAAGTGGCCAATATTAGACTTAATCGATCCAATGTAAAGCGGATTCCGCGCCGTCCGACCTCCTCCTAGGGCTTCATGTACCGCTCGTGCCTCGATGGGATCTCCGGCTTTCGTGCCCGTGCCGTGCATTTCTGCAAACCCGCAGTCTTCCGGGTTGAGATTGGCTTCACGGTAGACTCGGCGGATCAATTGCTCCTGTGCATTCTCGTTCGGCAATGTGATACCCTTGGTTCTCCCGTCTTGGTTCACTCCAGAATTAGCGATTATGGCCCGGATGGGGTCTTTGTCGCGGATCGCAGCGTCGAGAGGCTTGAGGAGGACGACGCCAGCGCCCTCACCACGCGCAAACCCGGATTTGGCTCTTTCGTCAAAAGAATATGTTTTCCCTTCGTCATTGAATAATCTGTGCTTTTAGTTATGCCTCACAAACTGATCCAATCGAGACTGAGAGGACTTACTGTGACATGGACATGGAAACGAAATAATCGGGAAGAATATTCAATCTGCATCCGCCCACCAGAGCCTCCTTTGATTCACCACTTCGCAAGGTCTGAACGGCATAATGCAAGGCCACCAATGAAGACGAACAGGCCGTGTCGAATGTCATACTAGGACCTGTCAGGTCAAAGTAGTACGAAATGCGATTGGATTGCATTGCGGGCGCATTGCCCGTAGCTTGAAATGGGGGAACCGTATCGATATCCCTGCAATTATTGAGCTCGTAATCAGAGAAATTGCCACCAACAAAAACGCCGACTTCGCGACCCGCGAGTGACTCTTTGGGAATGCCAGCAGTCTCCAAAGCTTCGAAGGAGCACTCCAGAAGCAGGCGCTGCTGAGGGTCCATAGAGATCGCCTCCTGCACGGTGACATTGAAAAAGGGAGCATCAAATCGGGAAACGTCTTCATCGAGGAAGTAGCCGCCCGCAGGGTTGAAAGTACCGGGTTTCGAGGGATTAGGATGGTGGTAGGCGCCATGCGAAAAACGGTCTTTGGGAATGGGCGCCCAGCCGCTTCGGGCCCTTGTACAAAGCTCCCATAAGTCGCCGGGGGAGGAGACTTGGCCAGAAAGTCGACAGGCATACCCAATTATGGCAATGGCTTGTGGCATCCGGGTTTCCCCGTCACACTGTGTGCCATTGGATTCGGCCGTGCCATTCATAGCGTTGCGGAGGACAAAACGAAGAATGAGAAAAAGAACGAGAGAGAAGAGGAGAGAGAGGAAGAAGGGGTGGAAACGAAGTATATAACGAGACCTAGAATCAATGAATGTATAGTTAGATGCCCGGGACTTTCTTTCTCCTCGTTTCTTTTCCTTCTATCTTACGACTGTGCTTGACAGGGCATTAGAGTTAAATAGAGAAGTCTGGAGCACCTCAATTCAAACGTCGGAGGAATCAAAAATGATCGAAGAAAAGAGTTTATTAAAGACAGCAAAGATCAACAGGCCCTCTTCCCTTATTCATCCAAATCCCTATTTTCGAAAAGAGCCATATTCTCAAATCGACCTTTTGCCCATTTTTTCCCTAGAAAAATATTTGCCCCGAGGTCCCTGCGATAAGAATGAGAGGTTAACATTGGGCCGCTGGCGGCGTAACTTCCACGATGCTGCTGTGCAGCCCACTCAGGTTAGACACAAATTCAGGGACATGAATTTCTGGGTCCATGCAACCCACATGAGCTTCGATGAACTTGTGGATCGGTTATATGGATACATCCAGTCGATCACATGTGTTCGGAGGGAATTGCTGATTTATGGGCTGGAGAACAAGTCCCGGGTGGAGAATCACGTTAGATAGTTGGGACTTGACAAGCTCTTCCAAGTTCCTGCTTTCTCTCTTTCTGTATTGCTTCTTTGGCTTGGCTGCTTTGCTTGCTTCGAATCTTTACCGCACATTCTTTCTTTCTTTTTAACCATCCTCTGGCAAGCTGTGGCTGTACGGCCCTGAGGTATACGCAGTACATCGTTCTGTCTAAATATTACTCAAGATGCAGTTCCTCTGTCTTCATGGTGCCATTGGCAATATCGATGTAAGTGGATTTAACCATACGAGCCACCAAGAGCATTTCCGGGAAGAAGACTGTGCTGAGTGATGCAGAATCTCAGCATCCAACTAGGTAAATTACCAGAATGAGCAGATAATGCAGTTGGATAGGCGTGCCCTCTAACATGGAACAATTGATTCCAGCACCACTACAGGAGGACTTGGCGCGCGATTGTGCGGCTTCGTTCCATTACATCAACGGCTTGGTCCAAATCAAGCCGCCGCAAGGTACGAATATTCCATTCCCACCACCGGTGAGTGGTCAAAAGGAGCTCAAAGCTAATATCTGGTCATATACAGGATTCGAGGAGTACTTCGGCGCTGGACCCCACTATCGCTGGGCGGAAGATGGTGGTGTAGCTGAAGAGTCGATGATCAGCCGGGTACGCAAAATCCCAGTCGGGCAGAACCCGGAAGATGTGATGCGCGATTTAGCTGGAGACCGAGAAGTAGTATGGAAGAATCATGTACAGGTGATGCAGTATCTATACGATACGTTGGAGAAGAATCCAGACATCGGAGGCATCATCGGATACAGCGAGGGTGCCTCCATCGCCGCGACATTCATTCTGGATGAGCAGCGAAGACAAGAAGAGACTGGGCGTGAACGACGCATCAAATGCGCAATGTTCGTCACTGGCTGGCCCCCAATTAACCCTGGGAAGGGCATTGTCCTCGCAGATCAGGACGACGACCTGATTGACGTGCCTACTCTACACGTTGTGGGTGCTAACGGTATGATTGATTCTCGAACATGAACTGTTTCAGTTTACTTTTGTCTTGCCAGAGATTCGGAACCGACACTCACATCCTTGGTTCGCTTGAATAGATCCCTTCAGACATGGCGCATACGCGCTATACGACGTATGTGACCCCGATACGGCCACCCTCTTCGACACGGGCAAGGGCCACACTATTCCGCGGTCTGGACTGGTGATCAATGAGCTAGGAGATGCAGTCCGGGACCTAATAGCCAAGTCGGAAGAAGAATCCTAGGTCAAGAAGCTTGCCTCCCCTGTCGCAGTAAGCACGGGCGCTCGAATGGACGGAAGTCCTCTTTAGATTTTCAGAATTTCCATAGAACAGGCTACTCTCGAAGCAATATTGATGAGGCAATAATATTCTATTTTTGTACAGTTACAATCGTACAAAGTGTGCCTGGCATAAGGATGAGCTTCCTGTAATACGTTGTCAGGATGGCGTTTGCGCATGTCGACATAGCTCTGTGGGAGGGCAGTTCGCATCCCGGCTGTCGTGCAATCGACAACGGTCTGGTGGTGTAACCTCGAAGCCATTTCGCGCACCCTTGCAAGATAGATAAAATTTCGATCGTTCACAGCTACATTAGCATCCTAGTGGCTCCTCGACTAGGTTTTTGGCCAAATCACGGAAGTTTCCGCTAATTATTCAGCCAATTCCCATTGACAGCCACTGGGCCCAGTCCCCTCAAGTGAGCCTTTACAAGCTCCTCCCTAATCAAATTGAAATGTCGGGTTTTCTCTTCAGTCCCGAACACGCTCGAGTTTGCCCTTCGCCTATATCCCTGCCTGCCTCATTTTTGTTCACATGTTATCGGCGAGGAGGACATTACGCTGGAAGAATGGGGCCTCGATTGATAGGCAGGCCCCAAAACATATCTACCAAGACAAAACCATAATCACTCATCTTGCTTCCCCTCCTTCACTCCGTAGAGTCAATGCCGAGAGGCAGTGCCGATCCCAATCTCGAGAGCAACTGCCTTTCGAGCTCCGCGGGTCCGAATATTATTCTCACCGACCTATTAGACTATTGAATTTTTGACACTCGTTGCACAGTAGGGATGATATCAGCCTATGCGGAGTAGTACTCTGCTAAAAGTCACCATCCGCAAATATAACATAGCTACACTTAGATTGGTTGCATCTCTCAAATCACCCTACTAGATCCAATGCTACAATCCCCCTATAACCTGCTGCCAGCCCAACATTTTAAATACGCGCCGAGGGCTTTGTAGATTTCCTCGGACTCGTGAACCGTCCCGCCAATCCCATACTTCGTCTCCGTCCATCGCAGCTGATGCCCAGTCGCTATGCATGTCAAGTCTTTTCAGAGTCTTGTCATTTTGGGCCTTTTCCTCCAGCAATCCCAATCGTGCCTGGCCCAGGTTACCGCTCCTTCCTACTGTGCGAAAGGTGTTCACGCGATTTTAATGCGAGGCCAAGGCCCTGGCGATAATCTGAATGTTCTGGTGTCTGTCCAGAATCTTGTCCTACAGCTAATCCCAGGCTCAAGTAGCGTTGCGCTGCCTTATAATCACGGCGCTGACGACCACCGCGTGGCCGCCTCGAATGGCTCTTTAATGATGCAAGATTATATCCGGTCTTATGTCGCTAGCTGTCCAGACTCCAAGATTTTTATTCTTGGGTACTCCTTGGTGAGTGGGGCTTTGATGTCTGTCAGATCGTACCTGCTTTTTTCTCTTTCTCTGTCACCCTAAGTTTGTCATATCCCAACCATTCATCAATCACACAGCTCTAAATCCCCACGACGTATTCACCTACTTTGTTTCCACTCTCATAACTTCCTCTTGTCATCTTCTAGCTGCTCCACCTGAACTTTATAACGCATTGAGGCGTGCTGAAAAAGATGATCATTCTCCACATAGGGCGGAGTCGCGATGATGGATGGACTATGCGGTACGAGCTCGCAGTGGCTCTATTATGTTCCCGGTCTGGAGCCTCATTTCAACAAGAACGGTAAGGATGTTCTATAGTCTTGTTCACGGAGCCAACCTAAGCTAATATCGACCGAAGTGGTTGCAGCTGTATCGTACGGCGAAGAGACATTTGTTCCTGGACTTCCATATGACCTGGGAACTTGTACCGATGGAACAGGGGTAAGCCAGAGTCATTTTTACATACTTTATCACTCAATCCTGAACTTGTCACGAAGGCCTCTGGTGATCCAGAGCCCTGACCGAGCTCAAAAATGTAGATCTATCCACGAATTCACCCAGAATGGTGTGATCCGTTTGCTGCCTCGATCCGTAGTTACTGCGATGAGGGCGATGCTGAATGCTGTTTTCGGCTCCCACCTTCCATCGATTATTCACACTTCCTCTACATCTTTCGATACAACGTGGAAGTGATTCATTTTGTACAGCAGCGGTTGAGAGGGTCTCTATCACATTAACCTAGCTACATGCAGAATAGCTCGATAGCTAGGCCATAGTCATTACGATGTATACATACTAGCGACAACGTCAGGAATACAAGTAAGCTGGATAACAAAAGATGCGAGACGAATTCGACGATGATTAAGCTGTGTCCCATGCCCGCCATTGAATGACAGAAAACCAGCTCCTTTTTCAGATAGGCCTGCGATTAACTATTGGAGGAAACGATCGGAATTGGTTTACTTTGCACGGGCTACAAGTGGAGCCTGCAGGGAGCTTGAAGCCAACCCCGAACCGCTAAGGACTCAGGAACCCAGCGGACGCTCAGGTTCTAAATTATCATTGGGGCTCCTCAGTCCTAAAAAGATCCCTAAGAGTCTAGTCGATTTAATCATCATTTAAGTCATTTCAACCACGGCTCGTGCGATCGAGCCGTGTCCGCTATCCTATTTATCTATCAGCATCTCATCGGCCCACCAATTTACCTCTTCCCCTAAATCTTGGACGGCCCAAAACTTTAACTCACGATCCCGTATTGTGCTTCTCAGATTAGGATCCTCGATTCCTCGGTAATTCCTGATGGATACTAGCCGGCACTTCGCCGAGAAGCTAGTACGTCGATTGACTAGCATCGCCACTGTGCCCGATCACATTGCGTACATTCAAGTTGGCGATGACCAACTTCCAAGTAGACTAAGGTGAGCTAGTGAAGCCTATTAGTGTAGCCGCTAAACTGAAGATAACCATGATGTTCTTCTACCTTACTCGGTCGGGCTCGAAAAGGGCATCTTATTAAACCGCATTACATTCAAGGTACTTTTGTTATACGACGAAGATACGCCATACAGCGGCTCTAAGCGACTTCTACTTTCCTTATCTGCGCCCATATTCGTGTGTACTTGTCCGAAACAAACCCGAGATTTGGTACATGATCAAGGATTCACCTCGAAAACCAGCCAATTCCTCAAACGATCGAGCGTATACTGGGTGCGTCAACGGTCTGTGGTTTGCTCCTGTCGCGATTTCAAGCATTCTCAATTTCCCAGAGAATCTTGACTGGCTGAATAAGTGGGGACCGGAGGAAACAACCTATTGCGGGTAGACTGCATTGTATGGGGTCTGACACTTCAACTTGTAGTCTCAAAAATCGAGAAATAAAGGTCATTATCGAGAGACTCAATGAGATGTTTGACAGCAATCTGCCTCATAAAATTTGATGCCGTGGGTATTTTAGAAAGTACTCTATATCTTCAAGCCGAACAGGATCGACCTTCCCGTTGTTTCGTCTGCGTGCTGCTCCAACTCAAGATTGCATGTGAAAGTGTTATGTCCCAGGGTAGCAAGGCTGACCTTTGATTTCGTTATCTTAACTTCTAAGGTGTCATCCGAGCAAGATCGACGGTAATGCTGTTTCAGATATACTAGACATTCAAGTCACATTGCACATACCAATCAATTTCTTGTTGTCTTACCCGTCGCAACAAAGTGGTTTGATTCAACCATTGATCACCAGCGGACTAAGTGAACAAGATTTTCAATATATGACAGTCACTCAGAGCCGTATTACTTCGTATACTACTTTATTTTCTAGCTGCATATGCACGAGTCTGATCTACGGCTTACTCTTTCTATCTCAAACCAGCGAGCCGATCATTCCGAAAATCCTATGTCAAAAATCTAGGACTGGTGCTAGCCAAGATGAATCAGTATAATTTGAAAAGGACTGAGGAAGCTTGTGATTCGCAGTGCCGTCACATTGTCTTCTATGAAATCCAAGGTTAGAATGGGTATTATGCAATGGGCTTTGTTGAATGCCAGGAAGAGCATGTGTTATAGAGGTCAAAGGAAGTTGAATGACAAAGAAGATTGAATACCCTCATTCATAGCTCATAAGCCGTGCTCGTAAATGAAAGCGCCATATACAACGGCTATGGCTAATAATTGAATATAAAATATACTTGTATTTGGTCTTTTTCTCTTGAAGCCACCTTTTCGGAACTCTATAAATCGGGGTCCCCGTCGACGTCTTGTAGTAGAAGGTCCACCGTCAACTATACAACCCTATCAATATCGAATCCATCAAAATTGTCCTTATCATCGAGACCGACAGAGCTCCAGCTAAAAGAGTTCGCAAACAATGGATCCAGAATCTTTCATGCACGACCGCCAGATCTTCCGCGAGGATCTGCTAACATGGGCTAACACACTCAGTGCAGGATCCGTCGAGGATAGCGTTTGTATGGAGATCATAGCTGAAATGGAAGAAATGATCAGAGACATAGAGGTGCTTGGAACACCGCCTCCACTTGGAACTCTTCTAGCCGAAGATTTCTATCTAGTGGACTCATCTTCCGCAGATGAAGACCGCGATTTCTGTGAGGGCTATGAACTGATTGATCTGCTCGCCGAAGCAGAATATGGCCGTCTTTGTTCTAAAGATGGTACCATCAGGGATACCTTGTCATGGACTGTTGAACTGCTCAAGAGAAAACAGGCACCGGTCCCTGATATTGCGGTCGTTTTGGATATGCTCGCTCTGCATGTTGGAAGACTTCGGTTTACTCGGGTTTCTGAAGGTGTCTTTGTAGATCCGTATGCGGATGAGATGGATGATTTGGCGAGAGCGCAGCACATGTCGAACCAGAGCTATGGGAACGAATATCTTCGCGCAATCTGGAATCGTCTGTATAGTTGCATGGACTGTAACTGTGATAAGTGCAGCACGAGTCCGCGTTGAAAAGTCCCGGATTTTCTTGCCTTGTCTCTCTTTATGGTGTTAATATAGGTTTGCAGTAAGCTTAGATGGCCGCCTGTTGCTTGATCAAACCCGGATATACCAATACGTTTATAGTAGTACATTATAATTACTGACCAGACTGACTGGTTTCGAACGTAGATTTTGAAATCACGATGAAGTCCCATTGGATCGACAAGGAGGATAGGAGTACTGTCAGCGGTAGGCAAGGTGGCAGAGTTCAGAGGGCGTTGAGGCATACGATTGTCAAGTGATCAAGGGGGCAAGCGATGCCATAGAGCTTCTTTGATCTGATTAACAAGTCTTGACATTGTGGAGAGGTTGAGAAGCACATTAGATGGGGCTTTGTCAGAGGCCTCCAGCATGCCTATTGCCACGGTCGATTGACCTCAGTCCCGTAAGTATTTGTCGGATGGTTTGTCCATCATGGCCTAATGTCGCTGGTCCAGCTCTGAAATAGCTGAACTGTGAAGAAACTACCGGATGCTGGATATCAAGCCTAGTAAAGGTTAGAAACTGGATAAACGCTGAGGCAAATGCCAGTGATAAGGGGCAGTTCGAGTCGTACAGATATACTTTGAGGAAGTTAGCCATACATAATCAATCAAATAATAGATAGTAAAGGCAAGAAATAATTCCTTACTGATATATGTCCCACAAATTGAGAGAGTATGGCCATGTCTTCAAGAATGGACAGGGTGGCATGTCAACGTCAAAATAACTCTAGCTGCACGATTGAACGGATATTGAACGGATACTTGGAAATATAAGTAAATTATAAGAAAAGTTAGTCCATGAAGCATTATATGAGTCTTCTTTTGTAGTAAAAAATAAAGGAAGAAATTGCTGAGTGTTAGACCCCGGTAGATGCCAAGGGGAAGACCCGACTACTTTGGCTGCAGAAGCGGGTGCTCCTGTATACTGGAGATCAGCAACTAATCCTCTTCCGGCCACTCCCAATTTTCCTCCATCACAACGTACAATCTTCACAACGAAACCCTCATGTCTCTGCCTCTCGCCCGCCGCTTCGCGTCTGGAGTGTTCTCCAGGCCAACATTCACTCCGACTCAGCTCTTCCGATCCTCAATTCCCCAGCGCCTATCCTCCAGCAACGCGCCCAAGTCCTCGCCTCCTCCGCGCCCGACCTCCGCGCCCCATAACGACCGCTCGCAGTTCAAGATCCTGCCCATCCTCGCAATCATAGCCGTTGGTTCTGGCTCCTACGTGTTCCTTGTGAAGTCTCGCACTGGACAATCAACACAGCGCCCATCGAATTAGGGTAAGAACAGACTCCCCAAAGCACTTGCGCACTTGCGCACTGCCAGCTCCAGCCAACTCTCGAACCTGCCACTAACCCAGTCCAGTCCAGTCGCAGTCCCGCAGCTACCGCTTCTGCCCCTCCACCTTTTCCCCCGAAACTCCCAACACTTCACCGCCAGCCCACCAAGCACACAAAACCAGCCACTCCTTCCCCCTTCAATTCCTCGAATACAACAACAACAACCACCACCACCCTCCTAATCAATTCCTCCAATTCCTTCACCCTCCCACCTCACAATGGCTCCTACATCCCCCCGCTTCTCCTCGGAGGAGGTAACAGTCGTCTTCTTCCTCGGCGGACCAGGAAGCGGCAAAGGCACCCAATCCGCCAACCTAGTCAAAGACTACGGCTTCGTCCACCTCTCCGCAGGCGACCTCCTCCGCGCCGAGCAACTCCGCGAGGGCAGCCAATACGGCGCCATGATCAAATCATACATCACCGAGGGCAAGATCGTGCCCATGGAAGTCACCGTCAACCTCCTTTCCAACGCGATGCGCGACTCGCTCGACACCAACCCCCGCCCCGGGCACCAAGGCGCGCTTCCTGATTGATGGGTTCCCACGGAAGCTGGATCAGGCTGTTTTCTTTGAGCAGACGGTTTGTCCGTCGGAGTTGGTGCTGTTCTTGGATTGTCCTGAGGATGTGATGGAGGCGCGGCTGTTGAAGCGCGGGGAGACGAGTGGGCGGGATGATGATAATGCGGAGTCTATTCGCAAGCGGTTTAGGACTTTCGTTGAGACTTCGATGCCTGTTGTTGATGATTTTGAGGCTAAGGGGAAGGTTGTTAAGGTCCAGGCTACTGGGTCTGTGGAGGATGTTTATGCTGAGGTGAAGAAGGGTATTGAGGAGCGTGGTGTGCATGCTCGTTAAATCCATTTGGTATGGGACTTGACTAGATTGGTTTTGGTTTAGATTGTTGTAGATATTGTGCTTGTTATTGGTCGGGACATACAGTGACCGCTCTTGTTTGATGTTTTTTTTGAGCTTGGTGTATAGATGAATAGAGTGTCGGTATGATTCGGCGAAATCTTGTTAACACATTTCATTTGCTAAGCGTGTGTACCATAATCAAGTTACTTGAATCGAGTCGAAATGCATGACAAACGGAATCTGCTACCTACGATCAGGGGGTTCCAAGTTGGTATGGTATACAAACCCAGTTCCAGAGATATCGCATACCCCTGACCCAACACAAACTGGACTGTGCCAAGTGGACCAAGACCATACAATGTCCAATGACCTTGATCTACAGGTATTCTACCTCACACCTCAATATCTATCCAATTCGAACTCTACTAGTTATACGCCCTGTATATCTTGCTTCTACGATAGTCTTCCTCAAAGGACGATTAGCACACACCCATTCTACTCCATACTCAAGGAAATCATCTAGAAGTATTGTAATTCTGATCAAAGACCAGGCGATCAAAACAAGTATTCCCGCCGGGAAAACATAACAGAGCAAAGCAGACATGACATGACTCGTGGGGATCCCAATATCAACGGAGGAGAAGGGGGGAGTACCAGTAAATCCATCCCAACAAACTGGCCAAGACAAAAGGGAAAAAAAAGGGGAAGAAATAGAAATGCATGAGGGATAAGAAAAGGGAGAAGGGGGAAAATGGGAAATGGGGGATAGAAAAGACCAGAAGAGAAGCAAAGCACTCAGTAAGTAGTCTTCCCTCTATTAGCGCAAAGAAGGTAAAAAAAAGATTTTTTGTGTTCAGTGAGCCTCTTTTTGGGGTTTGCTTTTCCAGTCCACCGCAGAAAAAAACACCTTTTCCAATGCTGTAGTTCCACAAAAAAGCCCCAACTTTCGTCGTCAAGAATAAAGCAAGGCAGGCGGAGGAGTAGGGAGGGTGTTTTTACTCGGCGACAGGCTCAACCTCGCGGGGCTGCTGGTTGCGCCTCCGGTCGCCGGAGCGGCCCTTCTCGTTCTTGCCCTGAGCAGCAGCCTCCTGGTCGGCGGCAGCCTGGATGCCCTCACGGACGAAGCGCTCACGCTCGGTGCGGATCACGTCCAGCACGCCCTCGAGCGAGCGGCGCCACACCATCAGGCGACCCTGGACCTCAGCCCACTGCTTCTCGCCGAACACGCGGTAAGTAGCGCGGTGAACGAGGAACTCCTGCTTCAGCTGGGAGAGCTTACCCTCGACCAGACCGGCGCGGATGGTGTCAATCACCCACATCTCGATGTCGGAGGCGGGCACGCGCAGGGCAGAGGCGATGGTGGCGTAGGGGAGAGAGCGCGAGGGGGCGGCGGAGGCCAAGGAGGTCAGAGTCAGGAGACGCAACTTGTTCTGCAGGGCCTCGCCGGACTCGGCGAGGACACCGCCGGAGATGGAAGCGAGAGGGTTGGCGGCAACGAATTCCTCGTAGGCATCGAGGGTGTCCGAGGTGAAGATCTCGAGCAGCTCGAAGAGAGTGCTATCGCTGGAGCGGAGCGACTGGACGGCATCGGAGGCAGTCAGGGGAGTAAAATCGAAGACGGTAGGGCGGCGCAGAGCGGAGGCGAGAGCGCGAACAGCCAGCTCGCGAGCAGCGGGCTTGCTGGCATCAGCAGCGGGAATGGTCTGCAGAGCCTGCACAACGTGCGCCTGGGCAAGGTCGTCGTCGCCAGCAGCGGTAGCGGCATCAGCAATGGCCAGGTGCACCTTCTGGGTCTCCTCCTCATCGAGCTCCCAAGCAGCCAACCACGTAGGCAGCTGTTCGGTGAGCTTGGGCTTCAGGGCCTCGAACGCATATCCGGAGCCAGACTGGCGGATGACAGCCACGATAGCCAGGAGGACGTGATACCGGCTGGGATCATTGGCGGACAGAGTGTTGAAGATGGTAGTGAGAATGGAGATGGCCAGAGTCGGGCCGAATTGAGGAGAGGTGGTGATGGGCTTAGCGAGATAGGTGCAGATGCGAGGGAGGAAAACGTCAGCGTCGGACGAGTGGTGGATAAGGTGAACGAGGAGGTTGTAAGAAGGGATGATCTCTGTCGAATTTTTTCAACTCCAAATTAGTTCTTCTGTATCTATTTGAGAAGATTGCTTTCACGGGTTGTCGATATTTCAACGAGATATCTTTTTTTTTTCATCGGTTGTCCGCCGCAGCAATCATCCCCATTCAATTCACGAAATATCCCAACTCACCCTTCTCGGGGGCACCGTTCAGGACGGTAGCAGCCCCCACAAGCTTCTTCAGGACCTCATCGCGCTGCTTGAGGTCAGGCTCGCCCTCGGATTGTTCCTGCTGGCGGATCGGTTCGAGAAGCGGGGCGATCTCGGACTGGAGGCTGCCCTCTTTGCGGAGGGTATCGATGTACTGGGCGAACTCGTCGGAGAGCTCGGAGAAAGAACCCTCAATGAGGAGGGTGTTGGTCGGAGCGGGCATGTTTGGGGAGGGGGTATGTGGTGGGAGGAGAGAGGAGGGGGGAAAGGAAGAGAGAGAGGTTCTTTGATGGTGGAGTCGTATCGATAAGTTGAGAAATTTCAGTGTGTGCCAAAAAGTCTTGGCGAAAGGAGAACGCCAACTGGCCCGCGCCGCAACAACATTTTCGACCATCATCAACTACCCTCCGGTATCAACCAACATTTTCATCCACTTGCTTGAGATCCAAGTTACAGCAGAAATCTACAGATTGGATGGGAAAAAATCACCGAGGATTGGTTGATTAAGACCATAGTCTGCTATGCAATCGCCAATGCAGGCAGATAACTGCAAACTCCGCTAATACACAGGGAAGGACAGGCGCCCGTTTTCTTCATAGATAAGAGGATAACACCAACGCAGGAGGGCATTCAAGAACGGGGAATCAATCATTGAAAAACAGACAAGAGCATCAGCAGGTCATTATCGCGCTGAAAAATAAGAGGATACGAAAACATCTGCACGCGGCATGACATCGCGAACGAAAGCGCCAAGCAAACTCCGAAGGCGATATGGAAACCCGTCGCGGGGGAATCCTTCTTACAGGAACAGACGCACAGCGAGGAACATGGCACCAGCCATGAATCCAGTGGAGTAGCCCTCCAGGCCGGAGAGGGCAGCAGCGGCATTGGTGGTGGTGCTTGCGGCCGCGACCGACGAGGAAGTCTGGCTGGAGCCGGTGGAAGTGGCCATGGCGAGAGTGGAGGATGCCGCACTGGTGGTCGCACTCATGGTGGTGTCCTCCGCGCTGGCATTCTTGCTACCGCAAGTGGCAGCAGCCTTGCAGGCGCGCTGGCCTTCGGCGTCATTGGGGTGAGCGTTGATGCACTGGCCATAGGTCTCCTCGCAGACGTAGAAGGGCACAGTCTCGATGTAGGGCGAGACATCGGGGACACTGCCGTCGGCGCAAATGCAGTTGAACTTCAATGTGCTCTGTGAAGAGAATGTCAGTGTGATTTGAATCTTTGCGACGAGGTCACGGATGTTGCGGAAGTGCAGCACATACGTCTTCGCAGGTGTTTTGCGTGGTGGAGCCATTGCAAATTGATGGGCACTCATTGCGCTGTCCCTGGCACCAGGAGCCTGTTGTCGTTGGATGACCAGTCAGCAATGTCTCTCAGAAGGAGTTTGTTGTCAACGAACTCAGCTGGTCCGGCTTCACCAAGCCGATGTTGAACCCTGCGGGGAAGGTGTAAGTGTAGGTGGTGTTGGCGCCAAACGCAGTGGCTGCCAGGGCAGACATGAGGACCATGGAGGGAAGCATGATGAATATGACTTGAATGTGACTGGACTGGAGTCGAAGCAATACAGAAGAATGGGGTGGTGGAAAAGGAAGAAAGAGGATAGGCAGGTAGTAGCGAGGAGGAAGCCAAGAAGCTAAAAAGAGGTAGTGCAGGAAAACAAAGCCGGGAATGGCAGGCACCGTGCAGCACACCAAATAATAAAATAACAATAATCAGAAGAGGAACGAAATCAATAATACAGTCCATACTAGTCCGACTCCAGACTAAAGGAAGGTGCCAGGGTAACCCGCCAGGGAAAAATCACCTCGTCACCTAGTCACATACCAGCAAAGGCTTCCCAGGCCCGCCGTTCCGGTTTCTGACTGAAATGACTCTCTCTCTCCAAGTCCCAGGCCATCATCTCGCGAGCGCCACAAGTTGAGACCCTGTTGAGCTCGGTCCATGCACCAACCACCGAACTTTGTCTCGCTGCACCAGATCTCGTTTCATTCGCTTAACCCATGCTGAATCCAGTGTCCTGTACCTCATACACTGGCCTCCTCTGCCAAGTCTGTCTTAATTGACTATCTAATCTACCTGTGGGACTCCCTAGTCAAACGACCAATCTCATCGAGTGGTACGAGACTGTCTTCTAGTCTCCCCCCAGGTTATGATCATTACAGGCTCCCTTATCACTCCAATGGCTCATCCCATCACTCCGATTCTTAACGAGGTCAATTTGGCTTCGATGACTTGCAGACCTCCTACATTCCTCACCCAAATTCTTCATCACCAGGAGCACGCCTCCTTGCAGCTGTCATCCTGGATGCATACCCAAGTAAGACCATGTGAGACTATGTAAGACCTTGCTTGTAGCCTAAAACAGGGCCATTATTCCGGGAATCGAGCGCACATGGTCTGTTCATCCATTATCAATGCGTTCGTTTGGGTCCGGCAGTTGATCAACCATGGATTCCGCTGCTATGATTACCTACTCCGTACTCTTTAGGGTGGACCGTTCGCTTGGGCAACGATCCCGACCGTCTATACAATCCACGTGATTAAGGGTCCTGAATCTGCATTACATAATAAGGGTCCATATTACCCGATTAGGAACAACCGAGGTCCCGAGATATTGCCGGCGCAAAAACCCAGCAACAAAGATGCATGACTGTAGAACCTGATCGCTCCTAGTAATTGCATTTCACTCGTTTCAAACCCCCCCAAACAATCACAATGGCCTCCCCAGCCTCCACAGCCTCCACGATCGCCCACTTCCGCAACCACCAATGGGCCAATTCCCTCATCGCCTCAGAAGACTACACCCCGATCCCAACAAACTCGCGCCGTCCCAAACCCAGCGGCGAAGATGGCTTCTTCGGCGCAACTATAGCCACCCCATCAACCATCCCACACGTCCTCACCCTCCAACGCCGCACACTAGACACCCCCCTCTCCCAACCACCCACCTGGCTCCCTGCCACAAAGCAAGATGCCGCCGCACCGGCAACCCCCACGCCCGGCGCCAATCCCGCGGATATCATCATGATCTATGACCTCGGCGGGTCGGGCATCGCGGGCCACCCGTCGACCGTGCATGGGGGCGTCGTCGCAACGCTGATCGACGAGGCGATGTCGCTGGCTGTGGCAGCGCATGCCTCGGTGCGGACGCCTGCGTCTGCGTCTGCGTCTGCGGGCCCGGACGATAAGAATCCTCGCGGGAAGACGTTTACCGTGCAGTTGGATGTGAGGTATAAGAAGCCGGTGACGACGCCGCAACTTTTGGTTGTGAGGGCGAGGGTTGTTGCGCGTGTTGGGAGGAAGTTTTGGGTTAGGGCGCAGGCTGTGCAGGAGGATGAGGCTGGTGCTGGGGGGCATTTGGAGTGGGCGAAGAGGAAGGTGGTTAAGATTGATGCGATGGCTTTTTGGATTGTTACGCCTGAGGGACAGCAGAAGCTGTAAGCTGTGGAGTGGAGATGGGGGTTATGGAACCTGCAATGTAAATATCTCGTGGTGTATAGAATGGGGACGGTTTCGTGTATATATGCGTCTCCAACGGTGACTCGGTACAAATCAAGGGCACTTGAATGGAGTTTTGTCTTTTGAGTATAGATTTGTTCGGCATCTTATTCGCTTGAGGGTAAAGGCGAGTGGAAGGAGTCTTTCTGTATTTAGGCATAGTCTATTCTCATACCTATATTCTCAAGATCTATTCAAAGTGCTATGTACAATCAAAGACAGGCCAGGCCAACCACAAGATCTGAAAAACCTCGTCTGTACCAACCCAAGATCCATCTACAGCTTCTCCATCTTCCTCGACCCAACATTCCGACTCGCACTCACAACAAGTCCAACCTGAGTACTCAACGCAATAACCTCCCCATTCTCATCTAGCACAGTAACATCCAAATCCGTTCGTCCGTCCCGCACAACCTTAGTCACAATCCGACTATACAACCACTCTACCCCTCCTTAGGCAAATGCTTCTTCATATCAATATTCAACGTGACAGTCGGATACCAAAACTTAGCCATATTCTCCGGCACAGGCTCTCCCTTCGCCTTGGCCACCGCCGTCGCAGACATGGTATCGAACCCATCCAGCGCCATGGGGAACATATCAAGCAAATAGACGACCGCCGCATCAGTCCAGCGACCATTCTTGTCGCCGCCAGGCTGGAACCGAGCCCACTGGTCGATGCCCATGGTTCCCGTGCGCTGCTGCTGAGCCTCGCCCCTACCAGGTCCGAAGAGCTCCAACTGTGCGGATGCGCGGCGGAATTCAGGGAAAGGAATATCGAGTTTTACCCATGCGCCGTCTTTGCCTGTGCGCGCCAGAGCGGGGAGATCTATTTTCCCACCAGGAAGGGAGCCTGGTGGCGGGGCGGGGAACGGTTTCCACCCGGTGCTCGCATTGATGCCGACCTCCGCGCTGGGCGGGCTAACGGTGATGTAGCCGGCGACGTTGACGTGCAGTTGATCTGGTTTTTTCTCTGAAGGTTGGAGAAGCTTGATGTGGATTGTGCTCGTTCGCGCGCCGATCTTTACATCTTCGACTTCGAGGGTCGCGGGGCCGGCGGCTGTGCGACGGAGGAAGGAGAGTTGGAGGGAGATTGGGGATGCGGGGGTGTCGTATTGCTTTGGATGGGCGTGGGCGAAGTGTGTCAGGGCGAGATTGTAGAGAACTGCTGTTGTGTAGCCGCCGTGAGGCACTGGGAGGGAGTATGGTTTTAGTTTTTTTGGGGTTTATTCATCATTGGGGGAGAGACACGTGGGCTGGGGTACCGGTTCCAATGCACCATTCTGGGCGGAGATTGGCGCTGTATTTGTTATTGCCGAGTGGAGTGACACGAATAGCGTCCTCAAAGGACGCGTTGAGGCGAGGCATTATGAAGGGGGTTTCGTATGGGGAGGGGGATGAGGTAGAAGGGGATGTTGAAATACGGGGATACTATATAGTTAGTCTCTCCGCATTGCAGCCCTCGGCGAGCCTCGGTTGCCGGTGATTTGTCTGGGGACTGGAACTGCCGACGCCGAGTGAACCGTTATCGGGGGCTTATCGGGGCCTTATCGCGATTATCGTGGTTATCAAGCATCCGAGTAGAGAACGAAGGACATCCATGTGAACAATGAGGTCTCGTTTCATAGATCTTTCCAGTTATTTCAACTCGGCTGTTTCACTATATACAAAGGAGAACTCATGTAAAGAGATATTATAGTAGGCGAGCAAATAATCGAGCGCTCATAAAGTTGGGTCAGTACACAAAGGGATTGCGAACATAAACGTTGAACAAGGGGACCATTAAAGATGAAACATTCAAAGGGATTACGAACAAAGAACCAAACTAGATGCCAATTGCAATCTCCTATAAGCTAGGAGATAACCGGAATACTGCCGCACAATAAAAGTGCAACCATTAGCAGCAACAGTCATGTCAATTCCGAATTCAACACTTGACCTACACCAACATTGTTCCTTACATGCAATCTATATGATCGTCTCGACACTCTGGTTTCCAATCCTCTCCCAGAATGTCTTCTCTTAGAGGCTACCAGCACTGGGCCACACTTGGCCTGATAAATGACGCCCCGGGCCAACAGAAAGTCCTCAACATACTGCGCAACATCCGCACTAACTTTCCAAATCAACTCAACCTGCAATCAGCACCAAGCTGCGATCGACTCAAGAGAGCCATTTCAAGGAGTATCTGGGACATTCCTGGCAAAGTTTTCTCTCTTCATCGGGAGGATGCTGTTGGTGCACTATATGAACTATTCAAACTTTGCTGCATTGACTGGTCCGATACGGGATCTGCGAATACAGAAGAAGGAAGTGGCGGAAGCCAGGAGGATGAAGTTAACCATGAAAATGACAGTTTCTTTATAGGAGGCAAGCTTGAGAATCGTGAGACTCCCTTTGAGAGACTTCCTAATGGCTCCGGCTATGTCTTAGCTACTGTCACCGGCCGTCTTGATACTCACGCTATTGATTTAGTTGAAGAGTACGATAGGCAGAGACAAGTATCTGGGTATACGCATGCTGACTGTAATAGTGGCCATCAATGTATCCCCATGAATACGGAGCCAGTTGAACATAGTCATGAAACAGCACAAAATGAAACTACATCTGTACAGCAAAGGCGCAAAAAGTACGACTGGGACTGGTTCCACTACCAACACACAAATGTGATATTCAACGCCTTCGTGGATATCACCTGGGCCCGGTACCCTCGTTGTCGAGAAACTATAAGGCTGTCGGACATGATGGGGACATCTACAAACACTCACCGCACAATAGCCCCATTTGCCCGTGCCAGACACCAAGACAGAAGTCCAGACGGTGATTGGATTCGACTTGATTCCATTACTCTTTCCAGACTTTGCAAACAACTACAGGTTATCCGATCATTTGATCAAGAACAAGACGCCATTTGGTGGAGCTCGAACCCCTTGAACACGACGAGCCTTGACTCAACGGAGGGTCAGGCCCGGATAGATAACCAGCGTGACCTTACGTGGGCAATATATCGGAGCTTTGATGCCCCTTGGCAAGAGTGGCGGGGTCGGAGGCTTGAGGCAGTGCTGCCCTCGCAGGGCAATTACCCTCGTTTCTCAATAATTATCCGAGATGTTGATGACCTGGTTGATACTTCTGAATCTATAGACACAAGATCACCCACATCCAGTGTTTGTGCGTTATTTGAAGGGCTTGGTGGATCTCGGGAGAGCGTCTGTGGGGATGACCTTGCAGATATACTGTCTGCGATCATTAATGAACCGCTTCGGCCAAACGGCTGGGCTTCGGGCCCATTCTAGTTCTTAATGCAAGGTCTACTAATGACTAGAAGCTCTGTGGGAGATGATGGGTTAGATTATAGACCAATGATAATACCCGGTCCGTATGTTCAAATTAAAGAGATTCTCCATATTGTGAAAGGTCCACGTCCTCGCATGTGTCTCCGTCAATTCTAATGTCATTCTGTAGTAAGAATTCGTGTAAAAGGGCTAAGACAAATTGGACATCTCCAAAAAGTCCAGAGCAGTGGAGAAAGTTTGATTACATTGCCCCAGCCCCCAGTTCTATACTCCTGTAAGTTCCAGCCTGTATATTTACCAACAAACCAGCAAGGAACATGGAAGGAACCCGCATAACTTGGAACAAACCACGCGTCCGGCCGGGCTATGTATAACAGATACCCTGCCTCAAAGGGTGGTGTATCTTCAATTGTGATCGAAACGTTGTCGACCTATCACTGAACTGCATTTGACTCGGAATTCATTTTGCCGATAGACACATTCTATGAAAATATTCCAAGGACTTAAAAAAAAAGCTGCAAATGCACAAGTACAATGGTATTGCTGTGTATGGCTTCCAATGTATGTATCCCAAACTAACCATCTACAGACCCCGAAATAAGAAAAACAGCCCAGAAAAAGTAGAAAAATACATCGATGTATCCGAAAACGCCCGTCGCTCTTAGTCTTCATAGAATCATCTTGTCCGTCTTTTTATATCAAAATATGCCTCGCTGTGTTTTATGAGCCCCAGGTAAACTTTTTCCCATACCACTCTATCAGCGTCTACCGCACAGGTGCAGATGCTTTGTCTGACGGTGCTGCCAATTGCTGCAGGCAGGAGAGAACACCTAGAACACGTTAGTTAAATGTATAGTACGAAGTGATTTTTGAGGACAACTCACCAGTCACTCCCTGAGTCAAGGTAGCCTTGGCTTCAGTACTGCGCGATCCCAAGGTAACGGTCATCGCGTAATCAACAGCCTTGGTCTTCTGCAACTTATTCGCCCACCGGAAGACGGGCTCGTCTTCGCGATTATCGCCAATGATCAACAAAAAGTCCGGTTTGCCAGCGTCCTTCTTCTCGGGATCCTCCAAGCACAATCGCCAGGCCAGCTCTGCCGCAGAAGACTTATTCGTGTTGGATGTCTCGACGATCAGGGCACCCTCGACGGGGATAGCGTGCACGCCCTGATTCTTGCACGCATCATTGATATGGTCTGCACACTCGGCGGCAAGGCGTGCTGCAACGCTGCGGTCTTCGGCTGACCCGTAGTGGAAGACGAGCGAGCAGTGGCGCTCCTCGATCCAGCTGCCCTCCGTACGGTCCTTGAAATAGGACAGGATGTGGGAGACGGATGTCTTCCAGTTCTGGATGTGGTCTTTGTCGGCGAGATGCGTCCATTCGTCTGAGTTGGGCTCGCGCATGAAACACCCATTCTCAGCGATTAAACCCAGGTTATTGACCTGGCGGAAGAGTCGTTCCATCTCCTCGGGCATGCGCGAGCTCATCACATAGACAACGTTGTTGGGATCGTCCGTCAGTTCGGTGAGAGTCGTGATGGCGCGCTGCGGAGTAGTCAGGATAATGCTGCGCGGTGATCCCCATGAGGCAAGGGTGCCTTCGTAGTCGACGATCATGAGTCGCCGCTTCGATTGTCGATACTTTTCAATGAGTCGAGGCACCGACAGTCGTGGCACAGCCATAATCTCCCGAGACGATTGCTCGTTCCAAACTTTTTTGAGTGTCTCGTTGAATGACTTCACCCAGTTAGCAGTCGAGTTTTGCAGCACGGCGCGGTGCAGCTCCTCCCACACCTCCTTGCGCTTTTTCTCGTCTCGCGTCAATGCTGTGTGTATTGCCTCCGAGCATTGCCGGTAGTCCCAGGGGTTTACCAAGAGTGCATGGTTTCCAAAGACGGATGCACTACCAGTGAATTCACTGAGAATAAGGGAACCGTACTTCTTGTCGCCATTGCTGCCATCCTGGCAATACACAAACTCGTGGCTGGTCAAGTTCATGCCCTCACGCAGACTGGTGATCATTAGCGCATCAGCCACCGTGATGAGGGCCAAGTACTGGGGGAACGCCAAGTCTTGCTTGAGGAAAACCAGAGGCTGGTGAGCCAACGTTGAGTGAGTAGAGTTGATGCGCATAGCAATATCAGAGATGGTTGCCTCCAGTTCAGGCTGCTCAGTGGTGCTGGTCGCAACCTGGATCAGAACCACTCTGTCTGCCCATTCTGGATAAGTGTTGAGGAACAACTCATAACTTAAGAGTTTTTGACGAATACCCCGAACCGAGTCGATCTTGTCCCGCGAGACGATCAGTCGCTTGTCATGATACCGTTCGGAGATAGTGTCAACCCATCGCTCGACATCCGCAGCTTTACGGCGCTTATCCCACGACGTCGGATCGATACCAATTGGGAACGTCCCCACATTGATAAAGCGATCTTCCATCTGGATACCTTCATTCGTAGCCTCAACGCACAGAATGCGACTGCAGGTTTGCAAGAAATGTCGGCAATACTCGTCAGTCTGGAAACCAATCAGATTGGCACCTAGGATGCCCTCCAAAAGTTCCTTGCGAGGTGCCAAACACTTGAAAACCTCGGAGGAAGGGAACGCGATATGCAGGAAAAAGCCAATCTGCGCATCCGGCAGCATCTTGCGGAGCATGGCCGGGACGAGCAGCAGGTGATAATCCTGAACCCAGATTGCATCGCCGCGTTTCCAGTTCTTCGCGATGCGCTCTGCAAATGCTTCATTAAGTTTGACGTAGTAGATCCATGAGTGGTCCTCATAGGCCTTGCTCTTCGGATTATCGGGAATCTGGTAGTGGAAGACAGGCCACAGGATGGTCTTGCAGAAGTGGGTGTAGTGACCGTCGAAATCGCCATCGTTGACAAATACCGTCAACGAATTGTACTCATCCTCCAGCCGCTCCGCAATATCATTGCGCGTCCACTCCACCAGCGCATCCGTGGGCATTCCCAGGGTGCCCACCCACATCATGTCCCCCAAATATCCTGATTCCTTGGCTGATCGGACTGCATTGCGCAAGCCGCCATTTCCTTGCTCGGCAGTCTCAATTGTCCATTCCGCCCGGGAGAACGACACCTTGCGATTAACGTTCTGGGGTTTCTTGGCTCCGAGTGGAGGAACCGGCGCAGAGTCAGAAGTTTTTGCTGGCACTGGCTTCTCGTTCGGCGCGACGATGGGATCCTGGTGTTTTAGAATAGACGGAGACGGAGAAATGAGGGTTGGCGCCTTGGGCGGCTGGTTGAGGGAGGTCGTTACGCCCCATGCTGGGGAGTGTGCCTCGCTTTCTGTGAGAAACCGATTCTCTAAGGAAGACGGCGGGAACGGATATCCAGATCGCTCTTTCTCAGCCTTCGCAAGATTGCTGGCAAAAATACGCTCATAGTCGGTGGTTGCGCCCGGCGTGAGGCCTGGTTGCGTTTTGGAGTTGGTCTTTTCAAACAGACTGGCCGCAGCGGTGGGGAGAGGAGGAACGGTGTCGGGCGCCGAATTGGGGAGCGGAGGAGTGGCCTCTGGGGGGCGATCGCGGGGATTGTCGACCCGGAAATTGACCGTGTAAGGAAGAAAGCTATGGGAGAGATCAATGGTTAGAATAATCCAGTGTCTGAGCTGGTGCTGGGGCTTGTTGCATCACTTACAGTGACGCGATGAAGACCGTCATTTTGAGAGATCGGCCTGGTGGGCGGGGCAGGAATGGAAGAGAGAGATACGATAGTGACTGCCAAGGGAGGTAAGGACAGCGAGGGAAGGTCGGCTAAATAGGAGAGAAAGAATGACGAGATCTTGAGAATGCAGGCATTGAACTGGGGAGCTTTGCATCCACGCTGGGCTGGAAAGAGAATCAAAAGAAGATCTAATTTCTCATGGCTACGTCATGTGCAATCAAATCAGGTGGGGTTGTAGCAAGCTTGCTAAAAAAAGAGAGATGCCATGCACTGCGACCCTTTGGGAGTCACTGTTGTCCTGGTAGCAAGCGAGCCAATAGCCAGCTTTCTTCGTTCTTGTTATCAAAGACGAACCAAAAAGATTCTGGGCGAGACCCAAAAGCCCGCAGGGTTCTGGAGCCATCAACGGCAGCGCGTATTGACTCTGACCTGGGCGTACCAGCACCCGCCACTCCCGTGGGTATGGGGATGTTACCATACGGTAATACACATACCCAACTATGCGTGCTTTTCTGCAATTGGCGGAACCTCAACCAGACTTAGACAAATCACCTGACGATGAGGTAATCGTCGATGTTCCATATGGCTGCGACCATCTTTCTGGAGCAGTTAGTTTTCTTGTCCCTTCGTTTGGAACTCCCTTCGCTAGTGACTGTCCCGGTATGACCCTGCGTCTGACCTCCGCTCCAGTCTCCGGTGTCAAGAAACGCAAGTCCACACCTAAGCCTCGCAGTTCCCCCTTTGCCGCTCATGCACGACGCAAACCAAGCTCAGCCGCTGCTAACGCCGTGAAGGCGGCCGATGATCTAGTCGACGATGACCCTCTCCCCGATATAGGTGGATCGCGTTTTATTTCTGAGACTGCAGAGGTCCAGAATGTGGTACAGGCGATCCAGTCCATTCGGACAAGAACGTTCGATGAACTCCCGCAACGCGCGGGCATGAACAGCACTCGCATTGCGGAGGTCTTGAACTTGCGCCGGTCGCTGCCTCCACTTGCCTCTGTTGCACACGTACACACCCTGCTTAATGCGCCGACACAGGTGGAACGGGAGATTGTTGAGCTAGTGCAGACCGGTCGTGTTCGACGACTGATTGTTCCAGGTCGAGGGAGCGATGCGGCCGGATTGGGTGACTGCTTGGTCTTGGCCGAGGACTGGGAGGACATGGTTCGTGGGAGCGCTGTCTTAGATGACGAGCTCAAGGGTAAGTACTCTGTCTCGGGTTTATCAAGGGGGGTATAGGTGTTGACATCTGGCAGAGAGATTCCTAGATATTCTCACGCGCATCGGATCCTCCTCGGCCATTTCGCAAAGCGTCTTCACCCCGGACGAATACCGAGCCTTAGTCGGTGCTGGGTTCCTTGTCTCGTCATCATCCTACACACAAGCATCGTTGAATGTTGCGTCTCTTCCCAATCTACCCCAGGCGGTAGTATCTTCAGCCAGTCGGAGGGGCCCGGCCCACCCTTCTGATACCGACCGAGCTGTGCAAACAGATGCGCAGGCTCGTGCAGCGACTCTATTTTTGTCGTTGCCCAACACCGGGACGTATCTGCGGCTACTCGGTGCCGGTCGTGCTCATTTGCTGGCTCTCCTGCGGCGGTCTGCCTGCAATGAAGCTCCTTTGCAATTGCTCAAGGATCGCTGGGATGGTGCGGTGGAAACCGAGAAAAGTTACCACTTGGCGAAGCGAGCGCGGGGCGAGTTTGCGGGCATTCTACCGGGTCGGACGAAGAAGTGGAAGGAACTGTATGGCATGCAGTTTCGCTGGGTGCTGGAAGAAGCCCTGGGTGCAGGCCTGGTAGAAATCTTTGAAACCGGCAGCGTGGGACCAGGCATCCGATGTCTGTAATGTATATATATATATATGTAGATGGGCGGGGGGATGGAGCTGAGGATGTAGAGCCCAAAATATAGACCACCCGCCCTTTTTAATGACAAATGATAAGCCTCCAGCCGCGCCGAGTTCGACGTGTGCCCCGCTGATAACAGTCTCTCAATCCTGCACGATTCATCCGATAAACAAGCTCCGCCGATCCCTTGGCCATAAGCTTACCCTTCCAAAACAAGACAGCCACATAAGTAACCTCACGTATCCCTCAATACCTTTCGTCACCAATTCTCCTCCTCACCTCATCCCCGCAATGTCCTTAATACAACTCCAACCCCATCCCTTTACCTCCATCCCTACCCACCCCTCCCTCTCCACCGATCCATCTCGCCCAGACCTACACCACTACATCAACACCGCTCTCCACGAAGCTCTCGAACTTCTCGACTCCATCCCGTCCACCTTCACCGCAGACCCCAAACCACGCCCGTCTCCACCATCGCAAGCCAAAGTCAAGCTTCTACGCGGATGGCGCAAGCCCTCCGAGCCACATGCCAGCAACCAGGGCAGAGCAAAAGACAAATCTGAGTTTTGGGTCAGTCGGCAAAGCGAGCACGTCGATGAGGCGTCTAAGGGGACCGCGTCATGGCGTGAGTTCGAGGCAGGATTGAGATCGGAGCATGCCGAGCATGAGATGGAGTATACGCCGAGCGTTTCTGCGGTGGAGAGATTGTTGGAGTGGGCGCCAGCGGAGATTGGGGAGGTGGAGGTGGATGGGATCATGTTTAGGGGTTTGAGTATGGAAGGTTAGTTACGAACATTCTGAGGACTAGGTTTGATATTCCCCCCTATTCGATCATGATGCTAACAAGTGTCCTAGTGAATCTGATAACTCATACTTTCCACCCATCCGCCTTGATAGCGCCGCGCAGCTTTATCTCCCTGACCATCTCCGCTGCATACGACAGCCAGCCCCAAGAAGAGCACTCTTCCTCCCGACAGGGCTTCCTGACCGTTCAAATACCCCTACACCCAGCAGCATCGTCCACCCCGCAAGCCCTGCACCAGAAAATCTCCGCGTCTGTGCCAAAGCGCGCGATCTTCGCCAACTACGCTAGCATTGAGCGCGTGGAGCTTCTACCAGCAGCCAGTCCCACGGGCCAGCCTTCCATCGAGAAGTCCCGTATTAAATGGACGATGGCAACTACTTCTGATGCTGGAGGCTCGATTCCGCAGTGGGTCCAGCGGAGTTGGGCGCTGGGCGGAGTGCCGCGTGCTGTGGTTGCGGATGTGGGGTTGTTTATTGGGTGGACGATGCGGCGGAGGCAGGCTGCTTAGATTAATGTCAGAGAACTGGAGGCATACTTCTGTCAATCAGATGGCGAGCCCATTCAGCTAAAGAATTGAGCTTCTTCTCTTGACAGATCTCTGGATGAGATACCGATATTCCCCTAACAATATCCGAAAATCCATATCCTAACATGGCATAATACAACATACTCCTCAGTCAAGTCACCCCTCCAACCTTAATACCTTCCAGTCCAGCAGATAACAGATATTAAAACCAACCCTTCACGTTACATCCTATCCCGCCTCTCCCACCCCCAAATCCAGCCAACACTCACTGCGAGAAAATAGAATAAGCATGCAGCGCAGCGGACAATCCTACTGACACAGTATTATCCTTCACCCCCGTCTTAGCATACCACGCCGAACTAGCCCAGAGAATGGCATTCGCAATACAGGCCAGCGCCTTGTTCAAGGGATCCTGCAGCGCGGCGGGGTTATTGGACCACTGGTAGTGGAGGATAGCTAGACATAGACGGTTTGGTTAGAAAGGACTTGGGAATCGGGTTATACCGCGGTAGATGCCCGGCGTAATGTTTTCATCCAATGGATATATAAGGTGGGATAACGTACCAGTCATAAACAGGAATGCGCTTCCCTAAAACCACGAAAACGAACACGGACACGCGTTAGTAACAATCTAACCATCCCCATCTGCGAAGACAATGCTAGCGGAGATTCAAGCTCAAGCTTCATGTCCAACTCAGCATCCCTTCGAAAGAATTGTCATACCTGGAACCACCCCAAAGTCCCACAAGCCCACGGCCTAGACCCCTTGATATTCTTAAACCCCTTATCAGCAGTCCACTGTCTGCCCTGGACCTAAAGTGCCGCACGAAACCGCATCAGTAATACTCCCACACAGATATACATCGCACTGAACCCCAAGCCACGAGAAACCTCCCAAGTCGAGTACCTGACCTGGGCACTACTTGTGCGCTATTCAATGCAGAGAGAAGTAAATGTAAACGCACCGTATGCCCAATCGACAAAACGAGAAAGGTCAAAGCCGAAGCTTGGAGGGATCTAGACGGGGCGATCGAGGACATTGTTTGGATTGAATCAAGCAAGTGGCGCGCAGTATAATAGGTGTAGATAAGTTGACTGTGGGAGAAGAGAAAAGTTCCGTTTCTGCAGGGTTTTATTAAGGGGGTGCGGGGATCGGTGCCTATAAGTAGGATAAAGGATGAAGGATGAAGGGTCCGCGTAGTTTTAGGTGTCATGAATGGGTCTAGGAGACGGGGAAGAGGCCTCGGTTCGATTATTGGGCCGTGGTGGAGACGCCGAGGTTTGGGGTGGGGAGAGTGACACATGGGGTTGATGATGGGCGTAACTATTGGTGTTAAGCTTAGTCAATTATGCTATTGTGAGAACGAAGAAGAGATGAGGGCATTGGATAGGCGTGGATTTGGGCGATGAATATTTAATGTTATATGCACAAAGCTTGTTCTAGCTTACTAGATACAGGGTACTGTACAAGAACAGTGTAGAAGTGCAGGAGTCATTCAAGCATAGGGTATATTATCACTACCTAATTTGGAATAGCTCAACAGAAGAGGGAGGAGGAGGACAAGAAAGATATAGAGCGCAAAGGGTAAGAAAAAAAAGTAACTCCATCTCAGCCATTCCATGCATCACTCGAATGCAATCGTGGGCCACCAAAGCACGCAAATAGGGGGAGAAGCAAAGGGAATAGAGTAAAAAAAAATAGAAACACAAGGGGATGGCCAGGTAACCAGGACTCCAATCTACCTTAGATATCATGATCCAAACCATGAATCAAATAATCACTAACCAGCAGATCAAATCATCAGCGGGAATGGAGCAGACCTGGTCCCGGTTACCACGGCCATAGACATGGATTAAATTGACAGCCCGACCGCGGATCTGAGGATTGGGTATGTCTCTGTCGCAATACATCCAGTTTTGGTACGCCGAACTCCGTCAGCTGACCCAAAAAGAGAAGACAAGCAAGGAGAATGAAGAAAATAAGCACATCATGTTTGAAATCAACACCCGCAGCTTGGAGTTGACCCCAATATTCAATGGCAACGGGGCTAGACAAATTGAAAGACGGAAACCAAGCGCGATACCAAGGCTGAACAAAAAGATATCAAGTACCTCTTGGACCATCATCACAGAAAAATTAGTGCAATAAACAGAAGAAAAAAAAAGGAGAACACCACCAGCGCCGGTGAGTGTCGGGAGTGTGATCGTGGAAGGAGGCATCAAAAGACGGATTGTCCGTGTAGTGGAAAGATAATCAGACGGTATCAACAGAGTAGGAGAAAGGAGGTCGAGACTCGGTTCGACGACTGAACCGATGGATGGAACAAAGATGTATCTTCATATCGTACACACCAAGAACAGAACAGCACAACGCGGCGCGGGCTTATCATCGCGGACCGGGGTTGGTCTGATTTACCTCGACCGGCACGGGAGCAGCTGGCGCATTCGTCGATGCAATGTGCGCGCGCAGAGCTGCCACTTCGGTGCGCATGCTTGTCAACTCCTTATGCATGTCGTGCACATATGCCCAAAGCTTCTCGATATCACCGCCCGTGGACTCTGCGCCATCAAATCCGACTTTGGGCGCCGGGAACCCGTAGCTACCGGAGTGGCTGTGCGAGCTAGGTGTGTGCTTGGCGGTGGTTTGGGGGTCGAACCGTGTCTGTGGAGAGCTGATGACGGGTGGAGGCAGATGCACCCCGGCTTGAGGTGGTGGAAGACCGATGGCTGGCGGGGCGTGGTTGGGCGCGGAGGACTGGCTGGTTCGGGCGTATGGCTGCGGGTGCGGTAGCGACTGGGCCAGTCCTGGGGAGTGAGTTGTGTGTGGGGCCTGTGCATTGGGGTCGTGTTGTGATAGAGTATTCGGAGAGAGCGGCCTCGGGCTGTCGCTGACGGTCGAGGGTGGGAAAATGGAGGTCCCCGACGAGTGCCCTGCGGGCGGGAAGGTGTGGTTGGTGGGCTGTGCGGCCGCTGCCGGTGATGTACCCGAGCCACCTTGTGTGCCTGCAGGTAGAGGAAGACTCGAACGGTACGCGGCGATCGGCGGATAAGTGCTGGGTTGGCGAGCAGCGTGAGGAGAATCAGATGGACCCAGTTGATCAGTCTCGTGCCGGCGGATATTAGGAAGATTGAGCCGTCGCTCATCTTCCTCGTCCATGCGCTCCGGCTCCATATAGACTACTCCATCCATTCCGTCATCTGGATGTTGACCGTCGACATAATCATCTTCTGGATGGAAACTTCCCATGCTTGCTCGCCGACCAGCGCATCCGCCTTGACCCTTGTTGTGTCGCGCGAGTGCGTCACCACGAGCAAATCGTCGCCCGCATTTGGGACAGGTGTGTGGGCGTTCGCCAGTGTGCAGCTTAGTGTGTCGCTTCAAGTCATGGAGTCGGCGAAAGCGGGACTGGCAGGTTTGGCAAACGAACGGCTTTTCTTGACTGTGGGTGAGAAGATGGCTCTTGAGATTGTGTTGCCTAGTAAACTCGGTTGCGCAGTAGGGGCAGCGGTGTTTTTTCGCAGAAGGGGAGCGAGGACCGCCTCTGTTGTAACCGGAGGTAGGCAAACTCAGTCCTCGACGAGGGTCGTTGATTCCACCGGTGGGCATGGGATACGAAAAGGCTTTGTTGCTATCTTGGTCGATCTCTGTGTCCTCTCGCGGGCGAGATCGGTTTCCACCTTGCATGGACTCGTCAATGGGACCTGGACTGGCGACCGTGGATGTATGCATTAAAGAGCCCTGATTGTGATCTGCTGATCCGTACGGATCCGATGATGTATCGTTCGGGTGTGGGTCGACCTGCATCTGCTCTGGAGAGGCATGGACTGAGGGCTCGTGGATTGACGGAGCAGGCGATTTCTCGCTGGCCCCCAAGGCTTCGCGAGCCACCTGTGAGCTGTTTCGTTCAGCTTCTCTAACTTGGTCGACCGGCCGATCCGCCGGCACTGCCGCGGAACTCGCCATATGAGAGGATTGTGATCGCGAGACGTGCAAGCCAGCGCTGGCGATAGAGCTCAGGTTGGATTCTTGTTTGCCCGGTGGTTTGAGAAAAGCGATGGACTCTGGGCTCGCGATGGAAGCGGTGGTGCCGGTAATGGAATTGGAGATGGTGATGGGCTCGTTATTCGTGTGCATCAACGCCGCCATGGAGGTGGAAGGATTCGCGCCAGCCTGCAGCGGTGGACGAACCAAGGCAACGGCTATTTCCGAGGTCATGTTAGAATCACGGGGATGAAGAATCGACGGAGACGCTGGGGAAGGCTGGGAAGAAGGGTATGACCGACTTCACCCACAGGCTATATTGATTGAGGAGGGAAAGAGGCGACGTGCAAGTCGACCGTCGACGAGGAGGGGGGAAACAACAGGCAGAGCCAGGCAGGAGTAGCCTTGAAGGCGAAGTCCAGGGCGTGTGGGGCGTTTCCTTTCTCACCTGGAAACCGAGTGTGGCGCAAGCTGACGAGGTTTGGTTTCAGCTTTGCACTTGTGTAGGCCTAGTGACGATCCACCCGGAATGTCCCAAGGGAGGGCCTTTTGGCCAGGGCGTTACAATAGCAATTGGGAGGGGAACGTTGGAATTGACGAGATTGGTCAAGGGTGTCAATGGAACCGGGCCATGAGGCGTGGGAAGTTTGGAACCGTGGCGGGTGTTGCAGGCGCAGGAACAAGACGAGGTGTGTATGCCTGATGGGCCAGGTATGAGTCGGTATAGTAGGTATAGCAGGTATAGTACGCGTATGGCCAGTATAGCCAGGGACGAAATATGATTGATTGCACGTTGAGTTTCCGGAGTGGAATCTGTCAGTTCAAGGAGATGGTACAGTGCAAGAGGAGAAATGACAGAATGGCCAGCTCGAACGCCCCGAGGAGAACGCAGTGAAAGGCAGCGAGCGACAGAAACAAGAAACCGGGCAACGGGGGAAATGGTGGATTGGCGCTGGGGAACTTGGTATGGGGCGATACATCAATACGGAGTTTGGATGGAGTACAGATACTATACCTCTTGTAACTATGATGGTGCTCATCGAGTACCAAAGTGAACCATAATGTTATACATACAGATGTACATGTACATAGTGAATGTGTGATGGATTATCACAGGGTTGCTACTGTACTGCGGTCTCTACGAGCACTAAGCAAGTCCAGTGATAGAAAGACAATCCAGGCGGATGTATTCTTCCGTATGCGTGCTCCGTATCGTTACATACCAGTCGGCCACGGTCGAGGCTCTTCAATGAACCCTGACCCGGGGACGGAGGAGGGTAAAGTACTGGATACTTCCTTATCTCAGAGTCTATCCGTAGTGAGTGATGTATCTTCTACCTAGCTTAAGATTGAGGCTGTGTAGCCCGCTAACGCGTGTGGCTGCGCGTGGGTCCAACACGAGGCACTTCTCCTCTTCTTCCCGTCCACTAAGGGTTGGAAACCCCTCCAGACTCGTAGTCCGGGTGTAATGCGGCTGATAGGGGGAAAGAAGAGGAGTTCACATCAGGAGCGTCACAATCCTCCAGGATGTCTTCTGCAATCCCAGTTCCAGTGACGTAGGACCACGATGAAGTCATCTGACAAAATGGTGGCAACCGAGGCCTCAACACCTGGGCAGCCACTTGGAATGAATCTTAGCCTTGTAACCCAGAAGGTCCAGCCTATCATACCTATCTGGATGCAGCGGTCCGGCAGATCGTTTAGTGCGGTGGTTCGTTCATCACACGCTTCGCTACACTTCTCTATACAGTGGACTAGTCTATATCCTCCTCTTCTCCGTGGACCATGCTGTAATTTTGATTTGATTTTGACGGTACCTCGACTACTAGTGGAACAATGCTACACTTGACCCAGTGAACAGCTCACCCTTCAATCAGCCAGGCTTGCAAAGGGGGTTGACGCCTCGTTTCGTGAAGCGCCCTGACAGGCGCCCCCCCCCGAGGCGATCAAGAGCCCACACGAACTGCAGCCCCATTTCTCTGGCTGTGCTAAGGCTAACGGGCAACGGCAGGAGATTGAAGTGACAAGTCAATACTGCAGGGCCCGAAGGGTTGTAAGACTGTTGCATGGCTGTGCACCTTGCATCTCATCAATCTCATTGGACTGATCACTTTAAAGGGCGGGGGAGCTGGCCCGCCTAGCACAGACACACGACTCACATCTATGCGCTAAGACCGGTTATATATGGACTCGCGCAAGTACGACTGGAGAGTGGACAGGAACAGTGCAGTACAGTTCTACAGTAGGCCAGGCAAGTGTAGAGGATCTTCTATAGCCCTTTATATAGAGGCTCTTCTCAGTTCTTTTCCTTCTCTACTTCCATCTAGGAGATCCACTGGAACTGGAGCATGACAGTTTCGGATGACATGCGGTGTAGCGTGTTACTGTGTGTTGGATTCTTCTTCCCGAATGGATCCGGTTCTATTTTTAAGCGTTCAGCATGAGATCTATTCTATATTCAGGGCCCCCCACATTTCCATGTCTATCCGTGAGTAAGACAACGGATCTAGATTGGGGATTCCGAGACTTTTGGTGGACTAGATTGATAACAGAAGTGGATCCCGTGAAATGACGTTGATGACATGCTGGGCGTGATGCCTACCTAGGGAGGTGCGAATCCCACCGCTTCGTCCTACACTTTAGTTATCTTAAGCCGTATTATAGAAGGTTGGCCAAACTTGAGGACCATCGGTCAGAAGTGATGACACGGTGCGGAAATAGGTCCGCCATAGCCTTTAACTCAGCTCATGGTGCCATGAAAGTATAGTTAAGTGGTCGTTGGCATCTATAAGTTCCTAGTAATCGAATCCAAGCCTTTGGCTCTAAATGACCCCTATGGCAGTGCAAAGTTCCCCACTATGTCGCTCTCAGCCCTCAGTCTTATAGATATCTGATACTACCGTCTGTGCAGGTGTTCAAAGTCTTGTGATACTAATGGGTGTCTGCCTTTACAATTTCACGACTAACTGTACTGAAACTCTTCAGCGCAGACTCTCAATAACTGAATGAAGGGCTTCACATTTAAATCAGGCTAAAAATCAGATATGGTAAAATCCAGGTCTTTCTTTTCATTGTATCATGTTGCAATGGGCCGCTTTACACGATGATGTATTGGGTAAAGGATGCGGCTGTTGTCTTTTGGTCAAGCTGAGCGACAATAATCTCTGAAGAGTTCATCCCAGGTTTCTCGCAATCTGGCTCATGTTTAAAGTGACTTGGGAATTCGATTCATCGAGGTAAAGCGAGTATATGGGTGACAGTGGGAGTAGTGTTTCTTTGAACAATCTGCGAATCAGCCTGTGGGGGATGAAGACTTACCCTGGAAGCATAAGCCTTAAAGTGGAATACTGTTCTGAGTGAGGATTCCGTTTTTAGAGGCTGAGATAGTCATATTGTTGATATGAAGAGTGTTAGTTAGAGCGGGGCATATGAAAACTTACTTTGGAAGCAAAAGCTTTGCATTGGAATATACTGTTCTGGGTGAGTAACATTCCATTTTTAGAGCCTGAGATGGTTATGTTATTGACATGAACAGTAATAGAGCGTCTGCTAACTAGATGTTGCGTGCTTACTTATCGCCATCCATGAAGCCATTTGAAGAAAGGCCTCGGACATCTCCCAATCCAATCAATCTATACATATATGCAGACACCATTTGGGGTTGATTCTTCGAAACAAGTCCGTTTAGGTAGATCATCGAGGTTATCTAGTATCTGTGAGTAATTGAGGTAGACACATCCTGATCCTAATGTGATATCGATCCTCAATGATACGGAATCAACAAGCTTCAACCGCAGGTTTGGAGCTTGTTTGTGATTTTAGCCTCTTGTGGATCAAACCCTGGAAGAGTGTCAAGAGCCATCAATGTCGGATGAATGCAACTATCACTCGATAGAATATCTCCAACTGCGAACCTCTTCGGGCAAATGTTAGTGCTGGCATTTGAATTGTCATCACGCCACCAGTTCTACAATTATACTCTTGGATGTGGTTGTAAACATGCCAACTCGCACTCCCCAGACTCATCACATTAACCTCCTCTGGACAAAATTAGTCCCTCATGGTTCTAGTCGAGTCGAGATGCCAGGAAGAATTCTGAAGCCGCCACGGGGTAAAAGGCAAGGTCTCGGTGCTTATTTCCCTTGTGTGACTGGCACGTCTTGGTGATTTTCTTACGCTCGTCCCGGTTGGCTGGTATTTTTGTCTCCTCCGCCTGTGCAACCCCTCCTCACTTCAACTTTTCCAACCTCTGGCACTATTTGGCAATTGCACCTTCCCCCAAAAAGGGTCGAAGCGGTTCTGAAGACCCTGTCATTGGCCAGTCGATCGACGGATTAGCGCCGGCCGAGGTGATGGGGCATGCATCGAGAGGAGCGACGGGGCCAACGGGGTCACTGAGACCAGCTTACTGGCCAGGGGCTCCACTGTGACAAGCTCGACCGATCACTCCGCTCAGCCAGTCACACCCAGCAACGGGCGGCCTGTGAAGGTGTGAGCCTGCGTCCTGCATCCTCGCCGAGCACCGCCTCTCCAATCATGACCCCAGTTGGCCCTGCGCAGTCGTGCCCTTGGCGCTTACTTGGGAATCGCTCGAGTGATGACCAGCCATGGGCTGCAGCTCTGCCCCTCTCGGTCATCGAGGGAGAGAAGCCGAACAACCCAGTGTGATTGATATTCAGAGCACACCCAGTGGCCATCCTCTCCTTCCCCAAAATGTCTTTCTCTTCCTGAGCATCTCCGTCGCTTCGCCTGGCTTCTTGTCTATTGTTAACTTGTCTATATATCCGTGGACGCAGGTTTCGCACACGGTATATAACCCAAGGGCGATCTGATCAGCGTGTTGATACCACTTGTCAGCCGTTGTCCCCTCCACGCAGGTGTCTCCGCAGCAGCCAATTTGACTCAGCTCTGCACCCGGAAGCGAGTCGCCTTTATAACCCCCGTGAAGCGTGTTCTTCATTCGGGATCCCTTCAAGAGCTGGTTCTCTTGACTGCATTGTTTTCCCTGTTTTCCCCGTTCCATTGTACATCGCATCTTTGCTTTCAATGTCGAACGCCAGCGATTCTCCTCGAACAGACCAGCCCGTCATTCCCGTCGACCTGACTCGATCTTCTTATCATAGCGGAATGGGTGACCTGCCGCTACCACAACCGCATACAACGCAGCAGACCCGCAGCTCATCCGAGAGCGGCGACGCCTCGCTGAAGAGCCCTCGCACAGCTCGATTCGCCGAAGCCACAGCCGTGCACTCGCCAATCGAGTCGTCGAGCCGCTCGCCCTTCGCTGATCCCCCGCAAAGGCAGTCCGGCGGCGTTGGCGATGTTGGATTCGGCTATGTAGCCGCCAACGACCCTGCACAGCATGCCGACGACACGCGGCCCCCGATCACGCCTGCCCTCGCCTCGCCGCTGAGGAGTGGGCTGAGGGTGCCTAACACCGCGAAGTCGTTGAACCCGCTCAGCCCGACGTTCCGAGAGGAGTATATTCTGGAGAAGCAGGAGAAGGAAGCGGAGAAACAGAATGCTCGCGACTTGGTAAGGAAATCTCTCATACAATATGCAGCGATGCCTGAACGCACCATGCTTATACCAATATAGCGAATCAAACTTCGAGTCCGCATCGCGAAGATTTTCCTCCGCGGTGTCAACTTCTCATGCAGTCTGATCGTGCTGTCCCTACTAGCTACGACGCTGACCATCTTCAACGCCACTAAGAGCATTCCCACACGCAACAGTCTGCCCGCCTGGGCAGAGGGTACCAACCCTTGGGCCCAGTACCTGCTACTGGGATTGGCTTGTTTCTCTTTGTTTGCGTGCTTGTTTGTCTTCTGGGGCTACTGGAAAGGTGGCCACCGTCGCGCTGAAAAGGTCACCGTCTACTATACCACATTCTCGATCTGTTTCTTCTTCTTCAGCTTCATTATGTGGATTGTCGGTGCGGCCATTTACCAGCACTCCAAGTCTTCTGGCAGTGGAAAGGACATGTGGGGATGGTCCTGCGCACAGAATACCCGCGAGGAGGTCTTTTCTAACACGGTCGACTACGCACTTCTTTGCCGTCTTCAGGTTCGTTCATACTTCCACAATTTCTGTTATCCGCGTCAAATTCTAACATCTTGCAGGACTGGGGCCTCGTCTGCGCCATCATCGAAGTCGTCATCGAAGTTCTTGTCCTGCTCATCTACGGCGTCGTTGCTTACCGTGTCTGGTCTAAGCGCCGCCTCATGAAGAGCATGGATACTCGCGACAAGGCCCGCTCTGATTTGTACCTCACTCAGCTGCGTCTGCATTCCGCCCCCAACACCCCAGGTTTCCCCGGCTTCGCAAGCTACCCGCCCAAGTCGCCGTATGGCATCTCGGTAGACCCATACTCCGCCGCCGAGAAGGGTCAAGCCGAGCCGACACCGACGCAGTACGCATCACCGCGCTCCCCAACGAGAGAAATCCCCTCGTTCCAGCTCCAGGCTCCACCCATCCGCGTCCAACAGGCTTCACCTCAAGCGCAACAGGAGGGCTTTGCGGCGCCCGCGGCGCCCAGGTCTCCCCCTCCACCGCTCACGAACGAGCCTCAACATATAGGCGCGGCTCCCGGTGAGGCAGACTACGGCGCTGTGCCTATCCCGGGCGCTTACACGAGTCCCATGATGCCTGAATTCCCGGCCGCGGTGCACAAATAAGTCCCCTTTACTGCCGGGCCTTTTTGAGAACCTAGCTCTAAACCAGAAAATCCGTTGCAAAAAAAAAGTAAAAAAATCTTGAAAATATGTTGTTGTGCCGATTCGGATGAAAATTTTGAACATACACCTGTATCCTGAGGACGTTTAATCCTTGACTAATTATGTGTTCTTGGTCGCTTGGGCCTGTGGTCCTGACTGAGACTTGATATGTACAGCGGGCGTGTTGGAGTTTGGGGATAGTACAGGTACCTTATACCTACTGGAGGGATTATGAATCTGATTTTTCTTTTTTGGTTGCTCGCCAAATCGGAATCTCCTTTGATTTAACGCCATATTATCTCTAATTGGTAGGATTGTTTAGCGATGTAGTTTCATATGAGTCTTTCCAATATGAGAATCTATAAGCCGTCCTTTTGCCGATCTACGTTCTTCATCTTTCTATGTCATTACAGTCGTATGGCTATTGGGCAAGTCGGGTTAATTACGTGTTTCGGCACCTTCCCCTTCATCGCGGACTCTAAATCCTAAAACAACGTGAAGCTAAGGAATGGAAAAATATCCCCGGCCCTTGGTTAACGGTAAACTGGCAACATGGCACGATAAAATTATAGTTAGATTTCACTCAGTCGATGAGCATTCGCTGTCTGAACACTTTTGTTTTCTTACCAAAGGGATAGACTTCTAACAAATATTATCTAATTATGAGTTACAGAAGAGCGGCTGAATATCAAAACAAGACCCCTGTTGAAAGTCCAAGTCCAACTAACACAAAAAGACGGTCTCGTTGCCGATCTGGGGGCCCTACATTTGGATTGAGTTAGTATCTCCATCAGTGGTAATTGGCAGGGAACTAGACGAACCATATAAACCAGGTTTCGATGGGCAATCCGCCAGGTACCACTCGACTGACGCTCCCAGTTATCCTGATATTGACCATATGCATACAACACCTGGCCCTCAGTCTGTCCCTTTCCAAAGTGCGCGGCACGGAAATACGTCACCGATCTAGCAGTGATCGGGGAAAGGATATCAATCCATTGTGTGCCGAGAAGATGCTGCGTGGTCACGCATGCGAGACTAGTTTGCAGCACGGATTGGATTGACGACAGCGGGGTCAACACGTTGAGGGGCGCGGAGTAGTTGGCTACCGCGTTGGTGGTAAAGACCTTACTAAGCGCGTCGAAGTTCTTGCCATCGATAGCGAAAGGATAGATCGCTAGTGTGTTTCGGATTGCCTCGATCGTGCCGGCGTCGGTATAGACCTCGGGCGTGCAGCCATCGGCAAGGGATGACAGATCAATGGGGGCGACGTCGGTAGTCGTGGATGCCAGGACCGAGATAGCCGCGGCGAGGGACAGAGCGCAGAAGGAAAGAAGCTTCATTTTGTACACGGAAGGATTGAACGAATATAAGCAGAGGCAAGGATAGAAGGAAAGAGTGTGGATGTTGTCCTCTGGTATGGGAGATATTCTTGCATCTTATGGTTCTCACACCTCACGACTAGTCTCGGTTGTGTTTCCCCTGAGATCCAAAATGCAGGCACCGTTCGTTTTCGGTTACATTTAATGCAATACAGGAGCTAGAGCGTTGCCAGCGAGACAATGGACCAATTGGAATAGTTCGCGAAGCTAAGAGTACAGATCGATCAAGGGTCGATTCGGGAGGATGATATTAATCGAGGACAAGGTGGGGAGGCGGGGAACGTTATGACAGGACGGAAGGGGTCGCTTCGCCTCTAGGGTCCCTTCGAAGTGGAACCAGAAGCTGATATAGGCATCGCTGTAACGCTGCGATGTCTGAGCCTCGCTACTCCCTTAATTGACTGTTTTCCGGGAGGGCTGCATGACTAGTCGGCCTCGGGCATGGCTAGCCTGAAGTAAAAGACGAAATACCAAATGCTGCACTGGGGTCTGCGATTTTACTAAATCTGATCAGGGAAGACTTACTTTGCCTACTGGGCGGTTCCTATCTCGTACTGCTCTCCCCAAGGTGAATTGAGTCAATAGGACAATAAACGCAAGATTGCCATTTTATCAGGGCTCGTCAATATTTAGGTGTAGGTTCTAACTCTTTCAGTAACGGCCGCCTTGTAACCGAAACGCCTCAAGGGGTCCAATCCCAGGAATTGGCCCCCAAATTAGCCCGAAGTGTGGCCTTAGATGGAGCTATGCACCAATTTGTTCAAGCCCTGTTGCATGAGGGCCATTGTTGTATACAGGGTCGCTCCTCTGACTCTATGTTATTGGCGGCTTCTTCTACACAATTCTTTGCATTATTCCGACAGGGAGGAATCCTGACGAGGCGAGACATTCGAAAAAGAACCCTGAACGCCAAGGTGGTCTTTATTAATTTCATACTGCGCTGGTCCAGTTCGTGTTCCCTCTTTGTCGTAAATTCTTAAGTTTTGAGCACTCCCCAGGTAAATGGAAGACCTCTTCCTTTGGTCGACCATCGCTATCAACACCTCGCCGAGCATTTTGTTAAATGACTCCGGGTCTTGAGAGAAGCCCAGTCATGGATACGACTCTCGGATACCTCTCCTCCAGCTGGGAGAAACGAGCGGAGGCCACGATGGAAGCGCCATTAATATCTGAACAAGGCCAGACGGTAAGCAATTTTGCAACGGCATGGGATGAAGAACGACCATATTAACATCACTTTGATGACTCTAGGCACTCCTATGGATCGGCGTCGTTCTTTCGTTTATTCTGGTCATCATTCGAACACATACTCAATACCAGAGCAGCAAGCAGTTATTCGTCAACGACTACTGGATATTCTTCGCTGTGCTCTGTCACTTGGCAACCGCTATTGTCTACCAAATCGCCATGGCGCCAATGTATGAGCTCACATATATCGGGGCAGGGTTGAGACTACCAACAGAGGGATTCATGGACCGAGCATCGCTTTTTCTCAAATTACAGTATGCTGCCGATCTTCTCTTATGGACCACATTATGGTCGGTCAAATTTTCGCTTCTTTTCTTCTTCTGGCGATTGTTCGACTCGGTGAACTCTTCCATGAGGTTATTCTGGTGGATTATGTGTGGAGTCACCGCGTCGACTTGGATCACAAGTGTGGTATTGCAGGAATTTGCCTGTGACCCTATTCGCGACTTTTTCACGCTGGGTAGGAGATTCACAACTTTTTCTTGCACATTTAGCCTATGTTCTGACTCGAGCCAGGCAAATGCTCCTCTGCGCAAGACATCTTTTTCTCCAATCTTGTTTTCCGTTTTTCAGTCGGGACTGACATCGCAGGTGATATTTGCAGTAAGTAATCCCTCATCGTCCTGGGTAAACTTCATATCCCCATACTAACCAGGCATATTACATAGTCATGATTATCCCCTTCCCACTGCTCCACAAGTTAAAGGTCAACCGTCGAAAGCGCTTGATTCTAATCGCCGTCTTCTCCCTACCAATCATTCCAATCATGTTTGCTATCCTACGTCTCGTCATGACCAACCCGAAAACGCACAACGTCGATCCGATAAAATTCCAACTCTTTTCAATGTTAGAAAATACGTCTGCAATCGTTACCTCCTGCCTACCTGCTTTCCGATTATTCATCGTCAATACGCACAGTTCCACGGTTCACAGCGACTCTCGACCCTCCCACCGGTACTCGCGAGGGATTGGTGGTTCATACAGAAATTATGGGGAATTAACACAAGCCAAGAAAGATGGTGGAATTCCTCTGGGCTCCTTTACCCAGTCAAATTTTGATTCATATCATGAGCCAAACGTCATTCATGATAGAGCAGTAGTTGGGAAAGGGGTCTCAGTGGACAGCGATGAGGAGGCTCTTAACCCTCGCTACCCCACGCCTAATTACGGTGTTCTAGTTACAAATGAATATCATGTTACTTAACCGAAGATTAGAGATAGAGAAAGACTCATTTTGCCCAGGAAATAGAGATATTTAGACAATTAACACATTTTCTCTTGATTAGATCATGATTGGTGCCTAGCCGGGCAATACCATGCGAGACTCGATGCTGGAATTCAAATAAAGAGAAGACGTCCCTTGCTAATGAAGTGAAGCGAGGGACGCTCTCGTCTTGCTATTGTTATGTGTTTCTTCCTCAGAGACCATTAATCTCCTAGTTCACGTTCCTCCTGGCCTAGTATGTGGTCTACCGCAGGCCTTTGTTGTTGTTATGTGTGCCACTGCGGAATCGTTGCTAGGCTTGATCAGTTAGTTTTCAACCGATGCATGAGGTCTCATCACGTAAAGCCCTTCCCCGAAGTCAATGCTTGAAAGTGATTGAGAGACATTGCTCTCTCGGCTTCATCGAAGCCATAGACATTCAATCTGCCGTAAATCAGGGGCTCAAGGGTGCCAGTCAACGACGACAGACAGAGGTGCATAGGACTAAGGGAGCACGGGTATCTTCAAAAAAAAGCTGATATCAAAGCCGGGATCTTTGGAGGAAGATTTGTTACCATAAGGTGGGTATGAATGAGGATAATAGATACCTCATCCTGCAAAAACTGCAGGGTTAATAGCTCAAACGCAGTCAGATCTGGGCATGGAGCCTTATGGATGACCCAGGTAATTCGTTTGGATCCCACTGAAGGGAGGCCTACTCGAACATATGTGGATTGAAGAAAATGCGAATAGTCTGCATTGGTAAGCGGTAAAAATCCATAGAAAAATACCAGAGCGCCACTGTGCAAAGAAGACGAAACCACCCAACTCCAAATGATCTACCAAAATCCCGTTCTGTCCGTCATTCGTGACCAACATAGTGGCTTGGGCACATCTAATCCAAACAAAAGACTGTACATGCATATCAAGTACCGACTCTCACATGCCTCCCTCTTCCAGGACGGCGTGAGCATCGCGACTGACGAATATCTCCTCCAAACTCATGGCATCATGGGATATCTGGTCCATGTCACTCTCTAGAACAAGACCCTGTTCATTGGCTAGATGAAGCAGACAAATGAAACCAAATGACGTGCTGATATCACGAAGCATCTCGGCGGGATAGACCCCCTTCAAACTGTTCATGATCTGTGTGAAGCGTAGTCGGCCATCCTTATCGGAATCGCTAGGCTTGTTCGGGCTGCTCGCTTGAGGAGTTGGAGGGACCGGCTCATCAGCCTCGCTGTCAGGTTCAGGTGGGACGTCACTTGATACAGCTCCTGGTTGTGAGGCAGAGCTGAATTCTGAGGCAGTGACTAGACGCTCGCCCATGCCCTTCCACATCTCGACCTTAAGGCGTCGTACGTCCACCTTCTTAGCCACCCGTGCATAGTTGACATAGTCTGGTCGTGCACGGCGTCCACCTTGGGTCACAAGCTGAGATCCATATCCGCCTGCGCCAGGACGGCCTGGCGTTGCACCAACCATGTTAAGCAACGCGGTGATGCCGGTGGCATTACCGACAGCAGTTCCAGGACGGCCCTCAGCAGCCGGAGACAGCATCTCTCGCGCATCCGCAAATGGAAGATTATCGTCGTCATCATCAAGATCCATGCCGTTCGGGAAAGCAAGGCCGTCGTCGTCCGCGAAGAAATTAGCATCGTAAGCACCGCCAACGCCCTCATCGGCGGTGGTATCTTCTGTCTTGTGGTTTGCCCAGAATGCCTCGTCCATGTCGCCGTTCCCAGATACTTGCTCAGGTCTAACGTTTTGTGTCCGCCTGCCTAGGAGCTTCCTTGATCCCATACGGGCCTTGGGCTTCAGGAACAGACTTAGCAGGCTCTTGGAGTTGAAATGCTTATCGTCAGGCAGCAAGTTACGGCCCTTGGTTTTCCATTGCGTCTTCGGGATGGAGATCGCAGAGTTGGAACTAGCAGGGGTGTAAATGAGTTCAGCAATGGCAGGATCAAGCGGCGCAGAGAAGTCAATTTCAAACGGCTCCTTCTCCTTGCGCTGTTTCGGTGCCGAACTCGTGTCCTTGGCGGCAGTCGTATCTTTGATCCTTCGAATCTTCCAATGTTCGGGACCGGCCCAGTTCTTCTGAAGTGCATTGTCGAAGTAGCTGAGTATACTCTCGTGGTCTTGTTTGCTGGGTTGATGAGACATGGAAATAGCAAAGGTATCCTCGTCCACCATTTCTTCATCGCCATCGGCATCCTGACCATCGTGGTCAAGTCGGTGAACTTTGAGCATGGGCTCCAAGGCGGCCTCTCGTGCCCAGGCCTCTCCACCGTCACCGAAGCCAGCATCCTCGCTCAGGTCAAAACCACCGAGATCGTCGTCGTCAAAGCCGACGGCATTGTCATCGTCTAGCATTATACCAGACGGGTCTTCTTGTCCACCCTCGCCTTCGTTGGCCTTGTCATGCCTCCACTCCTCTGGAGCCTTAAGCAGAGGAATATCCAGGTTTCCACTGGGATCACCAAGATCAAAGTTCTTCAAGGAGGGGCAAATATCTTGCTCGCCAAGGCGATCGAGATCCGGGAAGAACTGACTAGCAAGGGTCGCAAGATCAATGTCTGAGTCGTCATCAAAAGTATCGCTAGCCTGTTGTGTAGGTTTTGATTTTTCCTCGCTCTGGGATTCAGGATCCATGGACTCCTGGCGATCACCATCACCTTCAGCAGTTTTTGAGCTATCATCAACGGCATCATCACTACTGTCGAACACAATCCTTCCATGCCCATCGATAGCGAGGTGATTGAGAAGCAAGCCCTTGGCTCCACCCTCATCGAAATCTGCGGAGGCCTTCTTGAAGAGAGGATCGACGGCAAATTCCAGCTCAAACTTCTTCAGTTGTAATGAGTTGAAAGACGGGGCGAGTGTGGCTTCATGCGATCGGGTCTAGAGAGGTCGTTCAGTCAGTATGAGGGCCACGAAAATGGTAGCGCAGTATGCCGCACCTTCTTGCGCGACTTGCGCCCTCCACCCTCTTCACCGTCCTCATCTTCATCCCCATCTTCTCCCTCGGCCTCATTATCGCGAGCGCGCTTATCGCGACTGTCAGCCAGGCCACTGAGGAGCTTTCCCGTCTCAGTCGCAACACTATCGACACGGCTTGTATAGATCTTCACACAGCCATCGAGTGTGCAACTAGCCTTCTGGAAGTTGACACCGTCTCCTTCTTTCAAAAGCGACATGTCGTGGAAGTAGTCGATCAGGGCGAAGTTCCAGGAGTTGTTTGCATTGATCTTATTATCGGTAGCCATCTTCATCCATTCTTCAAAGTTCGCCAGAATGGGTACGCGTTTCATGGGCGTCACACCCCGGCCACTGACATCGCTTTCGCGACCGCGATGGTTGGATCCTCGAGGCGTCGCGGGGCTATCGTCGCTTCCTTCGCGGTATCGACGGGCGGGCATAGGCGTCTTGACTGCGGCCTTGATCTGATTCATCTGGCGGTCGTGGAGCGCTTGTCTGGCCTCCATCCGCGCTGCTTTCTCTCCCATATCATCGTTAAGGGGAATTCTGATGGCGGGTTAGCTTTCCGCGAGCCCCGTTGCCTGGCAAAGCTTTTGGTGTACGTACTTGATGGGCGCGTTCTTCTGAGGGGTGGAGTTCCCGCCGCCTGAGCGGCGGTGGGCTTTTATTCGCGACACGAGGCATGGTTGCAGTTTCCCCCGATCGGGGATAACGAGATGCGCTGGTGTCGAAGGAGGTGTGGGGGTGGTGGTTGCAGTCGCAAGAGGGGTGGGCCAAACAAATGAGGAAGTCAACAAACATACGGCGGGGCATAGAGACCAGCCATGCACACTATCACGTGCTATCAGTATTGGATGCCGTAAAGATAAGGCATCAACCCCAGGAAACAGTCACGGAACCTTTAAGTTTTCGTAAATCGTCATCGATACGAGCTCCCTTCATCATTATTATTCAATTTCGAATACCTACCGATCAGGTTCAATATCGTACATTTGGTCCTCTTATCTCCGTGTCCTGTTGTTTTCTATATTTGTTTGAGAGAGGATGTGCCAAACATGCGCGTCGAAATCGTGCACTGCCCCACTCCTCTCCGCGATTGCTAGGCTGACATCACTGAGCTCACCGCATTGGTAGGGACAAGTCAACGCCAGCTCAATGGAGCCCGATCTTGGTGCTTGACTTATTTTCCCTGGTCATATCGCTATATACACCACTTGTCCAAAGATCCCCTTGGTTCGCCCTGGGTCCAACATGCAGCTGTCTCGGATTCCATCATGAACCGGTTACCATCCATCCTGCGGCCCCCCGGTCAGACCCTCGATACTCCGTTCGGCCGTTCTACGCATCGGTGCTGGTAATTACGGTCCTCGCGGTTGTCAGCTGGACTGTGGTGGGGTTTGGGAATGGACAAGCACATGAGCGTACAGCAGCTGGTGTATCTCTACGGCGAGCTGACGAACCAGAGGTATTCCCCCTTGTCTCTCGTGGTATGGTCAATGAAGCTAACCGTGCCCTCGTGTGACCAACATCATAGTGTCGGCTAGTTCGCAATGCCAAAGATCAATGTGCATATGTACGCGAAAACTGTCCAGACCATCAAGATGGCCTCCTCTCCTACCTACAGCTCTATTATTGCGCCTTGCCCGATGCCAAACCAGTGGCATTCATTATCATCGTTCTCTGGCTGTCGCTACTTTTCAGTACTATCGGTATTGCGGCAAGTGACTTCCTGTGCATTGACTTGAGTACACTGGCGAGCGTCCTCGGGCTCAGCGAAAGCCTTACTGGCGTCACGTTTCTCGCATTCGGAAATGGCAGCCCTGATGTCTTCTCTACTTTCGCCGCCATGCGATCGAATAGTGGGAGCTTAGCGATTGGAGAGCTGATTGGGGCGGCGACTTTCATCACATCTGTGGTAGCGGGCTCCATGGCTTTGGTTCGACCGTTTAAGGTCGCGCGACGGAGCTTCGTCCGTGATGTTGGGTTTTTCGTGGTCGCAGTCAGCTTTAGCATGCTCTTAGTCGCTGATGGTCGCCTCCAAGCTTGGGAGTCAGCTGCAATGGTTGCCTTGTATGTCTTTTACGTGATTCTGGTTGTTAGCTGGCACTGGTATCTCGTTCGGCGCCGCCGAAAGAACGAACGAGACTTGGCAGCCCGAACTCACTTTCATATCCCGGACAACCAGGAGTTGGAGATCGAGCAGCCAGTAGAAGATGATGATCCAGGCGTGGCTTCAGAATCTCGCAGTCTTCTCCGTGGAGCGTCGACGGACGATTTCGATCTTCTAGAAAGCGCAGGTGGCATCCCAGCTTGGAAGGAAGAGGATGAGGAAGATGACGAGACACGAAATCGGTATTTGGCAGAGATTCGTGACAATATGCATGTCTATCGGCCCGCGACCTTGTCAAGGCGAAATACCATCAATCCGATTCGTGCGAGTATAGTCGGTGCACTCGAATTCCAATCAGTGCTTCAGTCTCTTCGGAAGTCGAGAACTATCAGGGACAATCCAACGATCAGCCTAAGTAGTTACTCCGACGATGACGACAATTCCTCTCAACCCTTTGATACGCGTTCAATAGCATCGCATCCCCGTGCTACCAGACCAAGTACTATCAACGACCGCCTTTCACCGCTCAGTGCAGAGGGATCACGGGCCCGAGCCGTCTCAGCGAATGACGCCGACGGGTTGGAGATTGACGCTAGTGTCTTTGATCGACAACGTCAAGCTCCTCTTCTGACCGTGAGACGTCCATCCAATGAGCCTGCAGAAGGATCTGGGGACATGCGGACTTTTCAACTTCCTCGTATCGATACCAATGTTTTATTGACTGCCTCTCCGTCATCGTCAGAGCATCCATCGCCAAACACAAGTCCTACAATTGGCCCGGCTATCCCTCAAATACCAGACCTGCTTGCTCCGCCCGGGCCTTTTAGCTCACCGAATTATCAAACCTCAGCAACGCAGGGCCGCTCTCCACGGCCAATGTCACCACGAGGAGGCAGTGGGAGCTACCACTCTGGGACTGGTCCAGAAAGCTCGGCTGTACCTTTTCCCGCATTCGCCGACAACCCCCCTGCTCCAACATCTCGTGCTCCCAGTATCCGCTTGCCCAATCCAGTGGCGAGTCCGTCCGAGCAACTCATGATTCATGACGACCTGTATGACACGGCCAATGACAACGCGTCTTTGAAGGGACCTTTGATGAAGTGGTGGCCTAGTTCGGTTCTTCCTCCTGCTGCGCAAATCGGTTGCACGCTATTTCCCACCTTGGCTGGCTGGAAATCCAAGAACATAGCAGAACGGCTGTTGGGAATAATTGCTGCGCCAAGTGTATTCCTCTTAACAATCACTGTCCCAGTCATCGAACCTCAAGTGTCCGAGTCCGACGAACCTGATCCAGTTCTTGCCGTTATCATTGAGCAAGTAGGCGATGACGGTAACCCGACGCCTAGAGTCAGACTACCAGCAGACAGTCCGACCTTTTACCCGATTGGGCATGAGCATGTTGAGTCTTTCCCAGATGGACCTACCGTGCGCATACACCCCCGCCGCAAGTCCACGCATCATGAACTTGCACCTCGCCCACGCTGGGATTCCGAGCTGCCGGCCGTGCCACATCCACCCCCAGATGCGGCTTGCGTGGTATCCAAGGATTGGAATCGCTGGCTCATTGCAATCCAGCTCTTCACTGGGCCTTTCTTTGTCATTCTCATTGCCTGGAGTACCGTAGATGAGACGTTGGATCTCAGGAACCTTATTCTGCCTTCATTGGTAGCCCTTCTCTTCTCATTTATTTGTCTGAGTGTCCTCATTACGACTACCCGTCGCCGCCGAACATGGCACCGTCATAGCCATGTTGATCATTCATACTTCCGCCCGCATGAAACACCTGAACTATCCAAACCTCAGGCTCTTCCATCTGGATGGCGACCTTTCCTTTCCATGCTCGGGTTTCTAGTTGCAATTTCTTGGATTGCAACTATCGCCACAGAAGTTGTCTCTGTGCTCAAGACCATCGGTGTTATTCTGAACATCTCTGACTCACTGTTGGGATTGACGATCTTCGCGGTCGGTAACTCGCTCGGCGATCTCGTCGCCGATATCACCGTCGCCCGACTGGGATACCCTGTGATGGCATTGAGCGCCTGCTTCGGCGGACCCATGCTCAATATCCTCTTGGGCATCGGTCTTGGGGGTCTATATATGACTCTAAGCCCGGGTAAGTCATCTCCTAAACATGACGAGACGATGGTTCGGGTTCCCTATGAAATCAAACTCTCCAAGTTACTAGTCATCAGTGGTGCCACACTTTTGTTTGTTCTCATTGGTCTTTTGATTGTTGTTCCACTTAACAACTGGCGTATGGATCGTAGGATCGGATGGGGTCTGATTGCAGTTTGGTGTGTGAGTACCTTAGGGAACGTCATTGCGGAGGTTGTATCATGATTTAATAACTTTGATCTTTTGCATCGAATGGCACATTTTCTTGATTTATGCGCGACAACAGAGTTGATTTGTGGCGAGCATATGTTTTGTGCATTCCATTTCCTGGAGATTATTGATTCTGCGGTCTTCATCATCTTTTATCGCATGTTCCCCAGGTCACATCTTCTTCCATCTCAAGTTCTGAACGCATGACAATATGTACATGAATTGCATGCCTGATTCTTTCTACTTAATCTAACGATGGACTAATCTCATGACATTCTTCCTGTCATGATCATCACTCATCCATCCACCACTGGAAGTTTAATGCCTGTGTACGACGACTTTGAGGGTTGAGATGCAACCTATCAAGAGGGCGTTTGTCCACAACGGGATGAGTAGGATATGTAAGAGACGGTCTAGCATAAGCTAAGCTCCTGGGATATAAGCAGCAATCCATTGAAAGAAGTCTTGAGTCATGTTAAATTCCCTTTCGATGCCGAAAAGCCGGGTGACATCGCTGACCATGGGTACTGCACGAAATATATCTCACGACGGATGCCCGTTCTTCCAATCCAGAATCATCCAAGGTGAAAAATCATCCACGTCCGGGGCGGGCGGTTTAGACGGGAGTTGAAACCCATGTCTGATTAGAAGTCTCTATTTTCTAGCTCATATCCTTAGTGAGGTTGGATATATAAGTATTGAGTCCAGTTCTCGTGTTGATAGTAGCGTGGGCTATGATAGCCCTGATGCATTCCTCCTCCGCATAGTGGGGAAAACGTGAAGGGGAATGACAGCAACAGCGGAAAGTGTTTACTCTTGTCATTTCCTTCGGCATTCCTCTAGCGATACAGAATCATTCTTCGATAACTTAAATAGGCAAGGCATTAAAGCTACAAGAATGAACGTGCAATTGGGAAACAACTTGAAAGATCCTGTTCGACAAAGATATTGATATTGTAGCTACAGGCCACACATTCAAGAAACCTAGCTAAATTTCCACCCAATGCTTCGGTAGATGATATGCGATCTTTTATGAAAGATGAAACCCCTTTTGCTTGGCAGGCCCACGGTGGCCATGGTGCCGGGGCCAGTGGAAGGAATAACACCCCTCTCACGGAACAGTCTTGCGGCACAATGCAAGAAAAATGCACGCGCCAATGGTTCGCTCACCAGATCAATCACTCTGGAAACGGGTCATAAGGGAAAGAAATCATTTCAAGCCACCCAACTCTCGGACGGAGAAGCTTGTATGCTTACAATACTCCGTACACAATCCCCCTATTAGTGCTAAAACATGAATAATCTGCACACATCTCGCCTAGCCATTTTTGCCATGAGATGGAAAAAAGCTCCGCTGAAAAAATGACGCGATGGATCAATTGACCGATGGTCTAATCTCCGGGGCGTCTTTCACAACCATTCACAACCAGACCCTTTTTCCTGGGCCCGATGCGCTAGCTTTAATCAACGCCTGATCGGCGACTATCTATGCCGATCACCAAAAACACGAGATCCGGCCCCGCCGAGGGCTTCAGATTCAGCGCAAAACATTGCCAAAGTGTAATCAAGCCTTGCCGTGTGTTCTCGGTAGATGTGTGAACTGCGAAGGGATGGATAATAGGGGCTCGCCCAATGGCGAATCCGATCTTGCAAGATCTTGGGATCGGATATTCCATCCTTCGATTCTATGGATACAATCTTTCTTTTGTTTCAACCTCGTCACTCTTTGAATTGTTTTATTTTCAGTCGCTCTTTTTCGGATTCTTTGAGTCCAGCCATTCATTAATACACATATTTTGGTTATTATGGCCCCTGTTTGGCCATGGTTGAGCGCCTTCCTGGCTGCCCTGCCAGTGGTACTGGCAGGACATGGTGACCCCATTGCCCAGAAGTATATTGTCGAGTTTGTTGATTCTACAACTGTCCGTTTTCAATGTCCACCCAATGTACAGCTCTGTCTATACTAATCAGCAAGTTTTTTCCCCCTTAGTCGTCTGCTAGCTTCCTCACTACTCTGAAGGACTTAGGCATCCCTGCCACTCTCAACCACGACTTGTCCTTTGCTCTTTTCCACGGTGGTTCCTTCACTCTGCTGGACGACAACCAGAACGAGAGGGCAATTGTCAAGCAAATCTCCTCATGGCCCGTGGTCAAGAAGGTCTCTCCAGTTCGGGAGCTGCATCAGCCTCGGAGTGAGGTCTCTACTGTGGCCCACGGCGCGGCTGTCCGCCGTAGTGTTACCTCTCACGGCATCCGACGCCGTGATCCTACTGGCCATGAAGGCAACGACTACCCTCACATCATGGTCGGAGTTGATAAGCTTCGTCAGGAAGGCTACCTAGGAACTGGTATCCGCGTGGCGGTGGTTGACACGGGAGTGGACTACAAGCATCCTGCTCTCGGAGGCTGCTTTGGCAAAGGCTGTCTGGTGGAGTTTGGCTTCAACTTCCTAGAGAACACTACCGACCCATGGGAAGGTCGCGACGGACACGGTAGGCTCATAAATGGATATTGAGATGTCATAGATATCCTAGCTAATTTCCAGCAGGAACTCACGTCTCTGGTCTGATTGCCGCTCAGCCCAATCCTTACAACTTCACTGGCGTGGCGCCGAATGTCACCCTGGGTCATTACAAGGTCATTGGAAAGCATGTGGTAAATACCGGCACTGATATCGTCGCCGCCGCTTTCATGAAGGCCTACGAAGACAAGGCAGACATTATTTCCGCTTCCTTTGGTACGTACAAAGGCTGGAGTGACGAGCCATGGGGCCAGCTAGTTCAAAAGTTGGCCGAGGCTGGTCTTCCTTCTTTCATTGCAGCTGGCAATGACGGAAGCTACGGTCTTTTTCTCTCCTCCAATGGTGTCGACAACTCTGCCGGCATTGGAATTGGATCCGTCAACAACTTGTATAGCCCTCTCCTACTGACTGGCGCCTCTTATTCAACCCGAAACACCACCAAGGCATTTGGCTGGCAGCTCGCAGGTACCTCTGACTTCAAGAATGGCACATATGCCCTGTACCCAAGCAGCCTCAATGCCTCAGTCGTTGGCGATTCCTGTGAGCCCTGGACGGGCAATCATCCCAACCTCACTGACAAGATTGTTCTGATCCGCTACGGTGGCTGCCGCGGCAGTCAGCAGCAGGCCAACGCCGTCAAGGCCGGTGCTAAGAACATCCTCTTCTACAACAATGAGCCTGGTACCTATGAGCTGCCGGTTTCGAACCCTGCACTCACGGGCTTGGGCATGGTATCTGCCCAGACTGGCGAGAAGTGGGTGAAACTCGCCGCCTCTGGCGCCAATGTCACCCTCCACATGATCAGCGAGAAATACGCGAAGACCATCTTCATCAACGAGACTAACCCTCAATCCGGTGGTCAAATCAGTGAATTTACTCAGTGGGGCCCCAGCAACGAGATTCTCCCCGTGACGGCCGTTTCTGGTGTAGGTGGATCCATCTTGTCGACTTGGCCAGTCCCCGTGGGCAGCTATGCCGTGGAGAGTGGTACCTCGATGGCGACCCCCTTCGTTGCTGGCTGCATTGCTCTCTTGATGGAGGCTCGTGGCAAGGGCAAGGTTTCTCCTGCCGAGATCAAGTCTCTACTTTCGACTACTGCCAACCCTAACGTCTTCCATGACGGTGTTACAGCGTCCCCCTTCCTGGGATCCGTTGCGCAGCAGGGTGGAGGTCTCATTGATGCTTACAAGCTTGTGCACACCGCCACCAAGTTCAATGTGAGCACTATCTCGTTCAATGACACCCAGCACATCGTCCCAGCCTATATTCAGATTAACAACACCGGCTCCTCGCCGCGTGTTTATACTGTTGGCCACGTTGGTGCTGCTACTGTCTACACGCTCCCCGAAAACAGCTCTATCCCCCAGAAGAACAAGCTTGGTGATTTCGTGGACCGTACTACCAACGGTGCCTCACTCAAGTTCAGCTCGTCAAGCGTGCTTGTCGCTGCTGGCGGCTCCGCCGTGGTAAAGGTCACTGCTACTCCCCCGAAGGGCCTTATCTCCCACCGTATCCCAGTCTATAGCGGGTATATTACCTTTAATGGAACGAGCTCTAACGACTCCTTCTCCGTTCCTTACTTGGGTGTTGCCACCGCTATGCGCAACGTGACCATCCTGGACACTAAGGAAGGTAGCATGTACCTCACCGACAGCGCCACCAACGAGCGCGTTCAAGCCAACCAACAATTCGTTCTTCCCAACGAAAATGCTCCTATCAACCAAGCAAACACCAGCTACCCCATCTTCCAGACCAAGCTTTCTATGGGCACGGATTTGCTTCTCATCGGTGTCAAAGCTGCCAATAGCAGCACTATCTTCCCCGTGGCTGCCCCGAAGACGGCCCTTCCTCGGACTGTTAAGGGTCTTACTGATCTCAAAGCCACTTCTTTCACGGGTCAGCTGGCAAATGGCTCATATGTCCCCGCTGGCAATTACTCGCTTGTTGTGCGTGCGCTGAAGATCTTTGGCAACCGTGCTAATCCGAGGGATTATGATACTGTGAAGACAGTCAACTTTGGGATTACATACGCACCTGCCCCTGCTAATTAATGCTTGTTGTGAAGACATATCGGGAGATGCTTCTTATCCACGCATGTTCAAGGATTGTTGACGCATCTCGGCACTTTTTCATTCTCGAATAATCTTTGATCTCTTCGGCAGGATGGTTGGAAGACATGTTATGATCCAATCTAATAAAGCACTGCCGCTCCACTTTCGCATATATCAAGCTCTAATATAACCTGGTCGTCGAATGGATTGTGAATACTCGCTTGACATACAATAATAAATCTGAGTTGGGAGAAAACCCTACGAAAATTTGTTTTCAGTGCATGGCGGTCAATCAGCGCATATTGGAAAATGATCAAGTTGTAATTACCTTGTCCGTCTCGCCTTCAGACGGGCCAGGATGCCTGGAGCCGATATCAAGGCAACGAGGATGTTCCAGGACAATGTTTGACACATTTGGATTCGGATGATAAGTAAGCTATTGTTGTAAATGAGTAGAGTGGATAGTCACACTGATGGGGTTTGGAAAAAATTGTAGGGGTTTTTTTAATGAAATAATAATGAAATGTACGACGCTAGAGTATTTATACCCAAAACAAGAATTGAGTGACAACAAATAGTAGTGCAACATAGAAACGAGAGACTACGAGATCAAACGTCAATGGGGCGAGGTCGGGTCTTCGGTCATCAAGGATGATTGAGAGCGGAGGTTACGGAAGTGCATAAAAGGGTAACAAATATAGCAACTGATACAACAGCAACAACCATACAATCACAAACAAGAGTCGGTGACATGCACAAGTCACCAACTCAATATCATCCACCATTTAATCCCTGGTGTGAACCAACTTGCCCTGAACCCACACATTTTTAACATTGCGATCATCGCCACTCCACATCCATTTCTGAATCTGTTCCTGCCAAGTCTCATCCCCAAACAAATCCACATTACCAACAGGACCCGATGCATCCACACGCTTCACAGTAACTGCACGCGCCTCCACAGAACTTCCATCAAGGGGACTGACCGTATTATTCGGAACAGAGCCTAGCTCGATCAACTGCGCATCCCAAATCATACCCTTATCGAAACCACCAATATCATCGGCCATATCGACGACGGCTGCACCACCCCGGGTAGCAAGGTAAAGACTCTCATCCACGGAAAGCTTCTCCGTGCCGTTGGTCGAGACATTCCCCGTCATGGTCTGATACTCAGAGCTATACTGAAGGAGACGCGAGACGAGGCAGGCCTGGCGGGCAGCTTCGAGGATACTCGGGCTGTATCCACCGCTAACGTCTGTGCCTAGGCCAACGGTGAGACCCTCGTTGAGCAAGATACGGACAGGAGCGAGACCAGAGCCAAGAGCGGAATTAGAGGCTGGGCAGTGGGAGATCTTCGAATCTCGTTGGCGGATCAGGGTGCGTTCGTCTTTGGTGAGGTGCACGCCGTGGGCGAGGATGGTACGGGATGTGAGGAGGTGCGCTTTATCGTAGACGTCGGCATAGCTGGATGATTCTGGGAAGAGTTGCTGGACGAGGGCTATTTCGTCTAGGGTTTCGGCGATATGAGTTTGGATGTGGAGGGGCGGGTTGTAGGATGCGGCGAGTTTGCCGAGACCGTCGAGGGAGGCGTTGCTGCAGCTTGGTGCAAATCGGGGGGTGATGATTGGATTGATCAATGTTCCGTTCGGGTCGAGAGTTTGGATATATTCGATTGTGGATTTGGTCGCGTTGAGACCTTGTTCGGCGGATTGGTCGACGTAGTAGCTTGGGCATTCATCTTTGTTGTCCATACAGACACGACCGATAAAGGCGCGTTGGCCGTGGGAGTGGCATAGTGCGGCGAGAGCGTTGGTGGCTGGGACATGGATCGTCGCAAAGTAGGATGCACAAGTTGTGCCGTGGGCCAGAGTGCGAGCGACGACCTCATCGTAGACACGCAGTCCCTCTGGAGGTGTGTCTTTGGGGTCTGTCTGTTGGTTGTTGGGATCCGACTTGGAACCGAAGCTTGCCTCCGTGGGATAAGTGTATTCGTTTAACCAGTCCAATAGTCCCGATGAGCCGAAAAGGCCAATGTTGGGGAACTGTGGTGCATGGATATGGGTGTCTATATAGTAAGTCAGCAGTGCCGAAGGATGAATGAAAGAGATACAACCTACCAATAAATCCAGGGAAGAAGAACTCATTCCGAGCATCGTTGGACTCAACAACTTGGACCTGAGTCCCCTTGCTAGTACTAGTGCCATCGGTCCATCCGTGACTTGACAGGAATGATTGAAAACTGGCATCGTCATTGACGGACCAGTCGTATCCTTTGATACGTCCATCTGCAGAAGATACCCAAAGGACACCCTGGTTGCGATCAAGCTCCGGTTTGTCCGAAGTCGAGTTCAAACGTGGAAGATGAATGAAAGTGCCACGATAGACGGTGAATGGGTATGTCGCAGCGGTGGCACTGCACGCATTGAGCAATGCAAGCACCCCGACTGAAACTGGAGCTAAGTTCGCAAACATGATGGAAATGAGTGAAACGAGTATAGATCGATGCGCTATCTCTACCTGGATATCTTCATTTTCTCGAGGATATCGCCGACTGATATATCTTCATTGAAACAGCCGGAAATTGAAGGGTCATCATCTTGGACACTTGAAAGGAAAGATGCCATGGGGAAATGATTGAGTATGATGATATCCAGAAAAGGCAGGCATAGCAATCGAATGTTGCAGTGTGAAGGCTGTACCTGCTTGATGGGAAGACGATCTTCAGGGCTGCAGAAACAGCCATCGATAATATGAAGTCGATATAGGGAGTGTGAGACAGCGAGATCAACAGGGCGTGATAATCGAGAATATTCTGGGCTCGGTGTTCGGCTGCTTCCGACTGATCGCTGGTCTTACAAATTTAGAGGCAGAAAGGATACAAATGAGTAAGGATGTACAAAAGAGGGTAGTGAGAGGAATAGTGATCAGGGGCTGTGCACAATCAGGTTTATCTGACACTATGAACGAGTTGAACAAGATGATTGACGGAAACTTGAGACCTGATGCAGCAATTGACAGCGAGGCTGTCGCGGTGGATGTGTTAGTCGTAATGAGAGGAACCAATCAATGAAGGAGCGTTGGCCTCCCATCAGCAAGTCGTCTTCCATTGCTCCTCTACCAGCACTAGAAAATGTTCCCTTGTATCATCTTCTTGGAAACACAAGAGAATACAACGTCCTCAACGACATACTGGCGCTAAATGCCAACATATTCTCTGCTATTTACGATCATGAAGAGATTCGCTAGAACATTACTTTGTAATCTGTCCTTCCTTGCAGAAATGGATTACTGGAGATCATCACAGCAATGTTGATCTTCATTTAGTCGGATTGATAACTGAATGTGTCTAAAAATGGCCCTATCCCAGGCTCCAGCAGCCAACGATAGTTAGTTAATCGAAGCCTTAGTCACTGCGCCTTTGCCTTGTTCAATATTCTATGAAAATACTCTTCAAGACAGTAGTGTCCTCAAATAAGACAGGCTCAGCCCTCTATCCAGATCGTCCGGACAAATGGCCCCAAGCGGAATTCGCCCGAGCTAAGCGAGTCGATCGTGAACCAGCAGCCGTGAGCACCCGAAGACCAGTCTGGCCCCGAGCCCAAAGCCCAAAGCCCCAGAGAAAACGGATCTGAACTACGCTCCGACAATTTTGCAATTTCCGACTAGAGCCTTCAACGTAACGAGAACGAACGAAACTGACATTCATCGTGGATGATTATGAAGCATACGAGAATTCGTAAACAGAGAAAGTTTTATGAGAGAAGGCGATCGATATGCACAGCGTGCATTAAGTTTACTCGTGTCCTTGTGACGAATCAGAATGCCTGCACTGCCGGAAGTCTAGCGGTAGTTCTGTCAGGTTTGGGCACTTCTGATTTGCTCCAAGGTCCAGCCTTCGAAACTTTATGGGAGTTGGAGGGTCATGGCGAGGATTTGCGGGCGGCTCCGAAGATGAAGCTATATGGGATGTACTCTACTGGCGATCAACAAGAAGTTTAAACAAGTATTGAGGGTGATGATTTGAATATGTTAGGATCATGGACAGTAAATAGTTGCCAGAATGAGTTCGGCCAGTATCCCAGAAACAGCCGAATAGTCGCGGGACCGAGGTTCACCAGGGGAGACTGGCAGGTTCCGTCAATACCGTGAAACGTCCGAACGGACTCTGAGAGTGTTGATGGGCCTATTCCCAGTAGAACTCGTTCCAATCGAAAGTAACAAACTCTGTCAAGAGCAATGGATTGGCAAAAACCTAATCCTCCTTCTACTTTCCGATCGGACTCTTCCATGATCGCCCTGATGCTCAGGGACTCCCCGGACTGGCAGTGTATCACTCGGAAAACTCGTAAACCCCCCAGCGCAATAATACCACCGGCAGACTATACTCTTCGCAACCCCCAAGGGAAGTCCTCGCGACAAGGTCAGCCCCAGGAACTCCTGAATGGTCAACCGCCAGAACAAACATTCTCAGTGCGATCTTAAACAGACGTCTGTTCTCCGTTGATAGCAATATTAGGTTATCTATCCGTGAAGCTCAATTTTAAGCTTATCCAGACTGTATCCAAAAAAGTTGTAAGCCTCAAAACCGATGTTATTCTCACCCCCGGAGAGCATCGGCCACTTCCCCAGAATCTGCACGATCCAGCAAATGTTGAGACCTTCCCCGGACATCTCCACACTACCCCAGATATTTGTGTAAGCCAAGCTGCGTTGGCCCAATACCAATGGACCATCTTACGTCCGATTGACCCAACATGCTCTCTTGAGTGGGCTCGCCGTTCTCCCAGTTGGCCGGCGACCGGCGAGCACCGAAGACTTCAACCCCGTACTTAGAGGCGACCCACCGCAACCGATCTGTGGCCATTGCACTGCAAGACACAGTCAGGCACTGCACTCGAGGGTCAATATTGACATATCCACGCTCTACAATTAAGGATATATCGGTCGCAGATTGCCCTACAAGTGATTCGATTTTCTCGTCTTTGAGAATAGTCTACATTATTCTGTGGTTTTTTTTGGGTCATATTCTATTCCTACATCACCATTATGGGCTTGAAGCCGTATATGGGCCTTCGAGGCAATGCCCTCCTCAGGGCTGCAGTCATGCTGGTCGTGTGCCCGACTTTTACTTGCTATGGATACAATATGAGTGTGGCCGGTGGTCTCTTGACGCTTCCTGCGTTCAATACGCAGTTCCCCCGGATGGATACGATTACTACAACTGGAGCACAGCAGGCTGAGAACTCGACGATTCAAGGTGATTCAAAGCCCAAATAGCAAAACACTATGAACACGTTCTAACATATTTGGCTATGAACAGGCACTGTCATTGCCCTGTATACCGTCGGTGGTATCTTTGGAGCCCTGTCCTGCGTCTACCTGGGCGATCTGCTCGGACGCAAGAAAATCATCTTCTGGACCAACTTCATCACCATCATCGGCGCCATCCTCATGGCAACTTCCTTCGACTTTGTCCAATTCATCATCGCCCGGGTTGTCCTCGGTCTCGGTATCGGTGGCTACATCGCCACCGTCCCAGTCTGGCAATCCGAAATTTCACCAGCACACAAGCGAGGCTCCAACGTAGTCACCGATGGTATCTTCGTTGGTCTCGGCGTCACACTCGCTCTGTGGATTGACCTTGGCTTCTACTTCATCAAGGGCAGCTCTGTCTCGTGGCGATTCCCACTAGCTTTCCAGGTCGTCTTGTCGGTCATGGCTATGATTTTCATCACGGTGCTTCCCGAGTCTCCGCGCTGGTTGATCAAGACTGGTCGGATTGATGATGCTAGAGAGGTTCTTTCTGCTCTGCTCGAGCTTGAGCCTCACTCGTCTACTATCACGGATACTATCCAGGAGATTCAGACTACGCTGGCTGTTTGTGGAAACACCTCTTGGACTGCGATGTTCACCAACGGAGAGCAGCGTCTTTTCCATCGTGCATATCTGGCTGCTACCGGTCAGATGTTCCAGCAGATGTGTGGTGTGAACCTGATCACGTACTACGCCACGACTATCTTCGAGGTACACTAACACTATATCTCCCCTTGCAAGCAACCTCCAGTATCACCAACTAACACCATCTAGCAATACCTCGGCACCGACGCAGTGAAATCCCGCATCCTCGCCGCAGCAATGGGCCTCATGCAACCCTTCGGCGGCTACCTAGCCTACTACACAATCGACCGACTCGGCCGCCGCCCCCTCATGCTCTGGAGCGCTGGGGCAATGTCAATCTGCATGGCCGTCCTAGCAGGCACAACCTCGCCCCCCGCCAAATCCAGCACCGCCGCCCTAGTCATCGCCGTCATCGCCCTGTACTGCTTCCAATTCATCTTCACCGTCGGCTACTCAGGCCTGACATTCCTCTACGCCGCCGAAATGGCACCCCTGCAGGTCCGCGCCGCCGTCAGCGCAGTCTCCACCGCCACCGTGTGGACATTCAATTTCCTACTTGCAGAGGTGACGCCTATCGGCTTCGCGTCGATCGCGAATAACTACTACATTATCTTCGCAGTGATCAATGCTTTGATCGTGCCGGCTGTGTACTTCTTTTTCCCCGAGACCAAGGGTCGGTCGTTGGAGGAGATTGATGAGATTTTCGCTCAGTCGAAGAGCATTTTTGATCCGCCGCGTGTGGCGAGACGGATGCAGAAGACTCTGAGGGCGCATCAGCCTGAGATTCCGGGTGCCCAGGACTCGGAGAGTGGGGGTGAGAATAATGAGTATGTTAAGGAGAGTGTGAAGGCTTAAGAGTGTGGATGGGAATGATTATTCTGATCACAGATTGTGAATAGTTGATATGGTCCTTTCTTTTCCGAAGTGGGCATTAATGTTGTCCAATGGAAGGAAGTGGTGGATTCTGAGTTGCAGGTCAATGTGGATTTGGAGGGTTTTAAGAACCCCGATTGCAGATAGCAGATGCCCAGGAAGGGTTATCATTAGTTATAGCAAGCAGAATCAAATGGAATATTTGTATTGCTCTGGACCCTTGTCATCAAGATCTAGAGTTGCCGTTTAGAAGCAGTCATCTGGGGTGGATAGGGATCCCAGCATTAGCCTGCAACTTGATATGTCCCAGGTACCTAGGGCCCATGGTAGATTAATGACCTACTTAAACGATACGAAAATAAAAGCCAGAGAGATATCAACAAAATCAGGCAAAAAAAGGCTAATATTTTATGCGAATGGCATACACAACAAAGCTGAATACTCTCCCGCTCATCATCGTCTCCATCTCATCACCATCACCATCAACCTCAAGCACCCATCACAACATCTGACATACCAAGTCCTCCTCGCCTCTCACAAAAAGGAATGCTTTAAAAGAAAAAAACATGAAGATGAACCGCTTCCATCCCATGAATAAAATATCCATCACCCCTCGTTCTGTACAATATGTTCCATCACCACCTCTCACAGCACACGACCAGCCGAGGAACTGGTGCTACGGTCATTGGTCTGCACCTTCCGGAGACCCCTACCGGCCTGGATAGAGGCAAGGAGCGCGGATCGGTCACCGCCGGCCCCACCCGCGGCTGGGGGAGGAGGAGGGGGAAGCCCGGGGGCTCCACCTGCAGGAGGAGGCGGAGGGGGAGCAGCAGGGGCTCCAAATGGAGGGGGCGGTGGTGGCGGTGCCGCGGGCGCTCCACCTGCAGGGGGAGGAGGGGGAGGAGGAGCAGCAGCTGGGGCACCAGGTACAGGAGGTGGAGGAGGTGGTGGAGGAATGCCAGCTGGGGGAGTGGGAGAAGAAGCTTCTTCAACCGCAGGGGGAGAAACGGCTGCGGGTGGAGGGGGAGGGGGAGGAGCGATAGGACTGGTTTGCACCGGGGTAGGGGACTTGTCTTCTTCCATGGCGCTCAGGGGACGCGGAGGAGCCATGGTGCCGAACAAGATGCTGGCAAGCTGCTTGGCGCTGCCGCCGCCGGGGTGGTCGTCTTCCTCGTCAGAGGAATCGAACTCGGAGCCAGCAGCAGACCAGTCATCATCGTCCTCGGGCCGGGCACGGGTCTTGCGCTCCAAAGGAACGGCTCCGGTGAAGGTGGGCTTGATGGGCTCCTGCTTCTCCTGCTGCGCGAGACGGTGGAAGGGATTGGTGGATTGGGCAGCAGGTGGCGAGGTGGCATGAGAGGGCTCGGAGGGCTGCTGACCCAAGGACTTGAAATAAGGGTTCTTCGACTCAGCATCGGGCGAAGAGGCTGGGAAGCTGTCGGGGCTGACAATCTTCTCGGCCTCTGGGCCAGGAGCAGGAGCAGCAGGCTCAGGGACAGCGACAGTAGGAATGGGAGGAGCAGGCAGAACCTGGCTCTGCGTAGGGGTGCTGTCCTGGGGAGTAATGTTGATAGGGCCTTCGTCATCCGAAGAATCCTCGTCCATACCCTCCAGCTCGCGCTGCAGCTGACGCTCGCGTTCCTTAGCAGCTTCAAGCTCGGCACGCTGGGCCTCAAGTCTGGCCTCCTGCTCCTTAGCCTGACGGCCAGCTTCTTCCCTGCGTCGCTTCTCTTCCTGCTTCTTGACCTTGCCCTGTCGGACCTGCTCCTCAAGGGCGCGTAGCTTCGCATCTTGAGCTTCCTTCTGCTTACGATATTCCTCTTCACGCTGTTTGGCCTCGTCCCTATCAAAGGTTTTAGCAAGACTCCACTTTCAATGTCATCTTTCCGGCTGACTTACTCAAGACGCTTGGTCTCGGCCTCCTGCACCTCTTGCTCCTCCTTGATAGCCTGTTCACGGGCAAGCTCTTCCGCCTTCTTCGAATCAGCCTGGCCAGCACTATCGGTCCGGGCCCTGCGAGTAGGCGGCGCAGGAGGTGGCTTCTTGCCAGCAGTCTTTGTAGCAGCTGGGGCTGGACCACCACGCTCTTCGGCCAAACGGCGTTGCCGCTCTGCCTCACGCTTAGCGTCTTCCTCCTCGGCACGCTTGACACGCTCTTCACGCTCGCGCTTCTCCCGCTCCTGTCGCTGCGACAAGGTCTCAGTAGCATCATTGGGCTTCATGCCAGCAGCAGCCATACGCTCAGCAATGCGCTTCTGAGCGCGCTCTCTAGCAGCTGCCACGCGGTCTTCGTGCGTGTTTCCTGGGTATGAGCCCGTAGAAGGAGTGGAGGCAGGCATAGAAGGACGAGCAGCAGGTGACTCGGCAGGTGACTCGGCAGGAGAACGATACTGAGCGCTGGAATCCTGGGCGGGTCGATCGCGCTCTTCCTTACGGATATGAGCGGTCCGGCTATTACGGCCGAGATCATAGATGAAATCACGGATGGTGTCCTCCACGCCGAGGGCATCCTCCCAGCGACGCTTCTCATGCTCGCGAGTGGAGTTCTCACCCTGATCGCGAAGGCTGTCCTCCAGACTCTTAGCAAAGTCGCGAACACTTTCCTCGACGTCCCGAGTCATAGTATCGTTGCGCTCTCGTTCAGCCTTCGCATTATTGTTCTCAGCCTCCAAGCGGCGAGCAGCTTGGCCGTCGTCATCCGCGCCTGCAGGAACAGGGCGGCCGGCAAGCTCAGCCGCGCGCGCTTGCATACGGGCACGGGCCCGAGCCTTGATGCGATCGGCCTCGGTGATCGAACCGCCGGGACCAGTGCCGACAATGTTGCCGGCGCTGCCAGGGTGAGCCTTGGCATCCTTGAGACGGAATATCTCAAGCTTCGCGTCAGCAATCTCACGCTCAAGTCGGCGAACATCAGACGCGACCTGGGGGACCTGATCCTCGTAAGCCTGTAGCTGGCGACGAAGTGATCGACGCTCCGCTCCGTTGTCCAGTCCACGGAATGCAGCGTTAGGGTGAGTATCAATGTCATCCTGAACGCGACGAATTCGGTCCATTAGGCTCTCGGCCTCACGGCGGTCCTGGCGATCGAGGGCCTCGTCATCCTCAGCCCGGTTCTCATCCTGGAAGTCAACAGCATCAAGCATAATCTTAGCCTCACGGATCTTCTTCTGTAATTGGTCCACAGACAGCTCCTCGGTCTCAGATGCTTGAGAAGAGGGAGCAGGAGAAGGAGTGCGGCCGTCCTGGCCCACACGGCGACGCGCACTAGAGCGGTAGCCACCTGCGGCGTCATTGTTCTTGAACATCGTCGCGTCCTTGCGGCCGACTCCACCAGCAGCCCCGCCGCCACCGCGGAATGAGTGATCCTTGAGGTAGCTGACGCCGGTCTTCTGGGGCTGCAAGAAGGCACCCGTGGCCTTGCGGTTCTCAGCATCCTGGGACAAAAGGGACTTGACTGTACCAATGGACTCGTTCAAGTGTCTCGTGGATGGGGGGATAAGCTCAGGAGGAAGGCGGCTAGGAACGGGATACCCGTTCAAAGCACGATAGATCAAGTGCATAGCCACGGCGAACTCATCCATATTGAGACGACCACGGTTGTGGGGGTCTGCCAAGGTCCAGATGCGCTCGAGATCCTTGCGATTCAATCCACTCTGTCCCATAATCTCAATGGCGGTCTCACCACCAACGAAGCCCTTGCGCAGGCCATCCCAAGCACGGAAGAGGTCGTCGTAAATCTTCTTCTCTTCCTTCGTGATAGCCCAAGAGACAGTAGCATTTCCAGACAAGTTGGCAGTAGTGAAACCACCCTCACGACCAGGCTGAGGCATAAGTTGCTGCTTCATAGCTTCAATGTTAGGCAATCCCTGCGCGGGGGTGTTTATGAAACCCCACTGGCCGGGAATTCCAGTGGGCTGGGCAGTCAGCCCCGTAGGCTGAACGTTCAATCCACCAGTCTGCGCAGGGCTGAGATTTGAGCCAAGCCCAGTAGGCATGGGTGGCATCGGAGGCCGAGGCCCGGTGTAGCCCGTAGCCTGTGGGTTGGTCAGGAATCCAGTCTGCTGAGGTTGGAGGAACTGCGACTGGTTCTGTCCAGGGAAACCAGTCTGCTGGGCCTGAAGGCCGGTCTGCTGTGGGAAGAATCCAGTAGGCTGAGCAGTCAGCTGCGACAGAAGTTGCTGGTTACTTGCCTGCTGAGGCTGAGGCTGCTGAACGATGGGAGGAGTCGACTTGTTCTCCAACAGTGGCGCATCGAAACTGGGGGCATTGGTGCGCGGGGCGGGCTCAGGCTGAGTGTCGGGCACATCGAAGGAGATAATATCGACCATGCTCGAAACCTCATTCTTAATTGTCTCCGGCAAAGCCGTTGGAACTTCGCGACCAGTCAGGCGCAGGTTGCAAAGGTACATGGCCAATGCGAATTCGGGGAAGAACAGCTGGCCTGACTTGGTGGAGTCCGACAACACCCAAATCTTGGAAAGGTCACTGCCGGGAAGTTTCGAGCGCATCAAAAGGTCTCTAGCTTTGTCGCCTGTAATATGCATATCAGTAAGTTTGTCCTAGATGCCACTATGCATTCGCCACCGCCATGTGGGAAACCAACCTTCCATTGTCTTGTTATCACCAACCGCAGACCTGAAGAGCTGCTCGAATTTGGCCTGATCTTGCGCAGTGATGAACGACAGACGGATACTCGGGATTCTCGATCCAGTCTTCGGCGGCACCTGTGGGCGAGGTCCAGAGGAGGCATCGGGTTGGAAGGAGTTCGCAATCTCGGAGGAAGTCTTCGGGCGAGTAGGGAGGCCTGTCGGTTGCGACACCTGGAGTTGCGGGGCTTGCGGCTGCGACTGGCTCTGAGGAGGGTATCCGGTATATTGAGGTTGCTGGAAGTTCTGTTGCTGTTGCAGCTGGGGCTGCTGCTGTGGTTGTTGACCAGGGAATCCGGTGAACTGCGGCTGGAGCTGGCCCGCGGGGAATCCGGTGGCCTGGGGTTGAAGCTGCGCGCTACCGAATGGCGAGGGCTGTCCAGCGAAACCAGTAGGCTGGGGCGCAAATCCTGTTGGCTGTGGCTGTTGCATTGATGCTTGAGGTTGGCCCTGGGAGAATTGCGAGTATGATGGTTGCGGCTGCTGTTGCTGCTGCATGAATGGTGCCTGGCCTGGACGGCCAGCGCCACCACCGCCGAGGTAGGAATTCGACGAGGAGAACATTATGATGAACGCGGCACTCGCATGGACAAAACAGATATACAAGGGTCCAGGGAGAAGAGATTGATGAGGAGGGAAAGGAGAAAACGAATGCTGAGGGGAGTTAGGTGAATCTCAGGAGCAACGTAAATGACGCTGTTGTAGGGACGCGGAGGCACGCTAGCCCGAACTAGAGCTTAGTCATCGGTGTGGGTCCCGACCCTTGTGGCCTAAGGCCCAAAGAGTAAATAAAGTGTCAAATGGTGGACAGGGTCGCAGTTGTAGGAATATTTGTAGGTATGAAGGGTAATTAAATACGCGGTGTTCAGAGGAATCGACTACTAAAACCAAGTAAGCCTTGTTGGCTGCCAACTATGGATCAACGCTGATTACTCGAAGCGGTCATTTACAAGGTCAACAGGAGCAATTTCATTTGAGTTGAATTGCAGTGGTATCATGCTCAATACATGGCTGTGAGGTCATGTAGAGATATCTATCAACTAACTATCGAAAGTCCTCGCCGGGACTATGGGGCCGCACGAAAAAACCGAAAAAAAAAGCCATCGCAGATTAAACGAAAAAGAGGAGGGACATGGGGAAATGAGGAGAGGGAATAGGTGGGGTGGAAGCATGAGAAGGAGGATCATGAAGATAGGGAAAGGGCATGGAAAACAAAGCAAAGACACGAAGAGAACCCAAGTGCGCCGAACCCTATTTTGAAAAAGAAAAAGAGTGCAGAATTTGAAATGATGACTGCGAATGAGCCAGACATCGATCCACCCAACCCCTTTACTCGCCGATGTTCTGCTGCTGGTTGGCAGCATTGGCCATCTTGCGCAGCTCATACTCCTTGGTGAACTCGCGCGACAGGATGCCGAGGTCCTTGATCAAGGCCTGGCAGGCGTTGATGACGGCCTGACGGGGGGTGATCTCGCCATCGGTCTGGCAACGCAGCTGGAAGTTGGGAGTCAGGGGGTGAGGAACCTGAAAGGTAGTCAGAGAGCCTGTTGACATCGAGGGTCAGATTAATTCTGTAAAACATACCCTGTAGGCGGCAAAGGTGACATGGGCGGTGCGGAGGAGGCGAGAGCGGATCATGTTGCCCAAAGTGTGGTCCTCCTTGTGGAAGGTGAAAATCGCAGCGGAGGGCATGCCTGCGTTTGAAATGTCAGATGAATTTCTCGAGACTTCGTTGCTCGAGAGGAGGGTACTTACGGGTGTCGACCTCGACGTCGATCTTGTTCTCGCCGGGGCCGAGGAGGATGGCCTCGTATCTGGGATGCAAAAGTCAGTATATTGGTACATGTAAACGGTGATACACGTAAGAAGACGACTGAGAACTGGGAGACACGATCCAGGGCAACAGGGCTGTGACAGGCTCGGGGGTGATCCTTGGAAACTGACGGGTCCGGGCGATCTTCCGCATGAGGAGGCCGGTGACTCCGAGGAGCAGGGCGAGACCGACTACCCGCACGCTCCCGGGCGATAGCCACAGAAGCGGTGGTGAAGTCGAAGCGGGAGGACGGGTAACAGTAGGAACTCATGGTTCCCAGACTGTAGGAATGTTCGTGATGGGGAGTGTTCTGAGGGAGTTCGATGGGAGGGGAAGGGGAAGAAGGAAGAGAGACTTTGGGAGAGGAGGCAGAAAAAGACATGGTGAAGCCGAGTCCGCGATCAATCGCACGGTTCAACAATGCGACAGGTATGGTGTAGTGGTAGGTGAGGCTGTACAGGAAGTTGAGGTGTAGAGGATTTGGGGAAGGAGAGGAAGGATGGGAAGGAGCGATGGGGATCAACCCCGACGACATCATCTACGACCTCATTGGGCAAATTTTGAAGCATCTCAAACTAGAGACACCGATATACTCCGCGTTTTCAGGACTTTTCCTGGCAGCCTGCCACAGGCCTGGCCTTGCGCACGGGAACGGATTGAGCATCAATCAAGCCCATGAAGACATGCCAGTCTCGAATCAAGGGGAATCAAGTAAAAGGTCCATAAAAAAAAGGACAGAAAGCAAAACTGTGACCTACCTGTCGGGAGCATTCATCTTGGGTAGATACTCGGCGTGTGCGAGGTGGAGGTTGTTGGAGGTGCGAGGTTGAGCAGGTTAGAAAGATGCCAGTTTGATGGTGGTTGCAGGAAGTTCAGGATTGACCGCTTTATGCGGGAATAAAAGTGATCAGTTATGGAAATTCCTGATCAATTTAAACAGCTCGTGGTGACCGCCTAGTCGCGGGTTCGTTGGCAACCTGCACTGCGATCAAAGAGCAGAGAACCACCCAGAATGCAGTGTTCAAACACAGCAAATTTATCAGCTTAGTAAGGGCTTGATGAGATTGATGCGGAGTGACAGGTCAGTCTAGATGTCTAACAGAGATCAGAGCGCTGCCTGTTGTAGAGATCTGTCTGAGTCGAGTTGATATAGATGATGAAAAGTGCCTTGTCGCGGGCGGATCGTGATATTGGCCACGTGATGAGGCCTGGATGTCAGGTCACATGATGTTGAACTGATTGGTCACGTGATATTGCTTGACCTAGTTGACGTACCATGATTTTGGACCATCATTTAATCCTCCAGAGTAAACGGGTATTCTACTTTCAAAGGTCATGACATTCGAATTCAAAGCATATTGATCTATCAGAAACATCTTATTCATCTGATCTAAAATAAAGTTAGCATCTATCAGCTATGTCCCAAATTCACCTCGGTTCTCTGCATATTGCGGCAAATGCGGGTCCATCTGAAGAGAATCCCCTCCACTCCAAACTATAAAGGAACAAGCATCATCATTCCCTATCCAGCCAGCATTTACTCTTTGTATTCCCTGGTCTATAACCTGGTCTATCTCCCCAAGAACCCCAACCTTGCCTAACTTTGGTCATCCTAAATCTCCCAATTACAACATATATATCTCCATCTCCTTCTCCTGCCCAGCTTCAAACTAACACCGCTACACCCCCTGATTTACTTTCCCAAAATGCAACACCAAAAACCAGAACGCATCTACAAAACCCACCCCCTCGCCAACACCCTCGTGCTAAACATCGCCACCTCCGCCCTCGCAATATCCATCTTCTCAGCCGGCGGCTACAACACAACCCTCAGCACCCTAGAAACAAACCTCCACCCTGCAACAAATCTCATAAAAGACATTCCAGAACCACAAAACCCTGCGCGCAAATCCTTCGCAGAAACGGGGATCTTACTCCTAGGCGTGGGATTTATCAATTGGGACGTTGATCGCGGAGAGGTGTATAAAGTTACAGGAGTGTGGCTGTTCGTGCCGAGGAATATGCCCGAGGATCTTGTGCCGTGGGTAGATGATTTGAGGGGCCTTTATGGGGATACTACAAGTACGAGTACGAGTACGAGTACAGCTGCTGGTACTGGATGCACAAATACATCCATATCAGATGAACTGACAGATCTACACAACCCGGAACAATTACAAACGCCTCCATACAAGGACCCCTCCAACTCCAAATGCAACCCCAAATCCCCAAATACACCCTCCTACCCCCAAATCTGGCTCCAAAACCGGCTCCATCACCGAAGCATCCACCGCCCTAACAGACCTAACCCCAGACGTCCTCGTAATCCAAGGCTCCGACGCAGGAAGCCACACCCAAACAACCTCCGCATCCCTCCTCACCCTCCTCCCAAAACTGACAACCCTACTATCAAACCACAAAACCAAAACCAAAAACGAACACGAAAGGAACCCCCTAACCCTCCTCGTAGCAGGCAGCCTCACAACAGGCCGCACCCTAGCCGCAGCGCTCATCCTGGGCGCGAGCGGTGGCGTAATGGGTACCCGGTTCCTAGCCAGCCACGAAGCACACACCAGCAGTGGGTATCAAGTTACTATCCTTTGTGCTAGCGACGGGGGCGTGAGTACGGTGCGGTCAACTGTTTATGATCGTGTTTGGGGGATATACGGGTGGCTGGGACGGTATAGGGGGCGCGGGATTGTGAATGACACTTATCTGGATACGGAGCGGGGGGATGGGGGAGGAGGAGAATCGGAGGTTGTATTTGGAGGAGATGGGGAAGGGGGATGGGGGTGGGTTGTTCCTGGGGGAAGGATGACGATGTATGCGGGGACCGGGGTTGAGCTTGTTAGGGAGGTGAAGGGGGAGGGAGGGAGATTTTGGAGGAGGTTTGGGAGGATGTTGAGGGTGTTTTTGGGAGGGGGTGTCGATGTCGACTGTCGATTGTCGATTGTTGATGTTGGGTTCGATGGGGTATGGCGTGATACTTAATTGTGTTGTGTTGTGTTGTGGTATAGTGAAAGATAAGCTGTATAAAGTGTCTATACTGAGTACGAATACTAGGATAAGGTTGATTCATGAAAGCGGAGTGAGTAAAAGCCCCCGAACCGCGATGTATTATATGTAAGTGATCTCCCAAAATCAGCCCGAGGAGAGAAGATAGAAGAAAAAAAAGACGACGACGAACAAAGATGTAGAAATGCTGACGAAAAAAAACAACCAAGAAACGAAATGACCGGAAACAAGATGAAAACGAGAAAAGAAAAAAAAAACGCCATGCCTGCCTGCACCAATGCCGAAGAAATCAAAAAGAGAAGCGTCAAGGTAATAAAATCAACCACGGAAACCATATGTCCTCATACTATTATTGCCGCATCGCCTCAGATATGACATGACAGGAACGAAAGGGCCCAGACAGAGAAGCTGGCGCGAAAGAGAAACATCGATCAAGTAGTATCTAGGATGCTTTTGCTTTTCCCAGACGATACTCGAGGAGAGAACCGTCGATGCTGAAAATCATGCGAGCTTGGCTGTCTGGATCATATAGGTGGGTATGTGCGTAGGAATCATGTCATGAAGAGAGGCGAGACGAAGCATAGAAGAATTAGGAAAAAAATATTTTCTATACAGCGACGCCAGGCATGCATCAGCCGAATGCACACCGATTTCAATTTGGAAATGCAAGAACAGAGCCGAGAGATTAGTGCACGGCACTCAAGAGATCACCCAGCGAGGACGTGCCTCGCTTCAACTTCCAACCGCTCTTCTTCTTGTCTCTTTTTTTCATCATATCAGCCCAGCCCTCGTCGTCATTATCGTCATCTAAAGCAGATGGCTTGCGGCCGGCAGGGGACTGGCTTGTTCGGGACACGGGTCGCACAGTCACGGTTGCCAGCGAAGACGACTTGGGCAGACCCATGTGGGACTGGGTAACGGACAGGGACGATTGATGGTTGTTCTCGTCGTTCCAGCCCTTGTGCACGGCTGAGACGCCGGGGGCAGGCTCACCTCCCATCACCGACACAGGTCGATATCGGGATGCCAGACCGGCATTGCTGCGCTCCGAGGGTGCGATGGAAGCGGCGTAACCTCCAGTGTTGGGTCTGAAGGGTGGTCCGCCGGGAAGATGGGGCAACGGTGAACCTCGTCGCGCAGCAATATTGGGATCAAGCATGCTGAGAGTACGCTGCTGCTCAAAGTTCGGTGCCATAGCGCCAGGCGGGCCCTGCATGGACATCGGCCTCAGATTGGGATTTAGGCCCATGACGGAGGGAGAACCCGCCATAGGGTGGCCAGACATTGAAGGAGGACCCATAGGGCCACCCTGCATGGGCATTCCTCCCATCATCTGCGGTGGCATGGCACCCGCCATCATCGGAGGAGTACCCGGCATACCCTGCATGCCCTGCATTTGCATCATCTGTCCCATCCACTGCATCTGCATCTGCATCATATTCTGCATCTGGTTGGAAAGGTTCAGCTGAGCCTGCTCGTTGGGCGTCATTGGCTGCGGCCCCATCATCGAGTAAGGCCGAGGAACGCCGCCTGGATTGCCCATCCCCATTTGCATCTGCTCGTACATTGCCAAATGGTTGGGACTTCCACCTGCACGTCGAGCTGCCCTGTTCCGCTCTTCATTGGCAATCACACCAACAAGACCACCCGGGGGAGGGACAGGGGAAGAAGCACCTCCATAAACGGAGCCAGAGCCACCACCCAAAGCCAGGGATTCGCGGTTGGTTTGGTTGACAATACGAGCACCAAAGTAGGGATCCTGAGGCAAGTTTCTGGCAAAGACAGGTAGACTGCCCCTGTTGCCAGCATCCGCGCCGGCCAGAGAGGTAGACGACGAAGAATACGGGTGCATCGACGCGCGAAGGTTCGGATGAGAGCTGACATTGGCCAAGCGAGTCGGGGGACGGTTGCGATTGGGGAAGCCATGGGCTGCCAGAATGCCAAGCGGGATCTCCTCGTCATCCTCCTCGTTGCTGCTCTTCCCGCTAGAGGACTTTTCGCCCGGGTTGGATAAGCGGTTGGGAAGGTTGGGAGTGCTGCTGCTGGCTGAAGCCATTTCCGGACGGAGCATGGGGGAGGAAGCTTGCTGGCCCGTCACCTTTTGCATCTGCTGCCGATAGAGGGAGAGGTGAGCCTCTTGCTTTCGTCGTTGCCGCTCCGCTGCCCGCTGCTTCTCTACTTCATCTTCGTCGTTATCAAATTCTTCATGCTCGGATTCCTCATCGCTCTTCGTGGCATCACTATTGGACCGTCGAAGTTCTTGCTGCTGGCGGTAATGCTCGAATTGAGACGGAGTCATCACCTTATTGCCATTGGCTGGAGATGTAGACTTGGGCATGCTCTCGGCGAACTGAACGGCCAATCGCGCATCGTCCAGCTCGTGATCACTCGGGGCGGGGGAACGTCTTGCAAATAAGCCCTCGTCCGCAGTCGGACTCAAGTATGCAGGACTAGTGGCCTTGCCCTTGTCAAAGGGCGTGTCACCTGACAGGGAAGTACCCTCTTCCCACCTAGGCGAGGAGCCTTTAGTCCACAGCACAGATTGTCGGACCATCTTGGCATCTTCATCATCAATAGCGTTCGAGTCCTGTTCCACCGAGTAGATTCCACTCCTCCGCAAGCCATCCGACGGCCGCCTGCCGGGCTTCTCCAACGCCCGGTGTGAAGTAGTCGCGCCGAGCATCTGGGCCGGCGACGGTGACGGTCTGCGGAAAGTTGTAACAGTCTCGGGTGGCGAACGAGCCGGCGAAGTAACCTTGTCGCTGGCGGGGCTTTTCAGCAAGTTGTCGCCAGAGTGACGGCTACCCCATGAATACGGGGAGGGCTCGACGGGCACCGATCGGTCTGTATTAATGGGAGTAGGTCGTCCAGCTTTATTGTCAGTTGCTTGAAACTCCGGCAGGGCTTGCGTAGGTGGAGACGAGGAGTACTATAACCACAGCCGTTAGCCCGTTTATCATCATCTCCCCCCTTGCATCATCTTTTGCCATGACTGGTTGGTTCCGCGTACCTGTTGAGCTCGTTGCGGAGAAGGGTGCCGCAACAAGGCACTTGCTCGCTTCCCTAAGTTGTCAAACATCTTTCCGAAGTCATCACCCCCTGTTCCGAGATCGAGATTCAATTGCGAATCAGGTAACCTGGGCGGGGTGGCTGTGTCGTCCGTGCTACCGCTGTAGGCACGCTGCTTGGGCACCTCCGGCGTGGCATGTCGAGGGGGAGCAGGGGGTGTCGAGTTCTTATTGAAGCGTCCCCCGAAGGAGAACGTCCTACCCGCGGCTCGGAGGGCCCCTGCGAGCGGAGGCGGAGCGGGGATGTCGTGGATTCTCGAATGTGGGGAGGAAGCCTCATCGGGCGGTGAAATTTCGGTCGATGAAGGCTGGGTTGAGGAGGAACTGAGCCGAGTCGAGGTTGAGCTTTCGTAGGTCGGACCACTATCATTGCGACCGGTCAGTCGTTTCCTGAGGGATTCCATGGTCCCGGGGCGGCCATACCGAGTTTTACCCAAGGGATGCTCTGACCCGGCGAAGATGTTATCGTCCTCAATACTAGCATGGCCCTCACTCATGCGCTTTGTGAGCGGACCGCCGTCGGTCATTGATCGTTGTTGGGTCCCCGGTCGCTCGAAGACTCGGAAGGAGGACTGGGGTTGACCATCCACGTCGTCTAGAACATTACCCGACGACTTCCTCCGGGTGAAGCCTTTGGGCAGCTTGATGGGCATTGGTGCGGTAGTGCGGTATTTATCGACTGCAGCAGGGGAGCAGCTGAATGGACGAGATAGAATTTCGTGTAGACCTGCCTCCCTTCAATCGCGAATCACTCCCATTAAGGTTTCCCAGCAACTTTTGAGGAGAGAAAGAACGGAAACAACCGTGAAGAGTCTCTTGGAGGCTCTATTCGGTGAGTTCGCTCGACGTGTCCAATGCAGGTGAACGGGGGAAAAGTGGATTCAAAAAAAAGCGATCAATCCAGGAGGAGGGGGTGTGCCTGGAGAAGGATGGGCCGATGGGCCGAGCGGTCGCAAGGGCAGACCAGAGAACTAATTGTACAGCGGGAACAATGAGGAAACGAATGACCGATGCCGATGCCGACGCTGATGCTGATGCTGATGCTGATCAGGGGGATGATGATGACACTGGAAGGAGATGAGGGGAAACCAGTCAGTTCAGTCAATTCAGTCCGGGCAGAAGCTTCTGGAGGGCGGAGACGGCAACCGACGAGCAGCAGCAATAATCACACTTCTCTAGCGGCTGATCAAGACCCCCGGAAGGAATCCACCCGGTGGGTTCGGATGCTGCGATCTGATTGCAAACTCACAACAGACTCCCGAGAAGGTTCAGACTTGGGTTCCTGTGACCCCCTGAACCGAGAACTCGCAGAGGAGAAGAGACCGGGATGGTTGGAGGTTGGAGAGGAGCGTGTGGAAAGGGAAGAGGCTGAAGAAGCGAAAGAAAAGACTCACAATCAGGTGAGACCCGAGCTGGTGTCCGGGACACTTGTACTGGCCGTTTCAGTTTTGGGCTCCGCTGCGATTGAGTCCGGTCGAGCAGACTGGAGCGAGTCAGATCGGGCGATGTGGAGCTGTGGGAGACCACCGAAAAAGGACCTGCTCAGGTAGAACCCGGTTGGGGAATCTTGGGATTCAAGGACAGGTCAAGACTCAGTGCCCTGACGAGCTCGGGTTCGGGATGGAACTACTGGTCTGTAAAAGGTTCCAGAGCGACCGAAGCCAGGGGAGACAGCCCAAGAATGTGAATGTCAAGGAAAAGCGCTGCACACAGTCCGGACGACGGAATGTCCGCAAACTTCGAGGCAAAGAATGAGGGAAAATGGAAACAGCAAGCAGAAAAAAACAAAGAAAAATTACCCAAAGACGCACGATCGTCTAGGCAATTCACAGCACTAAAAAAAGGGCACTATTAAACAGACTAGGAATCCGCACCAGAGAAGAAAAAAACACAATCCAGTTAGGCCAGTCATTAGTGCACGCCTGGCGTCTAGTTCCGTCTCGACCCTGCAATATTTTTGCCTCTCGGCACCTTTTGTGGCTGGACGGGGCAGGGATTAGGCCCGGATGGTTCGATGTATGTACTGTATGATGATGTCGTCGACATTCAGTCGAATTTCTGATTCCAGAGATTTTAATAATCCTGGACGGGCATCATGGCTCAGATCGGTCATTGACTACAATGGACAGTTTTTGTAAACCACAGTATGGAGTAATTACTGAGTACCTGAGTACTGCAGGACGAGCCATGGCGACTATCGACTGGCTCATGGTTCCAGCTGGGTGAGACCTCTTTACTAACTTTAGGATCCTGGGTGACAGTACGGAGTACCGTATGGACTGTATGGACCGGACACCTTTTGGGGGCTTGACTATAAATAAATAGCCCGAGCCGGCGCTTATGTCACGATCGGACCCGCCGATGATATCCATCCAGAAGAGCATCTATGACAGTATGGAGTATTCACTACAGAGTTTACATAGATCCTGTTTTGTAGGTCGGCTACAGTCCCATAGTCCCATAGTCCCATAGTCCCGATTCTATTCTATCCTCTAAGCTCCTATCCTTTCCCGGATATAGAATAATTACTAGAAACGCAAGAATGTTCGCACAGACGACGGAGCTCCCTGCACTACTTAAACCACTCCCTACAGTAAATCCCTCCGACTGGAATGCATTCGTCAGAGGGCAGTGCAAGCTTCTCTTGGCCGATCTAGGGGGCGGTCTATCCACTTGCACTACATACACTACATACTTACAGTAGTTACTAACCTGGATGATTCCGACTAAAACTCACTACGGAGCTAAGGAGCTTAATGTTGATCGGGAGTACGTGGACAATGGACTACATACCGAACTCAGGCTGAAATCAAAGTCACGATCAAAATGGTAGAGCAATACGAGTACAAATCGTAATTCAAATGAGAACAAAAAAAAAGACAGATCCGCTCTGGCCTCGGGCCCGGTAGCCCAATCTAATTAATTGGATCTCGTGCTACAAGAGGACTGTCTAGTCCAATGAGCATGCTCGATAGGGCACGCTCAAGACAGATTAATCTATATCATTCATGATTGTCCTTTTCCTTGCCTACTATCCTCGCACTCCGTTTATGACTTTTTACCGTGCACCTCCCTAGTTAAAACAAATCACGTGGATGCCGTGAGCGAGTCTGCATCACCTTTTCTCCCGGTCAGCTGATGAAGATACTCAGGTTTGCACCACTCAAGACTATGGATGACTCGAGCAATCTACAGTCACACAAGGACTCGACATCTCCTTGGGATTGGGCATGGAACGTAGCGGAACTAGTAGTCATGGAGACCCAAGAAGTAAAAAGAAGAAGAGATTGGAACGAAAGAATAATAATAATGGAGATGGCCGGTAGATACACACAGCAGACAACAGGTCAACCCACGCACTCGCAGGGCAGACCCTATCAAATTTCAAACACCATCCATGGCCCCTCTATCGCAAAAAGTCGCCAGCAAACATTGATACACATACTCCTACAAAAAACGGTGTCAAAATCGGAGATGAGGGGATGAAAGACTTTTCCGCCCAGAGCTCTGCCATATCATGTTCACATCCAACTAGTGTGGCAAGTGTAATCAAAGATTAAACGAAAGATCAGGGATCAGAAATCAGAGATCAAAGAGGGAAATGTCGTGGGAAGTGGAAAAACTCCATGGATTCCCTTATTTGGCAAAGTGGAGGTCATAGTTCAACCACTTGCGAGCATTGACGCCATCCACATCCAGACCCGGTGTACCGTAGGTCAACGGAGCGAAGAAGACGAATCCATAGATGGTCACAGCCAGAATGACCAGGGTCGCGATCCATCCGGCGATGATGGACCTGCGGCCCATGCGCTCCTTGGCAGTGACGAAGCGACCCAGGCTGCGGTGTGCCTTGGCCTTGCCGGAGGGGTCATCCACGGGGGCTGCCGCGGTGGCAGGGTCCAGGGGCTGAAGGTTGAAGATAAACTCAATCAGGGCTCCTGTGACCATAGTCGAGGCTAGGTGGGATGGCAAGTAGTGGTGCAGGAAGCGCTGACGACCCATCAGCCAGAACGGGAAGTAGTGGGCGGCCCAGCAGAGGAAGAGGAATCCGGTGCTGTTATACAGGCGCGAACGGGCTCCAGAACCCCAGACTAGAAGATATAAATGTTAGTCGCTGTTTCAAAAGGATGTGGGGAATCGACAAGTCGAAAGAACTCACTCTCTTCCAAGGCATCCACTCCGCGGCGGAGAGACAGCTGGTCGGCACCAACAATACCAGCAAACACGGCCAGCAAACTGCTGGCAATCCACCATCCAATAGGATTACCCAGGAAGTAGATCTGGCCACGGGTCTCGTTCTTAGTCCAGAAGCTCACACCACGGAGCAAGAACGGCCACTGGAAGGGCTCGGTAGCATAGGGGTGGCTGCTAGTCAGCGCATTGTTGTGGTGGAACATAGCTCCCTGCAGCTCAAAGTACTTTCGCAGGAAAGGCATAGACTTTGGCTTGCGCTCCTCATGCACCCGGCGGGGGCTATCAGGCGCGAGGCCATCGATAGTCTCGGCGAACCACAAGTTGCTGGACTGCAAAATGTTCTTGTTGCCGTTGATCTCGGCCTGCTTGAAGCCCCACTCGGGGAGAGGAGTGGTGTGTGTCCACATGGCGACCCGGGTAGGGACATGGATGAGCTTGATCAAGCTGGCAAAGGTGCGGAACTCCTGAGCTGGCTTGCCATTCTCAATCTTGAGCTCGAAGAGCGTCTCATTGTGGCGCTCGCCTTCGGCCAGATCGGGGGTAACAGTGGTGAATTCCTGGTTGGTAGGGTAGTATGGGGAGGCCACGTCGTGGGTAAGGAGGTAGCTGTTGGTGCCGGTGTGGAGGAGCTGAATGATATCCCCGTTGCGGACACTCTTATTCTGACTGTCATCAGCCAGGGGCTTCGTGGGGATGATCTGCCACAGGTTGTTGGTATCGTTGTGAGGGTAACCAGTCACCTGCTGGCCCTGGCTGGAAATACGGCCGTCGTCGTAGCGCAGAGGGTACTTCTCCCAGTGGCTGTGGAGAAGAGTCTTGGTATCCTTGTGGCGCAAAGTGATGCTATCATAGTACTGGACTCCGACGGACTGGGCAGTCATGGCATTGTCGCTCAGAGTCTCCTGGAACTCGGGGGACATAAACTCATCGCCAGGTCCAGACCGGGTGAGGACGGCAAAGTGGACCTGGAACCAGAAGAGGTAGAAGAAGAAAGGGATGATGATGAGCGCGACGAGACGAGCAGCAAAGTGCTTGATCCAGGTGTACATGTCAAGGGCACCCTGGCGACGGTTGATATCCAGCAGATTCCACAGGTCGATCATCACGGCAGCACCGACGGTCACGAAGGTGAAGAAGCCGACATACTTGGTCGAGATGACACAGCTCATGCAGAAACCTGTCAGAAGCAGCCACTTCCACCACTTACGTCCGAATGGCTGGTGGCGCAGCTTGTAGAATCGGACGTAGCAGAGAACGCTAAGAGCCATGGACAGCACCAGGGTGGAGTCCAGAAGGATCAGGCGGTCCTCGCCGATGTGCGCGTTGTCAAACACCATCAGACCAGCCGCCAACACACAGGCTGGTAGTGAATATCCAGACTCCCACATGGTCAAGAACACGACGGGAATCGTCAGGGCACCGAGAGTAGCTGGCATCGCGCGGAGAGCAAGGTAGGGCACATTGTTGTCGATGTATGAGTCGCCAATGTTTTCGAAGAAGAAGTGGCCATCGTATCCGATCAACCAGCCCATAAAGGCAAACAGAAGCTTTCCGAAGGGAGGGTGGACATCGAAGAAGTACATGCGCTGAAGGTAGTACGAGGCAAACTAGTAATGGGGCAAGCACATGTTAGCTCAATTTGGTCGAGGGAGGGCCCCTTTTGCCATTGCATCGCTGCTCAGCTTTCCACCGAGAAACTTACCTTGCCAAAGTGAACCTCATCAAAGACAACCTCATTCGGGTAATCAAGGCGGTAGAAACGAGTCGCAAATGCCAACACTGTGAGCACGATCATGGCCAGCCAATAATCCCACTCCGACTGCTTGCGCGCAACCGCGACCGCAGGAGGCAGCGAGGCATCGTTCGACGGCACGGCCGCATAAGTCTCCTTCTTACCGCCTCTCTTACGCAGAGAGGAAGAAGGCGACGACATGGTGAAGAAAGAGAAGAGAAAACAAAGAAAAAAAAGGGAAAACCGATAGAGAATGACCGCGAAACCACCTAAAGTAAATAGACTTCCGAAACGGCGAAGCTGTCAGTAGGGTTCTATCAAAATAACTCGTAAGAAGAGAATGGAGGGTAAAGCCAAGGCCAAGATCGATGCTAGCAGCTTACCAGAATCACCAAAGGGCATGGCACTCCGAGATTGAGGCCGGGAAATGCTGGTTACAGAGAAAGGAGTGTCCGGAGGGGGCGATTTGGACTGGTTGCGTGTCTTCTTGTGTCTGGCAAGGCGGTGGCCCGAGCGGGCGCGCATCTACAGTACATACGATGGTCCGCAGCCCTACCAATCAGAGGGCTAAGAGGCTATTATTTCGAAACGAACATGCGACAGGGGAAGCACCGATGACGCGGTTATTATTGTGCTCCAAATGATTCTTCACATGCTTATTGTAGGTGCAGATTGTGAGTGTGGCTGCCTGGTTTCTCCGGCAAGAAAAAGGAAATAAACTACGGTTTTTCTTCTTTCCCTACACTTAGTATCTTCGCTGAATGCTACTATATACGTCGCCCTTCTATATGGCTCTCATGATTGAAATATAACACTATAAGGGATAGTAATAGCTGATTCTGTAAGAGAGTGTATTTCAAAATGAAAAAAGTCTCTTTTCCCTACATGTTTCCTTGCTTGGACACGATCAACGATCGTGTTAGCATCCCAAGTTGTAAGTTATGAAATTATTAATTTTAGCCTGACTGATCCTATCTGCGGAGGTGAGATTATTAAATTGTTTCATGACATTTGATGGACCTCGGCCTCTTTCTAACAAGGATTTTCGAGTAGCTGGCTAGAGCAGTGGTTCACAATAGTTGCTAATGTATCCGACATTATGTTAGTCTCCCATACCATAAGATGCTTCATTCAACTTATGAAACGGATACCTTAGTACCAGGAAAAGACTATATGGGAAAGTCTCCTCTGTCTAGGTGATGGAAATTATTGTGTTACTACCAGACGCTATTGGTATACGATCAATCTCATACTTATGAGCACAATCAATGGCACATGGAATTTGCAAGGTTCTTAATATGACTCGGCCCAAGAGAATAACTATCACAAATGTGTCTGATTCTGGGTGAAGGCCCGAGATTTTCTCGGAGTAAGGCGGAGCACTCCGTGATTAAGAAATTTCTATAAATTTCTATATCTTCAACTGTGGTAGGATTCCCATAGACATCAAATTAAAGCTAGATGGACCCATCTAAATATTCATTCATCCAACGTTTAAATGGCTTGTTCATGAGATAACTCGGTCAGAAGATAGAAGGCCTGAACTTTGACAATCAAACGCGTGCTTCTTCCAAGTCTGGCATTAATACCTTCCAAATACTGTCAGGCCAATCCTAAATTCCCTGCACATTGGAGTGATGGTCGAACCATCACACAGCCGAACTTTGAGACTTGATCTCTGCAATGAGGTTCTCAATACGGTGGCGAATGTCATCACGGATGGGTCGGATCGCATCTATGCCCTGACCCGCGGGGTCGTTCAACTGCCAGTCAAGATACTTCTTGCCAGGAAAGAAGGGGCAGACATCGCCGCAGCCCATGGTGATGACAACATCGCTGAGTTGGACCGCCTCGGTAGTCAAAATCTTAGGTTTTTGACTGCGGAGGTCAATGCCTTCTTCAAGCATGGCTTCGATGACCTTAGGATTGACGGAGTCGACTGGGGCGGAGCCGGCAGAGCGAACTTCAATATCGTCGCCGGCGAGGTGACTGAGATAGCCAGCGGCCATTTGGGACCGACCGGCGTTGTGAATGCAGACGAAAAGTACACTAGGTTTGGCAGCCATGGTATGATTCTTGCGTGATTGTATAAGAAGTATAGGTGAAGTGGTTCCTTGGTTGTGAGCGGCAAGAAGAGATAAGTGAAGAATGGTTGCGGAAGTCTTCGATTGGATATCTTCTACGCGAGAGACCGGGCAAGCGTCTGTTCTTGAACTCTATATATCGCTTGGGCGCAAGCAATGCACTACAAGCCGATAGCCTGTCAATCTAGAACTTTATTTTCAAGGTGGGTATTGAACCGAAAGTTTACAGAAACGTCGGACAGATTGTTGTTCCTAAATCAGTGAAAGCTCATATATCAGGCATGCTTGATCATAGATGATGCTTCCGGTGCCTTTTGAGTAATTCAAGTAATTTATCTGATTAGATCAGTGGCAAGTACTACAGGGTTGGCAGGGGCCAGTTTTCTTTGTGTTGGCTGATCAAACCTGTCATGAGGATATTCTGATACGATGTGTCCGAGGCAAGCTTTGCATGACAATGTCACTTGGTGATCATGACTGGTTAAGATTTAGAAAAGGAGACCCTGCCTTTTCGTGGCCGAAAAAAACACGAACCTGGAGCAATGACAGTTGGTCACTACTTAGATATGATTGGTCGAGACGGGCAGGATGTCATTCGCCACTTTTCATTGGTTATCATGGCTCCACTATTCAACTATGGCCTGACTAGTGCTTAATTTCTACCTGCCAAATACTCCAGATTCTACATCTTTTATAGACGCTTCTGTTTTTGCTGCGAAGTTTTTTATCGACAATCCTCGATATATGCTTTGTTCATTTCTCCCCCAATACAACGCATCTGCCAAGTCGAAATCTGTGGAGTATTATCAATCGGCCTGTCTTAGAGATGGCCATTTCAAAATCTCGAACACATTCGCCTCCGACGGCAACAGCAGAATCGCAATCTTCCAGCCCAACATTGACCGGTCGGACACAGGATCTTACCACGTGTGATGTTGAGAAGCAAGGAGGAACTGAAAATGAAGAGCCTCCGTCTCAGCAGTCGGCCTTCAAGGGCCTGGGTTTGCTAGACCGCTTTCTAGCCGTCTGGATCTTTCTTGCCATGGCCATCGGCATCATTTTAGGCAACTTTGTGGAAAACACAGGGCCGGCTCTTCAAAAGGGGAAGTTTGTCGGGGTTTCCATCCCAATCGGTATCTATTCTTCATTCCCCGAGAAACAAAGTTACAAACTGACCGTTCCAAGCTATCGGTCTCCTAGTTATGATGTACCCTATCCTTTGCAAAGTAAGATACGAATCTTTGCACCACGTCTTCAAACAGCGAGCAATCTGGGTTCAGATTGGGTTCAGTATCTTTGTGAACTGGATTATTGCTCCCTTCTTGATGGTAAGATGCAGACCCTGAACTGATTGTGACAATAGTTGCTGACATCGAGCGTTTAGCTTGGATTGGCGTGGGCTTTCCTACCGGACCAACCCGAACTACGAGAAGGTTTGATCCTCGTTGGACTGGCTAGATGTATCGCTATGGTAAGTGAGCCCACTCTACGATGTATCCGGCTTGAACTGACATAACACTCTGTGGAGGTTCTCATCTGGACCGGTCTCGCTGGCGGCGACAATGAATATTGCGCTATCCTCGTTGCCATTAACTCGATATTACAAATGGTGCTCTTTGCCCCCTTGGCTGTATTCTTCATCAACGTCATCAGTCACTCGGGCAGCCAGGTTACCTTCTCGTACTCCACGGCCGCCAAAAGCGTTGCAGTGTTCCTGGGGATCCCGTTGGGCGCTGCAATTGTCTCACGTATGATCCTTCGAAAGGTTGCCGGTCCACGCTGGTATGACCAAGTGTTTGTCAAGTACATTAGCCCACTGTCACTACTTGGGCTCCTCTTTACCATTCTGGTGCTGTTCGCTTCTCAGGGCGACCAAGTGGTACACCAGATTGTATCGGTGATCCGAGTGGCCGCTCCCCTGATCGTTTATTTCATCATCGTCTTCTTCACGACTCTCCTAGTCACTTACAAGCTCGGGTTTGGTTACAAGTTGGCTGCCACTCAGAGTTTCACCGCTGCCAGCAACAACTTCGAGCTGGCAATCGCGGTCGCTGTGGCGACATTCGGTGCCGACAGCAATCAAGCACTTGCGTCTACTGTGGGGCCATTGATCGAGGTTCCGGTACTTCTTGGTCTTGTTTATGTCGTCAGACTCATCGGAAAGCGTCTTGGGTGGAAGGATTGACACAAAATTGATGACAAGCCTTCGTGCCTTCGGAATCGACTGAATACTTTTTTATAACGGCCTATCAATAATGATCATGCATGCGATTAGAGAAGTGACTACAGCGATGTAGTTATTTATGTAGCGAGAAAATGCATTGATGATCTTATCTCTCGTGAGCTTTTGGACAGTCTGTCTTTAATTAACCAGTTTCCGGCTAGTATGATGAAGCTTTCATCTATTTTGATGTAATCTGAAGCTACATTCCACGCACGCATTTTTGTTTATCAAATTTTACATTCTTAATACGATGAATTCCATTCATACCAAGCAGGATAGCTGAAGATAATGTAAAGGAGATGATAGGTCATTCACTTGCCAAGATTGTCCTGCCGTATAGACAGCGAATCGCGCACCGTCCCTCTCATTGACCCCGCAGATCCAGACTCGCCGGGTTATTAATCCGAAAGGGAAACGACATAAACTTGCACCTCCCGTCCCGTCCCAGAACATATTTCTTCTTTATCAAGTATACCTATCGATATTTGATATCTTACACACATTCAATCAAGTACCTGGCCCCATATTCCCACGCGATGAATGCAGAAGATACATATCGGTCCGTGCAACAACGATATGCCAGTGTCGCGACTCAGGCCAACTCCAATGACCAGAGGGACTACGAGCGGAAAGTCGCAACGGCATTTGGATACGATCCTGAGGATTTACTCTCTCTTCCCGAGAATGCGAATCTAGGTGTTAGTTGCGGGAATCCATTAGCGACGGCTAGTATCAGTCCAGTATGATCCAAATTGCCAACCTTCAGGGCCCACGTCGTTATAACACTTCGATTAGGGCGAAACGGTGGTTGATCTAGGTAGTGGCGGAGGTATCGATGTTTTACTTGCCGCGAAAAAAGTCGGACCGGAAGGAAAGGCTATCGGTGTCGATATGACGAAGGTAGGTGACAGTACTCCTCCTGATAAAAGGTATAACCATTTCGCCGTGCTGAGCTTGTAATACAGGACATGTTGGAATTAGCCCGTCGCAACGCGAAGAATGCCGGAGCCTCGAATACATCCTTCATCGAGGCATTCATCACGTCTATCCCATTGCCGTCATCGACAGTTGACTGCATCATCAGCAATTGTGTGATAAACCTGGTTCCAGACGCCGAGAAACATCTTGTGTTTCAAGAAATATTCCGTTTGTTAAAGCCAGGAGGTAGAGTTGCGATCAGCGATATCCTGGCAAAACAAGAGCTTCCACTAGAGATAAGACAAGATCTATCACTCTATGTTGGCTGTATAGCTGGCGCTAGTCAGGTTTATGATTATGAGAAATATCTTAAGGAAGCAGGATTCCAAGGTACCTATACTACCTTGTTTGCGTTGATTTCATGCTAATGGTGAGCTTACAGACGTGTTGATTATCAACACCAACAGCGACCTAAACCTGTACAAAGAAATGTCGCTGAATGAAGATGCTGACAAAGCACCATCAAAGAGCTCATGCTGCAGTACTGCAACCACCGAATCAAAGGGGACAAAGGGGTTGCCAGATGTTGATTTCAATCATTGGACTGGTGAGCTGCGACATAACCCAACTTGAACATTAGATAAGATACGATGCTAACTAGACTGAAGGCTCATTCAAGATCTTTGCTGTTAAGCCCAAGATAAACTGAGAAGTATATTCAGAGGCAGACAAGAATTAATTTTAGGGTGGAATCTTGAAAAAGTGATAAATTCTCAAATATATCATAGGCAGGATTTGCCAATTGTCACCTTCCACAATATTGATTGGCCAAGGCCAGTGCGTGGCTTGGGCTTGATTAATATTTATGTATACACATCACTCAAGACTTCGTATTGACCTTAATTTAGTATCATGTCACTTTTGCAATGAGTCCTGGGACGTATTGTAGAAAGTTGTGGCGACTTCCTCGTTGATTGATTGTTGCTTGACTGACCCCCTGGGGGGAACTTCCGAACCCCCACCCTGCCCTTTCAGCAACTTCGGGGTTGTCTATAGCCCCAGAACATGGCATCTAGTTCAAAAAATCCGGTAAGCTATTCACCTTTGAGCCAGATCCTACGTATTAATTAGGAAGGCCTGCAGCCCAGGAGGAAGGCTAGGACAACACTCCCTGACGATCACCTGACCTGTCAACGGCAGATCGGAGGTCCAGCCAAGCCATCCTCTGCCATCCATCATCCCATTGTTATGTTTGAATCCCCCGGTCGTCACTGAGCCTCCGACCAAATTTCTCCAATATACCAACCTTGACCTGCATAAGTTTGGCCTATTATGCCATAGGAATGCTCAAGTCCTTCTTGCAGTCCTTGCCTCAGCTGTCACGAAGATGGACACCGCTCAACTTTACCAATCTGAGTCATGCTCGAACACCAACATACCAGGCAATTGAGGGGAAACTATTCCGGGATATGTTGCCAATTGGTACTACCCTAAGAGACATAATTCTGTGACTTTGGTTCCGCTGTGCTCGGTGACAAAGAGCATGCGGAAGATATCCAACCTGCTATCTATCGAGCACCGGAGGTCATTCTGGAAGTTCCATGGACATATGGCGTTGACATATGGAATGTGGGATGTGTGGCGAGGGAACAAATAATCCCAATAAATGGAATGCCAGACTTACCTCTTTAGATTTGGAATCTTTACGAAGGAGGCTCCTTATTCACCGGCCAGGACCCAGAATTCCAAACCTACAGGAGTCGGGCCCATCTTACTGAAATGATACGTCTTCCCGGCCCGCCGCCTCCAAGTCTCCTCGCACGTGGGAAATTGACACAGAAATCCCTTACGCCAGAAGGTATGGCATCCTGAGCAAACATCGTCCTCCGAGCCGAGGTGCCGAGACTGACTCGTTTGATATTCTAGGTGAATTTCGTAATGGGGAGTTGGTGGGATAGCATACCCCGCTGGAGCAAAGGGAGACTAGCCTGGAGGGCCGGGAACAGGAAGAATTCCTCTGTTTGGTGCGAAAAATGCTGCAATGGGAGCCGGAAAGACGTAGTTCTGCCCAAGAGCTCGAACAGGATGAGTGGTTGCAAGCACAATTGCGTAAAGGACAGTCTTGATCTCATAATATCCTCCTAAATTATACTGACCTGACTGTAAAGTATATACAAGAAGACAAGATGTCTCCCCATCCACCCCCTCTAGTCCGTTTGTCAAAAGATTCACAACCCACGTCCTATCACTGTACTCTCCTCCACACCCCATACATTCAAATTCTTAAGGTGACAAAGCCGATCCCTCAGCTTCTGAATCTCACCCGGCCAAACCTTAGCCTGATCCTCAAACTCAATATTCTCAAGATCCGGAAACCGGTCCTACACCAGTCTCCAAGTTAGTACACATTCTCGTCTCGAAGATACTAGAATCCAAGAAACTCCACAAACTCACCACAATAAGCTCAAACAACATCTTCCATTGATCCTGAGACACAGAATAACTAACAGGAAGCCAATCATACTCCGGATCAAGCAAAAGCGTCTTTAACCTCGGCGCACGGAAAATAGGAATCTCCACCCTTTTATCGAAATGCCCCGGTACAGTTAGATGAACAGCCCTCAGATTCGGAAACGTAATATCCTCGAAGATACTCCGCACAACCTGACAAGCACGCTGTTCTCCGCTAAGGGTTATGCTCTGCGTAACCTGGCAAGCAATATATTCCCCGATGAGAAGTAGATCCGCGCGATTAATCATATTCGCGTAGAATTGTCGACGATCCAGCTTCATTTTCGCAAAGGTTTCCGTAAGCACGGACCGACAGAGATTTTGGTCTTTCCAGTGGCGCCAGAGGATGCGTGTGGATTCATGGAACCAGTGTTTGTTGACGAGGGCGCAGCGAAGCAGAACGCCGCCTGATTCGATGTATTTTGTGGGATCGTAGTCGGAATCGTCGTCTGAATTTGGGTTTAGATTCGAAGTCGAATTCAATGCTTGAGGTTTCTTGGGTGCTTCAGGACGGGGCCAGTAGCCATTGGTGTCCTCGGAGATCCATGTTAGGATTTGTTCTAGGAGGAGTGGAGAATATAGGACTTGATATGTAGCTGAATATTTCTCGTTTGATGCGTTGTTGGTCATTGTAAGGCGGCTCGATTCACGATAACTGGAAGAAATCTGGTGGTCTTGCGTATATAGATCCTTTTTGTAGTTTTTGTAGCAATGATGCTGGGATTGGCCCTTTCTCACAAGCCAGCTCCTGATTATGAGTCACCGTCCGTTTCCTCTGCCCGCTTTTGTTGTGACGGAGTACATATGGCGTCCTGTCACCCTTTCTATTCCTGCTAATTACCTAATCAATCTTGTGGGGGCGGCACCGAGCTGGCTGTTGGCCAATCTACCATCGAGATAAAGCATCTCACTATATCTTCTCGCCGCATTCCGCAGATTAGCTTGCACGTGATACCATACTTAGATGGATACACAGCGAGAGAAAGAATGATGGAAAATGTAGTAAATATGTGATACGAAATTCAGAGCAAATCGCATTACCGAGCAACTTAGACCAACCAAAATGCCTCGAAACCGAAACCAAGTCATAAAGATAACTACAAAAAAGAAGAGTAAAAATGCACCCAAACCCCCAAATGCATCATGCAGCATGCGTCAATCAATGGCTGATATCTGTTTCAAAAAGTGCCAACTATACAGTCCATCGCCATTCCCAACTCATCTCATCGATCTCAATCCCAAGCTAAATCTCATGGCTCATGGGTATCATGCAAGAAGATGCAAGAGCAAGAAAAAAAAATCGCATTTCAATCGTCCATATCCGTTACATCCAAAAGCTCCAGCTCCGTGCGGACCATGGCTTGGAACTCGACCCGCGACATTCCAGTCGCCTTGGCCAGGCGGAACAGGCTCTTGATGCTTGTGCCGATGTGCTGCTTCACACCTACTTCGTACGTGCTCTGGCTCTCGGCCTCTTGCTCCAACTTGGCCACGGCGTCAGAGCTACCCGACGAGGCGGATGCAGGGCGCGGGTGGCTAAGAGAGCGGGCAGCGGCATCGCTGGGGACTTCGCCATGTACATAGCCATTTGTACGTGGGGCGGACGAGGCGTCGTCGAAGTCATTGACTTGACGCCGTAGCAGACTCGCTAACATGTCGCCGTTCAGAGAGGACGGTCCAACCTCGGGCTGCTCTTCTTCCGGATCGTGGTTGTCCATGGCGGGCTGGACATTCCCGTACTGTGAGAAGTACGATGCTTCGGATAGACCCGAAGGCTGGTGGTTTGAAGAACCTGCCCGCGGGGCGGGAGTCTTATTGCCCGGCGTCGCATCATACTGCGCCCAGTAATCATCGTCATCATCATCGTCCTGGACAAGACCATTGTCTGCAGGTTGAGCGTGGACTCGGTCATCTAACGCATCGGCTAGAAGCTTCTCCTTGGCCTGATCATTGGCCTCGCCGATCGAGGACGCCCACGAGCTCTCGTCTTCAGCGGGGCCCTCGCGCGGAAGTAGTTCCGCAACACGCCAGCCCCGGCCGCCACCCTGTTCGTCGTCTGGACACCAGAGATAGATGACAGTCAAACAGTACTCGGAGAGGAGTACCCGAGCGCGAAGGGTCTCATCGTCGATACGCTTATAGGTCACCGGGATCTCAATGGGCAGCTCGATTTCACCAGAGACCGGGTGTGGCTCAAAGGTTGAATCGTCGACGATGCTCTGCACACGCTCGGCTTTGGTGGTGTCCCAACAGAGCAGGCGGAGCCAGGAGTCTGAGGAGGAGGTAGACACGGAGGTGAGGATTTGTATCCGCTGGCGGAGAATAGGGGAGAGTAAAGGGAGGAGTGCTGGCGGCGGACGAGGGGAGACAAAGGCTGTGGGGAGACAGGCGAGAAGTGGAGGGAGGAGAGTGCGTGGGTCTGGAGGGTTGATGAGTTCGACCATGGTCGGTGGAGGAGTTGGTGTTATAAGAAAGGAGGAGTGCTTGAGAGGGGTCAGCAGAAGAGAGAGGAAGAAGGACTGAAAAAGAAGAAGCAGCAAAAGCAGGAGCAGAGAGCCATTCTTTCCAGGCCCGTGGAAGCTGCAGCAAAAGACCCAAAGTGGATGCGGTTTCCATTCGCCCGAAGACGTGGGGCAGCGGACTTACCTAAGGAGGTCACCAGTTGGTTACCGAATGGCCTAACAGGGGACAAAGCTTTAGCCGGAGGAACAAGCTTATTATTGACCCAATCATATCGAGCAACCTGTTGATTGAGCCAGTAAGGTAGGTGTAACTCCGTAGATCATGGTTCGTATAATAATCAGCTCCTGGTGGACCCCAGAGGCATCTACATTTCTCCTGTTTAAGTATTCTGCTTGCTCGGAGCGTTGCATTCCAGCTATGCTGATATGACCCTGTCCATGTGGCCCATGTGGGCCCTGGAGCCTATCTGGAAATCCAAAGTTTATGGATATAACGACGAGAGGCCAAAACTCAAGTATCTGACAATATATACACATATATTATCACTTCCCTGCACATAAACATGGCTAGAAGCATTTTCGAACATGCAACTTACTATGCTCATGAGATCCTTGCATATTCCACATAGATCCCCAGACATAACCAGAAAATGAGATCAAAAACGAATCCTTCCAAGACCCGTGCAGATCAATCCTGCTTCATAGGCCATAAGATCTGACTAGCAGAAGCTAATAGAAATAACAAAAAAATCGGCAAGCTTTCGGCCCGGTTCGAATAGCGTCGGTTTGCTCACATGCAGATCAGGGAACACGAGAAAAAAAATACGAGACCATCACGATAGTCACGATAAAGAAAATCAGCGCGTCTCCCCCAAACACACAGTTGCGCGTCCCTGCTGTCAACAACTGGGCCTCCAGAAGACACACACACACACAGCACGTCTTCCTGTGAAACCTCCCAACACTGAACCCTGCACCTCATCAGCCTTCATCCATTTCTCCATCATCCCATCACACCTCCTCCATCCAACAAACACACACAACCATCCCACTACCATCACCCCAACTCGTGTCTCGACGTCAAACCAGCAATGGCGGATCGTCCAGTCGACCCTGTCATCCGGGGCACCCGTTATGTGCAAATGCCGGCCGACATCCGTAGAGCAGTCGTCCGTGACTGGGCCGAGGTCGAGCGCCGTGTCCGTTGGAAGACCGACTGGCGTCTCTGCACCATCGCCGGCCTGCTGTGTAGCCTCAACCTGCTGGACTCGGGCATCCTCTCCTCAGCTGCTGTCACCAGCATGCTGACTGATCTGGACCTGGACCACGGCTCGCGCTTCTCAGTGGCCATTTTCATCTTCACCATTGCCAGCGTTGTCTTCCAGCTTCCCTGCACTCTTGCCGTACGCTTCGTCGGTCCCCGTCTCTGGTTCGCGGCCATCACTTTCACCTTTGGCGTGTTGACTCTTTGCACCGCTTTCATCAATACCTGGCGCCAGATGATGGCTATCCGTGTGCTGCTGGGCATTGCAATGTCGGGTATCTACCCGGGTCTGACATACCTGATCAGCACTTGGTACCTGCGCGAAGAGCAGCAGCTCCGATTCGCTTTCCTGCAGGCAGCTGAAGTCTCAGTCTTGGCCACGGGAAACCTGCTCAATTTCGGCCTCAACCACCTGCATGGTACAGCAGGGCTCGCTGGTTGGCGCTGGATGTATCTTGTTCAGGGAGCTATCACTTGTGTCCTGGGCATCGTCACGTACTGGTGGATGGTCGATTTCCCGGAGAACTCCGAGCACAGTTTCATGTTCCTGACCAAGCGGGAGGCTCGTGTTGCCGCGGCAAGAATTCAGGATGATCGTGCTGATCTCAGATTTGAGCCGTTCTCTTGGGGCCGGTTGCTTGAGTGCTTCAAGGATGTGAAGGTCTATGGCTTCGCGTGCATGTTCTTCCTGCTGAACCTGGTGTCGACCGCGCTCTCGTATTTCCTGCCGATCATTCTGGAGGGGGGCATGGGCTTTAGTGCAAACCAGGCGATTCTGATGTCGGTTCCGGTGAGTGTCAAGAGTTGAGTGTTGATTTTGAAGTTCCTGCGCGGCTCTAATAGTGCGCGATGATGTCGCCGCTTATGTCGTCGTTTGCCCCCGGATACCACGAATTCGAGGCCGCTAACATACCGTTTCCTACAGCCCTACTACTACGCCGTGATCCCTGTCGTGGTGACCTCCCTGACGGCCGACAAACTGCGCCTCCGTGGCCCCTTCATCGTCTTCAATGCCCTCTGCATTGTCGCTGGCTTCCTCATGTTCGGACTGCCCCAGTCCACCCAGGTGACCGTTCGATACATCGGCACCTTCATCGCGACCGGGGCTTACGTCTCCAATTGGGCCGCGTTGAACGCTTACCAGGCGAACAACGTGGTTGGGCAGTGGAAGCGCGCCGTCACAGCCGCGGCGGTCAGCGCATGCAATGGGCTGGGGGAGTGGCGGGCAGCTATATCGTCCGTCAGGTAGAGGCCCCACTCTACCAGACCGCGGTTTGGGTGTCGGTAGGGTAAGTCTATTCTGATTCGGCATTGAAACATAGATGGAAACTTTTTACTGATTGAAATGATAGATCCCAAGGCCTACTGATGGCGATCGTGGGCGTGTTCACCTTGTATTTCTACAAGGTGAACCAACAGCAGAAACGCCACGAGCGTGTCATCGAGCACGTGGTATGTTTGACATGTCTTCCATCTTGCTCAGCATGGCATCGACAATCTAAAGAATTGTGATACTAACACCTTACTTCAGGCCGACTACCGATACACCTACTAGAGGTGATCGGACGCTGTTTTTTCAACGGTCCAGTTCATGAAACACTGGCCGTTGATGTATGAGTAACGACCGAAATGAAGTTCCGTTCGGCCCAGAAACAGGGCATAATATCAGCACTACATACCTTACCTCCCATATCGTAATCAATCAGATAGTGCTGACCAAGAAATCAATATTCTATTATTGATGAGTCTCAACTTTTGTTCTAAGTGACACGAAAGTGGCCCCGCAGGGCCTAATTTCATCCCCTTCTTCGTAACTCCACCATCTTTGATCTTCTAGATCCTCGAACGAGGAGTGTGAGCTGTACCAGGGACTCTTTGATTCTGGTTCTCGGGGGGTACTAATTGCTCTTGAGTCTGCGAGGGCGGCTTCACTTTTGGTTTGCAGGCGTGTGGGCATGTACCAATATTGGTGATGTTCTCGGGATGGAGGGGTGGAACCGGGTAGAGCGGAGAGGAGGCGTTGGGGTGTAAGGCGGATGACTAGGGGCCAGATTGTTACGAGGCAAGAGGCGATGATGATGACTGCGCCTTCGACGACGGACAGAATGGCTAGTCTGATGGAGAACCCTGTTTGCAGGTCTAGTTTAGCGGGTGTATCTTGGTAGTGGGCGATCAAGAGGACGTACAGGTAATATCACTATGGTGTGTAGAAGTGTTAATCATAAAAAGCACCATTCGAAGGATGTTCGCCACAGTTCCGCTATTGGGCCCAGTTAGCATTGTGTTCTTTATCCTGTTAGATAACAAGAATACTCACAGTCCACCCAGGAGGAAAACTGCAGTCAAAGCCACCTTCTGTGCCTTTGGTGCTTGAAGTTTCCACACCAATGGCAAGGGCATAGCGAGGATCAAAATGCCAGTCAAAACATTGAGCGGTGAGATATACCGGTAGAACACGGTTTGGTTAATACAAGTGCCATGGCCGATGCTCCGATCCCAGCCATAAGAGATGGGTGAGCATTGGAAGATTGTCTGGAAGAAGACGGTGATGCCAATGGCCAGGACTAGAGATCCCACGAGGTAGACGAGGATCTGGAATTTGCGGATGCAAAAGATGCGGATGTAGAAGAGGAGAAGGGAGATTTTGGCAGGCGTGATGCAGAGGGGGACGTCTAGTAGCTCCAGGACAAAGAAAGACTGGATGAGTGTTAAAACTGCAGATACAAAAGACGTGAGATTTGGGAGTAAACGGGATGGAAATACCTTTCGGATGAGTGCTACTTTCTGTTTTGGTTGGCTTAGTTCATCAAGATGATACCCGAGTCCTGCCAATTCGACCACTAACCTTGATTAGCATCTTTTGTTTCCCATGCTGGTGGACGAAAGGGAGTGCTTACAGACGATGTAGAGGATTGCTTTTGCCAAACTTCCAGCCTGAGAGGTGAATTTGTTAGCACCGCCCTGCGCTGAGATCAAATCGCAAGGGAATCGCCTTACCAGGGCAAAGAGCATAACATAGTCATCGAGTCCACATTTCATCCGCTGCATATAGCGCGTATAAAACCGCGCCGCAACAAAGACGATCTGCACCACGGACAACACCACACTCACGATAATCAACGCCGACCCTCCATCCGACGGCGTACTATAGTTCACCGAACGTTCCTCGCCCATGATGATACAAGTGAACGAGTCACCATCGATAAACACGCGAGCTTCCACATCGGAGTAAGACTGCAGCTGTACATTGAAAACCAAACCTCTCCAACCACGACGATCAAGCCGGGGATAGAGTCTTCTATTTCAAACGTTGGTCTAGCACGCCTCCGACGATTGTCGCCGCCATAAAACCAGGGAAAATCTATCATTTGGGGTTGGGGGGTCATACTTTGGTACCGGACCCTATCCGTGCATCATTTCATCTCGAATTCTGGGAGGGCTGAACTCTACCTTGACGAATGGGGAAGTCAGTGCCCGGTAGCTTCCCCGGACCGGGGACTGTGTACCCGGCTATCCAATATGGCTTTTGGCGGATGTCTGAGTCGTGGAATATTGGATACGGCCGTATGGCACGCTGTCTACCTGGGTTGAAGGACATTTTCACTTCCGCGGATTCTACAGTAGATACCTTTCATATGTGGGGAGGACTAATTCTCCCGTTGGATGCGATTGGTGCGCCAGGATAAGGTTGACCCAGTTCCGGATCATCGGGGCCATGACATGCATGGGCGATCTCATTGCTCCACAAACTTCCAATGACCCACCCTCCAATCCAGAGAATATCTTGGAATTGAATTTCGTCGCTGGCCGCAGTTTCTCCCAGTGCAGTAATCACCCGAGGGCGTTTATGGGGTTGGTATGCTTTGCACCGACCCTGACCCCGGATTTGGCAGCTAGACCCCATTCTAGAAGCTTTCCACTTCCAATCCCCCACCAATGGGCGGTTTCCCTTTCGTTCTCGTGCGTACTATCCACACCACTGAAATCGTCGGCTTGTCGCTCTTATGTAAAATACCGACGATTGCCCAGTCGGTGGATCTTCCTCATGGATCGGCTAGTGGACCACTACTGCATACCTCTGCGGAGCTCCTCCACAAAATATTGGGAGAACCCTAACTCGGGCCGGGTCCAGTCCGCGCTTCCGCGGTCCAAGAGGCAGGCGGAGGACGATGAGCCTACTTCCATGCTCGTTGAGCATCGACCCCGCATATCTCCCTTTGGAAGCCCGCGCCTACTTGCCAGACTTTCTGGCAGCAGGAGGTGGGAGAATATGCGGGCACGAAGGACACCTTGCTAGAATCGTTACGTGCGCATGCGGGCGGCTCCACGTCTTCGGTACGAGTTCGCTTCGCGCTTGTTGCCTATACTGGCACTTTGTCTAGGAATGGTACTGATCTAGAAATGGCACCGAGGATAGCACTGGCCCCTGGACTATTCGCCATGTGCGGGGCGGAGCTTTCATCGTTATCCATCTCGGTGTCGGGAAATATCGTGGTTGTTCTTGGCACTCGTCATACATTCGAGGTTGTCTGATTTTCATAGCTTTGTCATCAACCTTTGAACCGATGGACAAACAGTTGTTCAATCCCGCCAATATCGGGTAATGATGGGGTTAAATCTTGAGAAACGATCGATTCCCTTATGCCTTGATTGGCTGATCGTCTGCTGTAGATCGTGATCGTCAACCATACCGTCCTTGGTCTAGGCATTTATCCTAAAAGTAGCCCTAGTTCTTAGCTTGATGGACTGACACAGAAAACACGTTTAGCCGCCTGCTTGAATTACGTGCGTAGAAGAGTCGAGTATTTGCCAGATCGCCACTTCGAACCCCGATTCCAGAATAGCCGAAACCGCGCATATGCTTGTCCCTGGAGATGACCCATTCTCAAAATCTAGAAGTGTTGAAACAAGTTTGGGTCCAATTGGGATCAATTATCAGTCCCCACCCCCACTTCTCTCCAGACGATCGTCTGGGCCTGCAACAATCGTATTAGAATCGTATTCTCGGCTTCTCGGGATATTGTTGGTGCTAACTCTTCAATCCCAGTAGTCTCATTTGTGGACAATTCAAAGTGTTGGGAATATCGCTTCCAGTCTGATACAAAGACTAATCTGGTACCGAATGGTTTGCAAATGCCTCTAAGCCAGCCAATATCCAACATCCAACGTTGAGATGTCCTGCGGTCGTTGTGGGAACCGAATCAACAGCGCATACCATTCCCGAAATCACGGACAGTGTAAGTTGCAAGGCGTAAGAACTGCGGGATTCAATACAGCCACAAAGGTTTTGTTTTTGGATTCGCGCTGGTCCATTATTGTATGCTCGTCAGCGGCTGCAGTAGGAAGATTAAACTTCGGCCAACGGGGATATGTGTCCATCACATTGCTGTCAAACCCGCCGAAAACACCGAACTCTCGCCCGCGCCATCGAACGGCTTATACTTTATCAAATATCCGACACAAATGTTCATCGATGGCCTGTAGGAAGTATAGAGTAAATCTTGCCGGTCTAATATTGCTCATCTTGGTTTGTCATGGGAATTATCATCACTATTGGAGAGTTTCTTTGTGTATGCTGCACAGTTAGGTTTGCAACTTTCCCTTCTTGTGCCGTTCTTCGGGCAGACTATGTTTTTGGTTGCGCATACAGCCATCCGAACCTAGTTAAAGCTGAATGAAACCCCCAAATGTGTGATGAGCGATACAACGACATGCCAATTATCTTGCATCGTAGAATATATTTGATTCACCAATACATTAGTGTACAAGATAAACCTGACGAGGCGCTCCTAGTTAGGAAATCATGATTCATCAGACTCTCGATCATTGCTGAAGAGGCCCTCGGCCCAATGCTCTTTATCCCCTTGCCTCTTGCAGTCGCGAGTAGTGCTGTGCAATCAAACTTGACGGGACAGCTGTTTCGCCTGATTGAGAAGATTCTAACTGTATATACTCCGTGACGCTGGATACCGGACCATCAAGACCCATAGGCTTACTCCAAAACGTCACAGCGAAAGAAGCGGATCCTCTTGGTGAAGAAGAGGATGAGGAAATGGGGGAGGAGAGAAACGAGCAAGGCTGAGCTATCACCGTAAAATCACAGATTCGAGCATATTCCGGAGGAACCAAGTCTTTCTGAAGGATTTCGTCCAAAGAAGCACCAAGATGCGCCTCCTCAATCTCCAATATGCGAGAGAAGATACCGTGATAATGTTTCGCATCTAATAGCCACTCGCGCTTAGGGACTTTCCGCAATAACGACAGCCCCCAACGACGAAGAGAAGGCCATCGGCATTTCCAGGCTAATAGGTGGAAACAGAAGAGCATGCCGAAATCCAAACTTAAGAGTCGAAATCCATCATCTGGGAAGCGGCTGTGATCGGAAATGAGAGCGTCGGCTATTGATAGCATTTCTTCGTACTCGGATCGTGCGTCATCCCATGAGCACTCGTTATCAGCCATGTAGTTACGGGCAGCCAATGTTTCGGCCATTTTGATAATGCGGATGACATTCGCGGCTTGTCTTTCTTTGGCTGGCCATAAGGAAATTCGTCGGGAAACCAGGTCGTCAAAGTTGGCCTCCCATTGAGAAACAATCTCGTCTGTATTATTCACTTTCAGGTCGACCCTTTCATCAACCTGGTGCGGATTAGGGGCATGCTCGCCAGTCGTGGGGAACCACCAACTCGCCAACGTCATCACATCTAACAAGCCGACTCTAGCCTGTTGTATATTCTCAAATCGATCGCCAAGCACAACATCGCCGTTCTTATCAACCGGATTCAGGAAGAAGGCGCTATCTCTTGCATCTTCCTTATCCAAAATATTGATCCGAAAGACACTGAGAATCGGTGCAATTTCAGTTTCCATAAAATATGATTCAAAGGAGTCATACTTCTGACCCCATGGTTTATCGTCGAGCATCCTCGTCTTATCTCGCCAAGATTCCAAAAGCTTGATTCCACTTTTGACGTGAGATCTGGCTGTGATCAAGTTCCCCTGAAAGTACTCGAAACAGGTGAACAATATGTTTGCCATCGACGTCAAAGAAATCGAGGTTTGCTCTGTTCTAAACTTTTGAAGCAAAGCTCGGATGGCTTTGTTATAGAATTGAATCGGCACATCTGGGCCGTTACGATCCCAGTCTCGTCCCGCTGAATGCGACGACATCTCTTCGTGGAGAATTGCAATCGCCGCAATGGCGTGCCGGATAGTAGGCTCCACGAGGCTCGACTGGGCGACACTGCCCTGGAAAAATGCGCCCTCGAAAGAACCTGCTAGCTGTGATGCTGTTTTGTGGAAGAAGAGCTCCAGGGCCCGGGCTTCTATAGATGATTCGACCGCGGGAGCCGGGGCCAGTGCCTTGGGTACCACAACTGAGGGTTTAGACAGTTCATAGCCATCGCATTTTCGTCCGGTACGTAGACACCTGAATCATTGATTAGTCTAAAGTTTGTGGACATATCTGCACTGTATTCAAAATGGTAGAATATACCTCTCACAAGCAGGTTTCCCTTCGTCGCATTTGACCCGCCGTATCCTTGATTGTGTCAGTATTTTGATATTGGAAAGGGGCCCCAGGTAGCGCTATCTCGGTGAATCAGAACTCACTTGCAGGTGATGCAGCCAGTCCGAACTTTTGGCTTGAAAGTACGTTTTCGATTAGAGGTGAGATTTTCTGGCTCATGCGTCATTATGGCCTATTATGGGATCAAGGCAGGCGCAGAAATCAACGTCAAGCGTGGTGGCGCAGGATGCCTCTGATGGGACCTCCCGTAATAGTGCTCAATGGATCTGAACCGACCATCCGATGCAGCTCAAGGATAGCAGAGATTATAGAATAAAGAAAGGAACCGGAAACGAAGAGCTTTGATTCAATTGTCGAGACATCCTCTCGGATCTGCGAAACAGTGATGTTGCCCGCCTTACAAATGTGTGGGGGCGAGGAGGATGGGCGCGGAAACACGCGAGACATTAGACGGGTGAACTACTTATTGTAAAGCCCACACCATACCTTAGTCAGAACGAAGTACAATAAAAATGTCTACTAATCTAACAGAGTCCATCTGTATTTGTGACCACTAGAAGCCCTCTATAATCCGAAGAAGCCCATGTATCACGTGCCAGCCACATGCGATCCGAGTTCTGAGACCGCTGTACGGGGTACTTGTATTGATGATATTTTTCTCTTGAAGTCGTTTAATATTCGCCAAATGACAGGATGGAGACAAATATCCCTAAATTATGTGATTGAAGAAGAAAAGGGTATATGGGAAGCAGAAATTAGGCATGACAAAGGGGAGACAGCCGTTTCGCGGATCAGGTACAACAAAAGATTCGGCAGCCAGATGGCCATGTACAAAGATCTCATCAAACCACCCGATCCTTCTGCTCCAATTTCCCAACTAAACGCTTCATACCTGCCCATTCCTCCGCCGGCACCTCTTCTGATGGCCCACCAAGGCCTTTGCCGACCTCGAAGACCGTAACGACACCATTGAGACCACCAGTTGCCAGACGCCGACCTTCGCGCTCCTCCCAAGCAACCTTATTCAGACTACGGGACGGCATGGCGCCAGGGCCACGAGAAGGTGTCGTCCGTACAACAGGAACTTCGGTGTCTGTGTAGAGATCCCATACCTCGACGTTGCCAGCACCGTCGACGAGAGAGAAAACGCCCGGCCTGTGCGGGGACCAGCGGGCATCATACACGACATCGTCACGGACGATGTCCAGAATAGGCGAAACAACCTGGGCCGAGGACGTGCCAGATGTGAGAGCGGCAGTCGTCGCTGGCGGCCGTACGCGCCAGAGCTTCACGCTCCAGTCCAGACTGGAGCTAAGCATCAGATCTCCCAGATCGACGGGACCACGTGCAGGATGGAATGCTGTGGACATGATCGGTGCGGCGTGTCCGCGGTATGCGAGGCGATGGTCGGTGCCTGCCTTTGCTCCGGCTCGGTCGTAGCGGTGGCAGGGGTAGATGCCTCCCTCCTCCGTGCCGACAATAAAGAAGGTTGGGTCAGACTGGGGGAATGACATGGTAGTTGGTGCAAGATCTTCTGTCTTGGACGGAGGGGGCGTGGTTAACTCCAGGTACTCCTGCGGCTGCGAAAGCATGTCTACGGTCCAGCCACAGACGACTCCATCGGTGGACACGGTCAGGATGTTGTGCGCATTTTGTGTACCGATAATTGAGATGCTGTAAACGGGATGAGTATGTCCAGACCCGGTGAGAGGCGTCTTCTGCACGGGGGCCCCACCGCCTGCGCGGGAGGAACGAGTGTCCCATAGAAGAACCTGACCTGAGTATGAGCCTCCCACAATTAGGTTAGGATGGAAGGGTGAAAATTTGGCGGCGAGGATGTCGGACGTAGAGTGAAACACGTATTCTGGTCGAGAGTGGAGATGTTGATTCCAGACTTGGACAAGCCCATCCGGTTCATGAGGCGCAGAAGGATTTTTTGTGTATGAAGCTAGGACAAGCTCCGGGAACTTGAAACAAATTAGTAAAACGTGGGTCAAGAAAAGAAACACCGGGATTCAATGAGGAAGAAAGCATACCTTGGGCGAGAAGCTCAGGTCGGTTATCATGCGCTTCTTGCTCCATCGCTCGTCGTAGAATTGGCAGACCTCTCGAATGCCCCTCCTCTTCTTGCCAGTCTCTTCATCCTCTTCCACGTCCCCATTTACACCAAGCTCATAGTCCGCAAGGACGTCGTATTCTTCGTCCAACGCCCGCTCAATCACCTTTGAGGACCGCTCCACAAAGTCCAAGAAGTCATCAGAAGATGTAACCGCCTTCAGCTCGTCGTCATCGAGCGTGCGTAGAGGGTATCGCAGTTGTGTGGATTGCGTAGACACCGCAGCAGTTCCATCTTCATTCGTAGCTTGCAATTCCTCTTCGATCTCTTTGCGGATCTTCTGCCGGATTTCCTCATCGCGCTCCCGGTCTCGTCGACTAAGACGCTTGCTTGACCGCGTAGTACCAGCTTGTTCCTCGCTATCTGAAGCAACTGATCCATCGTCAGACTGTGGTGGTGATGCGAGACCGTCTGTTTGCACAGCCTTGCTGTAGGTGACGAGCTCGGGTTTGGGTTCAGGGGGAGGCGGGGCTTGAACTTCCGGTGCGGAGTACGTATAGGGTTGTTCTTCTCCGACTGTCTGTACGGCAATGGACTGTAATTGTGGTCGGGATGTAGGGGACAAGGTCTCGGGGTTCTCTCCACTCAGTTGACTGGCGCTCAATACTGAATTCGGGCGACTTCCTTTGCGCGACGGGCCTTCCGCGCCATGGCTGATGGAAGCGGATCCAGGACGGTCCACCAAACGGGAGATCAGGTCATCGAGTTCGGCTCTACTGTCAGCGCGACTAGGTACCGGCGAAACAACCTATAGGAGGTCAGTCAAAATGCGACTGAGCTTGGGAGAATTGCTCCTTAGGCCGTGGTACCTCTGAAGCATCCCCGATGCTATTCCTGTTGTTGGAGAACTCCTTCTGGCGTAGTTCACGCTGCTTTTTCAGCTCCGCAAGCTTAGCCCGCTTGGCCAAGATCTCATTTTTGCGCTGCTGTATGGACGACATGTTGAAATCATGAAGAGCCGACCAGATGCGTAGCTGGAGCTGTAAGTAGTAGCACTGTTGCGCTTTATTTACCGGGATGACATAAGCGCCCAGGTCCGAACGGCGCCGGAAAAACTCGCGCAGAACAGGGATTGAACCACCTCGTCTTGCCCCAACCCGAGGATTCACTGCCATTGACGGTCGATTTCTGTTGAACGGTCCTTCCTATTTCCCGCTCCTTATTCTATCGCCTTATTCCTGTCTTCCGGCAACCTCGCAGAAATGGCTAGCACCCAGGGTGTCAACGTAAGTGCGCCCCAGCTTCAGGAAATACTCGCCCCATACGTGGATGCGAAATCGGATGTTCTAACCACCCATTGTTCTCTCTACAGGTCTTCCGTTACTCGGCTCTCGTTGCCGGTCTCATTTACGGAGTCTACCACCAGTCATCCCTTACCCAGGCCGCCAAGCGCACAGAGATCGAGCACGAGTACGCCCGCAAGGAGCGCCTCATCGAGCAGGCCAAGGCCGAGTGGAAGAAGAAGACCCAACCCAAGCAGGAGACCACCACGCAATCCAGTGGATGTACGTGATACCAATTTCCCCATCTATTTCAGGCTACACATCGGCATTCGAGAATGCCTAGGTTCGCCTACCCAAACAACCAGCGCTAACCGGTCTGTTTCCTTTAGTGGTTACCGATTTCGAGGATCCCAAGTTCGATCTGGAGGCATTCTTGCTGGCCAAGGCCAAGGAGAACCCTTGAATGAGATACGAGATGTTATAGAGGAGGAATGGATACGCATCTCTTTGCGGAACTCGCACCTCCTCCCAGGGTATTAGACGTGATTGCTCGGGTCCATTTACTGTACGATTGTTTGGGTCTAATTTACCCCCGAGTTGCGACATTGCGAGCGAAAGATGCAATGATTTCTTTTTGATTCGTTTTCTTTTACTCATCGTTTTAGACGTTATCATTTGGGTCCTGTACATACCCTGGGCTGTCGTGCGACTGTACACTACAGTTGGACCACAAGAAAGAGCAAAAAGATCGTGTTATGCATTCCGGCGTTACCACTAGCCAATCTCTATATTGGCTTAGTGTTGGTTTTTTTTCGGCGCGTTGCCTCTGTATTATACTCTCTGATGAGAGTGCGTAGATCCGTCATTCCTCGGCTTATTGGCAGGAGTTGAGCAATTTGTTTTCCCCTCCGGACTCTCATATCCCTTTCATTTTCCGCTGTTGCCCAGCATTGCCATTGTCTCGCGAATACCATTCGAGGAGGGCTTATCGGTGGTCTGCACGACAATCGGAGAGGGATGCAGTAGTTGAGCAGCTGGGTCCCAGGTCCATCCACAGCTTGTGAACTTTTCGATTACAGCCGAGTCTCCTTGTTCAGCAGTTTGCGGATCAAGGCCCAAATAGTTTGCTGCCGTGGAAGGTCTTATCGCTTCATAGCATGTGCTGATCGCGATCAAGGTGTCGTCTTGGAAAAAGCCTAGGAGGGCAGTCGTATTAGCAGTCTGCAATTATATTAGGCTCTGATTTTGAGCATACTCTCGTATCTCCTAACCAGTGGCTGCAGGCTTTCTGGCCATGGAAGCCCTCTGAGAATCTGGTAAACCTGGGCATGCTGAGTCTGCCAAAGGGCTCGAAGAAGGGTCAGGCAATTCTGTAGAGAAGGATCTTGGTGTCGCAGCGTTTCTGGCATGCGTTGTGTCAAGGCGCGAGCTTCCGGCCTATTCATGAGCTTCGTGTAAGTGCTGATCCTTTGCAAATTATGTTCCGACGCACTGACAGTTGCTTGGTGAGAAGATGGGCGAAGAAGAAGCTCGAGTAGAACAAGCTCAACAACTGAGGGTCACCACCTCCTGTTTCTGCACTTCCTGAGCCAGCTGACATGATAGATGCATCTGTTTCGTACTGCGACAAGATCTCAAAGAGCTGTGATGGGGGAAAATTATTCGCAGCCAGCTTCGAGATCTGCTCGAGCGAGAAGGGGGGCAGTTCCATCTTGGAACCGTCCACAGAGGCAGCCAATTTCGTGCTGTCAAATGATAGCTTGTATCCTTAAATATCTCTGTAAGATTTCTCCGATGGTTCTTGCTCCGTGTGGAGAGTGGGAAACAGGTCAAAGAGAATGGTGGTTGAATCGACGATTGCGGGGAGCAGTCGGAGGTGGCGCCTGTTCCCCGACGCGGTGCCAAGACTTCAGAAGTGACCACCTTGCGCAGCTCTCCCTCCTCCAACCATCAACCAGGCGACCAACCATTGGCAGCTCTGCCCGATCCTTTTCTTGTTTTCATGTGTTTCTTTTGAATTCTGGACTTTGCTCCTTTTCTTTGGCCATTATGGCCCAATCCTCCTCTCTTGATGTCCTGCTGAAAGGCAGCTCCGGCCAAAGTACGCGCGGTCTACTGCGGATCATTATCCTCATTACCATCGCCGCCGCTGCGGTGGCCAGTCGTCTATTCAGTGTTATTCGTAAGGAAACGACCAATTGCCTTACCTCTAATCTACTATTGCTGACCTCAATTCCAGGATTTGAAAGTATTATTCACGAGTGTATGCTTCCCCAGCCCCTGCTGCATGGCCCAGAATACAACTCGGCTCCAACTAGATGACAGATCTCGAAATATTGACCTCTTCGAATTACAGTCGATCCTTGGTTCAACTTCCGTGCAACAAAGTATTTGGTTCAGAATGGCTTCTATAGCTTTTGGGATTGGTTCGATGACCGTATGGTGTTCCCCATCGAGCGAGGACTATTCACTATCTCTGCTAACACCAATTGCTTCTCTGCTCAGGAACATGGCACCCCCTGGGTCGTGTCACTGGTGGCACTCTGTACCCCGGTCTCATGGTTACCAGTGGTGTTATCTACCACATTCTTCGCTTCCTCACGATCCCCGTCGACATTCGAAACGTTTGCGTTCTGCTTGCCCCTGGCTTCTCGGGCCTGACGGCCCTGGCAATGTACCTGTTGACTTGCGAGATGTCCAAATCTCCCTCTGCTGGTCTCCTCGCCGCTGCATTCATGGGAATTGTTCCCGGTTATATCTCGCGGTCTGTCGCCGGTAGCTACGATAATGAGGCCATTGCCATCTTCCTACTGGTCTTCACCTTCTTCCTCTGGATCAAGGCAGTCAAGAACGGATCGATTATGTGGGGAGCATTGACTGCTTTGTTCTACGGTTACATGGTCTCGGCTTGGGGTGGATACGTCTTCATTACCAACCTCATTCCTCTCCATGTCTTCGTTCTTCTGTGCATGGGTCGCTACAGCTCTCGCGTGTATATCAGCTACACCACCTGGTACGCTCTCGGAACACTGGGTAGCATGCAGATCCCCTTTGTCGGGTTCCTGCCCATCCGTAACAGTGACCACATGTCTGCCCTGGGTGTCTTTGGACTGATCCAGCTTGGGCTTTTGCGGACTTTGTCCGCGGGTTCCTTCCTGGCAAGCAGTTCCAGAAGCTTTTGACTGCTATGGTTCTCCTCACCTTCGGTCTTGCATTCGCTGGTCTGGTTCTATTGTCTGTCTCAGGTGTCATTGCCCCGTGGAGTGGCCGTTTCTACTCCCTTTGGGATACTGGCTATGCCAAGATCCACATCCCGATCATCGCGTCCGTCTCCGAGCACCAGCCCACTGCCTGGCCAGCCTTCTTCTTTGACCTGAACTTCCTCATCTGGCTCTTCCCAGCTGGTGTGTTCATGTGTTTCCAGAACCTCAAGGACGAGCACGTCTTCGTCATCATCTATGCTGTGCTTGCGAGCTACTTCGCCGGTGTCATGGTCCGTCTGATGCTCACTCTCACCCCAATTGTTTGCGTCGCCGCCGCCCTGGCCGTGTCTAGTATTCTGGACAGCTTCTTGGTCCTGACCAAGCCGAACCCTGAGTCCCAGACGAAGACCACTTCCGAGGACTCGAAGTCGCTCCGCTCGACTCAAAAGCCCGTTGTTGGCATCTACTCGTACTTCTCCAAGGCTGTTGTAACGGGTTCCATCACCGTCTACCTGCTTTTGTTCGTTGCGCACTGCACCTGGGTCACCTCCAATGCCTACTCGTCTCCCTCCGTTGTGTTGGCGAGCCGCATGCCCGATGGCAGCCAGTTCATCATTGATGACTACCGTGAGGCTTACTACTGGCTCCGCCAGAACACCCCCGACAACGCCAAGATCATGTCTTGGTGGGACTATGGCTACCAGATCGGTGGTATGGCTGATCGCCCTACCCTGGTTGACAATAACACTTGGAACAACACCCATATTGCCACGGTTGGCAAGGCCATGAGCTCGCGAGAGGAAGTCAGCTACCCTATCCTCCGTCAACACGATGTGGACTACGTTCTGGTTGTCTTCGGCGGGTTGCTAGGCTACTCGGGTGATGACCTGAACAAGTTCTTGTGGATGGTCCGTATTGCCGAAGGTATCTGGCCCGATGAGGTGAAGGAACGTGATTTCTTCACTGCTCGTGGCGAGTACCGTGTCGACGACGAAGCCACCCCTACCATGCGTAACAGCTTGATGTATGTTGACTCTTTATTTTCTCTTTAACGAGCGCATCTCACTAACTCCCCTACAGGTACAAGATGTCTTACTATAACTTCCAGTCTCTCTTCCCCGCTGGCCAAGCCGTCGACAGGGTTCGTGGTACCCGTGCACCAACTGAGAGCCCGCAGCTCAACACCCTCGAGGAGGCATTCACCAGTGAGAACTGGATCATCCGGATCTACAAGGTCAAGGATTTGGACAACTTCGATCGTGACCACAACAATGCGGTCGCCTTCGACAAGGGTCTCAAGCGGAAGCGTGCTTCCAAGAAGAAGGGTCCTCGCGTTCTGCGAACGGAGTAGACTTGCCTGTGAATTAGAATTGTTTTTGCTTTTTGTTGGCTTGATATTCTCCCGTGACATTGTTTCTTTTCAACGGCATGGCATGCTTGCCTTGTCTGCATGATTTCTATTCCTCGATCCCATATATTCTTGAGTAAATCGCTCAGATAGTATACAATGAATCGTTTGGAAACATTACTTGGTCGTACCACATGCTTTGTAGGTAGTGTAGTCGTGGAACCTCGCCTCGACCCCAGGCTCTAATTAGATATATATCGGACACCCACCACGTCGGCCACGGAAACTAAACCCCTAAAATAGTATCCAAGTAGGCAATATGTGGTCTATGTTTTTTGTTCCATCTATCTACAGATCACAATATATATTTCAATCTCGATCGAGTAATAAGAGAAGAGACTCGCATTCAAAAAGGGCCTAGATATGCACAAGAAAATATATCCAGGCCAATCTACTCTGTACAATCCACAAAAGCCAACAAATCAAACCCACTGAGCTCACAAATCCCAATGAAACAAATGATGAGGATTGTCAGCCCAGGAAGACTCCATAACCCCAATGTGCTCCGTTGCTATTTCCCCGCCGAGGGGGCCATCTGGTCTGGTCGGCCCTCGGTTAGTTGTTCCTCCCTTTAAAATGATGCGACTATATTGTACACGCAGGAATCCCGATTCAGCACACCTCCGCCCGTGTTATCCGGAAGATAGTCCGGGGGAAGGGACTGCACGGTGTTGAGTTTATTTCTGTGCCGGGAGTTTCTGGGTGGGGGCGTCGGGGACTTTGACGTCGGAGAATTCTTCTTGGCCGACGGCGCTGATGGTGTAGGCGTCTGTATTTGTGAGAAAGGCGTCGTGGTTAGCAAACTGGTCTTGGAAGGGGCCTTGTGTAGAGTGTCCTGTGGGAGGCGATGTATCTTGTGGTATCGTTCCACCTAGGTTGGTGGGCGAGTGGCATGATGCTGGGTGGTCGCGAATGTAGGAACAAGGGCCTTCTATGGTGAAACTGGAGATCGAGAGGTACGTACAGACGCCAATTGAGAAGGCGAATAGCCCGAAGCCGGTCAGGGCATTCTTGAACAGATATGGCCGGCGGGCACGAAGGAGGGCGGCACCGGCGCGGTAGTCCTTGCCGTAGTATGTGGAGTTGAAGCTGTAGAGTGCGCAGGATGTTAGTCGAGGTAAGCGATAGTATGCAGGAGGGTGTTAGTCTAGTCACGTACATTCCAGTGGCCATGGTGAGTGGTTGTGGTGGTTGAAGAGTATGAGGAAGAGCGGCTGGCGACAATTCGATGCGCGAACAGTCAAAAGTCTTGGCGCCGATTACTTCTTTGGGTACTTTTGCCTGCAGAGTCGGGAGTATACTCCTGCCTTGGACATTCTCTAGTTTCCAGTGCAATAGAAAAGGAAGACTTGATTCAATTGAATTCTAGAGCATTGATGAAGTTTCAGCTTGTAATTGGTCATAGATTGAAAGAACTCCCCACTGCTACTATGGGGACTGCTCGGTTGGCTTTGTGTAGAATCTACAGCAGATAAACTGATCAACTGCCATTTCTTCCTCGTGCCTCGGACATTAGGCCAAAAAGAAATCTCTGTGGTTCTTCATCAGTAATTTAGTTCTTTGAAGTCCTCGGACATATATTTCGTTGTCGACCGTAGTCTCGTGGTCGACCTACGCGCAGCGCCAAAGAGCGTCGCCGACTTTCCCCAACTTTTCTTGCCGCCCCTGCGGCCGCCGTTGCTTTCCTTCCTCAAGATCCACCGTCCACCCAACACGCCCGGCACCCACGACAAGCTTCGCTTCGTTTCACCCCAATCCGTCCTATAACCGCATCTTCCCACCTATCGTCCTGCGTATTCGCTATCGTCAGCACGCTCTAGCGCGTCGTGTCCGCCTAGCAGCTTCAGTCACGTTTCGGCCCAGCTAGGCAAGACCTCAAGCTTCATCTAGACCGCCCGCAGAACCGTCGCATCTTGCCAACTCCCAACCAGCGCATACCCTCGCTCTCCCTCCCTTCGAGCCGCGATGGCTCAATCGACCGACCATGTGGTCGACCAGGTCGCCCAGCTCAACGCCGCTCGAAGCCTCGTCCTCGGCGATGCCGCGCTCTACCCGCAGATCGTCAACGGCATCCTCCCCATCATCGGAGCCAACGCCAGGCTGGAATTGCGACGATGGGGCGCAGACTTTTTAGCAGAGACCTTCTCTACTCCGGCCCTAGCGGCGGCGCAGAAGCAGCAGCTTGCGCCGACGGTCTTGCAATCGATTCAAGATACCTTAGCTCTGCCCGAAACAGACACGGCAGTGCTGTCGAGCTTGGTACAGACGGTTGCCAGCTTGTACCCGCTTATATTCCGCCACATGTATGTTTCCAAGGAAGACGAGATCTGGCTTTGCTCAAGGAAGTCACAGATACTAACGCGTTGCTCGTAGTGTCAATCACGCGGAGGATACCAAGACGTGGGAAACAATAAACGCAATCAAACAAGAGATCCTGCGGAATATGGACTCTTTCCCATGCCCGGTTAAGATTTGCTGTGTCAAGTTTTTACAGCGTGTAGTCCAGGTTCAAACGCCTGGCTTGATTGCGGACCCCAGGGTACGTTCCGCGAGATCCGTCTCTCCCCCAGATCCAGATGTCCATCATGCTGAACTCCCCCAGCGACCCGACCAGAACGAGACTTCATTGGCCGTCGTCCCCCGAAACCACGCCCTCCTTGCTATTCCACAACTAGAAGCCGAGTCATCAGGTCTACTTGACCGTTTACTCGGGGTTTTCCAAGAAGAGACAAGGTTCGAAACCGCAGATTAGACCTATTGGACTTGTTGTTCAATTGATGCTGATCCTTTACTAGTGACCCCCTCATCGTCAATGCCACGCTGAACTGTCTGTCACCATTGATCCGCACGCGCCAGTCGATTGCGAATAAAATCATCAATACAATCCTGGAATTCTATCCCGCCAAACATGTCCGTCCGCCATTTACACCCACTGTTCGTGTCGGCGTCAAGTCGATGGAACGTACATCGCGCGCCATGCTTTTCAATGTGATGAAGAAGTATGAAAACACGCCAGTTCTATATGTTATACAGATTCAATACTGATCAACCCGCTCCAGGAACCCTAGTCACCCGCTGATGGGGAAGATGCAAGCGTATATTGAGCGCTTGATGCAGTCCCGGTTCGAAATCACCGATGATGCTTCTCGGAAACGTGGACTGCCCACTGAACCGACTGATGGTCTGGACAACGCTAAGCGGGCCCGTCTTGATGCGATGACACCTCCACTGCTTAACATTCCCCCTCTGCCTGCAGGCCCGACCAGCTTTGACCAACTATTTACCATAACTCAAGATATCGGTCTGTCTTCGTTTGATGTGAAACAGCTTCCTCCCGATCTAGTGGTGAAGATTACTGTCCCGCTCTTAACTCAAGTGAATCAGTCGCTACTTACCCAGGCTGTTGATGTAAGTAAACCATCGAGGGAAGCCGAAGCAAGTGAATGCTAACTTGGCTTTAGGCCATACGAAACCGATATGAGACCATAACGAAAGAGCAAAATCTGAAGCGTCAACAGCTACACCAGGCCGCTACGGCTGCGGCTGCTGACGACGACGACGATTACGAGCCTGACTACGAACCTGTGGATGCTGGGGCGAACGTTCCAGAAGAGTCCACTGCTCTCACAGCAGAAGACGCCGAACTAGAACCTGATCTGGTGTCTTTGGGCCCATTTGTCCTGCCACAACCGCCACCATTGACCGAGGAGCAAGCTGGTGATGTTGGGCGCAGCGCTGTTTCGCGAGTGTTTAGCATGATTGATGCTGTCCAAACAACCCCATCGCCAGCTCAGAGTAAGAATCAGCAGGAATTAGGCTTCGCCCGGCTAGCTGGAAGTACCTTTGACCGGGATGCCTGGGTTGTTCTCCTTACTCGTTTGGCTACTCGCGCCCCAGCTGGTCTGGAGGGCAGTGACAAAGCCAAAGCGGATAAAAGACATCCAACCATCTCAGATTCGATCCGTGAGACACTGTATCGGTATATTTTGGAGGATTTCCGCGCTCGGCTCAAGATTGGAATTACCTGGCTTAATGAGGAGTGGTACAACGACCGCGTTCGCATGAAGGCGGCTAACTCGGAGCGTGGAGTTGAAGACGAGGAGCCCATCGTTTCTCTCTATTATGATACTTGGGTTCTTCGTCTGCTGGATGGTTTCTTACCATACCTTGACTCCCGTGATATCAAGGTATTGGTGCGATTCCTGAGTGAGATTCCCGAAGTCACCATCGCCATTATACAGCGAGTGGCTAGCTTAGCGAAAGATCCAGAACGTGTAAATCTGACCGTGCAGGCTTTGATGTGAGTGTTTGCCTTGTCCCCCTTCTCGTGTCTGCATTTGGCTAATCCCGTTCTTAGGTACTTGATCATGTTCCGGCCTCCAGCGCGCGAAATGTGCCTCAACACATTAGAGGACGTTTACCAGACTTGTAAGACCCACTACTCCCCTAAAGCTACCTCCACCGAAATGATCACTAACAAAGACTCTTTCCAGATGAGGAATCGCGCCCCGCAGCTGGTAAGGTCCTGGCCAGGTGGCGTCCCGAGGCACTGCCCGCGCCTGCTGAGACGGCGCCAGCTGCTCCCCAGACAGAGGTGCAAGCCCCCGCTGCATCAACGTGAACATTTTAGGACTTTGTTACTATCAATTAGCGCAGAATAGAAGGTGATGAAGACATATGTTTTCCTAGGATTTGATTCCTCCTCTTTGTCTCGATTTACATCTTTCTCTTTGGTCTAACAAGTGGGGAACAATATACCTTGTTCGTAACTTTCATACTTGGAATTGAGGGGTCTCTCATCTGGAAGAAATTGGATGCTGGCTCGGCTCTACTTAGGAGTCATGTTCGTGCTTTTCGTATTCGTAGTCAACAAATTACCATGACTTCACTAGGGTCCAAGGCCACCGAAGTAGACGTGGACCTGAGCTAGGGTTAGGAGTTACCTTTGTTCACAGTTTCCACGTCTACCATGCCTCGATGTTCGTCCTTGGTCCACGCTCGACTATCGGTCTCGGGGGAGTTTTGTTTCCACCGAGTCTCATAGGTCTTCGTTCATAAATTTTCAATCTAAATCTACTAGTTCCTTTGACTTTATTACGCCCCTCGGCATTACCTCAATGCTAGGAAGACTGCGTCTTGCGTCTCCCAGTCCTCCCCCGTCTACACTCGGGCTTTCAGTCTCTCGAGTGTTCCCGCTAGGATTTGTCTGCTTTGATGGATTTTCAATTGCGATGTTCTTTGCTATTTGCCATTCACTTAGGCCTTGCTTCGACTGTAGGACGATTGAGTTCTAGCTATACAAGTTATCCCCTTGACTACTACGGGCTCCTTGTCGAGCGTTTCTACTAAAATAGGAATTTACATTTTTCTTTCTTTTGACCACTTCCTTCGACCTGGACTTGAATCTTACGAAGACCAATTCCCGGCTGTTCCAGTGAGCCTCATACTATACTGCGCCCCGTTTGAAGGAATCTTCCTTCCCACTTCACCATTCTTTGTTTGCACCATCTATATCCACCCTCTTTCAATGGAAATAAATATTGCCCGCCAATTCAAATTGCATTCTATGTACAATTAACCTCCCCCAGTGCACAAATACCGAAGTGAAATCCCCTGTCCCTCGAATCCGTTCTTAACTTCGGTTTATTTCTCTTGCAACCTGTTCACCTTGACTACTCACTAAATCAATCATCTTCAACATGTCTTCAAAGAGAAAGGCATCTGCTCGAAGCATGCCGGCTCAGAGCGCAGCCAAGAAGCCGAGGCCAGAAGAGCAATCTGACTCGGAAACTTCTTCGCAAGAGGAGGAGATCGATTATGATGATCCAGACCTCAATGTATCCTACGTGGGTAAAATCAAGCTACAAAAGCCACCTGCACGGCCTAAGAGGCAGAGATGGACTCATGATGGTGATGAACCTATCATCTCGGCGCTGGATGTACCCAAAGGGTGGCATGGCCGAGAGCCAGAACTGGATCCCGAGTAAGTTGCATAGACTTTTGGAGAAGAAGTGAGTATTTTCACTGACCCATCTTTCTTATAATTCCTTGGAGATCTTGACGCTCAGATCGCCCGGTGCAAGGAGCGAATCGATGAGGACAGGATTATGCTACTTGTCTTTGAAAGAAAGCTTAAGATGTTTGAGAGACAGAAGGCCGAGAAGGAGTACGTTCTCGTTCTATCAGAAAGAGTTTTTCAGACCCTTTCCAAAGCTAACTCGTCATTCTGTATTCTAGCGCACTGATGAAAAAGTACCCGGGGCTGGAGTAGTACATTATCAAACGAATTATCCAGCTGGAGAGCATTGCAAAATGGCCTGAAGAGCGGGACGATGAGGAGCGACGAGATGCCGAGCTGATTCCAACCGTCCAGGCCATTATAAAGGAATATCGCAACGACGAACTAGATATGCACGAAGGCCTTGTGACATACTGGTCTGGGGGATGAAGGCTTTGCGAGCCAAGACCTTTTTCACATGCCGAGATGGTTGCTATCATGGAGAGACACAGCGAGGAAAAGGGATTCTGGGTCGAGGAAGTAGGTAGACCTTAATCATCAGGCTATGGATGTGATCCATGAATCTAAATCTTTCAAAATTTTCACAGGGCCCTGCGACAGTTTTCAGTGGAAAATTGATGAACGAGATCGGATGCCGTCCAATTCACCTCGGAGAACAGAAACTGGTACGTCAACGTCGGGTTTTGGTCCGATCTCAACCAAGATATACCCTGCAGAAGATTAATTCCTGGGTTGCCAACTTGAATTCTTCGGACGATTCTAGATGGACATACGGGTCTGACTTCCCGGGACTCAGTATTACCTGATTTTCCCCTTCGTCGACGACACCGGGGCCGACTTCATGACTCTTATGGAATCGGATATCATCGATCTCATAGATAATAACCAGCAAAATGACATCACCGTGGCATTCCCAAATCGCATCAACGTGATACAAATCCAGACAATCACTGGCACAGACGAATTTCTCGACCATCACAGGATGGAGGTCGCGCTTGCTGACGGGAATGGTGACCTGATAGATGTCCTCATGGTGGAGGATCCACTTGGTCCGACCCCGAACAGAGTCAATGGACCATGGATTCGATACAAGCTGCACATGGCTAATGCTCCGACTGCCACAGCCACGAGGTGGATTTTCCGCAATAAAACTGCTCTGGCAAACGGAACAGCTGTGGGCATCCCTGTGGCGAACAGAGTTCTTCCTCCATAAGCAGCTCATCAGCCCTTGATCCAACCACTGAATTTTACGTTACGGCCTAGATTCACCATTATGATTCTGGATTGAAGCCGCTCATTTGACTGCTGGGGTTTGTTGACTCTGTTCTGTTGGATCATTTGTTGACTTTTGGCAGAATTACCTCCATATTAAGTGAACTTGGGATCTTGCCTGCTTTTTTGGATATGAAATTATGTTGCTCGTTTGACTCCTTCATTGATTTACGTTGTTTTCGTGTTGATCTTTGCTTTTGGTCTTTTTTGGTGTCTTTCATGCTTGATGTAATGTTTGCCTAGGAATGAGTTCAACACGTATATTTTCATTGATCACAATCCCAAGATTCTCGGGACATGATAGAGTACTATGAACAGATGGATTGGTATCGATATAGGCAAGGACGAATAAAAGACGTCCAAGAATCCCTTCTTGCACCTTGAAACCCAATAACAATCGACGCCAACCTGAACAAATGTCACCATCTAGGTAGCAAAGTAGACGAAGCAAAAGGAAGAGAAAAAACACAAGTTGGATTCCCAGGTTGTACTCCGTACAAAACACCTCATATGATAGAAAGATAGAAAAGCCTCCGTTCCCATTCCATGCAGTCATCGCCCGGATCCAGGTTCTCGTAAGTAACGAACACCAAAGGTTTCCCATATATAGCGTTGGGCTTCGACAACGAAGCCCGTATTTCAACGGACATACACTCTCTTTCTAATTCAAAACGCTGATCAAAATGACATTTGCCTTTGCAGCAATAGCAGAACGGAAATAGGGGAATCTTCATTAAGGGGAGGGATGAGCGGGAAGAGAAGTTGATACAGAAACCACGACCAAAAAAAAGTCCAAAGAAACCATGTCTATCGGGTATAGGTTCCAGCCCTTCGCCATGAGCCACAGACCAGCTCAGCCAGTCATGACATCGATATCGGAGACTGAGGTCCAATGTTTACCGAGCAGGCAAATGACTTGAACCTGATTCCGCAGAGATCTCATGTTGGTGTGGGTGATAATGTATCGAGTCGACTGGCTTCGAAGGGAGAGATGGCGAGGCACTCGGTTTGGAGGTGGAGGGTTGGAACAAACCAGCCCGAGCGGGAAGTGGGGAGAAGAGAGAATTGTGGGACGCATCGGGCCCTGGAGAGCGCCGTTCGAGGAGATGGCCCGGGTGTGGCTGAGCCTTTCGAACGTCTAAGGGAGAAGAACTATGAGATCGGAATCCAGATTTATGCTCAGTGTCGTAGTCTGGATTTCGAAACGGCCCTTGAGCGGGGTGACGAGGATCCTGCTCGATGCCGTAGGGGGTGTTGTTGGCGGATGAGTTGGCCGCCGACATATTCTCGGGAATAGTGGACGCAGATCCATTGGGCGCGTTGATATCAACTACCCGCTTTTGAGCTGCTGGTGTGGCGTACGAGGATGCCGGGGGCCGATGATGTTGAGAGTATTGGTGCTGTGGCTGTTGTTGATGGATGGGATGTTGAGGATTGGCCCAGGGCGTTTGCTCTAGGAAGGCTTCCTCGGCGGCTGTGCGGAAAATGCTGGACGACATGGCTGACACAGTACCACGAGGGGGCATTGCCGATGAATGTGAATGTCGTGGAACCGACACTCGCGTCTCGATAGTTATCTAAGACTCTCTGTCAGTGATGCTCGCATGCCCAAAGACTCGGTTTAACTCACCCCCATCTTCTCCAAATCATCGTCCAATTCGGACGGACGAGCTCCCAATAAAGTCGGCGCAGCCGGGAAGCCAACATACTTGGCAACACCAGCCATGATGGAAACCTCATGGTTGTAGGCGGTCTGATGTGCGATTTGCTGCGATCGGCGGGTCGGGAATGGCACAATATGGTGCGGGCTCAACTCATCCGTCTTGAAACGATCATGCTGGATCGCATAGAATCGCTTGCTGATCGCACTTGAATGGCGTTCACGTACATCTCGAACGCGCTGGAAAAAGGTGCTGTGACCCTGCGCTCGCTCGGCCAGGCTCTTATTCAACAAAGCCTTCATGCGGTAGCGGTACAAGGTGTGCTCGTATTTGATTTTGGCGTCCCGGTAACGTTGCACACATTCAATCTGACGCAGGTACTCGGGATGCGTCGGATTCGGACCTGTCAGCATTTCCAACTCGCGATTGAGCTTTGTGATCCGTTCATCGTAAATTCTGTCGTACTTGTCAGCAATCGGAAATGGCATTTGAGGGGGCCTGTGTAATCATACTTGTCTCGTAACGTCGCAAACTCCTTCTCCAACGTCGCCAATGATTCCATGGCAGACATCTTTTTCGCAGCTAGAAATGGGATTTAGTGTCACATTCAATAGGGCGAACTTTGAACGAAACTTACACTCTTCTTCCACCCGAGCAGCGGCTTCAGCGTCATCGACTTCGTCGACAGGTTCCGTTGGTTCTTCAACTTCACCAAGATTGTCGTCAGCAGCATCCTCTATACTAGCGTCTGCATCGCCAGTCTCTGTATCCTCGTCTCCATATTGGACTCTCCTTCCTTTCCGCTTACCCTTTTTGCCCCTTTTGCCCTTGGATGGTATAGCGGGCAGTTCTGATTCGGGGATGTCGTCAATAGGCAGCTCATCGTCCATTATTGGAGCTGGCTCATCATCCATCATTGGCTCCGGTGAAAGAGGGGTATCGTCATCGATCGGGTCACTCAGATCGCTCTTGATGGAGCTTCGGCGTTTCTTGAGCGGCTCGTCTTCGCCAAGCTCGGTCCCGGTTTCGTCGCCGGCTTCAACGCGTTTGCGCTTCTTTCCGATACTATCGGGGAGTTCGACATCGTCGAGATCGGCATTCTCGTCATCGATTGCGTTGCTGGAGGGCCGGCGTGGTTTGCTGGGCGAGTCGTCCACTAGGTGCTCGTCATCGTCGACATCGTCAAGGGTGGTAGACTGGTGAAGCTTGCTGGGACTCGGACCAGCGCTGCCAGTGCCGCCAGCGCTGAGCACAATGTCACGTTTTCGAATATTGTGCGGGGAGTCCTCGATGCGCTCGGTTTCTGCCTCCGAGTCGTTTTCCAGCTGCTTCTCGAGCTTGGGCGAGTCGTCAAAGTCAGATGGCTCGTCGTCGGAGACGTCGTCGATCTCACTCAAGCTACTCGATCGTCCGTCATCCATGAGAGGGTCATCCAAAAAGGGATTCCGCTCGCCATTGGTCATGGTTGACTCTGCCCCCGTTGTCGGACCAACTGAGGTCTGCTCTCTGCTCTCAGCCACTTCCATCGGTAGCTATGATAAGAGGCGGAGTATGTAGATAGTGTGGTATAGGAAGGAGGGAGGGTATATAGGTGGGAGGATGGTTGTGGTCTGTCGAAGGTAGCTCTCGGCAGAGTGGTGCTTGTCGGTAGGAGAGGGGTCAAGAGGGGATTGTCACCAAACCGCCTGAAAAGAGGATGGTTATTGTTCTAGATCGGACAAAACATCGATTAGCTCAATTGCCATTGTGTATGGGCCAGAATTGACCCTAGAATAAGTAGTGGAGGAAAAATGAGTGAGCGGGTGCGAGAGGTAGGTGTCTGCACTCCAGAAGGCGGTGCGGAGATTGATCATCGCCGGAATCCCCCCAGAGTCGGCAACGAGCGCCCCAGAGCAGCCTGGCACCTCGCGCAGGGTCAAGAAGCGATGAAACAGCTCCCCAGACACCAGACAGTCATAGAAATCCACGGTAAAAAGGAAATATTGGGCAAAGAAAGATGTAAAAGTCGCAGCGACCTACCGTTGCAACAATGCGCCGGCAGCGACGCTGGTGAGGAGCACAGCTGCTCGCGATCGAGCCCGGTTCTCACTGCCACCGCGTTTCTGGCCCACCAAACTCTGACCACAAGTATATCCACGCGTCTCGCCGGTATATAACGTCGTCACAGGCCGTGGGATCGCCGGGGCGCCAATGCTGGAACGGCGAGGGGAGGTCAGCTAGGACGTGGGTAACACCACAGTAGAGGGCCGCGGGAGGGGGGTCGGCATGTATAGGCACGGGATAGGCGTAGCTGAGGTCGTCGCAATGATCGCAGAGGGCTATGGGAAAGGAACTCGAGTCGAGGGGCTCAGAGAAAGAGGAGTGAAAGCGACAAGACTGCTGTGATGGGGTCCAGCAACAGAAGCGAGTGACGGGGTTCTGCCGCGTCTCGGCGAGGGCGAGGCTCACCGCCTGCAAAAACTCCCTGATCACGTGGTGCTGACGTCGCCGAAGACGGCCTCCTGAAAGACTAGCAACAGCAATGTTGAGAAGAACAAAGTAAGAGCCAAAGAGAGAAGAGCTTGTGGACAAAAAGATGCAGTTTCGAATAAGGAATATGGCATTATTTACTCACAAAATTGCGGCACAGAGGTGTCGATAACTCCTCGATCTACACTGACGACTTTCCAAAAATCCAAGTCTGTTCATAAGTCCTATCAGCATGATATTTTCAGCTTCAGTATTTTGTTCAATCGGGACTCACCTTTTTTCTGCTTGTTCCAAGTATCAATGTCGTCGTTGATATCTTTCAAGCATGGAGTACAAAATCATGTGATGCGCGCAGCTCCCGCGCCAAGACCGATAAGCCCCAAGAAAAAAAAAGTTCGGAGATATGCGCAGTCTTCCCCAGCGATCTTCGACTCAAAACATTGAACAAATTCCGGAGAAGGAAATTTCTTCTGGGATAAACAGATTTCTCAAGATGGGCAAGAAATCTAAATCACAGTCCAAATCGGTCACCGAGGCCCCCGGCAACGGTGGCCTGCCCTTCCTGGGCAGCGCACCGCTGGACGCGGGCTTGTCTTCGCTGTTCGAAAAGAGTGTAAGTTTTCTCTGTTGTCAGACCAAAAGAAAATCCCTGACTGAATGGATTCTAGGCTGGACCGGTGAAAACCCCCACTGTCAAATATGTCGCGTTCAAGCCGAAGAAACAAGTGAAAGACACCGAGGATGTCGCCGAATCGGAGGAAGACGAGGCTGAGTCTGAGGACGAGGTGATGGAGGATGCCGGCGAGGATTCTGCTGAAGGAAGCGAGTCCGAGGCTGAGGAAGAAAAGGCACCAGACACCCAAGGCCGCAAACGCAAGAGAGGAGGAGCAGAGGATGACCTTGAGGCTTCATATATGCGCCGCATCGAGAAGGAAGAGCAGAGAGCCGAGGACAAGCGCAATGCCGAACAGGCCAAGCGCCAGAAGCCTTCCGAGGAAGATGCTGACAAGAGTGACGCATCAGAGGCAGAGGCTGAGGAAGATGCCGAGTCTGACCACAGCGACGAGGAGGAGGCTGGCGAGAAGGAGCCTGTCCCCGTGCACGAGAGTCTGTCTGGCAGCTCCAAGGCCAGTGAGGTTGAAAAGTCCAACCGCACAGTCTTCTTGGGCAACGTCTCTACCGAAGCCATCAAGTCCAAGGCCGGCAAGAAGACTCTTCTCCGACACCTGGCATCCTTCTGCTCCAGTCTGCCCGAATCCTCCGGCCCGCACAAGGTCGAGTCGATCCGGTTCCGCTCTGTGCCATTCGCCAGCGGTGGTGGCATTCCCAAGCGTGCCTCTTTTGCTCGCCGCGAGGTTCTGGACGACACCACCCACAGCACCAACGCTTATGCCGTCTACACCACCATCCAGGCTGCTCGCAAGGCCCCTGCTGCTTTGAATGGAACTGTGGTTCTGGACCGTCATCTGCGTGTCGACAGTATTGCACACCCTGCCGAGATTGACAATAAGCGATGCGTCTTCGTGGGCAACCTGGACTTTGTGGATCAAGAAGTAGCCGGCGAGGATGAGAATGGCAAGAAAAAGAAGCCTCGCAAGCCCTCCGACATTGAAGAGGGTCTGTGGCGGATATTCAACGCTCACACTGGTGACACCAAGGACAAAAAGGCCGTCAAGAAGAACGTCGAATTTGTGCGTGTGATTCGTGATAGCAACACTCGCGTTGGCAAGGGCTTTGCCTACGTCCAATTCTACGAGGGTACCTCTGTGGAACAGGCTCTTATCCTCAATGAGAAGAACTTCCCTCCTCTGCTGCCCCGTAAGATTCGCGTGACCCGCGCCCGGAAGATGATGAAGAGGCGCGATGACTCGGGCGGCAAAGGTCCTCGTGCTGGCGACCTGGCTCAGAAGACTCTTCAAGGTCGTGCAGGCAAGCTGCTTGGCCGTGCTGGTGCGTCCAAGTTGAAGAGTGCGGGCAAGGGTGGCATTGCTGGTAACTCATTTGTGTTTGAGGGCCACCGTGCCAGTGAGGGTGGCTCATCGACTTTGAAGGTGAAGGTGAAGAGTCGTGGTGCCAAGGGCAAGCCCAAGAACCGCAGCAGCAAGCGTGCGGCTGCTTACCGGGCCGCTGGTGGCCAGAAGCCATGATTTGAAGATCAAAAAGAAGTGTGATATTGTATCTTATTGGCGTTGGGAAGGGCATTCGAATTAATTGCAGATATCATCAACTGACGAGTCATCTCTACAATCTGATCGTACGGCAATGAAACTGTCATGGAGTCGGTACGTCTATTCCTCCGATGACAGGCTCTACTTATAACAAGAATGTAATATCGATGAAAATCTCCAATCGCGTAGTCTTTAAAATTCATAAATTCTACAGAATCTCCAACCTAACCTTGTCAATGACCATAGACATTGAGATTGTACTGACGTATGTATCTGCCTGCGTATGGTTCAGTCAGGTGGAACGCGGGGCAAGCTGAGCGACTCTACGAGGGAAAAACCACCAACACCATTTAGTAAACGGCCGCTCCTTGTACAAATGCTTACAGATGTCGCCACTTTATGTTCGAATCAATAGCTAATCATTTGTCTTCAATTTTGTGGGTTGGTTTGGGTGTGGGTTGTTAGAGCGAGATCTCACGGAGATCGAACTGTCGATCTGCGATCTACAGGGACCCGCTTATTTTCTCGACTTGGCCTTTCACCAACACCAACACACCTCAGCATAACATCTGTATTACTCATTCTCAACGTCCGTCTTGCTTTCAAGTTTCGATTTTCAACTTTGTCTCTCTCTTGGAGAAATATTTCCATACTTACTGCACTTTCCACGATGATACCCCACGGCGCACGGCGGGCCATGCATCGAATTAATGAACAAGCAATGAATGAGAACGAGCAGGCAGACACTTCCGAGACTCACAACTCCAATCTCGAGGTGCTTAGTACCCCATTGATGATCATATTTCTTGACGGTGATACTAATAAGAGCTTCTTTCAATAGACTCCCGAATGTCTGCCAAGTGCCTGGGACGTCCTCCGAGTACGCGGTCTATTCCAATGGAAATTAGGAGTCCCCGTCGAGATCATAGACGAGATCATCGACGAAGCCGAATACTGGCCATCCAGCACATCCACAATGACCCAGCCAGAAAAAGGCCATCGAATAATCAGAAAAGACCGAGACCAAGTCCTCCTCAAGACAGTCCCGCTCTGCTACGACCGAAAGGTGTGTTTTCATTTCACGAGGGGTTGAATCCCACCCACCAATGACGTATGCGCTAACAAAATATCCCCCCCCCACGATAAAGCAACTTGAACGCTCACCCGATTCTCCACGTCCACTCCCGCACCGATCATCTAACCACCCATGCCGGAAGATTGTGTTCCGCCTGTCATCTAATGACCAGGGAGCTGGCCATGTTCGCGAGAATATGTATGAACACTCTTGGACGTGGTTTGATGCGGTGGTTATCCACGGCGCGCATGCGCGGAAGATGTATATCGATGGCGAGGAACAAGAACTTCTGGACAATGAAAAGGGCGAAACGGCGATATCGCATGAACCTGATGATCCTCTTTTGTTGCCCCGCGCGGACAAGATCCGGGTCAATGGTGCCCGGGTGGGTATGGTACAGGACATTGAGCTTATTTGGCATTATCGGGATAACATACAGCCTGATTCTCCTGCTGCGTATGATATTGAGAAGACTACGGGCCGTGGCCGTGCTACTCTTGATGGACGGTTTGTGCGTGAGTTGCAAGTAGGGGATTCAATTGCTGTTTGGGCGCGCGCGCGATTCCCTGGCTGGGCTAATCATGTCCATCGTGCTTCTGTGACTGTGTATTGGGCCGTTTGAGGGGGGGAGGGGGTTATTCTATACCAAATGAAGTGAAGCTTTAAAGCGTCTCGTGATTTTAAATTCGTTTTCACGGATTCAGTTTATGTCTTTCCGGATGTCTTCAACCCGGAAGGATAGTACTAATGATGGCCTCATCCGTCGTGTCATACTGCAGACCTTTAAGTGTAGAACTTTGTTGAGCACCTAGGGTTATTCATCATAGGAGCCATTAAAGGGCAAATAAACCAATCATAACTGTGCGAGAAGTCAGTAACATGCTCGATCAACGATATCTACAGACATGGGCTAATTTTGGCCTGATCCCAGCCTGAGGCACCAAGGCCGCAACTCGATCACGCAATTTCGCCAAGACCTCCAGATCGACGTGACAGGGCGAGTATAAGACCAAACGCCCTCCTCGACCAGCTTTCTTTCCCTTTTCCACCTCTCAATCTGCTTCTGAGCCACATTGACGAAGCTCAACGCTCGTCCGAAACCCCCATCAATATGCTCCCTTGAACAGACATGGGAATGCCCATCCCAAGGGCAGCGACACCACAATTCCCCCTCCATCGCCCGTTTTCCGCCTGGCAGAACCGACGCAGCCGACCAGCCGACCAGCCGAAGCCAAGCGCAACCAGTGGGGCTCACTGCATCTCTCGGCCGGCAGCGCTCAAAACACAACTTGGTCCTTGCCAGTATCCTGATGATCAGCTGATCAGCTGAGATGAGAAACCCTTGCCCAGCGGGTCGAGTCACGATCGTCGGTTTGAAAGGCGCAGAGGCCACGATACCACAATGATACGGTGTGTCATGGATACGCTTCTCCAGAGAGAAGAGGGGTCCCCGGGAGGACTTTCGTGCCTCCCAAGGTTGATCGTGATCGCAGAGTGTAGTGCCTTCCCCGCTTGCGACGTCCCGACTGGCTGGTGGTTGCGTTATCTGGACCGGTTGAATGGTGATCGGAGTCTTACGCATTCCTTTTGCCATTTTTGCACGTCCATTCCTGCGATCGTGGCCGTGGACTTCTTGGCTTTTTGGGGTCTTGCACAACCCAAAACCCCCCCTTTGTGGAATCCCCCCGCGGCCCGCGTGGCTCGATAACTTTGCGGTCTGCGGATGAGTCCAGTTCTTATTTAGATACCCGAATGAATCCCATTTTTTTGACTTGCATTTCTCCCGCCTTCCACTTTTCTAACTCTGCGCTCTTCGTGCATCTCTACCACCCTCTTTGTTCCCCCACTTTCTGGTTCCTTTGTTCTTTTTTGTCTATTCTGAGTGTCCCTCCACACATTCTCTCGCAGCCATGGCTACCAGGAATTGCGCAGCTGTCGTCGTGGGCGCTGGCCCAGCCGGTGTGGCCGTCGTGGGCAACCTGCTAGAGCGCCAATTGGGCACAATAGCCTGGATCGATCCTAGCTTCGAGTCCGGCCGTGTCAATCGGAAATACCGCGAGGTTCCCAGGTGGGTAGTCTATTGGCCGTGATCCCGATCTGAAGAATCTCGATTAACGAGCCCAATGTAGCAACACCAAAGTCGCCCTCTTCCAGGCGTATGCCACGGCTGTACAGCCCTTCCAGACGGTCATCGAAAACACCCCTCGACCAAATGCTTTTACCACTATGGCCAAGCTGGACCAGGAGAAGACGTGCCATCTGCACTATGCTGCAGACATGATCCGCGGGATCACGGACGGTCTGATCAAGATGGATCGAGTCCACGCCTGCCGCGGGTTCGTGACTGCAGCCAACCTTAGCAGCAGGGTAAATCGAGACCCCTCACCCCAAGATGATCCGTGCCTGTACACCCCCGACGTACAACTAAGTCTCTGCACATCTCACGCAAAAAAGGCTAATAATGACATCATATAAACAGACATCCAGCGACTCCCAATGGACCGTCCGCATCAAGCAACACGGCTCACCCGACGAACTCACAATCGAGACAACCCGTCTGATCCTCTGCACAGGATCCCACCCAACCAACATCCCCGTCCCCGTCCCAGGCCTAGACATCACCCGCCTAGACCTAGACACCGTCCTCAAACCATCCGAACTCGCAACAACCCTCCCACCCAACACCCCAACCACAGTCGCCGTCATCGGCGCCTCCCCACAGCGCCATCCTCGCCCTCCTCAACCTCGTCACTCTCGCCCGCGACTCCCACCCCCACCTACGCGTGAAATGGTTCACGCGGCACCCGCTCCGCTACGCGGAGTACATGGACGGCTGGATCCTGCGCGACAACACCGGTCTCAAGGGTCTAGCAGCGGACTTTGCGCGCGCCCAACTCGAAGACGACAAGTTGCCCACGTCGCCCGCTGGCCGTGTAATCGAGAAAATCGACTGCGGGGGCGGCGAGTCCCGCGAGGCGGCGCAGTATCGGGCTGAGTTGCCCAGTTGCTCGCATATTGTTCATGCGGTGGGATTCACGAGGGATCCGCTGCCGCAGTTGGCTAGGGATGGGGAGGCGTTGAGTATGGAGTTTGATCATGGGTCGGGCAAGTTCCATGAGCGTGGAGATGGGCCTGTTGTTCCTGGGTTGTTTGGGGCTGGGATTGCGTTTCCAGAGAGGGCAGTGGATCCACGTGGGAATGTGGAGTATGCAGTGGGGTTCTTTAAGTTTATGAAGTTTTTGAAGAGGGTTGTTCCGGATTGGGTGGTTTAGATGAGGATCTGTCTAGATTAGATGGGGATGGGAGTATTATATCATGTACTCGGATCCCCTGGCCTGATCATTGGGTATAGATGTCATTCTTATATATATGCATCGCTTTGTTATTTATACCTGGCGCATATGGAGTTTGGTCTTTGGACTTCTCTTTCTTTCGGGCGGTTTTTATTTCCTTGTTGCCCGGCCTCGGGGTCATTATCACTTTCTATGGCTCGTCGCATGCTTGGGTCCAATTCAACATCCCAAATCCATGTATGTCATGCATTATGTCCATGAGTCTTTCATAAACAACTTTTTTGGTTCCCATATATTACCCGTCATCTCATAACATATCATAACCCATCATCTGCACTGTAAAGACCGGCTGCGATATGTCCACGAGGTTCGTAAATCGTGGGTATCCTGGACACATCCATCTTGATCTTCACCTCCATCACCATTCCGGAGCATCACTCATCACCTCCCTACCGTACCAATTCCAACCCTCAACCCTCAACCCCTTCACATCGCCATCAACACCCCAACAACCAACCCAATCAATCAATCAATCAATCAACACTCTATTAACCTGATGCAGCCTAACTAGTGGCGTAATGGCTATGCAGGCGCTTCCTCCGGCGGAAGCAAGAGTATTCCGAACGCCAGACCCGCGCATGAAACAGTAGATACATAGGAAATCGGCGTATTGCCATATAAAATCAGCCCGAAAATCACCCAAAACAGTACCGAAACGCCCGCAATGCCCTCAATCCCACGATATATCTTTCAATCAGCCCTCACAACGGCCTGCTGCTCCCTCCGCATCTCCATCTCTGCTTTCCCTCTCTGGCATCCCCATCCTCCTGCTTCGTTCTCAATTGGTGGCGTTCATCGTCGACTGGCGTGTTGACATGTTGGATGTATTCTTCCAAGACCTCTCGGTCGGCCTTGGGCTTGTCGTTCCTCCTACCCATCGTCTTCACCACCTGCGCCTGCCAGTCTATCCTGGCTCGTTGTTCCGTCGCCTTCTTTTGGTGGTTCTGGCTCGATTTCGACGTGCCGGAATTGCCCCAGGAGGCCTGTTTGTAACATGAATTCGGCCACGTAGCGGGTAGCCTGCGAGTGCGATACAATTGCATCGTAATCCGTCGAATCCCCAAGATCAGTCGCCCTGACCTTGTCAAGGAAGGTCTTCCTCAGATCAGCGTACAACGGGCACTGCATTAAGACGTGTCTCGGTGTTTGAGACCCTTCTCCACAGTAACACTGATCTGATTCGACCGCCTTGATCTTGAATAAGAAGTGGTTCAGTGCAATGCGCATTGATCGCATCTGGATCAGAATCGAGGTGTATGGCTTCGAGAGAGACTCGAACAGCCGAAGCACCTTCTTGTCTGGGGCCTTCACCAATCGTTGGTTCGGCTTGCCAGTTGTCTCCTTCGCCCACTCTTGTGCCCATCTCTCTTTAATGCGCCGCCGCACACGGCGCTTCGCGGTCGATGCTAGAAGGACACGATCGCTGGGGGATCCACTACACGCCGAATCACCGGCGGTAACAACCAACCCAAGCAACCCCCCAAACCCACCAACCCCATTCGCCGCCGCCGCATTAGCACTCTGCGTCGCACCAGCCTCACTCCCCGTCCCACTAGCACTAGCACTAGCACTCCCACTCCCACCATCGGTCTGACTAGCACCCGCAACAACCCCCCGATCCACCCCCGTCGCTGTAACCGTATACGTCGCCGAAGCCTGCGACCAAGTAATCACCGTCCCACTCGGCGGCGCCGTCACCGTGCCCGCAACATTATGCAGCGTCGACGTCCCGTTCTGGGGGAAATCGCCCGGTCTGTAGTACTTGTTGTCTGTGTCCGAGAAGCCGAGGTTTGCGCAGTCCGTTGACGACAGTGTGTTGTCGCAGGTGGACCAGGCGAAGTTCGGGATGGAGGTGTACAGGTTTGGGAAGGTCGACGGGAAGAAGAGGGGCCAGAGGTCGGCGCCGGCGAGGGTGGGGACTGTGTTTGGGCAGACTTGCCATGCTCTGGATGTGCTTTGAATTAGTCTCTTTCTTTTCCTTTCATTTTTGTTGCCCTGTGTGTGGGGAGGGGGGGAGGTGAGACGTACGAGGACAAGCTGGCGCTGGCGCCGCAGCAGGCGCAGTCTGTTGCTGTTCGTGCGATATCGGGGATATTAGCTAGGTTGCCTAGATTCGAGAGGTCGGGGATGTCGTTGAGGGCCTGGTTCGTTATGTTCTGGACGCAGGAGAGTTGGGCCTGGCGGGCGGAGAGGGTGTTTGTGAGGACTTTTCCTAGACTGCAGGAGCAGCGGTTTGGTGCGTTGTCTGGGGCTGGCCAGAAGGGGATTGGTTCGGTGGCGCTGGGGCATACGGCGAAGTATTGTTGGACGAAGAGTTGGTATTCGCAGGAGTAGACCTGGATGTGGGAGATAGTGTCAACTTTTGTTTGCCGGTGGAGTAAGACATCTTTGTAGGTCGAGGCTTGTCAAGGCTTGGGCAGGGTTGTATGGCGGAACTAGACAACGGAAGGAGACAGACCTGGTTCCAGCAGGAGTGTGCCATGCAATTGATATACTGCTGGTGTGCAGTACATCCACAGTCCACGATGCAGTCGCCATTACCATTGCAATTGTTTATGCAGGAGCGCCATGTATCTGCAACATTGCGGTTACAGTCTGAGTAGACGGACTCGGCGACACAAGCACTGGCGGTGATGTTGGTTTGTGCAGAGGCGAGCTGTGCAAGTCCGGTCATGGCGGCTGCCGACACGGCGAGGTAGATTATAGACGGCATTGTGGGGAGTACACAGTACTTGACAGTGATATTCGACCAAGCTGAGTATGTGGTGAATGAGGTGGCACTGCGGATCGAAACCAACGCATTTGATCCGGGGCCAACGATGAGATATTATATAGACCGCCTCTCGAGGTAGACTGGTATAATTAGAAATCGTTAGTCCTTGGATCCTCGGCTGATGCATGATCGCATCCATCCCTCTGCAGGGCCAGCGGGTCGATCAGTGCATTGGTGCATTCGTAGTAGAACCGCAGTGTCAGCGCAAGCTCAGGCTGGGGCTTGAGCTCTGCCATTGACACTGACACTGACACTGGGCATCGGCACTACAGTATAACCCGAGAACCTCGCAGGCATCATCGTCACACAGGGAGATACCCAACGGGCCAAAGCGAAAGCCGTGTATCACCGCTAGTGACTACTAGTGATGATGACTGAATGCTTCCAGCTTCGAGGCCATTGATCGAAGCCCCCTGCTTGCATATCTCACATGCACGTAGGCAGTCACTTTTTTCTTCGACAATGGGCGAGGGCTGCCAAGTTGGATGAGTGATGAGTCGACTTGTCGTGCCTTCTGGGGCAAGCTATTACGGTGGTGCCCCGCATGGTAGTAGACCCTTGCTGATAGATGCCAGACACACGAGGATAGTGTGGGTCTGGTGGTGATTATGCCACTATGGACTGGTGAGCCTTGCATGATGTTCGTTCGGAGGGGTGCGGAGGGAGCCCTTGATGACGGCGAGGTCGTATTGACAGAAGTGCAGGGCTTTGAGAATGGAAGCGGTGCGAACGTAAGAAGCACTCGGCTCTTGAGTTCTGGAGTCTTAACCAGGACGATGCGGTTTGCAATGGTCGCAGTTGTCAAGGCCAAAATCTGGACATGCCCCATAAAACTCCCGTGAAAGTGATCTCTCTGAGAGACTGGCCTTCTTGTCCTCTAACGGGTTTGTGCCAGAGTCCAGCATGACCCATCTGGGGCTGAGCTCAGTCGAGATGGCAATGGCACTTGTGAAACACCGCATGGCAAGCATGGGCTTTACTCGCAGGTAAGCAGTCGTCGCAAGGCTATGATGACATTGACAATCCATCGTGGCAGAGTCGATTGATCCGCTGGTCAGGTATCCACGCCGAAGAATCAGCAAGGAAAGGCCATCCCACGCGTCCCTGGATTATCCCCGGCGTTCCTGGCGGTGGAGTGGGACTGAGGATTGGCTGGAGCGGGCCGAATCGAGGGGCGTTCGTTTCGGCAGTCGAGAGATCACATCAGATCTCATCAGATCCGAGATGTCTCACCCCCTGCCGACTGGTTGAGCATTGGCATTGGCGTTGGCATTGGCAAAGCAGGATGACTGCATAGTCGATTCAAGTGACAAGAAGTGTTGGCTCATCCCTTAAGCGGTCAGTTCTTACTTCGTGTTCTGGCCTTGCGGGGTGTCGCATTGTCCTGAAACCTGAATGGCATAAATGTCGAGTATGACGTCGCTTGATAAATCGCCTGGATCGGATAGAAGCGATGCCACTGCAGTGATCGTCTTGACTCTCAACCAAGTTCCGCATTGGAGGTGATGTTCTCCTTCCGATTGAGGCAGAGATCCAATCGTCACCGCTCTATGCATCGTATGCTTACCGAGTTAAGTGCTGTCGGGGCCAGCTATGCCTGTGAATGTCCTTCTTGGTCAACACAAGCCGCGATCACCTCGACTCTTCGAAATTGACGTCCCATTTTCTGGCTGACTATTAGTCAAATCATGAGTACCATCCATGGGCCCATTACAGCACTAAGGATCATGAAACCCGCGATGGTGATCTATAAAGTTAAGCTATGGTATGATGGCAAACTTGACAAAACCTCCCATCATAGCATATACTCGTAATTATAACCAGGCTTTCAATTTGACCAATCGTCCTAATACGGCCTCTACCGATGCTGTTTTATCAATACGAAAATCCCCGGATAATCCACTCTACTGCGCGCGGGGAGTTCCAGCCTAGCCAGAAGTTGATAGCCTACTGACTGGACAAAGAGTCAGAGCCACCACAAAACTCCACCTTATCCATTGCCCTCTTCAATCAGTAACTGGCGGGACGCAAGACATTAAATACGGGCGGGACCTTCCAAATCCTGCTCAATATACTGTGAAAAATGATAACTCCCGACATACCCAGAAAATTGCAACTTCAAGAATCGTGTATGCAGCGTAGCGCACTTAGCTTCACCACTACAATATAAAGCTAACCATCTCATCACTAACTTACAAGTCTGAAGCTATGGCATTTCCCTTCCCTTCTCCGGAATCTATAATTCCCCCGTTCATTCTTCGTAGTACTAGTGTCTGCAGCAACGGCAAGAAAGAAATTACTATCGCCGCTAAGCCGTTGCGTCCCCACAATGCCGATGTTGATCCTCATTATTACCTCCGCTCAGTCCTCCAACGCTAAATCACAGGCCGGTTCTGTGCTTTAGTTGGTTAGGGCTTGGCTTCGACTAGGCTGTGACATTACGGAAAATAATTTCCCGTCTTCCTCCGTTCATACATGAATTCGTGAATATAGGAAGGGTATCTGCTCTCGGCGAGGTTGGCTGTACCATGAAGTTAAAATCAGGATACAATTTAAGGGAATAAGAAAGAATGAGTGTTGAATGAGTCGTTCTCCCAAATCGATGCTGAGAACTCACTGGATAGTTAGGTTATTACGGGGAAATTAGACGGCGATTATGAGGGAATGACTGATTTCCGGGGACCCACTGGGGGTCGATCGCGGAGGGAGGTGAGTCCGTTGTGTACGGATTGCCGACGAGTTCACATGGCACTGTACAGTAATTGCGAGAGCATTGTAGAAATCTCGTTATTGCACCGCTTCTTTCTGTATTCGGTCTACTGTATATTGACTGTGATATTAGGATATTCGGTAAGGATATTCACTATACAGCGCTGCTCAATTCCAATGCCTGTGAAGCATATTGAGCACCGAGCTTGAGCATGCGGGGGGACCACGTTCTCATTTGGTTTGGGTGGTATAGTATACCTGTGCTGTGACGTACATCTAAAGAGGTCCGAGTATGTGCTAACTTACCGAAAACAAAACAATATCGCATAGTGTTTCCAGGGATATTCACGATGTAGACTAAATCATTGGAATCTGCTTCTAAGGGTTTCTTACACGAATCTAACATTGCACCCAATTTGTTAGATTGAAGGTCTATGCCAGAGTACACCCCTTCAGACCATATGATACAGGCTTGAACGTCCAAGACTCTCAGTAATTATAAGAAAGTACTATACCCCAGAGCTAAGGAAAGTCGTGATGGTTGGGTATACACAATAGAATTCAAATCATAACAAAGTACATCCAAACACATCGAAGCCGTGTCATCGCCCGACTCGAAATCAAACAACCCCTTATGCACAGTTTCAACAATGCCAGTGATTAGACAGGATGAACAACAGACAACCGACGACCGATTACTCGGTAAACAAGTACAAGTACAAGTACAAGTTAGGCTCCCCAACAGCCCCAATCCAATCCAATCCAACCTAATCCATCTTCCTCTCCAAAAGTAAAATCACCAATCACACCCCCAAGACCCCAAGGAAAAGTCAGAATTCAACATCCAAAATTTACAGCATCATAGCCACACCAGCAACGACAGCCAACAGACCACCGGACACACGGTTGGCCATACCAGCGTTAGTGGTAGGCACCGACGCAGCAGAGGTAGTGCTAGAAGCAACGGTGCTGGAAGTGCTAGTCGAGGCAGAAGTGGAAGTAGTCGAGACGGCGGAGCTGGAGCTAGCGCTGGACGAGCTGGAAGTGGTCAAGGTAGTCGGAGTCGAGGTGCTGGAAGAAGGAGTGGTAGTCTTGGTGGAGGTTCTGGTGGAAGTAGTCGAGATGGTGGTGGTGGAGATGGTAACGCTGGAAGCGGAGGTGGTGGTGGCCACGGTGGCGCCGGAGACGGTGAAGCGCGGGGAGAAGTTGTAGTTGGAGGTGTCCTGGTCGTCGACGATTTCGATGGTGTAGTCGGGCTCGGAGGCGAGGTCGGAGGGGACGTTCCAGGTGTAGCTGCCGTCGTTGGGGATGTTGGCTGGGGCAAGGTTAGTTGGGATGAATCGTGGATGGGAATGATCCAGTAGATCCGGTGGGTAGGCGCATCGTTGTCAGAGAACTGACTGTACTTTGATGCGACTATCCGTTCCGGATGCATACTGGTCACGGGCGATGGGAGTGTACTCACAGGCAATGATAGTACCCGAGTTGGCAGTCGAGACAGTGCCGTACTGCAGGCGCAGAGTCACGGTCGAACCGCTATCAGCGTGCCAGCTGAGGGTGGTAGGCTCGCCGACGGTGAAGCTGTAACCGCCAGCAGGGTTGTTGAAGGCATTAGCCGTGCTGCTGGCCGAAGCCACGGCAGCGTAGAGCGCAGCAACGATGGTGATGTAAGAGCGCATGATTGAAGAGTGTGGTATGGTTCTTTCGAAAATGAAGTGGCCGGGGGAATAGTATTAGTATAGAAAGAGGCAGAAGAGGCGAAGCAATTCGGCAATTGAGATAAAGAAAGAGTAAGCCCGAGGCTGATCGATAAAAAAAGAGCGAATACAGTCAAAGCGATCAAGCGGCGAAAAGAGAGAAAAAGAAGCGAGAGAAAGAGCGGATAGGAAAGCCGAGCAAACGATCGCGCGAGAGGAGCGACGGGGAGAATCAGTCATATATGCACCAAAGTCACTCAGACTCGAAGCGCCCCCGTCCAAAAGGGTCGACTAACTCCTTATCGAGCTAGATCATAAATCATCATGAACTAAGCCCAACTCTGGATGGGGAAAAGGAAGCCGCTCCAAGGGCGAGAGGACTCCAACGGCCACATAGGGCCCGTTCCATGGCCACCAAGCCCGAACTAGGAAAGCACCGGCTGCGCTAAAATGGGGCCTTGGAATCAAATCGTCAAATCGCGTGTCTGCGCGATGAGTGCTAGGCGGGTTCCATTGGTCCAGATAGGAGGTTGATGGCGGAAAAAGAACGCCATCACGGGCGTGGAATTGGGTTTGCCTTGGGGATGGGCCAATGGGGGCGAGACCCACGGAAATTGGATGGGAAAAAAGGGACCAAAAAAAGGGACAGGAAAAGGGACAAAGGGACAAGGGAAAAAGTGGGAATGGGGTCTTGGAAAGTGGAATCGGTAATCTCAGCCTGATAACAGTCTGGACTCTCTGGGAGAGTCCAGTAGCCAGCGGAGGAAGGAGGACGACAGTCAAGAAACTCGTGGCAATCTCCTCGTGCCTGTCCGCAGGTCCCCGGCAGGTCCAGCCCTGCCCCTGTTCCTGTTAGTCTTCAATCGTCCACTCAGCATACCTCGCTTCGAATGCCACCCAAGTCAAAACCTCCAGTAATAGTATACTCCGTACATAACTAACATATGTAACTAGTGCTGCAGACCACTGGCAAGTTGCCCTCGGTTAGCCTGCTAGCTAGACTAGAGGGGCGCTCTAGGCAGTACTTCGGCGATAATTGCAGTGGAGAGGCGCAGCGGTTGAACTATCCCCTTTCTAGCGGGTGGGCTTTTTTCTTTCTTCGGTTTATTTTTGTACACTTTGATTTTTTTTTGCTCGGCGTTGCTGACTCCATTTCGGATGGAAAAACAAATTTTTTTTTCCAAATATCACATTTCACTCTTTCAGTTCGTGGGTTAATAATAGAAATTTTCTCCTCACATGGGATAGTCATGATGGCGGTGGGAACTTTACTACGAAGTATATACTCCGTACTCGTACAAGAATGCAAATGCCTAAGGAGGTACCAGTCAGAAAGTCGAGGATAAGCATGAGGCTCTGCGTGGTGGTTGGTCGGTCTTTGGGGCTAGTTTCACCTTAAGTTTTTGGGGTTGTGAGGATCGAGCACACGGTGATGGAGTGTGGGATGAAATGACGAGTTAGTTACTTATTTGATCATGCTGACATGTCTCAGAGCTGACGAATGGGAAATCTTATATCTTCTAATTATATACGCCGTATCGCCTGGCTGGAATGACCCGGGGGGGCTCAAGCTTGAATGTTCGATGTCGCGCGCGAGTTTTATTCTATGCTTTGCTTTTTATGAGTCGGTTACTATACCCGCTGCCGTCTTTTCCTAGGAAGGAGATTGGGGATTGGAGGGTACTCTATTCAGGAGGTGGACTGGTCGATACTACCCAAGCGCGCAGAGTACTTTTGTATTTTTTACTTTTTACTCGATAGCTCGATGCAGTCCTGTGCTAAAAGGAATGTATCCTCCTCCGCTAAGACGCCAATACGACGTATGCGAGAAAGCCAAGTACGTAGAAACCAACCAAAAAAAAAAAAAAACTCCTGTTCGTTCGCTCGTATAATTTATTCGCTGGTCCAAAACCACTAGGCTGGGGTATCCGATTGCGGGGCGCTGTTCGCCAGCACAGTGGCGCCATCATTCACACTAACGTCCACGGTGACGTTGGCATTATCATGAGAATTGGCATCAGGATTGGCACTGGCATTGGCAGTGGTACTGGCCGCGTCACCCGGTGTCAGCGCGGCTAAATGGCCGTTCTGCCCAAGCCAGGAAATGACTTCCATTGCCCGACGGTCCTCGTCAACTTTTTGCCGGTCCAGCAGCTGACATTTCCGATTGTGATTAGCTCGAGACTCCATGGGGTATAGTTTCGGTCTTCAAATGCTTGGTATGGACAGTGGAGTATCGTGGATAACCACACCACACCACATCACCATAACCGAGACCATGTAGACAAGGAATAGACACAACTCACAGCTTGAAGTAGTCCCTTTCGTCCCTTCTTCTCTTTCTCTGCTGGCTTGACCTTGGGCCCTTTCTCGCTGACCTCGTGCGAGAACTTGCACCGGTCGCCCCGATTGCATCGCCCCGTGCGCGCAAAGTGCCGACAGGCGACTTTTTTGCCTTCGCGTGGTGGCGCGGGAACCCGCTCGGGGCCCTGGCGCCGCGAGCTCACTTCCTCAGGTGCGGAGTCGTGGTCGTCGTTATCGGAATCGGAATCCGCTTCTGAGCCTGAATCTGAGCCTGAGCCTGAGCCTGAGCCGCTAGATGAGGTCCAGTCGCTGCTGTCTGAGTCTTCGGAGTCCATGTCCGAATTGGGATTGACGAGGTTCGCGGCGGCGTCAATAGCTGCTGCGGGAACTGAGACCAAGACGGGAACTGGAACAGATGTTGAAATCTCGCCTGGCAATGATTCAGGAGCATTGGGAACTTCCAAATCGGAAGTTTCCACGCCTCCTGATCCAGCATCCGTAGATGGTACGGCAGGCAGCTCAGTACCAGGCAACCCATCACTCACGGATTCCTTATCCCTCAAGCCTTGAGCTTGTCTCTGCAGCGCCTCCACCTTCAGCCGCGCAGCCTCTGCCTCAGCCTCAGCTTTGGCGAACCGCTTTTGCTCACGATCAAGATTGCGCCGGATCTTCTCAGCCTTGCGCTGCGCCTTCATCGCCGCATCGAGTGCCGGGTCTGATCGCGCAGCAGCCTCCCCAGCAGACATCGGAGGTGAAGCCTGGTGCTTGGTCTTGTGCTTTTCCTTTTCCTTCTGACGGTCCTTTTGTTTCTCCAACCGGGCCGCGTCACGGACGGCCTTGGTTTCCTCGGCAGCCTTCTTTTTCTCGTCGATACGCGCCTGCGTCGGGAACCTCTTCTTGCGCTCTGCGATCCACGCTGCTATATCGGACTGCGACTGTAGCGTCGCTGTTTGCCCTCGGTAGCTGAATTGGAGAGGAGCAGAGGCATCAGCGCTAGTTTGCGCAAGCTTGGTCTCCTCATCCACATCTTCTTCTTCCTCGCTTGACTCGTGGTCATCAGTCTTTGGTGTCAGTCCCAGCTGGTTGTGCTTTCTCTTGCGTTTCTTCGGCTTCCGCGTGGCATCGGCTGCGGGTGGAGGTTTGGAAGGGAGTGGGTTGCCGAAGCTGGGGACTGGCGGTGGTGCCGGGGTTCGAGGTACTGTTGACTGTGGCTTGCCGAACGCAGACGTATGGTCGCGCTTGTTGTTGTGATGTCGAGGTTTGGATCCGTGGTTGTTGTGCGCATGGGATGGCCAGCCTCCTCGTCCATGAGGTGCTGTTGGACCACCCCATGGGGTGCCCATCATCATCGGGTTATTTGACGGTGGACCATGCTGTGGTGGAGGTACATTGGGAGGGTAGGTTGGCGTAGCTTGCGTAGTATATGGAGCCGCGTGCGGGAGGTTTGCGGTCGGCCCGTTGTTGTACCCAGGAAGCCTTTGGTATGCAGCCGAGCCGGCGGGCTGCGAGTAAGGCTGGGGAGGTGGGTAGGTGGGCGGTGTTTGGGGATGTTGATAATTCGCTTGCGAGTGAGGATATGGTGGGGGAGGTGTCGGAGTCGGAGGCATGTACGACGTTGTCGATACGGGCTGTGGTTGAGCTGGGTATCCGTAATTCCCTGCTGCGTAGTTATACCCAGGTGGATTTGAATAGGGCGGTCGATTATTATCCAGGAAGTAATGTCCCCCTCCTCGACCGCGATTCCCATGGCCTCGACCACGGCCTCGTCCGCCAGACCCACGAGCATTCCAGTGTTGACCGGAGTGCGTAGAGGGATAGGCCGACGGTTGCTGTGTAGTGGGAGGTGGTGGGGGAGGTGGAGGTGGAAACGAGAACCCCTGCGAACTCATGATTGCCGTGCCTCTGTGAGGTCCCAGCGAAAGGACCTTTACACCATCGCGGAGCAAAGCTGCGGCGCGAAAGTTTCGGCGGAGCTCGACTTTCTGACAGCTCCGCAGGTCACGTGCAGCATCCGGACCGTTTTGGAGTGGCAGGTTTTTGATTTCGCGAGGACTGCCTTGACTGCCTGGCCCCGAGTAGGGATACAAATCAAAGCCTTCATGTCTTGTGCTGGATAGACTTGGAAATTGCTTAACTGATCTTCTGGCCGATCATCATGTTCATCCTGGTACGTTGGTGGTACTTGGACACTCGACCGGGATATCTTTTTTTTAACTTGACTCCCATAGACTACGATCTCCGATCTGATTCAGATCGCACCCGAGGACTTTTCCAAGCTCAGCGCAGTCGCGATTGAGGACAATATCAATGAGAAATATGCCAACAAGGTATGTTCATCGCCATGGCTTTACAGATAACCCCGACGATCCCTTGGAGATGCAAATATCGCTGACAACATTCTAGGTGATCCAAAAGATTGGCCTCTGCGTCAGCTTCTATGACCTCCTCGAGTCATCAGATGGTTTGATCGGACATGGAACGGGCCTGGTCAATGTGAACGGCAAGCTGAGACTGATATCTGCATCTCTCTGAACGTGGCTAACTTTGGGCCAGTGAAATTCCGCATGATCGTCTTCCGCCCTTTCAAGGGCGAGATCATGCTCGGCAAGATCTCCAGTGGCACTGAGAATGGCATCAAAAGTATGTGTCCTGGTGGAACCTGCTATGAAACATCCTCTTACTAACCCTGACCAGTCAGCGTCGAGTTCTTCAACGATATCCTCATCCCACCAGCCATGCTGATGGACGGCGCTAAATTGTGAGCTTCGCTGATTATGTTGTGCCTGGCTGCTATTCTCTTACTGACTGCTATCAATACAGTGATTACGCGGACCAAGTCTGGACCTGGGATAACGACGGTACCATATTCTATCTGGACGTGGGTGAGATTGTCCGCTTCCGCGTAGAGACAGAAGAATGGCACGACCAGATCCCCAACGCTCCAGATTTGGGTGAAGAGATTACTGAGCGAAAGCCCGCATATTCCATCTATGTAGGTTCTTATTCCGGGAGCCTTGTCTCCGTTGACACCAGCTGACAGTACTTTCTATTCAGGGCTCGATGCAGATCCATGGTCTGGGACCTATCACTTGGTGGTGAGGTGTTGCTTTTGATTCGAATCAGATAAGATTCTCTGCCCTAGGCTAGAATCCTGGAGGGCGCATATGGGAGCGGTGTACATTTCCTTCGTCAGATCAGATACCCATGCAGACCTGGTACATAGTGGACTGGGCGCAAAAATACTATTTCATTAGACATTGTTTGATATTGTGTCCTCGCTAGAGTGTGCTTTGCTATAATTGTGAGCAAGATAGAAGGGAATTGGTTCATTTAGTTAGTAAACCAAGTGCTCTCCATATATACGTCTTGTACGTACTTCTGGCTAGGGCATGCATTGTGCCTGATCTCGGAGAGAGCAAAGTACGATACTTGTCTTCTAGTCCGAAGGAGTGCTACTCATCTGTCCTATGTGCAACACTGATGGCTTAAATCTATCAGCTCTATTAGTAACATCATAGTTTCTTTGATCTCGCCTTCCGACGGTGTCCGACCCTTTACTCCTGATATCGTATAACCCCTCCGCTCTACCCCTCTTCGAGCCGTGCTTCAGCCGTGCTTGATAATCAAAATTTGGATGAACATGACACGATCACTCCGATCACTCCGATCTGTCGGCGTGTTCAGAGTTTTCTCCGACCAGACCAGCGCGGCTACGTTCGGGACGGAGCCCCAAAAGTGGAGCTAGCAGCGTCTCTGGACCAGTCACGTCTTGACGATCGATCATCTTCTGCTCCAACAAAGCTGCAGGCAACGTAAAAGAAATCCAGATTGCCGGTCCATAGTTCACGGGCCTGGAGTTTTGAATTTTCTCTCGGGACAGAAGAAAACAGGAGAATAAAAAAAAATAATTAAAAAATTTTCCACGTAGAATAATAACAACGCAATTCTTCCTTCTTCCAGTCAGGTTCAGAATTTATTTTTATTCCCTTGCTTTCTGCTTGCTAATCAAAACGCCGCATACGTCCAACCCTCCCGCGGATTTCCAAAGCCGGTGATCTCATCTTATCGTTGCGCAATCACCTCATAAAGCTTCTTTTGGGGACTATATATCAAGCAGACCAAGCTTGACTTGCTATTCTTCTTCTTGCATCGCATTGATCTTGTTTTCTCTGTGCAACAATGGGCTCGACTGAGAACGGACACGCCACTCGCCGGTTTGGCACCCTTGCGGTCCACGCTGGTGCTCCTCACGATCCCGCCACCGGCGCTGTCATTGAGTCGGTATGTCCTCGAACAAGCAGAGACAGTGGAATTGGAAGTGAAATTGGCATTGACTGACCCCCTTGTCGTAGATCTCTCTTTCCACCACCTTCGCCCAGACCAGCGTCGGCAACCCTGTCGGCCTGTACGAGTACACTCGTAGCGCAAACCCCAACCGGTCAGTCTCCCCCCTTCCTTCCTGGTACAAACGTATCGCAAACTAACACCCTGTCTCAGTGACAACTTTGAGCAAGCCGTCGCTGCTCTCGAGCACGCCAAGTATGCCCTGGCCTTCTCCTCTGGCTCTGCAGCCACTGCCAACATCCTCCAATCCCTCGCCGCTGGCTCGCACGTTATCTCGGTCTCTGACGTCTACGGTGGCACCCACCGCTACTTCACCAAGGTGGCCGCCGCCCACGGTGTGCACGTCACCTTCACCCCAACCATCGAGCTACACATCGAGGACTTGATCCGCTCCAACGAGACCAAGCTCATCTGGATCGAGACCCCCTCCAACCCTACCCTCGGCCTAGTCGACATCCGCGCTGTGGTCGACATTGCCCAGCGTCACGGCATCCTCGTCGTCGTCGATAACACCTTCATGAGCCCCTACGTGCAGAACCCGCTCGACCACGGCGCCAACATCGTCGTCCACTCCGTAACAAAGTATATCAACGGCCACTCCGACGTCTGCATGGGCGTTGCCGCGTTCAACTCCGACGCCCTCAAGGAGCGCCTCTCTTTCCTCCAGAATGCCATCGGCGCCATTCCTTCGCCCTTCGACTGCTGGCTCGCCCACCGCGGTCTGAAGACCCTGCACCTGCGCGCCCGCGAGGCTACCACCAATGCCACTGCCGTGGCCCTGGCCCTCGAGGCCTCCCCCGCACGTCGTCTCCGTCAACTACCCCGGCATCGACTCCCACCCTCACCGCAAGATCGCGCTCAAGCAGCACCGCAACGGTATGGGCGGTGGTATGCTGAGCTTCCGTATCAAGGGTGGTCAGGCTGCTGCGCACAACTTCTGCAAGTACACCAAGGTGTTTACCCTCGCTGAGTCTCTGGGTGGCGTTGAGTCGCTCTGCGAGGTCCCCTCGAGCATGACCCACGCTGGTATCCCCAAGGACCAGCGTGAGGCTGCTGGTGTGTTTGACGATCTTGTGCGCCTTAGCTGTGGTGTTGAGGATGCGGAGGATCTTACGGCTGATGTGATCCAGGCGTTGGAGCTCGCGATTGCCTCGAACGGTAGCGCATAAAAGCGCGACTTTTGTCGAGTCAATGTCTGAATGTTTTTTTTGCATTCTTTTACGAACTTAGATAATAGACGATTTCCCTTTTGTTGCTCTGCTATACTGGTCTGATCATTTGCTTTGATCGATCGGCTAGCATGAAGTTAATTTCAAAATCTTGCATTGTTTCTGCATATCCTCATACAGAGGGCAAAATATCATACTGCATTGTTCTTCTTGATCAACCCAATCTAATCTGCATAACACTATTACGGGTCCAACGAGAAGTGAAAAAGACACATTAAGAGCTGTCATTTTACGGTAGTAATACAGCACAGACCCAAACCCCAAAATTAACCAGACCAATCCAATACCAGAACGTGTTTGGACCAATGCAACAACAAACCACAAAGATCAAGCTCAGCACAATACGGATAACCAAGTCCACTGTCCCATCAACATCGGTATCTGTGTCATTCCTTCTGCTCCCCGCTCTCATTCGCGCTATATGGTTCAAGGACACATCGTCACCCCTTCCTGGTGTTGTATCTTTTGGCTTTACTCTCACTGACTTGTTGGTGACAGACTTCACTTTGATACGGTTCAAGTTGTCACCGGTGACCTTGAACGTTGTCCCGCAGTCGCAGCAGAGTTCTAGGTCGCGCGTGCCATGCTTGTCGTCCAACACGGTCTTGTAAACCTCTGTTTTGGCATTATCACTGGCATTTATGTTGATATCTGCCTTCTGGACGGGGACACGAGCTTCAACAATATTATTCCGATTCCATGAATCGGCACAGATCTCTTCGTATCTTGTGACGGGGTTGAGATTGTGAGAAGGAGGTCTGTCTATTTTGGTGCTTTGACTGTGCTCTGCGGCTAGCAGCGCTTCTGCGCGGCTCTTGCGTTTCTCCAGTACGCTATGTTCTTTTTGCAGTGTATCTCGTTGGAGAAACGGCATCAGGCGAGCAGTCTCCGTTTTCCGTCTTAGGTGTTTGCCGTAATGGACTGTCTGACCACCTAACTGGCTGGCAGATAGGTCGAGGTTCGTGTGCATGGTTTTTGATTTGGGAATCTGTGAGTGCTGAGTGGGAAGTTAGGTGAAATGGAGGAATATTCGTAGAGAGAAATTAAGGGAAAAGTTACGGGGATCTATAAAAGTGTGGTGATTACGCTGGTTATGGAGGGAGCGCTCCGTATTAGGAAATGTTGAGGATGTCGGTCCGTGGATCTATGTCATGAACTGAACCTAGACTAGGCCTAACACCCATATCTTAGCATCATTATGAACGAGTTAAATCTATGAATAGAGACTCTTTCAGAAAAATCATAATTATTGTCATTATTAAGCGTCTAGCGTCCTTGCAACATTCTAAATGAGTATTATCGAGGCAATTTAACAGCTAGCCATAGCTATCAAGACCAGCATATAGCCCATTTTCTTCTAATAAACCGAGCAATAAGTTTGCAATGTGCTGATTCCCACACTGATCTACTTACAGAAATTGCTAAGAGTCACTTCGTAGGAGCAAAAGAGCTTCTTTTATCTAGCGCAAGCCTGACCTTCTCTTGAAGTTCCGGAGATAAGCCCACAGGTGCCCGCAATGGCTCTTTCTCAAGTCCCTCTTCAACACTGCCGTGCTTCAACTTGGAATTTATCCCCTTCTGAATACACTTTCTTTCTTCCATCGAATCTTCGGCATCACTCAAGAGCCTGGCCACATTTCTCCCGATTCTAGCCATTCTAATGTCGATCTCGGAAAGTCTTCCTTCGAAGGTCTCTGATGGGTTGGGTTTGATGGAATCAATGGCTTCTTCGTCACTCTGAGATTCGCTCTTGAGTGAATCTTCCATGGACGACAGTGAGGAGCTATGTTCATCGGAGCAGGTCTCTTCATCGGAGCAGGTCTCTTCATCGGAGCAGGTCTCTTCGTCAGAACTAACGGCACCATATGTCCGACCATATAGATCGATTTCGGGGTTGACGATTTCGAAGCTACTCTCAGAATCCGAGTCATTACTATGTATCTCATCACCGTGAAGGGCGGCATCACGGTCTTGTTGAGCATTCCTTTCCAAGGCGATGATCCTATCTTGAAGGGATTCACACTTCTGCTCAACGAGAATGACTTTCTCGGACATAGCAGTGTATGTCAACAATCGGTATTTATCTGGGGTTCCGGTTGCGTTCATGATGTCTCTTCGAGTGCGGGTGCATTTGCGTTGTTGGTTGCTTTTGTATCTTCCTGCCGCATGTTGGATGGCTTGTTTAGGCTCAGAATCCATAGTCGCTTTATATTCGTAGAGAGAAGTGGGAAATGGATTGTATGGGTAGCGACGAGTTAAAAGGAAACGGAAAGAAATTGAGAGAGTGTAAGGTGTAAGAATGAGATTGTCTGTTCGTGAATGTTTTGCGTTAGTACTAATTGGGAGGTTATCCATGGATCTTCTAAGGTTGCACGATCTAATATTGGCCTCGGTGACTTGTGGCTCGCGAAGGATAATAATAAGATAATATTTGAATGTAATTACAAGGAACTGAATCAGAATTGAAATAGGTGGTTCGTCACCTTCCGCTCACTGTCCCAACCAGAGTGCCCTTCGGTGATCTACTTTGTTCTATTCAGCGATTCCCGGGTATGGTTCAGCCATTGCGCCATCCGCTCGAGTAGCTCAGACCAGATCTCTGTTTCAGTCGCTTCTGCCTCTGGGACCAAAAGTTCCAGTGTATACTGGTCACCTCCGAGAGGCAACACATTGAGCCGCGCCGGCTCTGGGGGATCTGGACGATCCAGCTTAACTGGCTGTAGCTGACTGGCATGACTTGTGTGTGACTGTTCCCTGATATTTTGAAAGTAGATGACCGCGCCAAATGATCTCACCCCAGAAGGCCAGTCTGTACAATGCTTTATAATCTCAGACAACCCGACTGTTTCGTGATCAATCGAGTCGTTGAACTGAGACTGAAGGGAATCGATGATATCTTTTGCATCTGTTGTCGTGGGTGCTACACCCAGGCCTGTCGAAGGAATTCTAATCCTCACGGGAGCAAGGTTCAGACATGGGCCAATGACATTCTCAATGTCTATGTCAGGGGAAGAAATTGTGCGTCCTGAAACGCCGCGGCCGAAAACGATGTCATTTTTGCCAGTTGTCTGAGCTAGAGCGATGCCCCATGCGGCTGTGAAGATAGTTGCGACCGTCAACTCTTTCGAAGAATGTGAGAAGTCTACAAGCTTGCGTAGTTCGCTACGCCTCCCTGGTTTCTGTACTGTCTTTGGGTCACCAATGACGGAGACGGGGATCGAGGCGCCCTGTAGCAGTGTACGCCAGTGATTGAACGCAGAGGGAGATGGGTGGACTCGAACAAAGGGCGAGAAGTCAGACACAGGAGGCACTGGATGGCCATGATACAGTGAACTGATGTACTCTGCCATCCGAGGAAGACTAATTGCATCGTAAAGAGCGTGGGAGATTCCCATCAGCAGTCGAGTCTCTTCACTATCCTCTGACTGTAAGATGACGAAGTTCACGAAGCTCGAGCTGGGTTGAATGTCTCTCTGCAGATCGTTCATGCACACTTCCTCAATTGCTTGGTCAAAAGACCTGTCTCGAGCGTGATGGATGTTGATATTGGGTTCTGAATTGTGCAAGATGATTTGGATAAACTCGCCGTCATAGTCCCAAGGCATAAACACGGCCCTGAGAATCTCAAGTGACGAGACAAGCTTTTTGCAGACACCACTCAGCTTAGTAGCAGCAGACGCATCTTTGAAAGACATCGTGAAGTAGTTCCACTCTGTACGAGGCTTTTGGAAGGCGCAGTGAACGGCATAGCGCTGGAATTCTGTGACGGGGAGGATTTCTACAACCGAGTTTTCCGTGATTCCTATCTTCTTTGCAACCTCGGCGATGTTCGGGAGCAATTTGATTGCAGACTCAGAGACAGAGACATGTCCATTGGCCCTCGAAATACCGTTCGCAGTGGTAACCTTGTTTGCCATTCGTTCGAGAATCGGATGTTGGAAGATGACAGAGACCGAAAGGGGCAGATCATTCGCTCGTGCAGCCCCAACAAGACGGATCGCAGTGATCGAATCGCCTCCAAGTTCAAGGAAGCTATCTTGACGGCTGATCAAGTCCGGTGATATGTTGAGCACACCTGACCACAGCTTCCTGAGGGCCCTCTCTTGGTCTGTTCTGGGCTCTTCCACTGGTCCTCTCTGGTGGATAGTATCCAGGTGGGCGCGTGCACCAATCTCTTGCAATTTCTTGCGGTTGATCTTTCCTGCAGACGACAAAGGGAGTTGCTGCAGTACCATAAAAGCGGTCGGTATCATGTAGAGAGGAAGAATTTGTGTTAGTTTCCGGGTCAAGCCATGGGCTATCTCCGGAGATAACGGAACAGGCTCTTCTAAAGAAAGGCTCTTGTTGCTGTCGCTTGAATCAGTGGGCGAGACGAATACGACTAATCGCTGGGCCTTGTGAGCCAAGTCTTGCAAGCTCGATATCTCGACTACTTCAGCTGCAACTGCGTATGAAGGAGTTGGAAGAACCTTTCGAACATGGTACTCGACTTCTTCGAGCTCCACACGCTGTCCACGAAGCTTGACTTGAGTATCAATGCGGCCCATATAAGTCAATCTCCCTTCATTGTCGGATCTCACCAAGTCGCCCGTCCGGTAGAATCTACCCTCTGAGCGTGAGACAAGTGCTTCTCCTCCGCACCGGAGCCATGCGGGAGACGTAATGAACGCGGCGGCTGTTTTATCGGGACTGTTGATGTATCCTCGTCCCACCAGCGGACCTTCGAGGACAAGCTCGCCAACTGCACCGATAGGCACCAGCTGGTCCGGTTGATGGCAGCTGACGACCCAAGCATTCAATCCCCGTGGAGGGCCAATGTTGACACTGGTCGTAAAGTCCGTTCCATAGCGGGAGACTGTACTGGACACCGTGCACTCGGATGGACCATATGAATTGCGGATCTCCACGTCCAGTCCCCATCTGGTAACGTCATCCATTTGGACGGCTTCACCCCCAAGCACAATCTTTCTGATCATGGGGAGGGAAGTCGGATCCAGAGTCCGGGCCAAAGAAGGCGTCATGTCAAGACAGTTGACGCGCAGGTCGTGGATAGCGCCGACGATATTGTTCCGGCGTTGATCATCGGATGGAACGCAAAGGCATCCGCCGGCATAGAACGTGTGAAGAAATTCGTACCAGATCATATCAAAGCTGTATGATGACAGATCCAGGACACGGGTTGTCTTGTCGAATCCATTGAAGGGATCGACGTAGGCCATCGCGCTGCAAGCATTGGCGTGTGTGATGACAGCTCCCTTAGGCGTTCCGGTACTGCCGGACGTGAATGTCACGTAGACAGCATTGTCGGGTGAAATAATGGGGATCCAAGAGTCATCCTTGGCAAGGTCAGGTCCCATGATGCCCTGTAACAGCCGTTCATTAACGACATGCACGGCGGCTCCAGACAACTGCTCGGCAATGGTCCTCGTCGTTTCAGACGCAAGAACCAGCCGTGGGCTGAGCTGCGAAGTAATGGAGCGTAGACGGTCTACTGCTTGCGACGGATCCATTGTGACCACATATCCACCCGCTATGATAACGGCCAGCATTGCCACAGGTGTCCAGACGCTCTTCGCACAGCAGATAGGAACTGCTACTTCAGGCCCGATGCCTTGGTCAACGACGAGCCAGTAGGCTAGAAGGCGGGCCTTGTCGTAGAATTGACGGTATGTCAGCTCCCCGTCCCAGGCACAGATTGCTGGTGCATCTGGATAGGCTTCTATACGCTCAGCGATCAAGTGATCCACCCGGCGATTAATATTCGGTGGGACTGTGGCATTCCATGACGAGATTTGCTGTCTGTCAACATGCGACAGCAAATCCAGCTGCGACAGCAACCTTTCATCCATGGCCTCATTAGGCTTGCAGACCTCTTGGAGGACATGTTCGAACTGAACTAGCATTCTTTCTGCTTGGTCGAGGTCAACGACATGCTCGTCAAAACTCAAATGCACCGAGACACCGCCCGCTGAAGAGGAAGAGGAAGGATCATCCAAGACACACTCCAAGACAAGAGAGTATGTCCCTCCTTTCAGATCGTCATCTCCGAGTTGCAGCCTGAGGATGGTGTTTTCATCAGAGCCAACATCCTCTGGTGGCTGAATGACAAGCAAAGACTGGAATTGACAAGCCTGTTGAGCAATTGGATTAAGTCGTTGTATACGACCAATACCATAATGCTCGAATGGAATCATGTCAGTCGCATCTGACTGTACATTTTGAAGCAGAGTTTGCGGTCCCGCCGAGCTCCAGTCTATCTTCACTCGAATTGGGACGGTGGCAATAGTTGGACCGGCGATACGCTCGACTCCAGCAAGAGGTGCTTGTCTACCCATGACAGTGGATCCAAAGACAACATCACCAGAATTGCAGAATTGAGAGACCAAGATCGCCCAGCTCGCTTTCAATGCCGTCGCCGGAGTAAAGTCCGTGGGCCATGCGATGGAATCAAGTCTCCGCTTCCGGATGCCTGTGGTTGTTGGCCGGTATTGAGGATTTGGTAGAACAGGGAACTGTGGGACGTTGCAATCTGCCAAATATTTCTCCCAAAATTGTTGACATTCTTCTGTATGGACGTTCTTTGCAAGGTGTTGGATGAACTGGTTGTATGGAAGCAGCAGATTGGGCGTTGGGGATTGTCCGCGGTATATAGATTCAACCATCTTCATGATGAGCGAAGCAGACCATCGATCATAGATTGCATGGTGGATAGTCATGACTAGAGTGGCGTTTGAGGATCTCTTTTCAGAAGTCTTTCCAGCAATCTTAAAGGTATCATCAGAATCGGCCATCGCAAGATCAGCTTGAGATCTCACAAGTGCGAACCAGAGCAAGTGCTTTCCTAGACCGACAGGAAGTTGCTGTACCTCCTCTAGGGTATCATGCTCCACCCATACAGGAGAAGACTTTGTCACAACCTGCAAAAGCCCCTGACCTGCAAATTCCACGATGCGTGTGCGGAGGATTGGATTCGCAGCAATTACCTCAAACCACGCTGCTTTTAGTCGCGCAATATCAACGTCGGCGGGAAGATGAATATAGCCGCGTGAGACAAACTCGCCAGCCCGCCGAGCAGTATGTACCAACATCATATCCTGGATCGGTGAGCACGGATACGCATCTTCAATGTCTTCTGGCCGAAGATTGCAGGCTTTTGCAAGAGATTCTCTGGTCACATTCTGCCCAAGCAGTGAGAATGGTTTGACAGTATCTGTGAGCGAAGACGGTGTTCCTGCCAGTGGCTTCAGGGATTTTGCAGCCATATCTGACAGGCGAGGGGTGCGTAGAACTTTGGCAACTGAAAGCGTATATCCTTCCTCCCTGGTGGCTGTGACAAGTTGCATAGCTTTTAAAGAGTCGCCTCCGAAGGCGAGGAAGGAAGTGTTTCTATTGATCAAGGACTTTTCCACCCCCAAGGTGGATGCCCACAGGCCTTGAAGGAGAATCTCAAGCTGCGTTCTTGGGGGATCATTGTTGCTTGTCACAAGCGATATCGTAGTCGAGCGATTCACTAGTTTGTCTGTGGGTGTCTGTAGTGCGATTTGCCTCAGTTCCTCACGGTCAACACCCCCTGATTCTAACCTTGGCATTTTAGAGAGTGGAAGAAAATAGGAGGGTGTCATGTGAGAAGGAAGCTTTTCATCCAGTAATTGCATAATATTAGAGAGGACTGTGTCGGATTGAGGAGATCTGTCTTCACCTTGTGCAAGACAGACAAATGCCATCAGCTGCTTCGAGAGAGTTGGGAGCTCGACAACATCAACCGTGGCATCTATTATTTGTTCCGGAAGAGATTGTTTGATGCATGATTCAATCTCAATCATCTGCAAACTCTGTCCCTTCTGATTGAAGCTGACGATCTGAGTATGTTCCTCATCCGTCAAGATTCCCATTTCCCGCAGCTTGTTGGGCTTCTCAGCCTCGGATATGAGAGACCTAACAACATGCTCCATATCGCACAGCATCTGTTGGACCTTGTCCTGTCCGAGAACTGTCTCATCAAAGCTCGCACGGAGACGGAAACCATCCCGAGCGAGTCCACAATCAACCATGATGGCATATGTGTTGAAGGCTTGGATATCGTCTCGACTATCACCCAGATCAAACAGGGCTTTTTCTGTGGATCGAACCTCCTGCTGAGACACTGGCTGGACAACAAGGAAAGTCTGGAATTGACAGGCCCGCTGCATGTCATAACCCAATTGACGAATGCGCTTGATACCATGATGGACGAATGGGATCATCTCCGCGGCCTGGTCCTGCATGTGCTGGAGAATATCAAGCGCACTCTGTCCGTCCCAGTCTACGACAACTCGCATGGGGACTGTTGCAATGATCGGCCCTCCGATTCGCTCGATTCCAGCCAAGGGGATCTGACGGCCTAGTAGCGTCGCTCCAAAGACCACCTCGCTAGCACGGGAGTGCTTGGACAATACCATTCCCCAGGCAGTTTGTACGATGGTGTTCGCGGTGATGCCTGTAGCCTTAGTCCATTCAATTCCAGATACAACGTGGCCGTGCAAAGCTGTGGCATTTGGCCTGTAATTTGGTACTGGAAGAGTTGGAAACGGGCGCAGATGAATGTCCTTCAGATATCGAGTCCAGAAGCGCGAGGCCACGTTAGGGTCCAAGATGTCCAAATGTTGAATGAAGTTTCGATATGGGAGTATAGTATCGCCTGAGGCCTTTGAATCTCCACAGCCATAGTACTCTCGGGCTATGCCCTTGCCTAGGAGATCCATAGACCAGCCATCATAGACAGCATGATGCATGGTCAGAACTGCCTGAAGGCGTGAGGACTGCTGTTCCTGAGAGCTGGTTTTCCCGACAATCCCGAGTCGCATCAAAGGCTCTCCCAGTCCCATGCCATTTCCTCTCTCGGCTTGCAAGCACTTGTCAAGGTCGGAGTATTCAGTCCACGGCACGTTGCCACTGACGATGACCTGGGAGAAGGCATGATCATAGTCGACCGCAATATCAGTGATGGCCACTTTCGTATCCACAATGCGAGTACGAATGATGGGAACCAAGCGTGTGACATTCTCCCAAGCACGTCGGAATCGAGATAGATCAACACCTGGGGGCAAATGGAAGACGGTCTGGGTGACGAAGTCTTCCGGGTTACGAGCCCCCAAGATGACCATCTCCTCCTGAATGGCCGAGCACGGGAAAATGTCTTCGATCTCGACCGCCTCGCATTTGCAGATCTTAGAGATCTTTTCACGAGCTAAATCGACCAACTTCTCGCTGGGAGTGTCTCCGAGTAGCATAGAAAATGGACGTGATGGTGGCGGCGTCGCATCTTGCACAGCTGGGGACTGTCCAAAGCCCCTTTCCATCATTAATGCCATATCGAAAAGACGTGGATGTTGAAAAATGTCTGCGACATTGATATTACTGTATCCTTCTCGGCGCAAGGCAGAGACAAGTCTCATTGCTGCTAGAGAATCACCTCCTCGAGCAAAGAAATTATCACTGGGACGGAGGTGTGCATCATTATTCATGGTCAGCACCTCCTCCCATAGCAATTTTAGTTTCATTTCCACAGAATTCATAGATCGATCTGCATCTTGCGCTGGCAACGTGCAACCAGCTCCCGGTAGGGCGTGCATGTTCAGTAGCTGATCGGGTGCCAACAGTGCCATTCGCCGAAGGGCCTTGCGATCTGTCTTGCCGGTCGCCGTCATTGGAACCGTACGCAGGGGGAAGTATGCGGATGGGATCATGGATTGAGGCAATCGGTCTGATAATCTATCATCCAGTTTGGTGATCAACTGCGCAAGCTGTAGTTCCTTGTGTTGTCTCAAATAGATAAATGCGAGCAGTTGTTTCTGACCCGATGGCCACTCCACGGTTTCTGCGATGACATCGACTCCTTCTGGGAGACATAGACCAACGTGATATTCGACCTCGCCAATTTCGACGCGCTGCCCGTTGATCTTGATTTGCGTATCGGCACGGCCAATGAATGAGACCGATCCATCTGCATTATACCTCGCCAGATCCCGCGTACGAAAGATTGGAATCTCCGGGGCTAACGCGATACCTGGTAAATAACCACCGGGTACATTGACAAGCGATTCTTGGGTCTTGCTCTCATCCCTGAAATAGCCTTGGCCGATAATAGGACCATCAATAAGCAGCTCGCCGACTGCGCCCACTGGTGCCAAACGATGGATGTTGTGAACATCGGCAATCCAAATATTGGCACCAAGTGCGAATCCAACACTCTCGGCGTCTTTAATACAGTTGATATTGCGGTTCGCCGCGCACATGATTGTGCACTCCGATGGGCCGTAAGCGTTGATGACGCGCACCCGGCCCTCGGTTTCTAACCATGGCTCAAGTACGTTGCGGTTAATCTTCTCTCCTGTCAGGAAGAGCGTGTTTAGACGCGGGAGCTTGCTCGGGTCTAGAAGGCGTGAGGTAGAAGGGGTGAGCTGCACAAACTCGACCTCCATTGATTGCAGTACCGATTGCAAGTTGTTGATGCGGTCATAATCTGATGGGACACACAGACACCCACCGGTTAGGAGAGTATGAAATGTGTTAAAGACATAGGCGTCGAAGCTGTAAGATGAAGAGTCAAAAGTACGAACTCCAGTATCGAAACCTAGCGCTCTCGCCTGGTGTCCAACTCCAGTGCAGAGATTTGCATGCGAGATGGTGACGCCTTTAGGAGTTCCGGTGCTACCAGACGTGAAAACGATGTATAGCCAGTCAGAAGGAGAAATTTTGTCGCATAAGGCCGGGATATCGACGGACGAGATATCATCGTTAGGTTGTAGAAGGTCTTCATCCACAATTATGGCACTTTCAGCCAAGGACCGAGCCAGCTTGGCCGTATCATGCCGCGCAAGAATTATGTTTGATTGAATCTGCTGAGTGATACTCTTCAAGCGACCAAAAGGCTGATGAGGGTCCAACATTATGAAGATACCTCCTGCCTTTGCGACGGCTAAGAGGGTGATGGTCGTCCACATCGTCTTGTCAAAACAAAGAGGGACGATGCGCCCCGGACCTGCAACGTCATTCTGGATGAGCCATGCCGCTAGTTGGGTTGACATTTCATCAAGCTGAGCATAACTCAGCTCTCCGTCCCATGCATGCACAGCGGGATAAGGACCGCGCCTCCGGGCTTGATAGGCAAAGAGATCAGTGATGCAAGCATTGGTCATCCTGGGTCTAGAGCCATTCCATTTCCATAGAAGCTTCTTGTCTTCATCACAAAGAAGATCGAGGTCTCCAATTACCTTTTGTGATTGGTGCAGAGCAGGGTCACAGAGCTGACGGATAAGATGGGCGAGCTGGAAACCCATTCGTTGAGCCTGTGCAACTTCTATGACTGATTCGTCGATGTGAAATCGCAGAAGCAGTGTCTGACGAGAATTTGATGGAAAGCATTCAATGATCAGAACTAGGGAATTTGTAGGAATAGTCTTTTCCGAGAAAAAATGGGTTCCCTAAGGGTATACAACCACTGGTCAACGCTGCGGTCACATGTGTGAGAATATATGTCGTGAAGCTGGTTGCACATACTGGATATACTTTTGGCTCTGAATCTCTCAATAGAAGTGATGTCCGAAAATCCCAAGCCTCTCTGGCTTCTGAACTACAGAATTGAATTTGATCCAGGTTCATATAGGATTGGAACTCCTGCATTGCCGCTACCCGGGACTGATTTGCCTGCAACCACTGTGCTAAGTCGGACTCCCAATTGACTGGTATTCGTAAAGGTAGAAGGGCATCTTGCAAGGTTGGGTTTCCTTGCAAATAATTCATAGTCGTTCCAAATACCACATCTTGAGTGTTGGCATACTGAGCTAACAGCAACGCCCAGGCGGCCTGTAACTTGGTGGACAGGGTATATGGATCATCATATCCAGTGGTACAATCAATACGATCGATTTCATGTTCAATGATGTTTGTAATCGAAGGATGATATCCTACCCCAGGTAGAATAGGGTATGAAGAGGTTTCTAAGTCGGCAAATGTGTCTTGCCAAAATTGTTCAGCCATTTTGGGCATTCGATTGATCTTCTGCCAGGATTAATAGAGATGTGTAGTAAGTGGATCTTTATAAATAAGCGGTAGTATAATTCTACGACATTTATTCGGCCTTCCCCAGCATGGTGATAGTTGAGCGGGATCATTAGGATCCGTATCAAGGCGTAGTACCATGTAGGAAGGGATTGAATTTGTAAATTACATGATACCACAACTTGAAAATAACTAGCTGTATGAAACGTAAGGCCCTGGCTAGTGGGATCGTGTAATAATGTGTGCAAGGAAGTCAAGGCAAATAGTTAAAGCGAATGCAACCGTAAGCACTAAATGTCTGGGGAGACGGGCCGGCCCCAGTTATTAGACTGGCGGATTGCCTGAGGCCGGTCTCCCGTCGGCTCAGCCTTCACCACCTCCGATCTCCTCAGCCCAAGCCTCCAAGGCAATTCTACTGTACTTTCCCCCTTGAGAAATTGCCCTGTGGCATGTGAACGTTGCCACAGTCTCAGGCAACACTCACGAGCTGCATCGATCAAAGAACTGGTCGCCGACGTCCTCGTTCATGTTGACACCGCAAGATTCGGAACGGCCGACGGAGCAGGCGCCTCTGTTAGGCTCGCGTGGGGGCGACGCCATCCCGGACGCCTCTCCTACGCATTTGTCACACGCTCAACTGCGACTCCTGGTCCTCGTGTGCATCTCGATTGTCGCCGCTGACTTTGGTAGCTCCCTCACTTTGGCTCCTCAAATTTCGATTTTTGAATCGCTCATATGTCGCCGAATTGGGGCGGGTGGTGACTGCAAGTCTCCCGAAGTTCAAGGGGAATTGGCCCTGCTGATCGGTTGGAAGGAGACTATTGACCAGTTGCCTGGAATCATCTTTGCGCTACCATATGGCCTCGCGGCGGATCGAATAGGCCGCAAGCCCATTCTGGTGCTCTGCTTGATCGGTCTAATACTGGAAGAGGTTGCCACGCGTTTGGTCTGTTGGTGGAATGTCGCCCTTCCCCTCAGGATGATCTGGGCAACGCCCGTCTTTCAGATCATTGGTGGTGGTCCCCAGACAGCAACGGCTATGGCCTATGCTATGATTACCGATGTAGTTCCCATGGACCGGCGGTAGGTCAAGCACGGATTGTTGCCGATTCAGTTTGACAAGTTGGCTAATGATTATAATCCAATTCACCAGGGCATCCATATTCTACATAATGGCAGCTGTGATTCTTCTAGGAGAAATACTTGCCACCCCAATCAGTGCCTTTCTCATGACGTGGACTCCATGGGTTCCTTCATTGCTAGGGATAGTCTTTCAGCTAGGGGGGCTATTGGGCGCAGCTTTAGTTTCCGAGACGCGTCCCGATTCAAAGTCAAACTCGGAGCAAGCAGCTGATTCGGAAGTAATGGTGGATAATAGTGAGGAAGCTGAAATAGATGATGACGAGCCCGAGTACCACAGGTCCGGATATCGGCGAATGAAACAGACAGTGACAGGATACTGGAAACACATCCGGACCACCCACATGGAAGGCTGGGATCTGAACATGGCTTTTATCGTGTTTACATTCCTGCTCGCCAGCATCAGCAAACAGGCCTTGCAGCTGATCATTCCATACGCTTCGAAGCGCTTTTCATGGAGTATCGCACGCGCCAGCTTCCTCATTACATTAAAGGGAGTTATCAATCTTGTCACTCTACTGCTTATTCTTCCTCGGCTGTCTACATGGCTGAGTAGACAAATGTCATGGTCTCCGGCGCTGAAGGACCTCCGTATTGTGCAAGGAAGTGCATGGATTCTTACTTCAGGTACGATTCTCATGGCTTTTGCCGCCATTCCGGAGTTGTTCATTTCTGGTCTGTGCCTGTTTGCACTCGGCTGGGGCTTCTACTCGGCACTGCGGAGTTTGGCCACGGCATTGGTGTCCCCATCCCAGGTGGGAGTGTTGAACACAGGTATCGGTTTGGCGCAAAGCTTAGGCTCGCTAGTCGCAGGGCCAATTTTGGCAGCGGCATTTGGACATGGCCTGCGACAGGGTGGCATTGGCATGGGCTTGCCATATATGGTAGCTGCAGCATTGTTCTTTATGGCCAGTTGTCTGACCTGTATGATTCGCATCGCGGGAGAGAAGCGTAGAGTATAGTGGAAAGAGTTCAATAGTATAGGTAACATGAGTCTTAACCATCTGAGCACAAATTCTAATGAAAAGAATCTTAGTTACATGAAGCAATCATGAGAAAACTTGCAGCAGAAAAGATTGCAAGCCTCTCTACATGAGAATCGATGTCTGTATGCTCTATTTGTTGAACTTTATCTCAGATTTGGATCCCGTCTTCGCAGGCGAGCTCCATATTTCATCATCAAAAATGGAACTGGCACAAGTCCCAAGGAAATAAATGCCAGCAGACTATTCCCCCACCCCATACCCAGAGCATCATACATTCTCTGTCCTCCAAGAGGCAACAAAGCACCTACTAGGCTTCGCAGCACGGCAGTCGCTGCCATGGCAGACGCAGCATGCTTTCCAAATGCGTTCACCACGTAGATCTGCACTGGCTGGAAGATGCCCATCATGGCGAACCCAAATACACCTAGTCCCACGAGGGGTACTATCGGAAATGCGTTTCTTTGCAGTGACCAGCCGTACCAGAATAGACCTGCAGGGACTAGGAAGCCTGAAGGGAGCATGGGCCAGAGCCAGCCTTCTGGCGGGAGGGTTTCATCTGGATTTAAAGCCCCTTTTTTTCTTCGCTCGGTGACTTTGTCAGATGCATAGCCGATGATGAAAATTCCTGCCATAAAAGATCAGCTCGTTGCTACTGATTTGGGGTAAGGCAAATACCTAGGACTGTCCCAATTCCATTGCCCAAATATACAAGTCCTGATAGACCCGTTGATAGATGGTATTGATCTTGGAAGATGTATGAAAGTGTTGTGAAGACCAGATACTGGTACCCATAAACTATGGCAGTGTCTACTGCAAGGAGCATCACAATCGGTGATGTGAAAAGAATTCGGGGAGGCCGGATGAGAGTGTCAACAACGAGTCTTTTCTGAGATAGTTGTCTGTCCAGGCGTGATTTTAACTGATGATTGCCTGTTTCCTTGCGTAGACGCTCTGCTTTGCGCTCCAAAAGGACCGGAGCATAGCTTTCCTGGATTAAAAAAGGAGATACGGCTGTGAGAATACCCATCTGAGCCACAGTGCTATCGTCAGTGTGGAGTTTCACCTCGGAGAAGCGATGTTACCCCAGTACATACTGGAATGGCAATCACCCAGAAGATCCACCTCCATCCTGCGCCTTGGCTAAGATATCCACCAGCAATAGGAGAGAATACCTACCATAAGATTTCCGTCGCGGTGAGTTAAATTTTCCAGGGATAAAAACGAGGATGAGGCCATACCGGTGGCGCCAACGAGCCCAGACCCCATATAGCCATGGCAGTTCCCATCCGTTCAGGCTCCATCATGTCGCTAATCGAGCCTCCACCTAGCGCAAGAGGCGAAGCTCCGGCACAACCGCAAAGTAGACGAAACGCGAGAAACATTCCTACATCTGTGCTAAGAGCACATCCGATCGTCGCTCCGAGGAAGATGACATTCGAGACATTGTACACAATCGCGCGACCATAAAGTTCAGACAGCGGCGCCACAAGCAGTGGCCCCACCGCAAATCCAATGACATAAATTGAAACAACGAAAGATTCAAGTTCTGAGTTATCGGAGTGAAGCGATTTCATTACGTCTGGGACTGCGGGAGCCAACATCGATGAGCCGAGTGACCTAATGCAAGAGCATCAGTCTGAGCTCTGGTATAGAACGCGGGGGAAACGGTTTGACAATGGGACCTGCCACATACGTGATAAAGGTCAGAAGCGAAATCATGACAATATGGGACCATCGTCGTACAACGCTCCAGTTCTTGGGATTTGATCGATCGTCGTCACCATCCCAAAATACATCGTTTGGATCTGGCGCAACAGCATTTCCCTTGGAAATGGTATCTGTTGTTGGCGGTGACTGAGAGGATAGAGCGTCCTCGGGTGTCCTGGGGGAGCTCATGTGCCCCCTCAGATTGTCGAAATGAGAAATCTCAGGTTGTACAGTTCAAGCGGGAGCTGGAGAGGGGGTTGCTAGCTCTCTATTAGCCTTGGCAATGGGGGTAGAAGTGGATATTTCGGCACAGCGTCGCCGTTCTTATCCTCAGGAAGCCTCGTTTCCGCTTTTTGTTGCTTACGGCCTGAGTCGAAATGTTTCTTTCTTGTTCATCTGGGGATCGTGAGGTATACCCAAACACACGTGACTCGGACGCAGCTTGCCCTCCGTTGGCTATCGCAAATCGCGAAAGCCAAAAGTACTCCCATCGTGATTTCTCTGCGGACTGGTGTCAACTCAAATGGAAATCTGGTTAATCTTCTAGTAATGAATGCAACCATAACCCAACTTCTTGCATGACAAACGGCTATGAGCAATTCGATACAAATATGACAACCAGAGGATTTCGGGAATTAGGGGCGGACTGAACATGAAATACAGGAAAAAGAAGGCTAGTAATTTTCAAAATGCTTGCATACGACCCCGGCGGGGAAACCCGCAGGGTGTGTGGATAACTATTGACAGTTATTCTGAGTACGAATTAGGGAATAGTGGTAGTGGTAGTCGTTCAAGTGGATATCCCAGGATCCTTCGATGGCCCCCACTCGGGTGATCTGCGTCAGAACAACTTAATTAGAATGTGGTCGGAGCTCGCGCTTGATTGGACCAGACATCTTGCAGCCAATTTCACTATGCCAAGTCCAGATATCATACGTGGCAGCTATTGTAGGTATGTAATTCCTCAGGACCATCTACATTCCTCCTCGGCGTTGTTTGTGGCCCTGTTCTTCTGTAAGTGGAGCTTTGAAATGGAGCGAAACCATCATCATTTGCCAAGAGACTAAATTATGCATAGGTAAGAGAGTTGAATATACATCAGCCCACCTCATATCATAGGATTTCATATGCTTCAATGGCATAGCCTCAACATTGTGGCAGTAGTATGAAACATATTTTACTCGCGAAACCTGTCAAGCTCCATTTGACGCAAAGTACCCACCCTAAATCACTCTTTGATTGAACAAGTTCCAAACTTGCTTAGAACTTTGTGGTTTCATGGCCCCCAGCGGCCGATGTCACATTGTTCAAGCGGGAAATCGGGCGCTTCAAAAGACCGGTCGGTGAGCATCGGCTCGAAGTCTTCTAGGAAGATAGACTTCAATTTGATCAAAACTGGAATTCTCGCTCGCAAGGGGTCAGTTCGTCTTCTTGTGTCCTCATTACTTAAATCTCACGTCAGACGCACTTTGCAGTCGCTTGGTTTAGGGTGTGGAGCTTACCGTATATAGCAGGTCGTTATGAAAAAGAGAACCCCGCATGAGGGGTTGCGAACGGGTTGAAGAAACATCTCCTTCTTCACGATCTGTTTCTATAGATGGGTGTTTCAATGGATCACAATCACGATATTCAATTGTATCTCCCGGGTATCGATATGGCACTGGACGATAAGTGGAACGCTAATTACGCCCAATTGCTACCTCGCTAACTCGAGGATTAACTACTCTTGTCATTAATTTCTCCAAGAGCATGATAACAGAAAAAAATACCGAATTCTGAAAGTGGGCCCCGCTAAGATTGAAGAAAACCGAAGTAAACTTCCTACGTCATTTTCTTATAGTTATTTCCGAGATGGAGGAAAAAGGATCCCGATATAAATTTTATCCAAAGAAAGATTAACATGGGTAAAAACATGGTCTTATGGGTCTCGCAACACTTTTGATATCTCGAAGTCCCGACTTTGATTATCTCTCGTTCAGACAGCATCAAAATGACAGTGACACAACTACCACTCGTTGACTTTGGTATTTTCTTGCACGGAAACAAAGATCAACGGGAACAATCCGCAAGGCAACTCGTTGAATCCTTTGTGAACCATGGATTTGTTCGTTTAAAGAACCACGGGATATCTCGAGACTTTGTTAAACAGATCTGGCAATGGGTATTTAGTTCTTGCGTTGATACCAACTGTTCAGGGAGGCAATCTGATAGCTCATTATTGGCTAGGATCGGGCATTTTTCCAACTGCCGGATGAGGTGAAGATGAAGATTGCGCATCATCCAGTCTCGAATTTGCAACGAGGGTGGTGCCGGAAAGGTACAGAAACCACGTCAAGATTGCATAAGGAGAATGCAGAGAGTTCGCCAAAGGGAAAAGGCGAATTGCTTGATGAGAAGGTAGGCTTGTATCTCTTGACGGTCACCTCTAAAATGAAAACAACAGGAGCCTAATTCGCGTCTAGGAGCACTTTGATTGTGGCCCCCGCGGGGATAACGAGTTTCCTAACAAATTTCCCAGCGAAGAAGATCTTCCGGGGTTTAAGGCGTTTATCGAACAGTACTTCGACCTGGTGCAGGGGGTTTCTCTTGATATCATGAGTGCATGCGAGGTCGGATTCGGGATGCCCAAAAACTCGCTCGTTGAGCGATGTATACCCTCAGCATCGGAGCTTCGAATGCTTCACTATCCTCCTGTATCTGTGGAGAGACTTCAAACCGGCACGATCAAACGTGCCTGGCCGCACACCGACTTTGGAATCATTACACTTCTTTTCCAAGACAGTCTCGGTGGTCTCGAATTTGAAGATAGAAACAAACCATTTACGTTTGTTCCTATTATTCCATCTGATGATAACGAGCTGATTGTCAACACAAGTCAAACCTTCCAGCGCTGGACTAATGGCGTTGTCAAGGCCGGCCTTCACCAGGTGAATGTTCCACCTGAGCTGCGTACTGTTAAAGAAGGCTACATCCCCGAACGTTATTCGTCCGTATTCTTCTTGAAAGCGCACCGAGAGGTCTCAGTTGGACCAATTAATCAGTTTGTGACGGAGGAGAGGCCACCGATGTACCCGGATATCACCGCACTCCAGTACCAGCAAGAGATGACTGAGATTCTGTATTAGGGAGCCTTTACTACAAGCTCAGACTAGTAAAGAGTAGCTTAAGCGAGAATTTGGCCAATTTACTATATACCGATGTACTCTGAATAGACTTGAATGTTGTGAATTTGTAGGCTATCAAATTGCCAGGGACTATCTGAATCTCCCTTCTGTCACGCAATGGGGCCTTTGTTCGGCTGAATAGAAGAGCACAACGCTTGCTCCCTCTAGTCGGCTTCTACTATGCACGCAGAAAGTCAATCTTTGCAAACACGTTGCCATGCACGTTTCAGAGGTCAATGCTCAAGATTAGTTAATTGGGACTATGTGCTTCATCGGTAATAAGCGAGCAATATTGGCCTAATAGGGTATCATGAGAGGCAATTTGCCAACGACCATGTTACATCTAAAATGGAGACTCTAGCCCTGAGATTCACATGCGCACTTGAGCTCGTAGTCACTTTCTCAATGGAGCCAACTCGTTGTAGCAGTCTTTTCGCTCCTTTTCCTACCCCAATCCCAAGTGCCTACTAGTGTGCATGGGGTCTCTCCGTAGATGAGAATTATCTCAATGAAGTACCGACGGTACTTTCGTCACAACAATTTCTGCACCTCTTCAGCGCCACACTAAGATCGGTCTTATGCAGCAAGGTTGCAAGGGCTTTTGTCCTTACAAAAATCCCATGCAGAACAACCCATCGTTTGCCCTCTCTATGCTAGTGTACGCATTGGGAATCTAAAATCGGTTCAAAGTTCACTTGTCTCGTAGAGATCTGCTTTTTTCCCATCCATATGGAGAATTTGTATAGATATTATGGCGTGAAGTATCTATACCCCTCTTCCATCAATGACACCTAAGCTATGCCCAATCAAGACAATGTACTTGTGTACTTGATACGTAGATCCAACGGGGCGGTGTTTTGCAGAAGCGAGACCAATGGAACCTCAATAACAGACTTCCTCTGCCACCCATTGAGAAACCTCCGAACCTACATTAGTGCGTGGACGCCACGTGGGGACAGGACTGGGTCAAACTCTAAAGGTCATCAAATTTTGAGACACACTTTAGTAAAGATAAGATCAGTGACAGCTGAACGGAGAATATTTTTATTACCAGGTTACCATTCAGTATTACGGATATTTTAGACTTTCGATCGCCGTATTATCTTTCGATTGCGTTGCTGCAATGCGCGTTTTACGTTTATGGGGCCATCTAGGACGTTCGGACAATTACCGCGGATTGTATATTCCCCCCTTACTAGTGCTGTGGCTGCATTTGCCTTCTGAGTGGACCAAAGTCCACGATATGACAGTGAGGGGAAATAAGAGACACTACGTCTGGAATGAGGGGGCTGTAAGTCCGATGGGTTATCGCGTCTTGGTTTGTGAGAGAAACATAGCAGACGATGATGGTGCATTGTAGCATCGTGCCCTGTAAATCAGCTCGTCTATAAAGACCACGAAGTAGGCATCAACTCGCGTTGAAAAAATCACCATTTTTCCGTCTTCAAACCGTCCTTCTCCTACATTTACGACCATCATGGGGAGCACTTTTCCTGAGCGAAAATATGACATCCACCATCAGTGGCCAACCCCACACGCAAAACAAGCTTTGCAATCATGGAGCAAGTTCAACTCTCATATCAAAGCCGGCATTATCCAAATAGACGGCCAAACATTGGACTTGGCAGCTGTGGTTGCTGTTGCAAGGTTAATACATCCAGTTTTCACACTATATTCCCTGTATAGCAAGTTTCAGACTGACGGGTTATTTCGCTGTCTTCCAGGAACGGTGTACGATTGGCCCTCTCTGAGGACCCCAGCGTCATCCGGCGAGTTGAAGCGAGTGTTGAGACCCTACAAGGCTATCTCTCGAAGGGATATTACCTCTATGGTAAGTGACCGGACCAACCTTCCCTCTGCCGGAAGAATCAATTTCCCTGACTAGCATCAACTTAGGCGTCAACACCGGGTTTGGCGGCAGCGCCGACACCCGCACCCCAGACTTATACGGATTGCAGCGAGCGTTGATGCAGCTCACTCAAACCGCTGTTCTGACCCAGGAAGACAAAACAGACTGCCTGAGTAGCCATGAATATCTCGAATCGCACAGTATGCCAAGTGCATGGACAAGAGCTATGACAGCTATTCGCTGCAACGCAAATATTCGCGGTCACTCGGCTATGACTCGCAACATTGTCGACTCGATGATCAAGCTCTTAGACAACGACATTGTGCCCATTGTTCCCCTGCGAGGCTCCGTCTCCGCGTCCGGGGATTTGATGCCTCTGTCATATCTTACTGGAACCATTCAGGGAAGCCCAGATGTTTTTGTTCGTGTTGGAGGTCTCAAGGGAGCCCCTCGTGTCAAGTCAGCGCAGCAAGCCCTCTACGAAGCTTCCATTGAGCCCATTGTCTTAGGTCCAAAGGAGGGCTTGTCAATGATCAACGGAACTGCTGCTGCCGCTGCCGTGGCTAGCCTGGGTCTTTATGAAGCCAACCAGCTTGCACTCATCTCGCAGTTGCTGACTGCCCTTTTGTCCGAGGCTCTCTATGCCAACAACGAATGGGCCCACCCGTTCATTGCTGCAGTACGCCCACATCAAGGTCAAATCGAGGCTGCTCAGAACATTCGAACTTTCCTGAGGGGCTCACGACTTTCATATGGCCTGGAGCAGACCAAAGACCGCTTCTCCGAAGGAATGGCCCAGGAGCGGTATGCGCTGCGCAGTTCCCCGCAATGGCTCTCGCCACAGCTAGAGGACCTCCTCAGTGCCGAGAAGCAGCTTGTAACAGAGCTCAACTCTACCTCTGACAACCCGGTCGTCAACAGTGAAGATAATGACATTCATTGTGGGGCCAATTTCCAGGCTGCAGCAGTAACATCGGCCACAGAGAAGGTTCGTTTGGCTTTGCAGTCAATTGGCAAGATGCTATTCAGCCAGGTCAGCGAGGTGATCAATCACGACTTGAGCAATGGCCTCCCGCCAAATTTGGCTGCCGATGATCCTAGTTGCTCATTCTGCCTGAAGGGAATTGACATTGACACCGCTGCTTATACATCCGAACTGGGATTCCTGGCCAACCCAGTCAGTAACCACGTGCAGTCGGCCGAGATGCACAATCAAGCCATCAACTCCCTCGGTCTCCTTTCTGCGCGCCAGACAATGGCCGCAGTGGAGTGTCTTTCCTTGATCGTTGCCAACGCACTCTACACAGGGTGCCAGGGTGTGGATCTTCGTACACTCCACCGCACTTTCATTGCAGATCTGGAGGAGCCTGCCCGTCAGCTTATCGCAGGCCTCTTCCCTGATACTCATGATCTTGTGAGAAAGGAAAGATTCTTCACCACCTTCTGGAAGAAATTTGAGGCCGCTTGGTATGATGCTGCATTATATGATGCTCCCGAAAGATCCCACAAGGCTGCACAGTCACTGGTCATTGCTGTCTTTTCCAACACCCAGCAGATCCCTACGATCGTTTCTGTCGAGACAGTGACGATCTTGGCCAAGTCCTTCGAGACTCTCATTCTCGAATCATACCTGCGCCACCGCGATGAATTCTTCCAAAAGCAAACAACACCGGAGTATCTTGGTCAAGGTACGAAGGCTATCTATCTTTTCGTTCGAGAGAAGCTGGGCGTGCCCCTGCACCGGGGTCTCGTGGAGCATCCTGTGGCAGGAGACAAGCAAGGAAATGTGATCGATGGCCGTCCCAAGAGGACCATTGGCTCTTGGGTGTCTATCATTTACGAGGCTGTTCGGGATGGGTCATTGTATGCTGAAGTGTTTCGGTTTTTGGAAGTCAGTGGTGGATTAAGTGTGGCAGGTGGTATTCATGGAATCAAGGCTACGAATGGGTTGGCTGGAAATGGTACTCACTAGTTCCAGCCTTAGACTGTCATGGTGATTAGAGAAACGTGTGGCTTTATGAATTTCAATTTTTGACATATGTTGTATAACTTAAGTTGGTGTCTTATCAGGGCCTACAGTAGCTGAAAAGCCCCACCACCTACGACTGATCTGAATGTGGCTAGCATGCTTGAAATACCATCCTGTCTTAAACTGTAACAGAAGGAGATGCTCGGGCAAAATAGGACCGGTAGTAGGAAATAGCGCCTAAGCCCCGGATGACGCAGATTGTTACTGGTATCGTCCTTAGAAATTTTTATACATTATTCCATTATAGGCTCCTTGAATAGCACAATATCAAGGCAATTGTCTCTCTCGCTGATGCGCGATGGACCTGGTGGAGCTCTACTACCCGGAACACAGGCGTTGGCGACATCGGCCTAAGTGGATAAAACGTGTGGATTCATCAGAACAGGACCTCTTTCCTTATTTGAGTGAAATCTGTCACTTCATTGATCGGATGGCATCCCCGCCTCTTGCTCCTTTGACCACCTAACCGGGAAAGGACACGGATATCGACCCGCTCGAAACACACCCGGAAGCGATATCAGTCCGCTGTGATCTCCGTATCTTACGTTCACAGATGGTCATCATCCCCTATCGTGTACCCGAGCTCAAGATGCACTATACACTTGTTTTGGATTTTGTTCTACCTGAACAGAAGGTCAAACCAAGCAGAATTCTCGTTCGACAACTTCACATCTAGGAGGAGGTTAAATACGAAACATGGTCGAAGAGAAGGCTATCACCAAGCCGCTATACAGAGAATTTATGAACAAGCGAGCTGCTCTTCTTGAAGCGAAATGCCTTGCGGGAAACGGGAAATGAGTCACTGGTACCGCTATCCCTTTGATACTTGCCTGTTTTAACTCGTCTAGCGCGCCAAGAGCGTTGCGTAATTTCAGGCGAAGCTGTTTGATTTCTTCCAAGGGGTCATCCCCCGTTCTATGGCCAACAGATACGCCATATATTAACATATATGTTTCTAAGATTGGGCCTGTATACCTGTTGCATTAATTTTATCAAACTATGAGCTATAGAAAGCCTTCACTTTTTGCGATCCAGGCTAGATCCACTTGTAATGATCTGAAACTCACGTCGCATCCACTCATCAATTATTTTCTTCATGCTACAACTGTGTGGCTTCCTATATAATAGACCAACTGGCGTGAAATAGAGAAATGGCTGTTTACTAGCACCTCGTCAATACTGATCTTCCGTGAAATCTCAAAGAGTTTGGTATTAGCAGTCAGAGCCATCAAGAAGGACGTGGAACTGCTCATGAAAACTTCTGGAAGATGGAAAGGTATGCTCATTTTGCTGTACTTTTGCTACTGACCGAAGCGGTTGACCTTCTAATTGTGGTCGATGACTGTGTTCGCATAATTTGTGACCTCTTAAGATAGTTATATTTACGCGGTACGTTTTCTTCATGCGAACAGGAGAGCGTATGTTATTGGTGGGAGTCATTCTGACGTGCATGGTTACCATGGTGCCTTCCCTAGCACTCGTTGTGTTGTTTGCCTGGCGATAGTGCTTGTGATTGACTGCAAGGCAGCTAAATTTCCACATTTGAAGATGACAGAGACCAGGTCGACTATCTTCCTTGGCCCTTTGCTTCACATCCATCACTTTCTCCGAAACCTTCCAGGCTTGTTATCATTGTCACATCAAACCCCAACATGACCCGTACCATCAATATATCAATAACATCAAACGGCGCGCGACCTGGCCACTGGGCTATCTTCGTTCCCAGCGCTGATTCCAGCACTATGGGCAAATTCATCCATCTTACCGGCAATCCGGCTACTGGGTTCTTTCTTGAATTCAAGCGAAACTACGACATCAAGAACACCGACGGCAAGGACCATATCATTCCACTTGCCGAGGTTGAGGAGCGCGATACTATCGCGCGTGACCGTTTGGAGTCTGTCGCCAATATCGTTAAGCCACCTCCCCGTAGTCCCAACCCGTTCGACCCCTCGGTAAGTAAACTACCCTTGCGTAATAACCAGCTCTAATCTTTTCATATCTAAAATGAAAGATGCCAGTCCTGGATTCTCCGCAACGTCCAACAACTTGTGGATGAGGGCTTAGTTGATGGAAGTGCCTTCTCAGTGATCCAAGAAGCTCCAAAGGTACTGTGATCGAGGGAAGAAATCATGATGAGTCAGGATATGGAACAAATCGTTAGACGAAGGTCTTAACTTGCTGGCAGCAAAATGAAATCATGACGATGGTAAGGGGGAAGATATTCCCAGATTCTTCGCGTCTGCTTGGGCCTCGTACCGTTGATTCTTTCTGAGTTTAGAAACTTCCTTTGATCTAAAGTCTTCGAGGTATAGGCTGTTTTCGACAGACGTGGATAATTTTAGGTTGCCTGAGGCTGGGGCGGGCGCGTACATAGAAAGAAGCCAAACCCCTGGCGGCTAGGGAGATTTCCCATGAAGATCAGGCAGGACATTTCTCTCATGTTCTGCTCAAAGCGAGCGTAAACATCAACCCGGCTTCGTGCAAGGTTGTTTAGATCTTCATCTTGATAACAACTCTCCTTGTTTTGCGATCACTCACAATTAAATATCGCTTTCGCTCTCTCTTCTACACCCAATCATGCTCAGATGGCTCGGAAGCCATACCCCACCCCGCTGGTCATCCCGCCGCTAAGGGGGGAGCATACACATACCATCATCTCCCTTCATGGGAGAGGTAGCAACGCCGAGCGTTATGGCTATGAGCTTCTCAAGTCTGCGAATCTACAAGCTCGACTCCCGACAGTGGAATTCATCTTCCCCACTGCAAGGAAACGGCGGTCAACAATCCTCAAACGGACCCCTATCAATCAGTGGTTCGACAACTATTCCCTCGAAGACCCAGGGCAGAGAACGGAACTACAAATTGAGGGACTCTGTGAGACTGCTGAATTTATTCACGGTTTGATTACTGAAGAGGCCCAGATTTTGGGCGAAGGGGGTTATGGAAAGGTCATCCTGTGGGGGCCTGTGCGGCTTGCATTTTCACGCTTTTGGGGGGCTACGACGACTCCGATGAGGAAAAGACTCTTGGAGCTTTCATTGGATTGAGTGGATGGCTGCCTTTTGAACAGCAACTGAGGGATATCCTTCGATGCCATGATAACCCGATCTTCAGCCAAGATGATCATCCCGAAACACAATCAGACGATTCTGACACAGAAGATGACGAGGTCTCCGAGGAAGAGACTGATAGTGATGAAGAGCCAGACGTACATGCAGACGCATTTTCTGATAAATCAGATGATGACCTTTTCCAACGAAGCAGTTCCTCGCATGACAACTTCGACGTTTTCGAGAAAGGCGAGGAAGAAGCAGCGCCCTTGGTCGTCCAAGCAGTCAACCATATCCGAGACATCCTCGATCTTCCCATGATTTCCGCAGATGAGGGATCATCACAGAACGAATTGTCAGCAAAAGGGTTGCACCATCTTCAAACGCCTGTATTCCTTGGACATGGCTCAAAAGATCCAAAGGTTTCCGTGAACCTTGGCGAAAAGATGTCTCATGTTCTGTCAACTGGTCTAGGCATGGATGTGACATGGAAAGCTTATGAGGGATTGGGGCACTGGTATCGCGTTGAGGATGAAATTCAAGATATTTTGAATTTTCTTCAGAGTCATGTCGGTCTACCGGTGGAACCCGAGGTATCTCTGCCAAAAGCTGAGGGTGAGACTATGTGAGCGTTTATGATAGCTATAGTATATTAAAGGCAACCAGAGAGATCAAAATTAGTGTCAAGGCGATGGGGAAATTTTGCGCTTTTCTCTTTCCTCCAAGTAGTTCCGAAGCACATACATCTTGTCATCTATCTCAAGGGTTCATTGATAGCTTCCCTTCCTTTGGAGCTTCGGTCGAAGTATATGGCCCGGACCTCTTGTTGAATAATCAGATCACGCATAAGGCTGGGCATCATCACAGACCGGAGTTTCCAAATCATATCAAGCTCTGACTGTGTGAAGACCTTGAAAAAAAAAAATTCTAATCAGCCTTGTCGATTGTGGAACGGAATATCTTGAAATCAGTTTATTCTAGTTAGACCTCACCCAGGGCTGGCGGCCCGAAGGCTCTATGCTTAGTCATCACTTTTTGACCCACTGCAATTTTTTGGATGCATGATCGAGGACCTTTTTGAGGTCAATTGCCAACACCACTAGCCAATCCTTTCACAATATACCTATCTAAGCTCACAAGGTGATTGAGACGAGGGAATCCCAAGCCTTGTCTACTCCAAATTCCAACCGATGCCACAAAATCACGTCACCTCTTGCCTGGCATCCCGCACTAGATCTCTGCTCGACACTCGAGAATAGAGGAGCTACTCAAACATGGCATTCAGCTTCGGCTTTTCAGGAGATGATATTGACATCGATGACTCTGAGATTAGCAATGGTGTGCCGGATGTGTTGCCTCCCAGGGGCACTACTAATTCTCTTCCCGAGCTGGTGAAGCCCAGCAAGCATGATATCAACGAGTGGGTGAGTCAAAGCACATACTTCCTACAATTTTTTGTTCTCCGTATAAAATTGTGCATTATGAAATTGCCTCCCTTATAATCGTTGATTCTTGAGAAACATACTTAAGATCATGAATGATTCTTGCCTCAAAGCATATGCACTACCCAATTACTTCTTTCCCCTCACATGGCGTAACAACGAGATCTAACATCATCACAGCTCTCAATTCTCCCATCACAAATATTCTACAACAGGCTCGCAATCAGTGGCACGCCCATAGTCATTGCACGTCGAGAAATTTTCGACATTCGCACTCAGTTGATGGCCGAGGATACCGAGAACTACGACAATGCCGAGCTCATTGCTGGCCTTGAAGAAGGCGATCTTAAGCCCAATTTCTACGAGGGTGGATTCAAGACGTGGGAGTGTGCTCTTGATCTTGCCAAACTGGCTGGTGGTGATAGCATGATCGTGGACTCTTTGAATGATTCTCAGACGGATGTTCACATTATCGAGGTATGTATCGTGTTTACGTGAAGTGACTATGAAGTATCTTGCTAAGAATATGGATATAGCTGGGTGCGGGCACTGCAGTGCCGTCAATGACTTTGTTCGCTCATATCCTCAGCCAGACAGAGTCTGTCGACGGTACAGCCTCACGACGGAAGGCACACTTTACATTCGCAGATTACAATGACGCTGTGCTCCGCCTCGTTACACTTCCCAATCTCCTCTTGACATGGCACAATAGCCGGCCACAGACTGCAGTCGAACGTACTGTCAGCCAGGAAGTGCGTCGTCCAGAGCAAGACGAGGAGCTGGACATCACGCCCGAAGTAGTGGACGAGTTCAAGAACGACCTTGCCCGACGTGGTATCTCGATCGATTTCATCTCTGGCGGCTGGTCTCCCGAATTTGTCGATTTGGTCTTCTCTCATCCCAGCAGTGGCGAGTGCAAGACTCTGGTACTCGCAAGTGAGACCATTTACTCACCAGCTACATTGTCGGCGTTCTCCGAGACCCTTTTAGCTCTGCTCCGCCGCTCTAGCACACCTACAGCCACGACTCGTGCTTTGGTTGCAGCTAAGAAGGTTTACTTTGGTGTTGGAGGTGGAGTTGACGAATTCCTCGCGGTGCTCAAGAGTGTTTGTGGGGATGAGTTGCAGGTCCAGGAGAAATTGGACGTCCAGTCGGAAGGAGTCGGTCGGGTTGTGTTGGAGGTCACACCGTCTGCTGTTCCAGTATGAGATGGACGTGCCTGTCATTTCGCCCTAACTAAGGGCTACTTCTGTATATATAGCTGGAAACGTGTCTTCAAACAAATGGAATTCAAATGATCAGGTTGCCGGATTGAACTTCCCAGTCCCAACGTATATGTACATGTTTTGCTCCCCACTGCGCATGTCTTCGCAGACGAACAATTGCAACGAAAAAAAAACTCCTTCTACCCGCTTAATCATAGATGGACTGGACATTGCCGTCCTTCATACGCGCAACGCGAGCCTCCTCAATATCCTTGTTCTGGCGCTCGTAGTGAGCCACAACGGCGCTCAGGTCAGCCTGGGAACCGGGAGAAACGTTGTATGGCGAACGAGCATTGAACATGCTGTATAAACATTAGCAATTGGCCTTCCGACATCCCCCGTCGCAACGATTTTTAATCAACGTACTCGGGCTGCATCAGTACAACGGCCTCGGCGTGGCCTTGAGATTGGAGCAGGTGGCGGTCCTCGGCAGCCTTCTCCAGAAGGGCAGTGTGAATGGCGTTACGCTGTTCAAGAACCTCCTGCGAGATGCTGTACTTGTTGATCAGGCCGGCAATGAAAGACTCGGAGCCGGAATCCTGGCTGGCAGCGCTAATGCGGTAGAGGAGGTAGGAGGAGACGATAGTGCCGACGGTGACGTAGAAGCTGCGCTGTTGATTGAAATTATTGGTGTTAGCAAGCAATTGCATATTCTGAAAGACCTTTCAGAGCATTCAGAGCTCGTTGTCGAGTCCTCTGGCTCGGCCAGCGGGGGAGGAGGAGCTTACGCCGACGCCCTCGTTGACGGGCTCGGAGTGGGCGGAGTGCGAGCCAAACCGGCGAGGGGTCTGGCGCAGCAACTGCCGCGTCGAAGCAGCAGAGCGTCTGGCGGCGAACATGGTTGGATGGGGAGAATTGGCAAGAGACGTGTGGTGATGACCCTTCGGGCGGTGATGATAGGATGAAGTTGCGAACCGATCGAGTCACATGACCATGGCTGTATTAGGACTAGTGCATTTATCGTTTGGTCGGAATTGGGTCTGTGTCCTTCGACGAACACCTCGAGATTCATGACAGGCCTGTCAGTCTGTAAATTCATTCCATGCTGGTCATTGTGTGGTGAGTCAACGTACGAAACTTTTGTGAGCTGCAAACTTTGAAATCCCTGTACCAATTAGTTTGACTCTATATCGACCCCATCCGCAAACAAGGTGAATAGACTGGAATGTCGATATGCTTAGAGGATGTTAGAGGCCATACTAGACGGGTCATCTATAGAGCCCTTCAGACTTAAGCAAACTAGATTTTTGCGATCCCATATTGGCTATGCAATGTATAACCCACTATGTCAATCGAGCGCGAAAACCTCTGTATAGTAGGACGAGCTCTGCTATTGGTTTTGTCTAATGCCTGCAACTATAGAGAGCCTGGACAGGGTACCTAACACCGGTCTACAATTTCCAGGTCGAGGAAGGTGTAAAGAACAGAGCGGCTCTGTGCATTAAACGAATCAAAAAAGTTTTGTTAGCACGGATCACGTACTGTAAGCGTAGAAGCTCTATCGAGGCTATCGCTCTCAGCCCTTGTACAGGTCGACATATTGTTAGAGGGTGGATGTATCCCAAGGTGGAAAAGAATGTGATAAAGACGAGAAGGGCTAACATCAAAATTATTGAACTTAATGCAAGGCCCCGTAAAATCATATCAGCGCGTTCGCTAAAGGTAATTCGATGCCTTTGCAATGTTCTAATTCATAGCTCGGCGTCGTCCGTCCATCTGTCACTTGGATGTCCTTTCACATCATTATCTTATCGAGTTTGATAATGGAAGCCGAATAATTCTCAATCAGCAAATGTTTTCCTTTCTTTCTTTTTGGATGTGTTAGTTCCCCATCATGCTTAACAAAGATTCCTGCAAGGTATACTCGGGTGGCGTTGGGAGTCGGTCCTTTTGGTTCGCCGTCTTTTTCAGACTAACGCGCCCGAACCGATCCCTCAACCAATTCATCCTCCCAACTTCAACCTGACCTATTTTCGTCACTCTTCCATTCACTAACTAAAGAAGATCCGAAGAGAATCCAGGATCATGCTGCATATGCACGACTTCTCCCCAACCCAAGGCATTAACCATCTTCATTATGGGGTTGCATGATTAAGGCGTGTCTCTAGAATGCGCCTCGTTTTCGACCCCCCAGCCCCCCTTCCTTTTGAACTCCATCGGGCCGAGTTCTTTGAATAATAGACCCATCGATTCTCGCTCTCGACAGCGTCTGGCTGTGAATTGAACATGTCAGACCTTGGGAGCCAGTCCCCACCGGCCTTGCCCTATTGTTCAAGTGGCGCCCGAACGGGTTGATGCCCAATGTTCGCATGGCGCCCAGCCATTGGTGTCGCTTCAGTTCAGAATAGAATCTTCGTTGTTCCCTGGCGCGTCGATCAGCGTTACGCTTGATCGAGACGGTTGGCTTGAAGGAATGAGCAGGGTAGGCTGGATCATGGGTGGGATGGGTTAGGATGGGTACCAACATCCACACTAAGGTTCGGTCCGCAGCGGTCTTTTCCACGGCAAGAACAAGTTGTGGATGGGGGTAAGTTTAGTTGGCGGGTTTGGAAACGCACTGTTCTTTTTTTTGACCCTATTTCTGCCCATCCACACAATTCCCCTTATAGTTAGGTGCATTTAATATTCAATTCTGTTACTTTTCCCCTTTTCTTACTCACCTTTTGAATTTCTTGACTCTGGTTGTACACAATATCCCGTGCGATTCCATCCCCTCTACGCACTGCTAAATTGAGATCTGGACTTACCCGAAGCGTCTGTGTACTGGGACAGGCTGCCTTACTTTCGTGTATCACAGTCATTTGTGCCCACTTGGCCAACTAGACTCGAAGTTCAGATCAACTGATTCTCTGCCCGATAATTCTCGTTCAGGACGCCTTGATTTCTCCATTTCCTGGTATCCGAGCATTCTGGATCCTCGATTCTACTCTAGTCTGTGAAGACCTGTTGGGCTATATCTTAAAGCACTGCCGGGGCAACTTGCAAATGTACAGTGCAGAGCAGAGAAGCACCATCAATCAGCCGACTGGAGCTCTTACTTGACTCATTCCTTCTCGCAATCACGCAGTGATCCTATTGGGAACACGTCTTCTTCCTTCTCTGACCATCCCACCATCTCGGGCACGCATCAGTCGACCGTGATGGGCCTGGGTGGCAAGAAGGCCAAAGCCAAGGAGAAGAATGGCAAGGCCGGAGCAAAGCAGAAGATTAAGAAGACGAAGAGTCCCGAGGTTTCTGCTGTTGCTGAGCCTACGGAAGCTATTGAGCCCATTGAAGACCAGACGACAATCGAATCGCCTGCGCCTGCTAGTCCGGAGCTTGTGCTACAAGAACCAGAGTCTAGCCAACCATCAGAACCAGCACTTGAAAGGATTATTTCAGTTGAAGATTTTCTAGAGAAGGAGACTCCTTCGGCACCTTTATCGCCTTCAATACCTCTCGCAACAATTGACAATGAGGGAAAGCATGAAGAAAAGCCATCTGAGCCCTTGAATGAGCAAATAGTCGAGAAAGACGACCACTTTCGGGATCACCGTGCCAACCCTCACGTTTATCGCCGTGGCGGCCATCCCAACAGCGTTGACGAATACCTTGACGACCATAACGACGACCAAGAGTCTCTGCCAACAACTCGCAGGGGAACACCCGAGCCCCCCTGGAGACCGACAAAAGGCATTCGACATATGAAGAGTCATATCCATACTATCCACCCTACCCGACATACCCAACCTATCCAACAGACTATCCGGAGAGGACTCTCGTTGCATCCCCTTTCACTCCCTTCTCTCCTACCCCGGCACTAGTGCCGCTTCCATCGCCATCTCTGACCGAAGCACGGTTTATGTCGAGTGCCTCTCCCGAGGCCCATTACTATCCCTATTATCCACCTCCGCCCCTTCCATACACGCCGTACGCGGCATCCGTATACTCTGCGCCTTATTACCACTCTCCCATTCCCAAGGTCAGCAGTCCATTGGCTCGATCTCATTATTCCTACGTATCACCCGCCATGTCCCCTACCGCTACCCCTCCGCCTCCGCCTGCAGCCCCAGCTGCTCCAGTTGCCCAGGCAGCCATAATGCCACCACCCCCTTCAGTCTCGCAAGGCTATTCAACGGCTGTGCACTCCCCCGTCATGAGCTCAGCAGGTATTATCCCGCCTTATGGCCCTTATACTCCGCCTCAGCCGCCAGATAGCCACTATATGCATCGGAGCTACAGTGTCTCTGACCAGCCCTATGCCGCATCATTCCAAGCTATTCAGAACCTTGGTCTAGGTAATGGCCAGGTGCACGAGAACGGCACTATTTCTCCACCTGAGAATGACCAGGAGCATATCGAGCTGCTCCAACGCATTCAATCCGCCATCCCTGACATCAACCGTCTTCTCCATGGGTTCCGCCACACCCATACCAGACTCAACAGCCGCGAGGCTGAGATCAAGCAAATCGGCAATCAACATGAGCAAGCCCTCATGCATAAAGATTTCTATATTGAAGCGCTGCAGTCACAGATGAAGAAGACTGCCAACGAGAGCGCCGAAGAGTGTGCCAAGCTCAAGAACACTATCAACGAGCTGCGTCTGGAACTTGGTGATCTCCAGGAGAAGCAGAAGGATCTTGAAGACGGCCTAGCTGGGCACCAAAAGTCCAATGAGGAGCTTTCACAGAGCAAGTCTGAGCTCGAGGCGGAGATTGAAAAGTTGAACGCGAGTATCAAGGCTGCGCAGGAGACGCATGAGAAGGAACTCGCGACACAGAAGGAAGATCACGCCAAGGCTTTGACCACGCAGAAGCAGGAATTGACTGAACTCTTTGAGGAGATTAAGAACGAGGATGAGAAGGCTGCTTCGGAGACGCTCGAGGCACGGGAGAAGGACCTACGGGATCAGCTCGAGTCGACCAGGGAGGAGTGGGGAAAGGAGAAGAAGTTGATGGAGGATATGCTAGAGTCGCAGCGTGGTGAACTCGAGGTTACCAAAGCAGAGCTTGCCTCCAAGATTGCTAGTCTGGAGACTAAAGAGGCCGAGCTGGAGACGCAGTTGGCCGAGCTAAGCACCACCCGCGATGAGGTCGCTTCCAAGGTTGCACTGTTGGAAGCGAAAGAGAAGGAATTAGAGGAAACTCGCCAAAAGAGTGCGCACGAACTGGAGGCTCTTCAGCAGGGTCATGCCGGTGAACAAGATACTCTTCGGGCTGGTCATACCAGCGAACTAGACTCTCTCCACCAAACTCACGAGGAGCAACTCGCCGCCGCCGCAAAGGACCTCAATGAGAAGATTGCTGCCATTGAAGCACACTTCCTCGAGCAAGAGCAACACTGGGAGGCTGAACGGGCTGCGCTGCAGAAGCTCCTGGCCGAGAAGGATGAAGAGTTGAGCAGTGCTGAGCGGGAGAAGGATAAGCTGGAGGGCGATGGGCTGATCAAGGAGCAGCAGCTTCAGCGTGCCGTGGAAGAGATGCGTTCGACGATTGATCATTTGGGTCAGGATTGTGATCGACTGCGGAGGACGCTGCAAAGTCTAGGCGAGGCGACGGACCTCAAGACGACCAAGGGCGATCAATTCTTGTAAGTAGGCGGCCTTTGATTTTCTTTACTTTTGCTTTTCTTTTGCATTTGATCTGGCAGCGCAACCTTGTACGATTGACGATCATGATCATGTCTCTCCCTCGCATTTCCTTTCTTTCTTTCTCTTTCGAAGACCAACCTTATACTGTCTTTGTCCTCGAACCCCCTCTCGATATCTCCTATGTCTCCGTCCTATAGAATGCCAACCTCTCAGATCATGTTCCACCACACCAGACTACTCTCAACACCACCATATAAAAAATCACGTACAAGGCTCTAACAACCCTTCTTCTCTCTAGTGTGGACTGCTTCACCCAACTCTCCTCTCTAATCGCCACCCTCTCCCACGAACACTTCGCCTACCTCCCCATCGACCACCCCCAAAAGACATCCTCTCCAAGATCCCCTCCGAACTCCCCTCCTTCCTGGACAACACACCTCCCTCCCGCGCCCTCCGCGCCGCCTACGTCCAACACGTCGTCTCCAAAACCCTCACCTACCGCGTCTTCCAACCCTTCCTCTTCACCCTCGGCCGCCGCTACGACAAAGCAGACACCTTCTTCCAAATGCTCTCCATGGACATCCGGCGGAAATCCGTCCGCCGCGAAGCCTTCTGGCGCCAGCAAACCCTCAAAGCGGCATACACCACCTCCGACGCAAAACAATCCATCAACGTCGCCGCCGCAGTCATCGTCGACGAAATCATCGACCATATTCGCCACTTCGCCGATCCCCGCCAACTCGATTCCCTACTCACCGCCGTCCGGAAAATCGTCAAGCTCGCTGCGGAAACGTGGCGCCATGCCCGCGTCGAGCGCGAACTCGTCCTAGCTTCCTTCCCGGCTCCAGACGCTGAAGCCATTGACAATGAAGGTTGGACTGAGTACGCTGCCGCTGCCAAGGAGGAGGAGTCCACCCCCAAGCCGGAGCCGAGCCGGCACGTCGTGCTGCGGACGTTCCCGCGGGTAGTGCGTGAAGCGGCGCATGAGGATTTTGCGAGCGGTTCGGACCGCGCAACTTCGTGTATGTATTCGAGTGGTGAGGTGCTTTATTCAGATTCGCCGGTGGTTATGGCGCGGTTGCAGGAGTTGGCGAAGAGGTCGGCGGAGACGTTGGTTGTGGTGGAAGACGAGAAGAAGGTGGAGGATAAGGTAGAGAAGGTAGAGGAGCCTCCGCTGTCGCCGCCGAAGGCGCCCAAGGTGGTGGAGGAGGAGGTGAAAGTTGAGATGGCCGCTGTGCCTGAGCTTGAGCCCACTCCAGTGGTGCGGAGTGCGACTCCAACGCCTGTGAAGAGTAGTCCACCCGTGCGGAGCGCGACGCCGGTAAGGAGTCCTACGCCCGTGAGGAGTCCCACCCCGGTGAAGGTTGGGGTGTCTTCGTCGGTGCCGGGGAGTCCGAGGGGGAAAGCCGTCCGTTGAGGCGTGCGGGATGGACGATCGAATGATTTTGTTTTGAAGTCATTTTTCTTTGTCTTTGCTTGCTATGATGTTCTTGTTGTTGATTTTCTTTGATCCTGTTAGCGTTCACGTTGGATGCGCAAGTTTTGTTTTGATTTTGTTGTGGTTTGATTATTTGCCTTGAGTTTGATTTTGCGTGTTCTTGCTGATGTCATTAGCGTTGCTGTTGGGATCTGATTAGCATGATGATGTCGGATTTTGCGAATGTTCATGTTGATCTTTTTATTGAGTGCTGAGCGTTTAGCGTGGTTCGAGGGGTTCCTGTACGGTTCGCAAATATATGTATTTCACTTGTCAGATGTATAGCAATAGATTGATGAAATGAGTTTATGACCTGGATTCCATACCAACCCCTCTTCCCCATTGATGTATCTGAAACTGGATTCTACCTCCATATTGACTGTCAATAAAAGTCATAGATCCTCGGACCCGCCCGTACCCAAGATCCCACGGCCAGTTTCCAGTGGTTAGCTCCCGCGCCACCCGACGTCTGGTTTCCAGGTTCTGGTGGAAACAAGCTTGTGGACTACAAGTCGAGAGGGGTTCAGCCCTATGGACGTGGCTTTGCCACGTTCTCCACGGATAAGAATAGCAACAGAAGTCCAAGTATGAAACAGTCGTTGATCCTGGTTCACTAGTCAGTTCTGAGTACGGAGTATACTGGGGGCGGAAACGTGTTTCTCGACAAGGCGTGGCTGTGGACTGCAAACAGTGCAAAAGCGTGTATTGGCACAGCCTTCCAAGGTGGTTTGAGGTCTCGTTCAGTGGGGGGAGTGGTCTGCCTTGTTGGATGATGATGCAATAACTTTATTGGATATTCGGAGGGATGGTAGAGAAGAGCTCAAGAGTTTAGAAAAGTATGGTTTGATATACTGAATTCTAAACCAAAACTAGTCATGTAGACTCTATAGAATTTGGTCGAGGTCTATATGTCCTCTCTTCTCCAGTCTGTAACAATACCGCGTACGCCAGTTTACCAAAATACTTCAGAGCCACGATCGGACCGCGGGGCAACAGCGCTAAATGAGGCTCATGGCAAGCGGAGTCTCCAAGGCTGAACCACTGTTCTCCTCCCTCTCATGCCACGGCGCCTACGAGGGGGAACTGGAGGTTGCATATCTTTTCTGGTCGCGTATCTCCAGGGCGGTCGCTAAACCCCCGATTTCCCATCTCATCTTTCCCATCTCAATCCAGTCCGAATCCCACCAACTCAGCTCCCCCCCTCCCCTCTTTATCCCTCTCGGCCCCCATTTCTAATTCCTGATCCTTCCGCTTTTCTTCGCCAAACAGATTTATTTCCCTATCGGCTTAGCTAGTCGGGCAAGAGAGACGGGCTCTATAACCCGTGCTACGTTATTTCTCCATTTGTAATCCTTCCTCCTCCCAAAAAAAGAACCCTGGAATCTCCGTCGCCCTCCCTTCTGATTCTCTCCCCTATGCCTGGGAATCTATATACAACCTCCCCCAACCTGGCGCAAAGCAATCTGCATCCCCTCAATGATTTCCCCTCATCGGGCCCTCTCTCGCCTCCGTCCGAAGACGGCTCGCCAAACCAATCGCTCGCTACATGGGCGAACCTCGCTCGCAAACCCGACTTGAGCCTCACCCTGAACCAGAAGATGTCTTCCAGTCCGTACGCGCACCACCAGCCCCCCGCTGGAGCTGTCACGGGGGGCCACCACTCGCCGCCGGAGCTCAACACCGCCGACCCATATCTGTCGGCGCAATCCGACCCAGAGGAAAGCGACTTCCATGCCAGCGCGATTCGACTTACTCCCGTCAATGGCAGTCCCAACCATACTTCCTCGCCGTACGACGAGGCCCGTCGTCCCTCCATCACTTCGCAGGGGGGCTATTTGGCCCCAGGAGGAAATGATTATGCGGACGCTAGTTCCAGCACCTCCACAGCGGACCAGACGGGGGGCTTCTTGGATCCGACCGACGTGATGGTTAATTTCCCCGACCTTTCCACTGAGACAACGCCCTTGGTTTTCGCAGGACAGCCTGCGACTACACCCAGCAATGCGCAATGGCTGTCGTCCATCCCGCTCGATGCGACCCAGTTTCTAGATGCAGAGCCCACCATGCCCAGTCCATCATCCATGGTGGAGGCCACAGCGGCTCAGGGCAATCCCAACCCCGCGCTACCAACGCAGGCCTTGTTTGTCGCGCCGCAACAGTCTGGTATCAGCTCGAACCCGGCTTATGGCCCGTCCAGACTGACCGTCTCAACAAACCATGTACCCAACAATGAATTGACCTCTCCATCTTCGAGGGGCCGGAGTCCCATCATTACTATTTCGAGGACGTCACGAGGAGACTCGCCGGATGAGAATGAGCCTGAAACACGACCCAGCCGATCGCTGCTGTCACCCGCTGGCCCCGAGGAGATGCCCAATGGGTATGGTGATGATATCGACGACCACCACTCCATCTCTTCTGTGTCCGTGATTCCCTCGCATAACGGGACTTATGTGCGGACGCCCAAGGCGGCCCGTCGCGGCTTAGATCCCTTTTCTGGAGGAGATGAGTACGGACCAAGTCCGAATGAAATCCAGGGTAAGCGCGAGCAGGAACAGAAGAATGCTGAGATTGGTCGCTGGACGGAGACTGTGTTGGCGGCCAACAGCGACGCGGGCGATGACTATCCAGACCAATCTCGTGGACGCAATCAAGTGCCCAACCGGATCCGAGCGCTCAGCACGGGAGACCGTCCCCTCCAGCAGGCGGATTATTTCAATCTCAACGCGAGCGATCGGTCAGTTCTGGGACCTGGCCGCATGCTGCATGAGAGTAGCGACGACGGTATTGTCAGCGAAGATGACTCGGATGGGAGCACGGCACCGGATTCCCTCCCTGCCCTAGTTGATGACCGCGGATCATACGATTACTCTACCCCGGGGGTGTACACGGCGCAGGAAGTCGCTTCTCCGGAGGAGAGCTTCCCTCTTTACCCGTGGCAAGATGCGCCGCGCGACCCAATGCGTAGGGCAGAGATGAGGCAGCCTGGGAGTTCGGCAGCTGCAATGGCCACGTACGAGAGGCGCGCGAAGGAGCAAGACGCTGCTTCGATCACGGCGACGATCGATAACAACAGCATCATCAACTTCAGTGCCGGGTTCGAGCGGTCCTTGAGGATCTCGGATGCCCCCAAGAAACATGCTAGCTGGAGCAGTAGCTTTTTCAAACGCGGGGTTCAGCAGGCCCAGCAAAGAATTAAGCGACAAGCCTCGGACCTATCGCTGGCAAATGCACATTCCAATGTCCAACCAGGTGGCCCCGAACCACCGCAGCCTCAACGAAAGGAGAGCGCTGGCGCGAGCTACCGGCATCGGCTGAGCTTGTCGAGTAAGCATTCGCCGAAACCTCACAGCCGCTCTCCCAGCTTGACCAATGCGCTCATGTCCATGACCGGGCAAATGGCCGCCGTCGGGGGCAGTCATTCCGTTCAAGCGGTGTCTCCTCACGCAGAAGCCAGTCCCAAGAGCTTCCCAGCCAAATGGGGACGCGATCGCGCAAAGAGCGAAGTTCCACGGCCAACCACGCCAGGCTTGCTGGATCTCATGACGACGCATGGCGGGCCACCCGTGGCCAGTCTCTCCCGATATTGCAAAGCAGAGCCAGATACTGTGGAGCCGTGCGCAAACATCGCCCCGTCACTTGACGTGCCTGGCGCTGAGGAGGACGATGATGCGAACGTTTGCGATGAGGACAAGGGACTTGTGATGGAGTTCCCAGCGGTTTCCCGGTTGCCAGTGCCCACGATGGAAGGCTTTAAGTCGCAAATCATGCAACTAAACCCGCATCTTGACCCAGCGTTGATCAACCGCTTTGCTGGCGAGCAAGTTCGGCGGTACCGCAAATTGATTGAATACCAACAGAAGCATGCTACGGCTGTAGCCAGTGGCTCGTGCAAGTCGGGCAAGTACTGCTTCGCACTGGGCGGACAAGCACGGTTGCTACCGCAACGGAAGACAGCAGCCGACATTGAGAGTGGTCAGACCCAATTCCGGATCACGGACGGCCATGATCAGTCATATACCGGCAGCGAAGGGGCCGTTGCCGCGACGCAGTTCCCCCCTGGCGTCCCCCTGCCTCCCGTCGCTCGGCTACCGGCCGAATTCGAGTGTCCCGTATGCTTCCAAGTCAAGACCATCCAGAAACCGTCCGATTGGTCTAAGCATATCTTCGAGGACGTCCAGCCCTTCACGTGTACGTTCCCGGGCTGCATGGAACCCAAATCCTTCAAGCGCAAGGCCGACTGGGTTCGCCATGAGAGCGAGCGACACCGACAACTAGAATGGTGGTGCTGTTCATACCAGGACTGTACACACAAGTGCTACCGTAAGAACAACTTTATCCAGCACCTGGTTCGCGAGCATAAACTGCCTGACCCCAAAGCTGCCCAGACCAAGGGATTCAGTGATGGCTCTGCGAAGATAGTCGATCGGCTAGTCGAGGAATGCAAGCACACCACTCAGGACACCCCTTCTCAAGAGCCATGCCGCTTCTGCGGAAATAATTGTGGCACCTGGAAGAAGTTGACGGTCCACCTGGGGAAACATATGGAGCAGTTGGCCATGCCCGTTCTGGAACTTGCTAGGCAGAGCTGCGCCTCCCAGGGCCAGGGCCAGGGCCAGTCGGGGCCTGCCCAGGCTCAGGATCCTGCCCCTACCCAGACACAAGCGTACTATGGGGACATTCCAAGTTTCAACTTCACCAGTATGACAGGCGGCGAGATCTCCATGGAACCCGAGTCGATAATGGAACCAGACTCCCTGATCGATCCCCTGCAGCCTGGCGATCAGTTCTCCGGGTACACGCTGGGGCCGTTCGATCCGAACTCCCATGCCCAAGCCACGACTTCGGCCACGCTCCACCCACAGGGCCATGCTCTCGCTCATTCCCATGCCCATGCCCAACCCCACCCCCTGCATCAAAACTCAGTCTCAGTCTCAGTCTCATATCCACCCCTCTACACGCCGCCACGATCCACAGACCAACCCATCGCGCCAATCGCGCCACACTCGTACTCCGTCACTTCCCAGCTGCCACCACAGGCTCAGCCATCGCAAGCCCAAGCTCAAGCTCAAGGCCAAACTGCGGCTCCGATTCAGGGCTCGCTATACCAGGCGCAGCAGGCGGGGTATCAAGCATTCCAACCTGTGGCACCGAATAGCCCATACATCTCTGGGCAGTACAGGTCGAGTTATTCATCGCAGATGGGATGAGTAAAAAGGAAAATGCACATATATATTTCCGTACCCTCGTACTTTACTCGGTCTAGGTATAGAGTGCGAGTTACACCATACATTGTCACGAAATCTTGCACCAAGCACCAATTTATGATGACCCTTTTCCAATTTTATTATTGTTGTTCCCTTTTTGGGGTTTGTTTGGGTTGGGTTCTTTTGTCCTTTTGATTTTAGCCAGATTCCATATTGTACGTTTGTTTTGGGCTTCGCTTCTGCTACATCAACCCTGTTTTGCATTTCAGGGCGTGCGTTGTCGTGTATATACCCCCTCGAGTCCGAGTCCAAGTCCGAGTTCTAGTTCTAGTTCTAGTCCCCTTTGCACTTCGTGTTATTGCTGCGATTTCTCGTTCCTCCTATCCTATGATCGTCCCGATGCGTTCAGCGGCTGGACGGCCCACGCCGACTGAGGTGCATTTTAGAAAGGGATGAGACTCGTGAGAGATTTTTCTTATTCTATTGTTTTGGATTGTCTTGAGCTTGGGAATTTCTGCAGACAATCCCATTTTTTTCACGGGTTTTCTTTTTTTCTCCCGTTATTTTCTTTTTCATCGATCATCTATCTCATCTCCCTCTCCTCTCGTACTTCGTACAGTACTCCATAGTTCGTCGTTCTTCTCCACGACTCCCCCCCCTTTTTTTTCCCTCTCTCTCTTTTCCTTTTACTCTTTATTCCTCCCTTGTTTTTTTTCTTCTTTATGATTGCTTTTACCAATTCCTTCCCGAAATATACCCTATCGTAAAACATGGGCCACAGAGCGAGTGCGCGGGCGAATGATTTTACTGTCTTTGCATAGTTTGCATAATGTGGAATGACGAACGGTTCCTTTCCCGATGATCATTGTTACTGTTGACTGGCTGGCTGACTGACCCCACTGGTGAGTGACCAGTGCTCACAGTTCACTGGAGTCGGGGACTCGGGGTACATACATCCAGTGGTGTTCCATAAGTTTGCAACACCCAAAAAAAATTCAAACCCATCTCATCAGCTATATTTTAAAAGGCAAGCTGAACAAAAATGCCAGGAATATCTCGAAAGCGGGTTCAAAAGACATTCAATAAGATCTCTTACGAACATAAAATCGAGGTATATTAAGATGGCCCTTTTTTTTTTCTTGGTCCCTGGTTTCAGACTTTTGAACTGCCACTGTAATAGGAATACATACATACTGAACAATTAGGGCACTGTACAGTACTCGGTACATATTTTTCGAAATTCGGAGGGGGCGCTGGGGAATCTTGTCTTGAATTGGAGGGCGGGTGGCGTTGAGTAATTTTACTATCAGCATGCATGGCATATGAGAGATCAGATTTTCTTTTGATTTTAGGGCTAGTTAGTCCTTGATGGAGAGGAAACGTTTCGCTTGTGCCCTACTTGGGACGGACGGGGGTTTAGTGGATGGACGGGGACTTGTAGGGCTTGGCTTGGGAGAGCGTGCATACTGTTATAGCTGTTATAGCTGTTGGTGGAACAGTAGTACTGTACAGTAGAGAGTGGTGACACAGAACTATAGTTCGTGCAGTACCTCTCAGCTCGCTTAACCCCAAGGGCGAAGAGAAAGGTGATTAGATGATTATTGTCTAGTCTAGCTCATCAGGATACGAACAAACCCGGCCAGACTCATGTCATCTGGTATGAATGTTCTGGGTCTGGTCGGGACTGGAGGCGTTAAGGTTAAAGCTCTCCAGCTTACATAGGCGAGCCCCATTTTCCTGTTTGGTGCGGTGAATAGCGTCGATCGCCTCCTCGCGAGAAGGCGCGTGGATGTCAAAATGTCAGGCGTGTTTCACCATCGAAAAGTATGGCCCCCTTGGATGTCAGTTGGAAGCCCCTTGCTCCACGGCATGGCATTGGCGGGAACGAGGACGTGTCGATCGCCCTGTCACACCCGATCTTGCCCCGAGGTCTGGGCTGGGATTGGAGGGGGATGGATTGGTTGTGTAACAAATCGTGGGCGAGGGTTGAGGTATGCGTGGGAGACGGAGAATGGCGTGGTTGATTGTCAGATGAACTTGATAAGGATATACTGTACGACGTACAGTCCTCGAGTGAGTGATTAGTCTCTCGCGAGGTATATTTGAATCCACCTCCTATTTCTCACTCGTCACCCTAACCTCAAGACCGATCATCATCTCAAAGATCGCCCTATCATCATGATCTTCAACCCGGGTGAACGATCCCCTGCTGCCCGGCTTGTCACTACCACCAATTAGTGGCAGTAGCTAAGTTATTAGCCCCAAGTCCCGAGTCCCGACATCTGTAATCAACCACACTAACTCCCTCTCCCATGCAGCGGGGCTGTGCACTGAATCAAGGGATGGCAATGACATGCACATTCCCAGAATTTGTCTCACCTCACTCGGGCGAAATGAATGGCTCCCCGTTTCAAGACGATCGCTAACCTCATTCGCACCACATTTTTCGCCCTTGATTGATCGCGTGGTGACCCGGCTCGGGGCGAGAAGCGACAAGCGAGAAAGTGACAAAGTGGAGGACGGAGGAGGACTGTAGGAGGAGGGGGGAGCAGTCAAGACTCCAAGAGCAAGGGAACCGGGTGCGTGTTTATTTCACGCGTGCGTTGGGTTCCAGCCATGCATGCACCTCGTTTCGTTTAGGAGTGCCACGGCCTTGGGCTCAGTCTGCATTTAATCTTGCCCTTTTCCTGGGTTGTGGCGGGGTGAGTTCCTTTTTCTTGTCTTGTGGAACTGAACACTTTTTTCTCTCTCTCTCTGTCTCTCTTCCTTTCCCTTCTTTTCATCCAGGGTTGACTGTGTGTGTGGTTAAGTATACTTCTCTGGTCTTGGTCGATTGTGTATACTCCCCCCACTTCTCCTCCGTACCACGGTTCGACCTCTTCTCTCGTGGGTCATCTATGAGCTTATAGCTTATTCTCCCCTGTCGAAAAATACCCACTTATACGACAACAAGCCTCAGCTGGTCTGGACGCTATCACCTTATTTATTGACTTTGGCCCCCTCCCCTCTCCCTCTCAGCCACATCATGGAGGTTCGTGCTCCCTGCGGCTCTCTCTCGGTGATCACGCCATCTGACTACTGTACTCTAACATCTCCTTCTCCCAGGATCCCCAACTGAACTGGAGTGACCCGACCGACGTGCTTCAAGGCATCATGGCCGGCCAGGACGATCCATATTCACATCCAGACCTCACAGACTGCCGTCAGTTAGGTCTGGCTCTGGACTCAACCCCACATCCACTACTGGAGTTGGACTTGGGATCGATCCAACCCCGCCACCAACCCGCTTTTCTAGGCTGGCCATCCACCTCCTCCGCCTCATCGGCCGAGCCACACGAGTTTTATCATCCCTATTACTCGTCCGCCCGTCTCACGGCCGACCAGGATGCCTGGAACCCGCTGCAGGTCACCGGCGTTCCCAACCCGTCGCCCATGTCTCACATGAACATGGCGGTCGGAGATCGCGACGGTTTCGCGAAACGTCATTATCGTACACCGTCCGAGAGCGGGAGTCAATATATGGGTAGTTTCCATTCGGGTGACTCGGGGTATGGGGGGAGTACTAGCTGTGCGACGCATTCGGTCGTGACCTCGTCTTATGGCGTGGAGTCGATGTCGAGTCCGCAGATTGGACCGAAGGAGCAGGGCTTTGGAGAGTCCCTTGCTTTGTTCAATCAAGCCTTTGTTGGACCTCCGGTGTTTGCACGGGAGCTGGTCGAGTCCCCGGCTGAGTCGGTCAAGTGTGATCATCCTGCTTGTTCGTGGGTGGGCAAGTGCCCGTCTGATAAGAGGTGTGTATACATGAACAGTCCCTGCATTTTCCCTGCCGGATCGTGGATGATCAGGTACTCATCTCAATGTTCAGGAAACACGAGGCCCGACATCGCAAGCTGTTCAAGTGTGATGAGCCAAACTGTCCTCGCAAGGAAGGCTTCGGTACGATCAACGATTTGGCCCGCCATAAGAAATGCGTTCACAATAAAGAGCCTGAACGTGGGCCTAAGATGATGTATCTCTGCTTTGGGAAGAATTGTCCTCGGCCGAGCAAGAAGTGGCCCCGACTGGACAACTTCAAGCAGCATCTTGGACGGATGCATCTTGGAGAAGATGCCGATGCACTCCTCAAGAAGTAAGAGAGCTTCCGCATTGCTACACTGTAGTGTTTCGTGCTACAAACTAACCCATGTATAGGTCTATGGACTGGTATGAGAGTCTTACAGGGCAGCCCGGTCAGATCCCCGAGGATACTGCTTCACAGGATGATCCCTTGAGCGAGAGCCAGGAGGATCTGGCTTCCAACCACGAGATGGACCTGGATTCGGTTGACTCTGAAGACACGCATGAGGATCCCGTAGTCATCTCACTGTCCGACGCTGCAACACCCAAACCCCCTCAATATCACAATTCACAGCCCGAGATGCCCCCGCTGGGGACTCTCGCCTCGCTTACCAACGACAGCCGGGATTCAACAACAGACCGCAGCAGCATCAAATCAGAGACATTCCTCGCAGATGCAGCAGATAACCTCATCAACGCCATGACCAAAATGATGAACAATCGCGGACGAAGATCCAGCCAACACAGCGATGAAGGAATCGAGATTGAACCCGATACCTCCACCCTCACCCAGCCACAACGCCAAATGCTCCAAAAGATCCTCTCCACAGCCCTGGAACGTCTCTCAGACGATACATCCTCAGTACCACCCGAACCCACGGACGAGAAACAGGATTGGTTCCAGTGTGACGTATGCTCGAAGCGTACCCGTCTACGCTGCGAGATGAAGTAAGTCCATACAACCACTCCAATTCACTTCCCCCTCTCGTCCACCATCCCTTTCATCTAACAACCACCATCTAGAAAACATCAAAAACGCCACGAACGCCCCTACGGCTGCACATTCCCGCACTGCGCCAAATCCTTCGGCAGCAAGGCCGACTGGAAACGCCACGAAACCTCCCAACATCTCCATCTCCCCAGCTGGCTCTGCACATTCCACGACGCCGGTAAAGACGCCTCCTGCGAAAGCATCTTCTACCGCGAGGAATCCTACACCCAGCATCTGAACCAGCATCATAGCGTCCCGAAGACTCGCGTTAAGACTGCTGTGCAGGCAAGTCGGCTCGATCTGGACGGGCAGTCGCAGTTCTGGTGCGGGCTTTGTAGTCGGAATGTCTCGTTGAGGGATTGTGGGGCTGGGGCGTTGGATGAGAGGTTTAATCATATTGATGTGGAGCATTTTAAGAAGGGGGAGAGGGGGAGGGATTGGTGTTTTCCTAGTGCGGAGGCTGGTGTGAGAGGGAAGGTTAGTGCTGGCCGTGGTGAAGTGCAGATGGTGCCCGGCAGTAAGAGTGAGATGGGGCAGCCCGTTTCCGAGAGGAGTAGTCGGAAACGCAAGTTCATGGCTTCCGGATAGTATTTGGGGTGGTGGGATTCCATCTCGTTGGTCCGTGATAATAGTGCTTGTTGCATGCATAATGAATATTCTGTATAATGATAGACAAGGTTGTGGCTTGGTTTTGTCCAGTTTCATCCAAGAATTGAACACTTGAAATCTACGCCCAAGAAAGAAATAACAATCTGATAAAAGACAAAAAAGTATCGAGCAATAAAAGGTGGTAATCCTCTAGATGATTATGCCTTCGGGCAGTAAAATGAACTATTGTACAAAAACCTGCAAAACCGGTCTCCCCCAACCAGAGCTAGATACATATTCATTTCTGGGCAGCCGCCAATTCCCGCGCCTTCTTCTCCAAGCTCGCCATTTCCTCTAGAAATACAATTAGCAGGAGAATAACAGATACGTAGGTAGCTCGAGAATGCAATACCATTCTTCTCAAGCCTAGACTCATCCGTCTCCAGCTTCAGCCACGTCCAGTAAATGATCTGGTACGTGAGCACAGCACCGAGGAAGACCTTGGCAAACGCCCCGGTGAAAGTCTTGTAATTGGACATCTAGCCAGTTCGTCAGCGCCAAGTCAACCTTGAACTATCATCTTCATATCAAGGACCAGCTGAATGTCCCAGAATATACCAAAGTCATACTTACCCCCTGCCTGTACGCACTCGGCTGCTCCGCGGCGTTGAGCCGTGCAGTCGTTGATGTCAATGATCGTCTGCTCACAGCGACTCGAAGGGGGAGGCCATGTGCCCCAGGAGCGTAAGCTGTCGCATTGATTGTTTGAATAGCATCTTTGGTGGTTTCGGGGTGATGGTGTTTTTAATCTTGTAGATTTGGATGGCCTTGGTGGAATTTCGTTGCGGGTTTCCGGTTGGCAAGGTCTGGGGTGGCTGAATGCGGTTTAGCGTCGGGACTTTGTTTGGTGGTGGGTTGTATTTTGGAGGGTGTGAGTGTAGCTTGTTAGGTGGGGATTTTGGAGGTTGGCATGAGATATTGGATGAATTGTGAGGGGTTTTAGGTGGTTTATTTAGGGATTTAGATTTGGTTTTAGAGGTGTATTTGGGATCGTGGTTTATGTTAATGTGTATACGTTTGCGACTTGTGTGACTGGGGTAGATCCCGAAACATACGGAAATGACCTCGATACGAGATTCAGGAAAATAGAGAGGAAATGGAACCAGCCTTTGAAAGAACTATCAAGTCAATTGACATGACTCTTTTACTAAGTATACTTTGTTTTGTAGTTCTTGAATAGTATTGAACTATCCAGCGTAGACCATCCTGGATCTGAGATCGCCCGGCTGAGTCATCCGTCACATGATATCAGGTCCGGTTGAATTCTGGCGGGCAGCTAAAGGAAGGGGAGCCACAACCCAAATAACAGAAGGCTTCCAGTTACGCTTCTCGTTGTCCCTGACTGCCTTCTGACACCTCCTTTCACCACCGGTCTCTCCCAGGCAACCATGGCGTTTCAGGGCTCAAACTGCCCGATCCGGGACTTGACTAGTCCCGAAATGGATTTTCCAGACGATTGAAGCCTCCTGGAACAATCCCTAGGTGCGATTCTGGGGGTGTCAGAAATCGGCGTGGGCATCGAGGGCGAACTGCCCTTCATCCACCTTGACGATGGTGGCACGTGCATGGTGACTAAGCAATGGTGCGCCACACCTGGGCGGCTGCGCCTGCGAAGTGCCCCCTGTGGCTGGTGCCTGAACGCTCTCGCAAACACCGCGAGTCCCTTCCCGGGCCCATCTACTCGAGTTGTTCAGGCACAACTAGGAGCAACCTCGATCTCTCTGGCTGCATGTACTACTCACCTTCGTTCATGTTGCGCGCCTGGATAGTTGTGTGAACCTTTTTCCATCCCTTTTCTGCTCTGCCCACGCGTCCGCCTTCGAGCCCGTGGGTGACCCTTCTCGACACATCCAGTTTGCGCTCCACCATCGCTCCCGTCGCCGACCACCGGGCCCCGTTGATCAGCAATTGTTGTGAAAGCCGCTCGTGGCTTCTCTTCGTTCTTCGAGAGCTGGATCGCGTATCGGCTTTTCCTTTCACACCCTGTCATCGCTGGTCGAGGACTTTGTTTTGTCGTTTGTAAGCTCCCCGATTTGTGTCCTGGTTGCCGCATCGTCGATCGATGTCTACGGTCATTATCAAACACTGGCTTTTATACATCTTCTCCTCAGTTTTGTCGGAGTGATCGTCCGCTGCTTGTTTGTGCTCGGTTGCTGACACGTTTGCTTGCCTTCCAGTGACCGCCCGTAAACCCACCCCCTCGCCATCAGCATGGCTCGCGGTGGTGCCAAGCGCTCCCTCGAGGAGATCGTGAACATGTCCGACTCCGCCGACGAAGACTGGAGCGAAGGTTCCGACCGCATATCGCGACGCCCTGGCCGCAAATCCCAGTCGAGTCCGAAGAAGAAGTCACGGCCCTCAAAGAAGCGCCGCCGTGGTTCTGACGTTGTCTCGGACGATGCTAGTCTAAGCGATGACCTTTCGTTGGAAGAGTCTGAGGAAGACTTCGATGACCCTAATGTCCCACGCAATGCGCGAGGAACGGCGCGTCGTCGAACCACCCAGACGAAGAGGACATACGAAGAGCCGTCTGACGAGGAAGAGGAGTCATTTGGGGATGATGAGGATGGCGAGAACCCGGAAATCTCATCCCCTCCACCAAAGAAACCTACAGTTGTCACTTTGAAGATTCGGCCTGAGATCCTCTCGCAGCCGGATCTCATGACTCGACGAACTACCCGCCGGACCCGGGGCGCTTCCGAGGATATGTACGCGCTGACCAATTCGGGGAATCATATGGAGACTGTCGAACGGGGTACTGTGAGCCCCGAGACTGGTATGCAGCGCCGCAAAAACAGCCGGGCGTTCAAGGCGCCCGTTATCCATGAAGAAATCGTTGAAACGACTGAAATCCAAGCATCTCTGGAGATTCTAGAGAGCGATGTCCCCCAGGAAGCTCCTGAAGGTGACATAGTCATCACAAACGACGGCGAGGATGTTGAAATGACCAATGAAGGCGTTGTCCCCGAGTCTGAGATTGGGGATGCAAAGCACGAGGAGGAGGAGGAGGACGGCGATGATGAGGACGACGACGAAGGCCCGACTACTCGACGGCGACCTCGAACTACCCGAAATCCCGATCAAGATGGAACTGTGGACGCTGAAGCGGCTGACGCCTCTGAAAGTGCCCAGGCCCGTCGTTCCAGCCGCAAGAAGCCCTCCTCCCAACGTAAAACACAGGACGAAGAAAGCGATTTCGAACCCGAGGAAGAGGGATCCAACGATGATGATGGCTCTGATTCCGCCGAGTCCACTCGCTCACCGCGCAAGCCTAGCCAGACCCGCGATGAGGACGAGGAGGACAGCAGCGCCGTTGGTCGTCGTCCCGGCCTACGTAAGCGCCCTACCCAATCCCGCGGTCACTCAGAAGTTGCCGATGAACTTGCTGAAGAACTTGACGACCTGCGAGGTGGCCGGTCGAAACGCCGCGCCATGCATGAAGTCATTTCTGAGAAACCACGCCGCAGTCGCAAGGAAGTTGATTATCGTCTTATTCGACCCGAACACCTTTTGCCTATTGAAGATGTCGAGAATGACTTTGTCACCGAATCTCCCTCTCGTCGTGGACGCGGCGGAGGTGGTGGCGGCTGGCAGCGAACTCTTTTCCCGACATATGGACCTTTCGGCGGTGGTGGCCCATCGGCGATCTTAGCACCCCCGGAGCACCTGCTGCCACTGGTGGTGTCGATAGTGACAGTAGTGACGATGAAGCAATGCAACAAGCCAAGCCTGGCGGACTTGTTCCCGGTGGGCTTGTCCCTCAGACACATTCGGCCGATCCCGCGCAGAACCTCTCTGGAACTCCTGCCAACTTTGGCAAGGTTAAGGACAAGCAAGCATTGGCAGACGCGGACCCCCTGGGAGTTGACATGAATGTCAACTTTGACAGTGTTGGAGGTCTGCAAGGCCACATTGACCAGTTGAAGGAGATGGTTTCGCTTCCGCTGCTATACCCCGAGATCTTCCAACGGTTCCATATCGTGCCTCCCCGTGGTGTCCTGTTCCATGGTCCTCCTGGTACGGGTAAGACGCTCTTGGCGCGAGCTCTGGCAAACAGTGTCAGTGCGGAAGGTCGCAAGGTGACTTTCTACATGCGAAAGGGTGCAGATGCATTGAGTAAATGGGTTGGCGAAGCTGAGCGTCAACTCCGACTGCTCTTTGAAGAAGCCCGCAAGACACAGCCGAGTATCATCTTCTTTGATGAGATTGATGGTAAGCAGTGGCTTCACCGATTTAGTTCTAAATGACTTTACTAAACGCCGTGATTAGGTCTCGCCCCTGTGCGATCAAGTAAGCAGGAACAGATTCATGCCTCGATTGTGTCCACTTTGCTGGCTCTGATGGACGGCATGGACGGCCGAGGACAAGTCATCGTCATTGGTGCCACCAACAGGCCCGACTCGGTTGACCCTGCGCTCCGTCGTCCTGGTCGTTTCGATCGCGAGTTCTACTTCCCTCTTCCTAATAATGAAGGTCGAAGGGCTATCCTTGATATCCACACCAAGGGTTGGGATCCTCCCTTGCCGAACGACATCAAGGATGAACTTGCCAATATCACCAAGGGTTATGGTGGTGCCGACTTGCGGGCCCTTTGCACGGAAGCCGCCATCAATGCCGTTCAAAGGAGATATCCCCAGATTTACAAATCTGACAAGAAGCTGGTGATTGATCCGAAGAACATTGATGTCACACCCAAGGACTTCATGATCGCAATTAAGAAGATGGTTCCTTCATCTGAACGATCGACTTCATCCGGAGCAACTGCTCTACCACAAAACGTCGAGCCTCTACTTCGCAAGCAATTGCTGGAGATCGAGTCTTCATTGTCTGAGATTCTTCCCCAGCGTAAGCGACTGACTGCGCTCGAGGAAGCTCAATTCGAGGAACCTGAAGATGGTAACGGGTTTAAGCGAGAACAGATCATGCAAGAGTTTGACCGGTCACGGGTCTTCCGGCCACGCTTGCTTCTTCGGGGTGCCCAAGGTATGGGTCAGCATTACCTGGCGGCTGCCCTTCTGCACCATTTCGAGGGTCTGCATGTCCAGGCATTCGATCTGCCAACTCTTCTCAGTGACTCAACCCGGTCACCCGAGGCTACTGTCATTCAACTCTTTGCAGAGGTCAAGCGCCATAAGCCCAGTGTCATCTACATCCCGAACATCCAAACGTGGTTCGAGACCGTTGGGCCTGCAGTCATTTCCACGTTCATGGGTCTGCTGCGATCTGTACCGCCTACGGATCCCGTCTTGTTGCTTGGAGTCCTCGAGTCAACCGGGGATGACTTGGATGCCGGTCTACTCCACAAGCTCTTCGGATTCTCCAAGAAGAATCTTTACGACCTGCATGCCCCTGGTCATCAAGCTCGATTTGAGTTCTTCAGCAAGCTCATTGAGTACATCAAAACAGCGCCTTCTGACTTCCCAGACCCGGAAAATCGGAAGAAGCGTCAGTTGGAAGAGCTGGAAGTTGCACCGCCCCCGCCTCCAAAGGCGGAGATTCCAGTTTCCAAGAAGGAGCGCAAAGCTCAGAAGAAGAAAGATCACCACACGCTTAACCTTCTAAAGATCCGTATCCAGCCTATCATGGACCAGATCAAAAAGTACAAGCGATTCCGCCAGGGTGTGGTCGATGAAACCCATATTCGATACCTTTGGGAGGAGGAAGATCCCAATATCGTCACGAGTGATCTGCCTCCTGACCCTCTGACTAGCCACCGGCCGTACGAGAAGGCTTACGACAAAAACGGCACACCTGGTCTCCGCGAGGTTGTCACTGGCAAATTCTACTACAACATGGAAATCGTTACCATGGAGAAGCGACTTTCTAATGGCTTCTACAAACGTCCTTCTGATTTCCTGGTTGATATCAAGCGGATTGCCAAGGATGCACGAACGCTTGGTGAACAGGAGCGGCTGCTGAGGGCCAATGAGCTGCTGTCTAACGTCGAAGTCGATATCTCGACTATCGAACAGGCGGAACCAGCTCTCGTAGCAGAGTGCGAGAATGTTTACTTGCGCGAATTGGCCCGTGAAAAGGAGGCTAATGAGCGTGTGCAACGACTTCAGGAAGAGGCCGAGGCAGCAGCGTCCCGCCCCGGCACCGCAGGTGGCTTATTCAAGAATGATACAGATGAGCGCCCCGTCACTCCTACTCGGCATGGGCATGCAAATGTCAGCTTCGCCAATGGCAATGGGTATCATAACGGGGGTGGCTCCGACTTGAATGAGCCTGCGCCTCACGGGCTCAGCAACGGCTCCCATGGCGATGGTGACGGAGATGTCTTCATGACCAACTCGGAGGATCACTCTGGTAGCAAAGACACTCAAGTCAGCTCCTTTGGCCCGTCAGCACAGCCCAAGCCGCCATATTCCCACACTGCGCCTTCCCAGCAGATGCGTCGGGAGTCTGGCATGTCTAGCTTCTCTCAGACTGGTGTGGTAACCCCCATGGTTGCCGGGTCTCAGCCTGGAGACTACACCAACGAGGCATCTACCACGCAGACCACTTCTGACAAGAAGTCGTCGGGACCCTCGGGACACTCTGCACACGACCACACCCAGAGTCTGCACGCGTCACGGGATGAGTTCCCGGATCTCCATCAATACCCTGATCGCGACCCGCAACAGGAAGAGCATCTGCCTGATACGCAGCAAGGTGGAAGTAGTCAGCCGTCTCCGCGACCTCGCGAGTCCCAAGCATTGGGACACGCTGAGGAGAGTGGCCCCCCTCTCCGCAAGCCAGTCCCATCTGCGGCCTCAGCCGCCATTGTTTGACGCAGGTGCTTCCAAGCCCACACCGGAGCTTATTCTTGATCTGCAATACGTCGAAAACCTTCACAATCAGCTGGCGCTGCAGACCAGTGGCTCCTCTGTCGAACAACTTGAGCAGGTGAATACTTGTCTCATGGACTATGTGTGGCAGAAGCGTGGTGAATGGAACCGGACCACGGTCGCCATGGGCATTACCGATACTTTCAATGCCGTATTAGAGGATATGCAGTCGGTCCAGGAGATCGGACCCATCAGCCAAAACACGAAGGAACGGCTGGGCAATCCTAGTTTCTCGGTGTAATGGGGACGACGTGACGCAACCGACTCTTCTTCATTTTCAGATTTTCCTGTCAATATGTTCGTTCCAGCTGAGGTCATTGTCCAGATATGGTTCTGGGGATATTTTGTGGCGCAATTACATGGTGTTTACAGGGCATTTGCCCTGTCATGGTTTTCTCTCTTTCTATGTCTTTTTCCTTTTTCTGTATTGATCATGGTGAGATGTGAGTGTATTTCAAGCGAAATAGGGAGGGATGAATAGTCCCATACATGTAGAGAATGGAGACATTTGAACTTGGAATAATATTTGCGTAATTGTATTGTAGAGATCAAAACGAAATCAAGCTCGTTGGGTTGAGGACCCTGAGCTGCTTATACTTGGAGGCGGAACATGTGACGGCGACCCACTAAACACCTGGCCTTTGTGGCCCTGCGCCTGATGTGCCTGCCCTTTGAATACACACTTCACTTTCCCACCTCCCACCTACTCTCCCTCGACCCTACTCCCTGGTCTCAATTCGCGAAGCATGACCGGAGTTTGAAATTTCTGAAGCCAAAACTTTCTTCTTTCGGCATTGCCACCCTTTCTAACTATCGCCTCTTCCTTCCGCGCATCCATATAACACCCGCACCGCAACCGCAACAATGGTGGACTGGCTCAGTCTCGCCGTGCCACTCGCCTACCTCGGCGTGCTAATCGGCTCCCTCGCTACATTCTCTTCTCTTTACCGAAAGCGAAAGGCCCGTACGTATCATGTCCCCAGCATTTATATCTATCCTTATACTCCAGAAATAACACCTCCCTTGCTACACGAATCTAACATTATTCTTCACAATCTAGAAAAAGCCGCCTCTCTGGAAGCATGGTTCCCCGCCCACCTCCAGCGCGACATCTACTTCTCCCTCATGCACCTCGACCCGAGCTCTCAATCCGAAAAGAAAACCCCCGCAGTCCCCGAGTCCGTCCTAAAAGCCTCCCTCCTCCGCCGCGCAACAGAAGACATCCGCCGCGTCATGACGCTCCGCTCCCAGAAAAATGCCCTCTCCGCGCTCCTGCAGCGCGGCAGCGTAGGCGACGACCTGTGGCAGCGGTTCCTGCGCGCGGAGAAGGAAATGGAAGATGAAGTGCGCGATGTCGTGGCTGAGGCGAATGCGTATGTTCCCGGGTGGGGACAGGTCATTTTCCAGTCTGCGAATGAGATGTTGAATAATGATCTTTATCGGGAGCGGGTGAGAGAGCACCAGGAGAAGGTTGCTGAGGAGAGGGCGTGGTGGGATAAGAAGAAGAGTAGTATTCAGGAGGGATTTATGAGGGAGTTGAATGAGGAGGAGGAGAAGGGTTCTTCTGGGGCTACGCCTGCTACGCCAGCTAAGACTGGTGAGAAGGTGCCTGTGGCGCCGGCGCCTGCTTCGGTGCAGGGCAGTGATGATGATGCCGTGTTGGTTGAGGCGGATCCGTCGGTGACTAGTCCTGGGAGTCCGGGATCGGGTGCTGGTGGTGGGAAGAAGAAGAAGGGGAAGGGGAAGAAATAGATGCTCTGCTTGTAAAATTATGGTTGTTTCATTTTGAGGGTTTCAATTCATTGGGCTCATCCAGAGAGTGGCGTTTTGCTTGGATGGGATATCGTATAGAGAAATACTGACTAGGCACTTATTCTAGAATTGCGATATAAGTGTGAAATTACCAGTGAACAATTCCCGATCTAAATGACAAAGAAGTGGGGGAGTAATATACAAGCCCAATTTACCACGGGCTATATAAGAAGAGGAGAAGAAAGCTCCTGAACACCAGACATGCAATGCAACACAACATGATGACCAGCATAAGTCCTTACAGCAACTTACAGCAACTTGGTATCATCAACTCCGAGTGGCGACCCAAGATCGATACCCTCCACATGCATCTCAGTCGCAGCCAGCGCAAGCTTCGCTTCAACCTGGACAGGATCTAACCCTTCCGTCCGGCTCAGCACGATGCGCAGTAAACTAGCCATAACCTCAAGCTGGTACTGCTGTCTCTCGTGTGGGTCAAGTTGCTCGATACTCAAGCCCTGCGCTTTCAAAGCCAGCGACTTGCGTTCGCCTAGCATATCCAGCAATTGGCTGACTTGGCTGATGTTCTCTTTACTTCGTGGGGTGGAGGATAACCGCCGAAGGCGACGCTTTGGTGTCTCGGCTGGTACGCCTGCGAGACGCGCGACTTGGAGAACGATCATGCGGGCGGTGATATCATCAGGAGCGTAGCCGAAAGCTGCATGCATTGAATGAAGTGCAACGAGGGTACCCGAAAGGTCCTTTGACAGACAGAAGCAGCGGATGATCTGGTCATACAGATCTTTGGAGAACTGCTCAGTGGTGTTCTTTTGCGCTCGTGGAGAGAGCTGAGAGTACCACTGCACCATGTGCGAATATAGCTGTCGCGCCGAGGGGAACCCAGCGTCGAAGGCAGTGCGTCCACGGTCATATTGCAACTTTGCGCAATCCCAGAGGCATGCAAAGGTTTCGAGGTCCGGTCGGATGCTGGTAGTCATTGTCTCGAATTTGCTCCAGAGAGAGTGGATGTCTTGTTTGCGGAGTTCGGCGTAGAGGAGATGGTTCATGAAATAGGAGTTTGGTTGGATGTGTGCATCGCCGAGACATTTGGCCAAATACTTGACCATATCGTCGTCGCCGCGACGGGTATAGTGGAGGAGGAGAATGGAGAATGTTTCGATGCTTGCTGGGGGTACCTCCCGCCGAAGGAACTTGGGTATACGGCTTGGCTCCATCGCTTGGTGCTTGACCTGGACCTGTGGAGACGTCTCGACTGGCTGATACCGTTTCCACACGGCGTCGATTCGATGCTGGATCATGGACCAACCCAGCCGCTCTGCCTTGTCTCGAGCGGCAGCATTGCCTTCACGAAGCCAACCGGCCATTACACCATTGAGGTGTTTGGCATCTGGCTTTACGCCTCGCTCGTACATGAGTTCAATCACCATTGCGGCTGAGTCGACCTCGCCCATTCCAATGAGTTTCTTCATCCAACTAGCGTAGAAGAACCGATTGTGGAATCGACGAGGCAACATTGTCAGCACAGACAATGACACTTTGTTGACGGAGCGCTCATCGATGCTCGACGCTTGGAGGTTTCCAGCTAGACCAAGAGCTGCTTGATATAGAGCTGTGGAATCGTTGGCTGGGTCTTGACCCGTCACCATCATATCTTTGAATACAGCAACGGCCGCATCTGACCGACCAGCCGTGAGGAGACCGATGCTAACTTGGTCGTAGTCCTCCATAGTCATGTCTGGTCCTAGGAAGGTCTTGAGCTGTAGATACAGCGCCCATGCCTTCACTTCGGCTTCTTTCCCGGACATCTTGCCCCAAGCCTTGATCACCGGGATAAGTACACGAGGTTGACGGGACCTGTCATTTGCGAGGAATGCCAACGCAATGTCTTGAGCTCGCTGGGGGTTGTTCTCAGCCGCAAAGAGTCGGACGCCCAGCATCCAGTATTCCTCGAGGTCTTCTTTCTTCTGTGAGAGTTCTGCCTGATACCCCTCCCATTGTTCTAGCGCATCACTGATAGCACCACCCTCGTGAAGAGCTTCGATAAAGGAAAGTATTTGGGGAATTGTGAGAGGTCTTCCAATCGATTTCATGTCTTCGACCAGGGTCTGGAGGTGCTTCGACCGTGTGGACTTTGTTGATTGCGCAGTGACTTGTGATTCCCAGACCGAGTCCATCATGTGCGGTCTAAGCGTTTCCAGGAAGTCCGGCACATTCTGTTTGCAACGGCGGTATGACTTCCAAAGCTCTTGTTGAGCGCGCTCATCGGACACCTTTCCGGTATAACGCCGTAAGTTCTGGTTGAAACGTGTAGAGTAGGCGTGGGTTGTTGGGTCTGCAAGTCGTTCTTGAGACCCTTTCCGAGAGGCGAGCTTTCGTTGGTCCCTCACGCTGTCCTGCCAATTCTCTTGTTCCTGCGCAAGACCCTCGAACTCATCTTGCAGCATATTATCCAGCTCCTCATCAAAGACATCGTCCAGTGAGAGCTGTGGCTCAACCGGGCCACGCTCTGCTTCGTATTTCCGGAGAGCTTCAAGAGCAATCTTGCGGTCCTCCTCTGGTAAACTCTGAATGAATTCGCCATCGGGCGTAAATGGGCCCTTTTCTAGTACTTTCAGCTCCTCCTGAAGCTTCGAAAGCTCCCCCTGGACCTCATTTAGCTCCTCTTTATCCTCCGCTTCCGGGTCGACCTTCCGTCGGTTCTTGCTCGAGGGGTTTTCTTGTTCGTAAAAAGTGACCTTATCGTTCGGCCCGCCAAAGTTGAGATGACGCGCATTCACAGCGCTAAAGGAGCGCCGGGAAATCGACGGGCTGTGGACCGCATGGCACCATCGAGCTCCTCCTCGAACAGCCTGGCGGAGCATATGGAGTTGTTCATGGGGGGTTTGGGAGGAGTTTGGGGTCGGGTGTTGAAAGTTGAAGATCGGAAAACCATTAATGCCCCCGTTCGGGTTTAGCGCCTTTCCGCCTCCGAGCGTGAAGTCATCCGCCCTCGACGCGACTTTGTCAATTTGTCAATTGTAGCCAAAAATGGATCCTGAAGGGCTTGAGGACGCGCTGGACTTGTCAAGGGACAGGGCGCAGAACCAGGTACGTTGCGATTTTGATCTTGCTTTTACTTGGAACGGAAAATGCCGATTTGCTAACGCATTCCAGGGTGTGTATATCTACCAGCCCGCAAAGCCTGGGAAAGCTACCAGCGAGCGACCCTCGAAACGACGCAAGGTCTCCTCTACCGACAGTCGAGGACAAAGTTCCGATGTCCAATGCTTCGTGCCCTTGTTAAATGGAGAGGAAAATGCCGAATCCGCGCAATTGCGATACGAAACCTACAAAAAGCTTTGGTCAGCGCAGGAAGATAAGATTCAGGTGCGGATCATTCGCCCTAGTCTGCAGGTTATAGCTCACAGTCGATGAACAGAGTATCCTCGAAGATGTCGACGCCGGAGTATTGGCTGATGTACTCTCTTTCGTGAGGGACAATTCGCCTCAAACGTACGCTTCCCTCTGATTGACAACTACAAGACTGCGATCTAACTAGGACTGCTAGATGCAACGGATGTATCCCGACCGGCCTGGTGACGGTTGGATCTAACGTTTCCTCCCTGACTCGATTGCTCTCTCGCCTCAACGATCAATTATCAACAAGTGGCGAAGGTGGCGTCGTGGTGCTGGAGTCCGGTGATGCTCCTAATTTGAAGACATCCTTGAAGAACATCATTCGAGCTGCGATCACAAATACTGAGGGAAATGATGGGTATCAGAAGTTCGTGACGGACCGGGCAGTAAGTTGGTGTAAGTATTATTTGGCCGGCTTCGACTAACTTTCTACCAAGGGGCCTCGACTGCTCGGATATGATCTGGACCTTCTCAACGACTACGTTCAAAGAAAGGGCACGAAGAAGCTGGTTCTTGCACTTCGGGACAGCGAAGCCTTCGACCCTGGTCTATTGATGGATCTTCTCTCACTTTTCAAGTAACTACAGCAGTGCCCGTTGAGCTGATGAAATGTGACGCTAACGTGATGCTAGGTCCTGGCTTGATCGCATTCCATTCACAGTGCTTCTCGGTATCTCGACTTCCGTGGAGCTGTTTGAGGGCCGCCTACCTCGCGCGTGTGTCTCTTTGCTTCAAGGAAAGCATTTCGAAGTCCAAGAAGCAGGAAATTGTGTCGACCGCATCTACGAATCACTTCAGACTGATCCGCAGGGAAAGTTGTGGCTGGGCTGCAATATTACCAGCACGCTTTTGGAGAAGACGCATGACTATTTCCAAACACCCGAGGCCTTCAGTCGCATGGTCAAGGTGAGAAATACCTGAAGAGGTGTCTCGACTCGCTCGCTGACTTGATTAGTATGCGTACATGTCACATTTCTTTGCCAATCCTCTCTCAGTACTCTTGGGAAGCCCCGCGCCAGCTACTGTTTCCCAAATATGGCTTTGCGAAGCTATTAGGAACCTGCCATCGTTCCGCATGTAAGTTTCCTTTCTATACCCGATCTGGGTCTCCAATCTAAACGTCGTAACAGGTTTTGCGAGGATCTATTAGAGGCTGGCTCTCCCGATGATGTACGAAACCTGCTAGAAAATGACGGATATCTGCTCGAGGAAGCGCTCAGCCATGTTAGTGCTGGCCAGCAAAGAATGCAACAAATATTCCATGCTGTTATTGCCATCCATGCATTTCTCCAGCACACTCAGAGCGCGAAGAAGGCTAATGTTTCTGATCTTTCTGTTCGCGCTCTTTCTGGCGAGCTGAATGAGTCTCAGGTTGTCGATGACATGCTAGCCACAGTGAGGACCTTCGACTCAGGAAAGCTGGGTCCTCTACTCGAATCTTTACCTGAGACGCTCCCTGCCGGCCTAGCCCTCGATGAGATCCGAACAGATTTGGCGACATTGGTCGACACAAACGGAGACTTCGGGCCTCTGCGGAGTGAATACAACATCAACAGCTCTGTGGTGAAAACCACCGTTGTTCAGCAAAGGATCCTGCTCAGCAAAGGAAAATCAAACCTCTCCAAACGAGATGTCGAGTACACAAAGATCGTCGATCGGCTGGTCGGTGCATTGCAAGAGTATCTCACAGAAATATTGATCCAGCCACAGGAGCTGTTCATGCATGAAGCTTTCTTGTTCGATCTGCGCAACCCCCTTAAAGAAACGTTTACGCCTCGACCACGATTCGCGCTGGAACGAGCCTTGGCCAACCCCTTCGACTACCTTATTTCCTCGACAAATGCAAGTGGTGCCAGAATTTCTGTCAAACAGCCTGCTACTGCCATCCTTTATCAGCTTTACCTTGAGTCTGGCGCTTTGGTCAATATTCATGATCTGTGGCAGGCTTTCTACGCTGTATTTGAGAGCGACCAGGGCAATACGTGCGACGACCGCATGATCATGTCCTTGTTCTATGGCGCGTTGTCTGATCTCAAGTCGTTTGGTATGATTAAGAACAGTCGGAAGAAGACTGATCATCTGGCCAAATCCGCCTGGATGGGACTGTAATCGGGATTAATTACGAGAACACATACAATATCATTGCATCTATCGCATTCCATTCGTTCGTATTTCTGAAAAGGGGTAGGGGTATCATGCTTATGTAGTTAGGTATCAGAAGAAAGAAAAGTTAACGCTGGATCAGTTGTCCTGAATCAGCCGCTGAATGATATCCCACATCCTAAGAATCGGCCTAAGAGCCATGGCTTCTCTGCGACGTCGTTTCAGTGCTCGGTGTCTGGCACTGTTTAACGAGAAGGGGAAAGGTTCAAGCCGAATCGTCCTGAATCGGGCGCTGGATAATGTCCTCATGTCCCCAAGGTCGGCCGCTTTCGCTAAGAACCATGGCTTCTCTCCGCACACGCCGCAGTGCTTGTTCCTGGTAATTGACTTCTAGAACCCTTCTCGAGGGACCCTGCTGAATTGAGCCAGCCGTGTCATCCCCGTCTACCATCCAAACGTCACCATCCGCATCGTCGTCGTCATCATCATCATCATCGTGGTCCGCCTCCTCGATCATGCTGCCCATGAGACCATGCTTTCGAAGTTGTTTGATGCCATCTGCATGTGTGGCCAAAGTCCCAAAGATGGAACTCATCACGGCATCATCCGCCCACCAGGTCTTCATAAGAAGCACCACATCTTCCCGTCGTGATGGAGTGTCGTCCAGGGCGCAGGGAAATGGATACTTGCTCAGCCATCGGCTGACAACCCCCGCTTCGAGTGCGCTAGGAATATTTGCCGGCAGGAGGATGTTCAGTATCTGAAGAGCTTTCAGTTCTCCGATGGGCCGAGTCTTGGGCAATATGGGGGAGTTGGTCGTCGATGTTTCTTGGGTGTGTTCCTTCAATAAATTGCAAAGACAGTCTACCAGAGCGGTGTAAGTTTGAAGGTCTCGTAGTTGTGCGCAAACTGAAGTTCGAGAGACTAGAGATCGTTAGCAAAGGGGCGTTTGGGTTCATTGAGAGGCTGTTCGCATACGGGCTCGGTTCGTGACAAGAAAGTGGAGAGCCGTGAGCGCTCGAGTCTGTCGTATCTTGCTTTGAGATGCCACATCCTCCAACAATAGGTTCCGTGTGTCCCCTGAGGTCGATCTCGCTGAGATTATGCGCAAAGCCCTGCTGCCATTAGCGATGATAAATGTAACGTGAGTGATAGAGTGCGGCATACGAAGATCGGAGGTCATAACTCGTGCTCTTAGAGAGCTTGAGAAGAGTGTCTAGCCTCAGGGCTGAGTTGGTGTTAGTAGGTTATATCCGAATCAGTGGAAGAAATACATACCTTCCTCAGTTCCTTCGCTAATGATCTTGTCGTCCTTCTCGACATGCTTGATCTCAGTCAGATCAACGACTTGGCGAAGATCCGAGACGATGCCACGAACAGCGAAGAAGAGAGATACACCTAGAAGAGTAAGCACTGAATTTATGCAAGCTGGTCAAACCTTTCTTACCAAGACAAAGCCATAGCACTCCATCTCCTGAGAAAGGAGCCATGTTGAGTGGATTTCGTGCAAGTTGGAGATGCGGAGAGGGTATCGGCAGAATTGGGATCACCGAGGGCGGTGGGGGTTTTTTTTCTGAGAAGGTTCGCAGCAACGAAAAAAAACTCCACTCAGCTCACAGGTCGTGACGACAACAATGCCGCCCTCACAGTTGAAGCAACTGAAGGCTTCACTCCGGGAAAGTGGGGTCGTTGGACCTCAGCAGTCCAAGAAGCAGAAACGCCAAAATGCGAAGTCTGGTGTTGGTGCGCAGAATCGCAATCAGCGCAATGCCGCTTTGCAAGCAATTCGAGATCGGTTCAACCCTTTTGAGATCCGGCCAACTGCAACTACAAGCAAATTTGAGGCAACAACTCGCGATGTGAAATCTACAAAGGCTACTGGACGCCGTCCGGGTGTCACTAAATCATTGGGAGAGGAGAGGGTGAGCTTTGTTACTACCAGATTGAAAGTTTGCTACGGGATTCTCTAACAGTTTTTCTCTATTAGCGCCGCGCAACTCTTCTGCAAGAAATGAACAGCCGTAACAAAGTCGGCGGTCTTGTCGATCGCCGATTTGGTGAAAACGATCCAACCATGACCCCCGAGGAACGAGCCGCCGAACGATTCGCGAGAGAAAGCCAGAAGAAGATGCGCAAGGAATCAATGTTCAACCTGGAGGAGGATGAAGAGGAATTCCAACTGACACACATGGGTCAATCGTTGACTTTGGATGGTACGACCGTGGACGACTTTGATGGCGGCGATTTGGACGGTGCCGAGTCTGACGAAGAGACGTCGCGCAAACGGAAACGCTTTGGCGAGGACGACGAAGATGCGGAAGACTTTATCGATTTCGGAGAGGATGGCGAGGACAAACCTGAACGCAAGAAGTCCAAGGCCGAAGTTATGAAGGAAGTCATTGCCAAGTCCAAATTTCACAAGGCCGAGCGACAAAAGGCCAAAGAGGATGATGATGATCTTCGAGAAGAATTGGACCAAGAGCTGCCTGACCTCTTCGAGGCCTTGCGTGGCATGAAGGCCCCTGCTAAACCGGAGCCGCCCAAGCAAGATCTCGATACCATGAACCCGGAGCGCGCAGCCATGCTCCGAGAGCCGGAAGGCAAGGATACCGAGAAGGAATACGACCAACGTCTTAAACAATTGACGTTCGATACGCGGTCAAAGCCTACGGATCGCACAAAGACCGAGGAGGAGAAGGTGGAAGAGGAGGCCAAACGGTTGAAGAAGTTGGAGGAGGACCGATTGCGCAGAATGCGCGGAGAGGAGCTCAGCGACGAGGAGGAAGTGGAAAGCGACAAAGACTCTTTCTTCCAGGGTGATGAGGACGAGGAGTCTGAAGTTGACGATGCGGCTGCTTTTGGACTTCACACGACTTCATACGAGCCCCGACCCGAACTCGCTGTTGAGGATGAAGATGACTTCATCATTGACGACGATCTAGTTGAGACGCGGTCAAATGCCAGTCTGTCTTTGGACGGAAGTGACATTGAAGAAGAGGAGATCTCGGACGAGGAATCAGAGGAGGAAGACGAGCTTATCAACGGAATGACGTTACCGACGGCAAACGGTGCTGCTGTATCAACAGCAGTGCAAGTCAACCAGACCGCGGATGGTCAACTTGCGTTTACCTACCCCTGCCCGGGTAATCACGCAGAGTTCCTCGAGGTTACCAAGGATGTGCCTACGCAAGATCTGCCGACTGTCATCCAGCGCATTCGTGCCTTGCACCACCCCCGTCTTCATGCCGACAACAAGACTAAGCTGGGTAGATTCGCTGAAATTCTTGTTGAGCATGTTTCCTACATGGCCAATGAGACCGATGAGCCTTCTTTCGCTATTATCGAGAATATTCTGCGGCACGTCCACTCACTGGCCAAGACTCACCCTATCAACGTTGCCATGGCTTTCCGTGCTCGACTTCGCGAGATATCCGAGGACCGCCCACTCAACCTCCTCCCCGGCGATCTCGTTATCCTGACTGGCGTTTCTACGGTCTTCCCAACATCTGATCACTTCCATGCCGTTACGACTCCCGCGCATCTGTGCCTTGCTCGATTCTTGGGCCAGTGCTCACTCAATAGTACTTCCGACTTTGTGACTGGTGCCTTTGCCACAAGCTTGTGTCTTCAATATCAGGCTATCGCCAAGCGGTACATGCCTGAGTTCATCAACTATACCCTCAATGCTCTTTGCAACTTGGCTCCCATTGAGCTGACGGCTAAGAAACTGTCTTTCCCCATCAGGAAGTCCCAGCAATCAGTTAAGCTCGCGCCAGCCAAGAAGGTCACACCGCGCAAGTTGCAGTTCCGGGATGTTAAAGCCACCCCTTCCGACTCCCAAGCCGAAGAGGATCTCAAGATCTCCCTTGTGACCACGTTTGTCTCCCTCCTTGACACTGCGTCTGATCTGTGGGCCGAGAAGTCCGCCTTCATTGAGATCTTCACCCCCGTCCGTACTGTTCTGAACCACCTCCGTCAATCCTTCAAGAGCAAGGTGTTCTCAGCCGCCCGAGACCCTCTCCAGTCAACTCTGGACAAAGTTGATGCTCATCTCGCGCGTGCCCAACTTGCCCGCCGCCCACTCTTCCTTCACAACCACCGTCCTCTGGCTATCAAGTCTGCCATTCCCAAGTTCGAAGAGAACTTCAACCCAGACAAGCACTACGATCCCGATCGCGAGCGTGCCGAGGCCAACCGCCTCAAGGCCGAGTACAAGCGCGAGAAGAAGGGTGCTATGCGCGAGCTGCGCAAGGATGCCAGCTTCGTTGCCCGCGAGAAGCTGCGCGAGAAGAAGGAGCGCGATGCCGAGTACGAGAAGAAGTACAAGAGACTTATTGCGGAGATTCAGAGCGAGGAAGGTCGTGCGGCCAACGAGTACGAACGAGAGAAGAGGGGACGCCAAGGCAAGCGGTAATTGTGTTGAGCTTGGGGCTTGGCTTTGGTGGTTTAGCTGCAATGTCCGTTTCTTGCGCATATCTTGTTGGATTTTGTACATACCTATATTTGCCCTCTTTTTCTTGGGGCCGGTGCATGGGCGGGAATTAAAAGTCATGTCTATCAAAATCTTGTCCATGATTTGTTCTGTCTCGTTCCGTCAAAGTATGTTCGCATAATCTAGGTCGGTCAATTGTAGATAAACAAGTAGCAGCCAATGAAGTTTTCTTCGTCTGCTGCTCGACAGGCTGTAAACCCGTAGCTATGATATGTACAAGTGATTGGTTGATTCCTCTTCTATATACCTGGTAGAAAACAGCGCTGGAATGCTATCAACTACTCCAAAGAATTAACACCAGCCAATCCAGGCCATCACCTAGCTCGCCGAATAAGAAAGCACTGCGTCACACCATCAGGAGGAAGAGCAAGTCTATCCTCCTCCTCAAACCCGAAACTCTTATAAAAGCTCTCCGCAAACTCATTAGCCTCAACAAAAATATCCAGTCCCTCAGCATCTGCAATCTCACACGCCTTCGCCATAAGCGTCTTCCCCATCCCACGCCCCTGATACGCATCATCAACTCCAAAATGATCAATGCAAAGATGTACACGCCCAAGCATGTATCGCTCGCGGTGCTCGATCATCGCTTTGACCATGGTGTCGACCGCTTCCCTGTCAGCTTCCGGCGGTGGTAAGCAAGACGTCCACCGTCCGGCTCCTTTTTCGTTGGCTGCGTATTTGCGGAGAGAGAGCAGACCCAGAACTGTAGTTGGAGTGTCGGAGAATGAGATTTTGAGAACGTAGTTGTTGGGATCTGCGATGTCTAGGCTGTATTTGTATTCCCACCAGGGCGCGACGGAGGTGGGGAAGATTCGGCGGTGCCATTCTCTTGTTGGGTGGTAGGCTCGGGCGTGGAGGGTGCCGATGGATGGCAGGTCTGGTGCCTGTGCTAGTTCTACCACTGCATGTGACATGGTTGGATTTGAGGGTGCTTGATGAGTTCTTGGTGTGGATGTCATGTAGGCGGAGGTTCTTTGGAAGATTTGGAGAACTATGGTGGTGCGAGTGTGGGAGGCCTTAGCGTTATCAGCCGGTAAGGAGTTAAGTCAAGAGTAGGATATAATCCCAGTATTGGTATTCCAGTCACTCTCCCCCCTCATATGGCCTAGTGGTCTATTGACCTTTGGGTGTGCCCTGGAAAGGGCAAACATATGGGAATGGGTACAGGCCTCCAGTGTTGAGTATAACTCCACGGGATGGTCGGGCACATCCCTAGGCGGGGAGAGTGGGCGGGTGGGCATGCGAGGTGGTGATAGCACCACTTCGCGGATAAAGATCTTTTTATATTTTTTATTTAATTCTTTTATAAATCATTCTTTTAGGGGATCTAGAGCTCTAGATTTATGTAATCTTAAAAATTTAGAGAGGCCTTTGAGGGTAATACGGGCTATAGAAGAATACTATTCATGAGGTGTGAGACCGGTGCTGACTCTGGATGATGTATCTGAGCATCGTGGGAGGGGGATGGAGCATCGCCGTGAAGTATATAAGGAATCGAAAGGTTGCAGGTTCGATTCACGGAGAGGACGCACTATTTATTGTTCAGATCATCTTACATTTCGCGTATGACCGGTTAGATATGGCTCAGAATATCGCGATGCTGTCTCCCATAACATTACTCGGCGGCTATTGAGAGCTTCACTCTACAATCCGTTGACGTTGACAATCTCTTGACGTCGAAATTGCGAGACTCTTGAATAGGGTCAACATACCAGGCCTTTCGTCTATTATGTGGTGAATGCAGATTGTCAGTCGCCAAGTACGCTACTCTCAATGAGCCTCAAGAGCTCAATGTAGCCCTCTCTGTCCACTGTTGCTCTAATTCTCGCCCGATCCACGAGGTACGCCACCCCAGGTTCTTCTCTACTCGAGACAAAAATCTCAGCGCTCCCTGCTGCTCAGCTGGTTGCCTCAAGCAATATCCAACTATATACAGGTTAGAAAGTTCCGAGCTTTCTGTCGAGGGACGGACTTACAGCGTTGAAGCAAATGCGAGGCGATGAAGTAGCTGTTTTGAACACTTTCGTTCGATAATGATAGTCCAATAGCCATTACAAGGTGGCTTGCAACTGTTTTCTATTTTGGATATCAGTGATGGAACATGGTCAAGGAGGTAAGCAGGACGGACCTCTGCGATGAGGCGGGCTCGCGACATTTCATAATCTGTCATTTGTTGCGATGGTGCATCTGATAATGTAAGGAATATTCTAGAGGCGTGGTAATATTGCAACCCAACGACTGTGAAAAAGGGTCGTTAGCTTCACTGTGTGACAAGGAGGGCGTAAGCAAGACTAACCAGCAGGCGGCGACATGATCCATAATTCAGGAAAAGGTTGATCCGCAGACAAATTGGGCGGCTGATATCGCAGTGGCTGCCAACTCCGCGGCATATTGCAATGCCACTCCTCGACACAATCTGCCAGTCGCTGCCAGCTTTTCCGATCAATAGCGTATCCCGGCACGGCGCAACATAGCTGAACAATACGCGCGCAGAAAAAGATAATCGCATTCGCTAGTGCCGCATCATCATCCCGATGGAAGACCGAAGAGCGCTCATAATTCCGCAAATCCAGTTGTATCGGCTCATACTGCGCTATAGACGAATAGATAGCTTGACGCAGGAATTGCCAGCTCACTGCCTCGGCCAATCCCCCCGACGACGCAGACCGAGACATGAGATTGAGGAGGCGGTTGGATCCGAGGAGGTGGCATTTTCTGTCTGTTGTTCTTTCGAGTTCTTCGTAGAACCGGAGGACGACGACGGTGATGAGGAGGTTATCGTCGTAGGTTTCCTCTGGTTGATTTAGGGCGATGATGAGTAATTGTAGGCATTCTCCGTGGAAGCCTGATGCTTCGCAGTCGTCGTTATTTGTCAATATAGCATCGTGCCTGGCAGCGAGGGCTAGGAGAGCTTTTAGAAGCATCGGTTCCTCTAGTGCTCGGCGTGGGACTTCGGTGCTGAAGTGCGACTGGGGGTCACATATATCTGCCTGGTACAGTTAGGACGACCGTTTTTTTGGTTGCTGGCAGAACACTCACTACGGCTGCAATCTTTTGAATATAAGAGCGGATCAAGTATGCCTCTCGCGGGGACGGTGCTGCGACATCACTTGGTTCTTGACTGGTGGAATCGTTCGAGGGTATTTCGGTCGGAATAGATTCAATCAGTTCTGGAAGTGTGAGTTGGCTATCGTCTGGCGCTGAATATGCGAGCTCAAAGCCCCGGTCATTCTCGTCCGGCTCGGGGGTTTCACGTCTAAAGTCGTCGGTCTCTCGCACGAAGGTCACTAGAGCAGCGTTTTGTTACTAGATCATCTTGTCATCGCATTCAAGAAGGGCATACCTGGGCTTGAAACCCCGACCCAGACCTGCTGTTCATCCCAAACGAGATCGAAGCGCGAGGGAGCATCCTCGCATTGCTGCCAGATATGGCGGACAGGCTTGAAATGGAAGCGCGGCTGGAGATGGCATTGCCGGCCTAGACGCGTACAGCGCGAGCACGATGACGCACCGGCGGGTACTACACAGCGGGCGTGACGATGGCGACAGCGAGCACAGCCCTTGGTCACACGCATATCGCGGTGGTCGATGGTCGCTTGGAGGAGGAAATCATGTACAGTGGCGAAGGACTGGGATAGGTTGAGTCAACGTGATAAATTGCCCGAGGGTGTTAGCAGACCCCGCATTCAACTCGAGTAAAGTAGATATAACGGCCAGAGATATTCTGGAATGGCTGGAAAAGACAGAACTCCAATGGTAAGTTCTAATTAGTGATTTTCAATGAAGGTGGTCAAACATCTCTCTATCCAGGGGCATTTCTCATCCCTTATCTCTAATCTCATCTTACGAGATATTCGACTAGAGGCCGATAGGCTACTGCAGTACTGTTGCTAGCTATCTCCTTGATTCTTATCATTCCATCGAGTCAGTAATGCGGGGTAGGCTACCCCACACCCACGAGGCCTTTTAAGAAACCAGCCAGGCTTTATTGCTCTAGACTACTATACGATTGTACCTAGGTATACCTTGCCGTTCATTGAGAATTCTAACATACATTGTTGTCGTCCTGCAATGGAGAGAGTCATTTTCAAGAAGGGTCACGAGGGGCTTTTCCGTTCAGGGGGTTATTCCGATCGACAGTCGCTAATTCCATCTCATTGAAGGCTGACACACCGTCTTACCTTCCACAATGACGATTTAGTTTTGCGCTTTTGCCCAAGCGGTGGGCCAGACAAGTATGGTGCTCGTTAACATAGCAAGGGCAACTGTCCAGTTGCTCACCGGGATCCATCCCAGTAAAGACCCAGGAATAATCAAGTCCAAGCTGTCAATCACCAATCGGTTCAAGAGAGATGCAGTCGAAGAAGACGGTTTCGAGGATGAGGAGGGAGAAGGTTCCTTCTCTTTCTCTTTTTCATTCGTAGAGCCATTCTGAGTACCAGGTGCCACAGGGCCAAGGAAGAGATCCGAGACAGTTCTAGCAATAGCCACACAGATAGCATAGAACCAGAACTTGTAGGCTTCAAGTAAAATGGGTGTGTACCATGAAATCAAAAAGATGTCCATATCATGCAGCTGCGACTTATGTCAATACTGTGTGATCGTCCAGACAGCCGGAAGCTGGGGGTCCTTACCATAGTGGTGCCTTCCACGAGAAGATACATGCCCAAGCAGCTGGACTCAACCAAATCCATCATCGCTGTCCTGTTTCTTACAGGATACCCTGCAGCTAATATGTCTTGCACATTTTGAAAACAGTCAAGAAAACAGAAGAAGCGGAGATAGCGCCTCCCTGCGAGAAGTCTTAGCACTGAAATGCCACTGAAGAGACCAGAAAACTGACCAAGTCCTATCTGTGACGCTGCAATGGAGCATCTCAAAACAGTATCTTTATCAAGTTCTGCCCCGATAAGAACAAGGCTATGGAACAAACGGAGGGTCAAATCCAGGCCAGCTGTGGAGTTGGTGAAATTGGCCAGTTGTTTAGCAACCGATGCCCTTGAACGGGCTTGGACTGACAATTGAGCCATTGGACAAAGCCTCTTATTCGGATGGAGTGGAGTGCCAACAGTCCTTTCAATGCATTGGGCTGCCAGTCTCCCTTAAACAAATATCACGAACAGGGACTTGAGTGGCGCTATTCCTTTACATAGACTACGAATCATGAATGATGATCCGTGAACCACAGCGCTGGAACGCATGCTTTCCGCGCGAAAGCTAATACCCGAAATACGATATCTGACCCTATCTGACGCCCTCGTTTTGTGGTCGTGGTGGCGGCGCCACGCTCGGGCCAAAGTGCGGGGATCTTCGAGACGCAGGAGGAAGACTGAATCAGGAAACTTGCTCCTACGCCGTGCATCAAGTTAATAACTCGGCCATTTCTATCCAATGTTCAATCTTTATCAGCGTGTTATTTTCATCTTCACTGTTTCTATATTCTCTCCATCTTCTTTCACGACCTGAATCCCCTTTGATCTTCTGTCTTCGGGCACTCCAACTATCATGGAGCCCGGCACACACTCTCCTGAGGTGGGTGAGCGCAAGGACCCCCTCGGGCCAACGAAAGACCTCGGTCAAAGCTTTGATGAAAAGCGCGACAACGAGGAGGCCTTGACCTCTGAGCTCATCTCCGCTGGTTCGGAGAACCTTCAACGAAAATTAGGTGGAAAGGAAATTCAGCTGCTGGCAGTGGGTGGTGCGATTGGAACATGTTAGTAAAATGCTATCTGTCGAAAAAGAATAAAAGAATGGGCTAACTTTGTCTACTTTATCTTAAAGCTCTGTTTGTACAGATGGGTGCAAGTCTACCAAAGGGCGGTCCTGCAGGTCTTTTCCTGGGCTTTGTTGTTTATGGAACTGTCATCTGGTGTGTTAACCAATGCTTTGGTGAGGCCTCCTCAGCTCCTATTCTCTAGAAGCGACGTATACTAATAAGGCCATTGTGTATAGCCGAAATGGTTACTTATCTCCCGATTGCCTCTCCCTTTATCCGGTTGGGTGGATTCTGGGTTGATGATGCTTGGGGTTTTGCGATGGGCTGGAACTACTTCTTCCTGATGGGTAAGTGCCAGCTCTTGTGTCCACCATATTTGACCATTTTGACTGAATTCCCTATGATAAGCCTTCGCCATTCCATATGAGATTACGGCAATCAATGTCCTTCTTACCTACTGGACGGACAAGGTCCCGATAGTTGCGGTCGTGATGGTTTGCTTAGTGATATATGCGTATGTCACCAATCTACATACCAATGGAATGAGAATCAAACTAATCTGGTCAATTAGTGGTCTCAACGGGCTTGCAGTCCGGTACTTTGGAACTGCCGAGTTTTATTTGGCCATGTTCAAGGTCTTCCTCATGCTGGGACTCATCTGCTATACTTTCGTTACCATGGTTGGTGGCAATCCAGACCACTGGGCCTATGGTTTTACGTATTGGAAGAATCCAGTAAGTCGAAGCCAGCATAACGTGTTCATACTATCTAGCTAATTATCGTGCTTTAAGGGTGCATTTGTCGAGTACCTTGCTCCTGGCAACACTGGACGCTTCCTGGGATTTCTTTCTTGCATTATTCAGGCCTCTTTCACGTGAGTATCCCCTCTCTATCTCGCTTTCATCATGGCGTGACTAATTATATCATACAGTATGGTCGGTCCCGAGTTCATCTCCATGACAGCTGGCGAAGCAGAGAATCCGCGTAAATTGATGCACCGAGCTTTCTCATCTTTCGTCTGGCGTCTCCTCCTTTTCTTCCTTGGCGGCGCTCTCTGCGTCGGGATTGTCATTCCTTATAATGATGAGCTCTTGCTCAAATATATTGACGGAACCGAAGGTGGCACCGGCGCAGCGTAAGCTCTCCCATCCTATAATCCCCCTGAACACAGAGCTCATCCATGTTATAGCTCCCCCTACGTCATTTCAATGGTCAAATTTGGAATCAAGGGTCTTCCCTCCCTAGTCAATGCTCTTATCATGACGTCCGTCCTTTCTTGTGGAAATAACGTTGTTTACTCGTCGATTCGCACACTCCATGGCCTGGCAGCAGACGGCAAGGCACCCGCAATCTTTGCAAAATGCAACAAATTCGGTATCCCGGTCTACTCGGTCATCGCAGCGCTTGCCTTCTGCCTTCTTTCTTTGCTGCAACTTGGCAATGCCTCCGCCACCGTCCTCAACTGGCTAGTGGGAATTTGCACTGCATCATATATGATCAACTATTTTGCTACGGTCGTGACATACCTGCACTTCTACGCTGCTCTCAAACGCCAGGGTATTGACCGAAGGACTTTGCCGTATCGAGGATACCTCCAGCCCTATGCGGCATACTATGCCGCGGTGATGACATTCATTGTGGCTTTGATTCTTGGGTACACCGTGTTCATTAATGGTCACTGGGACACCCCGACTTTCTGTACGTCTTACCTGATGATTGGGTTCTTTATCGTGGCATATGCGTTTTGGAAGCTCTTTAAGCGGACACATTATGTTCGGCCAGGGCAGGCAGATCTTCAGCTTGGAGGTATCAAGGCCCAGATTGACCTCTATGAGGAGTTGTATGAGCCGCCTAAGAGAGGCAAGGTCTCGGGTTGGCTCAACAAGTGGTTCGAGTAGTCTGAGTGTTATTCTTTGGGATACAGTTTGGATTGGGTGGTTATCTCTGTTTATAGGTCACTTTTGTACAACTCTTGTTGTTCCGTTACAATAACGAAATCATTTGATTGAACTGCCAGACTTTCATGTGTGGAAAGTTCTTACTTGTGTTGAAAGGCGCATATTGTAATGAAAACGTAGATGGGACCTATAGAATTTGCTAAAGAAGCGGCCTGACATGTACTCTGTAATGATAGTTTGATGTTCTAGCGGAGAGTTAAGTAGTTAGGCCGTTTCTCCAATCTTTTCCATCATGAACAGCAAGTCTTATGGATGACATGCACTTCATAGTTCGCACCTTCACTAGCCCACAACATCATCAGCATTCAAAATCAAACTCGCGAAAAACAGCGGCTCTCGCACGAATTCATCAGCTCGAATAAATTCATCAGTCGTATGTGCCCGATTGAGGTTTTCCACCAAATTCACAGGCGTGAACCTGTAAATGTTCTTTGTCAAGGCCCAAAAGAACTTAGTGTCGGTGTTGGCCGGCATCAAATAGGGTGTGACAATAAGCTCATCGTCCGTACCCAGTGGCTTGAGAACATTTTTGATGGTTCCAGACAAGATGCGATAGGCCTCCGCATCGACAGGGGAAACAGGCGCTGGTTCTAAGGCGTCAACTCCAATCATGCATATTTTCCGTTTTTCTTCAGAGCTGCACGGCAAATGAAACCCTGAAAATGCCAGGGTGTGCTTTTTGGCAATTGCCCCGACAAGGGCCTCGTAGTGCGCCTCAACCTCAGCAATAGAGGTTTCCACGGCCAGGCGCAGGTTGATCATCGTAGACGCTGTTTCCGGGATGGCATTGATTTTGACACCACCGTTGATCTTTCCGACAGACTGGCTTGTTTTGAAGTAATATCTCATATCATCCAGTGAATTTGCGAGGTGCTCCTGACTGGTGCTATCGTTTTGGGCGACCATGCCTAACTCGCGGCGAACTGCCATGGGGAAGCTCGAATCGGGAGCATGGATGGCACCACACTCTAGGAAGCGAAACATCGGATTCTTCGGCGTGACCTTTCCTGGGAATGGGTTGCTCTCAATCGCGACCACGATTTCCGATAGGATACCGATGACATTATGGTCTGGTGGGTTGCTTGCATGGCCACCCATCGATGAGACATTTATCGCGATGTCCAGATAGCCCTTCTCTGCGACGCTGACCATGGCAAAGGATTGTTCAAATTCCCTTTGGATGCCTGTAGAACCCTCATCCATGATCAGATAAATCCCGTCGTCCCCATATTGCTTGTGAAGGAAATCCGAAATAGGTCTCCCACAATTCTCGCCACTAATCTCTTCGTCGCAGCCAAATGCCAAAATGACTGTTCTTTTCGGTTTGAACCCACTCTTGATCAATAGGTCCAAGCTCTCAATGATGGATATCAGGTAGCCTTTGTCGTCGGTCGCGCCGCGACCCCAAATAATCTCTCCATCATAGTGGCCGTCGTACGGTGGATGAGTCCAATCGTTGACGTTTTCTGCAAGCACTGGTACGACGTCTTGATGCGCGAGCATGAGAATTGGCTTGGCCTCTGAGGGTGAAATGCTGCCTTCCCACGTTAGGATCAACCCATGTGTATTGGCGTGATCCAGCTTCACGTTCTGAAATACCGTGGGATACTTGGCTTTGATGTAGTGCTCGACTTGGAAAAATATGTTCCATCGGTCGTCTTCGCCAATGGGGCCCAGGTCATCATAGCTTTCGGATGGAATGCGAATGATCCCAGAGAGCTTGTTGATGATTTCTCGGCTGTATTCAACGGAGTCGACTTTCTCACGAACATACTGGTCGACTTGCTTGTTCCTTGGAGATAGCTTCTGTACTTGCTGGCATATCCCGCTATTCGCTCCAGGGTTGTAAATGTCCAACCCGGGTGGGCTAGAGGACCAGGTTTGGTAGTTGTTGAATGCGATCAAAGCCGAGACAAGGCCAATTACGAGTGCACCGTGCATGAACCACGAGCTAGTTGACCTCTTATCTCGCCGAGGATTGATGTGTTCTGTCATTGTGAGAGGCGTGATAAGTCAAAGGTAAATTTTGGGTGAGGTAGGAGCGTGATAGGGTGGGAGCGTCTCGGACTTTGTGCACGATATATTTCGTCGCGTGGTCTAGGCTCCCAAAACCCGCGATTAGATTTTGTGTGTCAACCATTACTTTACTGCATATCTTTCTAACTGATTTTGTATCGCTCATGTTATTCTGGTATCTACCTAGCATAGCAAGTCTATCGGGCTCAACGCCCTGATGACATGTTCTCGTTTGCGGGGCAAAGGAAGCTAAATTCATGTGGCGATGTAACCACTAGAGGCGGAAACTGATAAGAATTGAGTTTATTGCCTATCCTAGTGTCTTACAGCGCGTAATAAACTGGAAAGGTATCTTACTCCGCCCTATGGACTATGTAGGAGTTTTACTCCGCTTGATGACCAAGGTCAGCAAAACATTCTACCTTGCACCCCTCGCACGGATTAGCTATCAGTACCAAGCCAAACGCTCGCGGAAAGCCTACTTTGTTCCCCGTCATACTCGAAAATAGGCCCTCTAAACAGTGTCATTAATAGGTCAAATTCGCAGCATTCTACTGAGACACCCCGTGGAACGTCCTGCTCCCTGCTTTTACCAACCGCTGAAAGCTCTACTATTCTTAAAGGACACATTGAGGTCAAAGAACCAGTATTTCAAATCGAGCTCATACATGGATATTCCTGACAACTGCGATATACCACCACAAACCACCAAGATGTTGAACCCCAAAGCATCGCCGGCCGCCAACGAATTCCGAAGCGACACCTTTACCACTCCAACACCATCCATGTTGGCAGCTATGACGACCGCATCGTTCGGAGATGACGTGTACCAAGAAGATCCCACCACCATCAAATTTCAAAAAGAAATCGCACGATTGACGGGAATGGAAGACGCCCTGTTCATGCTCTCTGGAACCATGGGCAACCAGATCGGAGTCCGCGTTCACCTCAACCAACCTCCACACTCGGTGCTGTGCGACTACCGCGCGCACGTCTACGCCGAGGAAGGGTCTGGGTTGGCGGTCTTATCTCAAGCCATGGTGACGCCCGTACATCCAGCCAATGGTCTATTCTTGACTTTGGACGATGTTAAGAAGTGGACCGTTCTGGGAGATGATATTCATACGGCGCCGACGAAAGTGATCAGCCTCGAGGTGACCATAGGTGGAGTGGTAACTCCTATTGAAGAGATCAAGAGGATCTCAGAGTTTGCGCATGCCCACGATATCAAGGTTCATTGTGACGGGGCTCGCCTGTGGAATGCATCAGCAGCTACTGGTCACTCTTTGGCTGATTACTGTCAGCATTTTGACACTGTGTCCATGTGTGTTTCCAAGGGTCTCGGGGCACCAATTGGTGGAGTTCTTGCTAGCACCGAGCACAATATCAAGCGGGCTAGGTGGCTGAGAAAGCAGATGGGGGGCGGCATTCGACAGGCGGGTGTTTTGACGGCTCCAGCCTTGGTTGCTCTAGAGGAGGTCTGGCCTACAATGCAAGAGACGCATGAAAAGACGAAGAAACTGGAGAAAGATCTGGAGGCGTTGGGTGTTGTGCCTCAAATCCCGGTTGATACGAATTTCTTTTTCATCGACGCGAAGAGGTCAACCGTGGATATGGGGATTCTGCTGGAGCAATGTGAAAACTTCAATGTAAAGCTTATGGATGAGCGGATTGCTTTGCATCATCAGATCAGCGACGAGGCAATTGAGAATCTCAAAGCTGCCATTGCTGAAACTGTGAGGTTAACCAAAGCTTTACCCCCAGACCATATCCCCAAGGTTCCGTCGGGTGGATATGGGAGTACCTCGAAGATGAATGAATATAGTTAGTTAGCGAGTCTCGAGGCTCTGAACCCTGTTTATGAACAGAGTTTCAATGACCAGAATATTTTTGCAATTGAAAAATTCTCTTTATGAGGCTTTTAGAGTTGACTTCTGGTTTCTGGATATTTCCCACAGATCGAGGTAATCAGATGAAAATGGTATAAGTTTGTTTTTTCCATGAGACGGAATCATTTTAACATCTTCTGCAGATACAAGCGTTAATTTCCAGATGATGGTTCATATTAGGCGAGTACGCTGTGCTAGCAAAACAAGGTGCCACGTTACAATTTAACAAGCATTTACTAGAATTAGGCATGTATGACTTTATCACCAAATATACAAGATGGCCCACGAAAACATACTGAAAAATCACAGCTGCGATGAAACTAGAGACCAAATCAAAAATCAAATTGTAAAGGAAAGATCTAACGAGACCAAACAGGCCTCGCTTGGCCGACAAATCTAAGCACTCCGAGTCGGGTCTCCCAGCGCAGCTGCGGGCTTATAGTCACTGAAATCGTACTCAACGTCATAGTCCTCCTCATCAACATCCCCATCGCTGAGCTCGACATCTTGCAGGTTCTCCCCATCATCGATCTCCTCATTGGTGAACCCGTAGTCCTCTTTTCGAATCTTCTTCCAAGCCGCAATAGTCTGTCTCCGTGTAAGACAGAAAGGCAGCTTGGACAACGCAACACATCCATCCTGAGTAACTTCCACAGTCTGACCGATCGAACTGGCAGTATCAGTGGCCTTATCCATCAGGATGATATGGATAAAGAACACCATTCCCGGCTGCGCCACCACATTCTGGCCGCGCACAAACATGGGGAAATCCATCCAGGTAGGGGAAAAAGTCGCACCCAAGCTATAGCCACAGCTGTTGAAGCGTTGGTCCCGGAAGCCGTTCTCGTCCGCAACACGAGCATAAGCCTCGAACACGTCGCCAATTTCTCGGCCTGGTTTGAGGGCCGCCATAGCTGCTTCCATTTGAAGTATATTGACCCGGTGCATATCTCGCGCTAGCTTGGTGATGCCACCAATGGGAATCGTGCGCATCAGACACGCATGATAGTGCTTGTATGCTGCGGCGTGCTCGAGGGTGAGCTGTCGATCGATCTTATCTTTGCCCGTCGAATAGCGAGTGAGAACGGCCTTGTTGCCCGAGACGAGGATGTTCTCATTAGCAGGATCATCCCCGCCGCCCTCGTAGACTGTGCCTACAATCTCCCGCCACAGATCGCCTTCGTAGGCCCCAGGTTTTGCCAGCTTGAGGGTACGGATGAGGGCAAAATCGGCGAGATAAGCGGCCTTTCGAACCTTGCGCATTTCGGCTTCTGATTTGACAATGCGAAGCTCCCGGGTGAACAGATCGCTGTGGTCGACCAACGTGCAAAGACCGTTCACAGCTTCTTCCAGTGCCTTTCCCAAACGATGTGTCAAGGAACAGGAGTCAGGCTCATAGCCGATTCGCTTGGATGGTGAGTTGATTCCGAATTGCTGCAGGACTTTGGGCACTAGGGACACGGGGTTGCTTCCGGCGTCGTCAGATCGGATGAGGATATCCTTCTGATCCAAAATGGAGGTGTAGAGAGCCTGGCGCAAATCCGGGATTCGAGTGATCAACCGCATGGAGCCATCCTTGTGGAAGTACATAGCTTGAAAGAAGACATAGCCAAAGGTATCGAAGCCGGTCAAGTAGTAGAGTGACTCTTGTTTTGTCATGAGGAAGCCATCGAGATTCTCCCGCTCCATGAGCTGCAAAGCTCGCTGTTGACGGTCTTTGAACTCATTTTCTGAGAAGTAGAGGGCTTTCTTGAAGGGTTGGGCTTTCTTGACCTGTGCCATCTTTGTCTGAGGGTGGTGGGAAGAAGATTATTGAGCTGTTTGTGTATTCCAAGGGCACAAGAGCATGATAGCTCTTATACCCAATCTGCTACCCCTCATGTTGAGCATATTGAATCAGCATGGGAAGATATTCCGCTCGTCCAAATTAGGAGTATTGCTCCGCGCTTTTTCATGATTGCAGCCCTGTCATGTGGAAAACACCCCTCAGCGGGGCCAAAGCTTAAAAACAAACCCCTGTAATCCTGATTGATAGCGAGCCAGACTTTTCCGAGGGAAACATTCTGATATACCAAATTCAGGAACTTAGCCCTCTTTTCCTCCTGGATTTATCTATCATGCAGCGATAAAAGAAAGCAACCTCTGGTCATGTGTGTCAGAACTGGCTGGGTGGAGATCCAAACCACAAGAATGAACAATCAGCTCAAGATCGCGAGTCTTTTAGAATACCCCGTCTTGTCTTCTGACAACTGGCCATACCGTGACCCGTTATCGCCATGGAAAGCGGCAATCGGGTTGACTTTCTCAATCTAACATTCTCGGAACCTCCAGCAACAGTCCCAGTCCCAGAGACAAAGCTATTTTCACTGACTCGGCCAGGACATAGTTCTGAGGAGGTCGAGCTTGTGGCTCGCAAGGATACAGTGAATCAATGTCCTCATGATCAACGGTCCAAGTCCGCTCGCCGACTCGATTCAGCCTAACGCCCAAGACTACAGATGGTATCGAGCGGGGTCCACAGACAACGTCCAGGACTCAGGTCTCCTGAGACGCTTGCATTTCTGCCCCTAGGACAATCTTATGTGAATGTTCCTCGGGGAATCTGAAAGCGTGGTGAATGTGACTGGTCATGTGGCACACGGGCAGATCTTGAATGGTGTTCAGGGTTCACAAGTCGTCAGCCACGTTGCACTCGCTTGATCATATTTGGCTGCTGGCCGGAGCAATACGTGAAACAAAACCAACTTGTCTTTCATGTCGCCCTATTCTCAGAAGACTCCGATATTCAACCACCCCAGTACGAGAAATACCACTTGCACTGTGCGACCGCAATCGTCGTACCAAATTTTGATTTAACACTGCGGCTTAAATGTTGTGATGAATTCGCGTACAGATACATAGCTCGCCTTCTAATCATGACTATGACCACATTTTCAACCTCTATGCCGACCAGTCCTTCTCCAGCACAGCGACAACTAATCTGAAGTGGCCAACACTGATCATTAGATCCGTCTTGGCAGGGCGAGGCGCAAGGCGTACTAGAGACGGGGTGTTCGCTTAGTTGTACCAAAATGAGGCTTAGTTGACATGGCACGCTAAAACAAACCACGATATCGCGACATAAGAGAGACCATTCCCAGCTTCATTATTTGAATCAACTTCGGAAATTTATCAGAATGGCAACAAAATCAAAACCCGAAGAAGACCAACCGGTCGAAAACATCATCATCGCAGCCGATCATGGCCGACTGGACCTCGTCACGACGCTGCTAGAAAGCGGAGCAGATCCGAATACCGTAGACGAGGTCGGAACCTCGGCTCTCCACAATGCAGCGAAAAGGGGCCATTGGCATATTGCCCGTCTTTTACTTGAAAAGAATGCATCGCCGAGTATTCAGGATGGCAATGATGCTATTCCACTGCACCTTGCTATCAGGGCGGGACATAAGCAGATTGTCCGGGTACTGCTTGATTACGATCCTTCGACTTGTAATTTCAAGGAGAATGGGAGAAATGAACCGCTTTACATCGCTGCTGTGTTTGGTCATGCGGATATAGTGCAGAACCTGCTGGATTGTGGTGCTACAACGCTCGCGCCGTCGGGGGATGAGACGGCTCTGCACCTAGCAGCTAGGAAGGGACATCATGATGTCTGTGATATTCTGCTGAAGCATGACAATGGGTTGACGCGGAGTTTATGAGAGCGGATGAGTGGGCCTAGTTTACAGGTCCATGCAAAGGATTACACGGGGAACACGCCTTTTGCGTACGCAGTGGAAAAGGGCCATGAGCGGGCCGTGGATGTGTTTTTGCGCCATTATCCCGAGCTGGGGAAAACGTGCAATGGCCATAAGAATTTGCTTTTCCATCGGGCAATTGAGATGCGGAAGGTCGAGATGGTTCGGATCTTCTCGAGTCATGGTACGGACGTGGAGATGAAAGACAGTTCTGGGCAGAGGGCGCTTCACAGGGCGGTTGGCACGGAGAATACAGAGCTGATTCAGCTTATACTTGAGTATGGCCCTGTCATTGATGCGAAGGAGAATTATGGTTTTACTCCCTCGCAGACGACGAGGGATCCGAAGATCAGAATGTTATTGCGCAACCATGCGAACACGCATGCCAAGGGTCCGTCACTGCCCGTGGCACCCACGACTGCAGCCCCGCCTCCTGAATATAAGGCGTGATGTGATCCATTACATGAGTTAATATACTTTGGAGGATGATGTAAATAATGAAGGCAAATGTATAGAAATGGAAGACATTTCCAACCATGTACTATGAAGTGCATCCAGGTCTAGCCATATACCAAGCCAAACCAACCTTATGTTAACAGCAAATATTCACAAGCCCCGTCAAGTTCACCACCAACTACTGCCTCAAGCTCTCCCCAATACCGACCAGATATTTACACCGATCCCGCTGCGCCTGCGGCTCACTCTCCATGCTCGTCTCATTCGTCCGAATGAAAATCCTGCGGAAAGCATCATCCCCCTCCCCCCAAGTCTTCCACTCCGGACTCCCAGGATACCGATATTTATTCGGATCTAACGCCCTCACAAAACTCGTCCAATACCCCTGCATGACAGGCACAATATTTGCATTGATATTCCAATACGATTCCGGCGGTACCCCGCTAACATACTGCGGCCCCCAGATCGCGTTCACCTCCACCGTGTGCGAGACGCCCGTGCCGTTGCCTTCGGACCATGGGTCTAGCACGGCGTAGTGGTAGTTCCAGCTGTGGATGTTGGCTGCGGCGTAGACGGAGGACATGTCGATGCCTGGACAGATGTAACGTATTTCACCGTAAGCGTTGCTTGCGGGACGCCAGTAGGGTTGTGCGTTTGGGAAATTGCGGGTCTGGTCCTCGGTGAGATACATGCTGTTTATTTCGGATAGTTGGGCTTTGGTGATGGTTGGGAACTGGTCTTTGATGAAGTTGTCTGCGTCGGAGACACTGGCGGTACTCTTTGGAACGAAAATGGTGCCTTCGTTTGTGTCGTCGCCGAATATCACGGGTACTTTGATGAATTTCCCTTCGTGGAAGAGTTTGTAGGTGTGATCTTGCACGAGATCTTCATCAACGGTTGGACCGTATAAGTACAATGGATTTCCTGGGGCTCCTGGGTACGGGGTTGGAATGTTTTGTGCTTGGAGGGCAGCAATGTCTAGGTTACGTAGACAGGCGAAGGAGTTGCTGCTTGTGTCACAGCCTGTACGGGTGGCTAGTCTGTCGTATGCGAATTGGCTCTCGGAGATGTTGAGCATATTTGCGAAGCTTTGAGATTCGGCGGCAGCGCCGACGAAGAGCTTATCGTTTCGCCCGCCATATGCAGAGAGCAAGAGTGTTACGGATGCGCCGCCTGCACTGTCGCCGCCGATGACGACGTGGTCAGGATCGCCGCCAAACTAGAGATACATGTCAGTTATATCCACCCAAGATAGTGGGATGTAGGAAAGTACGACTTACCTTGCTGATATGATTTTGCACCCACTGGAGAGCCTTGATTTGATCTTTCAACCCATTGTTCAAGCTAGCCTTCTGCTCAACTTCCTCACCAGCAAGAAAACCGTATGGTCCAACACGGTAATTGAAGGTGACGACCACGATATTCAACTCCGAGGCCTCGACCAAGCCCGTACCGTTGTAATTCTGATTAGACAAAGACGCAAATCCCCCGCCCTGAATGAAAAAGTACACTGGAAGTTTCTTATTTGACTCCAGTGCGTCAGTGGGGGCGTAAACATCTAAGAATAGGCAGTCCTCCGAGGTACCACCAGGCACAGCTGCGTTTAGACTGCTGGCGACGGGAATACAAACAGCACCATGCTAGGCAGAGAGTTAGCGATGGAGAACCAGACAGAATTGGCAGATCATGTGAGGTTTTAATTCAGGGAGATCATACTTGGGCTGCCTGTTGAACTCCCTTTTGCGAGAGGGGATCCTGGGGTGCTTCAAAGCGCAGCTCATTTAGTGGAGGAGCAGCATAGCGCATCCCAAGCCACTGTGAGACACCATTGGCAAGTGAACGACCTTCATAGCTCGTATATCCCAGATCAACGATGGGAGACTTGGCAGCGGCCAGGGACAGGAGGAAGAAGATGTAAAATTTCGCCATATCCGACCATGATGGACGCGAAAGAAAGGTCTGGAGACCCATCACATAACAGCCTTATGAATGAGTGGATTCGGTCCTCCGGGACTCAAAAGAAGGGCCGAGATGCAGGCTAGGGTTACTTCAGGCTGGTAACTGTAGGACCTTGCGATGGAAGGGTCCGAAAACAGAGACGATCTGTTACTCAATTAGTTAGACTCGGTTGCCTGAACAGCCTCATGCTGGGATGATGAGGTGTCGGTGAGCGGAGCTTTGGAAAGAGAGCCCCGAAAAGGATATCGGCAGACATCCTAATGTCCCATTGGAACAAAAAGGGAGGACTGATTCAATATAGGCCCCTCCCTTGCGCGGACATTTGAAGGTCCGTCCAAGTCGAAGTCGCCAACAACAGTCGTTTGTAACTTTGTTCCGAAAGTGGCAGCCGCTGGGTTTGGGTCCAGTGGCTGGTTGCGGCTCGGCTCCACTCTCTGGCTCACCTTTCCCCGCAAAAAGAAAAAAAGCAGATCCGAGTTGGACTCGGTTGACTTGCTCTGGACCTTCGTCTTGCACATCGCCGCAATGTCCGACGAGGAGGAGGACTATATGTCCATGGTGATTGAGGAGCCCACTCAAAAAGAGACCTTCACTCAGCGAAAACGCCGGGAGCAACGAGAGGTAAGACTCCGTCCACCCCTCACTTCCGTTCCCGCCTCCTTTTGAATTTGCTTCTCCCTTTGTAACTAGGCTCGGAAATTCAATCCTTTCGACGAGATTGAATGAAAGACTGTTGCACCAATATCTCTCCGATCGCTAATCTTCTTCTCTTCCATCACAGGCCGAAGCCCGCGGGCGAGTCCCCTCCAAAGCCGAACGCGCCGCCCAAGAAGCAGCCCGCCGCGATGAAGCCCTCGCAAAAAGCACCCTGGACCCATCCAACAAGGGTTTCAAGATGATGGCAAAACTAGGCTTCAAACCCGGCGAGTCCCTCGGTAAAAACGATCCTTCCGGTCCTTCGACCGCGACAACCACGACGGGATCCGACCCGTCCTCGACTCATCGTCCGACTCCCCGCGCAGAGCCATTGAATCTCATTTTCAAGGAGGGCCGCGGCGGAATCGGCCTAGACAGCGAGAAGAAGCGCAAAATCCGGGAAGAAGCAGCAGAAGCAACTAAGAAAATCAAGCAGGAGGAGGGTGATTATCGAGATCGCGTGCGCGAGGAGCGCGAGACTCGACGCACCGAGGCGCATGTTCGCGCAGCGCAGAAAGTAGCGGAGAGATTAGATGCTGAGGCGGAGGCGGAAGCTGAGATTGAGAGCAAGTCCCAGCCTGAAGCCGAGCGTAAGGACGAATCTCAATCTCACGACAAAACATCAAGAACACAAACACAATCCACGGCCGGTGACGTGATTGACAGCGACGAAGACGACATACCCGACCGCGCCCATTCGCAGGACGAATCTCGCAAGGCTGATCCGACGAAAAAGAAGCATTACAAGCCAACCGCTCAACTCAACGTGCTCTACCGGGGTCTAGTCCGCGAGCGCGAGGAGCGCGAACGCTCTATTCAAGCACGTCATGCACTACAAACATCCCTACCGTCCTCGTTCTTTCCCGGGGCTAAATTACCGGGCTACACGGACGTTACTCTGGATGGTGATGATCAGCAGGCACTCGGGATGAGGGAGCCATATACTGCGATTGTGGAGCAGGAGCTTGAAGAGGAGGATCCCGAGTTGGATGCTTTCAATGCGCTTGAACCGGCTGAGCGATTGCGGAGGTTGGTTGTGTATTTGCGAGAGACGTACCGGTATTGTTTCTGGTGCAAGCATCGCTATGAGACGGATGATGAGTTGGAGGGGTGTCCGGGGTTGACGGAGGAGGATCATGATTGAGCTGATAACCTCCTTCCCCAATGTACAATGATATGCTACGTTACGATTAAACTATAGATAAACTTACGACTTGAATTGAATGTGCCGCAACATGTTTGATGCGCACCTGCTTGATCGAATTCGGTGTGTTTGGCGTTTTGCACTTGGCAGACACAAAGCTAAGCCTGATCATTATCAATACATCAATATGCTGATGCAACTCATACTATACACAAAGCCCCCTGGTATCATAGAAAGCAAAAACTGGAAGCGTCTCGCAGAAAATCAATCAGTCTCAGGTATGCTCGGAATTGGATCTTATAAGATCAAACTCCCAAGACCTGGATCCTGAACCCCAAATCCCCCAACAAGGCGCACTGCGCCACTCATGCAACAGAAAAACACCAAAAAAAAGAGACATGGAAAATAAAAATAAAAGAGAGGGTGTGAGATATTCCAGCAAGAAACAGAAAAAGAAAGGACAAGGAAAGAATCCAACACCAAAGAACCCCAATTCCTCAATAATCCATCCCAATCAACCCAATTGACTCATCAACTCGGCCAACAACCTCCCCCGACACCTCTGCAAGGCCAGATAACACCCCTCACAAACACGCAAACAACAAAACACACACCGATGCCGAATCTCTCGATCCATCTTTTGACACGTCATACACGGCACAGGACACCATGTATTCTGCGCCACGGGCATATTCCGATGTTCCTGGAAACAGGCATAATGGATCTTACTCAGTGGTGCAGCGATGGGCTCGATGTCATCGGATGGTGTGTGGGATGCTTGTTCGTCGCTGGAGGCTGGGTCAAGGGGTGTGCTGCCGCCCTCCGGGGTGGGGATGAAGTCTTCTAGTGGAGTTAGAGCATCGGTGGAGGTGAAGGTGTGCTGTGTGTGGAGGTCTGATGGTGGTGCTTGGGATGTCGGTGATTGTGAGGCGGGTGCGGAGGGACCCCGCGAAGCTTGGTTTATTTGCGCGGGGAGTGGTTGGGGTGCTGGAGGTGTTGAACGGGTCTGGGCTGAGTGGTAGACTGGTAGTGAATGAGTGATGGGTGATTGCGCTTGCGCTTGTGCTGGCGCCTGTCTATATGCAGGCTGCGAATGCACTGGTTGCGATTGCGATTGCGACTGCGGGGTTTGCGGCGGAGCTGCGGGAGTTCCAGTTACAGGAGATTGCTGTGAAGCTTGTCGTAATCCTGTCTTTGGAGCAGTAGTGACTGGCGGGGTCACGCTCGGTGGTGGTTTGCGAAGCACTTCTCGACGTGGAGGCACCATTGAGGAAGACCTCGGCGGAGCCTGAGCAGTAACGGGCTGTGGGAGTTCCTCCTTGGGGGTCGGCGGGAGATCCTTATTTGGAGGCGGCATTGCCTTCAACTTGAACTGCGATGCTGGTGCTGGTACTGGTGCCGGGACAATAGTCGTCAGACTTGGAGTGGAAGAAGAGTCTGGTTGGGAATTGGTGGATTTCTTGCTGTGGAAGGAGAATTGGGACTTTGTGGCGGAGGTGCCATTTTTCATGGCCGTCAGGGACGGAACGCGCAGGCCGCGAGGGCGGTTTTCCGAGTCGAAAATCGCCATTTTAAGCGGAGGGCGTGAGAGCTAATGGCGTAGCTGGACAAAGTCTGTATAGATCTGGCGCAACGTGGTGGGTATAGTGGCTAGCACCGATTATCTGCGCCACCGTTAGTTTGAGCGACGATCTCGGCCGATGGGGTCGCAGGTCGCAGGGATCTCTGGTTGCTGGTTGAGATGGCGAGAGAGAAACGAGGATGATGGATGGAAAGGAAGAAGAGAATAAGACGGGGGAAATTAATCAGCCTTAGCAGATCTCCGTAGAAGAAAAAAAGCGAGATGAAGGCTGGTGTAATCTTAATTTTTGGGGGGGCAGCAGCAAGTTTTCCGTTTTCCTTCCAGCGCCAGTCCCTGGAAACCCACCGATCCCAAACTATCAGCCCCCCCTTCTCGCCTCGAAAATCTAGGAACCAACCAGGAACCATCCACTTCACCTTTGCTTTTCCTTTTCAATGGCCCCCCCTGAAAAGAGTAATACGGTCAGCACGAGCACCAACAGTGACAGCACACCGCATCCAGCAGACAACATATCGCACATGGCAGCGATCGTCGCCTTTTCCCCATGCTCCATGCTCAATGGAATCATCAAATCATCATGGATACCAATCCCATCGGTCGATCCGACCATGGAATTATTATTCGACATGTGGAATCTACTGTACTCCAACTAGTGCAGCCGCTACTTCATCACGATCCGAGCCCAGCACAGCCATTGGCCCGTACTAAATGGGAATGGAGATGGCCCTCGGGGACTTGATACACGAGTGGAGATCCTCTCTCTGCCCGATTGTTCTGATTGTTCTGATTGTTTCATCTCTTCCCAACGCGGTGGGGGCCATTGGGCCCTGTTGGACCCGTCACAAAACGGGCAGCGCTAGAGTCAATAGATCGGGTTTGGCGGGATAACTGAACCCCCCCCCGCCCGGGACTTGGTACTTCCTTGATTGACGACCCAGCTAACAGCTGTACAGGAGGAGTCAACTTGGCGAAATCCAAGAAACTGGATGTGAACTCCCTAAATCGGCAATTGAACTACACAATCGACGACGAACACATAACTTGATGCAAAAGAGTACTAACCCCCTGATCCCGGCTCGTGCAGTGCCGCATTTTATCCTCCGGCATGCCACGGATATGGTCCTAGCGGTGATATCATTGGTAGCGATTCCTTTCGCCGACCACGGACTTGCCCGTCATCGGTCGCCGAGCTTATAGAATTTTGAGTTTCCTCGAGGACATCTTTCGACCTTTTTTTGTGGTGGGATAGACGAGTTTGGAGCATAGCTAACTAAGAGCCCATGAGATGATCAGCCATGATATCCCGTTTTGTTTGTTTTGGTGGCGACCGATATTGGCTCCATGTCAGGAAACACAGATATACTATTCCAACCCCTAATCACATGATGCACTTAATCAAACATGGATGAGGCGTAAATTACGGGTTTGGTATGTACGTCCATTGCAATGATACCTGGTCTAGAACCAGAGGCATGGACGGATAGAGAGCAAATTGGGCGGCCGCTGAACCGCCTTTCAACTTCGCCATATCTGCTGATCACAGTACCTGCAGAGGGCCTCGCGTTGCCCTGGGTGTCTATATTATTAGGTCAAAGTTGATCGATAACGCTCGACAGTAAGATTTTCTTGCGTGATCTATATGTTCAACATATTATAATCGTTGCCCAACATCCCGGATTGGATGGACATAATGGAAAGGCCAGCAGAAAGCTAAAGAACAGAATCTTCAAGTTCGAGATCTCCGCCGGCATAAGCGACCTAAGTTTCGGTCATATCATCTTAACCTTGTCGATTATTGCGGCTGTAAGGAAAGGGCGGGAAATAGGCGGGTTGGCTGATAATCACCGGTCTGGCTCAAGTCCAAGTATCCTATCCATCTCTCATCAGCGTCAGCTAGGTACTACTGGCACACGCTCAAGACTCCTGAATTGTCAATTAACTTGATATATGCGGGACTTCTGTGTTATATTTGTACACTAATTTTGATTGAAACTTCTGTCAAGGAAGAACGATCTCAAACGTTGCCTTCGGGGTAGAGAGTAGATCAAGCAGTCTGTCCCAATAGGAACGATCTCCCTGCTCATCACCGAAAGTCCCTACCGTTTGCCTAGCCGACAGGCACTGAACCAATTGACCATATGTAAGAGAACATGAGAAATCCGCCGAATCCGATGTAGATGATTTTGAAGAGCCTTTTCCAGTGCGGTGTATCAACGCCCCGTTACTAACTAGTAAACGGCAGTGCTCGTCTCGATCAGTCACATATAGATCGATGATAAAGTCTTTAGTTTGCGCCCGAGTACCGTCCAGACGAACAGCAACTGATGCCAAGAGATGGCGAAGTGACAACGCCTCAACCAGCCCGCCCTGGCCAGAGAGCACATTGCCTTCTGGCTTCACACCACGTAGTTCCGTTGCGCCGGAAATGTAGAAATTCCGCCATGGGCCATTCTCACAGCCGTAACCCAAGCTCTCGTACGTAGATGCGAGTAAAGATTTAGCCTTTGTGTTCTCGGGATCGGCGAACACGGCATGGTTGAGAAGTGTTGCAGCGAATCGTAAATCCCCTTTGTCAGAAAATTCTCTTGCTTTTTGGATCACTGCTTCCACGCCGCCAATACAAGAAACATAACGTTTCGCGGCTTCGACCGGCGGGTGTTCCCATAGATGAGACGGATTTCCATCGAACCATGTCATGTAACGTTGATAAATGGCCTTGGCATTGTGGCTCACAGAGCCATAAAACCCCTGCGTGTGCCAACAGTCCTGCAGTCGAGTAGGGAGCTCTAACTCCTCGGCAATTTCAATGCCTGTTAGACCCTCATTAATCAGGCGCAAAGTTTGGTCATGCAGAAAAGCGTAGAGGTCACGCTGCTGCGTAAGATAGTTCAACAAATTCTTTTGCCCCCATGTGGGCCAATGATGAGAAGCGAATACGACGTCTGAAGTTCCCGCGAAGAGAACAATCGTCTCGTCTAAATATGAAGACCAGCCCTGAGCATCCCTGACGGCAGCGCCTCGGAGAGTGGCAATATTGTGAAGACATTGGGTCGCATTTTCCGCAACGCACAAGGCCCGCCGTTGAGGTAGATAAAAGTTCATTTCCGCAGGCGCCTCTGTGCCAGGAGTGACTTGGAAGACGAACTCTACCCCGTCAATCACCTCTACTTGGCCAGTATGCGTGATATCCACCGATGGAGGTATCAATGTCACTGTCCCCGTAGAAACCGTTGCGCCTAGACCACAGCTGATTTGATCTGACGGTCCTTTTGGCAATTGGTCGCCATACATATACGTAGCCCTGCGAGCCATGGCGTTCCCGGCGAAAATATTCTCAGAGACAGCATGGTCAAGAAAGCCATACGGTGCCAAGACAGGCACGGTACAAGCCTCATTTGATTCGAAGACCCCCTTTGCACCCCCAAAATGGTCGGCGTGCGAGTGTGTATAGATCATGCCTGACACGGGCTTTTTGGCACAATTCTCATGATATAGGTTGAGGGCTGCTTTTGCGCATTCGGCGGAAGTGAGAGGGTCCACTACGATGATTCCACTATCACCTTCAATGATAGTCATATTTGAAATGTCAAATCCGCGAACCTGATAGATACCGCTAGCGACCTTGAATAAGCCTTGCTTGCTTACAAGCTGCGCTTGTCGCCATAGCTTCGAGTTAGCGGTATCTGGACAAGGCGCGTTGATCAAGAAATCATATGCATTGTTATTCCAAATGACATGACCATCTTGATGTTTGATTATGCAGGGGTCAAGTTTTGCGATAAACCCCCGATCTGCGTCGTGAATAGACATCGAGTGAGGATCGAAGAATTGATTGGCGCAAGTGCTCTAGAGAATGATGGTCAAAATATCGCTCGCCACATATAGCATGTGGTCATTTAAATTGCGAGTGGATATTCCCAGCTTAAAAACGTGGAACAGAGGCCCTCTTTAGCCGCTTCAGATATTGTCACCATCCTGACGCCTATGACGGTTACATCGACAAAGTAGAGTCGTGGCTTGACGATATAAGAGAGAGGTTTCAACCTAGTGACGTCAGCAATTCCTCAAGCGAGAGGTAAACGCCTTCCACATAACCGCCAATTTTGGTACCATACATTCCTAAATGATGTCAACATGAATAAAAGTGATAGAATGTTCAAAATAATTCGTTATCTCTGCAATAGTTAAATAGTAAGTATGCTCTTGCCATGTACCATATAGACAATCAACTTCTCTACTAGGGCTCGGAGAAGCGTGTAGAAGCGTGTACAGAGTCACGGACGACGCCATAAAGCAGGTACTTATTTTTTAGATCTATCTACAACCATATCAAGATTACCTATGGTTTCTGTCTTACCATTCCAGTCTAGAACAAAGTTTCTAAATACGGAAGCTGCTATATGGCTTAGAGCGTCATGTGATCAGGGTTTGAAAGAGTGCCGTCGTAACGTGGAAAGCAATAACACCACTATACTGCGTACAGCACATGTGTTCACGAACTACTCCGCTAGCTCTGCGCCACAAATTACGATGCTCAGCTCATCCAGCCTGCACATGTCTTTATCGCGCTGTAGCCGCTGCCTTATGAGAACAGGCAACCGATTTATGTACTGAGGCTGAGCAAGACTGCCAATAGCAGAAATATTCGTTCTGTTTTTTTCTTTTTACGGTATTCAAGTTAGCGGTGACATGTCAACCAGAATCTCTAGCTACTCTACAAAGTTTATCTTCTCAATTTTGGGCACGAACGGTCACCCAGATAGATAACTGGCCACCTGTAACTCTCGAAGAAATAACCACAGCTTGCACGAACTATATTGGACTGGTATCTCTACCATAAGGTCTAATTGATTGTACCTGCCAATTTAAAGTTGATTTGCCTTCTGCGTCAAGCTGAACTCCTTACAAGTATGACTCTCAAAGGTAAGGACGCGTCGGAGTAATCTTGTAAGGTAAGAATGTAGTCATGACCAGACAGAGTAGTTACTTTCGTCAAAATGTCAAAATAGAACCGTACTCAACGAGACGCTCTATGTATATCTCCATGTATCCACATACCAAAAAGAAATAGCCCGAAGATCCGCACGGGGCAGCCATATGAGTGCAGATCACGGGCCGCCGAACAGGTTTGGGTCAGTCTGAAGTTGGCAGAAACGCGCCAACCTAAACACCACTAAAAGCCTGCACTATCAGGACCATTGCAGAGCTAGAGCCTTCTCGGAGACAATTCTATGTACACTTAAACTGTATATCACAACTGGCTAAGTAAGGAGTGCCCGACCTCCCGTGCCTTATAATACGACATGCGCTCGGACCCGCTAATTGAACAAGCCAAAAGACCAAATATGTCAGAACCGGGACCGATACATACAAGTAGCGCAAATAACGTTAGGGGAACCAGTCCTAACAGATAATGGCGTAGACTGCGAGGTACTACACTACGTTCTACTAGCGCTGTACCAGGACTGCAAACTCGAATATAAATGGGGAAGCGGGAAGAAGAAAGGTATCGTATTTCTTTTTTTGCGGAAGCTTTATCCATCCCGAATCTAATGTTCGGGTTCCCCAACGGGCATATATGATCGGCGTTCTCGAGCAGCCTGTTATTGAAACAATCACGTTAGCCACTAGCTTCCAATCACGAGCCAGAAACCAAAAACAAAAAAGGAAATTGATGCAAATCAATCCAATAGCACTAATTTGCTTCTGTGTTCTTTCTTTTCTGGATATCCTTGTAGGTCTTACCTCGATATACCGCTCAATCCAGGGCTTGAGCAGAGCCCACGTGAGCAAGCCACCAGTCGCAAAAATGAAGATGAATACCACCGCCTCGTCCTTTCGGGAGTCGCGCTCTATGTGTAACGAGGTCTGGTTAGCGATCGTATCGAGCATGAACATCAACCAGTATACCCTGAGTACTACCACGGAGGTATATTGGGTAGACTAGATGTGGCAAGGTTCTTGTAGTCAGTCCACCACGCAGGATACACTTACGAAAACACGTCGTAAAAACATCCTCCTCCTTGGCATCCTTGCAAATGGGCAACTCATAGTCCAAACAGAACTTGCGATTGCAATCGTTGCAGCTCAATGCGCGGTATTTCTGCGTGCGCTCGGTGATTGTATCGGGCGGATTGGATTCGGAGTCCGAATCGGTTTGTTTTTCAGTCTCTTGCTCTGTCTGTAGATCAGACTGTAGGTCTAGTTCCGGTTCAGGCCCGGTGTTGAACGCGCGTCCGTATTGATTGTAGACATGGTTCAGGCTGGAGGTGTCGGTGCCGGAGCTGGATTTGGAGGGGTCGAGGGGGATGATGGTGCTATTGGAGAAGCAGGTGCATTTGCAGAAGGAGGTTGGTGCTGTAGGGAGAGGGTGTTAGCTTGGTGTCAAGGACTTTTGGGGTTGGGGTTGGGAGCTGCGGATGCGGAGTGGAGCTTGTTGCGAGAGGTGTTTTGGGGCTTGTGTGGAGATCGCTTACTGGAAGCCGTTGAAAATGAGAGTATTGATAGAAGTGTGAAGAGCAACAGGAGCACGTGTGTCCTGCTGCTTTTTTGACATCGCCCTGGGTACATCTTGTCTGGGTTGTTCCATCCGGAAAGCCACCCAGCATCTCCGTTGATGAGGTTATCGGGGCCACTTATCGGGCCACTTATCGGGTCCCACGTGATCAAGCAGACACGATAGGCTGGAAGCGGACAATGGAAGTCCAGCAGTCCACAAGAGTGTCCAAGTAACTACCGAGGGTATCAGAGTTGTTGGAATTATGTTTCAATGTGTATTATAAAGCAGTAAAGCCAGTGTATATACTTCTATATGTTTCCAACCCCAGAATACAAAAATGTTCTAAGACTTGCCCTTCATGCCCTTCTTCCGGTTCTCTCTCTGTCTCTGTTCCTTGGCTGCGTCGCGTCGCCTCTTCTTCCAGGCACGATTGTTATCGCCACGATTCTCCCAGAACCATTTCGCAAACTCGGTCTCTTCTCTGGGCCCTTCCTTCTCCCGGGATTTTGAAACAGGGGTATCGATAGAAAGCTCCCTCTCGTCATCCTCCATATCATCCGCCTCGGTCCAATTCATGCGACGGTTCACCATGGTAGTGTCGGGTGTGGGTGCTGCACTCCGCAAGCCTCGAATCTGGAGATCTTTCTTGGTGAACGGCGTGAAGGGAGTCTGAGGCTCTGCAGGTTGCTGTTCATCCTCGGACTCAATGTCGTCGCCTCCAAAGAAACTAAAGCCCGCTGTGGGGGTAGGTGCAGCGCTTTCCTCGGTAGACTCAGGAGCTGGTCTCTTGAAGAGTGCTTCAAGAGGATGAACCTCCTGAGTAGAGGTAGAAGGTTCTTCCTTCCCCTGAGCAGGCCCATCAGCCATGTCTGAATCCGAGTCCGAGTCCGAGCTTGACTCTGAGCTGGAATCATGAGAAACATTCTCCGAAGCAGGAGCAGGGTTTTTTGTCTCTTTCGTGGGTACTGTCTTTTCATTCGCTTCATCGTCAGACGAGTCGGATGATTTATCAGAGGAGCTTTCCGCCTCGCTATCCGAGTCGGAGCTCTCATCGGATGAAGAACCACTGGACGACGTCCAATCTTCGGATTCACTCGAAGGCTCCGGGGTCTTTTCCTTCTTCACTAGATTTTTGACCTCTGATTTCTTCACCTTGGCACCCGCCTTTTGTCCAGGATGGTAATCATGTTTGCGAGCCTTGTCGCTGGCAACCTCCTTCACCTTGCCTGAAGCATCCACCCAACCCTTCCCATCTTCAAATTCAGTCGTCGGGGGAGCATCCTCGCCTGATTCACGGAGGAAGCTGGGATAAGTAGTTGCTTTGGCGAACTCGTGCACAATATTTTCCGAGCCTTTCTTGTTTTTCTTGGCTTTCTTCTCGTCGACAGCTTCAAGGGACTTGCGGTTGGGAGGGATTGTCGCTCGGAATAGGCACTCCTCCTTTTCCGTGTATTTAGACTTGGCCTGGGGCTTTTCCTTTTTATCGCCCTTGCTCTTGCTCTTCTCCGCCCTTCGTCGGTCTTTCTTGGATGGCTCCGTCCAACCTCGCTTAACCTTGCGATCCGAAGGAAGTTCATAGCCCTCTAGCACATCATCCTCTTTGTCCTCTGATTTTCGCTTCTTGGACTTCTTTTTCTCCTTCTTCGGTTCATCTGAGCGAGCTCCGGCATCTCCATCCTCGGGGTCCCATTCCCTCTTCGAGGGACGGGCAGCCTCGACCTTGAATTTCCGGCCCTTGAGAATTGAGCCATTGAGCTTCTTCTTGATCTTTTCAGCATCCATGCTCGGCAGCGTAATGTAGCCGTAGCCGTTTTCAGGAAATGTGGGAATCGTATGGAAGGAAATGTCGGTAGCGGTCTGGCGGAGCGAGGGTGGTAGGACGACCGGGAGGATATCAGGGGTAAGGGGAGAGATATGAAGTCTGACGGTGGTATCGGTCATTTCATCGAGGAGAATGGGCCCAAAGGACCGGAGTTATGAAGGAGTTGAGCCGCAGGGCAGCATGGTTGAGATCGCCGCACTTTTTTTCTGGCGCTCCGCAGCTACACACCGATTTGTTTTTGTGCCACCGCCTGCCGTTTGAGGATTAGATCACATGGATCGACATTCGTCGCATCTGATAATTGATTTCACATTAGGTTAATCATTGATATTAATTGTCGATGATCAATAACTGATTCAGCCTGTTCTTAGGTCTGGCAGAGCCCAAGTAGATCCATCGTGTCACATCTCGAGACTCGGACAACTGCCACCGTTAGCCATATCCAGTGGGCATCCTATGAATCGGAGAGATCAATCATAGTTGGGGAAATCAGCATGCCTGGATTTTCAGACAGAAATAAAGTATTGCTACTGTTATACGCATGGACTGCGGATCATACCACACCTGATATCAATTCATTTCCAACATACCACGGTACTGTCGTGATTCGTGATTCACTGTAGCCGTATGTAGTTGTCCACGGTCACCTGACTTCTCCAGTTGATGGACGGGGTAGGCGATCTTGACAGATTGGCCGATACGAATGCGCCCCAAGTGGAGAGTTGAGTGGAGAGACTGGATATGAGACAGTACAGTTGCACAGTGTAGAAATAACCCCGTTTCCCCAACTCCTCCAACAGATCGACCTCGGGTTCACAGGGGCTGATGTAATCGCTCTCGTGCCCTTGGCCTCCGCCTCAAGACTTAGGCATGTCTTGGAAGGTGTACCCATGATGACAAGAGTCTCGTGGCACACGACAGGATGGCTTGGAGATGCTTGGCTTGGTCATGGCCAGACCGGAGATCAACATCTTTCTACCTACGATACCCAACCGACCAACTAGGTCAACTAAGAATCTTATGTATAGTTAGTTAGTGTATACCATAGCCAATCTGTCCATATGGCATCCGCCACATCCGATCCTGGCAGATTGGCCCTCTTACGTAGTCCCGTAGGACCCCGTCCTTGTCATTCTCAGGCCCATCTTGAGCTTTTCCTTTTCCTCTCTCACCGATCTCACTTCCCCAGTTCAAGTTCCTCCGGACAGATTCCCCCCCCCTCTTCTCCCGGCTCCAGCTCTCCAACTTAACTTGACCTCCACATGTCACCTCTCAAATCTTAAAGACTAGGCTCCTATGTTTTCCTCTTCATCATCTTGACGTTACTTTGATTTTCTACTGTCTATTTCCCCACCCCGCGATTCTTGCCCCTTGAGGGCCCTTTCTCCCATCGGAGGAACGCCGTGCCAATCGAGTGGCCGGTCTCGGTCCAACCTGACGGCCATCCAGCCCCCTCCCATTCCCTCTTTCCCCCCTTCCTCCATTTCCTTCGTGTCACGATGGGTAACTCCCAGACCAAGGAATCACGAGCCGGCACGCCGCACCGTCAACAATGGTCGTCTTCCGATGCCTCCGGCAGTGGCCGGATCGTCTATCAGAACCCTCGATCAGGAAGAAGCAGTCGGCCTGACTTGTCTATCCTGGGAATCGGCAGCAGTCATAGAGATGACCGTGACGTGGCCACACTAGAACAGCGGCGTGAAACGAAACAGGAGCGGGAGGCTCGCCGCCTGGAGAAGGAACGCGCCGCCCGTGTGAACGAACGGGAGCGCAGTATGAAAGAGGAACATGTGGATGGAGGTTATCTAGTCACTCAGGGTGTCTATGTGGGAACGGAGGATTTCAATAAGGCGGTTGTTCGACAGCTGATGGTAAGGCCCGCCCGCGCGGAGAGAGAGCCCCGCAAATGGTGATGCAATATGTACTGATTGCCGTGGTCCCCCCCCCTAGATTGAGCGACGACTGGCTCCCTTCTGGAGAGGTCTGAATGACTTCTCCGAATCATGGGCGGAGCACCAAATCACGGCTGCAGCCCGTGGCATGCCTATCCCCCCGCCCGATGAGATTCCCCCCGAGTTGGAGTACACACCACCCAAGGCCAGTGATACAAAGGCGGCGGCCGAGGTGAACATCCAGCATCTCACGGTGCCCATCACCTCCCGGTCGCAGTCTCTCAATTCCGACGTGTCGCAAACCTCCAACCCCAGCCAGTCATTACCTGCGGCGATCGCGTCTGGTACATCCACGTCGCCGTTCTTCCGCACCCGCGCCAAGACTCTCGCTGCCCTGACTACCTCTTCAAGGCATGGTTCACAGACAGATCTGACTCCTCGGGAACTGCAGCTTCCAAAGGATCCATTTGTCAACGGTCAACCCATCGAAGTCTATCTCTACAAGGATGCGACCGAATGCCCAATCTGTTTCTTGTACTACCCTCCGTATCTAAACCGGACTCGATGCTGCGACCAGCCCATTTGCTCCGAATGCTTTGTCCAGATCAAGCGCCCGGATCCCCACCCTCCAGAGCACGAGCAGCCTGACCCTAATGCTCCAGCTCCGGCCGAGGGCGAGCAACAACAAGCAGCTGAATCGACCGACGGACAGTTAGTCTCAGAGCCTTCTGCTTGCCCGTTCTGTGTTCAGCCCGAGTTTGGAGTCACCTACGCCCCGCCAACTTTCCGCCGAGGCCTTACCTATGCGGCCGACCCCAGCGCCCGTCTCTCACCCAACATCATCTCCCCTGTCTCATCTACCTCCTCATTGGTCTCCCCACATGCTCTCCCCACGCCTGGTCGCCGTCGCGCTACGTCCTTGTCTGCGACCGACCCCAGCGTAGTCACGACGGACAAGGTTCGTCCGGATTGGGCTCAGAAACTTGCCAATGCCCGCGCACATGCGGCGCGTCGCTCGGCCGCAGCGACTGCCTTGCACACTGCGGCATATTTGATGAATTCGAACACGTCCGGGAGTGATTCCCGCGGGATCGGTCTGAGTCGCAGAGGGCTGAGGAGAGCTACGCAGGGGGACGCCGGCCGGTCCGGATCTCCCGCACTGAATGCGCTCGCATTTTTGACGGAACGACCTGATCGCACGCCACCCCGTGTGTCTGCTCCGGACACGGACTCGGCGGAGGAAGGGCAAGCAAATCTTGCACCGCCGCGAGACAGCTCACGGCGCAGTCGCGTCGACGACCTGGAAGAGATGATGATGATGGAGGCGATTCGGTTGAGTTTGGCCAGTGAAGAGGACCGGAGGAGGAGAGAAGAGAAGGAAATTCGAAAGGAAGCCAAGAGAAGGGAGAAGGAGAAGGAGAAGGAGGCTAAGAAGGCTGATAAGGCGGCTCGCAAGACTGGGCTGTACAGCAACAATGCCAGCACGTCGGCATTATCTACTCCCGTTGAGTGTGCCTTGGGCAAAGCTAGCAGCGCCTCTTCCATTGTCGAGGAGGGACCGTCAGTGGGGAAGGGCAAGGCCGTTGATCGTTCGTCCCCGTCGCCCGCCCTGGAAAAATTCCCGGCAGCTCCAACGACCATTTCCAATGCGGCCGATCAATCATTAGCCCCGCCTGATGCGTCGGGAACTACGGAGCCGTCGAAACCGTCTCACCTCCGACATGTGTCTAGTGCATCGTCATCAATTTCGTCCATTATGGAAGCCAACGCTGGCGAACGTGGCAGCGGCCACGTGACAGCCGACGGAAGCAACCCTTCTCTTGAACCGCTGTTTAACTTTCGGAGTTTGGCGGCCATGATTGGTGATGAGGAAAAGCGCTACCAGTCGGAACATGTTGAGGACACCACGCAGCCGGTGGAGGGCTCCTCCAGTGCAACTCCCTCGGTTCACCAACCTTCGGCCGATGCTGCCCGCAGCGATAGCGACCCTGCTAAGACCGAGATACCTCCCGCCACGAAGGCCCCCGTGGAAGCGCAAGATAGCCCTGGTGGCATCTCGCCCAAGGAGCTTGAGACTCGTTCAGTTGAGATCACACATGAGGCAAACACCGAGGCCACCTCGTGACCATGATCATGGGAGTGGACCTTCTCTTCTCCCTGTCTATCATTTTCACTTTCATTTTCTATTGTTCACGTTAGAAGTCTGTCATCCGGGACGCATGAGATGGATCCAGCCGGCGTCGCAAGGAAGGATTGGTGTTTTTTTTCCTTGATTGTTTTTGTTCAATGTGGCGGCTTCTTCCGGTCTTTTTTTTCTCGGGCGTATTGCTCCCTTCATTCATTGTTATTTTCCATAGCACACAGATTTTTTTCATTCTATGTCCGACCTCCTTTTCCTTCATCCATGATAGAGATATGTCCATCATTGACACCTCCCTTTTCCTGTCTTGTTGCCTCGAGCCTTGGGGTGGTGCCTTCATACTATGTATTCCTCAAATCACTCTTCACCAATAGCTTTTCTCTGGATGTTCCGTTCTTACTACGTAGATGCTTAACTGGGGTTTAGTTTCCCTGTCTGTACTGTATACGAGCTATTGACTGTATACAAACGCTGCAGTGCAGCCTACTGGATGTGTTGTTCTATCCAGGCCCGGGCGGGGTCCGAGGGTGCCGTGATTGGCCGGTCGGCGATTAAGAAACTGGACCAACGGCCGCTAAAGACAGGGGGTGGAGGCGATGAACGATGACCGAAGTATACGGGGGACTTTGGTTAAAGAATGCAAAACTTAGGTGATTTGACAGGGTAGAACTATCTAAACCATCATAGTCTTTTATATAAGAGATATACAACCCATATAACTATATAAGGGGATGTCTTATTGTGTATTAAGTGCTTGATACTCGATAGGACTCCCTTTTGTCTCGTTGGTCGGCACTCGGCACCGCTCACATGAGCGGCAGTTTTTGTAGTTCGAACCTCGCCACTTGAAACTTTGTTTGGGTCCGACCCACGAGATAAGGAAATTATATAGATGATAGAAACAATTATCACTCTAATAATGAGAACAGAAAACAGACAACTGTATGAAATATTTATCTAGCATCACTATTGACATAACTACATAAATCGTTCAACACTCCCCCGCACCCGGCCACACATTCCTCGAAGGGGCGGCGGCTGAGCTGGAAACAGTCGAAACGGGAACAGCCCGGTCGTTGGCCCAAGCGTAGAGCCCTCGAGGGAATTGAGTAATGGAAACTGCAGACTCTTTTCTCCGCCTCTGCTATCTCCCCCTCTTTCATCCTGCTTCTATCTGAACTTCCAAATTTTTCTGGCACTTGCACTCTGCCCAAAATCCCTCGAACAGTCACCTACATTCAAAGAATATCGGGGGCTAGCCTTCTTTTTCTGATATTCAACCCTCGCACCCATACCAAAGCGGCAACCGAAGTTCAAGCAAAGAGACTCGACTTCGTGGGGACGGATAGCCGTAAGGTCTTAGATACTTCTACGGGACGATGGTATTAACACAGCAGCCAAGATCTCTCGCTTCGATCGACGATAGCTTTCCTACCCTCCAGCTTTTTCTCTTGGGTATGTCTCTCTAGTTCCTCATTACTCGCTCTCGTCTGCAGCCCTTTCCCCGGGGTGACACACTTCCGTGGAATATATCCTCCTGACTAACATCACCCCCCCATCATAGCAATATGTCGTGTCGCCGAGCCCATTGCCTTGACCTCCATCTTCCCCTACTCATGGGTCATGGTCAAGGATTTCAACATGGCTAATGGCACCGACGCCTCCTTCTACGCGGGCATTTTGATCTCCGCGTTCTCCCTCGCCGAAGCCATGACGGGCATGTTCTGGGGCAGTCTATCCGATCGAGTAGGTCGGAAGCCTGTTCTTCTGTGTGGTTGCTTTGGGACTATGCTCTCGCTGCTACTGGTCGGTCTGGCCCCGAACTTTTGGGTTGCGCTGGTGGGTCGCGCGCTGGGTGGTGCGTTGAATGGGAATATTGGGGTTATTCAGACTATGGTTGGTGAATTGGTGCAACGGCCGGAGCATGAGCGTGAGTTACTTCATTTTCTTGGGGTTTACTGGATGTGGGTAGGGTAACTGACCGCGCGGTTCTGATAGCTCGGGCGTATGCTATTATGCCTTTTGTTTGGTCAATTGGGACTATTATTGGACCAGGTAAGCATCATCCACTCCGTTTAATATGTCATCGCTCCATACTTGTAGATACAGTGCTAAGGTGTAATTCGAAATTGTTCAGCCATTGGAGGTTTACTGGCAAGACCTTCGGAAGGTTACCCTTCTCTCTTCCCCCGGGAAGGTCTCTTTGGGCGTTTCCCCTATCTGTTACCGAATTTGGTCTGCTCTGTTCTTCTGCTTTCGAGCATGATCGGGGGCTGGCTGTTCCTACAGGAAACCCATCCAGAGATGCAGTGCCACAGCCACAGCATTCGTCAATTCTTTGAGCATACCTCGGCCGAACAGCCTCTCCTCGCGACCTCCGGTGCGACTGCCAACGCAGGCGTTGACCTCCGAGCCGAGTCCTACGGAACTTTCAATCAGGTCAGCCTGCATGAGGATGAAAACTGGGATGTCCAGGCAGACGGTACATCTTTCGTATGGAAGAAGTCGCTGAAACCAAAGGCTTTCACCTGGCGGGTTATCATGCTAGTTATGGCACTGGCCATCTTCACATACCACTCGATGACCTACGATCATCTTTTACCTATTTTCCTGCAAGACGAAAACACCCGTGGGCACTCGACTGGCCATCATGCTTTCCTGGATATCCCAGGTGGAGTCGGTTTGTCGACACAGACAGTGGGTATGATCATGTCCACGGACGGTATCATCGCCCTTGTCATTCAAAGCATGATCTTCCCCGCCCTGGCTGGATGGCTCGGCGTGTGGCGTCTCTTCGTCGTCGTGACAGCCCTCCACCCAATCGCCTATTTCATGGTTCCATTTGTCGCCCTCCTCCCCCAGAATCTCGTTTTCATCGGCATCTACACCTGCCTGATCGTCCGGAACATATTATCTATCATCGACTACCCCGTCCTGCTTATCCTGATCAAGCAAGCTAGTCCCTCGGACTCAGTGCTTGGTAAGATCAACGGCCTGGCTGCTTCGGCCGGTGCTGCGTCTCGCACCATTGCGCCTCCCATTGCGGGATCCCTTTACAGCACTGGTACTGAAATGGGCTGTACGGCGCTCGCTTGGTGGGGCAGTTCGTTTGTGGCCTTGCTGGGTGCGGTCCAACTTTGGTTCATCCAGCGGAAGAAGAACTCTTGGGTCACTGTTACTCCTGCTGCTCCGTGCCACTATGTTCCTGTTCCAGAGCAACCCAGGAATGACGTCGTGCATATCATCGTGACTGATTTCGATGCCGATGTCGATGAAGCTGCGGCTGACGCGTGAATTGCTTCGGCATCATAGTGAAGGCAGAACCCTCGAACTCGGATTTCCATGCTCCAAAAATTTCCCTTCTCATGAATCCATTTTATCCTTTGATCTCTAGGGATTCATGGGTCGAAATGATGTGTCATGGTTGTCTTTTCTTTTTTTGTTTCTTCTGCTGGTGTTCGGTTATTGCTCCCATTTTAGCGACTACACTGCATACCTTCCAACGTTTTGTTTCCGAAATTATAGAAATGAAAACATTTTTCAAATAGAATATTCCCAATGTTCTTCATTCCACGGTAAAACTTAGCTCTCTATTTTGATGAGGCCCTAGAATCCTGACGCACTGCCGTATACTTCACCGCAGCCACTATTCCCCAAACGGCTTAGCTCTGTTTACATAGCAACGCTTCCCGCTTCCGCTCCACGTTCAATCACAAACACGAGAGGATCCTGCTCAACGACCTCTCTTCCCTCTCTCACACATACAGAAGAGGAACTCGAACGACATCCTCTTCAACGTTTTTGAAAATGTCAAATCCACTCTCCCCCCTCTCCTCCTCCTACCAGAATGTGCGAGCCCGTTCATCAATGGCCGCATCGTCGCCTTTCCTCACAAAAACCCTCGACGCTCCATCCGCCACAGACTTGCCCTCGAGTCCATTGAAGCAGACATGGACAGATCAAGAGGTCGATTTACGCAGTCCGAGTCCCCGCCAAACACACAATGACCAAACTCAAACCGAGAATTACTTCCCTCAAACTCACGATGACGAATATGACGACCAAGAACAAGACCAAGATCCTGCTAGTTCACCTTTCCGCTACGATACACGCGATGATACGGTGGATTTCCAGACAATGCGTGAATACACGAGTCAACGACGACCCCCTGCCAGTGCCGGTGACAGTGCACGCCACCAATTTCCTATCGAAGAGGAAGAGGAGCCGCTGAGTTCGCCCTTCCGACCTGATGCCCGTGACGAGAATGAGGAGGAACCTATCGAGTCTTATCGCTTGTGTGAGGTACAGCCCATGTCGCCGGGCTTGGATAAACGCCTTGCTTTTGAGGATCCGGCTAGCTCCCCGTTCCGTGCGGACCTTAGAGATGAAACCGTCGATTTCGATAAGTTGCGTGAGATGCAGGGTCCTACCTCACCTGGACTTGATGAGCAGGGGGAGCAAAATATGAGCTCGCCGTTCAGACCTGAGGTTTTGGAGGAAACCGTTGATTTTGAGAAGATGCGCGAGGCGAAGCGCGAGTCATTTGGAAAGAGACAGTCCGTTGGCGGGATGGCGCAGGCTGCTCCTGTTGAGAGTGGTAGCTCGCCGTTCCGCCCGAATGCGAAGGATGATACAATCAGCTCGCACGTGTCTGGGGGCTTCCAGCGGGAATCGATTGGAGGACCGTCTGCTCAGTGTTCTCATAGAGCGCGTAACTCGCCGTTCCGTCATGAGAGAGACGATACTGCCAATTCGCGAACGTCGCATGGTATGCAGCGTGAGTCGCTTGAGAAAAGGATGTCGATTGAGAGGGTCATGCAAAGTGCGCCTGTCGAGGCGGGTGGCTCGCCCTTCCGTCGTGCTTCAGATGCAAATGATGATACTGTCAGTTCTCATGTGTCCCGTTCAGTGCAGCGAGATTCGTTCGGAAAGTCTTCCCAGTCTCCTATTAGTTCTCGCAACACTTCATTCCGACGTGATGAGAGAGACGACACGATCAGTTCTCAGAAGCTTCGGTCCGCCCCTCGTTCCTCCCTAGGTGTTGACGGCTACCGCTCCACTGCCACGCCTAGGAAGCGCTCGTTCGATCAGACACCGCAGTACCACGAGGCAGATTCTCAGAATAATGAGCGATGCAAGAAGGGCATGATGAGCCGAGTTGAAGCGCCGGAGATCCATGTTGATCTCGAGGAAGAATCCAGCGTCATCCACGGCCAAAGCTTCGTCTCTGCGGCTAGTGCCACGTACGACCGATCGACAATTGCCAACAGCATGATCGAGGACAAGCGCAATGAGGGCATGAGTACTGTTCTGCACGATGAGGAAGATAACGGCAAAGAGAACGTACGCCTTGAACCTGCTGATAGACATTCCATGCTAGATGAAGATGACCATGACCCCATGGATGACACGGGGTTCAGCAACTTCTCCGTGCTGCCGGACATGACCTCTTTCGCAAAGCTGCGTGCAGAGTCACCCCTGAAATCTATGCGCGGCAGCGTTGGCCCTGGCTTCGGTCCTTCGGCCGATATCTACCGCCGCAGTGTTGGCCCTTCTACCCCAGGAACTGCACGCAGATCTTACAGAGCTAGTGCGTTGTTCGATACAGGCTCACAGATGGGGTCCCCCACGCCCAGACGCAGAGAGTCTCGGGATGTTGGCAACCCCGGCGAGTCATCCAATCTCCTCGACTTCACGGATCAGATGAACTTCTTCCCGCGCCAGTCAATGCAAGGTGCTCGCTACTCTCCAAGCCGCCGGTCTCCCATGCATGCCATGCGTCAGTCTATTCGATCGCCGTCAAAGATGTCGTCCCTTTTGGACTTTGATATCCCCCAAGCTCCGACTCCTCGTTCCCTTCCTTCTATCACGCCGCGAGAACTTGAGTCATTGAAGTCGGGCTTCATGTCGGAGATTTCCTCCCTCAAAGCTACTCTTAGCGGCAAGGAAGCAGAGGTTGCTAGTTTGAAACAGGCTGTTGCTGATGCTGAGCGCCGTGTCGGAGAAGCCTTGGAAGAAGTTCGGAATGAGGCTGCCCGGAAGGATGAGCTTGAGATGGAACAGGCTGAATGGGATCGTCGTGGCAAGGAAATGGAAACTGTGCTGCGATCAGTTCGAGATGAGCTGGAGGATGGCGAGCGTGAGCGTGACCGTCTCACACGGAAGGTCGAAGAGGTGGAAAAGGCCAAGGAGCAGTTGGAAGGTCGGATTGTTGAGCTCGAGACCCAGCTCTCCGCCGCACGCTCATCCTCGGCCTCTGTGTCTCAATCTAGCTCTACTGCTGGCTCTCGCCAGGCTTCTCAATCATCCGAGGCCACCGCTCGCGAGGTGCAGGAAGCCGTTGAAAAGGTTGCTCGCGAGTTGCACACGCTGTACAAAAGCAAGCACGAGACCAAGGTTGCTGCTTTGAAGAAGAGCTACGAGGCTCGTTGGGAGAAGCGTCTGCGTGAGGTTGAGAGAAAACTCGCCACCGCGACCCAGAACAACGAGCGTCTCAGGGTTGAGCGTGATGAGGCGCAGTCCGAGTCCATGGCGGCTGCCAACGCCAGTATGATTGCGCGCGAGAATGACGAGCACGAGGCTGAGAAGCGCGTCTTTGAGGCTCAGATTAAGGGTCTGCAGCATGAGATGGCCGCGCTTAAGGAAGATAGTGAGCATCTTCGCTCGGAGCTCAAGTCGGAACGTGCCGAGAAGGGTGAGCTCGTTGCTGCCGTTGATGAGTGGCTCGCCATGCAGCAGGGTCAACCTGCACAGCTGCTGCAGCCGCAGCCGCAGGAGCGCGAGCATGAGCGTGAGCCTGAACGTGAACTCTCTGTTTCCTCGGCTGGTGCCCATGAAGGAGAGTATCAGTCTGCCGGTGAGCCTGTGGAGAACTTCAACCGCAGTATCGGCCGCTCTGGCTCAGTCCCGGGTGGCATTCGTGCCCCTGCAGCGAATGAGAAACGGATTTCCCGGTTCGGTGCTCCTGGTGGTCATTCACGGGGAAATAGTGGTGGGAAGTCGGGGATTGCAGTGTTTACGCCTGGTCGGGGTGGTATTATGAGCTCGATCGAGCGGATGGGCCGTGGTGGTGCTTAGTTGATGGGTTATATGCATTGTCTGCATTGCTCGCATTGCCTTCGTCGTTGATGGCATTTTGCTATGCTTTGCTCTTGATTGATGACTCTGGATCGGGGAGATAAAGGAGCGCTTTACTTGGTTGCTTTTGTTCTTTCTGGTTATCGATTGATTCCCCTTCCGCGAGTATTCTTTTGTGGTTTTGGTTTTACAGTTGACTTGTTGCTGGCCTGGTTTGTTGGGCAGGTGGTCGGAATGGGATGGGTCTTGTTACGACGTTTATGTTTTTACGTGCTATGAAATTGATGCAGATTTGATCTGTCTGGAATTGCGTTCTTAATGCTCAGTGTTGATGCGAAGGTCGGGTAAGCCTTCGATCAACCTGAAATCTCAAATGTCGCCGCCATTGTAGAGCATTACCTAGTCTGGACTGAGAAATGCATTGGAGATGAGCTTAATTCGGCTTTTATGTAGAATGTGGGAGATGGAGGGGGAGATCGCATCAGCGTGAGGCCATATCAGGCAATTGATCGTAAGAGGGAGCATAACAATAGTTTTCGCAACTGATCGCGTGCTCGTTTAGGTAAAGCTTTCTGCAAGATTGACACTTGGATTTGAAACGTATAGATGTCTGATGAGAAGATACATATATCCATCGACCATGACCGCCCATGGCTCTCTCGTCTTGAAATTATCTATTCTGAATGAGACCAATCACGATGCATAAAAAATGGAATTACTACTGTAGGTACCATATCCTGGTGTCAGATCCATGATTTGTGTAAATAAATAACTCTAATAATTCTCGATTATTGTCCACTGTCGAAGCTGTACTGTGCTATCACGGACCATTCATTGCCAGCAACCCGACCTTCCGGGGAACGCCAAATCCCACTCCTTTCAGCAACATGCCCCGGAACTCTCTTTCTTTTTGCCCATCCTGTATGGTTTGAATCCAATCATGAACCAAAGTGGCAAGGACCGTCCGATTGGATTCCGAATCATTTCCGCGCCACCAAAGACAGGAAAATCCGGGGAGGCAAATTGACCCTGGCCTGGCCCTAACGTTGACTCGCGAGTTTGGCTTCTCCACTTGAGTCGACAGACCGGACTTCCCCCCCTCTCCTCCACGATCCCCCACGATCCTGTCATCGTGGGGTGCCGAGTGTCCCCCAAAGTGTTTCCGTTGCCTATTCGGGACCGATTCCCCTTCGTCCGGTCTGTTGACGACGACGACCATTGACAAGTGACATCGGACCACGAATCAGCGTTTCTCTGCCTTGTCTTTTCATCAGAAGCATGCGAGCACTTTCTTGTACGGCCAATAATTATCCTCACGCGCCAACATCCCATTGGACTTGGGGCCTTTGTCTCGCCTATCCTACCCCCTCTGGCTGGAGGGGCAAATGCGCAATGACGCCACTTTGGCCTTCACTCTTACAGTAGCTTCGAGCTCCAAGGCCCCCGCTGATCAGCCTCTCGCTGTGGCCCAAGGTGCTAGACACTAGCCGCGTGGGGTAGTATACGGGCTTTCATCTTGTTAGCGCGGGGTGCAACCACCTCCGTTTTGGGAAGGTTAGCTACAATAATGGGATGGGGATGGGGATGAGGATGGGGATGGGGGGCTTTGATGGGGAAGCTACCAGACACACGCTAGCCTGCTATTCGATTTGATCTTCGGAATTTCTCCGACAAAACGTGGGGTGGCTTGTTCAATGACCACGCAGATGTCTCCGAGCACCACAAGACTACAGTAGTCTCTCCGTGCACCACGGAGAATTATGGAGGGATTGGCTGGCCTCGCTCCTGTCGAGTCCCCCCACCGCATCTCTTTTCCTGGGGATCGTCTGAGAGCTCGTTGATTCGTTCTTTTTCATGAGCACTGAGCTCGGGTTGATGTCAGATGCCATGGATTTTGGCGCCCCGCACCAAAAAGAGCTATTAATCACGAGTCATGATGCGGGCTCTTTACGAGCGACCGGCGTGATGATCGATGGTGGGACACTCTGCAATGATTATTGCTTGCAGCCCTGTTCTTTGTCAGTCTGGCGATTAACAGCGCCTTAGGTATTCTGGCCAGAGTGTTTCTGTCAGGGAGAAGGCGTCTGTTGAGTCTGGCCCCATAATTCGTCCAGTCGCCAAGCCTGTCGCTGTTGCAGGTTTCTGGTACGCTGCATATCATCTCATTGGCGCTAGCTTTGCGACTGTATCTCCCTCCCTCCTGTACTGCTCCCATCGGAGGGATTTAATATCCCGTTGCCTGACTTGTTCTAGCTTAAAAGGTCTCCTCTGCGCCGGGCGTCTGAACATGCGGGTATAACTGTTCTCTACGGCGGCCCGCGGCTGGGGCTGGCCTGCACACCTCCCCTAGTCTGTTTCGGGAGGCCATCTCGGCAAGTCTGGCGGTTGGTTTGAGCTTGCCGAGTCGGCTCCTGCGATGGGCTGTGCCAGTCTCAAGAGGACAAAAGTAAATCGTCTCTGGTTATGTACCGCGAGTGTTTTCCGTACCGAACGGGATACTTTGATGATGGTGATCGTTATTTGCACGAATGTAGAGGCCTACGAGGTATCGTGACCAAGCAGAAGAATATTGGCCCCATTTGTTCTCGAATCTATTTCTGACCATGAGTAAGTACTCCGTTGGACATGTTTTAATCCCGCAGGATCGAGGCCAAACCGACCCCCCAACTTCCAAGCCACCCATCCCCGGATTTCCCGTTTCTGATTGCTTTCTCTATTATGAATGGATATGACTGGGTTGTGGATTGCGCCTGACGGATAATGCCGGGGGCAGGCTGTCTAGATTCGAGCCCTGTAATTGTATGTACTCCGACGGAGTGTGACAGACACGGGCCAGCACTTTCGGACGGACTTTGACCTACTGTATGCGATGCTAGCTTCTTGATTGGGTATTCTATGTACTCTCTCTTTGTCCACTTTGACTGTGACTGACTGTATTAGTGTGAGTAGGGTTAGCTACAGTACTTGCACAGAATCTCCTGTGCATTATTGAAAATTTCTCTTATTATTTCCTCGTTACAGCAGTTCAAAGCTCTTTCATGATTGGTTCGATTCCTTTGGGTCCTGAACAGTTGACTAACTGACTCAGTTGGAGCGGTAACTTGGGCCCAGCCCAGCGTTAGCGGCGCCCCGCAAACCCCCGACGCCCTCGTGATTTCCCCACATGCTTTTTGGTGTGGAAGAAAGGGATTGGAAATTAGGAATGAGGAATTACGGCTGGTACTTTGCTACATTTTTTTCTTGGCCCTTTTTTCGGAGGAAGTTTGTTAGCCTTCTTTTTCTTCTCATCTTTCCTTGAGGCTCATCTTATGTTCTATAGCTAGCTAAGGCTAGGATCGGACAATAAGAAGTATGATATCATCACTACTGTAACACTATCGTGCGCGAAATATTTTATGCAGTCATATGTGGGATATAACGTACTGCACCCCTCACACACACAGTACCTTGATTGCATTCAGCTCGATTGTTCCGAAAATCGCCACTTTAAGCCACACTAGTCCTATTCCGGCTGCATCCTAGGAAACTCCAGAAAACCCTCTCATCCAATTATCATCCAGCGCGGGAACCGCGGCCCTCGGACAGTCCCAGGACCGTCTCGGTGCGGCATAATTTTCAAGATCTGGACCGTCGGACCGGTTGTGGGCTTTTTAACTTTTTCAGGGGCTGGGATGGTGAACCGGGATCGTTTGTGGAGGGCGTTGGGCGGGCTCCGGTTGTCGGCAGTTTTGGGGGAACATTGACTTGGAAGGGAGCTGGGGCTTATACTTGGAAGTTGGTACTCCGTATATGCTGCGTTGTTAACGGTGGATATACGGAGGTACGGAGGGAAGGAGAGTGAAGAGTTAGGACGAATGGAATGGGGAACTTGTGGTAGATGTCGTCGGCTTCCCGATATTGCGAGTTTATATTGAATTAATTATCTTCTTCAAATGAAATGTTTTATGTTACTTGTTTATTACTTGCGTTCTTGTCATCGCTACTCTGGTTTTGTGGGGAGTATGTATTTTATAGTTATTGATCAATTCCATTGCTGCCGTTGGCGTTCCTGGGGGTTCCAGACCCGCTCGACTTAGTAATAGATGAATGCAGAGACAAGGGTAGTTGAATTGCTATGGAGAAGTACTCCGTAGTGTAGCTAGGCACCGCTCGGAATACCATCCGACGGCGAATTTGCAATCTTTGAGTGGATGAGCATGGAGCTTCGCCATATGTATTGGACCAAGGAGTCGGCCCATCGAGATTTATAGGAACCGTTTGTTTGTGCGTAATACAAGTGTCTTCTACATAAGCCCATTCTTGTCTTCTTGTCTTATCCAAATGATTCGTGTCAACTTCCATGATCCTCATTTCGTTGCATTGATCTTCTTGACAGTGGGACCTGGATCAGCAACTCGGCATGAAAACCGACTCTGGCGGGTCCCATTCCAGTTTCAACCATTCGTTATTATTCATTACTCATCCACAGATCCGAAAATGGTAAGCTTGCGAGAAGCCTCCACCCCAGAGGGCCCGCTCTTTCTCCGCCATCGGACGCTTCTCCAGCCCTTCCAGTCTTTTTGGAACAATAATAATCAGGACAGGAGGAATGGAGTCGATGGACGGGCTGTAATTGTGGAGGACTACAAGGGTAAAAAAACTTCTGACTGTCATGGGGTCGCCCAGAAATCGACTGTCTCCATTTATTCTTCCCCTTGGCCCAGCCCCAGGTCCCAGACTTCCAGGCACACGCTACTCCGTTCCCCGTACTTGCCTCCAATCGTTTTAGGTACGGTCGGGAACTTGGGGGAGCATGAAGAAAGGGATCCGTGGAGGTCCATTGCGGATTTGTTAATGCGGGACCTTTGGGGCGGTTGTGTACGGAGTTGATGTTCTCCATAATATGATGTACTGCAAGTCGCTAGTGACTAACGTTACTCCGTACTACTGTATGACTCTGCAGGTTCCGTACCTACTCGGCGTATTTCGGAAGTTTAAACGTCGAGGATTGCTGTCTGTCCTATCGGTCCGGGGTCGATGGTGTGATGATTGATAGTTCACAATGATTGATGGAAGAGATGCATGGTAGGGATAATAACTTAAATTCCCAACAGAAGGCTTTACCATACTAACTAATGTGCATATTAACCTTACATAGAGTCCATGTCAAACTTTCTGAAGCATGAGGATCGACTCCGTGGCGGTGGCTATACAGCCGACTTGAGGCCCCAGTTTGGTACCAAGAAATACGCCACGGTAAATTACCACATTTAGTGTGATCCATGACACACACGTACTCCACTGGTAACCCACGAAGAGGATTTTTTTCGTTGAGTCTTTTTTGTGTGGTTGTTAGAAGGAATAGGAGGCAATTCTTGATATTGACAACCAATGTGACTTTCCATGAACAAGAGTGACTGTGTTATAAATCATGAATACATGAATATAGAGGTATAATTTCAATTCGAACCGGAAAAGTTGCATCGGATACTCGGCACCGTAGCGGTTCCGAAGGAAGTAAAACGAGCGGGCCGAGCACTTTTTAGAGTCTTGCGAGGGAAGTCCAAGGAACCAGTCAAGAGCCAGCAACCAGCCCGGAAATCTAAACCCTTTCAAACGTAAGCAGCCAAGGGACTCGTGCAACTGCCACGAGAAGTCAACCTGAACCAACGAAACAGTAAGAAAAAAAAGGAAAACCAGGAAAATTCGCCGTTTCCCACTAATCCGACTTCGGCGACTGTGACGCCAGTCCTCCACACTTCGAATGTGGAAATGCCTCTCGTGTGGGGAATTCTTGCCCGTCTGGGTTTAGTGAATCATCCCCAAGTTCATGATTTGAGGATTTTAAATGGCTTTTATTATTTTTCAGTCTGGGATCTGCCCCAACCTAAGTTTCTGTAGGTTTTAGTTACTGGGTTCGTGAGTGGACTCGCGGGTGGACTCGAGGGTTTATACTCGTTCTTGTTCTACTAAGTCCCTCCGTAGAGTCCGTACTAGTCAGCCAGAAGAATAATATAATATTATTATGATTCTAACTCAAGGTACTCCAGAATTTCCGTTTATACTTAAACACTCCATGTCCCGGCCCCAGGCGCGGTATCCTCCCCAGACCCTCTCCACTCCTTCAGCTTCAACCTCTCCCCTCTACCTTCTCCTCTCCTCCATCCCACCCCCCCTTCTCTACTCTCTCCTATTGTCTGTGGGGCAATATACTCCCCTAACGAGTATCTCTCTAAACGCATCTGTCGGATGTGCTCCGATCGCCCCCCGATCATCATCTCATCGCCACCATCATGAGCAGTGCATCCGCCACCATGACCGACTCCGACTCGGGAAAACGGAAGGCCTCGGTCGCTGGTCTCTCCGCCCATAATCGCCCTGTGAAACGTCGGGCTTCAAAAGCCTGTTGCTGCTGCAGAGCTCGCAAGGTTCGCTGCGATGTGGTAGAAAATGGATCGCCCTGCACGAATTGTCGCCTCGACCAGGTCGAATGTATTGTCACGGAAAGCAAGCGAAGAAAGTTCGTCACCATTTCAGCTGATTCTAGAATGAAGAGAAAGAAAAAAAACAGAAAAATCATAATTCTATGTATTACTCAAAACTAACGTCGGGGTTTTCGGTTACTTGACAGGAAGTCGCGCGTCGACGTGGAAACAAACCACACCTCCGAGTCGCCTGGCGAGATCTCCGAAGAGAATCCTCTAGGCTCTCTGGGCTCGTTGCACGGTATGCCCGATATGGTGCCGACTTCGCCCTCGCAGAACTCGGTCGATATTGACCACGGGCAACATATGCCCCATCTACTCTGTTCGTAATTGTCCTGGGTCTTTTCAGCTTGGCTAAACACTAATATGCTCTGTTTTCGCGTCTTTGCTACAGACCAATCTCAGGCTCATCGAATTGGCTCTGATGATCTCTTCCGTCGTCGAATGGCTCCTAACCCGGCCGTTCCCTCGTCAATGCCTCTCGCCAATGCTACTTTGCAAATCCAGCAACTGCTTGATCCCAACTTTGCCAACTCCCGGACCGCTAGTGGCTTCCTACCTGACTATATCCGCGGCCTGCCTGCACGACTCCAGAAAGAGGATATTGACTATTTAGCCGCCAAGGGCGCCCTGACGATTCCCGATGTGAGCTTGCGCAACGAATTACTGAAGGCCTACATCCATTACGTGCATACGTATATGCCATTGCTGGATCTGGAGGAGTTCCTCCAGACTATTGTTCAGAATGATGGCATCCACCGCATCAGTCTCCTGCTATTCCAGGCTGTCATGTTCGCCGGCATGGCCTTCATTGACATGAAACATCTCCAGGCTGCCGGTTACCAGACTCGTAAAGCAGCCCGCAAGATCTTTTTCCAGCGTGCTCGCCTCCTGTATGATTTTGACTATGAGGTGGATCGAATTTCTCTCGTTCAGTCGCTTCTTCTGATGACCTACTGGTACGAAACTCCCGACGACCAAAAGGACACCTGGCACTGGATGGGTGTCAGTCTCTCCCTGGCCCACACCATTGGACTGCACCGAGATCCCGGCAACTCGCGCATGGATGTTCGTCGTCAGCGGATGTGGAAACGCATCTGGTGGAGCACGTACACCCGTGACCGACTGATTGCGCTGGGTATGCGACGGCCGATGCGCGTAAAGGATGACGACTGTGATGTGCCCATGCTCACCCTGGACGATTTCGAGTTCCAGAGCTTTTCTCCGGAAATCGTGAAGATGGTCGGAGACTCTGAGATCTTGCAGAATGTCAGCCACCAGCGAGAGCTGGCGTTGATGTTCATCGAAAAGGCTAAGCTGTGCCTGTGCGTTAGCCATGTTCTTTCAGCCCAGTACTCTGTGCTGAGCCACAAGTTCGGCGGTACTATGGAGACGACGATGATGCTGGTACCGAAGAAATCGACTGCCGAGACATTCGAAGTGCGACGATGTGACCAAGAGCTGGAGGACTGGCTGGCCAACCTCCCCGTGGAAACCCAATATTCGCCATCCGATGGCTCGAAGCTCTCCGAGGCCAACGAGGTGCTACACTCTCACCGTGCTTTGCTGAAGATGGTCTACCTCACGACTTCCAGCGCCCTGCACAGACCTCAGGTCCTCCCTGCGATCCCATATCCCTCCACAGACGCTGAGTTGCAGGAGATCTCCCGCAACAAGGTGCGGTTCGCTGCTGTGGAAATCACCAGCATCGCTCAGGACCTGCACGTCCTCGACCTGACTCGATACTACCCCACAACCGGTGTCACCGTGCTTCTCCCCGCGGTGATCATTCACCTACTGGATATCAAATCCAGCGACCCAAGTGTGCGCATGACCAGCCTCCAGCGCTTCTACCAATGCATGCGCATCCTCCAGCGCCTACGCGAGATCTACGCCTCCGCCGACTTTGCCACCTCCTTCCTCGAAGCCGCCATCCGCAAGGCTGGCATTCAACTCACCGTCGCCCCGCAAGACGTGCAGTCCTCCCGCTCCCGCTCCAACCGCACCACTTCTACAACCGCCGCCTCCACCGCCACCCCTTCGGCTTCAAGCAATGACCCCTTCGACATCCTCTCCCGTCCCAACGCCCTGACTCCTCCACCAGACTCCTTGGCCCAAAAGATCCCCGACTTGACTTACCCCAAGCCCGGCCCCGCGACTACCCGTGCCCAGCCAACCGTCGACCTCTTCGCTTCCACACCCCCACACTCCGACGGCAGCGAAAACGGCAGCACGAATAACCTCAATCCCAACTACGCCTCGCACGATGCTTTCGCTGTCCCAAACCTAAACTCAGAAATGAGTCTCACCGAATTAATGGATCTCGCTAATGACGCCGAAGTCACTCAAAACGACTTTGACGCTCTGATCAATTTCGATGATGCGGGAAATGATTTCTTCTCTGAGGATGTCCAGCAGCAGCAACAACAGCAACAGCAACAGCAGTCTGGTGTTGGCGTCGGCGCAGAGGAAAAGGCCTATGAATTCGATATGAAAGCTCTGGGCTTTGATACCGAGCCTAAGGCGTTTGATTTTGCGCATTTGGCGGAGCCGCGTTTGGGGGAGCGTGGCCTGGGCGTTTCAGCCGAGGCTCAGCGGGTTGGTCTGACGGCTGATTTGGATACGGATCTCGGGATCGGATTGGATGAATAATCATGCAATTCTGGTTCGGGACATGTGTCTTGTGTCTGTCTACGTCGGGGGCTGTTTTTACTCCCGTCTTTTCAGATGATTTGTGCTTTTTGAATGGTCTTTTAGCGGACTTTTAATTTTCTATCTGTTTTATTACGGAGAAAGATTGGACGAGGGTGTTTTTGATTTCTCCTTTTTAATTCCTTTTTCATGTTCTTTTCTCTTCTATGTTCATATTCGGCGCTTTTGATCGGGTTTGGTCTTTTTCTTTTCTCTTTATTTTGTGACGATGATGACAATGTCTCGTGTTCTTGTTGTATCTTGGACTGCTCGGGACCGGACTTGACTATGGATATAGAGGGAATTATTACAAAAAAGCACGAAGCAATGTCAATATGAATATATGATATCATCTGTCAATCTCTTGAATCTTCTACACTACGTATTTTCAGTCCTTCGGAGATCTAGGCTTGATCTGAATTGGTTTGTGTGCGACGTGCGCTCGCTGCGTGTAATTTTGCAATGTTTCAGTTACCTACTCCGCACTCTATACGTGCATGGTTCATATTTCTCCATGATCCCTCGGTATGTACACATTTGTTATGCATTATATCTTTGCATACAGGGCATAACCGATTAGCTTTATGTGAAATTAGGGTTCGATCATCTCGGCGATGCCGATGTCCACTCCTTCTTTCGGTATCACATGCTGGTTCCGGTCGGTGGTTTGCCCCGATGTCATCCCGCATGCCCCTGTGAATACGCCGATCACGCCTTTCGTCATACTTTACGGGGTAGATACTAGTAGATACGCAGTGAGCGGTTCTTGGCTAAGAATAATAATAGCTAGTGCTAGTACATACTAGTTTCTGCACGGAGTTTTCAACGGTTTCCAGCTAAAGTGTTGATGATCGCCAGGGGTGGATTTGGGTGGATGATTCGGTGCTCTATGGGGTTGAGAGTATGACTATACGTACTTACGATGATATTGTCCTGGTGGGTGCCTATTGTGGGGTGGGTTTAGTTTCTCTTCCCAGTATGAGTAGTGTAGATGGATTTGAGTGATCACGAGGGCCTGTTTCAGGTCCCTGGTCATGCAGTTGGAATTGAGTTTTTTGACCCTTGGTCTGATTGGTCTCGGAGATGTATACTGTTGTGATTTTTGTAGTTTGATAACCATTCCATGTTAAAACTAGGGGTCATTTCCTCTTAACTACCTTGTTCAAAATAACATGTTAATCTAGCAAGTCTGCTTGTTTATTCGATTGAATTGCGCGCCTTGGTTTGCAGGTCCGGAGATCATGCCTCCTCGACATTGTGAAAGGATAGTGGCTCAGAGATCTCTTTTTAGAGCCGAAAGACGAGATGAGCTCTTGAGCTCAATAGAATTTTGTCACTGATGTATATGTAACCACTTTACCGTAGAGATAAATATGTTAGAGGATCAGGCATTAGGTCGCCATCAATAAGTATTATATGCTTAAATACCTAGAGCAAATTTCAAATAACATAAAGAGACTGACAAACATGTTGTCTTTGCCGAAAATATGAATGGAATGACCGTCATTACTAGCTTCTCCGGATACTAATTCGAGTTTATATACTCGTCGTATTTGCATATCCGCCCAGCGCCAGACAGTGAAGCTATGGAGTTCAAATAAAATTCTGAAATTGGGTAGGACAACGTAAAAGGCTTCCTGCTATGACTTGCTAAACAATATTGATAAACGCAGTCTTGAAGTCAGAGTGTCAAAGTCCAACAATGGATTCTTCCAACCCAACCCACACGGCTGCCTACTACTTCGCAAGCCCTAGGCGACGCAGTCTTGAAGTGAGCCATTCAACAATAGGCGCTGGTTCAAATTCCGCCGGATCCACTTCGTTCTCTTCTGGCTCCGAGTCTTCTTCGTAGGAACTCTGGATAACAGTGGTTGTGATTGTCGGATCTTTGAGGCCAGAAAGTGAAGGCGAAGTGGGGGATGAAGGCCGATGTTGAATAATCTCCAGCAGAGTTTCTGTAAGAATCCCTGAAGAAGTGCTTTTTGTAGGAGTCTTCTCTGTGGGAGGTTGTTTTGCGGATCCCTTCTTCCCAGAACCCTTCGTGGATTCTTTCCCTGAAGGAGTTCTTTTTTAGGAGTCTTCTCTGCAGGGGCTTTCTTTGCGGAATTCTTCTTCCTAGAGCCCTTTCCCATAGAATCTTTCACTGAAGAAGTATTCTTCAAAGGTGTCGAATTTGCAGAACGCGGGCTGAAGTACTCTCTTGAAACAGGCGGTGGTAATATAACTTCCTCCGCGAGTGTACCCAGTCGACCGTCCTTTTTGTATGGGCTGAATTTACTAAAAAAGTCGCACCATTTGTCTAGGCTTTTCACGATGACATCCACTTTGATTTCGAGCCATTCATTATGTACCCGACCACACTTTCGACACTTTTTGCTATAACGCGCGTGGGAGAACTCTGCCAACAACAATTGCTCCACTCGTTGGGCGTAAGTCACAGGTCTGACTGCAATAGTTTCAAACGACCCAAGGCAGCGGTTGTGGGGTGCGAATCGCGACACTTCAGGATGCACTTTTGTGCATCCAATTTTTAGCATCCCATGGAACTCGGTATCATTAGGTGAGATAATATAAACACACCCGGTCAGCTTGCCTTGTTCCCCAACATTTTGCTCCAGTTTCTTGGTGACTTTCCGAGCCACTTCCTCCTCCTTTATCTCGGGGCAAAGCTTCTTGAACTCTGTGATCGTGAGCGATTGAGTAAGACTGGTATCTGATTTTTCTCCATCGTCGCTGTTGTCCTCGTCCTCATCTCCGTGGTTTATCCGTCCATAGTACTTTTCCAGTTCGGACAAAATCTCGATTCTCCGTCTCCCAAATTCCCATATCCATTGAGATCTCAACGATTGGTAGTGGATGGCATGTTCAACACAAAGGAGATGACTTGCAAGTTCATCGAAGACGTCTAACAATGCAAATGCGTCTTCACGTACGTCGAAACGTACCTCAGGGATGGAACGGATGGAGTCGAAGAGAGCCCTTCCCATTACACAATTGCCTTCGCTGATCTTACTGGCACAATTTCTGATGCCATTCTTGGATCCTGGGCGAAAAACGCATACTGGGGGGTCTGATTTGTGGATATCGAATAACAGCAATGGCAAGGAGCAAAAACGATCCTTTGCGGGTTCCATAATTAGACAAAGCTATGATCTCAAGCCGATAGCGGATGTCCTTCAGAGCACAAATGAATGTAAATTCTTGGTGAAGTCTCAGAACGAAATGAAGTAGTCGGCTATCTGTCCAGGGTAGTTTTCCTCTCGAGATATTTCGGCGCATTTGTATGGGACTCCTGCCGGCCTCCTCTCGGGTTTGAGAGCACGAAGAGGCAACACCCCCTCATCCAGGAGCGTCAATTCATGCAGCTAACAGGGGCTATCGGGCACAAATGTCCGCGTGAGCTTCCACGTCTTACTCTGACATGGGTTTGAGGCTGGCACCATGGGGCTATGCTTTAGATAGAGTCATCCCCACGTGGCAGGTGGGTAGGAAAAGCGGGGATTCCGAGGTCCTTAGATCCCTGGTTCGTGAATCAAATACGCACCTAGATGGCGCTTGTACATTATAGGGGGTGATAGAGGCACGTGCATGCATTGGTTCCGCGCCCCGACATGGGTTCTCAGCCGCTATAGCAAAGGATCGTTTCATTTATTCCGGTGGCCCAAGCCACGCTGAAAAGGTCCATTTTCCCGAAGACTGTATAGTAAATGATATGGAGCATGACCCGAGTGTAATTGGTTATCTTGAAAAAATTGCCCCGTCATGTTTCGGCTCGGGGTTGCCGTATACGAAATCGTACTTTCCTACACGGGCATTACATCTTACATCGGTTTGTAACTCCCACAAGCTTCCAAAATTATCTTATTAGACACGGGCATTAGGGAGTGAATATAATATGACGACTGAGCCATCAAGAAAAAAAATCCCTCAAAATTGTCCGAATTGGCCTGTCAAGAAAGTGGATGTTGGTGAATATCGTTGGACTGCTTGCCTGGCCAGTAGGCTCGGGATTTCGGACTGCCGCTGTACCCTGTACTTAAAGGAAGCCCGGCGATACAATCTTCCTAGACTTAATCAAGCAATAGCGGTAGTTTATAGTTCCCTAACTGTTCTTGTGCAATCTTGGAGCCGAGAGAAGAACAAGCGGTCAATTGTGCTATTCATCGAAGTCATTAAGACAAAAGAGAATTGTAAGGGATAAATGTCAGAGTCGCTGGAATCTCTCCAACGCAAGCCACCACTCCCCTAATTGACCGATTCTTTTAATAATTCTCAAAAGTACCGAGTCCGCCTCAATCTTCCATTATCAAGGTGAATTGTCGTCTTCTTAAGCAGCCCCCCTTCCCTGGGTATGCACCATGGTGTTCCCCCATCAGCAATGTCCAGTTTAATAGAACAATAAGGCTTCGAACCTTGGGGCTGGAAAATTCTGGTGGGTTTATTCAATTCAATTGTTCATCAGACAACTCTAAACAAGCTTTTAAACGGCACCACATGTCACATGCATAGCCCTTAACCTCTTGTGATTTAATATGATGGGTCTAGCGTCGGAATTGACTTTTTAAACCTTTGCATCGATATCTATGCTTTGTAGGTTACGAACCATGACATCAAACAAGCTAGATCTAAGTACAACAGCTTCCTCAGCAGCGGGTACGACGGAAAATTCAAAATTCAATGAAGTACTCGGAATTCAGTAAGTATATCACGACTCACAGAGTGGATCGTTTTGCTTGTATCAGTACAAAAAGGAACGAAAACCATGCCTTTACTTGTCCTACTTTAATTCCTAGCAATCTTTTCTCGGTACCCAGGAAGATCTTTCAGATCTTAGGTAATAGAAAAGAAATATTCAAAGATCTGATGCATAGCTACAGTATTGGCTAACCGTGGATCAAACTTAGCGACTGGTGCGTACAGGTTACACCCGGCTACCATCCGTAGTTCGCTTAAGGCCTCCTAGATATAATAATAGCATAGCTATCTATTACGAGACAACCCGCATATATGGGTTCTAAATGCGAAGGAATAAATTTTATCGACCATCAATAATTTTACCGACTATAGAAAATAGCTTGATAAGACTGTAGCTAGCGTAGGAGCGCTCATATGCGTCTAAGACATTGGCGATGCAGCAACAGCCACTCAGCTATCTCTCTTTCGACGAACAGTGCAGTATAATCAATGTAGAAATCTATGAATGCATTATAATGCAGGAGGAAATATAAGTGTAGTGGAAAAGAAGGCTTTCATTGTCAACTTTCTCGGGTTCTTTCAAAGCTTATCCCTGTTGTTAGCAAGCCATCGGGGCGCTAGGTATGGGGTATCATTGCTTGAGCGGTAATGCTCACTTTAGGAATGCGGCTTTGGGTGTTCATGACGTCGCTGATGATCTAAAGAGTGCTATATCTTTGATTATTGGGGCGCTCCTCGGGATGAGGGTTGAGCGTGCGATTGTGTCAAAGCGCAGTACTGGGGAGGCTTATCTAGGATCCTCTTCGTAAAACCCACCATTGCATCAAAAGTGTAATTTGATGTGACTTCAACAGCGATGTACTCGCTTTTACTTTTTCTGTATAGTATGTACTAACCAATTCCCTAATAATGGACCAAGAGGGGTACACAGACTGGTGGCGCGGGGACATGATCCACGGTTACGCCAAGTGGAGTTCAGATCGCGACTGACCTGAGCGGCTGCAGAGACCCTGAGAGCTTAATAATAATAACACAACCGATCAACGGTTCGAATCATCTCGAAGAATTTTGATTTCCACGTTGCATCCATAGCTGGCATGCGAGATCCGAAATAGTTATCTCCGAAGATGCTTCGTGTTAGAAAGTTCCAGCTCCTACGCTGCCACTACTCTTGCTGTCGTGTTCTGGTCTGTTGCGACTTAGCTTACTGACCACGCTCATTGATGACCTGGACGCCTCCTTCAATCTCTCTATTCATTATTCACATTCATTGCATCTACCCCAATCTGTTGATCCTGTAATCTGACTACTCACAAAGAAGCTGGAGCCGGAAGATCAAGATTCTGGCTGCCTACAATGATACGATGGCCATTGAACCCCACAGTCCCTTCTCCAATTTAGCCAACCGACCTATCCGCTTCATCCTCGGCTTAGCGATGTCGATCTTTCCCCTCACTCAATGCCCAAAGCTCGTTATCGCGTCAAATCAAGACCCTCTGCAAGCCTTGGTGGAGGCTTTGCCAAGCCTCTTCCGATTGGCTTGAATTGGGGAGATTTCTCCTGAGGAGAATTCTCCTCGTATAATGAGGCAGCGATGCTACCTTCCCCGGAGCTCCTGCGGAGATGGCTGGATTTGTCTCCACGATATAGGTTGGCAGTCGCTGTGACTGGCTGTCCAGCTCGATGGTGACTTCTTGGCTATATCCGCTTTGTTATCCTTGAGAGGAAGCTGGTGAATGACGATTGTCAGGGCACGGTTACCTCCGGCCTCATAACCTAACGCCGTTGGTTGAATGCCTCTAGACGAGACTGGCCGCGATTTACTACCTACTCCGTCAATCTCTTCCCCTCTTAGAAGTCTTATTTAAAGTCCCGTGGAGAGCCCCTGTTTCAAAAATTCATTGTATCATCCAGTTTGAGGTTGAACTCCTACACCTCCACCGATCGCAGAGGCCCCAATGCGTGTCCACGCTCTACTTCCATTGGCGCTGCCGCTCGTAGCAGCAGCGTCTGTGCCTCTTGGTACTGAGTTCGCTCGTCGCCAGCTTCCTAACGAACCTACTGGTGTCAAGACCATCAAGACTGCCAATAATGTCACCATTCGGTACAAGGAGCCGGGCAAACACGGTGTCTGCGAAACCACTCCGGGTGTTAAGTCATATGCCGGTTATGTTGACTTGGCTCCGGATGCGCATACCTTCTTCTGGTTCTTCGAGGCACGCCATGACCCAGAGAATGCACCAATTACCTTGTGGCTGAACGGTGGTCCTGGTAGTGACTCATTGATCGGATTGTTTGAGGGTTGGTACCAAGTACTCCATTATGGATGGAAATTGTTATATTGACTGTCGCACAGAGTTGGGACCTTGCAGTGTCAACGAGAAGAATGAGACCGTGATCAACCCTCACTCTTTCAATGAGGTCTCGAACATGCTTTTCATCTCCCAGCCTCTGGGTACTGGTATGGGCAAACATCAACATTTCACAGAATGGATAATTTCTAAAGCTACATAGGTTTCTCATACGCCGAAAAAGAAGCTGGCTCTCTTAACCCATTTACCGGAGTGTTCGAGGACGCGTCCTTTGCGGGTGTCCAGGGCCGCTACCCTGTCATCAATGCAACTATGATCGGTATGTTGTGGTTTCAAAGCGACACCGTGGGTATTAAGACTGAATCATGGGTTAGACACCACCAATCTTGCTGCTGAGGCTACCTGGGAAGTTCTGCAGGGATTCCTTGGTGGGCTGCACAAGCTAGACCCCAAGATCAAGTCCCGGAGCTTTAACCTCTGGACAGAGAGTTATGGAGGGTAAGTTCTCTTTGCAATTTCATTCTTTAACTGAAAGTCGGCGGTGCTAACGAAATGATAGACATTACGGCCCCGCTGTAAGTCGTGGCACAGTTTTGTTACCATGACATACCTAACCAGTCTAGTTCTACGACCACTTCATGAAAGAGAATGACAAGATTGCCAACGGTACCACCAAGGGCATTCAACTGGACTTCAATACTCTGGGAATTATAAACGGAATCATCGACGAGTCCATCCAGGCTCCTCACTACCCCGAATTTGCCCGCCACAACACGTACGGCATTGAGGCGGTAAGACAATGTCCTATCATATGGTATTCAATTCCATACTGATCAGGTTTTAGGTCAACGAGACTGTCTACAACTACATGAAGTTTGCAAACTCTATGCCCAACGGTTGCCAGGATCAAATTTCCTACTGCAAGACAACTAACCGCACATCGTTGTCTGACTTGGCAATCTGTACCGAAGCCGCCAACATGTGCCGTGACAACGTTGGTATGTGTATCCTCAACTTTTCATCACATTGAAGTGCTATATTTTAACTCTTGCACATTCCACAGAGAGCCCATACTACGTCTTCAGCGGTCGCGGTACTTATGACATCCGCCACCCATCCCAAGACCCCACCCCTCCCAGCTACTACATCAACTACCTCGCCAAAGACGAAGTCATGAATGCCCTCGGCGTCGACCTCAACTACACCCAATCCAACGCCGAAGTCTACTACGCCTTCCAGCAAACAGGTGACTTCGTCTGGCCCAACTTCATCGAAGACCTCGAAGATATCCTCACTCGGCCAGTTCGCGTTGCTCTCATCTACGGTGACGCAGATTATATTTGCAATTGGTTCGGCGGCCAAGCCATCTCTCTCGCAACCAACTTCACGCACAGCAAGGAATTCCGAGCCGCGGGATACGCTCCCTTCACTGTGGATGGCGTCGAGTATGGCGAAACTCGTGAGTATGGTAACTTCTCATTCACCCGTGTTTACGAGGCTGGTCACGAAGTCCCGTATTATCAGCCCGTTGCCGCGCTCCAGCTCTTCAATCGTACGCTGAATGGATGGGAATTGCCGACTGGTGAGAAGAAGTTGACCCCAGACTTTGGCTCGGATGGTCCTGCCACCGCGACGCATACCGAGTCATCGGTGGCTTTGCCTACTTCGGCTCCTACCTCAGGACTTTCTGTTGGAAAGAAGGGATTCTAATGGCGGTATGGTGATATGGTGATCTAGATACGTACAATATCAATTAATCGGAAGGCAAAAGATCTTCGGAGTGCACAAAGTATATGTTCCCTGGTTATCGAAGGAAGAGTACGAACATTCATTGTAGACTGTATGTGAAGAATAAAGAAGACAACACTTTCAAAGTCCGGTGAGAACAAAGCAAGATTATACAAACAGTCAAGATTCAGACGTGGTCATCGACTCTACTACCGGGTGGCCATGCAAGTTGAGACATAAGAACCCAGTAAATAGATTCACCAACTCCATTGACTGTAATTACAGTTTTGCTACCTAGATCTCAAACGTATCATGCGGTATGTTTTGCGGCATATCAGTTGGATCTATATCAAATTCAAATGTGATGTTCCATGAGAATTCGGGAATCCTTTTTGAATATGTATGTGCAATGAATGATTATCTGGTACTCAAACATGACCCATGGGCATCTTATGAAAGTGCCTAATGGCTAATTATATGAGATTCTCCAGGTCCAATGATCGTGCTTGGCGTGAAACAAACTGGCAACCCAGACGACAACAAGATCGGGATAACATGCACCCTACAGTGCTGAGATGTGTGGCTTTGCAAAACAAACCCTGATGAATCCAACAGAATCAATTCTCTCCACCCATTGGACGATATGGTATATCATCAATCAGTCTGATGTCGGACACCAGTCGTAATTGCCATCTGCGTTGTTGCCCCACCAAGTCGGGAAGTTATGTGCTGATCCTGCAGCTCCAAAGACAGCAAACGAGAGGATAAACAAGACAGTCAAACTAGCACCGTCAAAGGCACCGGTGACAAGGTATGAATAGTCCTTGAAGATCTTTGGGTGCCAGTTTCGAAGGTAGTATTGCACGTAGAATCCGGCGATGACCCAGCTGTAAATCACACAGGTTTGAGATTGATTGTAGGGTAGATATCCCGCATATTGGATAAACTGGGGCATGTTGATTTCCGAGACATCAAATTTGCCAATTTTGGGAACAAACTAGAAACGATTTCAGTGTAAGGAACGAAAAGAATCGTTGGTAATATTGGGCTCAAATACCTGGTAGAAGATTCGGTGGACTACCACAATTCCGGCGCCAATCAACATTCCCAAAGGAACAAGCTCGTATTGGCGACCAATCTTGTACAGATAAGAAGATAGGGCCCATGATGTCGCGTTTGTGTTGTATGCTTGCAAGGTAGCACCGCTCCAGGAAGAATTTCCATTACCAGAGGTAAGAAGCTCTTTGTTGCCCGAGACAATAGAAATCATGATGGCATAATTGACAAAAGCACCAAGGATAGTCCCGTACATTTGTGTCGTGAACATCACACGTGGGGGGATCTTGACTATACCATGGTGTTAGATAAAAAGGTCACAAATTGAGATATCGGGAAGATTGGAGAAGTACTCACGGTATTCGCCCATCTTCAGATCATTACATAAATTCACAACATTCATGATGACGTTGTGAGAGAAAGCAGCAAAGTACATATTGCCAACAGGCCGCCCTGGAATTAGAAGGCCTGCTAGCATCTTCGACAAACTGTTAGTAGCAATGCCGTTACCGTAGCGAGAATACAGAATTGTACTCTAAGACAAATATTCCAGTTAGTCTCGATCCAGTAAATTGGAGATCAACTGGTTGAAAACTCACAAAGGGAGCAACGATGATTCCACAGACTAGTGAGATGATATAGGCCCACGCTGGCAACCCAATGTCCTCTTTAAGAACTACAACAAGACCAAGGAAGAAACTTCCGACCAGAACAATCACGTACCACCACCAAGGGGTCTCCTTGTAGTGCCTGGCCATATGTTCGTGGTGACGATCGTCGAATCTACCTGCTCTCGCACTTTTGTACGCCCGCTTGATGTCAGATCCCCAGAAGAGAATACAATGGACGATCAGAGCGCCAATCTGTAGAAATAAAATTGTTATTCAGAATATCCTGAGATCCAGGCATTATCACTTACTGCAGCGTTGGCCATAAACATGGCGAATGCAAATGTCCCCGACAATTTTGGTATACCGTACTTCTCCAAAGCAGTGACGTCAAGCACTCCACCAGGGAAAACGCTTGAGACAGGATAATGTGTGCCATTTGCCGAGAGTAGCTTTGTGGACATGAAAGGTAGCGACTGCGCATCCCAACCATTCCCATAGTATATACCAGCCATAGCTACCAGGCAGGCCACAAAACCGACAGCTTGGTGAATTTGAAACTTGAGAGGAAGAGCGGTTTGGAAGGAGGTGATCTTCACAGTTTATAGTCAGCCTCAACGACCCAATAAACAAAAAGAAGACAGAGAAGGCATTGTGCTTACATATTGCCAATCGAAGCTAATGGAAAATAGGCCCATGCCCTCATTATTAGTTGCTCCACCGAAGACGTTGGTCAGGACTGCCGCCGTGTTACCAGTAGCTTTCTGAGCAGCTAGACACTGTATTAATTTCAAGGACGTTAGTCAAAATACACACTTGGAGGTAGATTTAAAGATCACGTACGGGAATCGAAACTGAGTTAAGCCACGGGAAAATGTAGGCGGGGATAGTCTCGTAAAAAGCCATGCCGCCAAAAGCATACCAGAAGTATCTTAGAGGCCTGGAATTCTTCACTTGTTGCCAATGTAACCCCTGCAGGGTCTTGACAGTAGGCAGTGTGCTCCAGTAGACAGCTTCGACATGCCACACAGCAATAGGACGCATCAGGCCACAAAGACCGTAGCCAAACAGACCAATAGAAATAATACTCAGAATCACTGTAACCGGACTCAACGTCATGTTATAGAATAGTTCCTGTGCTGCAAACACTTCCGAGGTAGCGGCGGCATTCGAGGCAGAGGTGGCAGTGATAGCACAGATTGCGTGCTCTTTCAAAGTCCATTGCCCTGGGTTAATAAACTTGATGACCGTAATATAGAAAGGGAGTTTGCCTTGGCCCCCTTTCTGCATCCAGCGAGCCTCAAACTTATCGCCACGAGGAAGAAACTTAGCCCACGCATTCCCAACAAAGTATGAGATGAGGACAATGAAAGTCCCTTGGATGGTGATAGCAGTCGGTTTAAACTATTGACTAGTATCAGCGTTGGGATGGACGAGAACAATCGAGCCATGAGCCCCTCGGTTACCCTTCCATCAAGCATATAACTTACCATGTAAATCTGGTTCATCACTGCCTGGAAACAGGCTAGGATGGATGCCAATAACATACTGCGAAAAGTCACAGTTTGCTCAAAGTCATCTCGAAGTGGTAGAAGATGCTGGGCCGCGTCGGCACCACTGACGATAATAACATCATCGCTGTCACGGTCGTTCTCTCCATAGTGTTCAGCCTTAGCGACATCAGGTTCTTCCTCTGAGGTTGATGTGATAGCAGTCTTTTCATCAATCACATCCTGACTAGAAACCTCAAGCCCCTCGGCTTTTGCGAGGTAATCTGCCATGACTAGTGAACCGATTGAGTGTCCAATGGAGGGATCAGACGGTTGTTGAACTAGTCAGACCTTGTTTCCCTCCTCAGCGCGAAGGGGTGTAACGCAGAGGCCGAAAGCCTTCCTTTATACCCCTTTGGAAATGGTGTAATTCGCTTTTGAATGGGCCAAAAGGATTTCCGACCAATATGAGATGACCACTCGGACTCAGCGAGTAAAAACCGGGATAACAAACGCCTTTCCACTCGATTGTTATATCCTGGCGCCAACCCAGCCTTTGTGGCAGTTTTATGCAATATGTAGTGAGCTTTGAGACATAGTGCTAGACGAATCAAGATGCATAATCTGCCGTACGTAAACCTTATTACTGTACGGAGTATGTTTATCAGGATAACTAGTCTACTCTAGTACAGTACCTCGGACGTCCGTGCACTAATGCACTAATGGGTGACATCCATGTCGTGATCGTCTCGGGAACTATTTCCCACATGGTGTACAAAAGCTTGGCCTGAAAGTGGTTCGAGAACATTATGTTGGATTCTGACGCCATTTTCAAACTGATGAACGTTCTTTTATACTGCCCCATTTCATTTCCTCTTTGCGTGAGCAACTGAAACCACTGGCAACCCACGTTCCATCATGCCACTGGCCACGTCACGAACATAAGATCTAACTATATGAGAAATTATATCAGCAGAAGGACATCTACTGGGAAATCGCGGGGCAGTCCGGGAACTTATCTTAGATCCAGCTAGCTGCGCGATACTATAGCAATGTTGACCTAAGTGCGTGGCTTCGGCACGGAGTTTTGGTGAAGCCATTTTAAGCGAGACCCCGTGGCATCGCTCAGCCCGCTCGGTCGGCCAATCATATCCCTTGTAATTTTAACTTATAATGGGGTTAAGCTTATCACTACGATGGCACTCGTACGTGGAGCGGGCCGCGGGTGCAGACTAATGTGCAGACTAGTCCACAATAGGCATGTGCTTAAGGCACAGTCTCGTTCCATAGAGATACAGTAGTTGGCGAGATTAGCGGAATTTGCTCGAAATGGGCGGAGCGACCAGTACAAGAGCATCATTAACTTTACGATACTGCTCCATGCCATGCCCAGGCAACCCCGCCCACGGAGCGATGATTGGGGGACTACATAGGGCTTTATCACAGCCAAAGTCCAGAACATACAGAAGCTAGGGAAGATGATATACCAGAATATCTTGGGACAGATAAGGTTAGCCATCTATTCTTCGACGCTAATCTCTGTCTCCTTTTTTATCATCCGGCTTTAGCCTTTCGTTGGAAAGCACAAAAGGTTTTCTCGCGAGTATTTCCTAAAGTGGAAAATCCTCGATTCTTGGCCATCTGCGAATAACTACCTTGAAGTAAGAAGCTGGGCCAAAGCGTGTACCTCTTCTATTTTCTTCGCTCGGGCATTTTTACACCTTCCTTGTCTATATGTAGGGTTGTATTACCTCGTGCTAAGTTACAACCTAAGCGTCCCGTTCCACAAAGTCTACTTTCGTCTTAAATAAGTTTGTGTCGCGATCTGACTTTCAACGTTACCTTGGAAAGAGTGTGGACTTGCCCTTAAACCTCGAAATGGCGCGACTTGGGCTCTAAATTTCGAAAATTTAGACATGGTAGGTATATGGTGGGAAATGTAGCACTTCGCCAATACTTTCCTTTTGTAGGCGCATGAATTGACTGTGAGCCGTCAGTCGTTATTCCATGGATTATCCGTTTTGCGATATATATAGCAACTCTTTTTGTGATATCGCATCGGATAGAAAATTACTTAATTGGTTTCAACCCTGTGGTGGCGAACTTGATCTCAGGCCGAGGCCGAGCCTTTCGGGATCAGGCGGATAGATGGTCGGCTGTTGCAGCAATCAGTCCTCGGGCTCAAAGGACATTTGACCTCATCAGAAGGATGTGGACAATTTTAATGGTACATGCCGTTCTTATCGCAGCGAATGGTCGTGGCATTTCTACCTCTGATCGACGATGCGTTAGGGCTCTCTCTCTTACTGGCGGGTTCGGAGATGAGTTTTCAAATTAGAGTAAGACTCCTGTAGCAAACTCTTATAATCGAATTACACTAATCTGTAAGATTTTAATGCTACATAGAAAGGGTAAATACCTTTTCGCGCTTATTTCGAGTACGAAGAACCAGACGGCTAAACGCATAGATTGCGCAATATGTCAGCCGATGTGGCTAACATGGATAAATAGCTATAGTGAAGCTATCGACCTCCTATACTCACGAAATACATTTGTTTTTAGAAATCTACGATCACATTATTTACGTCAACTGTGCTCCCACGGCGCCTGAATTGTATTCAATCTCTTCGCCTCGAATGGATTTTTCGGGACTATGACATGGATTACCCCCATGGGACTGGAGCTGCCTTCGCGGAGTTAAGATGCTGGGAAGCTCCTCAAATCAGCTTCTGCACTTTTCAAGCGTGTCTTCTCACGAAGAATTTATATTAAGAGCCTCAAGTGATCAAAGAGTATCAAGCCTTGCAGGCAAGCGGAAAATGGGGTAACGCTCCATCGCCTACCCCTTGCTGGATAGAATGGACTTAATCGCTATCGACGAAACTCTAAATCTAGCACGTAATTCCCGGGCGCCGGCCATGTATATTGCCGACGAGGGATATGCGGCCTACGAGAAATGCCAAAATTCTTGGAAGCACTCATGTTCTTCGTAGATGAGGCGAATTTGGCAAAGTGAGACATGTCTGTTTCGAGTATACTACAGTATCAATCTTTTTCTCATCCTACGAAGCACGGAGGGCTGTCCGGTTTAGGCAAAAAACACTGATGTGGGGAAGGGACCGGTGATTCAGCCATCCCTGGAATCCAGTGGAAGGTCATACAAGTCAACTTGCTAGGAGGATACATGTGGAGATATGAAATCGTGAGGTCATCCCTGGATGACTTCTCTCCTATTCAGGGCTGGTCCTCAACATATCAATCAACTCTTGCATCGCAGTCTGTGAATTCTTTTTCCCACCTTCTCATTTCTTGTCTCCAACAAGAACAATGCGATCCTTTCTGTCTATTCCGACCTTGCTCCTTGGGGGCTTAGCTTGTGTAGTCAGTTCATCTGAACTCACTAAGCGGGACTCATGTGGGCAGTGGGACACGATCTCAGCGGGACCTTATACCATTTACCAGAACCTCTGGGGTAAGTCCAGTGCTACATCTGGATTGCAGTGCATTGGCCTGGATTACCAGGGTGGAGATATAGTCTCCTGGCACACCAGCTGGGACTGGCAAGGAGACCCAGGCAGCATGAAGTCTTACGCAAATGTTGGTTTCAATTTCAACGCAAGGCAACTGAGTTCCATTCAACATATCCCAACCACTTGGCATTAGAGGTAAGAGACTTCAGCTCCTTTTATATATGCCTCTTGAGTCCGTAGCTAGTGGAGGTAGTGGCTGATGTACTTGCGCTTTGCGCTAATAGTTACTCCGGCTTAAATATCATCGCCCATGTTTCTTATGATATATTCACCAGCTACTCTCCCGGCGGCTCTTCGGCATACGAGATCATGATCTAGGTTGCTGCCATTAGTGGAGCGAGTCCAATTAGCAGCACGGGTTCACCAATCGCTACGGTTACGATCGCTGGCATTTCGTGGGATCTCTTCAAGGGCCCGAATGGATCCACTACTGTTTTCAGCTTCGTCGCTCACGGCGAGCAGACTTCGTTCAATGCCGACATTCTCGACTTCTTCGAATATTTGATTCATAACCAGGGTTTGCCCTCTTCCCAGTATGTGAGCGGAATTGCCGCTGGAACCGAGCCGTTCAGCGGATCCAACGCTCAGTTGACAACTGGCGAGTATGTCATTACCATCGCGTGATGGAAGTGTTAGCACTCTGGGTCTGGAAGGATAAGTGGCTTTTACGGACTGCGCTGCGAATTGTTTGGAGATTCTCATCCTTTCTTGTCAAGCTAGTCTGATATTCCTGGCTGCTGCGGCTTTCCAGTTGGCGGCGGCGGGATGACCACCCTTCTTGTTTCATTCCAATCTTTTTTTCGTCAGCTCGCAGATAGCATTGACAGCTACTATCCTTAAACAATGGTTATTTAATCGGTTGATGCCATTTACGCGGACCCTTCGCAATGAAGTTGGATTATAAACCACAGCCCACTAGGCAGAGTACGGATTCATATTTTGACCAAGTTTGGTAAAGAAACTATGAAAGTTGGATCCCAGATTAAGTGGAATATAGATATAACTAGTAGTGCCAACCTATTAGGCTCCCACCATCACCACTATAGGTAGAAGGCAGCTACTATGGCTACAAATAGCTACACCTACTTGCATAGTTAGATCTTCATACTTGTACCTCAATCCAGAGTTTCAACTTTCGTTGCCGGGGTTCAGCGTAAATGACATCAACCAACCAACCAACCGAATGTATTCAGTACCTCGAAGTTGAAAGGATTCTTGAAATTCGGAGTAGGCCATCGAACACCGAGTAGTGGGAAGCTTGTGTTCTCACGAGGGGTGATTGGACAGAGTTAATTAGTGGTTTGAAAGGGTGACAGCACGAACCTTTAAGCTTCAGTTTTTCTGGCATCAACGCTCGCTGCTAGTTATTTTATAAGGCTAGTGGGTCATCAAATACCCCGAAGACCACTCAAAATAAAGAGAGGGGAATATTGCTGTTGATCTTAACAGTTCCTAGACATGCTCGATATTCCTCAGCTTCAGGTTCATTCAATTAAGTCTCTCAAATAAGCCATTCATTGAATATATTGTTGATATCACGTACCTAAATATGCTCGCTGCTCTTAGGCTTCGGGGCTTTCATTATTGTTTTCTCGGCAGCAAGCAACGTAAATCGTCTTACACGATAACTTGGTGATGATTGTATAGGCGACACGCGGTGTCTGCCAGAACATTCATCTTAAACTCTACATGATTAGATGAAGAGGCACTGAAGGCAGTCCCACTACCTTCAATGGCCTGTTATTGCTCTAGCAACCAGAACTAAAATTCTAGTAAGATATATGACGACATGACCACAAAATCGAGGCTGGCAGGGACGAGCCTAGAGGCCTCGCCGAGGATGCAATGAACAGAGCCTCCTCAACCACTTTTCGAGCGTATTAGAGAATAAGCACGGCGTACGACCTCGGCATGTAGTAGTGCCACCACCCCACCCCGCGTCCGCATTAACGAATATAGAGGAAGGAGTCGAGGAACACGACACCAGGGAGCCTGGAACAGTACGTATCCGCGTTAACGGCCACATTGGGGTGGATTGGAGGAGCGGGAGTACACATGAAAGCTTTTGGGGTTTGAAGGGATTTCTACCCCATTTGATCCAGCTTTCCGACTAGCTACGGTTTTCTGCTGGCAAATCGGGCTGTCGCCTAGCAGACTTGAGAATGATTTAATCAAGCAGCCAATCATCTGTTCACATTCCAATAGATAGATAATGGTAGGGTTCTGGATGCGCTCAGGATATAATTAGATTACAAGAGTTTAGAAGCTTAGGTAGACTCTTTCCCTGATGGCCTTCTCACAGCCTATCCCGTGCGTTAACTCCACACTCCACCCTCAACAAGCCCGTACCTCCGCCTATCTCACGAGGGTCAAAAGACCGGGCTGGTAAGGCAAAGAGTTGTAGTCGCCACCAGAGGATGTGGACCGTCCCTGATAAAGGAACTGCAGGTTGCAGGCATCGATACTCATCGTCTCGTCGTTGGTACTGCGAATCAGGTCTCCAGAGCTAATATCGTTGGTCCAGGAAGCGTCACTGTTGGCTTTGCCAGCGAAGGGAGCGCTTTCAGTTGTAGCCTGAGGGGTCCACACACCGCCTAGGCTGGAGGCCGTGAACGACCGGAAGTACCGCCCATTTTGTCCAATCGCCTCAACAATCATGAGGTATTGGTTTTGCCCTGAAACAGTATAGACCTCAACTGCCTCGAAGAGATTCTCTCTGGTATCGCTCAACACCACAGTCTCTGTAGAGCCGAAGCTGCCAGGGAAATCTCCGTAGGGCATACTGGCCCGATAGATATTGCCATTATCTCCAGCAAAGAATAGGTACATATTTGTACCGTCGCCGATAATTGCGTTATCGAGGGGAGCAGAGTTGGGGATGCTTCCAGAGAAGAGCGATTGTGGCTCTGACCACCCATTTGCGTTGGTGGGGTCGTTTGATGTCCGGTAGCAGAATGGGGACGAACACCATTGATACGCGAGCACCCAGATGTTCTTCGGGGAGAAGTGGAAGAGAGTGGGTGCAACTGTGCCTGAACTCATTCCATTCTGCCAAGCCCATTGCATTTGATACCATTCTTGGAACAGGTTGAAGTTCATTGAACCATACGCCCCTCCTGTGCTGACGTCTGACGCATACACGAGATGCTGGCCGTTATAAGGAACATGAGTGAAGTCCTTGAGCGCGACCCATCCTGAATTCGGATTCGCTAGCGGGCCAGTTGATGTCCACTGATACGATGATGGGAGAGGGCATGAGGCGGAGACAACCGGCACAGCTGCCAACAGGGCGAAGCTAGCTGTCACTTGGCGGATGGCCGAGTTGGAAACCTTCATGGTAAATACTGTACTTCGACAAGAGCAGGCAAAAAAGGAGGGTCAGGGTTGAGATGATAGTACCAGAACCACAAGGTGGGCCATTGCCAGGTTTATACTAGGTTTATATGCAACGGCAACTGTAAAAGACTGGATACCTAATTTTCCGGGTGAGCTGTCTAACAGGTCTGCTGCCGTTAATCGGGAAAATAATTGAAAATTCCCATTTGGCGCTGCTGATCAAGAAAAATCGCGGCAGGGTTGCTTCTAATTTTATGATATACAGTTGAGGAACTGATGAAGGTTAGTACGCCGCCGCCAAGTTGATAGGCTTGTCTCCTAGTATACGGCAGAGCGAATGGGATCAAAGATATAGATACTATCCAAGTCCAAGTTTGTCATGTCTCAGTGTGAAACCCTGATACGAGAGCGGGTAAAAAACGCATAAGTTTTTAAACAAACCCCGACAGGCAACCCACAAGAGAAACTGGCAAAATCTGAGCTCTCGAGAGAGCCTCTCCTCTATTGGCCATGTTTTTCATCTCTTTAGCCACACTCTGAAGATCCAAAAGGTAACTACGGCGGGAGGAATCCGTTATGTACTTTGATTGGTTATGGCACCACGTGGTGCCCCCCTATAAGTGTTCATCTCCACGAGGACGAGCTGACTCTCGATGGAGGAAATTACCCGAAAATTACTTCCGAAAGCATAGAGCTGCCTCCGGAAGCCCCATATTTGAAGCTTTAGGCTCGAAAGTCTAAATAATCTACTCGGTAAATACTAAATAACCGTCAAAATGAGAAGGGGAAACGCGGGGATCTTTCGTATTCAATATCGAAAAGTTTCCACACCAAAGATCCAACAAAAAGTTCCATCCTTTTCGTCCACAGGAGCAAAACGATCAGCGGGATTTTCACAGTCTAGTTCGGATCATTTCTTCATTTGCGACTTAAATCATTGCGTCGAGCTACTATGGATAGTATCTCTTGGATCCTGTTATCGGGCTCTATCCACGACTTGAATCAATTGCCTTCGGGACTCTGATATTAAAACCCATGGGAATGACAGTCTACTGATCAAATATATCCCTGGAGAGGCTTCAGTGGATTCAGGCAGAAATCCCAAATGAGAGTGCTCTCTGCAAGTGCAGTTCCACATGACAATTTGAATAGGTATCGAGGAGGTGAATTTGGTCCTTTTTGTGCTTGAACTGGGGAAGGAATTTAAAGCCGAAGAATAGCAAACGGCATATCTTTCTATGAAAATTGCTGTGCGCAGAATGTTTGATCAGTTCGCAACTTTAGGATAGAGCTTGAATGTCAACAAAAAGCTCAAACAATGCTCTACTTGTTTGTATTACCGGTATCAGTATCCGAGGTGAGATTTTCAACATCATTCCTCGCATCCCTCATGCCGATTCACTGTGGCAGTTTCCACGAGGAACAGAATATAGTAACGCTTTCATAAGGCATAAAAGAAAAGGAGTACAGTTTAATTTTGTAAACATCGTCTCCAGTTCGTAAAATACCACGATCAACGTAATCTAGGTAAGTACGAATCCATATTTAAAATAGGGCAGCGTCTAGTGATAAGCGATGAAGTAAATACCGATGAAGTCGCGTCGTGGTATATAATAGCAGTTCAAGGTTCCTGGAGGGGGGCATATAAACGTAAGCTGGTGGAATAAGGTTACCTAACCCACCGGACCGTTCTTCCTTCTTAGGCTTGGTAAATCCCGTTGTAAACTCAAGACATTCCCACTCACTACTCTTTTCCCCCCTCTCTCATATTCCGCTTCACAAAATGTCGCCTCCAAGCTCCTGGTTCACCGAAGGTCATATGTGCCAAGCCATCCAGGTGGGCAACGTTATCAGCCTTTCCCACCCAAAGCCAAGCAAGTGGAGGATTCTCGAAGTCCTTCGTGAACACGACTACCAGAAGTACGAAACTGCCAAAGATCCCTCTTACGCCTCTGTCCAACTATCGTGTAATTAGGTCGGAGGCTCTAGAAGACGTTCGATGATGCGCATCGTTATGCAAGTCCCGTATCTCGGAACGGAGGATAAGGACAAGGACTCGGCTACACGGTCAAAGCAAGCGACGAAATTCAGGACAGCGGAATTTCGCGCATTTTTGACTTTCGAAAAACAAGTTTCAACATGCACACACACCTCCCCTCCTTGGCTATCTTGAGGATCAACAGGACCGCTTTGGGCCAGTTCCCGGCGGCTTTATCACATACTACGCTTGGGAGGCTATGCCTGGAATACGCCTTGGGGATTACACTGGGAAGGCTACTCGGTTCTGGACCTTAGATAAGAAGGAGCGAGAGGAAATCCGCGTTGCTTTCCGGCAGATCTACTTGTGAGTGAATTGTATAGACTTGATAGTATATATTACTAACGAAATCTAGGGAAATTACATCAATGGGTATCTGGCCGGATTCTGCTGCCGCTACGAATCTAGTGTGGAACTCGGAGACTAAATCCCTGTAAGTATACAGCGTCTAATATTCATAAGATTATAAAGAGTGGGCTAATACTCTTTGTAGTACCTGGGTAGGGTTCTGGAATTGTAGGGCCGCCCAGCCACAGCCCTGGAAAGATTGGCGATTAGCACTCTTCGATTTCGTCAAATCACCCGATAATTCATGGACTGATCCAGATTGGAATGGCGATACTTCCAAGTGGGAATACTAGTTCCTACTAGCTATCATATGGCTTAAGAAAAATAGCTCTTCAGAACATCCAGTCTTAGCTTGTCACCTTCTACGTTTAGCTATTTAAATGGAACCACCTTTTGATCGAGAATCAGAAGGACAGTATGCTTCTCGTCAAACAGAATTTGTCTATCGAGTAACTTATTACAATATAGCTTGATTTCAGGTACGTGCCGAGAAACACTGCGTGTGTGGAGGGTACCGTCACGACAATAGCTCTATCACACCAAAGCGAATCCCGAGTGCAGATAGAAATTTGAAAAGTATATAAGACCTGACGGGAATTCTTCGTATCAAATCAAAAACCCCCACTTGTGGAGAGGAAGGAATCACGCCGCGTAAAAAATACATGGAGCCATGGCATCCATGGAATGCAAAGTAAGATAATAAACAAAAAACAGCACAGAGAAGCATCATGGTACAAGTGTGAGAAAGGAAAGCGGGTGGTGGAACAATGTGGTGATACATGTAATCAGCACTGCTACTGACCGCCCTCTACGCCTTGCTGCTTGTGTCCTGTTGTTCGGCGTGCGGCTTTTCGGGCGCCTCCTCCATGTCGCCTAGGACTTCGGCGGTAGTCTCGTCCGAGAAGCGAAGGTCCTCTTCGACATCGGTGCTTTCCTTGACCTTGAAGAAGATCACGGGTGTGGCGATGACCATACTGCCCATGAGGAGACCCCAGCAGGATGCGAACTCAGTCATAAATGGAGTCTTTTGAGCGTCCATGCTAGTAGAGAATTAGACGAGGGATATTGGTCCGTGGAACAGGTTGAACACTTACCGCCACATTCCCGCAGCACCGGCAGACTGAATGCCCTTGTAGAAACCGGCAAAGTTGGCCAGTTTGCGTGCGTTGTTGGAGAGAGAGCCCATGTACCTGAATCAACAGTGTTAGCCGGATGGAGTTACACCAATGCAGTAAGCGTCCACAAATGCGGATGGGTTACTCACCAGTAGGTGCAGGTCTGGAAAGCAGCATCGTAGAAACCATAGAACATGTACAAGAACATAGGACCGATGTAGTCGCTGTCCATGAAATCCGTGTCGGCCTTGACAGTTTCCCGGGTGTATCCCTTCTGGAAGACATAACCACCACCCCAGATGCCCAATGTAATAGCGATGAGGATACCAAAGTTGATCTTGGCGCGGGTCGGGCGCGAGAACCACTTCATATCCAGGAGCTGGCCGAAAACAAAGGCACCCACCATCTGCATCAGCCAATAGAGAAGACTGTTCAGAGCGCGGGTACGGACGGTGAAATAGGCCAGATTGACAGCGTTGAAGTGATAGCCGTAGAACCAGTTGCTGGCCAGGAACATGGGAAACATGAAGACGATATACGAGTCACTTCGGAGAGTCTCCCACAGTCCCAGAAACTCGGACTTCCAGGTTGGATTCTTGATCACGATCACGCGAGATCCGTCATTACGCTTGATGTACTTGGAATCGACGAGACCCCAGCACAGTACGAAGCCCACGGCCATCATGACCAGGAAGGCGATATAAGTGCCGTTGTTGACATTGCCTGCCGTGCTGTGGATGTTCTGGCCAAGAGGGACCTATGATCACCGTATATTAGTGCCTCGAGGTCTCCCTAGTTGGACAACTTTTGTAGCTCCAAGGTAACTCACCAAACTGCCAATGACACCGCCCAGGTTGAAAATCACCCAGAAGATGGCGATATACTTGCCCTTCTCGTGTTCATGAGGGTAACTCATCATCACCGCACCCTGCGCACACCACAAAAGACCCGCACAGACACCCAGCAAGGCTCCGGCGAAGATCAAAAAGCCCGCATTCTGGTTGATGTTATACGAAAGCAGAGCAGCGGTATACAAGAAATAACCAAATCCACCGAGAGACAGCGTAATCCGTAGACCAATACGATTGGCAATCGAACCCGCGAAGAATCCCACCACGGCAAACGTGCTGTACAGGGCCGTGTTGGCGTTGTTCACATCGGTCGGGTTCACTTGGCCACCACCACCGAGGCCAGTCACGGCGTTATACATGCCCGGGCAGAGGAAACACACAAAGGACACGAGATAGAGCTGCATATCCGGCGAGGCGAACCAGGGGGCTTCCCAATTTCCGATTTTGAAAAGCGGCTTGTACATCCACGGCTTGCCGACCACGGCATGGTCTTGTCCCGGCTCGGGATCCTCCATATCCAAGGGGGCGGGCTTCTCCCGTGCCGCGGACGAGTCCATGACTGGAGTCTGGGACTGTGATAGCTCCGACTCGGGAGGAGTTGTTGCCATGATTGTATGGGGGAGGAGGAGGAAGAAGAAGAAGACGAAAGACAAAAGAAGGAGAGAATAAACACAGGAGCAGATCGGGGATCGTGAGGATCAACAATGCCAATGGGGGCAGGGGTAAGAATGTTGATGTTTCTTCGTCTTTTTGGTTGGTTTGTTTCCCACGTGAGAGCGCTGCTCAATCCAAGGAAAGAACCAAGTCTCAAGAATGAAGGAGAGAGCAAAGAAAAATAAACAGCGCGAGTGGGATAGATAAATTTATGAAGAACAGAATGGTCGCGCGGCTATTTGGGGGGCTCTTTTTTTTTTCGTCAGAAGCTAAAAAAAAGTATGGAGACCACACTAAGACAAAAAGAAAATTTAGGTATAGCCGAGCTAGCTTTATCTTGTTTCCATCAAGAAGTACGAGAGAGGCACAGGATGAGACGCTGGCATCAACGGATCATACAAAATGGATCATACAATGGAGCATTACGGAGGCGAGGGAATTATTAACAAGATTTCTGCGCCGGTTATCACTGGAGAAACACGCTGTGGATATCTCTCTCTTCCTCTTTTTGCTCGTTCATGTGGACAGACCAATTGTGCGGGGAGTGGAAAAAGATGGAGACTCTGGAGAAATCGGAAGACTCATTGGAGGCGTGCGGATGGACCACGGGCCGAGGAGAGCCGGCCGATGGCGTCTGGGGATTCTCACTGGTTCGATATGGGGGATGGTGATGGAGACGGGCATGGAGAAACTCGGGCACGTTCTCTGGGCCAAAAAACTGGACAGAGCCAGAACAGACCCGAACACGACTTGACCTGGGAAGTTGACAAAGGAAGCAGGTAGAAGCGCCTCCCCAATGCGACCGCAACCAGAGTCGTATTCTGCCGCATGCAACTCTCCGCATGCGGGGGTCTGGTCTGGTACGGGACAGTACGGGTACTGGTTAGATTACAGAAATTACACATACGACACTCTCACACTCTCCCTTGGCGCAGTCCAGTCGTACGTCCGTCCCACTACAACGGGCCCAGTAGGATGGATGACTGGTCAACTACCATGGACACTACCCCATCCCCCCCCCCCATACTGGACTGTCCTGCGCCACTGCCGCGGTGCTTTTCTGCTGGTTCTACCACATCGGCATGCCGATGTCACCTCTGGCTGGACAATCCGCAGGTTACATCATTGTACAGCGCCCTTTATCTCTGCCACTGGGGACAACTACTTTTCCCCTCGACTCCCCTGGTACCTGGATCCTGCGCGACTGAGAACCAGGGCAAATTTCTCTGACTTGATTTTCCGGGTTTACTACTCTCTCGACTCCTCCTTGGCCTCGTTGATCGGCATCTCCGTTTACATCGCCATCTCGGCATTTACTCCCTCACCACTCCACTCTCACCTTCACCACTATCAATATTCATCATCGTCATCATCATCACCATGCCGGGCAAAACAACCGCTGCCAGTACTCCGCGCATCACCAAATTCACCAACTGCCGCCTCGTCCGGGGCTCCAGTCTGGTTGAACAGGATCTGTGGATCGACTCTCTGACCGGCAAGATCCTCAAGGACCAAGAGGCTTTCTATGAGCTGCACCTCTCTCCCGATGAGATCATTGATCTTGGCGGCCGCATCCTGGCCCCGGGTCTGATTGACACCCAGCTCAACGGCGCACAGGGTTTCGACTTCTCCGTCCCCTGCGCATCCAAGAATGAGTACGATCAAGGTCTGCGCCTCGTCAACCAGGGTCTGGCTCGCACGGGCGTGACCTCCTACCTGCCCACAATCGTGAGCTCCACCCCCGAGGTGTACTGGCAGGTAAGAACAAAAACAATCCCCTTCCCCAAGCCCTGTCACAAACCGTCTCTCCATCACAATATAAGCATTATGACAAGCATGAAACTAATGCAATCCCCCCACCCCCCAGGTCCTCCCCTCCCTCGGCCCCACCGCCGCAACCCACCGTCCCCAAGACGGCGCCGAATCCCTCGGCGCCCACGTCGAAGGCCCCTTCATCAACCCCAACCGCAACGGCGTCCACAAACCAGACGTCCTCCGCGCAGCCCAAACCTACGACGACCTCCTCCACTGCTATGGCGCCTCCAACCTCACCCCACCATCCCCCCACACCTCCCCCATCAAAATGATCACCGCCGCCCCAGAAGTCGGCAACATGATGGCGCAGATCCCCCACATCGCAGACTCGGGCATCATCTACTCCATCGGCCACTCGGACGCGACCTATGAACAGGCGGTGTCAGCAACGCACCAGGGCGCCCGCATGATTACCCATTTGTTCAACGCAATGCGTCCGTTTTATCACCGCAACCCGGGCGTGTTTGGGCTTTTGGGCCAGTCGGAGCGTAGACGCCCGTTTTATGGCGTCATTGCGGATGGGATTCATTTGCATCCGACTTCGATTAAGATTGCGTATAATGCGTATCCGGATGGGTTGGTGCTTGTCACTGATGCGATGCGGTTGTGTGGTTTGCCGGATGGCGTTTATGAGTGGACGAATGGGGAGCGCATTGTCAAGACTGGGGCGCGGTTGACGCTGGAGGGGTCTGATAAGATTGCTGGTTCTTCGGCGACGCTCATTGAGTGTGTGAATAATTTCCGCCGTTGGTCCGGGGCTAGTACCGCGGATGCGATTAATGCTGCTACCGCTGTGCCGGCTCGCTTGTTGGGATTGGAGAAGGTGAAGGGGTGTTTGGATGCGGGTGCTGATGCGGATCTGGTGGTGTTGGGCGAGTCGGATGATCCGTACTCGGGGCCTACGTTGACGGTTGATCAGGTGTGGAAGCTGGGTGTGAAGATTCATGATGCTGATAAGACGGCTGCGGTGGCTGTCTAGGGGGAGACACTTGTGCTCTCGGTTTTTTTTTCTTTTCGTTCTCAGTGCGGTTCATGTTTCTTTCTTATCTTTTTCTTCGGTTTTTCTCTCGTCCAGCTTTTGCTGGGCGGATATTCTGCGATTTGGGCTTCGGCGTTTGGATTTATTTTGCATTCCCGTGGCATAGAATCATATTACCTGCAGAAGCACAAGAACTAGCAATAAGTGTATTTCATATCTCATAGAACAGAACTTGATGTTCAAAAATCAGATTACAAATGGAGATTCCAACATTCATTCATTTACGTAAAGATCAAGGAAAATGTGTTTTTATGTTTTTGTTTGTATATCCGTGCAAACTTCCAAAACATGATATGACATCCCAGTTATATATCCAAAACTCTGGAGAGTACCATTCAATTGGTGATGACCTCCCCCTGTTCAAGATATCGTACGGGTAGGTGGTATATATATACGTGCATATGGTCCAAAATATCAAAAAACACCGGGTCCGTCTGGCGGACCTCCTATAGACCTGGGGAGCTCCCAAAAGACGAGAGTAAAGAATCCACACGCCTGCGAGGTGAGACTCCTTGTTTCATCTCCCTCTGATTTCCCCGGAGTCCCGGCGAAGCTCCTGTGCCCGCTTACTCTCGCTCATATGCTAAACACAAAACAGAACAGAAATGAAACGAAACTTTTCATGCGCGCATCGGCCTGGGTCAATCCAGGATGCCAATGCCCAGCATGAGAACGCGAGGCGCCTTCCTATCTTCAGTCACTCGTACCGGAGAGAGGAATTTACAGACGGGGCTGCGAGCGGGTCCAGCCAGACTCTGCGGCGATCAGCTCCGCGGCACGCTCGCCGATAGCCAGAACGGTGAGCATGGGGTTGATCGTAGGCATGTCGGGGAACACGCCGGCATCGGCAATGCGGACACCCTTGAGACCGCGGATCTTCAGGGTCGGGTCCACGACGGCCAAGGGGTCGCGAGTCACGTCACCCATCTTGGTGGTACCGGCCGGATGGTAGACGGTGTGCGCAACACGGCGGCCGTACTCGGACAGCTCCTCGTCAGTCTGGATCGAAGGGCCGGGAGCAACCTCCCGCTTGATCCACTCCTTGAAAGGCGACTGCTGGGCGATCTTACGGGCCGCTTTGAGACCATAAACGACGGTGGCGGCATCGTAACCCTCGGGATCGGTGAAGTAGCGGAAGTCCAGCGCGGGCTTCACCGAGGGATCCGAGGAGGTGAGGTACAGACGACCGCGAGAGCGGGGGCGGGGAATGTTGGGGGTCATGCAGAAGGCGTTAATGGGCTCGTCATAGCCGAGACGGGCGGTGTTGAGAGTAAAGGGGATTTGGTAGCAGTGCATCATGATATCGGCGGCCCGGCCGTCGAATCCAGCTGCGTTGGGTTCCTCGCGGCGCAGGAAGATACCGGCGTCAGAGTCCATGGTGGTCTGGTTGGGGGGAACGGGGTAGTTGAGCTCCCACATGATGATGCTCTCCGGGTGGTCGAGCAGGTTCTCGCCGACACCGGGAATGTCCTTGACGACGGGGATACCCAGAGCAGACAGCTGCTCCTTGGGTCCCAGACCGGACAGCATCATCAGACGAGGGGTATCGACGGCACCGGCGCAGAGGATAGTCTCCTTCTTAGCGCGGAGAGTGCGCTGAGCACCGGACTGCAGGGTCAGGTTGACACCAGTGACGGAGTCACCCTCGACATTGACCTTGGAGACCCAAGCGTTGGTGAGGATGGTCAAATTGGGGCGCTTCTCGTCACCGCGCAGGATAGGGTGGATATAGGCGACGGAGGCACTGCTGCGACGGCCATCGTCCGGGTTGTATGAGACGTTGAAGAAACCAACGCCCTCCGTCAGCTCACCGTTCCTGCGGATGTCTGCGTTGAAGTTGTCAATGACGGGAATGTTCATGGCGTCGGAGCAGGCCTGGACCCAGTCCTTGCACAGCTGGTTGCGGTGACGAGCGTGCACGGGCTGGAAAGTGTTGCGCAGGCCATCGATCATGCGGGTGAAGGTCTCAAAGTCCCAGCCCTTGCAGCCCTTGGCGACCCAGTTCTGGCAGTCATACTCGAAGGGGCGGAACGAGATCAGAGTGTTGTGACTGGAGCAGCCGCCCAGGACCTTGGCGCGGGAGTGGCGGATGAAGCTGTTGCCTATAGATCGGATAGTCAGTACAGTTGTTGCAATTGCGATGGCTTGTGGCTCCTCTACATACCATTGGGCTGCTCGATGGTAGGGTAGTCGTAGTCCAGCTCGCCGCCCAGCAGGCTCAGCCACTCCTTCAGGTTGAGCACGCGGTCATCTGTGAAGTCGCTGGGACCACCCTCGATGACGAGCGTGCGCTTGTTGGGGAGGTACTGTGCCAGGCGGGCCGCAATCACACAGCCAGCGGTACCACCACCAACGACGATATAGTCGTAGCTGTCCACATCGACGGCAGGGAGATCGTTGGTAGTCGCCATGTTGAATCGTTGTGAGGAGGATGAGGGGAAAGAGCGGAAGATAGTCAAGGAGAAAAAGAGGAGAAGATGGGGGAGACCGCCTCTTGGTTTTAAAGGTCTTGGATGGGGATGTGTTTGGGAAGTTTCTGGTTGGGGCCACCGAAGTTGAAGGAGCGGGTATGGTCTGATGGTCAGATCGGGAAGGGGGAGGGGTTGTTCTGCAGTTGAACCAATCTCTTTGGATTTCTCTCGACGGAGTACCTTAATTCGGGCGTGCTTTTGCCCGTCCTTTTTTTTCTTTTACACAATTTTTTTTCTGGCCCGGCCGAATTGGCAGCTGTGAGTGGTGGCGAGGCGGAGAAAAGTGGATCCTCTTAGATAACCCACGGCCCACCGTTGATTCGAGTGCAGGATCTACAGGGCTACCGCGTGAAATCGAGATAGGACAAAACGACAATAAGAGAGACTCGATTGGTTGTCAGGATTGGATTTCCTAAATAGAAGCAGTGGGAAGAGAGGGGAAGATGATCGCCTGATAAGTCTTGTGAGTGATCCGAGGACAGGAGTATCGACTCCGGATCTGTTCTTGACATCTGCTTGAAAGTTGAAACGTCCCACCATCAGCCTCAAAGGAAACGCCCCTACGTCATCAATGTCTCCCCGCTTTGTGCCGGTCCACGATACTCTTCTTAGTGCTCTTTTCCCGTACCTTTAAGCCCTGCCGTACAAGAGTATGCAATAGTATGTACAGTATACACATTATTGCTGGGTTTTCATTTCAGCCCATCTCCATTTTCAGCCCTTTCAACTCCTCCGGAAATTACTCCCACGAGGCCACCAGCGAATCCCAATCTTCCTTGAACGCCCCTCTTTACCGCCACCGACTCATCGACGCGCCGAGATGCTGACACGCTAATGCACGGCGGCAATGCTAGTCCCAATCGGGGCAAGTCGCCGCGCTGACTCCACCCAAAGCCGCCGCGCTTTGCCGGCGCAACTCCGAAGTTTCCAAGGCGGTCATGCAGCACTGGGGAATGGCCACCAGCACCTCGATAAAGAATTACTCTCGAACCCAACAACCAACACGCAACTTGGATTTCCAAAAACTCTCTTTGATCTGTTAATCTGCGACCTTGGTGTGTTCCCGATAACAGCTCACATCCTTGTTCGCCATGTCCCTCCCCTTCCCAACACGTCAGCTCTACTACGACGGCCAGGTGCGCGCTGCTTCGTCCGGCAAGACCTTCCAGACTCTCAACCCCGCCACTGCAACCCCGCTGGCAGATATCCAGATTGCGTCTAACTCGGATGTCGACGCTGCTATTGCTGCTGCCGAGCGCGCATTCCAAGTCTGGTCAAAGACAACGTATATTGCTCGCGCCCGGATCTTGCAGAGGGCTGCGGCGTTGCTGCGCGAGCGCAATGATGAGATCGCTCGGGTAGAGACTCTGGACTCGGGCAAGGCCTTCACGGAGACGAGTACCGTGGACGTGGTGACGGGCGCCGATGTGCTCGAGTATTATGCCAACTTTATCGGTGGTGGCGGTTTGAACGGCGAGACGACACAGCTGCGTGAGGATGCCTGGGTGTATACTAAGAAGTCGCCCTTGGGTGTTTGTGCGGGTATCGGTGCTTGGAACTATCCTATCCAGATGTATGTCTGCCCCTTGAGTACTAGCAGAGCAAATTCCGCCCGCCAACTATATGATCAACCCGGATACTAATGCTGCTCGTCTTTAGTGCCCTCTGGAAGTCCGCCGCTTGTTTGGCCGCTGGCAACACCATGGTTTACAAGCCTAGCGAATTCACCCCTCTCCACGGCGAGACCCTCGCCCAGATCTACACCGAGGCCGGCCTACCCGCCGGTGTCTTCAATGTGGTCAACGGAGCCGGCGATGTCGGCGCCTACCTGACCAGTCACCCGACCATCGCCAAGGTCTCCTTCACTGGCCAGGTATCGACAGGCATGAAGGTGGCCGGCTCCGCCGCCGGCAACATGAAATACGTGACCATGGAACTGGGCGGCAAGAGCCCGCTGATCGTATGCCCGGACGCCGACCTCGAAAGCGCCGTCGACGGCGCCATGATGGCCAACTTTTACAGTACCGGACAGGTCTGCACCAACGGGACGCGCGTGTTCGTGCCACGCTCCATTAAGACCGCTTTTGAGAAGCGCCTGCTCGAGAAAATCGCATTTGTGCGGGCTGGCCCGCTCTTCGATGAACAGACCAACTACGGCCCCCTCAGCTCAGAAATTCACTATAACAAGGTGGTCGAGTATATTCGCCACGGTATCGAGAATGACCGCGCGACTCTGCTTGCCGGTGGACCCGGAAAACCCGATGTTCCCCAGGACCTCCAGGCTGGATACTGGGTGAAGCCGACCGTCTTCACCGACTGCACGGATGACATGCGCATCGTCAAGGAGGAGATTTTCGGCCCCGTCATGTCCATCTTGGACTACGATACCGTCGAGGAGGCCGTGCGCCGCGCCAATGCTACCGAGATGGGCCTTGCAGCGGGTGTCTTCACAAAGGACTTGAACCAGGCCCATCGGGTCATTGATCAACTCCAGGCTGGCATCACCTGGGTGAATACCTGGGGCGAGAGTCCCGCTGAGATGGCCGTTGGTGGATGGAAGAAGAGCGGTCTGGGTGTTGAGAATGGTCATAAGGGTATTGAGGCTTGGCTGCAGAATAAGAGCACCCTTGTTGATATGAGTGGGGCTGTGGCGACTGTCTTTGCCAAGCTTTAGGTATGGATGTGTTTTATTTGCTTGGGGATTTTTTGTTTCTAATATTCATGACGTGATGTGTGAAAATGGGGTTCAGGTCATATTTTGGATAGACTAAATGCATTTAGGAGTCTATGTGGGCGTGCGAGGTATGACGCATGCCATTTAATCAACTTTTTCCTTCTGAATATACAGAGTTGCCTCTAGTACTTTATCACTGTAAAGAATGAAGTAAACATGACTCAGTTGATTTTGGTAACGCCTAGATAACAACGATGATGAACTATTTACATGCATATTTTTCCAGAAACATATCTACCATCGCGATTGGAATGAGCTGAAACTCCTCGAATTGATGAAAACCCCGGGAATCAGAAAAAGAAAAAACATACAAAGGGCAGATTGAAATATGAAACAAAAAAAATGCAGCCATGTCGAAACCCTAGTTAAGATAGAAGACAGAAGATAACCCCCAAGATCCCAGTTCTCCAGTGCAGATATGAGAAAAGAAAAAAGAAAAGAAAAGATATTGGCACCCGTATTTCTCGATTCCCAGAAGCGAAAGGGTGCACATCTCCTTGGATCACCTTTACAAAGCCGTCATGCGAGCACCCATTCGATCAAAGATCAAATCATTCTTCAAGGCTCCATCCAGCCCGCCAATAGCCGAGTCCACCATCCGCGATGACATGCTATCAGGCGTCAACTCATCTTCTTCCATGGCCCGGTGCAGCTCCGTGTTGATGCGCAGGTCCTTGGGGACCTTGACGGGTGTGCGGTCAGGCGTGGGCGCCATACGGGGGTAGTCTTCTTGGCTGGCAGCGGCGCGGGCACGTACGTGCGAGGCCGGTAGACCAGTGGGGGACCCTGGGTGCGCGCATCCGTGCCCGCCTGCTCAATGGACTCGAAGTACCGCACCGTCTTCACCTTCAATTCCAGGGTGGCGTCCCGGTCGCAGACGACCAGCGGGTGTGGGTGCAGTTGCAGCGCGGACAGAGTCCACATGTGGTTCACGCCGTCTTCGAGGCCCTTTTGCACGGCGAAGGCCTTGTGTGCACCCGTGGCGACGATGACGACTTCGCGCGCGTCCATGATCGTCTGGATACCCACGGTCATGGCCATGCGTGGCACCTGGTTCACGTCGTTGTCGAAGAAGCGCGAGTTGGCGAGGATGGTGTCGTAGGCGAGGGTCTTGACGCGCGTGCGGCTGGCCAGTGATGATCCGGGCTCGTTGAAGGCAATGTGTCCGTCGGGTCCGACGCCACCCAGGAAGAGCTCGATACCGCCATAGCGGGCGATGCGGGCGTCGAATGAGGCACATTCGGCGGCCAGGTCTGGCGCATTGCCGTCCAGGATGTTGATGTTCTGTGGTGGGATGTCGACGTGCGAGAAGAAGTGCTTGTACATGAAGCTGTGGTATGACTCGGGGTGGTCGCGGGGCAGACCGACGTATTCATCCTGTGAGGAGAGGTTTGTTAGGATTTGGCTTTGGGTGGAGAGGTGAGGTACTCGGGGGTGTGGATTACCATGTTGAAGGTCACGACATTCTTGAATGAGATCTCGCCAGCGCGGTGGCGCTGGACCAAGATCTTGTAGATGATCTCCGGACTGCTACCGGTGGGAAGGCCCAGCACAAAGGGCTGACTCTCAGTTGGCTTGAAAGCCTTGATGCGACCTGTGCAGTGGACGAGCTGTTAGTTTACCGCCGATGTATATGAACCGACTGGCCAGCGCCGAATAGAGACATGTAGGACTTACTAACGATGTATTCGGCGATGTACACCGAGACCGCCTGAGGGTCCTCGCGAATGATGACACGCCTAGAAAGAAGCAAAGCTCCGGTCAGTTCTTATAGTTCTCAAAAAGAGGCCGAGAAGACTGGGAGAGGGTGATCAGCGCATACATCGTGGTTACGTCAGCGGGACGTGTAGCTCGAAGGCGGTATCAGTAGGGCTGATGAAGGGGGAGAGAGAGAGCCGCGATGTAAGGAGGTTGAGAAAAGGGTGGAGGGTTGAAGAAGAGTGTAGAGGTGTTAAGGTGAAGAGGTAAGTGTAGACAAGATAAGAGAGCAGAAAAGGGTGAAAAAGGTGAAGGCAAAGATAAAAAGGCAGGCCCATGGATTGGTTACGTCGCGGTGCAATGTACGACAGTGACAAGGGCGATCATGTCGTGGTCGTAGTGGGCCGCTCTCTGTAGTTCTGGGGGCGTCTGTTACGTCGACGTTGGCTACGGATCGGTTCCTCCGCAAATGTATCGTCGCATGCGCCATGTGGGAAATGGACCCAATGATAATGGATAATGGTCTTTGTGAGGACATCACTCCGTTGACGTCGACTCCGAGAATGGATGTCCACGAGTCAATTTCTTTGCCTCTGATTCGTTGGGGGGTTTCATTTTATCACCGTCAGGATTATCATGTTGCATATATCTTATAGCTCCTACTATAGAGTCATCATGATATCTAGTCTATAGACCAAGGGTCTCCTGCCTGCAATATCTGGTTATTGCGGCCATCTAGAGAGCCACAGATTTCCACCTAAAACGCTTAATCCTATTATTTGCTGCTTGCAGTCTGCAATATTTAGCCATATGGTGCCCAACAATAGCGATGAAAAAAAATCAAAAGCCAAGTCTCTATTACACTACAAAACCATCGTCCCGACAGACATCAGAGGGGGAGTGGATCCGAAGGTGAAGGTTCCATCGGAGGCAGAAGTTGCATCCGGTGAAGTCGGCAAACGCTGACCCGTGAAAACCGGGGAGTGTAACCCTGTAGCGTCGTAGCGAAACGGGTATCGTACCATACGGGTATTGTATACCGCCACGTGATCTGAAGTCAATATGGACAGTTTAATCTCATTCGTGAGGGTTGTATGGAATACGGTAGAATAAAATTAATATTATCTAACAGGACCCGTGTTTAAGATGAAAGCTACCTACCTCTCTACCTTCTCTGTCATATACTCGGGGAAAACTAGGTTGCCCCTCTTCTAGGCAAGGGGATCAACAGGCACGAGGGACCAGGATGCACTCGAGATCAACAATTGATTCGGTTCCAGCTTTATACTTTTATCATATGCAGGGAACGATGAGTGTAATTTTATAATGCTGGCCCTAATTTGACTGTCCATTTTGAATTCTTTCATGATATATCAATTTGACTAGGATAATGCAGCTCAACATGTAGTACTGCAGCTAAGGCGGAGAGCGAAATAGCCGGGGCCAACCTTCTTATCGCGCCTGTCACAAACTCCCCCCGATTGCGGCTCTGGAGCTCCTCCCTTCCTTTTCCTGTGCGGAGTTGCTTATTCCTGCGACACTTCTCGTCTCGGACGACTGTCACCTGACTGCGACCTCGGAGTGTCATCCTCGGGAACCTCAACCTCGACCTCTCAAGAAACGTGAACCCGGTTGCAGGTTACAGCTCAGCTCCTACCGCCCACCTTACACCCTGAGCACTGCATCCTGCTACCCACCCCAAACACAGCTCCCTCCACTCTCCTCCACTCCTGTTCCCCCCCCCACGACTGTCCGAGCTTCCGGCACACTGCTGGCATTCCTCATTTCCCCAGGGCCATGGCCCCGAAAGAGGACATGCTGCCCCCGGGCTGGGATGACCTAGACAGGTATGTTGATCACCTTCTTCCGGCGCTTCTAAATGCACTGGCTCTCTACCACCCCATCCCGCTGCATCTCCACGACCCTGTGGAACCCAAACGTGCCCCGACGGGCGATTTAAACTATTTCCTCTTCTGGCTGTCTCAACACTTGAAGCGGCTATGACGATGGGCAGGAGTATGCTGACCGGCCATGTGGCGATACCAGGCAAATGGGTCAGCTCTTTATGATGGGATTCGATGGTACCACCGTTAGCCCTCAGATCCGCTCACTCATCGAAGACTATCACCTCGGCTCTGTCCTCCTCTCCGCTAAGAATTTGAAATGTATCTGCTTTCTTTTCTCTCTTCCCGCCTCTAACTCTGCTTCCTGCGCTCCTCTGATATGAATAACCATGGTTGAGAAGAGAGAGCAAGGGGGAAAAAAAAAGAGAATACCTCTCTCCCTTAGCTAGACCCGTTGACTGATCGTGTGTGCCTATAGCTGCCGAGGAGGCCACCCGACTCGTTCTCGAATTGCAGACCATCGCTCGAGATGCTGGTCATCTGGTGCCTCTGCTCATCGTGCTCGACCAAGAGAACGGCGGAGTGAATAGTTTATACGATGAGATATACATTCGCCAATTCCCCAGTGCCATGGGCATCGCTGCGACGGGATCCAAATCGTTGGCGCATGAGGTTGCAGTGGCTACTGCTCAAGAACTCAAGGCCGTCGGAGTCAATTGGATCCTTGGTCCCGTTCTAGATGTCTTGACGAACGTACGGAATCAACCCTTAGGCGTTCGCACCTCTGGTGATGACCCGCAGGAAGTGTCACAGTATGGGGTACAGTTCATGAAGGGCTACCAAGAAGCAGGGCTTGCGACATGCGGCAAACATTTCCCTTCTTACGGAAACCTCGAGTTCCTGGGTTCGCATACTGATGTGCCCATCATCACCGAATCTCTAGAACAACTGAGTCTCACTGCACTGGTTCCTTTTCGTAATGCCATCATGCAGGGCCTGGATGCCATGATGGTCGGTGGCGTGTCCATGTCATCAGCTGGCATGAATGTCATGCATGCCTGTCTTAGTGACCAGGTGGTGGACGAGCTCCTCAGGAAGGACTTGAAGTTTAACGGTGTCGTGGTATCGGAGTGTTTGGAGATGGAGGCTCTCACTCACAACATTGGTGTTGGCGGTGGGACGGTCATGGCCAAGAATGCCGGTTGCGATGTTATCTTGCTGTGTCGGTCATTCCCCGTACAGCAAGAGGCAATCAACGGGCTCAAGTTGGGCGTGGAAAATGGCATCATCGGTCGACCTCGAATTGAGCAATCTCTCCGTCGTGTCTTGAACTTGAAGGCTCGATTCACGTCTTGGGATCAGGCGCTGAACCCGCCGGGTCTGCCATCACTCACACAAATGCAACCATCACATACTAACCTCTCAACGCGCGCCTACAACAACTCCATCACCGTGATGCGAGATAAGAACAATCTCCTACCGCTTTCCAATATCATCGATGCAAGTGAGGAGCTCTTACTCTTGACCCCCTTGGTCAAGCCTCTGGCTGCTTCAGCAGTGTCTCTATCCGCAAATGATACCAGCCACGGGCCTACCATGGATCAAACCGCGATCGAACGATCTGCTTCCGTCTTGAGTGGCGAGAGTGTCTTCAAAGAACTAGGGAGGTCTCTCTCGCGGCAAAGGAGCGGACGTGTCCTTCATACGTCGTACACACATAACGGCGTGCGGCCCATTCACGAAGATCTTATCGAACGAGCCAGCGCAGTTATTGTGGTCACGGCCGATGCAAATCGAAACTTATACCAGCAGGCTTTCGCCAAACATGTCTCATTGGTATGCCAGACCCAGTTTTCCGCCACGGGTGAGCGTTGTGAGAAACCCTTGATTGTGGTTGCGGTCAGCTCGCCGTACGACTTTGCAATGGATTCTTCGATCGGTACATACGTGTGCACCTATGACTTTACAGAGACCGCGTTGCAGGCCCTGGTCAAAGTTCTTTATGGTGACTTGACACCCACGGGAAGTCTACCCGGCTCCATCAGCCGCAGCCAGAAAATTCATCAGTCTCGACAGCACTGGCTGGTAGAGAATTGGAACGAGGAGCGGGATGCTAATGGCCTAGATGCGCTGCTCGACGCGGTCCGCGAGGACTGTACACAAGGGCAACGCTCTGAGCTCCTTGGTGCTACCTCCAGCAGCTTTCTCTTACGCAAGGAAGATATAGACGAGGCGCACTTTGTGGTCCGCAATAGCAGTACACATGCTCTCTACGGCTTCTGTGCAACCTACTTCTTTCGATCGACCGGTACAGGTGTTATTGGGTGTTTGATCGTTGACCCATCACGCCGCAAGCTGTCCATCGGGCATTCGCTTCATAGTCGCGCTATTCGCAACTTGCTCCAGCGTAAAGGTATGAAGCGGTTCCAGCTCGGCTCTAGGCTTCCCGGAATTTATCTGGGGATCCCTACTGCCAGCCATGTCGAGCGCAAGCGACTGCGACAATGGTTTGCCAACCTGGGCTGGAACACATCGCTCTCTCGCCCCGTCTGCAGTGTAATCCTGCGCAATCTGGCTACCTGGACACCGCCCGATGGCCTCACCGTGACGCTACAGAATGCCGATGTGGTCTACGACCTCGTCTACGGGTGGGACTATGCTCGTGCCATTCTTGATCACATCAAGACCAATGCCCGCCAAGGTGTTGCCGACATCTATCGGATTGCTCTGGGTGGCGCTCCCAACTGCGGCATCATCCGCGCCAAGCGCTCGGCCGACGATATGATTCTCGGCAGTATCGTCGTTTACAATGAGCGATCGGCGCTGGCAGATCATATGCCTGCCCTGCGCGCCACACAGACTACTGTCGGTGGCATCTCCTCGCCAGTCATCTCGCCAGTTGCGGATGACTACTCCACCGTGATGCAGGGATTGATTCTGCTGGCGATTAAGCAGATTCGCAAGTTGAATGCTAATGCGGTGGTGATGGACTGTGTATGTTGACTTGCCCTTTTTAGTCCTTGTTCTCCCTCGCTATGAGTTGTATGAACGTCGTGCTAATATTCTATGGTATCTTTCAGGTGGATGGCGACGGTAACTTTGACTGTCTCTCCTCGATGGGGTTCAGTATGCTGCACAACTTCGAGGAGGTCAACTGCGATGCAGCCACCTGGACAATGATGCACCCGTCATAGGGCGGCATTGGCTGGTAACACCTCTTTTGACTTTTTCAAACTTTCTTCTTCCCTTCTTGGTGTGCGTGGGAATTGTTTATTTGTTTATCTCTCGCTGTGCTTTCTTTTTCTCGCATTTATGATATCCATCTGGCATTTGTTGGTTACGGGTTATTGATCTATTTCTTACTGGGTTTGTTTTATTAGGCCCCCCTTTGGGCACTGTGGGATCCATGGGGGCGCTGCGAGGGCTGGAAGGGGTGAGATGAGGAATGCGAGAGGTTCACAGGATGCAGGTACCTGTGATCCTTCTCGTGGAGGCGCTCATTGGAGACTCGGTTTGGGTTTTTGGGCTTATCTTTCGTTTTTTTTTTTCTTGGCCTTTCACCCAGGCTCCTTTTCGCTTTCGTGCGTATGTGCATAGCATTATCAGATTTCCACGGGACCACCCCTCGGGGCGCTGTTCAGAGTTCAAAGTTCAGACAGGGTGGGTAGGACAGCCCCCTTTTCTGTACGGCGTCATCTGGACCAATCTTACATCATTTTCCCTCTTTTGGAGGTGAACCCCCCCATCAAACAACGTGTCGATCAACGGGAGATCCGCGTATTTCGATGTTTCTTTTTTTTTTTACTTTTTCTGCCTTTCGGTTTTCTTTTTTTTTTTTCTTGGCGCTGTTTGGGTTTCGATTTCTTCGTCGGGATGAGACAGCCGAGGCTCTCCCAATCGCTGTCTGATGTCCACTCGACCCTCTTCCTCCTCGAGGGGCCAACGAGGAAATTATGCCTCAGCCGGAGTGGAGTCGTGGAGATAGATGGCCCTCGAGGCAGGCACCAGGCTAACGGCGCCCGCTTACTGGCCCGGGCTTCCGCAGGCCCAAGGAAGCGAGAGGCAACTCCAGCGCCTCTGGAACAAGCAGGTATCAGTTAGTTCTACGGGAGTTGGAGACTTGGGAGTGATGACTCCATGGATTCGAAGTCGGGAGGTACAACATGAACTTGTACACGATACATTAGTACATATGCAGCTGAGCATGGAGTACAAAGTACAAAATACCCTGCGCGGAGTACGGACTTTTGAAGAAAAACCTGCATGATTCTCACTTACTAAGTAGTACTACTGCAAGTAAGTTGGTTAACTAGTTACAGTACTCCGTATCGCCTCTCCTCTATCAAATCCCAGCTGAGGCCCATTTGTGGCAATTCTCCATTTCTCGCGCAATACCAATCATCAATGAGCGGATATATTCCAGAACCCCCGATTCCCGTTAACGGATTTATGAGGCGCCACTGCGTGGGCGTTTGGTTCGGACTCCGCTTGGCACCGAAGGTGAAGGATTAGAAAAGCTAAGCATCCACTTGGTTTTAGCTGAAGCTGCTTGAGCTGTGGGCTATGGTCGATGGGTGCGGGGATTTGGATGGATAGAGAACGGATGTTCGGCTTTCAGGAGGATTGTAGTAGTTTGGTCTATTGATTAAATGTGGGGAGACTAGGTGCTAAGTGCTTAGGCTATGGTTAGGTATATCTCGCCAATGCCCGTTGGCAGTTACATATCAGGTACTCCGTACATAGTTCACTCTGTAGTGATGATGGTATGAGTAACAATCACTATTGATGATCTTATGTTCGACCAGCTTGCAAATACTCCCCCTTCTCGTCGCAAATTACTCCCGTACAAGGAAATCTCTCTCACGGATCCGACCAGCGCATAAAGCCTCTTCTGAACCGGCGCTAAGACATCGGGCGTCGGGGCCACAGTTCTATCCGTGGGTTAAGGACCAAGGGTGGCTCGAAGTGGCTGGACCATCGAAGCTCAGATCACGGCACGAAGCGCTTTTTACCTGGTTGAGGCGGGGGAAACTAATCAAGTTGAGTTTCGGGCCAAGGAAATCTAGGAATTTCCCTCGGTCGCAAAAGACGGTCTTGACGTTTTTCGAGGGAAATAAGAGTGTGGGTTGGATTTGGGTTTCGAGGATTTACTGTTTTCATCATTTTGACTCCGTTTTAGTTCTCCGTTGAACCAGGATGTCTGGATTATGAGCCTGGAGTACGGAGTACAGCATTTGCTGTCTTCACCTCAGCGAGACTAATGCGAAATTGAAATGGGGCCTTTAATCACCCTAATCCTCTTCTTCTCTAATCTGTATCCACTACTGCGGACGAGCTGGAGTAGCTCATCCGACAAGCATAGCAAAGCTGCCAAAGCACGGGGATGATGATGCTTGGCCGTTAATGGACACCACGGCACTCTTGGATTCGATCCACATTCCTGATCTTCGATCTGGGTCCTTGTATCCCCCGCTCTGGGAATGAACGTTCCCGGTGAATTGGACGAAGCGCGTGGACGAGAAGATCAAAAGGAGTGCGTATGTAATGGAGTGGCGTGTCAGATTCCAATCTATGTTGGCTGGCCTTGGTTGTGTGCTGTTGTGTGCCAGGGGAGCCTCCCCGGATATCTCAGGTCAAGCGGCTTTTTCCCTTTCGGCTTCAGATCATCCTCCTTCTCCCAAAACGTGTCTAGATCGATCGGATTTCGGTGATCATCGGCTCTGGTGACAGTCTCAAGTAGAGAGGAGGGAAGGAGGGGGGGGGGGGGGATTGAAAAGTATGTCCAAGGCCAGAATGGGTGGAGTTCCGCTTATTGAAACAAGAGTATGAGCTCAGACTGCACGAAATCATGAGGATACCGAAGATCAGAAACCGTCACGAGCGGCTATCAAAGAAAGGAAGGGGGTTCGTTGGAGGCATGATTGGCTGGGGGAGAGGATCCACTGGCTAGCTGGCTAAGTAGCTAGGATTCCGTCTGGGGAGGGGGAAGCTGAACAACAAGCAAAACGTGAGTAGCCTCGACTGCCTAGTGACGGGAGCAGACAAAGTGAGCACCCTGGAACCGTGGGAGAACCTGGGAAGCATCAGGGAAGAATCAGGGATCTACCAATGGTAAGAGCGAAAGTACCATGACAGGATTGGATTGGATTGGATTGGAGAGTCGGGGGCCGTGCTGAACAGAATAATAAAGAACAGAGTTTGGATTTGAGCGGAGGAAAAGTCGAATCGGGTAAATGCACGGGAGATTGGAGGAGGCCACCAGCAGATCCTGTCTAAAAGGTTGAAGTTCAGGGTGCTGAAGGATACGGAGTTACGAAGTATACCCTGCATCCCAGCCAGTGGTATCTATACCTCCATCCATACATGCACTATGCAGTACTCCGGACAGGATGCAGAAAGAGTCTGTCTCACGCGGTCAGGACTGTAAGTCGACGACTAAACTGTGGACGACTGACTCGTGATCGACCAAGGAGAATTCTTGGATACAGCCATCCTTCTCTTCTAGAAAGCGCCGCATCCTCACTGGCCCCGGGATGGCTCACATGGAATCTTCTTTGGCTTCGCCGCCACACCCGTCGAGAACTCTGCTGAAGAAGACGACGAAAAGAGTCTGGCCAACTCGGCAGGTTTCACAGACCCAAGACAACTGTCTCCTCCACCCTCTTTTGCCTCTTTCGGGTACCTCTTGTATCACCGGAATGACCTGGATGCATCACCCGCCCACGGCGAACCTGCAGAAGATCAGGACGAGAAGCCACTAACCCGGGCATTGCCGGTGCCACCAAGGCGTCCCCTCCCACTGGAGTATTATACTGGACGTCTCTTTTTCTTTCTTTCTTCTCTCTCTCTCTCTCTCTCACACACAGTTTATCTCGCCCCCACGAGGCAACTTGCTGCACAAATTGAACAGAGTTTACGACTGACTCTTTTTAGGCAACCCCTCCAGCAAAATGTTGGAAATCCTGGAGACTAGTACGAAGTTCAAATCTCCATTTTTCCCACATTTTCCCCCTCGATTTGGATCCTGCTCCAGACTCAAACCAGACTCAACCAGTCTTCCAAGTCCGGCACTAGCCCTCGAAGAGGTTTAAGGTGCTTTCGCTAAAGAACAGCGCTCGGTTCCTGACTCCGACTGCGTCTGGATGGGGTCGAGTGGATTGACCGTTCGCAGTGGGCCAAGACTTGCCCATGTCTAGCAATCATCCTTTGCTGATCCATTCTCGTCCAATGATAATCCAATCATTGGAGCGACGAATCGAGGATGCTCTGCGATCGCAGAATATTCATCACGCTCCCGGCCCTCCCCTTCGCTCTCCTGTCTTGCTTTGTTGCCCATTGATTGGATGTTGGTCTGTTGAACCCTTTCCCGTTTCTGCTATTCCCCCTCTCCCTCTCCCCCTCCCTCTATTATTATTATTAATTTTTTTTTTTTTTTTTTTTTTAATTTCCTGATGGCGCTGCATGACGGGTCCCATGTTGATCATCGATTTCCCTCTAGGATGGGGCGCGTTGGCCCGTCGCTATGCCCTTTTTCGGTGGGCTGGCTTGCTGGCTGCGGTCTTCTCTTGTCTTCTGACTGGTTGGGTTGATTCGTTCTTGTGTCTGGACTGTCTCCTGATGAAGTATAGTGTTCCTCCCCTCTCTCCTTCAGGCGCACAGCGATCATCTGCATCGAATAAGCATCGCTTTCTGGTCCTCTCGGGTACATCCTGTCTGGGACGGGAGTACGGAGTCTCCGAATAATAGGACAGGATGTACCTTTTAGTATCTTTTTCACTCTGCTGTGCCAGAACCGAGACGACGTTCCCCGACGGAGGTACGGGGTTCTCCTGTAGTTATGACTGTCCGTCCGAGTCAAGGTCTAGTTAAGCTACAGCTTTATTCTTCCCTACCTCCAGAACGGGTACAACGGACCAAGTACAGTACTCTATTTCGCCTCCCACTTGTCTTCATCTATTTTCGTACTTTTCTTTTTCTCCTCGGGACTCTCGGAGAACCGTCTTTTTGTTTCGGGGTTTCGATTCGACCTTTTGCCATTTTGTCTTCCTTTCTCTCCCTCCCCCCACTGTCATGCTATTTTCTCTTCTCCGACCGTGGCGCTTGTTCCAGGGGAGAGAGGGCTTGCTTTAGCCCCGAAACAGCTGGGCCTTAAATAGGCAGGTGGGTTCACCGTGCTTTTTTAGCTCGTCAATTGTATGATCTTCAGGGCCCAAAAACGGGAGTGAAATCGCGACAGTTGCCGAGAGCCGGCGATCAGCCATGTCTGACCTCGTTTTGAATGAGGAGAAGAGAGACAGAGAGTGTGTGTGAGAGAGGATTAGTTAGTTAGTGCTGGTGGGGGGACTGGCAGGGGGTGGGGAGAAAGGGTGGCCTGTAATCTTCCCGTTGAATGGGATGGAGATTAGGGAGTTGAGAGGATCCTCGTCTCGAAATATTATATATTATTATATTCCATTTAATGAATTCGGACCCGTTATCATCTGGCGTATTATGAACCACGTTCGAAGAACTACTATCTTCTGATCCTGCATCTTGATAGGAATCACATCGAGTGGACCGTCTTCGGCCTGGTTACCCACTTCCCACCCAGAGTTGGGTATATTACTGTTACGGTATTGACCCAGAATTAATGCAGGCCTAATGCAGTCTTGATAGTGAAAGTTCCCTGGAAATCGTGTAAAATCGTGTAAAATAGTGTATGTAATGTGTAAACGCTGCACCCAAACCCAGTACCCTCATACTCTCCGCAAATAAAAAAGCACGGCTCCACTTTTCCCCGAATCCGTCGGCCCATCCGCAACTGCGCACCGCATTCCATCACGCTCTCGCTCTCTTCGGCCTCTCCTCTGCTTCTGCTCTCAATCTACTCGGCCCTTTCCTCTCTCCCTCTCTCTCAACTTGAACGACTTCCACTCTACCTTTCACATTCTCTCTTCTCTCCTCTTGATTCTCTCCTCCTCCCCCTCCTCTCCTCTCCCCGAACTCACCCCTCCTATCTAGCCTCTCGTTCTAATCCTCGTCGTGACTTCTTACCTTCCCTCTACCTCCACCTCTCTTCCTCTTCTCTTCTCTTCTTCTTCTTCTTCCTCCTCCTCTCCTCTTTCTTCTTCTTCGACCGCTTCCTCTCTCCTCCGCAATAACCCCCTCCTATATATCGTGCCGTGTTCCACCTGAGCCCTCGCCATGGAGGGCTTCGATACCATGGCCATGCCGCCCTATCTGGCCAGCCCGCTCTCTCTCGGCAATCTGCAGGGCACCGACTATCTCAATGCCATGCCAGGCTTGGATCTCCCGGATCATCGCTCCAACTTTGACTCCGAAACTTTTGTCAGGTAGGTCCTCATTGTTTGGCTCTGCCTGTGCAGTTCGCTGTCTATCCCTCGGCCCATTCCCCACTTCTATAGCCCACGAGGTGTTGTTCGCGACTCGTGTCCCTCGAGAAACTAACCCTCAACACCCAAATACAGTGACGACCTGGGTTTCACCCAAAATAGCCTGTCGCACTCATTAAAGCGCTTCCCCTCGGGCTACGATGACCCATTCACCGATATGGTAGCGCCATTCGACCCCGTCCCTCCAGAGCAGCAACAGGATTCGTCCATCGATCACAACAATAAGCTGTTGAGCTTCTCCATTCCGGTCTACCACTTCACCTTGCTCGACTACTCCATGCGCCGCACCTCCCTTTCCGTCTCCGCCCAGCTGCATGGCATGTTTTTCTTGGCCGAGTCCCCTTACACCACCTCTCCGTCCGAGAATGCCCCGCCCCAACAAGGTGCCGAATTGACGTGTTATCGTCGCAACCTCTTCCAGATCACCGGCTCGGTCACCTTACCCCGAGGCATGCGCTACATCATGACCGACCAGGGTGATCGTATTCCCATTCTGGCGCAGGAACTGACCGTCTCCGCGACGGAATCGGTGGAAGGAAACCCCGTGAAGATCATCTCCGTGCCCTGGAAGACCCCCTCCGCCGCCGCAGCCAACTCAGGCGCTGCCATTGAGGACCCCAACCTGAGTGGTGCAGCCAAGGTGGAGAAGGAACCCCCACCAATCCCGCTCGATATCATGGCCGGCCAGGACCTAGACACCGACTATGCCACGTTCCCGATCGCATGGAAGCGGTTGCAGTTCCGCGTCGCGACTGCTAATAACGGACGCCGTAAGGAACTGCAGCAACATTTCGTCGTGCGGCTCAAGGTGGTGGCGACATTATCCACAGGAGCCAAGATTGCGATTTCCGAGGTGCAATCCGGACCCGTCATCGTTCGTGGCCGCAGTCCACGCAACTTCCAGTCTCGCAAGGATCTACCTTTGAGCGGCAGTGCCGCCGCATCCCGCAAGAACCAGGCTAATTCGGCGGCTGCGCTCAACCGCACCCCGACCAACGAGTCCGTGCCCCGTCGCGCAAGCGTGACCCCGGCAAAGAACAAGGCTCCCTCTGGCACCGTCCAGAGCAGCTCCCCCGAGACCACCTCGGTTCCGCCTCCATCCATGATGCAACAATCACAAGCCACGGCTGACTGGACTCCCATCCCGCAATCCAGCTCCAATGCCGTCCTATCCCATCACCAGCCACTCTTCCCTCACTCGAGTCCAGAGCAACTTTCCCAGGCTGCCGATCCGCAGCGCCGCGTCAGTAGTACGACGGCTGCAGCGGCGGCGCCGATTAATCTGTCCCTGCTGGATGAAGAAGATGGCAACCATGACACCGGTCTTCAGCTGGACCAGAAGATCATGCAGCCTTACACCAACGAGATGCCCCAACAACGATCTATAAGCTTGGATCACTCTGCCCAGCCCCCCGCCAAGATGCGCAAGATGTCCCACGGTATCACGCAGGCCTCATCTCGAAGTGCTACCTCGTCTCTGCCACTCCTCGAGACTGCCAATCTTCCTCAGCAATTCGTCTCGTCTTTACCTTTCCCCAACGAAGGCACCGACTTCCTGTATGAATACTTTCCTCTCGGCCTGGATGACTGGCAAGCCCCCGTTGACGCTGTGTATCGACCCCACGTTGTTCACCATACGAATATGCCCGAGATGAAATTCGTTGCTGGCTCTAGAGGCCGTAGCAAACGCTATTTTGCCGCCGAGGACGTCTTCTGAAATGATCTTGACTGGAATGGCACTTGACAGGCGTTTCTCTATCTTTTCAAACATCCGGAGGATTTCTTGATTTGATGTTTTCTGCGTATTTGGGGTTTTTGTCTTATCATCTGGTCGCATTTGCATTTGCACATTTGGATGGGGAGTTTTGAGGTCGTTTCCCCTCCTATGACAAGTCTCGTTTTAGAGCTTTGCCCTCACTTCCGATGAGGGAAAAGCATGTTCTGTTCTCCCTCATCTATCATGCCCTCGAGCCAGGGTATCTTTGTGTCGCTGGATTGTTTGGGAATGCAATGCTATATGCGCTACGTATGGGCTCTGGTTTTACCCTAGTTTGGGGGGTTTTCACACGGTGGATTGGACTTTTTGTTTCATCTACTATTTGATACTGGTCTTGTTGGATTATTGCGGGTCGCTGGGTGCAAAATGGCGAGTTGAGGCGTGCTGTGGAGTTTCTTGTGTTTTGTCTTTTTTATTCCTTGGATGTTCAGGCTTGATGTGAGGTCGAGCGATCGTGACTGCATGGTATGCTTTTGCAATGCCGTTTCAGTCAGTCTTGTCGCTCCCTCATCCTCTCAAGGGAATCTGCCTCGGGGGGCGTCAAGCCGAGTTGGTAGACCTATTGGCCTGGGCCTTATTGGGCTTACTTCTTTTTTTTTGGTCTGTTTTCCCTTGTTGACGTGCTTGGTTCTGGTTATATCCCATCGTGTTATGATTTTACGCTACGATTGACTGCGCGAGATCGTATCTTCCTGGTTGGCCGTGGAGCCATATCTGCCACTCCTATCTTTCTGGCATATCCAGGTTTATTTAACTATACTTGACAAATATCATCTGTGATGAAATGTGCTTTGAGTGATTATTCTTCGCTTTTGTAGTTTTGACTCTCGAAAGTGCTCCGGTTAGTCAGACGACGTTTCATCAGGATCCAGATCTAACTACTTGATGAACTGTATCCAGATGTAATACCCGCGCTCTCTACTTGAGAAACAGAAAATCCTTTTGTTTTTGGATCAATGCAATCTTTTCCATTCAGACTAATGTTATCAGTCCCCTTCACTACTACGCTCTCTCCCTTTTTCACAAATACCCCAACCCGTCTCCACCGATAGTCTCCAGATCGGCCCAGATCTCCCACTCTGTTGCCCCGATCCGCCCCGTGATCTCCGCCTGGCGCTGCTTCCCCAGATTCAGCCACTGTCGCAGCAAATTCCCATCCACCATGCCCCGCCCACCGGTTCCATCGCTCTCCACAGCCCGGAAGGCTCGCGGGTTGAGGCCACAGGGGTGTTCGATCGTATTGGTTAGTTGGGACTGCAGGGCTGATAGGCGTCGGTAAGTCTCTTCCGAGACGCTGGTCACTAGCGCTAGAGATCCGTTCTGCGAGGCGATGAGGACTTGTTGCGTGGCGAGGACGCTGTCGACGTCCATCGTGTCATCTGATGCTTCTAGGAGTTCTGAGGGAACGGCCGTGCGTGGGAGGAGGGTCATTTGAGAGGCGAAGTTGCCTGTGTAGAATTTGCTGCGGTGTAACAGGCGATCGCCATTGGAGGATTTGGGGTCTGGTAGTGGTAGGGAGGGTTAGTTGATTTTTTTTTTTTTTTTTTTTTTTTTTTTTTTCCTTTGCTTCGGCCGGAAGAGCCTAGGGGGATGAAGATTGGGAGGGATGGGTAGTATGTACCTTCTGGGTCGTACTGCAGCACATGGAGGTTGCAATCGCTGTCGGCAACGAGAATGTACAACTTGGTTCCGTCGGGGAGGAATTCGGCTGTGACTACCTCCAAGTACTCGGGGTCTTTCCCGAAGAGTGTCATTTTATAGGGTTCTTCCTGTAGAAGAAATTAGTGGGCTCGTCATGTAGGGAGGTTGAGGGGGATTGTTGCGAGTTATTTCTTTCGTACCGAATAGCCTGCAAACCAAATCCCCTTGACAGCATCACCCAAGAGACACATGCCAGTTCCTTTGAGCTCCTTCGCGACAGACACATAGCATGACATGTCCATGAATGCCACGGGAAGAAGACTGCCATCTTCCTTTAGACCACGAACCATGCACTTTTGTCCCTGCGCGACAATCACAAAGCCTTGTCCGCCGATCCCGGATAGGGCTGTCACGGCGCCCTTTACCGTCTCCTTGCCGACGAGCTTGAGCTTACGTCCTGTCTCGGGCTTCTCTGGGTCTGGCACCACGTCGATCACGTCGAAGACGTAGATGCACCCGCGAGCGGGAATATCTTCGCCCTTTGTGATGGCTGTGCCAACAACGATCAGATCCTTGCGTTCGTGTGTGTTCTCCGAAACTTCCATGTTCACATTCTGCACGGCCGTCACATGCTCTGCGGCTTCCAGGGGATACTCGTCGATGACGGTCCAGGTCTTCGGGCTGATCACCTTGATCGTGCTCTGCGGAACCTCGGGGCAAAAGGTAATCCCTTCGTTGCGCCATTCCGGGTGCAACTCATCGTTGTCCGGTAGCCTGAATTCGACATTGTGACTGGTACCAACAACATAGGTTTCAGATGATGTGGAATATGTCAGGTAGTCGACTTGTTCATCCAATGGGATCTTGCGTAATGTCCACGGGTGGTCGAATAGAGTACTCGGAGGAAATTGACAGGCTCGGATGTTGCTTTCGGAATCAACGTAGATGAATCCGTTTTCACAGCCAGAGGCCGCCGAATTGAATCCGCTTAGCCATTGGATGAACTCGCCTCGAAGCCGCACTAGATGGGGAGAGCTAGCTGCTGTTCGCAGAATAAATCCCGCGGAACTTCCGGGCATAAAGACTGTGCTGAATCCAGAGACATTTGGTAGGACACGCAGCGGTCTCGCTCGTTGCTGCATATCTAGAGCCGGGTTTGCACTGGAGACTGCATTGGACAGACTGTAGTTAGAATCTCTGTAGAACCGTATGCCCTTGGGGGATTCGCCCTCGGCCTCAGTCGAGGTAACAATTGGCTTGTAAATAATGAGCTCGTCATTTTCTGTCCGGACCTATTCTCAAGTTAATATCTCATTTTGAGGCAGGGTATAGTCGGAAGCCGTACGATCAGGTATGGCAATGTGGTCCAACGATCGCCAAGGTCGGCAACGAGGGCTTCTTTCAGGGGTTCACGGGTGTTGGATCGCCGAGGAGGTTCAGTTGACAACACAGGCTGCAAGCAGTCGACGCCATCAATAATCGACAGCAGTTTCATGTCTGCAAGGTTGTATATCTGGAACTTGCAGTCAGAAGAAGTGTACCTATGATCGTACTCGCTTAGGCCAACATACCGAAAGTTTGTAGTCGGTACTCAGTAGGAATAAGATGACATTGCCATCGGTAGTGTCAGCCGATTTTGAGTCTGGCGAACCAAAGACTTGACCATTGTCCCGATAAAGACAAGCGGAGCGCCACTCGAGACTTGAGAGATCCTCCGGGAGTGACACTTCATCAAGATCCCCACTATCATCCGCTTGAAGAAGCAAAAGAGAAGAGTCATCACGAAGTATCGCAAGATACGGATCCGCAAAGCTCGCGCTGACCGCGAGCCTCTCTGCATCGGTGTCCTCGTCCCATATAGGATAGATTTGAGCAAGTCCCAAGTCTATATTAGACGCAGTCAGTCCATGTTTGCTGAAGCTCACACTTAACACGAAGAGGACTTACCAATGTCATAACTTCGAACTTCATTTCGAAGAACTTGCACAAGACGAGTACTGTCTGCAAGCGGGCCGATATCGACGGTGTGATCTTCATTGGGATTGAACTCAGAGGCTTTGAAGGGCTTTAATTCTTTGCCCTCGACTGCCAAGACTTCCGAAACTTCTCTGTCCGCTTCTGATGGCCATGAGACGATCACATATTGACGAGAGGGACTCTCCTCCGCTGATTCACTGGTATTAGATTGGCCGCCCTTCTTTCCCTGGGTGATGGTAGCCGACCACACTCCATAGGCATCATCAACATTGAGGGTCACAGCAACCTGAGGATCTATCTCGCGCTTGATGACGACCAGCCCACCAGCTCTGCCGGAACCTTGTGATGCAACCAGTTCTAACTCGGCGGAGACACTCTCGTTGCCCGACTGGCTCTCACTGTTGGGGAATTGGGACGGTTTACCCAGTGTGATGTCTCGCAAGGGGCCGATTGAAGATAGGTGATCGTTCAAGCGGAAGTTGTAGAACTCAGTTGTAGAGTTTCCAGAAGTCGTGCGCGGATCTGGCGCGGTGGAATAGAGATCATCTTCATATACATCATCATCGTCGTCCATCGGATCATCATCTGAAAGGTCGTCTACTCCACCGGCAACGTGCTTCCTCTTGGAAGAGGCTGATGAGTGGGACCATTCCAGAAGGACAGAGTCTGCCTCTTCACTGCCGATAAAGATATTGCCGTCACCGAAGCATGTCGAACATGAAGCAGCTGACTTTAACAGGTTTCCGCCAACTTGTGCTGGCAAGGAGTGAATCGTCATTCCCGACACAGATCGACCATCCAGCTTGAACCTAATCAACGCCATGTCTCCCGATGCAAGGGCCAGAAGTAGATCGCCACTATCACCACCTAGTCGCTCCACGACACAGCCTTCTAAGCGGAATGCCAGGTCGGATTGGTCACTCATCGAAAATGAAGACACTTGCCGCGAGAACTCGTTCACTCCCACGGCGTTTGTCTTGCCGGCTTGATCAACATGCACTATCTCGTTCGCACCGATAAGTAGTGCTCCTCCTACGGGAGGTGGGAGTGCGACTACTTTGAACAAGTCACTGGGTAGCCGTGAGACAGACAGGAGAGTCGTTGACGCTCTTTGCTCGAGGTCTAATGTGAATACTGTGTAGAACATCACGTCCTTTCGTTCATGAACCAAAGGGGTGGAAGTCGCCACTTGAGAGTACAGAATTCCAAATGTCGGCTCCCTATATTCGTAGAGAAAGGCAAGGCTGACAGGGTGCAGTAAGGAAGGGTCCAAGGCCGTCAATGGCAGCACAAAGGAGGCAGCATAGGGTGTTCCGTATGTTGCGCCATCCTTGGCTCTCTCGGCATCTGTTCCAGCTCCAGTGACTTGATCTGGTCGTTCACCGTCAAGCTCCGAGTCATAATCATCCATAACCAGGTCATCTCCTGCTTGGTGAAAAGGCAAGATTGCGAGGTTACGTATCCCGAAGTTGAAGACCGCGCACCGACTGCTGGGATCCACGCTGAGTATACTGCCACAACTGCTCAAATCAGGCACCCAGGGGCTCCGGGTCAGGTCATCCCGCTCATAGTAATGAATTGAGATGGTGGAAATGCCATGGCGCTCGGGATCCCACTCAATCAAGCTAAGCTTGGCATTGCGGACGGCAATGAGAATAGCTTCACCACCGCTCTTGGGATTCAGTATTTTCACCCTGCTCAGGTCTGTCACCGTTCCTGGAAGAGAATATTCTTTCTCCAGAATGAGCTTTGTTCCTGCAGCGTGAGATGATGTTGTTGGGTGGGTCTCGGCATTCTCTGCCAACTGTTGAGCAGAGGATGGGAACAAAGAGAACACCTGCAAGAGAGATGATCGAACTACGATCAAATTGTTGGCTGTAGCAGACAGAAAAGGAACCGCCAATGCATGAGTGACCCCAGATGGGGGCAGCAGCTCCGTATAGCACTGCATCGCAGACCCCCTGCCTCACGGAGTGTGAAAAATGACCCAAGAACCTTTGACTTCAGGGTTTGGTAGGATCAAGAAGTGAGCATGATTAGCTTTCACAAGTCAATTCACTTCCAATGCAACGTCTCAAACAGTCTGGCTGGAAAGTAAATACTCAGCCCATCAAAATGCATTCGCAGGGCGGCCTCGAATCAAAGCACCGTGTCACGTGGTGATTGCCCGATCAGGTTAGTCCATGACGACAGGCGCGTCGGGCGATTTACTTCATACTCCTTCCAAGTTCCCAGCTTTCCCGGCGTCTCAGCTTTCGCCGTGAACCGTCTATCTTTGAAAGACTCGGATAGCTGATTCAAACCCTTTGCAAATCCATGTGGAAGGCTTTGTCTTCAAGATGGCGCTTCTTCAGACCTCGTTGATCTGGATCGTGTATGCCGCCGTGATAGCGATCCTGCTCGCGGTAGCGTCGGTCTTCATCTACGTCTACCAGACTCCGCGCGATCGGTCTCCCTCGGTAACTCTAACATGCATCATTGCAATCACCAGTCTTCTGGCAACGGTGCTCCTGCTTCCTGTGGATGTTGCTTTAGTGTCATCGACTTCCTCATCGAAGCTAGGTCGCCGAAAAGACTGGGCTACCCAGGATGCCGTCGACAAAATCACTTATTCTTTGACTATTGTCTACTATCTTTTGTATTCACTGGATGCACTACTTTGCCTTTTGGTTCTTCCTTTTACTTACTTCTGGTACGAGGAATACGATGAAGTCGCCGCTGAAGCGGGAGAGCAGACGCTGGGCCAGCGGTTCTGGGGTGCTTTCAAGTACACTCTATCGTTCATCGCGATTGTAGTGATCCTGTTCCTTGTTGGTTTCTTTGCTCCTGTATCCAAAGATAAGGGCAACTTGGACCTGGACTATTTCAAACGGTTGCTGACGGAGAACCGTAAGTTTGAACAAATTTCCCACTGGCCACCTTCTATAGCCGAAATTGACCAGCTTGCAGATGGAGAACGTGCGTTGACATTCGCGCTTGGGCTACTCATCACACTTGGAATCTTCCTATATGTCTTGTACACATCGGCGGGCCTTGCTTTGTTCCCAATCAGCCTCATCAAGACCGCACCCTCAATCTCCAGTCCTATGTTGCGAGCAACTACTGCGCAACAGTTGGAAGCAAATCGAGAGCGGCAGCGACAGCTTGAGGGTCGCTGTGGGGGCAATCCTGAACTGCTCTCATCCAAGGATCGCAGAGAGCTGGACACCCTCAGCCGAGAGGAAAGGACTCTGATTCGGCGGCAACGTCTGGTTGACGAAGCACAGGGTGAAGGCCATGGCTGGTTGATGCGAGCATGGTACAAGATTGGGGCCATTTTCCGTCCGTTCAAGCTCCTCGGTGGTATCTTGCTGCTTTTGATTGCCTTTGTGACGTGGGTGTCGATGCTTTTGACTTCTATCGACAAAGCGAAGAACTCGATTTGCAAGCACCGCTGTGGATACATTCTCGGTCACATCAATGTTTTCAATCCGGTCAACTGGGTTCTGGTTCAATCTGCTAAGGTATTCCCGGTTGACTACGCCATTTTCACGGCTCTTGTCCTACTTCTGTTCTGCAGCTCTGTGGTCGGTATTGCGGTGGTTGGAATCCGCTTCCTCTGGATCAGGATTTTCCAGATCCGCAAGGGCCACACTTCACCCCAGGCTCTCCTCCTGGCAACTGCCATGTTGATGCTTATTATACTGGCATTGAACTATTCCGTGTCCATGGTAGTCGCTCCACAATACGCTACCTTTGGACCGCAGACATTCTGCGACCGCACTCCGAACTCGCCTCTCGAACAGCCTGATTGCACTAACAGTAAAGATCTCATCAAACCATGCTCGGAGTTAGCAGAGAATCCCGCAGCACGCCAAGTGTGCACTCCCAGCGTTGTCAGCACCTTCTTGAACCGCGTGACTCTCAACTTCCCCTTCTTTGGTGTTGTCTTCTTCTGGGCACAGTTTGTCTTCCTTGGTAAGGAATCCAATTCCAAAATTTGCTTTTGAATTCCCCGTGGCACGCTGGCAACTGACAATTATTTGTTATCAGCCATCTATCTGATCGTGTTTGTGACAACTCTCTTCCGAGCACCGAAGCTGGATGAAAGACAACTTGATGAGGACGCCGAGGAAGCGGAAGAAGAAGGCCTCCTCGCTAGCACTGGTAGGCGATTCGGTGCTACTTGGCAAGATATTACCGGCAGGGCTGGTCACAGTGGACATCCCAATGATTGAGAGGAGCCAACCATACTGGACCAAATGAAGCAGAGCAGCTGGGCAAATTGCCTTCAATTTTTGAAACTTTATGATCATTTTTTTCATAAACGATGTTTTGTTTATTATGCGATGATCTTATTAATCGGTGGGGACACATACATGTTTGAACCCAACCGCAGAAAGCAGATTTAAAAAGAAATACATGGTAACTTATGACATTGTCGAATCGTAATAAGAAGCAATCTTGCATGAGCCAGCATGCGCTTGCTTAGGGTTGGAGGGCTGAGGTCACCCTGGACGTAATCTCATAACCGCGTTAAACCTTCATCTGCTCATTGAGTAAGGCCAAGGCACTCTGAAATGCCTTTACAACATCCGTATCTTGTATCGAAGGAAGAAGTTAGCTTCCAAGTCATCAATTGGGATAGAACTCACTCGTGGGAAGGGGGGTCATACAATGTTTCTTCTTGCTTTCTAAGCTCACTTCAGAGTTCTGCACATGCTGCATCTGCGTCTTAAATCTGTGGGGTGTTAATTCCAAGCTCTTCGTAAGTATCCCATGGTCAAGTGGGATTCAAGTCGGAGTGAATTGGGGTCACAAACCTTTTCAAGGCCCGTTTTTCATCTTGCAAAACAGTAGTCTGAGACCAAGCGGTGAAGACCTATCCCGATGTGAAGACTTTTAATCAACCGTTTCACTAGAAGCATACAGGGTCATACCTCGAGCAGCCTTGCAGTTTCAGCACGCAAATCGTCTTCCACGCGGCTGTGTTCATCCATGGCATCCACATATCTCTCCTGGAGCTGATCCCAATCGCAGCCTTCTAGTCCTTGGGTCAACCGAGTAACAAGAGTAAATTCGGCATCGTTGGAAGACTGTATCGGGTCGAGGCTTCGAGGTTGCGGTGTTCCTCCAGTAGAAAACGGCGGTGTCGTTTTTTCTGGGCTCGTGTGCCGCGACATGTTCGAAGCGTAGATGATGGTATTCAAGAGCCAACAATAGTGATGATTGAGCCAGAAGCACCACAGGGCTTGGTCAAGATTCGCCCGTGATCTGAGATAGCAGCATCCTCACGTGTGTTGATATCGCCAGGGATCATCTGGTCCGCCCAAAGCGGGAGCCGCGTCAGGTGACGACATCACAACGTGAAACTCCCGACAGCCCGCAGGCCTTCAGGTTGATCATCTCCGCTCCATGGTTATCGGCGGCAGCTCTGGCAGCTTCCACGACACACCATGGAAATGCGACCCCTGACGACAGATTCAAATATCCACGACCGTCTGCGATGAGCTGCCTCATATGCAACTCTGCTCACTCCCGCCAGCCGTTCCTCTGCCCGACATGCGCCCGCAATCACCTCTACCCGCTACGTCTCGAGAATACTCAGGTTCTATTGGAGAAAGAGAGCCTAGGTCGTCAGATAGAGCTCCTTGCCTCCCATGAGGCATCTCAGAAGTCACGGTTGACACCCAGTGAGGGGCTTTCCGACGATTCGAAGAGCTGGGCTCTCCAGACGATCTCCAGTCGCCAGGCTGCCTCGTCCTCCAGGAGAGAGAATCTCAGTCGGCAGATTGAGAAACTCAAAAAGGATCTCAAGGCTAAAAGGGCAGACATTTCTGAGCGCGAGACAATCTTGTCCCGTAGGCGCTCCGATGCTGAATCTGCTCTGTATCAGCTCGGGGAGCGGGAGGCTACCATCTTGACGGGCGTTGAGAACACTACCAAACGGACCGAGCATCTTTGGCACAACCTCCATAGCAAGACCGCCGAGGCACGCATCTTTCTCTGTCGGGAAGTGGCCCACCTATACGGCCTGCGACAGAAGACCTCGAGGAAGGGTGATGGTCGGCATAGCTATGTGCTTGGTGGCATAGCAATCGTCAGCTTGAAGGATATGAATAGTAAGCCTGCGTGGGGTATCTCCACGCCATTGATCTGTACTGACATTTTCACAGGTGCCACTCCCGCTCAAATATCTACCTCGCTCGCCAATATCGCCCACCTGTTGGTCCTCGTTTCACATTATCTCTCCCTTAGACTCCCTGCGGAAATTACTCTGCCTCACCGGAACCATCCTACTCCCACCATATATTCCTTCGCTGCATCATATAATTCACGAGATTCCTCTGATGGGTCCGACACCACCCATCCTTCGACACCCAGTCCAGCGGCATCCAGAACGGAACCACGCACCCAACCCCGGCCCAGACCGCTTTTCATTGACAAACCTCTCCCCCCGCCTGGCTAAAGAAGATCCCGGAACTTATGCACTTTTCTTGGAGGGCGCTTCACTCCTCGCATGGGATGTAGCCTGGCTGTGCAGAACCCAGGGGATCAACTTGACATCAGACTCCTGGGAAGAAGTTTGCAACATCGGGAAAGGCATGTGGCAACTGTTAGTTGCCCCGCCTGCTCAAACATCCACCTTGATGCGAGCATTTGCTGGACGGGATACCCAGGCAAAGATGAAAACCGCCAAAGACGCTCCTCAAACTACGATCCAACGCACCAAATCATTCCCAATGCTTGGCCATTATTCCCACGGCACGGTACATTCATTCATCGCGGCCTCCGAGGGTGTTGAGTTTATGCGTACTTGGAAACTGTCAACACCAACGAAGATCGTGGATAAGCTCAAGGCCAATCTTCTTGGGGAGATGGCAAGTGCTGAATGGGAGGTCTTGGAAGAAAAAGAATGGTTTGACGGGAATGTGGAACCCAATCAACCACCGGATTCTCAGAATCCACCGAGCCCTTCGCCCAATTCTCATGCTGAATCGGCTGAGCAAAGCGCAGAAGATCAGCAAGCACCTGTACAGACGACGAATGATAGTCGTCGGCCGAAAGGTACAAGTGGATGGACGAAATTGAATAGTAGATAGACTTCATGTGGGGATCGCAATGGTTACTTAAAGTACCGAGCAAAATCTAGAACAACCCAATTCTTGCTTCTCTTACTATTTATAAGGCACATTAGTTTTTATGAGGCATTAGTTAAATCATTCACTACTTGACTCAACGGACACGCGGATGGTTAAGGTAAGCTAGGTTGCGTCAGACCCGTCGTGACTAAGCCGAGATAAGATTTGGCAGTTCGGATTAAAGTGTCGTGGCCCGAGTCCCTCCGTTTCTCTGTACTCTAAACGATGCACCAGGGATCGGTAACTCCTGGACGGAGCTAATCCATTGTGATTGCTGGCTGAGCTCTATTTTTTTTGGTCTCGTTCTGCTCGGATCTTTTTCCTGCTCACAATCCCAGTGGCTCTTCGAGCTGGGAATGCGTTCCAAGACCTAGCGGTATTCCAACTCTCCCGATTTGAAGATGCAGAATGTCCAAATGTGGCAGGATGCAGGCGTGGGGTCTTTGGGTGAGTGATCCCCCCTCTACGACGCGCAATAAATGCAGACTTGGACTAAATCTATTCTCAGACCTCAAGCGCGCCATCTCTGCCATCTCGGATATCCCGGATTCACTCCTGCGGGCCGAACTCCAACGACGAAATGTAGCTCGATCCTCAGACTCCGCTGGTGATGCCCCGGCCTGTGGCTCTGGCCAAAGAGGCGATTATAATACATCACTACATGTCATGGCTCTCTTCTTGATTCTGGGCCTGAGCACATTTGGTACGTTACTGTCGTCTCGTTCTCTCTTCCCCTTAAAATTGATAGGCTTAACGTTGACCATCAATCTCACTGCAGCCTGCTCATTCCCTGTCCTTGCGCGCCGATTCCCTGGCCTTCCGATCCCTCGCCGCTTCCTCTTCATATCAAGGCATTTCGGAACCGGCGTGTTGATTGCGACCGCTTTTGTCCACCTCCTGCCAACCGCATTTGTATCGTTGACCGATCCATGTCTTCCGCGGTTCTGGAGTCGGACGTATCGCGCCATGGCAGGTTTCGTGGCTATGACTGCTGTTTTCGCCGTGGTCTTGGTTGAAATGTTTTTTGCGATGAAGGGTGCAGGCCACGTCCACGCGAATGATTATGATACGCTCATGGGAGATTTGGGCCGTGATTCCATGGATGACTTCCAGCGCCAAGACTCGAGTTATGCGCATTTGGGGGCCAGGGCACCATCTGGCAATATCCATATGGAAGGCCTACACCAGGATGGCCATGGAGATGCTGAAAGAGCTTCTGGCTCTTCGCACGATTTTGACCGGTCTCCTCTCGGTGGTTCTCATCCAGATAAGGAGGATGCGGAAGATGACGTTGATATTGAGGGCCTTGACCCGTATGCGGATGACGTTCCTATTAATGGACAAGCACAACAATCTTCAGGTCCTCATCACCGTCACCGGGCACGGACGAATCCCAACTATAGGCCTCAAGATGACTTGACCTCGCCGACGCAGAACCCCCAGCGACAGCTTCTTCAGTGTCTTCTCTTGGAGGCCGGTATTCTATTCCACAGTATTTTCATCGGTATGGCTCTCAGTGTCGCGACTGGCACTTCATTCGTGGTTCTCCTCATTGCCATCAGTTTCCATCAGACCTTTGAAGGGTTTGCCCTGGGATCGCGTATTGCCTCTCTCATCCCCGATCTCTTCTCGCCGTCTTCCGCAAAGCCGTGGCTCATGTGCCTGGCATACGGAACGACCACTCCTATCGGCCAAGCCATTGGCCTTGTTTTACACAATCTCTATGACCCCGCAAGCACGACGGGATTGCTCATGGTGGGTATCACCAATGCGATCAGTAGCGGCTTGCTCCTCTTTGCGGGTCTGGTGGAGTTGCTTGCCGAGGACTTCTTGAGTGAGTCGAGCTATGAAACTCTCAAGGGTAGACGGCGTGTTGAGGCTTGTATATCAGTTGCCTGTGGAGCTCTTCTGATGGCTTTCGTTGGGGCTTTCGCCTAGTTAAAAATGGCTGGCTGCAAGGGATGGTTTGATGCATCTCTTCAGCATCTAATGCTTGTTCGTTTAGACTAATGAATTACAATCTTTTTGCTCGCAAATATGCTTGTGTCCATCAGGTCCTGTCTAGTAGAATAAATGTATCGTCTGGTGGCAAGAGGTTCCTGTTAGATATAAGACGAGAGCGAACCATTTAAAAGTGACTTCATTTCAAGTCAAGAAACTAGGTGCCATTCTATCCGCTTTTACTACTATTTGTTCTTTTCATTTGAAAGCGATATTTTCTTTTTGAAGATTCACATTAATCCCGAGGACTTTCATTTCTTGCCATCTGCCTCTAGTCTCGGTGTTTATATATATATATGGTGCCAACAATGCTTTTATTGGTAATTCACATAGTGTTTGATAGTCATGTCATATCCGTACATCGTTAAAACGTCGCTTTAGAAGAGAGCCTCGAGGACCAGAGCGCTGGCACCGCCACCACCGTTGCAGATACCGACACAGCCGAGCTTGCCCTGCTTAGCCTTCAAGACTCCGAGCAGAGTGGCGACAATACGGGCGCCGCTGGCACCCAGAGGGTGGCCGATGGCAACAGCACCTCCATGGATGTTGACCTTCTCCTCAGGGAGACCCAACAGCTTCATGTTGGCAAGAGCCACCACACTGAAAGCCTCGTTGATCTCGAAGGCATCAATAGAGTCCTGAGTCACGCCAGCGTGCTTCAGAGCCTTGGGGACAGCCAGAGCGGGGGCAGTGGTGAACTTGCTGGGCTGGTGGGCGGCATCACCCCAGCCCAGAATCTTGGCAATGGGCTTCAGGCCGAGCTCCTTGACCTTGGCCTCGGAGACCAGGACAACAGCGGAGGCACCGTCATTGAGGGGGGAGGAGTTGGGGGCAGTAACGGTGCCGGTGCCGGGAATGAAGGCGGGCTTCATGGCACGCAGCTTATCGGGGTTGAGCTGAATGTGGAAGAGACACGGTTAGCGATCGTTTCTCAAGCTAACATGCTTTCATGGACAAGAAAACAATACGACTTACGTTCTTGGGCTCGTCATCCTGGGACACGGTCACACCGGGCTTGCCACGGAAGCCGGGGATCTCAATGGGGGCAATCTCGTAGTCGAAAGCGCCGGCCTTCTGGGCGGCCTGGGCCTTCTGGTAGGTGCGGATGGCGTACTCATCCTGCTGCTCACGGTTGAAGCCGTGGTCCTGAGCACACTCCTCGGCAGCAAAGCCCATGAGATCCTGCTTGCCATAGGCATCCTGGAGACCATCCTTCATGATTCCGTCCACCATGTTCTGGTTGCCGTACTTGGCACCCGTGCGCAGGCTGGGGAGGTAGTGGGGGGTGTTGGACATGGACTCGGTACCACCAGCAACGACGATGTCGGCGTTACCGGTCATGATGGTCTGGGCACCAAGGATAATGGCCTTCAGGCCAGAGGCGCAGACCTTGTTGACAGTGGTGCAGACGGTGGCGTCGGAGAGACCAGCATTGATGGCGCATTGACGGGCGGGGTTCTGTCCGACACTGATCACATCATGTTAGCTTTGAGATAGAAGGCCAGTATATCCATCCTATAGCTTACCCAGCAGACAGAACATTGCCGAAGAAAACCTCCTCAACATCCGCAGCGTTGATACCCTCGGCCCGCTCAACAGCCGCTATCAACCGCCGTTAGTGTCAATTGTAACCAGGAGGGGTCTCCCATTGATGAAAAAGACTTTGCATACCTTTGATGGCATGAGCACCAAGCTGGGGAGCCGTCAGGCTAGAGAGAGAGCTATACCAAAGTGTTAGTCGAGCAACAAAAATTCCAATGAGGGGCGGCATACCCAAGGAACGAGCCCACGGGAGTACGGGCCGTCGAGACAATGTAGACTGGAGGAAGAGAAGACATGATGGAGTGCAAAACGTTCAACTGAGATGCAGAAAGAGCAGAGATTAGACAACAATCAGGGGGGTATTACGGAGGAAAGGAAAGGAGAAGGGGGGGCAGCGTCCAAGATATATAAATAATAAATCAGTGGGGAGTGAGGAGCTGTACGGTGTAGGCGCGAGTATGTCCCATACTTAGCTGAAGGTCCTTTTGCCCGCAGTTTCTCTGCCCGCCAGACGCTCGGACCAACTGAAAGTTGCAAGCCTTCTCTCTTCTCCGGCGTCACGCCAGCAACTTCGGGGGTCCCGCGATTGTCATTTTCCCCAACTCCAGCAATCCGCATATTCCAGCCCATCATGGACGACCTCTACGATGAGTATGTTACCTTGATTAAAATGATGTGGCATCCTCGTCCATCTTGCTAACTAAGAGGCTTCCAGGTTTGGTAACTACATCGGCGAAGCCGAGTCCGATGACGAGCAGCAGGAGCAGGTCCCGCAGGCCTTCAAGTTTGACGAGGCCTTTGACGATGAGGAAGAGGAGGAGGAGGAGGAGGAGGTCAATGACCAGCAATTGATGGAGGTCGACGGTACGTGTTGCGCTCCCCCGAAGACTTAACCTAGGTTGAAACTGCATGCTCATTCGCGCCTCGCGTACAGAGGGACCTTCAAACGCGGTCATTCTACACGAAGACAAGCAATATTACCCCAGCGCACAACAAGTATACGGCGCCGATGTCGAAACTATGGTCCAGGAGGAAGATGCGCAGCCGCTATCCGAACCCATCATCGCGCCCGTCCAGCAGAAGAAATTTGCGATCGCTGAAACGGAGCTTCCCCCGTCTATTTCTCTCGCGAATTCATGTCCGACTTGCTGAATTTCCCCGAACAAATACGAAACGTTGCGGTGGTGGGTCATTTGCACCATGGAAAGACTGCCTTCATGGATATGCTGGTGCGACAGACACACGACCTCTCGGCGCGGCTAGAGAAGCGCCAAGGCAAGCGCAAGGAGGAACAGCTTCGATATACCGACGTTCATTTCCTGGAGCGCCAGCGAGGTGTCTCCATCAAATCGGCACCCATGAGCTTGGTTCTTCCAGGGACCAAGGGCAAGTCCCACCTTATCAATATTATCGATACCTCCGGTCATGTGAACTTTGTGGATGAGGTCGCCGCCTCGGTTCGGTTGGCTGACGGTGTTGTACTCGTTGTGGATGTTGTCGAAGGTGTGCAGGCCAACACTGAGCAGATTGTCAAGCATGCGGTCTTGGAGGATATCCCCATGACCTTGGTCGTGAACAAGATGGACAGGCTTATCTTGGAGCTCAAGTTGCCGCCCAATGACGCCTACTTCAAGCTGAAGCATGTCATTGAAGAAGTTAATACCCTCATTGAAAATATCGTGCCAGGTCAGGGTGAGCGACGACGATTGAGCCCCGAAAAGGGCAATGTCGCATTTGCATCCAGCTCGATGAACTGGTGCTTTACCTTGGAGTCTTTCGCTCGTATGTACGCCGACACCTACCCGAAGCTCGATTCTACGGAATTCGCAGCACGCCTCTGGGGCGACATTTTCTACAACCCTCAGAGCCGCAAGTTCACTCGGAAAGGTGTGGAGGAGAACTCGAAGCGGGCATTTGTGAAGTTTATCTTGGAGCCCATCTACAAACTTTACTCGCACACGCTTAGTGAGAGCCCCGAGGATCTTAAGCAAACGCTAGCGAGTGTGGGCGTCAGCTTGAAGCCATCTCAATTGAAGACTGATGCAGCCGAGCTCCTCAACCTCGTGTGTGAGCAATTCTTCGGTCCCCCGACAGGATTTGTGGATATGGTCGTGCAGCACGTTCCTTCTCCCGTTGGTGGTGCTCAGCGAATGCTGGAGCGGTACTACACCGGCCCTCTGGATACCAAGGTCGCGGCTTCGATGTCTGCCTGTGACCAGGATGGACCATTGGTCGTTCACGTCACGAAGCTCTTTAGCACCGTCGATGCTAGTGGATTCCACTCATTCGGCAGAATTCTAAGTGGTATCGCTCGCCCGGGTCAACAAGTCCGGGTCCTGGGAGAGGGATACACCCCTGAGGATGAGGAGGATATGGTTGTTGCAACCATCTCAGACACGTGGATTGCAGAGACTTGTTATAACATCTCCACCGACGGCGTTCCCGCCGGCAACTGGGTTCTGCTCGGTGGCGTGGACAATTCAATTGTCAAAACGGCAACGCTCGTTCCTCTTAAGTTGGAGGAGGATGACGAGCCGTACATCTTCCGTCCCATCAAGCATATGACCGAGTCTGTGTTCAAGGTTGCAGTGGAGCCCGTCAATCCTTCCGAACTGCCCAAGATGCTAGACGGCCTGCGCAAGGTCAACAAGAGCTATCCTCTGATCTCCACCAAGGTCGAGGAGTCTGGCGAGCATATCGTGCTGGGAACTGGCGAGCTTTACATGGACTGTGTGCTTCACGATCTTCGACGACTGTACTCAGAGATGGAGATCAAGGTTTCTGACCCAGTCACGCGCTTCTGTGAGACTGTCGTCGAAACCTCGGCCATCATGTGTTACTCTATCACGCCAAACAAGAAGAACAAGATTACTATGATCGCGGAGCCTTTGGATGAGGGTATCGCTGAGGATATTGAAAGCGGCAAAGTCAGCATCAAGGACCCAATCCGCAAGGTCGCACGCTATTTTGAGGACAACTATGACTGGGACAAGCTTGCAGCCCGTAGCATCTGGGCGTTTGGCCCTGAGGAGATGGGCCCCAACATTCTGCAGGACGACACATTGCCCTCGCAGGTGGACAAGAAGCTGCTTGGAACTGTGCGAGACTCGATTACCCAAGGTTTCAGCTGGGGCACGAGAGAGGGGCCTTTGTGTGAAGAACGTGAGTGATCTACAACCCTGAATAACGTTTCTTTCATACTGACGATTACTAGCAATTCGGAACACCAAGTTCAGGCTCACCGACGTGTCTCTTGCTGAGCAAGCCATCTATCGTGGCGGCGGTCAGATCATTCCCACTGCTCGCCGGGCCGTGTATTCATCATTCTTGATGGCTTCTCCTCGACTCATGGAGCCCATCTACTCTTGCACGATGACCGGCCCCGCAGATGCGGTCGCCTCGGTATACACTGTGCTCTCCCGCCGACGAGGCCACGTCCTGTCCGACGGGCCTATCGCCGGTACTCCGCTCTACTCTGTGCGGGGTTTGATCCCAGTGATCGATTCGTTCGGGTTTGAGACCGATCTGCGCATTCACACCCAGGGCCAGGCTATGGTCAGTCTGGTCTTTGATAAGTGGAGTGTCGTGCCCGGTGATCCACTGGATCGTGAGGTGAAGCTGAAGCCACTGGAAGTGGCTAGTGCCATGGCCACTGCCCGGGACTTTGTGCTGAAGACCCGCCGGCGCAAGGGTCTGGCGGAAGATGTTACCGTCAGCAAGTTCCTGGAACCGGAATTGTGGAAAGGTCTGCAGGAGAGCGGCGTTTTGGATTCATGATCGGTTTGCTCTCGAGGGTTCAAAGGCGAAGGAGATTAAAAGATATTCTTTTCTTTTTTTGGGGAAGGGATTTGGGCTACGGAGTCATTGATTGTTTGCATTTGACTTGAGCTGCATGTAATTCTAATGCAAAATGTCCAAATATATCTCATGTCATATTTACTACATAAATCGTAAGGTGGTTTTGAGGCGGCATGTCCTCGATAGCCCAGAATACTCCGATCCAGTCAAGTGAAGAAATTCAGGAAATGCGCCGTCAGAAATCACATCGTGGTACATGCAAAGAGAAACAGTCCTCGTTCTGATCCATTTATTGGCACGTCTCCATCATCTTAGCGATGACCTGCATCAACGCTCCGTTCTCCAGCGCGGCTGCCACTCGTTCCTTGTCTCCGAGTTGCTTGTTGACTTCGTCACCAGTACTGTGGGTTCCCTCCTTGATCCGCACGTCTACGCGGAAGCGTGGTGGGAGGGACTGCTCTAGTCGCACTCGTACTCCGAGACCGATGACGGTGGCTAGACTGCAGTGAGTGATGGTGGGGGTGATCAGGACGGTGACTGTTTGGAGAGGCGAGTCGGGGACATTGGGGAGGGTGGGCTTGATGGAGATATCTGGGAGTGATACGACGGCCAGTTCTCCGAGGGAGAGGGGGTGTTCGGGGTCCGAGATGGATTTGATCAGGTCTGTACAATGTGAGTAATGCGGAGTCGGGGGCACAATATGTATGGTCAGAAGGGTGATGTTGGTGCCTACCATAAATTTCTTGTTCATCAATTGGCTCTTCTAGGAGATCTTCATCTCCCTCCGAATCAGATGAGAGAAAGTCTGCCGGCTTCGGGACTGCAGCGAAGATACCGAGTCCATAGTCCCCGGCTTTCTTCTCTGCAGACCGTGATCTCGTAGGGAGATCTGCCGCATTGAGGATTGTGGGGTTGGAGTTTTGCACTTCCGCCATGATGATCGGTAGGGGTGTTATTGAATGCGAGGTGAGGTCCGTAAAGTCGTTGATGGTGGTGATGTGATATCGGAGAACAGTTCGGAGGGGCAAAAAAACGTGACGATAAGCTGATAAGCCGATTAGACTTATCGCAGTTCACGTGCTCTCTCTACATGTCTCGGAGGATCCTCGGCAATTTTCTTCGAATCATCTTCATCGACTTCCCCCTGCAAGCCATGCTGATGTGATTACATTCGATCCCCCTGCCCGGAACTACGGAGATAACCTTTGCGCATCTCTGATGATTCCAGTCCACCATGGACATTGGACGGCAAAGCACCCTCCGGCCTAGGAGATTTATGGTTATATTCCGATGACTAATGATGGGAATCCCCCGCGACGCAAAACATGAGGACCCGAGAAACCGTCGATCTTGGAAATCCGTTTCCCTTCCCCGCCATCACAGAAGCCTGGGCAATGGGATCGACGAGCGTGGGTAAGAACTTGGCAGGGCCGGGTATTTTGCCCCTGACCACTTGCCGAGTCCGAGTAAACAAGGCTTGCAATAGAGAGGGCCGCCAAATACGCCATGCAGTTTTGGATCCACTGAGGCATCCCAGGTTGACTACTGTAACCATGGCGGTTCCAGTTCGTGTGGCCTTCCAGAATGTACCGGTCCCACTCGTTAGCTCTATCTGGGACTGGATGCGCGCCGCCCCCTTTTCAGGCACTTTGAAACCCAGGGCACCAATGTTGTCTCGCACATTTATGCGCTTTCTGGACCAAAGAGGGGGGAATGGAAGTGGCCATGCATCTGGAAATTCCAGGTAGATGGGATTTTTGGCGCTGAAGAGAGAGAGAGAGAGAGAGAGAGAGAGTGTGTGTGTGTGTGTGTGTGAAGGGGGGAATTGGGGGATGGGGGGTGGGGTTCATGTTTCATCATTCGAATGACCCCCGAAGTATCCGACTTTTGACCTCGGCCCCTTTTTGGACCTCACCGCTGGATTGGGGGGGATAATATTCGGGAATACTGAGTTGGGCCTCGTGCAGAGTGATGGAGGAGGGGGAATCAAGGAAGGTTTCGCGATTTTCTTGCGGTCCGGCAGGTATTCTTCCGGTCAGACGGCAGTACAGTAATACGTGATTACGTGCAGGAGTTCGTAGAATTCTTTAAAGCCGTAAAGATTACTGGAGGGAAGAAAAATTCTTCAAGGAACGAGGGTTGGTATATTCCAGACCGTTGGAACTTGGTCAGAGACATCTGGGCGGCTTATGATGATTAATCTTCGTTTATTTCCTATTGATAACGAGTGGAGACCCTTTGGTTTGCGCAATCCAGCAACTCAAGTCCCTAGTCGCTCTCTTTTGCCCTGGTGCCTGGAACGCTGGACGAAAAGGAAAGTTAGGCTTCCGAACAAAAGAGGGAGAGAGTGGATCAAGAGAGATTATCTGCCATGTGGTGTGGGATTCCATTCTTGACCGTATACCGGATTCATCCATGGTGATTGTCTCTCGACTTGATCCACTCGCTGTATAATATGGTTTAATACTTTAATGTTTTTTAGTGGATTTGACGGTGGACATGGTTAATTAATACTTCCATGAATAATGATGAGGTTCTTGAAACGTCAGGGGACCAGCGAGGAGGAGAAAGCACGAAGGATCAGCCAAGTTAGCCTGTTTATTGGACTAGGTCACGAGTTCCCTAGTAGTTGGCTGGTGCTGGAGGCTTTGACCAGACCATCCAGAGAGTCTATCCTACTCCTGAGTAGTACTCAGTGAGTAGTAGTCCTGCCAGTCGCAACTTCCATGTGCTAGAGGCTCCGAGCCCACTACCCTCAGACCTAGAGTCCTTTGGGTAAGCTGGCTAAAGTCGAATAGATTAAGAAGCCCAGTTAGTCAGACAATAGTGTGAGTGGAGGAAGTGATCCTACTTAGTTAGGAAGCAATGTACCACTGGGTGGACTACGACTATGACTGTACCTGATTGACTTCGGAGTGCCCGTTTGACGGACCACCGGGGCGTCTGTTATAGCTTATGCGTCTATATTCTCCGTGGTGAGGCGTTTTTTTATTTTTTTCAGCTTGAAAACACCGTCGAGGCTAGTGATTGTTAGTGTGTAAGAGAGCGATCGTAGTTGAAGAGTTCTAACTCCGTACTGTAAAAAGATACTACCCGATGAGTATACTGTACGTACTGTACGTACTGTACTGCTACGATTGTCAAGAATACTATTGGATTCTCATAGTACACAGTAGAATCATGTTGATATATTTAGAAATATAATATTGTACTCTACTTGAACTGCTTATAGTGTCTCTCTATGACCTCTTAGAGATGATTAGTGTACTGGATGACCTTTCTAGGGCTGAGTAGTACAGGCTCACTCAGAGAGAGAGAGAGTCTAAAGGAGTAGATTACGTCGTAACCCTTCAGGAGGGCAATCTGGATCGCCCCCTCCCGAACCCACTCCGATGATTGGCCTCGACTAATTGGACGGACTTGGATTTGATGGATCACCCTTAACTCTCTCTCTTTTGTTCTCTTGAGGAGTCTCTCTCGCTCTCTTGGGGGCTTGAAATGGGCTTGGCAGCCCCCTTCGCAGCTCCCCTCCTTTCCTTCTTGCTTGATTCTTCCGCTGGGCTACGCCTCCTCCTCCCCCCCCCCCCCCCCCCAAAAGTAGTGCCGACCTCCTCCTCCACCCAACCCACCAACCCACCAACCACCATCCACCATCCACCATCACCATCGCCATCATCATCGTCAAACCGCCCCCAATTCTTATTTCCTCCTATTCCCAAACCCACGTCTCCTCTCTCCTTCTCTAACTCTATATACATCATCTACCTCTTCAACTCCCTCCTTCCCTTGCCCCGATGTTCCCACCCACTTCCTAGGCGCAACTTCACAATGCCCCCCGTTGTGACTCGGCATTTGCTCAACTTCCTAATTCCTCTGTACGGCCACTACCCTCCCCGCACACGCCGATCGCATGACTGGACAACTAACCCTGGCTCGCTCGGTTAATAGCATTTATACACCTATTACGAATTCCGTGCTCTCTTGCGCGCGACGATCCTCTTGACTTGACTCTTCCCTGGCACCTCCGAAGAACGCGTTTCGCTGTCCCTCGCCCTGGCGAGTCCGACCGACCGCAACGCGACCGAACCTCGAATCCCTTCTCTGGACGTGCGCCGGCCCATTGCGCCAACCATTTTTGGATCCGATTTCACTGCAGTCAAACCGGATCAAGCGGTCCGCCTGTTCTTTACAAGGAATTACTGCGACTGACGCCGTCGCTTGATACCGTTGACCTGAATCGTGGACTCGGCGCAACCCTGTGCTTTGGATTTGTGCCGGCGCGCTTAACCCCGTACATCCAAATCGCGAATTCCCATCTCGGCACTCATTGTCTCTTCCAGGGCAGGCCCCCTCAGGAAAGATTGTTCAGATCAATAGCACGCGACAACGTGATCCTCTGTACCATTGCCCTGGATCTCGTCCTTGGTGGGATAACGGAACATGCAAGGCTACTCATTTGCGCCTCCCTCGGGACCTCCCCGAGATGGCCAGAAAAGTATATCTCTCTCTTCCTGGAGGCATTGCCAACGGCAGGGCCATGTGGAAATCAAAAGATAGAAACGGAGACTAATCTGTGGCTGGCTTTAGATTATGTATTTGTCGATGAACACAATCGACACAAGAGGTTGAAAGGTAAGCGAGCCCTACTGGATGCAAGGAAAATTGAATAGCCTGACTGACAATTCCAGTGATGCGGGCGTGTAATGGCTGTCGCAAAAGGAAGATCAAGTGTGACGCGGCCACGACAAATACTTGGCCGTGCTCGGCATGCACTCGCTTGAAGTTGGTCTGTGTTCCTCCCACAATCGGTCAAGATGGAGAATTCGTCAACGAGGGAATGGAAACCTCTCAGGAGGTTGGCGGCTCATCCACGACATCCGAACCCTCGCATCATGCCTTCCCGGTGCCTCCGGCCTACCGAGATGCTCATCAAGCTCCGATGGGACAAATGCCATCTTACGACGGAATGGGCATGTATTCCCAATTCGTTCACACACCTCCGGCTCAACCCGGGATGTATAATGACATGCGATCATCCCCGATAGTCATGCCACACCAGTCATATCAACAACAACCTCAAGTATTTCCCGGAGCCCAACCACCACACTTGGCAACTCCGGATCGGGGCATGTTTGCGGAGAATGACCAGTCAACGGCGGACAATCTCAGCGATGTGCTCGGAGAACTGAAAATTGACGAAACAGGCATCGGTATGATTTCGTTCTATGATATTTTCCTTTACCCTCGGCCCGTGGCGTATTGCCAATACTAATACTTCGGTTTCAGCACCATATATCCGCAGGCAAAGGAAGGATCGTGTCGAACCAGATGCGCCTGTCCAAGATGAAGTGGAAGAAAGACTGCCCCCTCTCAGTACGGGCGCAGGCGCAACCATTCGAATCCCACCAGAGTTGATGCCCGACGACGAGGACGTGATGAATTACTTCAAAATTTACTTTGATGAAATACACCCCTACGTGCCGGTGATTCCCCGCGCGCACCTGTACTACCAATGGCAAAATGACCGCCGCTCTATATCACCTCTCCTCCTTGAGGCTTTGTTCGCGTGCGCGGGGCGATTATCTGACGAGCCTTCGGAAGGCGCTCAGTGGCTTGCTATGGCTAACAGTAAGTTTGTGAACATACATCTCTTGGAATAGAAAAAGCAGCCCAGTATCCAAATTGCTAATTCTTTACTGTCAGGACACGAGTCCAGTTTCATGGACGTTCCGCGGCTAAGCACCATCCAGGCTTTGCTGCTCTTACTCAAGGCAAGGGAGTCATTACCCAAAAAGGGCTACTATTATCGGTCATGGCAGACTGTCAAAACAATCGTATCCATGGCCAAGGACCTAGAAATCCACGAGCATTATAGTAGCCACGCCGAAGGGCGACCCTGTGACTTGAGCCCAATTGAATGTTTGGTGAGCACTCGGGTCTGGCAGGCACTTTTGGTGGTTGAGGTGATGATTGGAGCACCACAAGGTGAGTGGTTATTGTTTCATAACAATATAAAGACCACGAGACTGGCAGGAATTTCTAACAATGTCGTCTTCATTAGGCCGCTCCGACTACGGCGTTGACCCGGACACCGTGGATATGCGCCCAACCCTGGATATCAGAGGCCTGGATCACTTCGAAACGGAACGCTCCAGACAATACGCTTACTTTGTCCGTAATGCACACCATATTCGCATCATCGCTGATATCTATCACAAGATTAAGAAGCAGAAAGATTGGGGAGCAGATCCTCGGTTCACCCAGAAGAACCCGCTCTTCGCCGACTGGCTTCGCAATTTACCCACGGACCTGCAGGTGAATTACCCAGCTGATGGAGCCCCTCCCTGGATTCCGTCCCATTTTGTGGGAAATATGCACTCTCACTGTCACCTGGCCATTATCTTGCTACATCGTCCTCAGCTTGTGGCGTCTCAATCCTTTGCAGCCGGTGGTGAATGGAGAATCCACTTCTCTCTGTGTTACACCTCGGCAAAGAATATATGTCGCTTGCAGGAAGCTATCCTGGAGCGATTTGGGCTGTCTGGCTTGCTGTACATGCAGCGAGGTATCAATTTTGCGATATATTGTATTCTCACTTGTACCATGCTTCACTTGGTAAGCTGACTGCTCTCAAAGGAAGAATTGTGTTGATAGAAAGAACTGTCTGACCGCAACAGATCGCAATAACCTCCCCAGACCCCGAATTTAATTCCGACGCCCGGGAATACTTCACCCGCCACATGCGCATCTTGGAAAAATGCTCTTCGGCCTGGCCCATGCCGGAGATCCAGGCACAGATCGACTCCCTCAGGCTGGCCTTCTCCGCGGACACCCACCGCCCATTTGAGCTGAAACCGAGCTTCCCATATGGCAGTCCCTCGGAACCATACCAGCCCAGTCCACCCATGGACGCTCATTACCATCCACACCTAAGCCAAATGTCAAGCAATGTCCAATCCAGAGTGGGTTTCAACACACATCCAATCACTCCTCCGATATCTGCTGGTGCTGAATCAGACGCAAAGTCGGATACGTCCTCCCAGTTACAATCCCTTGGAATGGTCCCCCATCAACCGCCTACAACGCATCCCCTCGAAGCTCCCTTAGTTGATGAGCACAGCTGGGACCCCACGCGCATCATCAAGTATGTGATTTCAAATTACATTGTATCTGCCCCTCAAGGTTCTGTTCTAGCGTGCTAACTTTCTGAAACCTAGCCAATGGGACATGGCTTTCTCTGTCAACCCCTCAACCGTCAGCTCGAACTCTCCTCCCATGCCTATGAACAACACCCCCCAACCCATGTCGAGTATGGTAAACCAACAGTACCCGATCCAGTATGACTCGCCGCCCAAGGTGACAGTCCCACAGAGCCAATCCGTGTCACCGCCACAGTTCCAGGCTCCCCCAGTCGTGTTTAGTGCCCGGGACTGGCAGCAAAGTGTGGCCAGCGTGTATGACCCGCAAGGCTTAAAAAGACGATGGAACTACTCCACTGATCTTGGCGACAGTATGGCCAAGCGGCAACGAGGATGATGCGACACTCCAATAGCTTTGAAAGCCTACTGCGTTTCTGCATCTCTCGACTCTTTTGTGATCCTTGTCTGCCTGTCTACTCCGCCTCGACTGTAGCAAACATTTCTACAACCCTTTTGTACCCGTTCTTGCCCGATTCCCCTTATCTCCTGTGACACTTATTTCCTTGTTTTGTTCGCTTTGTCTTCGGCTTTGTCGCCACAGGACCCCCTGCGGTGGATGATATCATGGGCTACGACTGGATTGGGAATGTTTTCCAGCGAATTTCCTCGGTGTGGGAAGACGCCGCTGATTGATTTGAATGACGATTGGATTTTATGAGTCCTACTGTACATCACGATAAAAAGATCTAGAAGCAATGTCGAAGAGAAACCAGGTCACTGAGGATCATTGAGTTTGTCATGTTGAATATGGTAAAGCGGCTATCCAGTAGGCTCCTCCTTGTCTGTTGTACCAACGTACACATGTTGCATCATGGTAAAGTGTGAAGTGTGATAACAAGTGAGTCTCTTTTGAATAGATGGAACGATGACAACTGAGAGATTCATGATGTGTCGAAGATCTTATTATGATATGAGTGGAGACCGTCAAGAAGCTGAAATTGCTGCGGTTGACATTGCATTCTTTCAGAATTGTGTTTGTCTGTCGTCAAGTTCAAGTGCAAGTCCGAGTCCCGGTCCACGCCCCTTCGAACTCGGGTTGGAGGTTGTTGTGATCCTCGGGGTGTTTGAAGGAGGGATCTATATTGACATTGCGATACTCGATACACCAAGACAGACTAAAACCCGACGAATATGGAGACCATGGAGACCGTCTTTGTGTCGTGACGTTCATGATAGTCGTGACTCTGTCGTGAGCTTTGCTGGGGTGTGGGGAGCGTTTCAGGCCAGGCATGCCGTGGTAGCCGTAGTCAATATGCCTAAATCAAACCCGATGACCGAGCCCTATTCTCTCTTCGCGACGAAGAATCCTCGCCTTGTCACCCGGAAGTGGCTTCAGCTCATCGCTTGGGTTGACCTTGGTCTTGGCGCTGCTAGAATGTGCCTGTTCAGGCTCGCGGTTCTCATTCATTTTGTGGAGTCGCTCCTCCTCAAAGGCAGCGATATCCTCAGCGGTTATGGCAATGGCGGTTGGCTTTCGACGAAGCATCGCGAATATTGTTTGAAGGGTATGGATGATCTCAGTAGAGAGCAGTTGCGGATTGTAAACAGCCAAGTTCCAAAAACATTACTTGACCCCAGACAGATCTGCCTGTCTGATTGCCTTGACCGCCTTGATCATCCTGACCGCCTTCCGCATGAGAGTGGTCGATGAGTCGCACATAGTAAAGCATCTATCGAAGGCTATACTCTGCACAATTGGGGTAGAATATGTGGAATTAGAGTAGCGAGTAGCTAGGAGTATATTGGCCCGATATAGGTGTAAAATGGGTAAATTTTCTTACATATAGGGGGTAGCAACGTATCAGTGCAAAAACTAAAGAAATACAACTGAAATTCACTAGAAGATCACGTGAGTATAATCTGGCCCTGCAAAAGTTGTGTTCCCGCTAGGTTGGATATCTTGCACGCCCACCACTTGTCACAACAGAATGATTCGGTCACAGCTAAGGCAGCTTGCCCGGCAGGGAGACCGTGCCTGGGTGGGCATGAATATGCCTGTCCGTCATTTCTCTGCCTCTTATGCGGCTGCTTCGGAGGGTCAGAGCCCGCCGTCAGGTATGCGATACACACCCAGTAACACTCATCCTGGCACCACGGTTGCCCTGATGGCGCAATGGCATGATCAGTGCGGTGCTGTATCTTTCAAGCTTTGCTAATTGGTCTCCATGGACAGGGAAAGGCGAACCCAAACAGAGACCGGCGCCAACTGGCCCCCCTCGCAAGCCTCGAGCCTCTAGCAGACCCCCCGGACCCGGCCAAAACAAGCCACGTCCAGCCCGAGCAATCGATGCCCGGTCATTCGCAGCACCTCGTGCTGGTGGTGAACCCCCCAAGATTATTCGCAAGCCCAGACTGCGCCTGCCACCTGGCAAGCAAATCCCAGGTCGCAAGGGCAAGCCCGCCGCGAAGAGTGCTCAGAAACCTCGGCGGAAAAACCGATCCGGCCGCTCAGAATATGAAATTGATGATGATGAGGCCACTGCTGCTGCCATCAAACAACTTGAGGTGGACCAAGAGGCCAAGGGGCGTCCAGTGCCCATTCGCTATGAGCCCCGGGAGATTAACTTCTCTACACTGAAGGATACTTGGCCCTCACTGCCGACGGACACCAATGCCCGATCTGCTGCCGTTATCGAAAAGCTTTCTACTCTCAGCGGACGCTTCCCCAATGGCTACGTCCCTCCTCATGAGCTGGGTCGGCGTCTCTGGAAGGGACAGAGTGTTCTATTCGAGAACGAGGCTGAGAAGACCCAGGCTCTGGAAGAACTCAAGCGCTTGTCACAAGAACGAGCCAACAAGATCTCCCAGAAAAAGGGAGAGCTTGTCGAGCCTCGTGATATCAAGTTCAACCCCATCAGTGCGGAACACACACAGAAGTTGATGGAGACCTTTGTGCAAGGAAAATATCCTGCTTTGGAGACTGGCAAGGACCAGCCAGCTATCATGGGCGACGTGCTGAGGAATATCCGGAATAACGCAACTTATCAAACAGCTGGCAAACGACCTCAGTTCCTCGCGAAGGTCGAGTCTCTTCTGGCCTCTAGTCGCGTGAAGCGCTCCTAGTGCTACTCGAGTAGCATTGTGCATGGAGATATGCTGTTGTGTATTATATTGATTCTGTGATTCGAATTTTCTGTCCCCCACTAGGCGCTATGTGTTTCCGGGTGGTGGTGTTCGCCTACCACCTTTGTTCCTCTGTATCTAGATTTACAATGTGACTATATTACAAAATGTGGCTTGCTTGGCTGTTATTGCGGTGCCTTTATGCCTGTTCCAAGGATTTCTTGGCCGCATCAAATAGCTCCTTGACGTCCTTTTGACCCTTCTCCGTAGCCTTCTCCATATGATCATGAGCCTTGCGCACGTCATCAGGTCGAGCAAGCTTCTTCTTTTGCATGTCTTGTAGTCGCTTGTGCATGGCGCCTCTGGAATCACGGACGGCGCTAGCTGCCTTTTCAAAGGCCTGCTTGGCGGCCTGGACATTCTTGTCCCGGGATTCCTTGGTCGGGGGAGGAATTGGGATATTCAGTTGAAGGGCGTTATGAGGATCAGCTTGGGGTGTCAGGGACAAATTCGAGGATACAACCGCTGAGGTAACGGGTTTGATGTGCTGAAGATGGGGATTTTCTTGTTAAAGACTGGCAAATGGGAAAATGGGACGACGAAACCAGATCGCGCGAAAGCTGAACTCACCTCCTCTTCCGCCACTAGGATGGTGACCATCCTGCCCCCCTTGGGTACAACTTGGGCCAGATCACCCAGCTTGACAGAGTCCTGGCTATCCTTGCCCAGCTGGACCTTCAGGCCCTCGAGAGTCGCGGTGTTGAAGCGCCCGCCCGCGCGAAGCTTGGACAGATCATCTTTCAATCTGGAGATGGCGGTCGATATGCCGGAGTGAAGAGGTGAAAGGTCAAACGGATCCTCGGCGGCATCGGCAGCGCTAGACTCGACGTCTGAATGGGATACCTTTTTCGTCGCCTTTTCTTTCTTCTTGTATAGCGCTGGCGAGTTGGCGAAGTTACGGCTCTGTCGCAAAGCTAAGCTGGGGCTCGGAGCCACCGAAAATCGCAGAAGCTGTGTCGGCTCGCGGCATTGAGAGACGACTCGCAATGGTAACCGAGTCACGAGACGATTCATGGTGTATAGTGAAATAAATTGGGAGTAGTCGGAGTAGAAATGGAGTAAAGGGCGAGGTAGACCACAAAGTTGAAGAGCGATGAGGACGGAGAGATATCGAGATAAGATAAAAATTGTCAGAAGGCGGTCCGATGCCCACCACTCCAACTACTAAATAATTTGGAATACACACAGTCTGCATACATAGTAGATATATGGATATCTCGCAAGGTCGAAGTTACGTGTATACGTCAGAATTGACCAAAGAAGAAGACATTCACAAAGTACATACAGCTCTCTACATAGTGACAGTACCAAAAACTTGGAGAAAAAAGGTCGTTACACATTAAATTTGCAACGTCGATCCTCGTCTACATAAAAAGGCGTACTTTTTAACATCTTGAAAAGGAAAAAAGAAACTGCGCCCAAGTTTGTCCGGTTTGAATAACAAAAAAAAAACATAGACCGAACGCTGCCCCAAGATCTATATGGCGCAGACATTCGCCGGATACCGTCCGGGAATAGAGCAAGCATTGGTCATCTTATTTTCATCTCTCCCTTTAGCGGGTAGCCATGGCCTTGGTGATCAGGCGCTTGAGGGCAAGCTCCTTCTTCTTGAGGTCCTCGGGGGTGGAGTCCTCAATCTCGAGCTGGGCCATAGCGTCGCTGAGGGCAGACTCGATCTTCTCCTTGTTGCCGCGCTTGAGCTTCAGGGACATGGAGGGGTCGGAGACAATCTCCTCAACACGGGAGATGTAAGACTCGAGCTGCTGGCGGGACTCGAAACGCTTGGTGAAATCCTCATCGCTGGACTTGAACTTGGCAGCATCTGTACGGCAAAAGTTAGCATGTTGACCATATATGAGACGTAAAGTCACATTGGAGCGGAAAGCTTACCCTCAACCATCTGCTCAATCTCGGTGCTGGAGAGCTTGCCAACAGCGTTGGAGATGGTGATGTTGGCACTGCGGCCAGAGGTCTTCTCAGTGGCGGTAACCTTCAGGATACCGTTGACATCGACCTCGAAGACACACTCCAGAGCGGCCTCACCGGCACGCATGGGAGGAAGGGGAGCAAGAGTGAACTCGCCCAAGGAGGTGTTGTCAGCACAGTTGGTACGCTCACCCTGGTAGACGGGGAACTGGACAGTGCTCTGGTTGTCAACGACGGTGGTGAAGGTACGCTTCTTGATGGTGGGGACGGTCTGGCCACGGGGGACAACGGGGGCGAAGATGTTACCCTCCATGGCGACACCAAGGGACAGGGGAACGACATCGAGCAGGAGAAGGTCCTGGGTCTCGGCGGAGGTGGCCTTGCCGGAGAGGATACCGGCCTGGACGGCAGCACCGTAGGCAACAGCCTCGTCGGGGTTGATGCTCTATATCAAATGTATTAGCACGCTTATACTTCGCTAATATAACGTAGGATCAATCTTACCTTCTCGAGCTTCTTGCCGTCGAAGAAGTCGCTCAGCAGCTTCTGGATACGGGGAATACGGGTGGAACCACCGACAAGGACGATCTCTTCAACCTTGGACTTCTCCATAGCAGCATCCTTGAGAACCTGCTGGACGGGCTCCAGGGTGCCGGAGAAGGCCTTGGCGTTCAGGTCCTCGAAACGGGCACGGGTGATAGAGGAGTTGAAGTCCTCACCATCGAAGAGGGAGTCAATCTCGACGGTGGTCTGGGTGGCGTTGGACAGAGTACGCTTAGCACGCTCGCAAGCAGTGCGCAGACGACGGAGGGCACGGGCATCACCAGAGAGGTCCTTGCCGGTCTTGCGCTGGAACTCCTTCTTGAAGTGATCCAGCAGGTTAGTGTCGAAGTCCTGACCACCAAGGTGAGTGTCACCGGCGGTAGCCTTGACGGTGAAGACACCACCCTGGATGTTGAGCAGAGAGACATCGAAAGTACCACCACCCAGATCGTAGATCAGAACGTTGCGCTCCTTGTCAGACTTGCCAGAGCCAAGACCGTAAGCGATAGCGGCGGCAGTAGGCTCGTTGATGATACGGAGAACGTTAAGGCCAGCGATGGCACCGGCGTCCTTGGTAGCCTGACGCTGGTTGTCGTTGAAGTAGGCGGGCACGGTAATGACGGCCTTCTCAACCTTCTTGCCGAGCTTGGTCTCGGCAACCTCCTTCATCTGTTTTCGGTGTCAGCAAAGGGGGGATTCTTATTCTCGATCGGAGGAATTGCCAGCAGGGTTTCGGCTTACCTTCATGAGGACCATGGAGGAGATCTCCTGGGGAGTGAAGGTCTTGGTCTCACCGAGGTACTCGACCTGGACGGCGGGGGCGGTACCCTGGGCAACGACCTTGAAGGGCCAGGACTCGACATCCTTCTTGACAATAGGGTCATCGAAGGGACGACCGATCAGACGCCTATTTCATCGTAATTAGAAACAAGATTCGTAGAATAGAATATAGACCCGCGAGTGAATGTGAAAAAATTGGAAGATTGGGGGGATTGAGTGATCAGAGGACGATACTCACTTGATGTCGAAGATGGTGTTCCTAGGGTTCATAGCGGCCTGGTTCTTGGCGGCCTCACCGATCAGACGCTCCTTGTCGGTGAAAGAGACGAAGGAGGGGGTAGTGTAGCTACCCTGATCGTTGGCAACTGATTATCTGGTTAGCTTGCAGTGCAGACTTCGGCTGACGGGGATAAACACACTGATCTCGACGTTGGTGCCCTCATAGTTGGCAACGCAAGAGTAGGTGGTGCCTAAGCAGAAAAAAAAGAGAAAAAGTCAGTAAATCGAGCATTGAGCATCCATTGGTGATAATCTTACCAAGATCGATACCGATCGCTCCGTCGTAAACCGGAAGGTCCGCCATTGTGAAGTGTGGTGGTGAAATTGGAGAGTGGGAAAGGGTTGAAAGGAGGGGGTTGTTGCCAGGACTGAAATTTTTTTATAAACGCAATGCCACACATGGCTGGGCAGAAAATTTTGCGGAGGCGGTGTATCACGTGTCGTTGGGGGTTCCGGGGTTTGGCGAATTTTTGTGTTTTTTTTTTTTTACGCCTCCGTCTAGATCGCCACGGAGATCAAGCTTTTTCTGACTGAAAATTGTTCTAATAATGACTTTGGTTTAACTTTCCCTTGTCGTAATAATGTTACGGTTTTCTCCGCACCGACGTTAACAAGTAAATAAATAACCAAGTGGCAATTTTGAAGAGCCTCGATTTCTCGGTTCAAATGAAAATACTATGTAAACAATCATCTGCTCGCTTAAGATTACGGTGAAGACTACCAGTTACATCCATCAATGTGACGATAAATCACAATGAAGCAGAGGTTATTAAAAGGAGAAAGGATATAGAGTAGAAAAGACGAAGAAATAACCTTGATCTTCTTAGTAGTCTCGAGATCCTCCGCAGTTGTGATGGTACAATCAAAACCCCCTCTGCTTCCGTTGACGGACTCTTAATCATCCTGATAAACCTTCACTCACCGCAACAAGTTCAAGAAAATAGTGACCCGCTCATAATCAATCTCAGAACCGGGAGGTCCAGTCTTCGGAACTCCCCTTGCTGGGCCGGCGATGGCTTCCAGGTCAACCTTGGTAGTTCCGGGGTGAAGGGGGATATCATATGCCAGCCCAGATGCATCGGCTGCTGATGGGTGAAGCCGTTGCATTCCTACAAGTGCTACCATCTTTACATGTCTCTGTGCTGTCCCGGACACCAATGTCGGCCTGATTGTCAATAGGTTGTGCGACGCAGGAAGGTTAATCGTGATTGACTGTTGAGAGAGCGTGGCAGATGGCGGAATGTCCAAGTTCAAGCCATGTTGTAAAGAGAGGGAAGGATGAGTGGCGACTTGTACGTTTCGGATCAGAGCTGAGCTGGCATCTATAATGCTGTTAGTGCGACGCATTTCTCTTATTTCCTCTCTCTCTCATTCACGCTCTCTCTCGCTGTCTTGAGTGCTATCTGCCAAGTATTGGACGTTGGGGGGTATTTTCTCACCTTGACCTGGTCGCCTCAAAAGGGAATCTAATGGGGATGCTGGAACTGCCTGCGGAACAGGAGCTATGGGGTGCAGTGAAGAGTCAGTCACAAGCCTCAGATCAGGGTTGCTACCCGTCATAGGGCACACCTCACCATCATGGGGCTCCGATGGAACGCCGTGCAGACCGTTCGAGGGTCTTGTTGTCTCCTGATGTTGAGATCCCGGCCCTGAACTTTCGCTCTTGATCACACCGGCCAAGTCCTTGGACCCGGCAGGCCCATTTTGTGGCTGCTCCGATATGGATGGGGTAGTAGCAATACTAGACCTGCTGGGGCTGGCGAGATGTCTTCGCAGAGATCTGTTTCGCGGGGACATGCGATGTGTATCGGCCTCTTGGCTCGCCGATCCGGTTCTGACGAGCTCTTGTTGTCGTTTCAAAGATTCTTTGTCGACAGTGACACCGGATGGGGCTTCATCATCTTTGGAAGGCGTCTCGGAGGTCTGCCCAGCCATCTTCAGCGTTAACCTTTGCGACTTGGGTTCCACATCCCTCGCGCCAATTTTCAACTTGATGCGAGGCATTTCGGGGTGACCATCTACCTGAATGGGATCCGGAACATGCTTCTTTGCTTCTGCCACCCGCCGCTTGAAGTACTCCTGTTCTCGACGTTAGTCTCGGTTATGCTGGGAGCGGTTCAAATTTGAGAGTGAAGAAGGGAAGACTCGCCTCTAGAATTCCTGCGAGCATCGAGATGTCGCTGCTGTCCTCGTTGTACTCCCTCGCATTGCGCCAAATATAGGAAACTTCCTCTTCAAAGGACTTCCACGTGGGAAATGCGGTCGTTTTGGACTGATTTTTGCGGCTATCGGTACCGCGGACCTGCTTTTGAATTGTTCGCAGCGATACAGGGTGCTGAATGATCTCATAGTAATCGCGATAAAGGTTGCGATCGGGCTTCCCAATGAAAGGATACGCAACGTCTTCGCCACTGGACACATCATCAGTCTCGACAGCTTGGCGCGCATGAGTCTCATCAAAAACTCACTCCTCATCCTTTAACCGAGTCAGTTCGGTCATGATCTTGTCTTGCGCGGTTTGGATGCTGTCGCCCTCGAAGTCTGCCTCGCTCTCCCTGTCGTCCTCCTCGGCTTCGGCCTCGTCTGCGGGTTCAGATTCCTCCGGGGACGGTATTTGGTCGGATTCCTCGGGGTCCACGGGGCTCTCTTCCTATTCAAATGCGCAGGATTGTTAGCGGCGCGACTCAAACCCACCCGTGCTCGTCATTTTGCGCGTTGCCGTGCAAGCTTGTCGCAAAGCTGCATTGGCCCCGGGAATGGGGCTAAGGAAGTAGCACGACAGACGGATAGCATCTTCCCACCGATTCAGGTCCACAAGGACCCGCCAAATCCAGGTTGGTCCCTCGTGGTGGTTGGAGACAGTGCAGAATAAGAGTGCGGCGACTTACAGACACCCTCCGGCGCTTCTGGCCGCGGACCCTAACGTCTGGCGAGGCAGCAGCCGCTCCACGTCTCTTGGTGCTCATTTCGATATTATAGAGAGTGATTCCAAGTTAAAGAGACAATCAGTGGATACTGGCCTGGAAGATAATGCCCAAGCGCTAGAATGCGAATGAAGAACTACGAGAGTTCATACCTCGACGTGTGCAGACGCGCGCTGCGATCATCCGAGTGGAGATCTGCCGCCTTAGGTAAGTGGTATTGACTGGGGAAATTTGGTACAGTACATACCGACTGGAATGGTGGAGAATGGAAGGCAAAGAGCGACAGTGAATAGTACGATACGGTATTTTATCATCAGCTCTCTCTGATTGGCCATGGGCAACAAATGACGGGATGCTTGGAGCTGTCTCTACGGAATCCTCATGAAGATGCAGAGACGCAGAGGTAAGCAATCACAGCTATACAATGGATAGCACATGATGAGAGGTATATTACATACTGAATTCGATACAGAATTGGGTACAGAAATTATTCTCTTACCCCTTAGAGAGGAATCTTTCGGGAACCTCGAGGCGGAGTATTCCGTGTTTTCAATAATAAATTCTAGAATGATGAGAGTTTTGAATAAAATATCTAGCACAGCTAGGGTCAGCTCGACTTCGATATCATTCTGCTCTATAGTACGCCAGTACCTTCGTCCAGGCTCCCTTGATGAGGTACTGTTGCCTAAGGTATCAGGCTAGAGTAGTATAACAGGCCTCGTTGAATTGACACCTAATCCCTCAGGCACTCAACTTCCCCCTCCATCTTCCGCGTCCCGCAAAACAACCCGACCTCTGGCAAAACACGCCCTGAACCAAACCTTGCGGCCGTTTGTTGCTCTCCTCCTCCAGCCTTCCCCCAAACCGTTCCTGGTGGTTTGACCAAACTCCATCACCCTCGCTCATCACTGCTCGGGATTATCCGGTCTGTTACAATAGCTTCCCTAAAAATTTGCTCTACAAACTCGAGACTGACCCGCCACGTGCCAAACACAGAACCTCAAATTTCAACGTCCCCCCACAACCTACTTACTCACCACCCACAATGGATATCGATCCAAGCAGAAGGAATAAGAAGCCTCGCCTCCTCTTGGAGTCGGAGCGTGAGCGTCTAGATGAATTTATTGACTCCATCCACTACTCCGCACGGTATGGAATGAACTGGGACCCCGCGGCTGGTCGGTCATGTCCACTAATGGGATCTAGCTACTCGGACGACAAGTTTGAATACCGCCACGTACAGCTGCCGAAGAATATGCTCAAGAAGATTCCTGCAGACTACTTTGACAGCGCCAAGGGAACGTTGAAGCTGTTGTGGGAGGAAGAATGGCGAGCGCTCGGTATCACACAGGTACGACTAGGTCCTCTTGACCTCCAGTTGGGCATTGGCTAACATACAGACAACAGAGCCTGGGCTGGGAGCACTACGAAGTACACGAGCCAGAGCCCCATATTCTTCTGTTCAAGTCGGTACCCCCCCCCCCCCCCCCCAACTCTACCTTCCTCTTCATTTCGGCAGTTCAATTGGTTCACCTTGGCTAACCGTGATTTAGGCGGTCTCTGTGATCTCCAGAGCCCCAGTGGCGTGATATACTGGCGATACTCGTGGAGAAGTGGTGGTGCTACATTTGGACTTTTTTCCGTTCCTTCCCTGTTCCTCAGCGAGACATAACCGTGGTCGGTTTTTTTTTTTTCCTTTTCATTTCATTTCCTCTCCTTTCTTTTTCTCTATCACAAAGACATGCTTTCCGAGTATGTTCACTAGGGTCCACAGCAGCTTCTTTATGGAAGTTCTGGAATGAGATATGAATTCGTTTTTCCTACTCTCTCAACTGCTTCAGGACCAGCTTGGTTCAGACTCCCCATGTACGCGCCACAGATGGAACCTAGGGTATCATACATGCCCCCTGACCGATGTCCTTGACCATCAGACCACGTTCTTTGCCAGCCATTCTTCCCATTGAGCCGCTGTAAAGCTGCTGCTGATGCCACGCTCCTCCACTCCCTGGGATAATGGTCAGTGCCCTGGCAATTATTCTTGTGGGCGGCCTTTCCTACATTGAAGAAAACGGTTGGCGTGACATGAACTCCGAGAACTCGATTTGCCTGTGTGGTGTTAGAGAATCGCCAGGCTGGGGTGGAGGATGCGCTGCTCCCACCTTGGTCATCCATTTGATATCATTGGTCACCTGGTTTCCCACATTCAACGCATCTGGGCTCTCGGGGGTTTCGGGGATCACCAGCAAAGCGAGGATCTTTTGCTCGTCCACCCCGACAGACCCTGCAATCTTGGCCAGGCGCTCATAAGTCTTGTTACGTGTTTCATTCACCACGTTCACGTCGAAAAATTCCTTCTGGTGCTTGAACAGGGCGTCACTGAATTCCCAGAATTTCTCGGGAGCCAGTTGGAGGACTGCTGCGCCTGCTTCGTGCGTGAGAGTGGACGATGGGTGCCAGGGCTGGATTTGCTGCCGGAAGATTACCTGAAGCCGAGAGCTGTACTGCTGGGCAACTGTGGGACCCCCGGCATAGAATGTCTTAAACATCTTGGCAGAGAACTGGCAAAAACGAATTGTTAGGAACGAGTATCGGAAAAGGACATTTAAAGGCTTCGCTCACCGGACACGCGTAATCTAGGACTGGTGCTTGTTAGCTGCTGAGTGCCCAATGCAACGAAATAGGTGATATGAGCGTACATAGCTCGAGTGTATGCTGCGTCTGCTGCGGGGTTCCCCGGAGGAGCTTAAGGCCTGCGTATTTAGGAGGGATCGACATATTGTTGGAGCGTTGGATTTATGGGACGTTCAAGGACAAGAAGGTTGAATTGTCAAAATTTCTCTTGACACCATAATCATGTCGGTGAAGTAAGCAGGAGAAGTATTCCGCGAAGGGGACTACCGAGGTGTTGCGTCACTTTTCCGACTACCCCACCAGCAAGTCGTGATTTGCGCTTATCGCACGAATATACTAATGTACTACTTTGATAACTAGCCAGCTGTTGTACGGAGAATTTTATGTTAAATTATACTCACCTAACTTTTGATCTGAACAGACAAAATATGTACTATATTCAAGGATCCGCCCTCGAAGTGTCCACATCTCTCGAGTACATTGGGTAGCTCTTGTTTCCTTAAATAAACATAGTCGCTTGCAGATCAGGTATTCCCTTTCAATACTGACATTTCCATTTCCTTTCTTCCCCCACCCCCCAGGACACTCAACACTTGACAATGATTGGACTCAATAGATGGATGGCAAAGTTACGCTTTCATAGACTCGACGGGAAACCCCCCAACGGGCGACAGCGGAGGCATGGACTTGACCATCGGGCGATTACCTAATCGCGGCGATAAGATACGTATCATGTGACTGGCGGTCGATGAGGCCTGGCGGTCCAAATTACTCCTACCAGTGTCCTTTCGCTTCTTCATCTTTACAAGTGCATTTAGACCGGAAATATTCCTCAGGGCGTTTTTCTCAATGCTCCGGCTCCGGCAGCTCTTTCGAACTCAACCACGGTTTGCGCTCTTCCATATTGGCCCTCGTCAATCCCAACAACCTCCAGCGGTCCGGCATGTGAGATTCAGGCGGCCCTGGTTCAGGTACGTGTAGCAAATTGCCTCCTTCCTGGTTGCTGTAATACGAGGATATCAGAGATAACGCTGACCGACTGCCTCTTTTTCCGGCTTCTTTCAGGTCCTTCCTGGGAAAATTTATCTTATACGGCACCGCGTTTCACCTATGGAGTTCCTTCGTGCTGGTTCGATTCGACGACGACGAGGCCCCTGAGGGCCACACAGCTCCCGAAGCAGGTCTAGAGAATACCAGTTTACACCGTACCTCGGGAGGGATTGATGGGTTGACGGAAGACGAGTTGGAAGAAGCAGGCCGCGTTTTCATTCCCCTCACGTGGTCCTGGCTGGAAGAGGGAGAATTGTATACTGCTTCGGATCCTGAATGGCAGGAGTTTGTCAGTATATCGAAGGATCGGAAAAAACTGCAAGAGTTAAGAGGTATGTTAAGCGGGGGAGAGTGTTAGGCTGTCCGAGGTTTTTATTGACAGGACGTCTAGATGAACTCGCCGCTATTGTTCTCAAAAGTGCATCAGATAACATGTCACAAATATTGGGAAGCCCTCTTTCATTGACTGGCTTCTGGCTGGTCCACCAATTCCCGCCTCGCGCACCTCCGGAATACTTGCGTTCTGGGTACGTGTCTCCTAACAGAGTGCCGTCGTATCATCTGACTAACATGGGCGCTATTAAGTCTTGAAATCGCAGATGACGGTGTGTCTTGGGTAACCAAAACACTAGACTCGGATGTCGGCGATCGGCTACAGACAGTGATGAAGCCTCTGCACGTCGCCCTTGCGATCAAGGATGCGTATACGCTTCTGATCAGGCGGCAATTAGCCCGACTTCGGGACCCTGATTCCCAACCTCTCGATGCACTGGAATTGCTGAGTGGTAAATATGTTCTCTTGGGACGTGAGAAGCTCAACCCGCTCAGTCCTCATGACCAGCCAAGGGTGCAATCTCCATTATCCGACGAGCCCCCAGAGAATATCCTGCCCAACAACGAGCCTGAACTCCATCCTTCTTCGATTATTTCATCATTACAACGTCTTCCACTACCTGACCTAGGCCCCGGGTCAGATCTGCACCTGGCATCGCTAGCATTCAGGTTGCGATTGAATGAGTATCGGGCTCGGACCCCACGAACACCTCAGCGAGGCACTTTCTTCATCTCGGGTCCCGTCGGTCTGAAAGGGCCTAATGGATTTTGTCGATTTGAAGTGCGCGGTGAGTATGACCCAGCCAAGTCTGCGTGGCGGACGGTGGAGATGCACTTGAAGGATATCAATCCTAGAAAACAGAAGCCACTTGGAGGCCAATAACACTGGGGCATTTTGCCTGCAGCGGAAGTCATCTAGCGTCAACTTGAATTTTTTATCTGTAGATAAATAACAACCTCTTTGAACATCAGTTCCACAAGATTCCATGTACCTGTCTAAACAAAAGGAAAATGCTTGAAATCCTTCTCTGGATATAACCTGAAATTAGTGTTTTATAGATCTATGAAAGTAGGGAGGCGGGGCGACTGGTGCTTAGCTAATCGCGCCGAGGACGCGGGAGGTCGAGAGGTGGACAACTTGTCCGTGGAGACATCATCCTCTAAGCTTTCGTTACTTTCCTTACCCACATCTCGGAGGTGACAGCGATACCTGGGGGCTTCTCTAAGCAAAAGCTCTTCTATGGTCAGAGCTGAATCAACTGTGATTGCCTAACTTCGCGACATCACCAATCTTATCCAACACGATGCATATGGTCTCCAAGCTCCTGGCCCTGGCGGCGGCGGGTGCGTTGGGGACACATGCCCTGGAGACCTCGATATTCACTTTCCCCTCGAACGAACACAAGCAAGGGGACACTAGTCTGGAACACCGAACAGTACCAGAAGATGTCGCTCAACTGATCTTGGAGCTTCGCACCCAGTCTTCCTTGCAGTCTGTCCTAGGGAAGGTCGAAGCAGACATCGTGGATCGCATCAACGAGTTTTCTGGCGCTCAATCCTCTCTGTTTGGTGGATATGATAGCCATGGCACGCCAGGAAGAAGCATGATTCTTGTTGAGGGAGTCAATGAAGCTGTTGGTAGGTTGTGTGGAGGACCCGTCGAATGAGTTGTCAGCTAATAAGCTCTCCTTCACTCACCCCCGACAGGCTCGAACATTCGAAACGCACAATCACAAAGTATACACGTTTTGCATGCGTCGCCGAAGCTGGTGGATGATTCCCTCGGCTCGCAGTTGGACAATGGAGACATGAAAAACCGCTGCACTTCTCGCCAAGCCGATGCAGTGTCGGGGCCAGAATCCGTTCAGGTATCAAGAACTTGCGCTACGTGGTGTTTAGGGGAAATTTGGGCTAATCTCGTGTGGCGGTTGAGTAGTCTGCGGAAGACTGTATCTCTCAAGATCCAGTGCTCGCCCAATCACTAATCTTACACAGTCGCGAGTTTCTCAACCTACTCGACTCGGTAGAAGTATGGTCGAGCAAGGACCAAACCACGACTGCCTCGAGGCTTTCGCTCAAGGTAATTGCACACCTCTCTCAGTGTCCAGAGAGATCGACCTCAGCTCATATTTCACTCTAGGCGAGATCCAACGACAACGTGCTTGTAACCAAATACCTCGAGTCTCTCTTCCATGACCTGAACAATGTAGCTTCGTCAGAAAGCCGCAAGATCACTGCCTTGATGGTCCCCGCGGCCGAAGCCTCCCGAGACTTTGCCAAAATCTCCCGGCGAGACACCGGACTGCTGCCTCGGTCATCTGCATCTGATCCACAGAGCACTCTGCAAACGTCCGCACAGGACCTGACTCTGTCCTCTTCGCTACTTGCACCGGTCTGTCACGCCTCTAACTCGTCGTGCTCCGATGCAACCAGCAACTGTTCTGGCCATGGTCATTGCTATCTCAAGTCCTCGTCTGGGGACGCGCAATGCTTTGCTTGCCGTTGCCAAGCAACGGTGCGTACGAAAGGTGACGGTTCGAAGCAAAAGATCTACTGGGGCGGTCCAGCTTGCCAGAAGGAAGACATCAGCTCGCCTTTCTTCTTGATTGCCGGTGTGAGCATCCTGGCTATCGTCCTAGCAAGCAGCGCGGTGGGGATGCTTTTCAGCATGGGCCAGCAAGAACTTCCTAGTGTGATCGGGGCCGGGGTGGGGGGCTCGAAAGCACCCGCGTGAGTGAGATAATGGGGTCTTTTTCATGTTTTGTCGAATTTGGGGAGACATTTGCTTTACACATTTTGCACATTTATCTGCTCTTCCCCTAGGAAATATTTCGGTCATTATCCGCTTGATGCATGCCGATCGGTGTCATTGTGGCCTACTAACCGGCTCTCTTAACCGAGTTGTCAGATCAATCAATGTATCTCTAGTGTCATAGATAATTAGGGAGTTAGGAGTGGATTGCAGTTCATATTCGTTTCAGTTTTAGGTGGTCAAACAAGATACAGATGTCCAAAATCATATTCGCTCCCTCTGGCGGCCTCGTAGATGGGTTCACAAAGGATCAGGCCTAACCTTTCCGTAGAACACCAACACTGCGAGAAAAGAGTGCAAGAAAAAGCGACCGCCATTTCACTCTCGTCCTCCAGGAAAATCAATGAAGAAATGGGAAATTGCGAAGTGCCAATAGCAAGATCACCACTCCGTTGTACGCCGAGATCCGAGCCAGGAAAGCAATAAATTACAAGAATAGAGAGTCATTAACAATTAACAAGAAAAGGCTGTGGTGAACGAACATTCCAGATGTTAATTCAGTATGGGAAAAAGTCAAGGGATATCAAGGATCATAAAAAGCTCAAAAATGTGTAGCACGAGGCATCAAGTTCCCGCTTCGAGCTGGCCCGGCGTACGCTGTTGCCCAGCCGGCGGATTGCTGGGGGCAGAATCAATTTGAGCCTCCGGCTCATGAGCCTCAGTAGTAGTAGGGCCCTGAGATGAACGTCCTCGTAGACGCGTGGGCAAGAACCGTGTCCAATTTCCTCGAGGTGACGGCCTATCCAGATCTTGTGCTTCATCGGAAGGGTCTCCTGGGCGCCCGGCCACTGAAACAGGTGGCACTCGTGAGTCTGAGGACATTGGTTGGAATAATCGACCGGGGAAAACCATCTGCATCCGGAAAGGATTCGCGTAATTCCTAGGCTGCGCAGCACGCGGGGGTCTAGCAAGACTATCGAGGCGACTCGAGACAGTACGGCGTCCTTGTCGATCCGAGGCAGACGGCCCTTCGGCTGGCTGAGGACGAGGCTTTGGAACGTAGTAGTCGGCTTTACACAGCGGACAACAGGCCCGTCGACTTGTTAACCAGGGATCGACGCACGAGGCATGGAAAGCATGGCCACAAGCAAGTCCCCGAATGTCATCGTCGTCTTCAATGATGTCCAAGCAAATTGCACACGAATCTCCAGGGTTAGGAAGCAACTCGGCGGGCACCGCTTTTCGAATCTGATCGCCATCGTCCTCCTCCTCCTCCTCCTCCTCCAAATCGACGTGTTCATTGATGAGGTTATGTTGCCACTTCTCTTCTGTCGAATTCAGCCTGGGTTCTTGCTGGGTAGAGGGGGCAGCGGCGCCGGTGGAAGAATCGACTTCCGTCGGTCGTAAAGTCGGATCCACATTTGCATCATGGGATGGCTGAGGGAATTGCTTGAAGCCGCCGGTTCTTCCTCCACTACCGGCGACGTTGCAGTTGTAGTAATGATAACAGGCGCAGACAAGGCAACACCATCCGCATCTCTGAGGCTCTGCGGTCTGGTATTGGGAGCCGTGATACCGCCTTCCGTTGGAAGACCTTGGTTGGCACGAGACGACCTCCACACTTTGTATTTCATCAAGGGGAATCGCTCGTTTACTTCATCCATGGTCATCAATTTCTTTTCTCGTCGTCTCCGATGGGCGCGAGGCATGGTGACCAGGTCTATGGGATCACCCGTCTCGTCATTGCGTAACTGGCGGTTCCGTTGATTGTAGCGGAAGCAGTATTTTACTCCAACGATAATCCTGTTCCACCGAATTAGACCGAAGCCTACGAGAGAAGACAAAGTGCGATGGTGGTGACTTCAGTGGGTAAACATACCAAAGATTGGTGAAGACGACGCCGAATCCTAACGCGACAAAGAACAGCAGAGGAGAACTCGTCGCATTTGAGCCTGAGCCGGAACTATCACTGCTAGTGGTAGTTGCGGCACTGCTGGCCGCTGTGGTTGTAGAGGGAGGCATATCAAAGTAGGAATAGGATGTCTCTGTTGATGTATGGAGATCTCAAGGATACAATGTTCCCTGTAAATCGAAGTTCAGGTTCGTTCAAATCCACCTAGCCGCCAGTCATTCCCAGATGGGATATGAGCCAGGTTGTGGAACGCCGATTACTCGCAACAGCGTTGCAATTAAGTCGGTGGTGAGGACGGTGAACTCGGTTGCTGTCAAGGGTTCACAGAGTAATAGACTGCATGGAGTTGGCGGTGGACCACTTTGATTCAGCTCAAAGAGGGCCGGTCATGGATCAACCACGAAGCAGGGAGACCCACCGGCCTTGGGTCGGCGATTGTTGTCGAGTCTCGGATTCTTCACGAGGGACAGAACGAGTCCAGCTCCTAGCACCAAGTCATACCATCTATTTTGGGGGGTCGAAAGCCCACAAAGGATGGCAGGTAGCCAGGCAGGCCAGAGGGGAGAGAGTTGTGAAAGGGCGAAAGAGAGTTGGGAGGGATGCATGCGGTTTTGGGTTTTGGGCTTTGAGGGGGGGAGGAGCGAAATGGGGAAAATAGACACCTGAAGACACCTTGGCACCTGAGGCTGGGGGGTCACGGGAGCACCAGCCACTCACGTCGCACTGATCATCGACGATGGTATTGGACTGGACCATTTTAATTTAGTCTTCCTGGCTTTAGCTTTCTATCATTGACTCTTTTTATTTCATTTCATATACAGAAAAAGTTCAGACAACACCCCCAAAAGCGCATCACGCTCGGAACGATTTGATAGCGCTCCAAGACTTCCTACACAGACTGAAAGAAATCCTTGGAAGAATAGCTTTCATCATCCCGCGCTCGCACGCCAGCGTCATTCAACCACCACCACCCATCGCTTCCGTTGACCATTGACCATTGACAGCCTTTCAGTCCAACATCAGCTATGGCTGAACATGTCCCACGGCCCAGTGAGCCTACCAACCCTGTAGTATTCTTTGACCTTGCCCTCGCTGGTAAGCTAAGCATCCCCTCCTACCGAAAGATCAATGATACTGACCAATCTTCACCAGGTGAGGCTCTTGGGCGGATCAAAATGGAGCTCTTCGCCAATACCACCCCTAAGACGGCAGAGAACTTCCGACAATTCTGCACGGGCGAGAGCAAGAACTCCAAAGGGCAACCCCAGGGCTACAAAGGTAGCAAGTTCCACCGTGTGGTATGGACTCCTTTCTGCACCCTCTGTTCCAATGGTGGTACAGGCGTGGGATTTCTAACTCAATGTGCTTAGATCAAGGATTTCATGATTCAAGGTGGCGATTTCATAAATGGCGACGGCACTGGCAGCTGCACCATCTATGGCACGCCCAAGTTTGCAGATGAGAATTTTGCGCTGCCACATGATCGTCCCGGGCTTCTAAGCATGGCGGTAGGTCTTGTCTCCTTCTGGTCGAATAGACTGTTCTGTTCAGCAGTCTGCCTTCTTTTTTATTGAATGTTTCATTGATTCTAAATTAGAACTCGGGCCCAAATACCAATGGCTGTCAATTCTTCATCACGACCACCGCGACGCCCTTCTTGAACAACAAACACGTCGTATTTGGCCAAGTCATTGACGGCATGGATGTGGTCCGCATGGTCGAGCAGACTCGGACCACCAGAGACAAGCCGAACCAGGATGTAACCATTGTGCAATGTGGCGAGATGTAACGCGAAGACGATGATTAAGAGAAGATGACGAGAAAAAGCCCATCACCTATGGGTTGGTGAATTTTTAATAAAAAGCAAGACAATGACTAGGTTGTGCAGACATGCAGCTTTTAGACAATCTAACTTGGTGTCATTCGCGACATAAGAAGAGGCCGCACTCATTATAGAAGATACATATATAGAATTTATTATGGAGAAGGAGTAGCGGGGAAAACCCACGTTCCTCTCTATGACTCGAAGAATATGACACTTCAATTTCACCAACTAGATGAAAGTCATCCATCAATTTCCCATTTCTTCTTTGCCTTGTTGTTATTCTTTACAACCCGGGCTCCTCTACAATTACCCCCGGTATTGGCATTGGGTGTGTCACGGTGAACTGTAGCCGCTGAACAATCGAGGAGCAGACCAGAATGTGGTCGACACTTTTGGGTTTTTGCCTGGAGTAAATCGAGGTTTCGATTCGTCAACCGGCCTCCTATAGCTTGAACTTACTCAAGTATTCAGTTGCGAGCGTAACAGCTTCATCGACCTTGTCCGGATTTGTGCCATTGCCGATCGAAGTCGCGCCCTTTCCACCGGCTTTTCCACCGATGCTACTGGAAACAACGGCGGCCCAATCGCTCGCCGACGCGCCTTTCTCCCCAAACTCCTGTAGCTGCGTGTTAGATACACGCCACACAATCTCATGACATCCGTTCGAAGGGATTGGGATTCCCATGGCTTACCTTGGATACATAACAACCATGCGCAACTCGTGTGTTCTCGGGGTCAACCGCCATCACATAGACGTTCTTGTTTTGCAATTTCGACTTGACGTGATTGATAGATTCGCTAACGGCCTTAGCACTCGCGGGCATCGGAAGCTTGACAACCAACGAGGAAGCATCCTTGTTTTCCGGGGCCTCGAAGTAGGACGTGATGGCTTCCAGAGCCATCTTAGATTCCAACTTCTGCTGGGCTTTCTGACCATCCAGCACCTGCTTGTTGATCGCGGTAAAGCGTGTGCGGAACTGCGCCTTCCGAACTGCAGAAATGACAAGTTGGTTGAGATCAACCTGCACCTGCTTGCACTCTCGCTCCTTTTCAGGGCCGAGAGGCATGGCATCGAGCTTGTCCAGGCGTGTCTCAAACTCTTGAGCAATTCGCTGCACCTCATGGGCCTCCTCGCCAGTGACGGCGATGATGCGACGAATACCCTTAGCGATACCACTCTCTTCCAGGATAATCAGATCCTTGATGTCACCGGTTTTCTGCACATGGGTTCCACCACAGAACTCAATGCTGACTTTTTCCCACTGGGGATCCTTAACATTCCGTAGGATTTCTTCTAATTCAACACCAACGGACACGACCCGAACCGGATCCGGGTAAGTCTCACCAAAGACAGCACGGACACCGAAGATCTGCTGCGCGGTAGCAAGGGGGAGCTCTTTGGAGTAGACAATACAATTCTGTCGGATGTATTCAGTAGACTTGGCCTCAATCTTCTCCAAATCGGCATCGGACACCGCAGCTTTGTGCGAGAAGTCGAAGCGAAGCTTCTCGGCCGAGACAAGAGAGCCCTTCTGCTCCACGCCGTCCCCAAGAACCTCACGGAGGGCAAAGTTCAGAATATGGGTACCAGTGTGGTTATTACGGATAGGCCATCGACGAAGCTCATCGTATTCACAAATCACGGCATCGCCCACCGACAGCGATCCATACTTCATGAAGCCAGTGTGCAGGACATAACCAGCGTAGACTTGGACATCGTCGACCTCCAACTCAGCTTGGCCATCAATGACAATTCGACCAGTGTCAGCCTCTTGACCACCCTGTTCGGCGTAAAAGTTGGTGCAGTCCAGGATGACACCAAGTTGTTCGCCACTAGGAGCCTTTTCAGTGCTCTCATAGAAGTGTTTCCCATGGTAGATGGCCTTGATGTGAGCGGTAATGTTGCCTCTTCCAAATTTGGCGGCGTCGTCCGTCTTGCGTACGTCGCTCATCTTCTCCAGCTTGCCGAGATCATGAACATCGAGCTTGACCACGTTCGCGGCAGCTTTTTTCTGGCCCTTGCTGGCTTCTTTCGCCTTCAATCGTGCTTCTTCAAACTCAGCATTATCAATACGGAGACCACGTTCCTCCGCTATAATCTGGGTTAGGTCGACAGGGAAACCGAAAGTGTCATACAATCTCCACACATCCGCACCATGAAGTTTGTCGGAGCCCTGGAGTTTAGCATGCTGAGCGTATTGCTCGAACTGGCGCTCGCCTCGATCCAAAGTCTTGGCAAATGACACCTCCTCTTCATCCAGAATCTCCATCACATCCTGCTGTTTCTTGATCAACTCCGGGAACATTTCACCGAGCTGATCCACAACCGTAGGCACAAGTTTCGAGAAGAAGTTACCAATGTCGACCTGGAAATATTTGCGAGCGAATCGGGCTCCACGACGCAGCACTCGACGAATCACGTAGCCACGGCCCTCGTTGTTGGGAATCACACCGTCGGAGATCGCAAACATCAAGGTACGCACGTGGTCTGCAACCACACGGTACGCGGTGTCGATGCCGTCGGGGTCTTCGGTACCAAAACGACCGCGGTATTCGCGGGCGCCGGTCGCGGTCTGAATGGCCTGGAAAATGGGCGTGAAGACGTCCGTGTCGTAGTTGGAGGATTTGTCCTGGAGAATGGACACTAGTCGTTCGAAGCCCATGCCGGTGTCGACGTGCTTGTTGGGTAGAGACCTCAAGGAGCGGTCTGCCTCGCGGTTGTACTGAATGAACACGTTGTTCCAAATCTCCAGCACATTCGGGTCATCCTGGTTCACGAGCGACGCAGCGTTACGACCACCGATGCGATCGTAATGGACTTCGCTGCAGGGTCCACACGGTCCTTGGTCACCCATTTCCCAGAAATTGTCCTTCATGTTGCCGGGGAGAATGTGGGATTCCGGGACACCCACAGACTTCCACAGATCTCTGGCCTCGAGATCGGGCTCGAGACCACCGGCCGCGTCGCCCTCGAAGTAGGTCACATAGAGACGATCGGGGTTCAGTCCGTAGACCTCGGTGAGAAGAGTCCACGAATAAGTAATCGCCTCCTTCTTAAAGTAGTCGCCGAAACTCCAGTTTCCGAGCATTTCGAAGAAAGTCTAGTAGGGGAAAGGATCAGGATCTCACCGACCATAGTGGAAAAAATGCGATGAACTTATTGGTGGGAAAAGAGGATTTTTTGAAGAACACTTACATGGTGATAGCTGTCCTTGCCGACATCGTCGAGATCCTGTAGGAAGCCAGTCAATAACTAGAAAGGTATACCACGAATGCTCCTATCCCACTCACATTGTGTTTGCCACCAGCGCGAATACACTACCGAATTGCAGAGGTCAGTTCAAGGTCGCTCGATTTGCAGGATCAACAGGAGGAGCGTGATCGTACCTTTTGCGAGTTCACTGCGCGTCGCAGCTTTGCAAAGTCTGACGACGGATCCACGGTACCCAGGAAAATGGACTTGTACTGATTCATTCCAGCATTGGTGAAGAGCAGGGTCGGATCCGACAAGGGCGCGACCGACGACGACGGGACTAGAAGAGAATACGCGGCGTTAGCGATCGAGGGGGGCCCATTGTAGAAATTTCTTTGAGGCGTTGGATGGGAGGGGGCAAGGGAGGGGTGGCGGGGTCAAGTTTCTGATCGCACCAAAAGTGTGGCCATTTTGCTTGAAATAGTCCAGAAAAGTCTCTCTGACCCGAGGGGCAGTCCACTCGGGACGACTGGTATCGGAAGCCATCCTGAAGAACCGAAGAGGAGGAGTTGAGTGGTGAAGGAGGGGGAAGTGGCGGGGAGAAGAATTGAAGGTTCTCAACCGCGGAGGATGACTCAAAGTCGCCGCAGCACCCGCACCCGAACCTCCAGAACCTCCTCCAACAACCCGCATCCACATCGAAACACAACAACCTTCCCCCCCAAGAAAATTATGTACCAACCCCTTCCCCTGGGTTCAGCCTCGGTTCCTTTAGTATCTCTTGGGATTTTCCCTTGTGTTCTGATCTTCTCTTAACACGTCTCCCTCTCCTTTTCGTCGTGGCTGGGTCTAGGAATCCACGCGGGTTTGTTCGTGGATGGCGCGGAGTGATGAAATCCCCCAACTCGGCAGAAAGCGACCCGCAGATGGTGATCCGGACGGCGCGCAACCTCTCACGAAGAGGTTTGGATACCTCCAGATAGGTAAGTCAAAGAGGCCAGGACGAGGATGCTCATAGAAAATGACCCGCGAATTTTTCGGGGGTGGGAAAACGAAAGGAGGGTTGACGCATTCAACTGGCAGGAAATAATCCGGAGGCCCCAACCTTCGGAGCTCGGCCCCGTGATCGCGATGGCGATGGGTTCAATCATTTCAACCCTTCCACTTCCATCTCTTCTTCCACATCCACTCCTTCCGCTCTCTCCACTTGGTCTACTGCGACTCCCCCGAGAACATCCATCTCCAATTCCAGTCCGTCATGCTTGACCCGGTCCGATGCGATGATGCTGGACGATACCAAACACACGACCTACATTCATGATTTAGATCGGGAGTTGGCGGATATAGATCCTCCTGATGGAGGACTGATTCTTCTACCCCTCGCGACAAAAATGATTTCCGTGCCGGAATCAGTCTTGCCAGCACCCTCGCGGGGCAAGGAATTAGTGCTGTACACCGAGCCTTCTTCCTTGACAGTTCCTAAGGAGCAAGATAGTGTGAGGAAAGCAATCATCGAAGCCAGAGCCAGGGCCAGGGCAAGGGCGCATGCAGCGAATAGTCACCAACCCCTACCGTCTTCCGATCATGGCTCTTTGTTATCTTCCAGCAAGGGCTTCGGGAATACCTCTTTGACGTATAGTATTGATGACGACCCCATGGACATTGACTTCAATCCCTAGGTTCTTTTTCCAAGGGAGCCGCGACGTTCCGCAGCGCTATAGTTCTGATTTTTTATTTCAAGCTTTGGAAACATTACGTTATATTTATCTCTTCGATCTTGAACCCACTTATTGATGTTAGTGGATCAGGTCCGACCATTTCATTAAGGCTGGGAGTCCAAGTGTTAGTGTTGCCGCTAGCCATAGATTATCTTATATATATTTGGAATGGTCAACCTTCTAATAAAGCTGGCGTTTTATGCATATCTTTTGGGGTGACACTGTTGGCACCACCTGAGAAATGCTGCGGCACCACCTGGTGCCTGATTTTGGCCTGATTCTTAATACACTAGTTATGGTATTTACCATTAATTCAACTACACTATTTTTCTTATATACACATCTCCCTATCCTTTCTAGAGATCACATGACCTAATCTCCTACGTGGCCCCCCCCTTTTCTTCTAATAAGGCTATCTCTGCTATCTCCCCCCCCCCCCCTTCTCTCTACTATTACCTACCGAAATTGCTAGATTCTATGAAGCGTTTTCCAGATAGAAGCGAAACCATTCTGCCAGTCGACCCTCTAGTATCATGAAAAGGCAAAGTACTTACGTTTCTATGGATAAAACCATAGGAATTATGGTACTACTGTCTTCAAAGAGGACTGATACATCGACAAGACGAATACCACTACCTTAGTGGGAGAAGAAACTTCAGCAAGGGCGTGGGGCTAGCCGTGGTCGGAAGTGTGCGAAATTGGAGAGTGCAGAGACGGGTTCTAGCTCACACGTACCCAAAAAAAGTTCACGCGGACCCAAAAATTTTCTGACTAATTTTGGGTACCTATGAGGTACCCGACCTTATACGTACCCAAAATATTTTGGGTCCCGATGAGTTATTATGCTTACTTTTATGTATTTTATATATAGTTCAACCTTAGTTGAACCCCCCCCCCCCTTACTAAAATATACTATATCTTTATACAACTCGATATAACTCTGTATACTATATTATATGATAATTATAAAGGCTCTTTGAATTAATTATTTATAAACTTATAAAAGAAATAGCCTTGCTTTTTATAAATTACTAGGTTTGAAAGAAAGATATAGATTCTATAGGGTTCTAAGTTAAAAGTGTCAACAAAGAAATAAGAGATATATCTTCAACAACAACGCAACACTACTACTCTCTTCTTCTTCCCTTACTACCCACTATATTTACTTAAGGTCAGAACATCTGTTTACTCTACTCCCCGACGCGTTTCTCTATATGTTTTGTATATACTAAATACTTCTAGCTTATTAATATATCGAATCTTAGACTCTTCCCTAGCCTAGGTCTAACCCGGGCTGAATTTAATAACACTATAGTCTTAAACGCGACTAACCCTGATACTCTCCTAGGATATATATATAGTATATTTCCTAGAAGTATATGCTGTTAATATACTAACTATATATAGGGCCTATTCTAGACAACAATCGGGGCTAGAAGCTAGCTACGTATACGGTAGCTCTAGCTATAGGCGTACGCTACTACGATATTAAAGCAGCTAATATCGCGGCGACTCCGCCTCTAAATCCGGCTATAGTTCTTAACAGAGAGAATACAGGAGTATACGTAGTATCTAAATATACTAAGGGTATAGCTATCGTATACTAATACTAAGAGGAATAGCTATAATATCGTCGTCAACCCTCCGTCCTAGATATATAGTCTAGTCTTCTCGGAGGGACCTATACTACGTCGTTATATCCGTAATAAGCATTCTGGAGCTAGCAAGTGTCTATTTATTAGATATATTAAATATATACTAATAACGTAACTACGATATAGTCGTTAACCCTAACCGCCGAGCCAAGACCTAGTTTAAGATTATTTGTGAGCAAGCGATACTGCGCAGGTTAGGTAAAGAGGAAGGAAGATTAATTGATCTTCTTCCTTTGATTGAATAGGAAGGATAAAATCAATTCGGCTTAGAATTATAAGATGAGAGAAAAGTAAAGTAGGACTGAAGCTTGGTTGATTATATTGAATCTTGCTTGTATGTAATGAACATAATTATTATTTTGGTAGAGAAGGCAGAGCATATTTATAACCAACTTGTCTCTTGCATGTGATCGTTCTAGATGATGCATGATGATCTCATGCAGACAGATCTAGATGCATAGTGATCTCATATAGTAGCTGTTTGATCGGTGGTTGCTTGATTGTACGATGTCATTGACCGCAGTGATGATGTAGATCGTATACTGTTGTATACGTCTTACTTGATGTCATTGACCGCAGTGATGATGTAGATCGTATATTGTTGTATACGTCTTACTTGATGTCATTAACCGTAGTGATGATGGTATAGCATAAAGCTTATAGAGATTCAGCCATCTTGTATAGGCCTTATGAATCTGGCTTGATATGCTGCATGACGGTTTAGGCATCTTGCCCTATATCTCACATTATTACAGGCTAAAACGTAATCAAGCCTTAGGTCCTAGAGGGTAGCTAGTAGGATACTAGCTACCTTTATAAGCCTAGACGCGGCCCTGATAATAGGTAGATTAGATACTAGGCCTCCGTATTAGAGCGTATTGCGTAAGTGCTCTAGGTACTTTATGTTCTGTATAAGATTGATATACTTTAAACATATAACTCTTATATATTTAACGTATACTAATAATCTATATAGAGCTACCGATATATAGTTCGCCGTATAATACGGCACTCGTTTCTACCGCTAGCAGGCCCTGGTAACCCCGTCCTCCGCTTACTGTAGCCGCCGGGTAAGTCTATATTATATATATATAAATGATATATTAAGTATATACTAATAGTATGTAGTGTAGCCCTTTAGTCCCTAGTAATCCGATCCCCTTCGCGGGCTTTAGCCCTGCTACCACTAATAAAATTCTCTGTAATCTGTTTTCGACTTCAGCTGTCTGACTTTGACCCGCGGCTTAAGTAAAAGTGAGAGAGATGGTACTCCAAAGTGGAGAAAGGAGTAGCGATAAGCCAACCATAGAAGTCAATACCGAACATTACTGGCTATATTAAGAGAAACAGGTGGTTGATGTTTATTAGACGGAAGTTGTTCAGAACGGATATATTACCCAAGACTTAGATGTATCAATTGGGACCTCCCAACGACTTTCAATAATACAAAACGTCGAACAAACCTCTAATATACCAATACAGACAACTCATCACGCAAAAGTAGATCCTCGTGCTCCAACAGGCATCCTCACTAAGTGGTCACCTTAGCACCCTTTCCACCGTCAGGGAAATAGTAACCCTTATTCAGAGTGTACCAATAGGAGACGCAAAGGTAGACCCAAGTCTCGGGGTTACTGCGAACAAGCTCAGCATTGGTCATTTTGTCAACATTCTTCAAACCATCATCCGTCTTCGTGGGCTCATCCAGATTAGTTCCGGCCGGAACCTCGTCTGGCGTCTTCAGTGCCGTCAGGAGAGATGCGATAGCGTCTGTACATCGATTAGCATATTGAAAGAAGAAGATTGGACCGGGGATACTCACAACTGGCATCCAAAGTATCCGCCGTACCGTGAACCAAGTGGAAAGTCTCGTGGAAGAAAGTGGAGCTTCGAGGCAACACTTGCTGAAGTGTGTTGGTATTGGCTGCGCGAGAACCCAAAGTTGCGGCATTCTCGGTGTTCGTAAAGGCCGAGGGGCACATGAGGATGGTACCTGGCTTGGTCTGGACCTGGGTACCTGCCAAGGACTTCGCAGCAGCGCAGTATCCCTTGCCTTTGTAGTCCGGCTCAAAGGTATACTGGCCTAGATCCTCCGACCAGTAAGGGACGAGGCTTGTGGCTACCTCCTTTCCATTTTCCTCTTCATACATGTAATCCTTGTAAGCAGGGTCGTCCTGGATCTCCAGAGGGACTAAGATCAATTCGCCGTCACAATTCTCTTGCTCGTGTTTGTATTGGCCACCTTTGATCTCGGAGTAGTCGGTTCTCTTTCTCTGTGTGACCCAGCTGCTGCCGCAAAACATCCACGGAGGGCCGTCGTTGACCTTGTATGTGTTTGCATAGAACGCGGCAACTTGATCAACCAGTTCTATAAAGCGAATTAGCCGAGTTGTCTTGTAAAATAATTGGAAAGGCGACAATAAGACATAAAAGATATCACAAAATCAGAGCATGAGGTGAACAAAGTCGAGAGGGAATATAAAACTGACCTTTCACGTCCTTTCTATCCTCCGCTGAGGCTTTGGAGTCAATGCCCAAAAACTGAGAGAGAGCGTGCTCTGCATCCTTGTTGCCCTTTGCCGCATCATCAAAGGCCTGAACACCAGCCTTCGCCAGCTCCCTGGACTCGGTGAGCCAAGTCGCAAGTGTACTTAGCTTCTTGTCCGTACATCCACCAGTAGTGGACCCAGACTTGACATGGAAGAGAGTTTGGAGTGTTGGGTCTGCAGCGAGAATTGAAGGGATAAAAAAGCACCAAAGAGCCAAGGCCCAGATGAGAGAACCCTTTTGCCCAGCCATGGTGAAAGATGTGTCTCTTAAGGAAAGTTTTTGTGCGAACAGACTGAATGAGAAATCAGAAATGACGAACGTATTATTATATAGAAATGTGTATTCACGATTAGAAAATTAGCTACTCATACGAGGCTATGGCTGTTGGCCCCAATCAGCTAGAAAGGTGTAGCAACTCCACTATAGCCCCCAAGAACCGGGATGTTTGACTGCACTAGCGCGTCGTATGTGAGGAAAAGATCGATGCTTACCAGCGCCACGAAATTCAATACATGAATGTGAATGTGAAAACCTGCTCCAGTCACTGCAGACTCCGACCGACCGCTCTAGGTCACGGAGGATACCAGGAGCATGGCATTTCCCCGCCCTTAGCAGTAGTTCGCGTTCCATCTTCGGGAGTCGAGTAGCGTCAGCTAATTAAGCCTCCATAAGGATACAATGAGAGACTAAGCAACCGTCTGAGGCGGGGTAGTATTAAATGCTGACAATCTTGCTGACTTTTCTCTTGTAATTGCTCTCATATCGGCTCCTCGGCTCCCAGTTCAACCAGCTACCCACTGTCCCTCGCGTTAGCATGTTTTTCATTCAGGGACAGAGAAATAAGACATAAGGGCAACAATTTTAACGGAATATGCATTGATTATGGATAAACACAGCTCAATTTTTGTTTCAGGGTATCAGGCTTTTGCTTGGGGGCTAATGGGACAAGAAGATTGAAGAGCGGCCGGTATGAGCCTCGCCAACAAGCAGAATCGCAGTTATTTTGTAGAGACAGAAAAAGCTCGTTACAGGGTAGTGCACCCCACTATCCATGGTATTTTCTCCCTTGGGCCTAGTTGGACGCCTCTGCCCCGGGGGCCAAAGGCTTGTGCTTGCTTGTCCTTAGTCGTCGTCGGGCTCCACGATCGAATTCTCTGGATTCAGATAGCTTATCCCCAGGCAAAACAATTCATAGGGCCAACTTCAAATTCCGACTACTGTTCTTGTATATCGATAGTAGAGTGTATATATTGTAGAGCAGCGGGATAGCAAATGGGTTGCTTTTTGCGCGCGATGGCGAACTTTCTTCAGATGCAACCGAAGAAAAGCCGATGCAGGGATGTGAATACTAAAGGGAAACTCTATCTTCTATTTGGTACGGACTTGTTTCAGAAATTGAATGATTTGCTGCACAAAAGCTTTTCGGCCCCAGGGGCCGTCCAATAATGGGGCCATTGTTTGTTGTAAATGCGACGCTTACATGTTCTTTTCAGATTGGGGGCGAAAGTAAGGGTGAAACTCACGAAGCTTTTTGATATGCCTAATAGGCTTTATTTATAGAATGCCCTTGGTTCGGGAATAAGCTTTTGATTTTCTAATCATCTCCCCTGCCAAGCAAACGACTTTCTCGCTAGCTTGGTATCATGCTTCACTGCGATGAGGCTGAACAGCTAAACATCCTTTGACGGTAGATTACTGTAGTCCCAGTGCTCTTCGGTCCAATCAATTGCTCCGGTTTCCCTCAACTGCTGTTCGAACTCTTCCCAAAATGTTAGCCCGCTGATGTTGCGCCTTTCTTTGAACTCTTGTTCCTTCTGGGTATCAGTCCAGAAATGAACCATCAATCGAGCCTTCACTTCCATGCCATTTCGATCTCGGGTATCATTGACCCAGTATGCTTTTGGATTCTGTCTCTGTGGAAGACGTCGCGGCGGGGCTCCAGGACCCAGACCTCCAGCAACAGAGAGGCCGCTGAAGGCGTTAATTCGTTCCAGGTTGTTACTAGCCTCGAGGACAGGAAAATAGGCGGTAACAATGGAAATATTGCCCATGACCCGCTTGTAGAACCATGACAGTATGAAACTGTTATCGACTTCAAAGACCTCCGGGGGAATAGAAGAGTCCCGAGATAAAGTGGTCCAGTAGGCGTGGTATGAAGATGAGTTTTTGAACTGGCTCAGGGCATCGGGCGAGTCCCAGACTGGAGGTGGTTGATAAGTATTCTGCAGGTACTCACAGCACGCAGATGACTTACTCGTGACGAGGAGCACGTAGTTTGGACACTCACTAATTCGGCCCCATTTGGAACGAGAGTGACCCGGGGACTGCGTCAGGATCTGGTAGAAGTTGGCCCATTTCTCATCCTCGAGGCTTTCATCCTCGGGGACGCAGAATTTGGAAAAGACGAGAACATTCACTTTTGACATCTTGCTATGTAATAAGAGAAGACAAAACGAATGTGTGGGTAGAATGGTAGAATGATGATGGAAGCCTCGGTGGGGCCGATCAGTGGTCGAGTTGCCAGATATAAAAGCGCCCCTAGCCCCCACCCCGACGGCCCCTAGGCGATGAAATGGGAGGTTTGTGCAGTCAGCCTTGCCATTAAAATGTTTTCAGAGTAGTGAGCGAAGGGTAAGCTAAGCACTGAGCAATCTTGAGTGCTCAGGGAGTGTTAGGGACTACTCAGGGAGTTGCTCAGGGAGCACTTAGGGAGCACTTAGCAAATATGTGTTCCGTTTATCACGTGATCTTCTGGTGACTAAGATTTTGGTAAAGAGAACGCTTAAACTGGCGTCAAAAGTAGCCGTTTTTGGTGACGAATTTACCGTCACTTAGCATTGTGCTGTAATCTGGAGCTCGCTTTCGCCAATTAATCTTTGGGGGCGATAATCGTCGATTCTGAACTTGAAAAACGGGTTACTACTGTTTTCCCGATTCTCATTTGGTTTAAACTAGTTAAATTCATCTACAAGAGAAATTGCACGAGGTATAGCAAAGATTATGTTATCTAGTAATGGCTTGAACAGGGCAGAAATTCTGTTAGCACGCGCCTGGTTTGAATTCGGCATCTACCAAATCAGTGCAACCATGAACGATTGTGACCGGCCTGTGGCAGCCGGTACCTTAAGAAGACCGAAACAACCAACCCCCAACAAACGTCATGGCATGGAAACTGCAAGGGCATCATTATTCTGGCAGTCTCGTCATTTTAGAACACACCCGGTGCCTGCGTAATCCGAGTAACCGGGATATCTTAGCAAACCAATAGATGGCCAGCTTGGTTGTTGGATGCAACGGCAATGGATACTGACTTCAATGGAGTCGGCGCAGACACTACCCTGGCTGAACCCTCCCATCCTTCCTGTAATCGTTTACAGCCAGCGGAGATGGTTATTCAAAAACACTGCTGCACAGCCTAGCAGCTTCACACTCAGGCCGTATTAACGTCCAAAAGCAACCCTGTCTTCAAGCCGCATCGTTGAGGGGCGTTATCATGAATCCGCGTAGGAATCCTGGTCGAATTGGGGCCAAAAGGAGACGGGGGTGACCAACAGAGGCCGATCAATCAATCAAGAGACTCTGATCCTAGTGACACTTTCGTCGATCCTGGGATGGCCCATGGCTGCCTCTAGGAACTTTACCTAGAGTCCCAGGAGCATTACAGCTCCCAGGAGAGGTTGTTCATGTTCCCAGAGACAGATTTACATTCCTAGGAAGCTAACCAAATCACAGAATTTGTTCCTCACAGAATCCACTCCGGCCTCAACATTTTTCAAGTACAAGCAGTCTGACTGCACTCAAATTGCTCAATCTAGTCCTTCTATTAGAATCTAAAGGTGATCTAGACATGTGAGCCAGGTCCGAGCATCAATTGGCATACATATTACAGCGGACTAGCTCCTAGATCCCATGTCTCTTTCTATAGAAAGTACTTCAATATACACATCACCGAAGATAGTCAAACGTTAGCCCAGGCCTTTGTCAGTCAGTTTGGCAAGGTACGAGAAAGCCTCTCTTTGTATTCTCGGGGGATGAATGCAACATGTATTACTCTTGCTCAGCAGCCACGCGAACGAGAGGGTCAAACGGCATGATGGACTTCGTGGGTTTCACAGAAACTCTCCATGAGGTGCGAGTCTCTGTCCCAACATCATCAGAAATTACTTCCCACGCGAGGCAGACGTTTGCTGGTCCACCAAGTTCCGACACCAGCATCTGATTCAGCGTACCGGTAACCTGTGAGTAGTCTAGCCACAGATTGTCAACAGGGCCGCGGATACCGTGCGTGACGCTCACGTCCGTCGAAAAGCGAATATTGCTAGCAAAGATGCTAAGAAAGTCTCCCTCGCGTACTAGGACGATTAAACAGACGAACAAGGAGATGTCGTCTTTGGGCAGGAGAAAGGTGAACGCGGACTTGTCTGCCCCAAATTCTGATACCGAGTGGTTGTTGAAAGGCGCGTATATAACATCAGGGGAAAAGACTAGTAGCCCCTTTACCTTGAAGCTTTCTTCTTCGCTAGGGGAAGCCTAATCATTTCTGCTATTGTTCTAAGACGACTCACGGACTTTCAACCTCTCTACAACCTGAGGATTTTCAAGATCACACAGGCGCGTATAATCGCCTTTCCCGAGCCTAAGAGCCCGTATTTCTAGTTATTCAATATAAGGTCTGTATTTAGTCTCCTACTTTAGAATTGTATCCACAAGGGAGATTTCTAAGGTCTTCGGATAACCCTTGTAGTAACTATCGAATTCCTTAATACGGTAGTAGAGGGCTTTTTCGATTCCGACTTTACGCATTTTGAATAAGTTTTTCTAACAGTTTCGACAGTGTCGCTAGTTTTGGGCACTCAATCCGTATCTAGCGTCTTCTATGAATTTTCTAGTCGTAGCTTTCTCCGCTACAGTGAATCCGTCGGCCGGGCCTTTCGCGGACGGCAGCTTCGTATGATTAATCAGCCTAGTACCCTTAAGGATGATTTTCTAGAAGATTATTTCGTTGTACCGATTTTGTAAACCTTTACCTACTACTAGAGTATTGTCCCTTTGAATGATACTAACTGCTTGCTTATAATTATACTCTGCAATCTCATTAATATATTTCCGGATTTTATCGGGATCGGTCCTTGTTAGGGCTATAGAAGTTTGATGACCATATCGTACGATCGCCGAATTAACCACAAAATATTCAAATAATATTAAGGCTATTGCTTTTATTGTAAACGCGGTGTCTAGCTAGTAGGACGAGAAATCGTTAGCCGGGAGATTCAATAGGCGAGAACCTTTCATATATTCGCCGTTAGATAAGGGCTAGATTAGAGAAAGGTAAACCTCAGACTAAGCATAGGGACTAATTTATTTAGAGGATAAGAGTAGCCTACCTTATAATAGGAATACTGAGAACCTACTTCGATCGTTCCTTTAGCAGCTATATATCCGAGCGAAGGTTTATCAGTATAGTTTTCTGCACGCTATGGAATTTGTGGAATTTGCCGCTTTCTTCTCTTCCTCGATTCTGCCCCGGTTAGATTTGCATAATCCCTCTTCTAGGCATTCAAAAGCCGAGAGGACCTACGCCCTTTCGGTGGTGAAGCTAGAGGCGTTCGTAAATCCGAGACGCTGGTTCGTAGCGGGGTTTCTCTTGCATTTCCATCTTGACTTACGAGATAAGCCTGGAGGACTGGAATTATATAAGCGCACGTACTTATAGACAAGTCGAGTGTCTTACGTACTGTCATTGTCTACTTTAGAGATCAAGGAATCAATGTACTCTTCGTTATGATCTATACTAGACGACGTGAATGTATTTCGGATAGCCTGCGCTAGTAAGCCCCGGGTGGTCTCGTCTATGATGCCTGGTGAATGCAATGCGGGAGGATATACCAACCTTTGCGTCTTTAATAAAGCAGCCTCCCTAGCTCTAGCACTTTCGGCCAGACTGATCGACAAGCCAACCCCACCGGGTAGGTGGAGTCGCTGATGTTTGTTGACCAATGATGTTTATTCTGAGTCTCCTGATCCTAGTATAGCTATTCTGTGGCTGAGCTAGTCATCTTGGCCGAAGGCCATAGAATGACTCACGTTCAAGTTAATCGATCAATGGTGTTGTTAAAGCCCAAATCACAGTATCGTGTTGGCGGTGGTAGGATTTCTCTTGGGATGTGTTCGGCAAACTTTGCATTGAGACTCAAGCACCTCTATCTTACACGATTATATAACCCCTTCTACTAATTAGCTTAGCAAGATTACGCCCTTACTATATTAGACGAAATAGCTAGAAGGAACGATCGATTAATAGAACTACCTATTAGGCTATATTAGCAAAGATACGCTATCTTACCTACCTTCTTACTTATTAGCTTTCTTATTAGCTTTCTTACTAGCTATCTTATCTAAACCTACTTCAAAAGCTAAGGGGGTATATTAGTATATATATATATACGTATAAGATCTTACGTTAGCTTCCTGCTCTAGTAGATCCTAGAGGGTTATATTATATAGACCTTCCTACTTATCCTGCTTATCCTGCTTACTAAGCAACCTCTCCTATTTTACTAACGTAGTTCCCGCATAGGGCACCCAGCTCAGCGTGGTCCAAAAAAGTTCAGCGTGGCCTAAAAGATTCTGACTAATTTTAGGCCACCCCGAGGTGCCGGATCTTACCGGGGCCTAAACCCCTATATTACATAATATTTTTTTAATACGAATATTCTTTTAAGGACTTTTATTTACCCCTTTTCAAGGTTATTACAAGGTATCGAATTCCACAAGATATTAGCGCCTTGGTTCTCACTATTACTATTCGAGGATTCTAGTCCTAACTTACTTGATTCTAAGGTTAATATCTCTACGCGATCTACTACTAGCGCTATATTAGAGATTAATCGAATTCTTTATAATCTTCTATCTGTAAGTAGTCCTTTTATATATACTATATACGAGACTTATGTTTCAAATCAGCGATAAAGATTAGACTCTGAAACTTTAGTGTACTAAGATTATATTAATATATATAAATCATCTAATCTCGATCCTTATAAGAATAATAAGGAAAATATTAGCTCCTTAGGTTCTAACGCTCTAACGTAACTAAGCTAAACAGGTATAGAAATAGACGGGACTAAAGTAAGCGGTAGCTCTAGAGATACTATAGTTACCTACGAAGTCTAGGAGTATCTTATTCTTCTAGAGTATCCCGATATAGCTAATAATAGTATTTTATATATTATTTACGCCTCGAAAAATCTATTTAAAAATAGAGAAGATACTTCTTCAAATATCAACTAAGTCACTTTATAACTTATATTATCGGTAAGTTTAAAATATTTCTAGTATATCTCTAATATATCCCTAGTATATATAATATAACTAATAATCCTAGGTTTAATTCTCGACTAAATATACCGGATTAGTAAAGAAGATCTATACAAAACTTCTCTAAAAAGACTCTAAAGATAAAGAGTCAAGATTATAGTATCGATCCTTTAAATATATAGGGATTCAATATTGCCACTAAGCCTATCCTAATATTATTACCCCTTTAGAAAGATATAACCGTATTAAACTAATACTTTTCCGTGAACTTTAGTCTCTTACTATAAAGCCTATATATTATACTATTACCTATAAAATCTAGGAGCGAACTAGAGAGTAAGATATATCCCTCCCTAGCTTTAACCTCTATTAAGCTTACGCTAAATGTAGATTTTACTTCGGATTTCTCTAAACGTAGGACGTAGAAGAGCTATATACTTATAGACTAAGTAAGCGAATATATAGAGGTTAAAAGCTAATAGTATAGCTTAGAGATAGAGTATATTTATATCTTTATAATATACTAAATATATATTAACTATAAGTAGTTTATATTTATTAGATATCCTAACGCGCAGGGCGGATCCTAGCGTTAGCACTACTATTAGAACGTATCACGAAGTGCTGCAAGGATCGACCCCGCGTTTTTAAAGCTTCTTTGTGATAAAGATAGCTTACGTATATCTAGGTATAGAACTAAGAATTACTATTTTATAGAGTATCGTTCGGCTAGGCGTTGCTACTATAGTAAGTTTTATAAGCTATATACTAAATATATACTAACTCTATCCTAGACTTAATTTATATAGATAGTATTAGTTAACTAACATAGAGTACTTACTCTATTAAGTTTAACTTTTATATCCCCTACTTATAGGAGTGTTTTCCCTTTTTCCTTCTCGTTTATCGAGGATCTTATTCGTATACCCTACTACTACTAACAAAGCTACTATATAATATTAGTTAGGAAATTATAGAGGCAATTAACACGCAGGATATCCTAGGATTAACTACACGGAAATTAATAGTTTCGCCTCTTTTTACGAAGATCTTGCGTTAATATAGTAATTCTACGCTTTAGTATATCTATAAGAGCTTATATATTAAGGATAGAGTAACTACTTTAATTTATAAGTAGAGAATACTATACTATCTAGAAGGGATAAGTCTTACTAGGGTATAGCGTAAATACTAGTTCGATCTAATAAAAAATATAGATAATTAATAGATTCGTAAAGTCTATTTCTTTAACAAGAACTAGGAATATTATCTAATTATATACTATATATACGAATAAGCTAAGCTTTTCTAGAGTATACGATATCTTGAAATAGATCTCGCTTTCAAGATAGTTTAGGGATAAACTAAGGTTTTCTTAATCTCGGGGTAGAATAAACAGGCAAAAAGTAAGGTTTTTTCCGGTACTCTATATATACTAAATATATACTAACCCTATACTAATACTAGGTTTAAATACCTATATCTATACCTTTATAAACCTCGAAACTCGAAATACTTATCGAGTTCTTTTTAAGAAAATCTTCAAGATTCTTAGGGATATTAGACGAAAGCCGGTTCGATAGGTATATTAACTTAGAAGAGATGATTCTTGCGAGGGAATTCGGACGGTTACTATCGATATATATAAAAAGCAAGTACCTAGTAGGCTACTTATATACTTAATATATATCTAGACTATACTAATATTCTTTTTTCGTCCAGGGCTTAGAGATTACCTTATTAGCCTAGACCCTCGTTAGATATAGTTAGAACATCTTTAATATATCCTAATCCTATACTAAACGTACGTGAAGTAAGCCTTTCTTAAGAAGTTTCCTAGTTATAAAGCTACTATATCTATTAATATAATCTAGAATATAAATTCAAAAGCAGAAGTTATTCGAATTATAGATAAAGTTATAGAAAAATAGCTAGAGACCCTAAGATAGTTTTAGAATAAGAAGGTTGATTAGATTCTTACTAGAATAACCCTAGAGGTATCTAAGATTCCTATTAAATAGTAGATAAATATACTATACTATACTAGAATAAGCGAAAGTAGTTATTTCCACGATAACAAGGTAGTAGGCCGAAAGCAAGCTTTATTAATAGCAATTCTACGGTATTTAATTATATCTCTTTTGTATAGAGTATATCACTAATCTATTATCTATAGATATAAAAGATATATATAAGAGATAATTCAAAAGAATAAACTTATAGAAGAGCAAGGTATCTTCCTAACTTAGCGATCTTAGAACCCTATATATCGTATTACTAAATAAGTTCGCAAAAAGGGTTTATCTATATAAGTAACATATATTATATATATACTAACCTTATACTAGATAAACGTCTTAGAAAATCTGCTAATCGTCGTATCGATAAACTATACTAACCTTGGAACCTAACTAATCCCTATAATATTCTTGACCCTGTGATACAACTACCTAAGCTTCTAAATATCTTAGATTTAGTTTCTATAACCGCTTTAGAGGTAACTAACATAAGCTTAGTATATAGTTAAACTATATCTATACTACTATCTAGTATACCTCGGGGTAGTTTAGTTTATACTAAATTATCTAGATTAGCACCGTAGGATAGTATATCTTAGTAGTTAGGCTATACTTAGGAATTTAATAATAAAGAGGCACGGCTATAGCAAGAAGTTGCTGAACTTAGGAGAAAGCAAAGGATTTTAGCCCTTCAAAGAGAAAAGTAAGAGTTACTACGGAGTATAGAGGCAGGTGAACCTTAGCATAAGTTCAGTATATCTTTAATCTACTTTTAGTATCAGGTTTACGTATATTCTATATAGTAAGATAACAAACGATTTATACAGATTTAACTACGCCTAGCTACTATAGAGACTTAAAAGTAGAGGAGGAAGAGGACTTATCCTCCCTGCTCTCCTCCTCTTCCTCCCCGTTGTTTTCGTCTCTATTATTACCACTACCTCTATTACTACTACCTCCTCCGTTGCTATTAGCTCTAGTACTAGTAGTAGGGCTAAAACCTACGAAAGGAATTAGGTTCCTAGGGACTCTAGGGCCACGCTATATATCGTTAATATATACTTAATATATTATTTGTATATATATAATATAGACTTACCCGGCGGCTACGTTAAGCAGAGAGTAGGGTTACCGGGGCCTGCTAGCGGTAGAAACGTATACCGAATTATATAGCAAACTATATATCGGTAGCTCTATATAGATTATTAGTATATCTTTAATATATAAAACCTATATACTTAGAAGTATATTAACTTGTATAGAATATAGAGTGCTCTTAGTACTTACGTAATACGCTCTAGAACGGAGGCCTAGTATCTAATCTAACTATTCTTAGGGCCGCGTCTAGGCTTATACAGGTAGCTAGTATCCTGCTAGCTACCCTATAGGACCTAACGTCTAATAGCGTTCTAGCCCGTAATAATCTCGTACTAGGTCTTAGCTCGGCGATTAGGGTTAACGACTATATTATAGTTATATTATTAGTATATATTTAATATATCTAATCTATAGACACTAACTAGCTCCGGAATACTTATTACGGATATAACAACGTAGAGCAGGTGCCTCCGAAAAGACTAGACTATATATCTAGGACAGAGGGTTCACAACGATATTATAGCTGTTCCTCGTAGTGTTAGTATATAGTAACTATATCCTTAGTATATTTAGATGCTACGTATACTCTAGTGTTCTCTTTGTTAAGAACTACGGCCGGGTTTAGGGGAGGGGTTACTGCGATATCTGCTACTTTAATATTATAATAGCAAGCGCCTATAGCTAGAGCTACTATATATATAGCTAGCTTCTAGCTAGGATTGTTATCAGGAATAGGCCCTATATATAGTTAGTATATTAACAGTATATACCTCTAGGCGATATACTATACGTATATCCTAGGAGAGGGTTAGGGTTAGTCGCGTTTAAGACGGTAGTGTTGTCAAATTCGGCCTAGGTTAGACCTAGGCTAGGGAAGAGTCCAAGATTCGATATATTAATAAGCTAGAAGTATTTAGTATATACAAAATATATAGAGAAACGTGTTAGAGAGTAGAGTAAATAGATGTTCTTACCTTATATAAACAAAGTTCGTAGAGAGGGAAGGAAAAAAAGAGTAGTGGTGTTGTGTTGTTAAAGATATATCTCTTATTTCTTTGTTAACACTTTTATATTGTAACTCCATAGAATCGATATTTTTCTTTCAAAACCTGTAATTTATTAAGATTAAGGCTATTTCTTTTATATTACTCTTAATAAATAATATAAAGAGTTATTAAGAATTTAGTAATATATATTATATAGAGCTGTATAGAGTTATAGTATAGTTTAGTAAGGTAGGGGTTTAACTAAAGTTAAACCCTATATAAAATATATAAAATTAGACATAAAAGCTTATCGTGGTCCAAAATATTTTGGGCCCCGGTAAGATCTATTACCTCAGCGTGGCCCAAAATTAGTCAGGAATCTTTTGGGCTACGCTGAACTTTTTTGGACCACGCTGAGCTGGAACCCGTCCCGCATGAACGGGTCACCCAGTTGAGCGGGTTACCCCAAAACACCATACTAAATGCAATATTTCACAACTTCAAATTTCAACACTTAAGGCTGATTATATGATCTTATGTTACCTCAGTATGAAATATATCCTACTAGATATCTTTATAAGCTCGAGAAATATTTTAGGGTGTGATACTATGGATATATATATCTACATCGCTCGATCGGAGCGTATTTTTGGTAATATATGTAAAAAATCATTTTCTGAATATATAAGCTATGCTATACTAATTATTATATTAGGAAATCATAGTATACTTAGAATCAAGCAAAATCATATTCTCGTTGTTGATATATTATGACATAAAAAATCGCGTTTAGTATGGAGTTTTGGGGTGACCCGCTCAACTGGGTGACCCGGACATACGTGAATTACGTTATAGAGAAATACTATCTTATATCCTTCTTTACTATATCTTTACTATAGTAGAACATCATTATATTTACCCCGCCTGATATATTAGATTGATCTTTAACGATCGTATTAATATTACCTATCTAGGCAGGAGACTATATAATACTCTAAAATAACCTCGAATATTCTTGATTTGCTTATATGATATTTACTATATTCCTTATATTATAAATTATACTAACTGACAATTTGGGTTTACCAAATGGCTGCCACTTTCGGCGTCACTCGACGCCTTTTTCGGCCGTCATTTGGTAACACGTGACCTCGATCTTCCAACACGTCCCCGTCCGGCTACCACCACGCACCAGGCAGACCCACTCGCGGGCACCTCAGCAATTCAGTTGTCTCCGTCAAAAGGTCCCTCCCCTCGTCTTGACGTCCTGTGAAGGCGCCAAAAATGGCCTCACTGCACCCCATTAAACGGGCCAGGTCACAGGCTAAGTCACAATGGTGCAAACCTGCCTACCGTGGCCCCTTTCCTTTATATTCTTCGTTCTTCCACCCTTCCTGCTCCCTCGATCGCGAGTGTATCCCCCCGAGCCTACCAGGGGCCCTTTCCTTCATATTCTTCGTTCTTCTGCTCTTCTTTCTTCCGTCTTTCCTGCCCCCCTGACCTTGACCGTGTCCCTCATAAACCAGTTGCTCGTTCATCTTTCAGTGTGCTCCCGGCCACTTGACCGTATCGTGCTTCCGTGGTCTCAGTCCTCCCCCGCATCCTCCGCACCTTCGCCGTCCTTGCCTTTTCCCCAATCTTAACGATGAAGCGCTCTCGCCCCCGACGAAGTGGAACGCTGCGAAAAGCCTATGGCGAGGATGATATAACTGCGACTACTACAAGCGACTCCGACGAGCAGGGCGATGCTTCGTATGAGACGGATCTGACGGAGCCGGACGATGCCCCAAGCTCGCGAAAACGTCTCCGGTCGGATGAGAACTGCTCTTCCTTCGAGATAGGGTTCCCCGGTGACCTCGGGGAACTCTACAATGATCCACTAGATGATGATGGAGTTGATCTGTCTGAGATTCCCGAGGATTTCGACAAAGCACCAGGCACCATTGAACGACGAGAGCGGATTGAGGGCCGGTGGAAACGGTCAGTGATGGCAGAGATCCACCTTGTTTCTATCTACTAATGTAAGATCAGGTACTGTGCCAGCCAGCGGATAAACAAGCCCAATGAGCCAAAATGGCGGGAGCCTGAGGAGGCGCTACGCCAGGCGTCGAACAATGACATGTATCGGTTCCTAGGCTGGTGTCTCAAACTCGAGCGCGGCAAGGAAGGTCGGCGGTTAAAACGCATCAACAAAGCTAGCTCGTTGAATACGGACTGGAAAAACCTCCGCGGCTACTACCAAAAGCTTACCAAGATCAAAATCAACGACGAGGATGGCTCGGATGTACGCAGGGTCAGTATCATAAACCTGGATTCCTAACTCTGGTTGGTTGGTCATCTTTTTAACAGCTGATTTACAGGGTATGAAGTACTTGGTCCAAGAGCATGGGTTAGACACGCAGCCTGGAAAGAAGACACCAGTTTATATCGAGGATATTGGCCCGTTTAATGAAACGATTTTATCGACGCAGGAGAAAAGGTTCTATCTGGGCTTCCAACGTATCCAAGTGTGTCTGTTCAATTCCCTGGCTCTCTTTACTGTGCACCGAAGAAACGCCTTGTTGAGTCTGCAGTTCAAGGACCTGCAGATCTCCCTTCAGAAGGATCCTCGTGGAGGCCCACCCGTCCCTATGATTGAACTCACTCCCGAAGGGACCAAAAAGTTCCTAGGTCTGACCAAATTGTACGTCGAGACAATTTCTTTCTCTCCCTCTCTCAATTCCCCAACCACCCCCGGATCCATAATATCTCTTGAGATCCTTCTTGTCTCCGGAATTTCTGGCTTGGGTCATCCAGCTAACCGATCAGCAGAACTACTTTTGCACTTCCCGAGATCGTTTACGGGCCCTCTCTGGTGATATGCCCGCATACATTGCTTTTCGGCATCCTGTTCCATGCGCGCGCATTCCGGAATTCGAGGCTAACCTCGAAGGCTCAGCTACGAAAATTATTCATCAGCAAAGGCTGTGAGCAGCTCCTTGTGCCCTTAGACCCGAACAAGTCTGATTGGTATATCTTCTGTAAGACGGAGTTAGTCAATGGCACTCCGACCATTCAGCGGACCGTACCGATGTCCAAGTCGGCCATGTCCACTTTGCTGGTCACCTTTGGGGAGATCCGCGGGTGGAAAGGGGCGTTCCATGCCCATCAGTTCCGTTATGGAAGTGGTAAAGTGCTCAACGAGAGCGGTAAGTACTTCCATGCAGGCCATTAATTCTTGTCTTCTTTCTGTTCCGTCAGAGGCTGATGTAGTCTGTAGGATGGGTGAGCAAGGAACAACACATGTTGATCATGAAGCACGCTAGCCCCCGGACCTTTCTCGACCACTATCATCCTCTGCAACTCGACACTGATATGATCCGGGTTATCTGTGGCCTCGACCCGGATGTAGAACTGATGCGAGCTGTCACGCGGCAAAGTCGTTGGCGGGACACGCGACGCCCACGCTATTTGACTGATCAGCAAAGGGCACAAGTTGAGGATCACCCCGAGTTAGAAGAGGCCCGGCGCAATCTTAGCCAGATCCGTGCCCAATACGAGAAGACTCAACAGCCCGCCCTGGTCCCTCGGATCCAGCAGCGGGAGAAAGAGGTGAGAAACACGCGAAAACGGTTGCACAGGAGCTTGCGGTATCAAATACGAGAGAATTTTGATGAAGAGCAAGCATTTCTAGACATCGAGGCGCAGCTATCTGGTACAGTGGTCAAGGAAGAGAGCGAGGATGAGTCATCCTTGGAGGACACGATGCACCCCCTTCAGTTGCATCTAGTCCAGAGTCTTCTTTCCTACCCAATCTCCAACTCGTTGGAGGATGAGTGGAATCGGCGCGATACGGGTGCTGCAGCCGTCGTGCAGTATTGTGACGTCCTTGAAGGAGGTCCGTTAAGGGGGCCGGCCCAAGCGGAACGCCTCTGAATCCGCTACGTCGACTGGTCCCATAAACCAGCCGCAAGATGCAGGGCAGACCCAAAATGTTGCCAACTCATGTGAGGTACATGTTTCTGTCGCTGGCAAGCCGTCGCGTGCTACTAAGGAATACCTCGAGAACTCTGAGAAGCCAGAGGCTTGCTTTCAATGCTTTGCAAACAAGGGGCTTCCTGACCATGTTCGCTTCCAGATGTATCATGACGCTGGGTGTGTTACGCGCCATTTTGACGCTATTCATCTCAAAGAAAAGCCACTTAAGTGCAACTGGTGTGAAGTAGCCTTGCTACATCAAATGGCGTTTCAGCGCCATGCTTTTGATGTGCATCATGTGCGCAGTCGCAAGCGTTGCCCGAATCCGGTGCTGGACCTTCAGAGACAAGAATGAGCAGGCCATGATCCCCTGAACGGCAGTCAAGCCGGGGGACCCGGATAAATATAGGTATACACTGTCTGCCTCGTCGGGGCAGCGCATGCAACGCTATAGCCTAGTTTCAAAACTATCACGGCTTGATGTCCAATAGTACAATGCAGCTTCGAAGATTGCGATCACACGAGTGTCCAATTATTTCCCGGGACTCAGTCCGTCACCATTAGATCTCAGGTATATAAAGGGCCTCCTTCCCCCAGGCGGTTGCATGCTCCGATATTCTCTTTTCCTCTTCCCAAGTCAGCATATATCGACTTTCCGCCCCTAAGTGTGGCGACAAAGATCACGATGGCAAGCCCCTCCAACACGATTATTATCGCCGATGACGAGGAACTGCCAAGCCTTGAGCCAGGTAGCTCACGACCTCAGAGGGCCCCTCGCCGTGATTACAGTTACCGAGATTTTGAGAGCATGATCGTTGAGGCGGTCGATGATGAGACGGATATGACACCATCACGCAAACGCAAAAGAACCGAAACGAAGGAGCCCTCTGCTTTAGTACCAGTTCCTCACAAGACCTTCTTCGTCCTTGACTAACAATAGACCAGGACAACGCCTTTGAGGAGCTCCGAAAGACAGTTAGCCATAAAACGCAACGGCTACAAGAGAAAAATCGCATGCTTCGAGATGAACTTCGCCAGGAGAGAAAGAGGCACCAAAAGACGGAAGAGGAACTTTCCCAGCAAAGGGAAAAGCGGATTTTAGAGTGCAAGATCTGCTATATGCAGCCAGATCGCTGGGTGTTCATTCTTGGTCTGCAGGTCATGCGCAGGAAGTCTTGGAACAACGGAGAAGTGTCCTATCTGCCGAGCACCAATCACGGGATATATCGGATGCTACCCTTTTGCAGGATAAAGCATGTATGTCGTGTTGTAGGTCTAGTTCAATGACTCGAGTTCAAGCCGTTTTTTTCGTGTTGCTTTCTCCTCCCACGTACTTTCGGCGGGATAGCAGAATACTATTAACATCACGTGGAGCCTGAACTACGCGCCGTCTTAGCGCCCACGTATTGCTCAACGCGCAAAAGACCACGATTTTCTCATAAATCGTGGTCTTTTGTCCGTTCAAAAATTGAAAAGTTCCCTTTGCACACTTTAGCTCTTCTTGTTAACAGTGCCTTATAAGTGCTCGCGTTTCTGATGCTTTTCCCGGACAATACAGGTACATTCACATTCATCGCGCCGCTAAAGAGCTAGGCGACCACTCGCAATGGCTGCTATAAATCCAACCCGATCTAATTACTCCTCCAAGAGAAAATCGATGAGCCAAAAACAATGCCGTCGCAAAACAAGTTTGATGAGAAAGGCACGCGAATATAGTAAGATGTGCGACGCAGATGTATGTGTGGGCATTCGCATCCGGGAGACGGGTCAGGTACATCTTTTGTCCGCAGATGCTTCCGGATTTTGGGCTTTTCTTACTTCACAATTAGTATGTGGCAGAGTCTTCTTCTAGGGAAAGAAAGCTGACTTATTAGGGCTCCTACTACCCAACGCCAAGGTTGATTACAGTCCGAGACTTCGAGAAGACAAGGGAAGACACAACTGTCACAACTGGGGGATGAAGATTTTAAAACGCAAATACTGCCGGAGAGGCTATCCATATATATAGGTCATTAGTCTTCCCTGTTATATTCCATAGAATGTCTTGGAAAGAAGATGATTGTGGCATGATTTTGATCTCATATATGCAATGCTAGTATGTACCTTGACAACAGCCGTGTCAGGCCAAATTTTGCACTCCATAATCTCTGTAAGCTACCACAAGGAAAGCTGCTTCTCTAGATCGGCCAGATCGTAGGGCTGGCCACGCTTTTCCCCCCTCGGTAAGCTACCGCAAGGAAAGCTGCTTCTCTGGACCGGCCAGATCGTAGGGCTGACCACGCTTTTCCCCCCTCTGTAAGCTACCGCAAGCAAAGCTGCTTCTCTAGATCGGCCAGATCGTAGGGCTGGCCACGCTTTTCCCCCCTCGGTAAGCTACCGCAAGGAAAGCTGCTTCTCTAGATCGGCCAGATCGTAAGGCCGACCACGCTTTTCCCTGCCCTTCCAAGCTATCCCAGGCAGCTCTGCTTCTCTCGACAGAACCCTTCGTAGGGCCGACCACGCCTTTCGGTTATAAGTCTACAACAAATCATTACATTGAACATCGCCGCAAAGTTCCAGCTCTTTTGGTCAATCGCTCAGATCGTCTGAGTTAGAAGAGATGCCTTCGTCATACGACAGTTTGCGTTTCGTTGATCCGGCGCAAAGGAGCCACTTCCTGAGTAACAGCATCACTAATCATTGAAGCAGTATCCCGGTCTTCCTCGTTTCCGAAATGATACGATCATCATCATCCAAGGCTGCCAACACCCTTGCCGGAGCCATGCGCCTCAGGGGCAGATTTAAAGCCCCTATACAGCCGCGATGGCCCAGAAGCGAAGCGTGACAGCACCTGGAGGCGCCAAGGTTCGACAATCTACTGATCGATTGACGTATGAGGTTGCGGATCAAGGCAAAAACGCCCCATCTTAACTGCAATGAGGAAAACCGAGCCGAAACGAGGCCGGGCGGAGGAAGGCAACGCAGAACACTCGAGTACTCGGGGAGAGACCGCAAAGGATCGGCTATTTTGCTTCGGAGGCAAATACGGTGGGATGACGGTGAACTAGATTAGTAGCAAAGCTGTCTCACCAGCAAAGCGCGCATAGGGGAAGGGTGGTGAGAAAGGAGGAGCAGGAGAGAGAAGAAATAATAAGTTGAAGCGGTGGTTGAAGGATGTACGCTAAATTGCATCACGTGCATGACTTCTGTCTCTTGTCTCTCTCGTACCACCTCACGGTTTCTTGAAAGCGTATATACCATGCCTCGACAGCTCTCACCTTTCCACTCTCACCTGGCTTCCCTTTCCGTGCGCCACTCACGATTTTCTAGATAGCGTGCATTCCATGCGTCCACAGCTCTCACCTCCTGGTTCCCCCCTACCTCCCGGTGCTGTCTACCGGGGGCCACAGCGCGGTTTCTCTAAAAGCGTGGATACCATGTGCCAGTGCCCGCCTCCTGGTACCCCCTACCTCCCGGCGCTGTCTACCGGGGGCCACAGCGCGGTTTCTCTAAAAGCGTGGATACCATGCGCCAATACCTGCCTCCTGGCTCTCTTTACCGTGGGCCACTTGGAATGAGCTAGGATAGTCAGCAGATCTTTCCAACCCCCTTTTTCAATGCTTCCCTTTCCGTGCGCCACTCACGATTTTCTAGATAGCGTGCATTCCATACGTCCAGCTCTCACCTGGCTTCTACTTCCGTGGCTTCACGATTTAGCTCTTTCCAGAAAAAGAAAAGAAAAATAACGGGCACGACGAGTACACTCTTTTAAGAAATCATGAGCAGGCGCGAGAAAGAAGCAGACAGATTACAGCTTTATTCTCTATCGAGGGAGTTCGCCTGAGCTCTATCATGTGAGATGATTCAAAGTATAATAGGGCTCATCCAGGAAGCACGAAGCGAGATGCTATAGTTAGAAAGCATAGGTCATCATGGACGAGCTCCCAGTCAGAATGGCGGGAAGGGAAGTCCCTTAGTTTCGCTATCTGATCTCTTGATCCATATATAACATCCCCGAGTAGTGTACAGTAAGCGCGTCAAACTACCTCAAGATCTCGATCCGTTACTAGCAGTATTTTGCATGTAATACCTCAAATGCTGTGGCGCATCCATGTCCCAATTGTTGTTGCGTCATCATGACAACAAGGCATATCGAAAACTGTCGATGTTGCCACCCTTATATTTCTCGACTATTGTTTTCGCTGCGTTCTTGGGATTTGCGTGAACGTTGTCTTAACCATCTTTCCGCACTACTTATCGCAACGTTACAACAGATACACAATTGCACCACCACCATTCAGAATGACCCGAGGGAATACAATGCAGTCCAAGGCTTACTATAAGGGCCGGACTGAAGACTTCGTCATCTTCGTTGAGGACATTACCGCGGTGCAGAACTGGAGGAAAGATCACACTCTACCACTTGCGCAGGTGATGGATGGGTGGAAAATATTTACCTCACATCAGTAGGTGCCTGCTTTCATTTATCCACGTGCATTATCCGAGTTCAGGAAATATCTATCAGCCTAATAATGAGAACCCTGGAGGCGCACGCAAGGCTATCTGCTAATGGAATCTTGCAACCCTGCAGACATGGGCCTCAAGGGATGCATAATGAAGCCAGCAGGGATACTCTTGAGCGCGAGTTCGGAACATCCAATGACCAAGAGGTCATATTTCATATATTGGAGAAAGGGGAAATTCAGGAGTGTGTCGTGAGTACTAATCTCTCCTTTATCTCGCCATTGTTCATATTCATTACCGATACCGATATCAATACCCAGTACCTTGCCCTTGAAGTCGAGTCCTAACTATCAGATCGCATACAGAATTCTGAACGACAAGGAATTAAAAACGAATCCCAGGGATCACGAGGTATTCATTAGGACCCCGAGGGAACTTATTTGGTGACTGATTATTACCTCATCCAATGATTATGGTGGTCGTATTTAAGCTGTTTTTGATTGAAGAGCCTCAGTCTAGTGCACAACAATCTTTTCAAAAGTAGCGGGATGTCTATATAGCTAGTTGATGTCGGTCTTAGAGCCTATTTCCTAAAATCAATGGACATTCGTTTCAGTGAATCTGCCTAGTGTCGATAAGGCCCGACTGAACCCACAATAAAATAATCGAACCCGCGGATTTGCAATATAGATTGAAGAATCAGAAAATTGGGCATCGGTGTTCATTTCTCTGTGACCCTCTCACTTGTTTGAAATGGAGACAAACTTTTCTAATATTGCTCGCAGGAAACTATTGTACTATTGAATTGTCAGGCTAAATCAATAATAGCACTTGGCGCTACTCCTTACCTTCACTGACACAGTGTCCTCATCGTCAGGCATCTCGAACTTCATATTTCGGAGTGTGCTTGAAATACCCCCAGTGAGTTGTTTGATTTTTGCCCAGTTATGACCCTCAGATATAACTCGTTGGCTCTCATCATGGAAATGCATAAAAGCTTTCATCATATACTTCGTTTTCCATAAAGGGCAAAACTCGTCATACTCACTGTATCCGTTCTGTTGTAGAAAGTCTTCTTCAACCAGTGAAGCCACATCGAGTGTTATCCTTTCGTGGTCATTGAGTGCAGCCTTGCCGACCAGCTGTATTAGCTGTTTCAAGTTGTTAGAGGAATATAGAAGCTGTTTTATCTTGTCCCTCAGCTGCGGAAAGCCAGGGTGTTCCTTCTCGTAGTATTCATCCAATACTGCTAGGTATTTGCTGTAGGATAACGAGATGTTGACGGACGGAAAGTGCTTTCTCTGTGCTAGCTTTGTGTCAAGGCCCCAAAACACCTGAACAATACCAAGAGTACAGCTGGTGACGGGGTCTGAAAAGTCTCCACCGGGAGGGCTCACCGCACCGATAATACTGACGCTACCCTTTCTTTTCGGGCTCCCATGAGCCACGATCCGTCCAGCACGTTCATAGAATGAAGCCAGCTTGGATCCT